AACCCTAACCCTAACCCTAACCCTAACCCTAACCCTAACCCTAACCCTAACCCTAACCCTAACCCTAACCCTAACCCTAACCCTAACCCTAACCCTAACCCTAACCCTAACCCTAACCCTATATCTAGTTAAACTAGTCGTCGAGTTTCTCTTAGTCTCTATAGTATAAGTCGGGTTTAGCGACCTTTACGTCGTCGTTAGACCGATTATAGTTAGTAGAGTATACTATATTAGTACCTCCTACTTTACTAAGAATAGGGGTATTCCGCTTAGATCTTCTAGTAATAGATATCCTTAAGAGTATTTAAAGTATTATATACCGTTATACTTACGTAATATAAGTTAGATAATTCCGTCGTTATAAGTAGAGTTAGTACTCGTCGAGTAGTCTAGTAGTCGATAGTAAAGTATTACTTAGTTAAAGTATAATTAGTATAAGAGATCGGAATAAAGTAATAAGTTAATTCTAATTAGTCGGTTTATAATATAAGTTAAATACGAACTCCTAACTACGAAATCTATTACTATTATATATAAAGGAGATTTATATCTCGTTATAGCTTATATCGAGCTATACTCGATAGTCGCCTTCTACTCGCTATTAAGCTATACTCGATAGCGAGTAGTCGAGCCGATATCTTAGGTACTACTAGCTCGACTTACTAAGGATCGAGTACTAGGGCGTAGCTACGTCCGTACTAACTATATTATAATATATAAGATATAACGAAGTATCTTTTTAAGGTTAGGCGCCGCTTTTTATATAGGTAGTATATATAGTAATAGATAGAATCGAAAAGATAGCGAAAGTAGCGAAGAAGTAGTAATATTTATATTATAGTATAATAGTAAGAATATAGTTAAGTTAATATATATACTCTTTTCGCTTCTTTTCGATAAATAGATTAAGTTATAGATCGAGTATAGTATAAATAAGATTCTACTAAGCTATAGAAAGTAGTATAATAATAGTAGAAAGGTAGTATAATCTACCTTATTAGAGTATAGTAGAGGTTAGATTATACTATAAATACCTACTTTTTATTGTCTTTCTAAAGTGTTATTATATAGCTTATCGATAAATAGTAGCTATTTTAACCTAGACTAGTAATAAGTTCGGAGCTTAGTATATAGTCTATATTAGCTCTTAAACCTATTAGCTTGCCTATATATATCTTCTTATATAGTCTAGAATATAATTAAAGCGTAACTATATATAGTTAGAGGGAGGCGACTATATCTAAGCTAAGGATAGTAGAAGAAGAAAATAGAGATATAGTAAGATATAATAATAATAAAGACTATATAGTAATACTATAATAGCTTAAAGGGAGTAGTCTACTTATAAATAGACTATTAGTAGCCTTATTTAGGCTTCTAAGCGCGAGCGTAAACTAACTACCCTATATTCTTTAGTATAATCTAAGTGTAATTCGGAGTACTAAACTATATATCGGCTAACTAGTCCTTATTTTAAAGCCCTCTATTCGCGCTTAAATCGTCTCGGAGTAGAGCAATAGCGTGGCGCTCCTAATCGAGGATAGCTATCTCTATATATACGTATTATAAGCTAGGACACTCGCTTATATAGTAGCAAATTTAAGGCGGTCTACGTTTGTTATATAGCCGAAAGGATACTAGCGGACTAGTGTGATGTCGGAGTTAGCGACTAAGAGAAGCAGGATGACCTTCTTCTTGCGACCCTAGATACAGTCGACGTTAGCGGTACGCGGGTCGGCTTTGCGTTTATGATCTGAACGCTATATAGCCTGCGAGCCTTGAGTTGCAGGGTGATCTTGCGGACATCCTCGCTGTACGTGCTGATAATGCCGATGTCTGTCAGCGGTACACCTGCAACGTTGTAGAGTATCCGCGTAAACAAGACCACTGCCTTCGCGCCGGATGGATTCCAGCATGAGGTGCCGTTCTCTTCCTGCACCGGTACGCCTTGCACGTTGACGAAGAATTGCCTGTTGTCATTGGCGACGGCAGCTTCTTGGTTGCAGAAAGCGAAATTGAAGTTGGGACTTCGAAGGATCCTGGGGACGCTTCGCGAGAGTGGCGTTCTCCACTTCTCTTCGCGGTCGTCTGCCTCCATCTTGTCGGCGTAGAACAACTTGCTGGGACACCTTGATCATGGATGGATGGCCGCGATAGTTTTTGATGAGCTCAAAGCGCTCAAGCTGCGGACAAGCTGCCTTGACTCGAAGCAGCACTGACGTGGCCAGGATGTTGCCGAGCGTGTTCTACTTGCTGGTGAGTGACTGGACAACGGGACCGAGTTGCACAGTGTCGCCTGCAAGAACGAGTAGCTTCATGGTTGGGATTTGGTCGTTGATGAGCATGTTGAGGTCCGGCTCGGTAGCTTGGCCGGCCTCGTCGCAAATCACGACGTCTGCTTTGAACATTGTGTCAGCGAGAGTGGTGCCGACGAAGCAAGTGTTGGCGACTACAAGTGCGTTCGACATCACATGTCCACGCAAGGTGTTGAACATCTGCGGCCAGCTGCGCGGCGACGTCGCTTTCTTCTTGTCGCGACATGCGCGAAGGTGTGAAGCGTACTGGATAGCATCAGTATGCCCTGGGTTGTCTCTCACCCATCGGCTATGTTGGCGCTCATCGAGTAGTCGGAAGACGGGAACAAATCTGGTGTGTTCGGAAGGCCGTCGAAGAAGTCGTTCGCAAGTCTCTCCCCGTCACGCTCGTTGCGAAGGCGAATGCAGCGGCGTGCAAGGGAAGACGGTGCTATGCTGTTAAGCTTGCCCACCAGCTGCTCGAAAAGTGCATCGGCGCCATGGTTCGACTGGCTTCCTATGATAACCCGCTGGTTCATCATTATCAGCCCAGCAATAAGGCAAGCCAGCGCATGGCTCTTGCCCGAGCCGGGGTAGCCTTCAAGCAGCACCGTGGCCGCTCGCACTCCACTCATCGCTGCATCAACAAAACGACGTTGACAATTGTTGAGGCTGAAAGTCTCCAAGATGCTGTCAACCTGTGCAAGAAATTGCTCGTCGTCAGGGTGGGCGGTGAGGTACTGGGCGCGGAAGTCGCACGAGAGGTACGCTCCCTCTTCGTCTGCAATGATGTTGCGGAGGCAGAATTTACCGCGCGGAATCCCGCTGTCGTCAATGATGAGAGGTTTACGAGGAAGCCTCAATTTCACTTCTACGCCAGTGTGGCTGGTGCTGGTGATCTTGCGGGCAAAGTCTTCATTGTGGCCGCACCAGAAAACGTGGATGCTGCGTATCTCCCGATCCACGATCTCGAAGTTGGGATGACCTTGCAGCACTCCAGGGAGCTCGGTGTCGATGCTGAAGTCATAGCCGTGCAAGGTCGTGCCGGAGCCTCTACCACGAAAGGAGTCGTCAGCCGTAGAATCAAGGTCCAGGCCCGCAATGCGTGCTGAAATGTCGGTGCCGTTGTACGGAATGATTTTTTGCCCACCGGAGTTGGGCAAGTCGCCGCGAAGTTTGACAGAGAGACGATACCTCACGCCACCCATCTTCTCGAACAGGGCAGGGTAGGACTGCTCTGCATTAAAGGCTTCCTTCGTGATGCGGATATCATTGTCGCGCTCCTCCAACAGCGCGACGATGTAGTGGTCTTCGTACGCTTTCGGAGTTGGAAAAGTTGCACGCGGCAGTTCCTGCGCTTGAAAGCTGTAGGCCGTCTTGACCTCGCCATCCCAGTGCACCAGTTAGTCGCGCTTGGCAAGCGGAATGCTTGCGTCTTCGATGTAGTGGGTGAAGCGAGCTGGGCCGGATGCAATATACTCTGAGTGCCGTGCCAGCCACCAGTCGTTCCGAGGCAGGCGGTCGATGCTTGAAAACCTCGCGGCCAGACAAATGTTGCGGTAACCATTCAGAACTTCCAATTCACCCTTCCGGCCGATGTCGAAGTAGACGGTGATGTCTTGCAGACCTCGAATAGAATCACTGAACCTGAGCTGGTCGGAGCTCGCAGGTGGTGGGTTACTGGTGACCATCCAGAGGATGGGTCGGTTGAGCTCAATCGGCTCTTTGATGCGCAAGCGAAGGGACGCTGTCAACCCTCGCAGTCCAGTGCGGCATCCCGCTAACATGTTGCCTTCATCGCTGGTAAAAGACGGCTGTGCAGAACATGCTGCAGTGTCATCTGCCGCTTCGCAGATCGCAGGCTCTGGCGTGCCAATGCACATTGTCGAGCCGAATTATCGATATGCTATTTTATCCCACGATAGACTGCTACCTGACGGCTGTGTCTACACCCTGTGGTGGCATATGTAGCTGCAACAGTAGTGAGATACTTGCACGGCGTAGCTCACTCGCCGCTACGCCCACTGACCGCGAGACAATCTTGACCTTTGCGCTCATCGTATCTCACACCCGTTCACTCGGCATAAGCTTCCTCGCATCCTTGGTGGATGAATCCCACGAAGCCGTATTGGGAGCACTTGCAGTGAGCCGGGTTCATCTCTATCCTTCTACCGGTCTCGTTTGTAACCGCAGAAACGAAGCAAGCGTGTCAGTGGTCGCAGGATCACCCAACAATACATTTGGTAAAGGAGCAGTCCCTCGCGTGTTCCTGCATGTGCTCTTCAAGTTGGGGACTCCTCGCAAGGCCGCCAGAATATACGACCTTCCCAATCGCATGCACACACTCCAGGCTAAAAACCTCACTCTGGCAACATGTCGAACACGACTGTAGTTGGGATGAAGGTCATGGCGTCCACATCAAGTTGTCCAGATATTGCGATTTTCAGTTGGGCCTAGGCGGATCGAGTCGGCCCGACCAAACGGACAAACCGCAATGCTCATCGTCCTCCTGGCCAGCCACCAACGCGCCACGCATTTTAATCCTTCACGGAGGTCGCATTCCTACGACGCATCTCTGCGCTAGGCCCAATGTCCAGAGGATCACGGATGCGCCTCTTCTCGGCCTTGCGAAGCTCGTCGTAAGAGTTATTCTGGTGCGACAGATCACGCTTCGGGTCTGAGCCGAGCGGCTTGGCTGGGCTGTTGCGCCTGTCTGGGTCAACGCCGATGATCTCAAGCGCGTCGTCGGTGGCGAGCATGTTGGCCCAACTGATGTTGCGCGCCCTGACACGCCCCGCTGCGTCGACCTTGCTTGGCCTGAGCGAGAAGGCGAAGGTGTCTTCGCATGCTTCCACAAATGTGAAAGCGAGGAGCTTCTGCTGGGCGATGATCTCCGGGGATGGGTTGCGGCACCCTGAACTTGGTTAGTACGAATGCTAAAGGCCAAACGGCAGAGTGCTGCTTACCCTAGACCGTCTCGAAAGGGTAGGCAAGGTGAACATGCCCGAATGCCTCGAGGCAGATGGCGAGTGGGAACTGGTAGAATGTCTTACAAAAGATTGTCTTGCGGGCGACAGAGCCCATCTGCTCGAACTTGGCGACGCGGCCGTACTGCCTGATCATCCTGGGCACACGTATGTCGAGGTAACCGAGCATGTTGTCCCGGAAGTAGTCTTCCTGGCCGCCGATGAAGACGTTTAGCTGTGCCAGGTCACGCTCGACGGTGTCGCAGTCGTGTGTCAGTCGAATCATGGCGAGCAGCATTTCGTTGCTGCCGCAATGGGACACCACGAGGGTGCCCTGGAAGCCGCGCTTGGCAGCGTCGTCCGGGTGTGGCTTCGATGGAAGACGAGCGGGCGTGCCTTTCTTGCCCATCACCTGCTTCGCGTTGACGTCGAGCAGCTCGGGGCGGTACCCAATGCGGAAGGTCGACATCTTGCTGTTACCCCATTTCTTCTCCGCGGTGTTGATGACGTTCAGCGCGGAAGCAAGCTCGTAAGCTGCGCTGGAGCCTTGCAAGCCGCTGACAATAGAGCGGTTCTTGTTTGGGGGGCAGGAGTGGCGGAGACGGGTCAAGGAGCAGTCGGCATTACTTAATCTCACTGGCCTCGAAGGCAATAAGGTTTTCGATGCGATTGTCGCACTTTGCCGCCATTAGAGCCGAATAATGCTAGCTGTGGTGGGTGGCTTGTTGGTACTGCACACCGCAATGTGGTGCAGCGCTTGTTGGTGGTGCTCTTCGTTCTATGCATAGCTCGGCAGTGTGCGATGACGGTGGGAGATGCGAGCCATAAATGTGCCAAGAAGTGTGCTTAAGATCGTGTTTGCATGTGTTCACGGACGTTCGCGACTGTGAGTGAGGTCACAGAAAGAGGGCCCGAGCGGGTTGTGGGCGGGACCATTCCCAGGACGGTAAATCTCGACATCACCCGGCGACGCTGTGAATGTGCATAGCCATCTTCATTTCGTGATCGCAATACAGCTCATATATTTCGTGCTATGTCTGGCCGCCAAGATGTCGCTCCGGCAACGCCTGTGTCTGTACGAGCGACACACGGTCGCACTCTGCAAAAGAACTGCCTCAACAACGCACCCGTTACCGCCGCTCCAACTTTGCTCCTCGTGCCTCGCGCAGCAACCTGTTATCCAAACTCGCGCTTGTACTAGTGTACGCAGAGTCGCCGCTCTACCCAGACGCCGGAGTCGACCAACGCTGCTCGCCCTGCTGCTCACCCTGCTGCTCCCGCATCTTCGATATCGTTCTCGAAGAGGCAGCTTTTATGATTTCGCGGGTGCCCGTAGCGCGCTGAACTTTGGTCAGGTGACCCATGAGCTTCCTGGTCCCGTCTATTCCATCAAAGCTGACCCGTATCTCATCGAAAGTCCGCACGTTAAGGAGGTCTCTATAGACTGAACCCCTTCCGTAGAGGTAAGTTTGCGGTTGAGTGGAGCTACACGACTGGCTGGATGAGGCAGGTCGAAAGGAGGAAGCTTTCCCGCTGTTGTAGATAAGTGCTATTTGTGGGTGGTGCTGGTTGATGTCTTTGTTAATGTCTGCAGATTTAAAGTCTGCTTATAGAGGGGGCGAAGTAGTGGTGTTGACGTAGGTCCCGAGGTTCGTACTAGTGTTTTAGGATATCTCACTCGCTTACTCTGTGAAGCAGTTCCTCGCGCCTTCCATTACAATCGTCACGCGCTACCGGCAAAATACGGCTTGACGTACACGTACCCCAACCAATGCTGCATCTGTTCGTAGGTAGTAGCCTTAAGCAAGCACGACCTTTTTTTCTTCCAACGACAGGAAGTGCATTTTCCTCGGACCATCATCGTCCCTTGCCAGGAGGAATTTGTTTATATTCCTCTTCCGTCAACACCTCTGCAATCATGTTAATGCGGGTTTATAAGCAGTTCTAAAACAGCGTCGAGGTTGCTGCCTACGACTACATTAGCACGTAAAGGGTATGGCTTAGCATGTCTGAAGACTGCTAATCCTTCTAGGCTCGCTCCACTCTCGCCGTGAGATTATGCAGCCGCGGCTGAACTCCTTCTACGAGTCGAAGTACGATGTAGACGATGCCAAAGATCATCTTTGCCAAGTCGCTAGGATGGCGGACTTCGATCTCAAACTTTTCCAACCCCACCGGACGATGTTGCAAGACTTTGTCGGTCGCAATAGCTACTACAGCGATGACTGCATCTCCCCATTCATTAGCATCTCTCTGATCTATTGCTACGGCAAAGCGGATAAACAAGTGCTACACAAAGCGCTGTAACACTCCTCTAACCAGGAGTCTCTAACTTACATGAAGTCGCTTCGTCGCTGGCAAAACGCGGACATACTACAGACGAGGAAGACGCTGAATGATGCTGTGGTCAACTCTGTCAATCGCGGCGGTGGCTTTTCCAAATGGATGACATCGAGCGCTACTGACCGAAGAGCCGTGTAGGCAAAAGACTACGACGAATTCGCGCCCTGGATCGATCTGAGGGCGTTTCACAAAGAAGCAAAGGCCATCAACTTCGAGATGCTGCATGCCCACAAGCATAAAGGTTGTCTCCACATCACAATCTGCTTAGCGCACCTTCTCCTCAGATCACTTATCTTCTCGCAGACCCCCAAATAAACGCTCTCGCCGAAAGAAACAGGATCATTGTGTTTGAGATGATAGAAGCAGAGTAAGTGCTGCGCTGTCGTTGCGTTATTTCTATGCAAGGAATGCTGACGTATGGTAGATAGAGCTATGTAGTGTCTTGCCGAAAGCAGTGTATCAACTGGCTACCTTGTTCGGTGTGACTTTCGGTTCACAATCATCCTGACATCCAAAGACTCGACTCCTAAGTGATGTCATGAACGCGCACGGGGTATCGCTAACTGTGCGCAGCCCGATATTCACCGACCTGCCTAGCGTACCAGATCACGTTGCTAGCGCGCGTCGTCGTAGACCAGGGATCGGTCGGTACGTCGATTTTAATAGGGGCTCGTCGGATAGTGCTGTTGCGGAGAGACAGGACGTTATCTACAAGTACGGATCGTAGCTGGAGTTGACGGCGAGAGCGAGGTAGGGAGTTGTCAAACAGTACCGGCATCGGGCAACATATACTGCTTGCATCGTCAATGCAAAGAGGTGGGCGTTGTATAAGCCATATTCCCACAACAGTAAGCCTTTTCGAGTCGCATCTTAAGAGGCTTCCTTGTACGTAAAATTGAAGGCTAGAGTACGGGACAGCGGCCTTACCCAGCGCTGCATATGTTGGGTGCGTCAAAAGCATACATCCGTATGCAGCGTGCTCGCCATCCTAGAGGTTTGCACTCTGCGGGCGGACCATCTCACCCAAACATATAGTGACCGCCCCACCATAGCCCATGCCACCAGCCACCTTTCAGCGACCGAACACCTCAATAAGCATGAACTTCAACAAGAAGCTTTGCTTAGCTTTCTTCTTCGGGAAAACCTTGCCGGGCGTGGTCTTGATATACTTCCTCAGCGCCGCCTGCGAAAGGAACAGCTTGAATGGCGGCCCGCCATCCTGCGCAGCGACAAAGTCGACCAGGTTGACGTGGATGCCCTTCAGAGCCTGTGAGGACACATCGGTCAGTCTCGTCGCCATTGAAGCGGAACCCACGCATTTAGGCCTCGCTACGCACCTTCTTACACTTGGTGATGGACGGCTGCGGCGACACGCCTAGATCTTCGCAAAACTTCTGCCACGCGGCGAGCTTGCCCTCATCCTGACCGTAGGTGCTGACGAAGTGATTGACCACTTCGACGGCACTTGTCTTCTTGCGCGTGACGACCGGCTCATATATGACTTGGTCTCCGTCGCTCTGCTGAGACGGCGGCGTGAGGGTGGTCGTAGTACTCTCCGCGGTATGTTCGGTGATGTCAACCAGAGAGAGGCGGGCGAGCGCTGATTCAAGCAGACTGGGCTGACTGGCGGGCTCGGTGTTGGAAGTGACGGCGACGCCACCGCTTTGCTGGGTGCACACTATCTTTTTGGTCATGGCTAAGCTGTGATAGATGTGAGGCGAAGCGATGTCGATGTAGATTTGTTCGGTGTTTGTCACAAGTCGAAATGGCGAAGTGCTTCCGGAGACTTGGCCGTGACGTGACGCTAGGCGTGTTTAACGGATAGCAAGCTGCATGTGAAAGGCTGCTGTGGCGCACCCAGCTCGGATGAGGTGAATGATACCTACTTCGGCGATGGCCCTCTTACTTAGTACGGTCGACTTACAAATGAAGGGTGTCTGTCCATTATGCTCCCTGCCTCTCCCGCCCACCCAGTGCGCAGCCGCGAACCGTCTCTCCGGATCCCGGCATCTCTGCAAAGGGTCCGATGAAGGTATAGTAGACGCAGGGCAACTGCTGGCCTTTTCCATACACCACAAGTGCCTCACCAGACTCAGTCCCTATTGGATTAAGTCTGCACTGTTGCGGGAGAATCGTGATCCAGTGCTGCAGTCCCCTAATCCAAACCTTACAGATACCAAGTTCGGGAGCTCGACAGTGTCGAATGCTCCAGCACGGCGCTGAAACTGCGAGGCGTTTGTTCGTCTGTCTGTTCGCTTGCAAACATGCAGGGAGGCATTACGATGTCTCGGAAGACTGCAGGTGAGTATTCCAGTGAAGGTGAAAACGTGTAAAATATGGACATCGTCGAATACGGTTGCGACGCTCCTACACATCTTTTGCATGAGAAGAGACGCTGCTTATCTGTGTCTTCCTGGACCCATCCCTAAGCGTCCTTTCATGCACGGTCAGCAACAATACATATAAAGTGTCCATCATCGCCACGACCGGCAACATTGGATTCCAGGCACACTCCCGATGTCTTAACCAATAAGTTCGTCAGAGTACGAAGACCAATGCGAGAATCCGCCGAGTGTTGCGGGAGAATAGCAGCATACAAAAGGCATGATGTGTAGTCGCAAAAATCGGGGCTGACAATGGCAAAGGTCAACGGAATGCAACGACTTTCGACATTCACCATGCGCGCTACCGCTAATGGAAACGTTCTGAACGACGTAGACGGTTCAATCTCAGGACGTTCGAAGTCACGCCCATCCGATAGACATGCCGGAGCGGTACGTGTCGGTCTAAGGGCAAGCCATGATCTCGCAGACTCCTTAGATAGGGTGCTCAAAGAGACTGTACGGTAAGCATTATACTACATTCTAGAAACGAACATGATGTGCGTGAAAGAGTAGTAGCAAGCGCTCTCATAATCTGCTTTTCACACTTGTGTCCGTCACCATCACGAGTAGTTGCAATGAACGAAGTCGTCAATATCCAACACGGTCTGCGCCGTCGCCACGCTCGCGTCCGCAATGCCAAACGTAATGTTCTTGAGCAGGCTGAACGTGCTCGGCAATTGAGCGAAGGTCAACGGATTCCCTATCTCCATGGTAGGGGCGAATGCGAAAGTTGCCACTGGCACCTGTTGCCCGTATATGGTAAAGGCCGTCACGGAGATTGTGCAGCCAGAGGAGATGGTGGCAGCAGCTTGCTCGAGGTCTACCACGCAGCCAAAGAAGAAGGACTTTGCATCGAAGGCTTTTGTGCCTGGAGCGAGGGTCATGCTGCCGAAGGGGTTGAGCGTGACGACTCCGAGCTGGACAAGGTCGCCTTCCATCGCCGCGGCGGCGACGTTGGGCTTGGAGTGCGCTATGACACCGTTCGTAGGTTGGGACGTCTAAGCTGGGATTAGATGAAAAGTGCATTGGGAGATCGTTGAACAACTTGCCGCTACTTGCCAGGCTTCGTAAGTGAGGCCGTTGTATAGTGTTATAGGGTTGAGTTGTGGTAACGTTCCTGTGAGGACGGCGATATTGTCGTACTGCGCGATAACATGTCAGTGCTGAGGACGTCGCGAATGACGGCGGGCCACTCACAGTGTCATCGTATGACTTGCAGCTGCTGTAGATGCCATTCCGCTCGCCGAGAGATGCGCCAGAGACGTAGGCGGCGAATAAAGCTGTGAGGACGCTAAAGGTTCTTGCCATCGTGAAGTTAGGTATTGGTGCTGTACTGCGAGCGAAAGAGAATGGTAAGATCTTTGATGCACAAGATCAAGGAATGAGGGAGCAATCAACTGGAGTACGTGAAACGAGGCCATTACTTATTACCTTCGTGGAGCACGCCGCTGACGGCACCTTTCTTCCTATCTGATAGCCGAGCATGACACAGCGTGCCGTTTCTGAGTATTAGTGCGATTGCACTGGGGAGCAGGGCGGTTTACCAGGCCCCTGAGTTGCACCGCAGGGCAGTTCGGCGTGATGTGCCGATCATGTACTGATCAGGCTCACGAGATTTTGTCTAATGCAGGCTAGCATCACGCTCACCTGCCCCAGTTCTAGTAGTGTGACCAGCTGTGGCGCTATGGCGCCTTGCAGGAAGTGCAGCGGATGGCATACAGTACTTGCATGCATTGGCCGACATCAAAAACACCTATGCCTTGCATTAGCTCGTCTGCGGTCACTTATAGCTTATACTTCTACTCAGCTGAGCTCATGATTCGTTCCTAGAGCAATGTGGTGTTAGCATCGGAGACAGTGGAAGTGAGCTTTGCACTGTGTGTATTTTCCTCATTAGTCTAGGCAGAGAAGACACTCTACTCGCATTTGTAGTATGAATGACGAGAGGCGCGAGCGTCTATTTCTCTTGCTATCTGTCTGTAGGGTTTCGATCGGTCGAGGCCAAGGTGCTTATAACACTTTTGTTTCTTCGTTCGCACAAATCACTCGGACGCGTGGTGAAGTCGTAGGTTAGTTTGTTGATCTTGTCGCGAGGCCCGATTGCCAGGTAAAGCTGGAAGGGTATGCAGCATGCAAGGCGGAAACTACTGCACGAACGCCATCCGCCTGATCCCGCAGACCTGTCGATCTTCGATGATCCCAGTAAAGCCGCATCGATCCGCGTATCCGCGTAACCGAATGCATCAAAGGCACAATGCGGTAACATGCCTCTGATGACATGGGAACAAATCAATCTTGTAAGTTACCAATGCGAGACAATGCATGCAGTGAAAACACACTCTCCGGCCCACGCTCAGACTTGACTCCGCGACGCCGCGCTAATGGTGGAGCCACGTGTATCGTCCTCCGCACAAACATATCGTGTTGCAAAGCCCAGACGGAGCGCACTAGGTCAATGCTACTCCGTCCCTTCTGTCATTCTTAACTTCCCATCCTTGCCACCGTCGGACCGGACTACCGTCGTGCCGGCCGCCCGAAAGCGACCGCTAAATTCACAGCTAGGGCAAGTACTCATTGCATGAGAGGACTGCGAACTATACGTCAGCCAGCGTACGCCACACAGGCCAGATCACAACCCTTTTCATCACTTTCATCACTGCCAAGCCTTTCAGCCATGACTTACCCCAAATAGTCCTCCCGTATGCTGCCAATGGCATACATCTGCCCCATCTCCGCCCGGATGCCCTTGATTCTGAGTCTCACTTGCGTGCCTCGCTCAATCGTCTGGTCCACATTGTCCGTATATGACGGCGCAGAGCCCTCGACAGAGAACTTGAGTTGTGGCGGAATTAACTATAATCGTGCGGTGGCAAGGGTTAGTCAGGTGTGAGCTCGTCGCAGGATTCTCCTGTTATAGTCACAAGTTGCCTTGCGATGCAGCGTAACAAGGATGTACTTACAGCTTTGGAAACGAAGACGGCAAGTCCACCCACATCCACAAAGAATCCTCCACTAATCACGCTACTCACCAATCCATCCACTACCTCGCCCCGGAACGGCCTCCAGACGATCGCGCGAAACGAGACGTCATACTGCGCCAGCCCGCTGCCTGGCACCACCTTCGGTTCACTGACATCTTCAATATCGATAATGGCAATGATTAGCATAGTGCCTGTGTTTTTGCCTTCTTGTTCGCGGTAAAGCTGCTCCTCGATGTAGGCCTGAGATTGGGCGGAGAAATAGGAAGGGTGGAGTGTGAGGCGGTGTTCGAGTGTTTTGACGAAGAACATCTTGTCCTATCTTACGCTTGCCTGAACCTTGGGCTGGACCCGGCCGTAGTGGTGACGATATGAGATGAGCGGGCCTGGAAGTCGACGGGAGCGCAAAACAGGCCTATGTGGATTAGAGGATAATAGAGTCGACTGGGTAGTCCTGTGGCCGTAGTTGTCACGCTTGTCACCAGGCCAGCCTTTCTGTGCCCCACGCTGCACAACTCGCCACGCCTGAGATCGGCGCCTCGGTTGCTCACCTGCACACTCAGCCTCACTCCCTCACCCTGACGCTTCCGCTCCCTCGCTCTCCCTCGCGGCCTTGACTGCTCACTTCCTCCAACTGAAGCCCAGTGGCTTACGATCGTTCAGTCGCTGACCCCTCGAAGCGTGATACGTCAGGATAGATATGCACGCCGGCGGAGAGTCGAGGAGTGGAAGCCCTTCAGAAGATGCCAAAGGGTCGACAGGGAAGAGCAAGGAAGGCACACGACCTTCATGTCTGTGAGTGAAGAAGTGCGCCGGAAAGCTTCCGCCGCTAGATCGGCGGGGCTTGGCGTGGACAACATGTCACGTGGCTGCACTTCACATCTCTCAGCACGACTTGAACGGCTACAGCATCGCTCTGCGTTCAGAAGTTGGCGGGCAAGGTATATGACGATGTCTCAAGGTGCGATGGTTGAGAGTCATAACAACCACGACTAACAGTGTCGGGCCGGGTGGTCATAGCGCTGATTGACCCAAGCATCCTGAACAGCGTGAAGCTATCGTCGAGCAGCGTATCCACGCTCCGCCATGACTGTCCGTCGTACAATCATTGGCAGAGCACTGTATGGTTCAAACCGACTATAGAAGCTCTCCTGCAAGCGGCGTTTCTCCGGCGATACTGCTTACAGGTCTACGTGGCGGGACTCGGAGAGTAAGTGACGTTGACGAACCCTCTTTTTCATTGGTACCTGTCGATCATCAAGACACTACACAATATCTCTACCTCTCCCAAACCCACCACAATCACCCATTTATACCTTATACTCTGCCACCAATTCAACTCTCCATACCTTACTCGACTTTCATTTACCTCACCATGCCCAGCAGCAAGACTCCGTAGGTTGCCCTCCTGCCATCATGTTCACTCTCGCGTTCACTAAAACACACCGATCCAGAGGCGGCCAAGCGGCCAGCGCGAAGTTTCAGAAACAACAAGCCCAGAAGGAAGGCCTCGGAGCCGACAACGCCCCAGGCCACACTACAGGCGTCGCAGACACACCGGGCAAAGCAGCCGTAGCCTCGGATTCCGGCTCGACCAATGTGGGTGTTGAAGCAGGTACGAACCAGCCTGGCGAGAAGGGCATAACCGGAAAGCCGGTGGACAGCGCGTTGAGCCAGGGTGGTGGGGCGAATATGTCGCAATAGTCGGCACGCATGGTTGACACGACGTAGTGGTTGTTGCTTGCAGATGCCCAGAAGCCGGTGCAAACCACTTTCAGTGTACCGTCGATAGGATCGGTACTACACAATCGGCAAGTTTCTGCCTCGAAGCCGACATCCTCAGAACAGCGCCGAGATTGGGTTGCGAATCTCACACACTCCCCTCGATCGGCAGCTTTGCCCTCTACCCACAGGTTCATTGATGACTTGCAAGTGTGGTCCAATACCATAATACGACCCGCGGCAACCCTCTTTGCTCCGCCATTGGGCGCGTGTGACATGACAATGTCAGTCTTGCGCGTGCCTTCTACTTGAGTTCCATGCGCCGCAGTCCAAGTATGAAGGACATGCTTGGAATGACAATGCTTCATGCTCCAGTGTTCGAGCCACAGCCAGCGAAACATACGCCATGAGAAAGCTGCGTGGCGTGACCTGCCGAGATCCTCATATCTGCGGTTACTTTGATATTGTGTTGCAGCTGTGATCTTCTTCAGCGTCGCAAGCGGCCGCATTTGCGAGAAGCGGCGAAGCAGCAGCAGAGCCGTCCTGCCACTCTGTCGACGTGTGTCGTTCGGCCTCAAGATGCAACAGTATACCAGCAAGGCCATCCTCCATCTGCAGCTTGCCCACTGTCGCAGGCGCAGATTGTAGATCCATTTTCTCATGCCTTGCATATCTCTTCCTCATCGATAACTCGTTCAAACCAGTCTTTCACACCATCACAAGGTGCCACATTCACATGTTCACCCTCTCAAGTCATCTCTCCATAAGGCCTTCCGCCCACACTCTCCGGCGCATACCGCCCCTGTGCTTCTTGCACCCTTGTTCCGTTCTTCTCATAGGTCAAACCATTCGCGTCTTGCTTCACCCTTGATCGTGGCGTCCTGGCGCGGCGAAGTAGGAAGAAGGCCAAGGCTGCGAGGAGAGCGACGCCGGCAACTGAGCCAACCACTATACCTGCGATAGCGCCTCCGGATAGGGAGGAGGTGGAGGAATGGGAGGCCGCCGCAGTGGGAGATGCAGACGCTGCTGGAGCGCTTGAGCTTGAGCTTGAGCTTGAGCTTGAGCTTGAGCTTACGCCTGCTGGAGAGCTCGAGGTTGCGAACGTCGAAGATGCAGAGCTCGGCGCCGGTATTGGTGAGGTCGTAGTAGGTGCGCCAGAGCTATTGGAGCTCACAGGCGCGGGCGAAGCCGCAGGAGCAGACGAGCTCGTCAATATCGCGCTCGATGTTGAGCTCAGTGTAGAGCTACTGCCCACTCGTGAAGGCGAAGAGATGGCTGCACTGCTCGGCGCAGTACTCGTCGCACTTGCCGTACTACTCCCCGTCGAGCTCGTAGTGGCTGGCGCACTGGAGCCGGTGGTCGGACTTCCAGCAGCAGCCGCACCCAACGTCACATACCCACCCCCACTTACAAACGTAAGCGGTAGCGTAACCGTCGCCGTTTCTGGCACGCCGCTAAACGTATTGACGAGCGTATAGACGTCCGTCTCAATGCTGCCCGGTGCGCCGTACTTGAGCGCCGTGTAGGTGAGGGTCGTGAGTGGGCGGCCCGAGGCGGAGAAGGTGACGGGGTAGAGGACCGTTTCCGAGACGATATTCGTGGTCATGTTGTCAATTTACGATCGACAACGAAGCGCGAGGGGGCGTTGGTTCCCAAGCACGAGCGTGCCGGACGAGAGAATAGGTAGGAACGACAGGTGGGTAGCGCAACGCGATATCAACGGCCGCAAGGAAAGAACAAGAAACAATGAACAGCGAAGGTCAATGGAAGAGTAGGAAAGTGAGGTATGCCCAAGTTTACCGTTATACATAGCAACATCAGCTACCGTAAGGCGACCAACAAATCAAATTCACCGCAGCCAACCACGACATGCCCACATTCGGATGGTTTGATGTGCGTCGGGAACGCGATGGCCGGGGTGGCTGACAGCGCGCTCAATGCATGTAATTTCCGAGGCGCACGAGCAGGCACGTCGACGTGTTGCTCGGCCCTCATGACTTCCCTTAACCGTGAAATTGTATATTCTTAGTTGGGTGAGGCAAGATCGCTCTGGCGAGAGAGGAAGGTGAAAATGGTAAGATCCGTGTGTTAGTGTCGTGCAGAATGCAGTTACCTAGTAATTGAAGCACAGCATTTCGACGAAGGTCACAAACCTCGGCCAACATTTCCCCGAGGCTTCGCAGCCCGTCCGCTTGCCGATCGGGTCGGACGACAACTCGTGAGCAAGCGGCTTTGTCCTCTAACCCAACCATTGCACCGAGATTTATGGAATAGATAACAAGCTCTCCCACGCAGGGTGAAGCTAACGATACAATAGCGAGCAAGAAACACGCTTACCTTCAGACCCACCCTTTCCGCTCAGCCCTCTCAGCCTCTTTCCGCCGCCGCCTTTGGTCTTTCGCCTCCCTGATATCTGCAGTGTAGAAGTCATCGGCCTCCACAGTCCGGTACTCATCATCATCGTCAAGCGACAATCCGCCGACAATCGTACTTAGCCGGCTGCTGGCCAACTGCGCCCTATCCTCCATTTCCATGCGCCGCTGCTCCCTTGCAATGACCTCTTCACCCCTCTCCTGGAGTGAGCTATGCCTTCTCGTGGGTGGCCGTTCCTGATGTACTGTGACCGTGGTCGGGTACGCTGTTGTTCGCGATAGTCTTGGCGACAGCGGAGACGTGCTGTCTGATGCAAAGTCCAGTATCGGGCTTATCGGACTGCCCCGTGCAGCACGGCGCCGAGCCCTTGCTTCAGCATCTTGCCTCAGGCGATCATATGCCCGCTCGTCGTGTCGTCTCCGCGCTTCATTCTCCTCGCGCTCACGATCAACTTGTGCCCACTCCGCCTTGAGATCAGCCATGCGTTCGGCGTCTTTACGTTCCCGCGATCGCTGCTGTTCGTCCCTGGCACGACCACCCTCTAAGGCGGCGGCGGCTTCCGCGCGATGTCGTTCACGGGAGGCACTATCATCCCTGGCTTGCTGACGTCGCTCAGTCTCTGCCAGCCTCTCCCGTTCCAGTCGAGCCTGCTGCATTTCGTTCTCTGCCAATCGACGTCTACGGTCATCCTCGTCACTGTTATGACGTGATGGCGGTTTCGGAACCTCACTGCCTGAGTCACGACGGCGTGTACTCAGCCTCGGCGGCTTGCTAAGACCTGGAGATGACGTAGTCGGAGACGAAGCCAGAGGTGGTTGCATGGAAGTCCGAATTCTTATACTTGGACGACGACCTGGCTCGATTGGCTGAAGTGGTGCGCCATTGTCTAGCACAGCCGTCGTGCTCGATATGGAAGAACGTCGAGACATGCTGGGTTGCACAATCCTAGTCCGGCGCTCGTTGTTGGCAGCTCTAGGTAGCTCCATCGATGGCACTCTGTCGTAGATTGCTGTGCCATTAGGTGCCACTGTCCGGTCACCCCTTGCGTCAGGATGACTCAGATTCTCCGGTCGACGAATGCTTGTTATTGGGGGCGGAGAAGGTGCTTCTGGCATGATCTCACCATACCTGTAGGGTGATGTCGACGACGATGGCGATGGATCGTTGCTGGTAGTCCGCCAATGACCAGCGTCACTTCTTCGACTATGGTGCCGCTTAGTCTTCTTCTTAGAGAGGTCGCGATAGACAGTCTTTCGACCGCTGGTGCCTTGCGTGATGAGTATGGCGTCCTCGGCTGATCGGTCTAGAGACGGACGGTGTTCAACCAGAGTGGCTTGCTCGGTGTGACGTATCTTGACACGGCTACATAGTCGGCTCCCAACAGCATGAGAGCAGGGATGCGATGTCTCAACGACCTCTCGACGATCGTCGCCGTGGTCATAGGTCCTCTTCTCAATGACGCACATGGTTGTGTGCGTGAGAGGGGAGAAGTTGGGTAAATCCACTGAACGCTCGAACGATTGACTGTTCCCTGCTGATCTTAGGGGTCGATATGCTTGGCGCTGGCGTCCAGGATATCAGGAACGATGGTCGGTGATGGCAAGTCGGTGACAAGACAGTGTTGGTGTTGACTCCCAGAAGAACCAGATGTAAGATGTGTAAGGAAGAGAGAGTGATCAAGCAGAGGGCGTGTGTGGGGGTCCGGGAGCGCTAGGGGCCGCCTGTCGGGTGATGTGAAGTGCGGGTCGAACGAGGCAGATGCTGTGAGAGGGCTCCCTCTGCGAACACTTGTTCGGTATGACAGGGCGGTAATAGGGAAAGACAATGACCAAGCAAGCGAAAGTGAGAGGGACAGAAAGGTGCATGATGCATGCAGGCTGCAGGACGTTTAAGAAAGGTACCATCTTGGGGCCTGGTTGACTCCAAAGGACCTGACGTCGGAGCTTTGTGACCCGCATACTGAGAGGCCACCCATGGGACGGATCGTGGCGTAAGGTAAGGTTACGCGGAATGTCTGGGAGAGATGGAATTAGAGATGGTGCTGCACCGCCATACGTGCAGAGTCCAAGCTGAAAGGCTTGATTACGGTAGTTCTGTGACAGCGTCACTGCAGTCAGGAAAGAATGCCATTGTTTCAGATCGATCATGCAGACATGCCAATCAGAAGGTTGCACCGCCATGCATATGGTGGTCAAGCGCTCCAGGCGACCTCATTCTGAGGAAGACCCTGTGTTGGTTCAAGGGTGCGTGTGCGGTCAACGTCACCTGCCCCGGCACGCTCATGTCGGCCACATTGCCATCTCAGCTGTGTAAGCTTGTGATGCCGAAGGGCGCCGATAGACGTGCCGAAGTGCTTGAGGGCGATGGTGGAAGATCATGTGTGGTGGTGCTGCGGGAAATAGACATGGAGGCGCTGCCCCATTGAGTGGCTGAGGCCGGATCCACTATCCCCAACACGGTATGGAGGCACGACCCCTGTGCAAACGGTCACTGGCAAACTCTCCGTTTCGCTGGCCTTGTAGATGCAAGCACGACATCTTCGACCGCATCTTTCCCCCGCCTCAATTCATCCTGACTTACGATTGTAGCGGTGTGTCGAGCACGCTATGGCGCGATGAGAGAAGGCCATGCATACGGAGTGACTGCTGCTGGAGGCAATCGAAGACCCACGACGCTGTTCCCACGACGCGAGCAATGACCAGCCTGAGGCGCAACAGCAAGCGCACGGGCTGTTGGTTCTTCTTCTCCCAGCGAACCACGGCTGGATTCCGTCGACATATGTGGCTCAAACATGCTGCTGACACTCACGGTCAAGGGATCACCAAGGCTCATGCCGCGCTGCATGTCCTACGCTTCATCCCTGTCCAGCTGGATAGATTAGATGAGCGGTGATATCCGCGTAAGGCCTCCCATCAGTACACAGATTTGATCCTCTTGCCACATTGGACGCTACGAAAGCTTACCTCATCCTTACTCAGCCTGCCAGCATAGAACGGCGGCGATACTGAAAGGCTCGCTCTAAGCAGCCGAGGCTTGCTATAGAGAAAGTGCGTCCCATTGTTCACAGTGGTGTACAGCCATCGATCTGAACGGGGAGTATGACAGGGACGTATGCTCATCGTAAGACCGTCATAGACGCTGTGCTGACATTTCAACGACCGGACCTCGACTGATTGACTAGTGACTACCGATTAGTGAGTGTAACGATTCAGTAGCAATGCATAGCGACTCCTCAGCAGCTTCACTACCGTAGGATCGCATCAGACGACGCAGCCGGCGCCATTTCCGTGACAGCTGGGTCCTGCCTCCGCTCCCATGGGCCCTTGTTCGCATAGCCTACCCCATCCATTTGCGTAACCAGCGAGTCTACTAGTCTCTGCAGAAAGCCAGCATCTCTGCAATCCGCATACTCCACCTTCACCTCCCACCACAACCTGTGCTCGTCCATCATCTCTTGCCTTGACGGACATGTCGCTTGCAGATTCGCCACTGGGTGATCCATAGACTGCAAAATCAAGTCTTGTACTTCGGTAACGATGACCTTGGCTCTTTCGTGCGTGACTCGAATGTAATCCCGCTTCGCGAGCGCCTTTTCGACACTGAATCTGTGCTGTGGCACCCCCGCATAGAACGAAGGCGCTTCCTCAGTGGTTGTGATCGACTTAACGAACTGCTGGAACGCAGGGTCTACGTTGTTGTCGTTCTCCAAAGCTCTGACTTCATATCGAGCATCCCACACGCGAAAAGGGTAGTGAACGAACGCGGTACCATAGACTTGATCGTCGCAGGCAGGCAGTAGACACTTTTCCGCGCCGCAGCGCTTTATATGCATGTGTCCGTCGACACCGCGAACGTGGAACTCGTAGGATGCATGAGCCTCGAGCGGTGATGCTGCACTGACCATACCGAGGACATGCCACGCATCGCTGGTTGCGGTGGTAAGTCTTGGCAAGAACTGGACGTTCTTAATCACCTCCGCTTCAAGCCTACTTGCTGTGAATGCAGCTTTGCGCTTCGATTTATCAGTATGCGTAAACAGGATCAGTCCGACTTGGGCCACGACACAAGCACGATGGTGAGTGAACAGGAGGCGGTCGATGAAAGCCTGCAATTCGCTCACTGTGGCTGACTGCTCGTGCGCAGCATTCGCTTCAGTTGTGATGCTGGTTGATGCAGGCGTCTGCTCATCAACAGCGTCTGGCCCACAAGTGGTCGTGACTGGTCCAGCATCCACAGCTAACTTGTTGGTAGCCGATGGCTTGTCCTTGTTATCACTCTGCAAAGGTCCGAAGGTATCCCTCGACACAGTTTTGCGGCGAGAACGCTGCTGCACTGGTGGGTGCGAAGACGGTTGTACATGCTGCTTGACAATCAAAAGGCTCCTCGACGACACATCCTTGCGCTCCAGTAGTGGCTCCGGCAATGGGAGCTCGGCTTTGAAGGCTGCTTTCGGTACTGTGGCAGCCTTGCCCTTGCCTTTTTTCAGTGCCCTTTGGCGCATCGTGATTCGTACTGGACTGGACTCCACACCTGGCGCTTGCAACCGCTCTACCACGTCATTGATACTGGGCTCAACATACAAGAGTTGCTGCGAGGTGCTGACGGACACAGTCGGGCGAAGCGGCTTTCGCGTCAGTCCTGGTGGTGGCATGATCTGACTACGTCTTAGTACCGGGAACTCTTCGTTCTCATCGATGTCGATCAAGGTGGCAGTGGGCTGCGCATAAGCTGGCGTGGGGTGGTCGGCAGTGACACTATCAGCGCCTTTGCTGTGTGAAGGCGGCGGTGCAAGTCCAGGAGGCAGTCGGATTAAGGGCATCGAAGGCGGAGCCAAGTCGTCGATCAGTCTATCTTGTGGTGCCGAGCTCTGTACGATCCAGTGCTCCCAGGGAGCAGTTTCGTTTTGCAAATGGTAGCCTGCTGGACTCCGGACGGTAGCCGGGCCCTCGTAGTCTCTAGCAGCTTTGGAGCTACTTCCATGGAGGAGATGGATCGGAGGACCATCGGCCGTGGTGAGTGTTGTGGGCCTGCCCTTGTTCGTCGCAATCGGCAGTAGTGGGTTTATCGATGGGCGCTGCGCCAGCTGGACCTTTCCTTTCGGCTGCCTCTTCCTCGGCGGTGATGCCTGCAACTCCCATTCTGCCTGGCTACGCGCACTCGCAGTAAGACCAATGGTATCGACAATGGCGAATGCTTTGCCATAAGACATGAAGGTCCCGGCTTCGGAGTGTTCTTCGTCCGCACAAGCCTCGCTCAACACGATCGCGCTGTCTTGTCCACCGGGAACGTAGTCGGTCATGGAGGTGATCACAGCCAGAAGTAAGGGTGCCTGAGCACGCCCGCTAGCTGGCTGTGTCCTCTCCTTGTGCTGAGTTCCGAGCAGGCTGCTGAATGTCGTGGGTCCGGACCCCGGAGAAGGCTCAGCATCCAAGTCAATATCGTTCTCGCTGTCATCTTGAGCTTTCAGCAGTGAGCCAAATCCGGACGGACCAGGTTTCAGGGCATCGTCACTATCGTCGCTCATCTCGTCCTCCGCCTCACTCTCCGCTTGAAGCATGTTCGCACCCTTGGGCATACGGATACGGCCAGTGCCGGCATGCTCGTCCCGAGCCAGCAGCTTCCAGGTGTCTTTCGGCATAGATGGCGCCGCCTCTGGAGCTTCCGGGTCATACACCTCTGCCTGGCCCATCCCACCTAGCCATTGCTTGACATCGATGTTTTCGTAGCCTTTTTGGAAACGCCAGTGGCTTACTTTCGGCTCAGGCGCTTCTACAGCGACGTCACCCATGAGCGTCTGGAACGGCGCCATACTAAGCAAATCGGCCTCTTCTGTTTCATGCAAGTCGGGCAATTGCTCGCCGAGACGACCATTGAAGACAATCGAACAAGCACGTTGGCCTTCTGAGCGGACCGCACGACAAGTCAGACCAGATCTTACGGCTCTCTCAGTCTTCTTGTCGGCTGGCTGGCCTAAAACTCGTTCAAGAAGCGCTTCCGGCAAGTCCTCTAGTCTGAACAGCTTCATCTGCGGTGCTGCTGCTGCGCTTTCGGTATCAATGAGGTGCAAGACAGGTGGTGGTGCGATAGGCGTCGCCTGGGGTTTGATACTCGAGACCGGGACTGCAGTCTCATCTAAGCCCAGACCTTCCAGAGGTTGCGCTTCCAAGGTACTTTCAGGAAAGCGCACGATTTCCGGCGCCCGCTGCAACGAGTCAGCACGCTTTCAGCCAAGTATAGCCAGCCGACATACCTCGCGGCGCTCCGCATCTTTGAGCTCCTGATCCATATATTCCGAGACGATGTCCGCAAGCACTTCATCCGCATTGAAGCCGATGTTGCTAGGACATCGCAGCTCAAATAGCTAAGGAGCAATCAGCATGCACACTTCATTCAGGGCATATATCAACGTACCTGCAGCTCCGCGTCATACCAACACCTCGCAGCGGTATCATTCATACGGCTATGGAAGCGTGTGATCACAGTCTTCTGTGCGGCATCGCTGAAGGCGTACAGCGTTGTGTGGAAGTAATTAGCGTCCGCCATTTCGCCGTGGAAGCAGTGCGTGAGTTTGATACCGACGGTACGACAAGCCAGCCCTACCGCGGCGTCATCGTCATCGGCGAGCAACTATTTCTTGTTCCCTATGTCAGTCTAGCGCGAGTGCGATGGCTGCGGAAATCAAGAGTTCCTCAAGCACCTCACCGATGCGGTTAGCGATGTCTGGCGCGGCGGAGCGACAACGGTGGCGATGCGTATAGTCCAGTGGCTGAGGTTGACGCCATTTCTGTACGGGCTAGAAAGAAGGTGAACGGTTCCGGTGCGATCATGCGCAGAGCGACTTGGGGATAACGTCGTTGACTCCACTATGCACCTTTCGTGAAGTGTGGACAATGTTCCTGCCAGGAACGGACTTCCGGCATCTCCCGTTTCAACGGCGCCGAATGTGGAAGGAACGTTCAGCTCGACACGCGAGTGGTGTCTGGTTGCGGCTTAAGAAGGGCAGATGGAAGGTCTTGCGGCCCAGTGTGGATCCACGAGCTGATTGTCGGCTCAGACTCCCGCCAAGCAGTAGAGTTCGTCGACGACATCTTATCATACCTTCAGTCTGTACAATGTGTACAGTAGATTAACGGACAGAAACCTCCAGAGCGCCATTGCTATGCGTTATCCCAAATCACCACTCCCCAACTCTCCCCTCCCATCATGCTTCACACGGCAACGAGTCCCTTCTTGAGTCTTTACGCTCGCCACCGCCGGTGCTCTTATACACATTCATCACCCAACGCATCTGCTCTGCAAGCCTGACCATCTCCTCACTTCTCACTCGAAGCTGCTCACTCGACCCATCCGCTCTATTGATCGTCAATCGCATCGCATCCTCCAGCGCCTCCCATCTCTGCATCAGCTCAGCTTGAATTTTCCCACCCCTCTCACTCTCCTGCCGCATCTGCTCGTGCACAACATCCAACTTCGCCATACGTTGCCGATCAAGCTCGCGTTGCCGCCTCTCCCCCTTTAGATCACGCTCCCATTGATCCTTCCGCGTTAAGTACTCCGCCCTGAGCTGCTTGTGACTCGTCTCCCAAATCTCCGCGTTCACGGTAGCATGCTTCGTCTGCTCGACCAAACTCTGCATCTCCCGCGCGTGCTCTTCGCGGGCATCTTCCGCTTCCCGCCCTATATGCTTCGTCAACTCCTCAAGCTTCCTAAGCCTCTCATCCTTGACCGCACAATCATTCTTGAGCTCCTCAATCTTGCGGTCCCGCCGGCCAATAAGCGTCGAGTCCACACCCCTAGCATGGCTCAGGTTCTCATTCTCCTGCTTTAAAGCCTCCATCTGCGGCCGGTACATGCTCAGACTTTTCTCCAGCTCCAAAGCACGGAGGTTCGCAAGCTCCAACTCGCGCTTCAGCTTATCATTCTCTGCCATGAGCCTCTCAATGACCCGACCAGATTTTCCAGCAGTAGTCGCATGGCCGATCGCCGAGCTCCATTGGGCGGGAGACTCGTTCTCAGCGGATGCAGGCGAAGCCGACACAGTACCGGATACGCATGAGCTTGGCACATGTCCGTTTAGTGAAAGTCGGGAAGGCGTCATCTCGCCGCTTACTCTTCGTGATCCAGCGCCATGTGGTATCGGTTGCAGAAGACCCGGTTGCGGCGATGTGTCTCTGCCGTTCGTCTGCATTGGGTACGGACTCAGTCCGCTCATCTTCCGCAAAGTCGGCAGCTCTCCGAAGCGGAGATTTGGTGAGCCGGAGGGAGCTGCACAGAGTCGATAGCGTCAGCGACGATGACAGCTTCATGCATAGATGCGGGAACTGTGATGGCAGTTCCGAGTGCGGTCGTGAACAAAGAATGACCTTTCCAAAAGGCCAAGGCTTCAAAAGCGAGCACTTACCTGAAGCATCTTCCTTAACACCGTCGACCCTAATACGCCTAAGCACTTGCGGCGAGGATTGCGGACTGGAATTACGCGACTTCATTGTTGCCAAGGCGTACTGTCGACCTTCCTCCCTTTCAAGGCTTGTACGTTTGTTTCAGTAGCCGCTCCAAATGCAGGCGATCAACGCTCACTCAGCAAAGGAAATTGATATACATAAAGAAGGGGTAATTCGTGATCGATATAGATCAACACGATTGTACTTGCCATGTTACGCGCTGACAACGCAGCGACGGAGCCATTTACGGGCCGTATGCGTGGCCGAGGGGGCTGCAGCATGGTTCAAGGGATGAGTTAGGAAGCCGTTGTAGGGGCAACCGGGCTCCGCGCTCGGACCGTGTCTGCTGGCCAATGTACTATAAGCGACAACTGGCACATTTCCAGCGCTGTAACTTTCGAGCATAGGCCCTACTGATTCATTGCGCGGACACTGCAAGTACGCAGGCTTCCAACCGCTACAGTATTATATAGTTTGGCCGGTTATGTAGCATCAGTATCCCAGGACGCTGGCATCGCTATCCAACAATGGGTACGACGGCGCCGCAAGTCACTGCGACCCAAGCATTCGGCTTGACACAAAGCTCACGTATGCGCCGCTTCGTTGGGCGTGCGATTTGCCCCTGCTTGCCACTCGTTTACAGATCCGAAAAGGTTAGGGACAAGCAGGAGGCATACCCATCGGCCGTGGTATCGAGCACACGCATGCTGTGACCTCGCTTCGTTTCGTGCTCTACCGTATCCCATGTCAAGTGGTGAAGAGCATGGTGGTCGATATACGCTTGTGCGCGTCCTCCGCGCTTATCGCTAGTAACGCAGGATCTAGAAGATGATGTACGAGTTTCGTCGCGCCAATTATGCGGCGCTGCTCACCTCGCACTACCTGCGCTCTTTGCTGTGCTGATATGCGGTGCGTGGCCTGGTTGAACCGGTGCATCTGGGATGGGAATGTCTGAAAAGTCATCTTGGCCGATGGCGCGGAGGGTGTAGGTATCTACAACCTCGAGTCAGTCTTCCGTCTCGATTGTGTACAAAGGGACAAAGTCATCCGGTACGTACAGACGGCTGCAACGAAGCCGATGATGCACACACCAGTCAGGGCGTTCTTGACGAGGTAGGGTTGGCGGGCTCGATAGAGCGCTGCGCCGGGGCGGTTGCGGGCATCGTAGTAGGATGACTGCGGTATCCTACCCATCAGTCAGCGCGAGGAACAAACTGAACACGCTCACACATCTGCATACCGTCCGAGAGGCATCTTGGTGTGTCTTGTCCGCGATGGATGCTAAAACGAGCAGCTTCACATGCAATGCGCCTCCGACCCGCTGACATAACCCTCGAACGCCAAGAGACGCTTGCGCGAACCCTGTGTGACACGCGCTTGCTACTGAATGTAGCGCATGCCCATTGAATCCTCTCAACATGCCAAACAAACGCTGCCTCACGCACCATACGAAACGCCACAGCAACCTCCAGATCTCTCCTACAGCCATCAACGATGGGGAACGCGTTTTGCACGATTAGATAGCTGCTGTCTCTGCCTGCCTCGTGACCACATGCGAGGGTAGATTGCTTGGGATCAGCGTGCCTTCCTATCACGACAATGACTGACACGGGCCCCATACTGAAGTCGCTGAGTGATGCGCGCAGCATCGTTCTTGGCGACCCGTCGCAATACTCTGTCGTCGTGCAAGGCGTGCTGCCATTGATCGGCGCCAACAGCCCTCTAGAGTTGCGTCGATGGGGTGCAGACTTCCTTGCCGAGACGTTCGCCTCGCCCGTAGTCTCCGCAGAAGAGAAGCAGAAGCTATCATTGCTCATACTGGACACGCTGAGGGGCTACTTTAATCGCAAGGACGACCTGGGAGAGGAGGATGACTCGGCAGTGATTAAGAGTGCCGTCCAATGCGCTGCGAGTATATATCCGCTCATATTCCGCCACACCATCTCCAGTCCGAATGATAGCCCAGAAGTATGGAGGAAGATGGCGGGCATCAAGTCTGCCATCCTCCGGAGCATGGATACTGCAGCCGCTGGCGTACGGATATGCTGCGTCAAGTTCGTGTCTCGCGTTGTGCAAGTGCAGACACCTGGCTTGATTGCCGATCCCCGACGGCCGGAGCACAACGAGATCAGTTTGGCACTCGTGCCGCGAGATCATCCTGTATTGCAGCCGAGCCAGCTGGAAGCCGAGGCGTCAGGGCTCCTGGACAGGCTACTGGGCGTACTGCAGGACGATAGCGTGGAGGCTCTGAGTGTGACCGCCACGCTCAACAGTCTTTCCATATTAGTGCAGAGGCGGGCAAGCATCGCAACGAAGGTGTTACTGACCGTGCTCAACTACAACCCACTACGACTGGCCATGGCAGGTGTGGCGGCAATGTCAGGCAAGGACAGAATCGCTCTCAAGAGCATGACCCGGACGACCATATCTTTTCTGCTTAATGTGCTGAAGCGGAACCCCAATCACGCGCTAGCGGCACGTCTACAGCAACGGGTAGAGCAGCTTCGCCATAGTCTTGTCAGTGTCTACGCCGATTCAGGGTCTCACAAGCGACCGGCTCCGGACGAACCGACCGATGGCCTGGATAACAACAAACGCATTCGTGTCGACAGCGAAACCACAAATGGAACAACACCCATGCAGCAACACCCCCAGCCGACTGTCTGGCCTCCGCCTTTACCACCTGGTCCACTCAGCATCGCACAGCTTTTCACACTGAGTGCCGATCGTGCATCGATTGGCTTCCACGTCGAGCAGATACCGCAACCAATTGTGCAACAGCTTGTTCCGCCGCTGCTCAGAAGCATCGATCAGAAGAAGTTCAACGACGCTATCACCGCTATTCAGTATCGGCTGTTAAGCCTTGCGCAGCGACCGCCGGTGTCGGCATTGCAGGCGGCCCAGGCGGTCATGGGCGAGGACGAAGACGACGATTACGATCCCGAAGCCGGTCTCGGGACAGGCCGCGATCAGGTCATGAACCGTCTTGACCAGCTGCCACCAGAAAATCAGGTGGAGGAGGTGGCTTTGGCACCCTTTGAACTTGAGGCGAGCCCTCCCTTGAACGACTACGAACTCGAGCAGTATGGGAAGGTCGCAGTGCTTCGAGTGTTCGGTACCCTTGCCGAGCTTGACGGTGACATGAAGATGGGAAGAAGGGTGGACGAAGAGAGAAGCTTCAACAAGCTGGGGTTGGGCGGACATGGTCATGAAAGGGAAGGTTGGATCACGCTGTTGACTCGCTTGGCCACTCGCAGCACCTTTGATCTTGATGAGCGAAACAGCAGTATCAAGCAGGAAAACGACGACCGGACGGTGACTGCGAAGAATCATTCTTTCAGCCTGGCGGACAAGATTCGTGCCTCGCTCCTCGACTACGTCATGGCGGACTTTCGACACCGTATTGATGTGGCCATAGCGTGGCTGAACGAAGAGTGGTACACCGACCGCTTAGCCTACTCTTACCGGCACCCTGAGTCCAGCGCTAAACCTTCCATGACCGAAGGCAACTTGCCAAACTACACCACGCACTGCCTTCGCACTCTCGAGCTACTGACAACATATCTTGATGTCAAGGATGGTCGCTATCTCATCCGCTTCTTGTCCGAGATACCCGAGCTCGACGCCAGCGTGCTGGAGCGCGTAAAGAAGTTGGCGGACGATCCCGAGCGGGTGCAGATGGCGACTCAGGCACTGCTGTATTTGATCATGCTCCGTCCGCCTGTCAGGGAGGTATGCATTGATGCGGCAGAGGCTTTGTGGAGGAGTAATGAAGATGCTAAGGGGTCAGCGGCGAAAATCCTGGCGAAGTGGAGGCCGGGCCTTCTCGGGCAGGACTCAGTGGGAGGTAAGAAGGAAGATGCCACCGGCATGAAGATCGAGGCAGGACCATCTGAGATCTCGGCCTGAATGCAGCTACCTACATGCAATGCTCCCGTAAGCGGATCCGGTCCGCCGTCCAAAAGACGGCGCGTCCGGCAGTGCCTTCTCCATCCGGAGAGTGCAGAAGTCCCGAAGTAGCAGTTCGTACACCGGTGATTCGCAATGCATGAGATCCTGCTTTCTCCTCTGGCGTAATACGAACGCATCATACATGTAGCCTGCTGGCTGTGGCTGGGCGTGCAGTAGCTTCAGCTCCACCGGCTTTAAGCTGCAAGTAAGCGAGCCGATCCGTATAGCGACCTGTGCATTTAGTCTATGTCAGTTACGTACGTTATCCATAGATTCGGGATGTGACTGACAGATTAAATGTTCGATTACAACCAACGTTCTGTCGCTCCGGGATACTCTGCAGACACATGGACTTCATACGTGACTCACTGATGATGACCATATATGAATATGATGCAGCTCCTGCCCCAGATGCCAGCAGTAGGCGACGTTGACAACATGCGAAACGCCAAGGGGAGCTAAGTCCATGGTTCAACCACACCTAATAATAAGTTTCGCAAAGCATAGCCTGCTGCATCGGAATTGGTCTTCACGATACCCTTAGAGTGGTGCCCTGAGCAACTGGAGACTTTGTAAGCGAGCAAAGTGTGCTTCTTGTTTGAGTGCTGATGGTCAATACTCGATGCTGACTGATTACCATGCATTGGCCTTGAACGGAAGATCGGTTGATCATGATCTTGAGGGTGCACCTTTCTCAATGATGTCGTGTCGCTGACTTCGGTGCAGTGGCTTACCAGAGCTCTTGGTAAGCGAGCCGTTGCACCGAACGTGAGCAATAGGCGCTGGACAGGCAGGATCAGTTGGATTCACGGGTGAGCGGCGCGTCTCAGGACAATGCATTTTCGGCGCTTTCTGCAGGCTTCCGCTCTTCCCCCCGTCGCTGTGTAACATACAGTTATCTGCATGAAGCCTTGCTACATATCAGCCTCTTGTTTTCTGCGAACCACTGGAGACTGTCCAGTATTGCTCTGGTGTCGTATGACAAGATAATTGTGCCAAGCTAGACGTAGCAGTATAAGGTGAAGTCTAGCCACAACTGGATAATGTAGACGCAAACTTACCAGCAACTGTATGTGCGAAGCACAGTCTTCTCCACCGCCTCCCAGTCCGAACCATGTCTGGTTGTCCCCGTCGGGCCCTGAGGTGGTCGTCGAGGATGGGACTGCAGCTCTATATTTCCAGGCAATCGTGCTGATTGAATATTACTGATCAACCTGCACAATATTGCACCATCTCTCGAGGCTCCGTCTATTGGCGGGAGCTATGACACACGTGGAACCATCTGCGATGGGTTGTAACCCGACACCATGGCCTCGGATCGATCAACGAGGCCATCTCGCCATTAGCGTCGGTATGTGATACGCTATGGCTTTGTGAACCTTGCCGACATGCATGGCGCTATACTCATAGCGTGACCACCTGCGGAACTGCGCCCTGTAGTCATGACGGAGTTAGTCCACTGGACATCCCGCCCGCAGCGTGCTTCAGCGGGTGCTAAACAGAATTTCCCGACAGGTCCATCGTCCTTGCGATCACCTTCCCGTACCGAGCCTTCAATCCATGCCTTCGGTGCCCTGACACGCGGAGTTGCTCCGTCAAAAGGGTATTGGGCTGGCGAAGCATGTTGATCCATGCAAAAGCAAGGCTGCAGCGGTTCTCTATTCGCCGTACACTAGACCAGGTTGCTGACCTATAGTAATGTTCAGTTGGCCGCTAGGGCATCTAGACTACTACATGAAAATCATGTGTGTGTCACCTCTGGAATTCTTAGTCCCCTATTCGGTTGCTCTGACTGCAAACCCGCATACTGATAGCCCAACGATAGGCAACATGCTTTGCCGAGAACACTAGGTTGTCTGGCGGACGGGTCGTTCCTGCCGTTGTTGTGGCATAGGGCGGGCATATCGCTGTGACAGGCGGAAAGAGTCGGCCTATACGGCAAGACCTTCGAGCCGCGGGTATGTAGGTCGTTTCCACGCCATTAGACCGCCCACGAAGCCCATGTCTTAGGATGCAAATCACGTGGGCGCCAACAAGAATGATCAGCCGTTGTCACACCTGAACCACTGGGTGTACGGTCGCTTCTCTAGTCAGCGAGACGCATCTATCCATGAGGCGCTATGTCCAATGCCGTGCCGCAACCGCAAGATGACAGGGTACACACCTTCGCTGGGCGGACATTTTCCCGCTTCTCCATTTTGAACAACACATATGCTGTGCCTATTGACGAGGTGAGTACTTCGCATCGATTTTGAGACGCTGTCGAGATTCACAGGGCTCCAACGGAGTCTGCTCAAACATACGCTGATTAGAGTGTTAGGCAGAAGAGGTTCGATTCGATGAGTTGCATAGCATCATGCGAGATCTGTGTGGTAACCGGATCGTCCTTTTACCGCCTGACGAGTTTCCACCAGAAGGAGAAGAGGAGCCAACGGTCCTTGACTGCGGCTATGGCAAAGGGGCGTGGATTGATAGCCTGCTAGAGGAACATGAGGATTGTGAGGTTGGTGCTGCGTGAACCATACTTTGACGTCCAATGAACTGACATCACTTGCAAGGTCACCGGAGTCGATATCTATCTTGGCGACGGCACCGATGACGAGGAAGATCCGGAAGACGACGATGACAGTGACGGGGACGGCGTTGAAGAGTTCGTCAAGAAAAGGTGGAATCTCAACGCAGCGTTCCGCCATGATCGTAGCGCCTCTCGTCTGCTACCGGAGTCCTTTGACCTCATCAACAGCAGGTTTCTTGCCGAAGGGATCCATCGAAGCCGTTGGCCATCCTACATCCGTGACCTTAAGCTTTTGCTGAAGCCTGGAGGATGGGTGCAAATGGTTGAGCTGGAGCTGCTCTTCCAATCCGAGAACGGCAGACTTGCTACCAATTCCAGCGAGCCGCTGATTAGATGGAGCGAGGTGTACCGGGATACAATGTTGCGCAATAACAAGGATCCGCGGATTGGGCGCCAAATGGGCAATCTGCTGAACACAGCAGGTTTCGAGCGAGTCTTTACACGCTCGCTTAGGCTCAACATTGGCGCATGGAGCGGAAGTTCGTGGCACAATCCAACGCAAGTGCTTGATGTTGCTAACACTAGCCAGATTCCATCGGCGTCGACATCCGCGACAACATCCGCAAGACCTTACGTGCCGTCCTGCTCTGGCCGTGCGCAGGTCATTTCTCCGGTCAGCAGCCGTATATGGACCCGAATGAATACCGCAGCATGATCCGCGCCGCCGAGGAACAGCTGATGAACGACAACATCAAGCCATACTGTTCCGTGTACGTAGTGCATCAACGCGGGCGGTCCAGTAGCTGATTTTGTGTAGATGGATCGCTTGTGGTCGACGACCGCTCACACGAAGTCGCAGGTGAACTAAGATCTCGCAAGATCAACAATCCATGTCTAAGGCTCAATCACCGTATAGAAGGATGCTGGACAATGCTGCATTACCTGCCTGGTGAGGTGACATTGCGCGGGCTGCGCTTCTGCTACATCGCCAAAACCATGGACGAGCTCTGACGCACATGCCTCTCGTACACCATTCTAGCTTGCGCTATCTGGGTGTACGAATGGCCCGCCGGCATGCACCGAGGCTCAACGAAGACTGCAGCGCCTTCAAGCACTCCCTCCTGCAATATTCGTTTGGAACATTCGTCCAACGTCTGACAGCTGTACACCCCACCATATCGAATGTGTTTGCAGAAGCTACATGTCAATGGGCAGACGGTTATACGGGTCATACCACTAGAGCAGTCAGGTTCTGTAACGGGCTTTGCTTGCGGTCTCACGTGCTAATGGGCTCAGTGGCAACTTTTTGGCTCGAAAGTAGACGTTTGGAAAGTTAAAAAAGCTCAATGTAGATTGGGAAAGTGGACAACATGAGGAGATTTGCGTGAGGTCTACTTAGGCTTCCTGAGCATTGACAAACCCGACAGAATGGTAGCGAGGGCGTTATCGTTATGCCTTTCGTGCATAGATGATCAAGCATGTGCCCACTTATGCGCCTTATGAGGCAGGAGGTTTACAACCACGACTCGACGATAGAAGTATGCATGAAGAACGATAAGCTCAGAGCGGACGTTTAGTCAATGTGCATGTGGTTATTGCGATGCAAGCGTACGAGTCTGAGTACATGGAGAAGCAGTTGTGCAGTGCGGTCTGGACAGGTCCACTCAGACCCTCGGCCTGCTGTGTCACAACCCGTGACGATCACATCACTTCGTACCTCGCGGAACCGTCCGAAGGGTTCCACGGTGTTGGTACTTGGGCCGGGATCTCCACTGCCGCGGCTGGCGGGAGTGATGGTGGCGCCAAAACCGCAGTGGTGAGTGGATAGTCTAAACCACTTGCGCTGCGCGGTTGAGTGCGTAGAGTCTGCTTGCCTGATCGCGTAGCGATAACAAAGCTGTCAGCGGCGCTGAGACGATTACTGGCAAACTATATTCTCACCATGATTGCACAAGTACCGCATATGCAGCCTACAGGAAATTATTGTCGCGAGATCGGCAGCGAGGCACGGGAAGGTCGTTCAACAGATGGAGAGCCGAAAGGAGTAAATGCAGCCCCGAGACGGGCAATTTGCACGACAAGACGGACGAAGCATACAGTGCGATGCCTTGATCGATGGCTGGGCAGGGGATGCCTGGTCGCTGCATGTATTTGGTAGACCTCACCGCAGCCGTGTCAACACTAGCGCAGAGCCCCACTCGATGTTGACAGCATTGGTCTCATCCTTGAACCAGTGATCAGTCTCCGCAATCTTATCAAACATCTCATCCATAACATCACCATCGCCACCTTTACTCCTTGCCTTCTGTTCTGGATGAGCTTCCTGCCAACCATGGAACGAGCTCCACGTCCTCACGTATTCCTTCGTCTCCGCGACGGTCAGACTACGCTCCATGAATAGCGTGCCCTCACCGCTATGCTGGCCCTTTGTGGCAGGCTCATACTCGATCCTCTCCGGCTCCTCCCAATGGGTTGCCGGAGGCTGCAGCACACGAAGCTTGTTCTGCACATATGAGCGACCGGGCATTGGCCAGTATGACCCAAGCTTGTCAGGGTGCTTGTCGTAGGCATAAGCCTGCATGATCCTCGTCGCTTCTGGAAAGTCGACGAAGACGTGGTCTTTGTAGCCCCAACAAGCTACGGTGCCCTTTGGCCGCAGAAGCCGTTGCATCTCCGGCCAGAACTTGGTCTGATCGAACCAGTGCGCAGCTTGGCCGACAGTAACCAAATCAACCTCGCCGGCTTCGATGGAAGGTATGGATTCTGCTGGACCTTCACGAAAGCTAACATGGCCAAACTGCGAATGCCCTTCGATGCTCTGGCGAGCCTGCCTAATCATGCCCGCAGACGGGTCGATACCAATCACGCTGTCGAAATGTTTGCTCATCTCGCGCGTGACAATGCCAGTCCCACATCCAAGATCCACACATAACCGCTTGGGCTCATAATGGTAGGCCAGCACGACATTGTATAGGGCACTGGGATAGCTTGGACGGAATGTCGCGTAGGATGCAGCAGAAAACGTGGACTTACTATGGCGAACGGCATGAGCACATTCGGTTGCCCCCTGAGTACATGACATAGCCACTCACGCAAAGGTCGCCATCTCCGCTTTGCGAGCAGATGACCTGTGCAGTGTTCGCCGGCAGGTGACCGTACTCTCCGATCTATCAGCCGATTGTAGTCAGCCAGCTGCTCCTACAGATACGAAAGATTTGATTGATGAGCAATAATCTATAGTTACTCTGAGACATGGCTTCAGCAGTGGGGCCATTTGTTCCTCCGCGCTGAATCATCACGGATACTCCCGTCGGCAGCAATTCGACCGTCTCCAAGGCAAGCTCAGTACTGCTGTATATAACGTGATTGAGACCGTGACCATGTAGTCGTTATGACCAAGTGTATGAGAAGCGCACCTGACCTGAGCGGTTGTTAGTGTTCACTTTCGTTCTGCTCGTAGCTCATTTCGTCGCATCATTGCTCGTTTTATCATTGCTCGTCTTATTATCCATCCCTGTCCGCCACATCTGTTCTCATCAGGAACTTTCACAGTTCGATCGTTGCCGCAATGTCCTCGACGTCTCCACCAAGATACATTCTTGGAGCCGGTCTTGGGCCTTACGCGAACAAGCAGCCTTCCGCCATCCAGCACTTCGGCCCCAACGTTGGTGACAAAGTGAAAGAGCTTGTCGCTCAAAGCACGGCCGAAGCCCGCGAAGCTGGCTTCGAAATCATCTCACATAACGTCAACCCTGGTGAGCCCGAGGCGAGCGTGCAGAAATTCACAGCCCTCCTGAAGGAACGGGACTGGGCCGGCGTAATTGTCGGTTTCGGGTAGGTAGCATCCGCCGCAGCCATTGTGCGTTTGGCACTTACGCCGACCTACACTGACGGTCAATTGTAGGCTGAGAGGCCAAAAGGAGCATACCGTGCTGTGCGAGCGGTTGCTGAATGTCTGCCGGGTAGTGGTTCCGAAGGCGGTGATCATGCTGACGAACGGCCCGGATGAGCTGTACACCGCTATCAAGCGAAACTTCCCGGATGGGAGCGAGAGCAGCGCATGATAAATTCCGATGCCATGCGTTCGTCCCTCCACAAACGGCCTCGATCTTCCTCCAGCAGGTCCGGCGTACAGCAACAAACAGCGAAGAGTCCTGTAGATAGGTCGTACACAAACGGCAGCTTGGGGATCAAAACCTCATCCAAAAGCCCTCAACCTCCCAAAATACCTCCCTTTCACCTTCTCCACCACCATCCGACAAGCCTCGACTTCCATCTTCGGCACGCGCTCCGCAGTAACAAGCCCATTAGCCTCTTGCTCCACATCAGCGAATTGCGTCCACACAACCCCACAAACATCTCCCTCCCTCACCACCGCCATCATCAGCTCCTCAAATCTGCCCAGCAGATCCTTCCCATCCGTCGCAGTACTATAGCCCCAATTGCCCTTCCTCCCCTCATCGTTCCGGCCCGCAACATCAACATTTACCCCGCCGAACTCCGTACACATCACCGGCGCTCCCTTTACATGCCGACTGCCCGGGTCTTCCTTCCCGGGTGACGGACCATGAAGGGGAGGTAAGAACATCCCTCTCCCGCGAGCGAAGATCGACTGAAGATCTGTACACCGCTCTGCCATCCCCTTCGCATCCGCATAGTCGTGGAAAGTAGATAGATCCGTGACCACGTGTTCCCACCCACAGTTATCATTGACGGGCCTACTCGGGTCGAGGAATCTTGTTTGATAGTACAGACTCCTCAGATGATCTCTCTGCCTCGCATTCTTCTCCAGCTCTCCATAACCCCAGCTTTCATTAACAGGCGTCCAACAGACAAGAGAAGGGTGATTGATATCCCTCTTCACGCTCTCCAGCCACTCCTTCTCGAACCGCTCACACCCCGTCACGCTAAAGTTATGACACGACGCCATCTCGCCCCAAACGAGGAAACCCAGCTTGTCCGCCCAGTAAAGGAAGGCCGGGTCCTCGACTTTCTGGTGTTTACGGCAGCCGTTGAAACCCAGCGACTTCTGGAGGAGAATGTCCTGTTTCAGCGCGTCTTGGGAGGGCGGCGTCATAAGCGTGTCAGGCCAGTAGCCTTGATCTAAGAGTAGAGCTTGGAAGTAGGGACGGTTGTTGAGACGGAATGTTCCGTCCCCGCGATTCCAGGTGAGAGAGCGCATGCCGGTTGTCGTATGGACAATGTCAAGAAGTGTGTTGTCAGAATCGAAAAGGCGAATGGTCAGATCATACAGCGTCGGATGTTCTGGCGACCAGAGCGCGATGCCGTTACGCCAAAATGTCCGGTCGCCGAGGAGCGCAGTTTCGCGCGTGAGTTCGAGAGGAGGCAGGTCGGGTGGTTCGGGGCTGAGGCGCATATTGTGGTTGAATTGCACGAACGCTTCATCTCTCGGCACTTCTCTGCGGTCGGAGCGGCTGACGAGGATACCTGCTAGACGGATTTCGAGCTCGATCATGCACTTGACCTGTGTGCGTCGCCCTTGAACTGCTATTCTCGCGTCGATGGCGCCGAGGTCGACGTTGTGGGAGAGAATCGTAGTGCCGTGGCTGCTATCTGCGATGCGCAGGCGCGGCACACTTTCCAGCCAGACGCTCTGCCAGATGCCGCTTGAAGGTGTGTAGAAGATACTTTCGGACTGGGGGCCCCAGAACTGCTTGCCCCGGGGCTGACTTAGGTCAGATGCGGAGTCAAAGACGCGGACGGTAAGCCTATGCGACTTGGTCGACCCGCTGAACGCCACGGCTTCCGTGAGGTCGATATCGAACGGGACATGGCCGCCTTGGTGCTCGCCCACGTACTGCCCGTCGAGCCAGATCTTGGCTTCATAGTCTGCGGCTCCAAAACGGACGAGAAGGCGATCACCTCGCTGTCTTTGCGCGGCGCTTCGCAAGTCTTGAATCTGACGTTCATACCAGAGCACTTCGTGCACGCCTCGCTCGTGGATGCCGGAAGCGGAACATTGGAAGACGTAGGGGACGTGGATTGTGCGCTTGTCGGATTTGCGAGAGATGCCGCTTTGCTGCCAGCCGTCATGGAGACCTACGTCTTTGTCGTCGAAGACGAAATCCCACGGTCCGTTGAGGCTCTCCCAGTGTAAGTCGGACCGCTGGAAGTCCGGGCGAGGGTAGCCTTCCATTGGAGGAGGCGGCGGGATACCTCCAGGACTAAATAAAGCCGGGTGACTTAAGATGTTGGAGCACAGCCCACGCGAATGGGGTCAGTCAGCAGACGCTAAGCAATGGCTTGTCGTGGACTAGGCGTTGGATTAATCAACAACATTGGTATTGCGAATTAGCTTCACAGGCTTTCATTCCGGTTGGTATTGCGGCAAGTACTCAAGCGGAAAGTTGGCGCAATGTCTGAGGTGGTCAGTGTCGCTCCCCTCCAATCGAAGTTCCAATGAGCATGGCAGAATGAGCAGGTCAAGAGCGAATGCCTCAAGCCTTCTTTGTATAGGCGTTGCGAGAGTTTCCAGGAATGATTGTCACTTTCTTTGCTTCGGGGCATCGTTTTACGCGAGCTTTGATGGGAGCTAATGAATTTATGGCTTTGCGGCTGAACTCAGCTGTGTACGACTGATGCTGCATTGAACGCTCGGACCTCTTGCCAAGCGTGCATTGTTTACTTCGAGTTCAAGCGCGTCACATTCGCTGACAACGAATAAACACGACGCCTGAAGCATTGCTACTGTCTGCGCCATATAACGCATTCTGCTACCGCGCATCGCACACGTGAGATTCCATTGTTAGATAAGAATTGATTGCCGAGAGCAATTGGTTATGGCGGGACGGTACGCGACTGCGCGCGAAGCGTTGGCGGCATTCGAGGCAGGCCCGCCGGTGAGCGATGATGACTTGTCGGCTGTGGAAGGTTCGAACATGCTGCGTTCACTCGCGCGATCGAAGGCGGTACTGATCTATGGATGTTAGCACCGCGCAGGGTTGGAAAGGTAGTGACAGCAATGCCCGCCAAAACAACGACAACGAAGCGGAAAGCTGCGCCGAAGCAGTCGCGTCAAGCGCTCAAGGACCGAACGAACATCCAGAGCGATGCCGAGGATGGCATTGACGAGGCGGATGATGGAGCCAAACGTAACGCGAAGCGCGCAAGAACTACAGCGGCGCGGAAACCGAAGGCGACGAAAACTCTAGGCGTGATACCTGAAACGCAACCCGATCCGGAAGACGTCGAGCAGTCAATTGAAGTGTCAATGGACGGCATGGACATCGCCAAAACACCACCGCGCATCCAGCCTTTCATCCAGCGACCAAGATCAATATCCGTCCAGCCCCCGCAACTGCAACCGCGAGCGAGTGCACGTTCCGTCTCCGCTCAACCCGCCTACCCGCCACCTCGAGAACGCAGTGGGAGCGTGAGCGGGACGGACCGTGAGAGGCGAGGCGGCGATCCAGTGCTGCGGCGGCAGCTCAACGACATGACGAAGAATTACGAGAATCTCAACTTGAAATACCAGAATCTGCAAGAAATCGGGAAAAACGACGCTGAGTCGAACTTTGAGAAGCTGAAGCGCGCGTCGGATGAGAAGGCAAATGACGCGAACGCGCTCATTGCAGCGCTGAAGAGGGAGATTGCCGAGTTGAGGAAGGCTTCAGCCACCATCAATCCTGCGGAAACGGACGCGCTACGGAAACAAGTCTCGACCCTGACGTCGGCGAACGAGAAGCTTGCCACCGAGTCTGCTTCGCTGAAGGAAAGGCTGCAAACCTCACAAAACGAAGTCAAGTCGCTAGAAGCGAAGCTCATCGCAGCACGGCAACAAGTCTCAAACAGCGGTAACTCGCAAGAGACTGCCAAAACGCCGGCTGCTCCAGCCGCAACCACCCGTAATGCTGCCATTACTATTACGTCTACCACAGACGCGCAGAAAGAAGCCAAGATGAAAGAAAACCTGTACTCCGACCTCACCGGTCTCATCATCCGCGGCGTGAAGCGGAAAGAAGGCGAAGATGAGTTCGATTGCATCCAGACTGGTCGGAATGGCAGTACGTACCCCAACCATCCGGCCCGAGTTTCACATGGGCCCTTGCTGACAATTGTGATTGTAGCACTCCACTTCCACCTCTCCATCGCGAATTCCGCCTGTTCTTCCTCTAACCCAAACCCGAAGACACCTACAGGTCTATCCTACGAAGAAGCGGAGTTCGCGTACGAACCTTTCCTCGACGCGGACCGAGATCGGGATCTGATCGGCTTGTTGCCGGATTACTTGGCGGAGGAGATTTGCTTCCCACGCGAGCATGCGGTCAAGTTTTATGGACGGTTGTGCGAGAGTATGACTAGGAGGGTCGTCGTGGAGGAGGAGTGAGTAGTAAGCAAAGTAGGTGTGGACTTGGTACTTGCGGAGGGTTCACGCGATGTGAGCATCGGTGGCGGACAGTGATACGCATGACTTGAACGAGATGGACGAATGTCTGCGTTGGTTCGATTCGCAGGTGTGTCCTTTGGCGTAATGACTCCGTGGGCGGGTGCGCTGGATACCAAGACTCGCAAGCTCTTCGATCATACCCTGCTTTCCGCGCAAGACGCCAATGATACCTTTTCCTTAAATATGCACCGCACATTCGCGACCACTCCCACTCTCGTCCGACCCACGGCGTCTGATTGATCCATAGGGTGTATGGCCAGCCGCTAGTACTGTTACGGTTGCGTCCGGCCTCTGGCGCGCTCTGCATATGTGGGCGTGAGCCGCAGGGCGGAACAGACTTATACGGCGGAGTGCTGACCAGGCTGACATGACCGAGACCTCAAGTTTCATCCTCAAAATCCAAAGCCTGCTTCCTCGCCACCTCCGCCACACCTTCGTCCTCGAGCTCCGGGATGAATGGCCTAAGCGCATGCTCCACGTACTCCTTCGGCATGCCTTCCTTTACGGCGTCTTTGATACCCATGTTCATGCGGTAGACATATTCTGTCTTTGGCCTGGACGGCGTAGTCCTCTCGCCATCGACATAGACGAGCATCTCAACGTGCTCCGGCTTCTCGTCGGTCTGCGGAGGCTTGCCTTCGCGGGCGGGCCAGAACTCGCATTTCAGCATCTGCTTCTGATACGCGTACGGGACGCCTTCGTTGACATCTAGCCTGGCCTCATCGGCGGGCTGTAGGGTGAAGACAAGACCCCAGACTTCGGAAGCGTATGTGCATTGGCTGTCTGACTGAACAGTTTGCGTGTGCTTGACGACATTGGCATAGCCTCGCTCGTTGATGATCCAGCAGTAGCCTTTCAGCTGGGCGATGCCTTGGTATGTTGAAGTTGGACATCGGAGCTTCATTTGCTGCTTCCAGAGGTTGCTGCCGTAGCCAAAGTAGACTGTAGAGTGCTCGTAACTGTTCATGGTTCGGAACCACAGCGCACAAGGGATGGCGCTTTTCGACCTTGTTGTCAAAGCGAGCCAACATTACATCATTATATATTTGCTATGTCTGTACTGAAACACTCGTCGTTTGCTTAAGCAAGACAGTAGTGATTAAAAAGCACGTGATGGCTGCCTAAGGCTCCCACTTCTACTTCCCATAGCACTCATCTCGTCCAGTTTCCGCGACTTGTGATCTGATATCCAACTACAGTGAATCGGTAGCCCTCTATTTCAGGCCCGTCGTGCAATGATAACTCCCACGGCTTGGGCAATGCAACCGTAAGGGGAACGCATTGGCCGTCATGGACTACATGCCTCTCCCAAAGAGCGGCCGCCTTTGGAAGTCCAAGGCCGACTTCTTTCGCCCTTTTAGAGCAGCCGCATCTGGATCTGGCCAGAATATCACTCCGTTGTATGACCCGTTACAACGCCGCGTCGCCGACGACGAGCCGAAGCTGAAGGAATTGAACGCCTCACTGGCCGTATTGGTTGAAGTGTTTCCGGACGTCGAACCTGAAGTCTTTCGAGAGATGCTCTTGAATGTTAGTGAAGAGAGCAGGCTGGAGCTGGTTGTCGAAGCGATGCGTAAGAAGAAAGCGGAGCATGTGCGTGGTCTGCACCGAAGGAAGACGAAACCCACGACCACGCCGAAAGCCGTGAACCCTGGCCAGCCTCTCTCTGCTTCATCCCTGGAGCTACTTATTGAGGACACCTTCCGAAGTGAGACCTACATAAAAGCCGTCAGGCAAGTTCTCTACGAAGAGTTTCCGCGCCTCAGCCACTCGTCCATCAAAGCGGTCATGGCCGAGCAGAACCACTCTTACACCCTCTCACGCTCAACTCTCCAACACTTGTCTAGCCGAGCATGGCGTTTGTCCTTCCCTCAGCTCTGGCGATCTCGCTCTACCTCACGACCTGTGGCTGAGCATCCATTCGTATTTATGCATCCCAATGGACAGCTCGCCGTAAAGCGGACAGGAAGTGAGCAGCTTGACCGGGAGTTATACGACCTTCTCATAGCGCCTGCGATCGCCAAGCAGCGCCGCGAGCAACTTGAACAGGACACAATAGTCGCCACAAAGCTAAACCAAGAGGAGGCCGAAAAGGCGCAAGCACTGTTCGACTGCGAGTGCTGCTTCGATTCCGTTCCATTTGAAGAGCTCGCCGTTTGCACTGACGGTTGCCATCAGTTGTGCTTTGAGTGCGTCCGGCGCACGGTCAACGAAGCACTCTACGGCCAAGGCTGGGCTCGCACTGTCGATCTGGAGAGGAGTAGCGTGCGTTGTTTCGCGCCTACAGCACGTGAGGAGTGTCACGGTCCGGTGCCTGCAGATATCGTGCGTCGCGCGTTGATCAGCAGTAGGGGAGACGAAGATACGTGGAATAAATTCCAAGCCCGCGCAGCAAACGATATCCTTGTCAAAAGCCGGCTACCACTCCAACGCTGCCCATCTTGCAACTACGCCGAGATCGACGAGATACCTCCTTTCAAATGCCGCAGAGCGTTAGAGATCTGGCAGCACATCGCCACCCGCTCCCCGGCCGCTTTACAAATCATGCTCCTCTCCCTGACCGCAGGACTTGTCCTCTTCACCATCCCCATCATCGCCTTTCTCGCTAGTATCTGGCTTACATCCATCATCTACTCACCCATCACCAACATCCTCAGAGCCTCTCACACCCGCATCCACCAGTCCCGCCGCGGGCTCAAATTCATCTGCCTCTCTCCCACCTGCCTCACGATAACCTGCACGCGCTGTCTCCACCCCTGGACTGACCCACACACCTGCTTCTCCTCCTCCGCTTCCACCACCCTTACAACCCTCCGTACGACCCTTGAAGCCTCCGCCACAGCTGCAATCAAACGCACCTGCCCACGCTGCCAACTCAGCTTCATCAAATCCTCCGGCTGCAACAAACTCGTGTGCAACTGCGGCTACACCATGTGCTATGTCTGTCGGTCCGAAATCCCCAGTCGCGAAGGATACGGGCACTTTTGTCAGCATTTTCGGCCGAATGGCGGCAGGTGTGGGGAGTGTGAGAAATGTGAATTGTATGGGGATGAGGATGAGGCGGGGGTGATCCGGCGAGCGGTGGAACAGGCGGAGGAGGAATGGAGGGTGCGGAAGGGCGAGGGGGTGGAGGGAACCGGTGGCAATGACAGGGCTAGAAAGGCGATGGTTGAGGCGTTAGTTGGTAAAGGGAGGGAGCGGAAAGTGTGGTGGGAGAGTTGGCTCGATGGGGCCGTTGATGCTGTCGCTGGTTGAACGTTGTGTGCGTGTGTCCGAAACTTGCTGAATTCTTTGGTAACAAGGGTGGTCGAGACGGAGACTGCTACATCCTACCTTCCCCAGACCTACATGTGTCAAACCTCTTAGCGCACGGACAGACAACATGAAGTTCACGACTCAAAGAACTGGTGAGAAACGTGCAGTCAACCCGTGTTGCAATGTCGAGCCGGAATCTGGCGCGTTGAGCTTCTCACAACCACACTTCCACTACGACCACCTGTTACAAGGGCAACCGTTTCAAGTTCCTTGTTTGCGTCGAAGTCGCATTGCTCGTTCGAGCTTGCGCAAGGCCTTCTCTGTGCTCTCGCCAGGACACACGCCAGAAGTTGTTCGCTTTCGGTAGGGGATGTGGCTAACAACACGCTTACAATAGGCTTGCAAAGCAAGCTTGTCATGGGTGTATATCGTTGTTTGGAGATGTGGTTGACCTGCAAGGTCTACCACACAGTGCGTTCCAGACGGTCGACTGGGGTAGACACTTACCTGTCCCTCCAAGAACGCCGCGCATTCATCACTTCGTCTTTGAGAATGCCAGTGATACACGAGGCGTTGGAATGTCTCCGTACAGAGTTTGTGATGTTGAAGCACTTGCGTTCCGGACAATATAAGGCTAATCAGCGAGAAGCTACTGCTACCTGATCGATACCTACAAGCACTAAACGCCTACGCTAAAACCACGCACGAAGCAAATAGAACAGCACTCAACCCGCTTCCTCCCCGTCAGCTTTTGGCTCCTTCCGCCTCTTCTTGGCCTTCACCTCCCCCGCCCCACCTTCCCCCGGCGCCACAAACGCCTCCTCCCTCCTCTTCCTCCTCTCCTCCATCTTCGCTCTCATATTCTCCTCCCTCCTTTCCCTGCCTGCCCGCTCCTTCGCCTGCTTGTTCAAAAAGAACTCGCCACTCTCGATCTGCAGATCCACCTTACTCTTCTCCCTCTCCGGCGGGAAAGGCGTATAAACCTTCTTCGCCTTATCCACCACCTTGAACGGCTTCCTCCGCTTGGACAGGTTCCGCTTCTTGAAGTGGGGTAGGAAGCGATCCCAGTTCTCGTTCTTCAGTTCCGGGTCTTTCGCCAACTCACGCTTGATCATGAGTTCTTTGATATGGTAGATAGGATGGATATTCGCCATGCAATCCTCAATCACTCTTCGCACTTCCTTGAGCGATTTGTAAGCGCCCATGACGGAGACAGTGTTGCCTTGGACGAGGATGTAGGTTTGGGTGAGTAGTTCGAGGGCTTTAAGCGTGCTTCCGTTCGGTCCCAGAATGCGCTGTCGCCGTTTCACAAACCGCTCCTTATTCCTAACCAGACCTCGAATCTTGATCACATCGCACGCGACGCCATCCTCCATAATCTTCACCGCCTGCGGAGACGGTACACTCCGAGCCAGCAGTTTGATCAAATCCCGCGCATTGAGTATAGCAGCCGGGTCGAACGTCTTCCGCGTCGTTTTGACGGTCATGCTACCCTCCACCAAATCAAGAGTACAGGCGATCCCATGTTTCTCTAGCACGCGCGTGATCATAGGCCAGGACTGCTTGAGGTAGATCTCGCGGTACTTGGGGAAGAGGGTTGCGAAGCTGGATTCCTCGCTGAACGTCCCGCCCGCGTTTTGGTCGGGGGTGAAGGCTTCTTCTTTCCATTTGTCGATGTCGTCGGTGTCCCACGGCTTGTCCTTCTTGTATGTCGAGGGCATGGCAGCGGCGGCGGTGGTGGCGGTGGTGGAGTGGTCGGCGCAAAGACGCAGGTGTCGAAGATGGTGCAAGGAAAATGTACGCGGTCTTAAGCGGGCAAACTCCGAAGGCGCCTAAGGCATCCAATACTGAAATGAACACTCCTAGGCCTTAGTCTACACATTCTCATAGTCTCCATCTCATCAAGCAATTGCGAAGCCACCGAGATCCTCATTGCTTACCATCGCGCTGTACCAGAGAAATCCGTAGCAGGCGCCGGCTGCAACCCATGTGCATGCCCAAACGGTCCATCCTCCGCCGCCCGACTAAATCCACTCCCTCCAAGCACGTCCATGCTCTCCTGCCTGGCCATCTCGGGATGAAACGGTCCATGTCCATCGACCCTTTCGCTCCCTGACATTCTAGAAGGAGCATCCCACTCGCGCGATGGACTGTTACTCCACGCCTCCTCAAGCGGCCTACTGCTCCTGCTCGGAGTGTATCCGCTGTCAGAACGCCCACTGGGAGCGCACTCGTTATCTCTCCTGCGCGGGCGAATCTCCTCACGCTCGTAGTAATACTCCCGCTCTCCGTCACGTCTAGGCGCGCTGGAACGAGACCTGGCTCTACCACGGCGCTCGTACTCCGCAATCAACGCCTCCCCGCTCTCCCCATCCTCTTCCGCAGTGCCGTCCAAGCGCTTCTTGCTCCTAGGCTTGGCGCCTATGTTGCGGTGTTGAGTGGAGCTTGCTTCGCTACCAGGCGGCGTGGGCGAGATGTCGACCTTACTCGCAAAACGCACACGGCTGGAGTGCTCGCTTCCGGCGCCTTGTTTCGTTTCTGCGTACTGGTGACGGCGCTCGTATCGTCGCTCCTCACGTCTCGATGGCGGTGGATCTGAGCTCACAGGACGTGGGCCGTGGCCATGACGGTAGATCTCCTCTGTTTCCACGTGCCGGTGGCGCCATGACTGGTCAGGATCGTTGACCAGGGGCTCAACTCGGCGCTCAGTTTCAATATACTCGGTTTCTGGTGAAGCAGGTCTGCGCGACTCTTTACCGGCTACGCCAGGCCGGGATCTAGCATACGCCTCCGGATCTTCTCGTCCAGGTTCCGGTTCGCTACGCTCATCGTGAGACTGGTTGGCTGGCTCCTTACGCTCGGCGGCAGCAGCGGCCCACCTGCGATCGGAAGCTCGAGGCCTGACTGGCCGGCCATCAGTATCCGTTGCCCGAGGCCACTGCGTCTTCTGACTAGACAGAGAAGGTGGTCCCCGCTTCGGCTCGCTGCGGTATTCATCCTTGCGGTATCTAAGCTCTTCATCCTCGACCCGGGAAGGGCGCGTACTCCCCGCCTTAGTCGATGCCTCATCCTTGGCCAAGTCGGTCTCCGCGCGTTTGGCAGACATAACCGCTGAACGTTCGCCTCCAGCTACCGAGACTGTGCCTTCCGTCGCTGGATGTTTGGCTTCAGCCGCCGAGTAGCTGCCTTCCAGTGGTTGACGGCGCCGAATTTGCTCCGGCTGCTTGTCGCGTTTGTCCATAACACTATCGACTAGTACACCGCCGTACTCTGTTGACTGGCCATCGTGATCCCAACGCTCCCTCGCCCGCGTCCTCGGCTTCGCAGGTACCTCCACTTCTTCAATGATCTCAACCACGTCGTACCAGTCTCGTGTCGAGCGGCAGATGTCGGGATCCTCCCGTGGTCTCCGTTGGTCAACCACCTCAACCACTTCTCGCAATCTAACTCTAGTAGGCTGACCACGCCTTTCAGGCTGATCGGTCCGCTCAGCCTCCGTCATTAGATCCCATTTGCGTCGCTCACTCCTCACGCTTCTGGCCTCCTCTTTGTCTGTCCTCACAGATGACCGAATCGGCTTGACTGGGGTCTCAGAAGCCCATCCTGAGCCTGAAGTGTCAGACCCACCAACTGAGGGCTTACCGTTGGGTCTGCTGTCCGGCTGTCTTGTCATTACATTATCCTCAGACTGCTGTAGCCATCCTGGCTTTACGGAAATAACTCGCTGCGGCTGTGGTCTGGTAGGCCCTTCCTCTACGCCAGCTTCTGGTCGAACTTGTACTTTCGCCTTTTGCGTTTCGATTTCCGTTACCTTCCTCTTCAATTCGCCCATGTGCTCATTCAACTTGTTAGCAGCACGCTGTGCCTTGGCACTCCGCTGATCAAGATCGCGCCGCTCGGATCCGGTTGGCCCAGTTGGCGCCCTGAAAGTGTGAGACCTTTGCTCGATACGGCGTTGAATAGGCACCATGCGACCATGCGCATACGGGTCAGAGTGAGCCTCGAGCTTCCTCTCAGCCTGCCGATACCGCTTAATCTCTTCGCGAGCTATCTTCCGAATGTCCGCCTCCGTGTGCTCGGGTTTGGCTGGCTCCACTTCGCTGACTGACATGACACTGATTGCTTTTGTAACGCGGGCCACAGAAACTGGAGCTGCCTTTATCGTGCCTTCTCCCATGAGCTTGAAGCCGGAATACTTCGACACGGTCTCTACTGACGGCTTTGGTACCGTCGCCGACGATCTACGATCAGTCCTGTCAGAGGCTTTTGTCGGCTGCTCGGGGTTATTGGGCTTGCTCTCACCGCCACCGGTGAAACCTCCTCCAACGTAGCGAATGATAGTACGCTCCTTCACTGGCTGGCTTAGAGTCGGACCCTCTTCACGGGCTCGGACGTGGCGGTAAACGATATCTTTCCGTCTCTGAGGACTGCTCTCCTTCTTACTCTCCTTCTTCTCACTCACCTTACCGTCATCGCTCGCCTCGCTCTCCTCGCGCAACTGCTTCCGACTAATTTCCTCCACCAACTTCCTAACCCTCCTCTCTTCAAGCACTCCCTTCGACACACAGGCCTCTTCAGGCATGAGACAAGCAATACCCAGCTTGATCTCATTGCTCTCCGACTGAGTGGTGACTTTCATAACCTTATCCAGAGACGCAACCTCCTCGACCGGCGCGACTCGGCATCTACGACATATGCCTGGCGGAGGTGGCACACCGTTGATTGGGATTGGATGCTCTCGGTGAAAGCGAGCGCTTCGAGGGCGGAGACAGATGCGGCAGATGTGGTAGACTGCTAATGGCGGGACGTCAGGCACACCCACCCTTCCCTCCGCTCCTCGGGTCGTGGGGATAGTGATGACTGCTGCGGACTGATAGGTGGAAGGTCTGCGTCGAGTCATGGTAACGGTCTCATAGGTTCCATCTCCCGGAAATGCTGGAAGCTTGTCGGACAAGGTGGATGCAGGCGCTTTCACTACGACTTCTTGCTTGATATCTTTTTCCAGGGCAGCATCGTGGCCGCTTGTAGATGAGTTGCTGTCACCGGCGAGTAGCTCTTTGAGATAGAACTCCGGAAGGGGTGGTGGAGGGATAGAGGCGTAGGTTATCTTAGGTTTGGAAGGTGCTTGCGTCGCCATTGTGAAAGGATGTTGTGTTGAACGAGCGCATGTGAATATGGAGGTGTGACTGCGTTGGTGTGCCTGAGGTCTGTATCTTCGACTAAATAATGGTTGGTGCAATTGAGCGAGGGTTGGATTGTCGGGACTGAGTTTGACTTAGTGTGGATCTTGTAGTTTGTGGCGTTTCCGCTTGAGGAAGGAACGAGGCTTCAAGGCCTTAAAGTGCAAGAGCAAGTCAAAGTTGACCAAAGCAAGAATGAGGTGTGTATAATACAACTAGACGTACATAAATACTATACATCATACACATAACCCGCAGACTCGACTCTCACAGCCATCGCTTTTGTTCGCCCACCCGATGGCGCCGTTATGCTATGCCACGCCAAAGGGCCAAAGATCTCGCCAAGATGCAGCTCGAGAACCACAACGACCGCCTGCGCCAGTAATGCCTAAAAGTCTTAACGCTGCTCTAAGCCGTCCCCTTCCTCTCATTGTCAGCGGCCAGACTTTGCGCCTGACTTGCCACACCACCCTTGCTCGTCTGCCCAAAAGCACGCTGCTCACGGCTGTGCAAGAGGTCTGCCTCCTCCTTCGTCACCTGCTCCGGGTTCTGCGACATCTTCGAACCGACGTGCTGTGTGGCTTGATCGAAGTTTTGCAGGCGGTCACGAGCAGACTGATCGGCTGGATCCGTTCCGGTAGCCGTAGCACCGCTCGCGGTAGACTGCTTGGTGGCGCCCTCATTCACAGCGGCAAGCTTCTGGGCGTCGGAAGAGATGCTGCCGGCTGGTGGCTGGCCTTGACCTAGCACACGGGCCTCTCTGCTCTTCAGATAAGCGGCATCCTGCGAGCAGGTTAGTTTGAACGCTCCATAGTGGTTTGGCTATTGCGGTAACCGTACCTCCGAGGTCACGGACTGGGGAGCATTCTGCATCTTGCTGCCCACTTCCTGAGCGGCCTGCTCGAAATTCCGCTCCTTGCCGACTTGAGATTGCATCTGGGCGGAGGTGCTACCCTTGGTGGGACCGCCTTCGGCACGAGCAGTCTCGCTGATGGCCTGCCCGGCTGTGGTGGTCGGCTCAGACATTGTTCTGGATGTTGTGAACTGGCGGGTTTGAGGCGTGAAAGTAGGCCTGAAGATCGTAGAGCGGTATGTAGAGTAGCGTGCGGTTTGTCGGAGGGAGAAAGAAGACATTTCTGAGATGAGATCTAAGTACCCTCTTCGCGCTGTACCTGCAGTAAAGGCTGTCGGAGGCGACTGCACATTTTGTACATTTGTTCAGCATGACATCACTAGCAAGTCGAGGGCATCACCATCGGACACGGATCGTGGTTCATCGAGAAAGATGCAGCGTCCGCCAAGTAAAGCGCAACCTGCGATTCGATGCGGAGTAGACATGTACCTGTATGACTGCAGCATCGCTCCGTTGCCGGAAAACACAATGGGTTCTGCTTTTGGAATCTGCAATTCACTGCATGTGGTCAGAGCTTCTTACAGGACGCGCGCGCGTTAAGAACGCGATCACGTGAGACACAGCCCACGAAGCAAATGCATAGCAATAAGCTGCGCAAGCCCAGAAATCCAGCAAAACTTTATGGCACTGGGATTGGGGCTCAGATTCGGGCTTTACTGACCTGCGCCTTTGGCCTCACGTCATGAATGATAAGATCGTGTCCGCACCCGTCCTGTCCCAATCAGTTTGGTAGACAACGCTACTTCCTGCCAACCTAAAACCCACTTCACCCTTTCATCGTCCTTGGACACCCTCACCCATACCTCACCGGTTGACAGGCAGAGGGAACACTGCGGGGCTCTTCCACCCGTTTGCACCAACAGCACGTACTCCAATCTGCACGTTACTAGAAGCGTGTCAGCATCACCCGCTCTTAATTCCAATATCGATATCAAGCCACTTACTCCTTGTTCAGCGCCAACGTCACGTTCCCGACCATACCGACGTTCAAACTATGCGTCCACTGCAATTGCCCGCTGGGCCTCCACACAACCTCATAGCTGCTCACCAGCGGATCGTTGCCAGTCACCCATGCCAACTGCGAATCGTTACTGACATCCTCCAACGGCGTATCTTCCGCAGCGGCCGGGAACCCAACGATCTCCGATATCGACACGTTCACCGGCATCGCCGGGGCATTTGCCGCTGCCCACATTGACGCAAGATTGACTTTAGCCACGCGGGAAGTGTAGTCCATATCCACGAACTCCAGCAGATCGCCATACTGCGTGCCGTTCTGTACACGAGGGTCTTGATGCTGATGTCTGAAGTCTTCGACTGCTTCAGTGAAACGCACCGCCGGGTAGCCCTGAGCTAGAAAGCTCTCGTGATCACCACCTCTCAAGTAGCGATCCGAGCGATAAATCAAGGCGACTTGCATACCAATCCATTGTGCCGCGCCGGCCGCAACTTCGGCAATGTAACGACCCAGGTTCTGCGCCGGGCTGTCATTCCATCCGCCGATAATGCCGATTTCTTGGCCTAACGCTGCTGTCGAAGCGTTCGGGTAGTAGATGCTCGCACCAAACAAACGGATGGTGTAGTTGTTGGCCGCTTCAAAGGGGGCATTCTGGCCGGTGCCGATAATGTCGTTATTCCAGTTCATGACATCGGTATAGCCAGCCTGCTTCAGCGTCTGCGCCAAGTGCGCAGAACCATACAGGTTCTGCTCTTCTCCAGCAGTAGCCGCAAAGATCATGGTCGCCTTCGGCTTCTTCGTTGCGCAAATTCGAGCCATCTCCATCAGCACAGCAACGCCCGTAGCGTCATCGTCGGAACCGGGAGCGTCATTTGTGTAGTCCATGATATCAACTCGTCGGCTGTCATAGTGGCCTGTGACGACCAGTACGCGATTTGGAGCCTCCGTGCCATTGATTTGGGCTACGACGTTGGTGATGTTGACCGGAAACGAGATACGCGTGCCAACTGGCTGGATGTAAGAGTTGAAGTAGACCGACATACTGCCATTGCTGGGTTGCGCCAGCTGCAGCATTTCATTGTAGATCCAATCACGAGCCGCGCCGATGCCTCTGGTGGATGAGTTCTGAAGCGACAGAGTGTGACGGGTGCCGAAGTTAGTCAGAGTTGTGACAATATTATTGATGCCTGTTGCGTCCCTTAATAACTTGCCTAGTGCGCCAAGGCTGAGTAGGGTACTTACGAGGTATACTGATCTCGTTGAGCATATTAATCAACTCCTGATCCGGCCTCTGCGGTACCAGAGGACCGCCGACGCTCTGAACCGGCCAGTTCGCGTTGGCCCAGTTGAACGAGGGTGCATAGATGCTACCGGGCAAACTGTACCAGGGCACATAGTGCGGGTCGAGGAAGCCTTGCGCAAGGATTACTGGCACCACCGCCGTCAAGGTGGCAAGAAGAGGAAACATCGTGACTGCCAACGAGAGCCCGTAAGAGTCAAGAGAGACGCCATCAAGGTGGACAGAAGGGTGGTATAGCTTGGTTGGCGGTAGTGAGATCACTGGCAAGCAGCTTCCTGTCCTGGTGTAGCATATCTGCGTCAGTGATGCGTCGAATACTGCAGGTACATGCTCTCACGACTGGCATCATTTGTTCCGAGGGTGCAGCAATAAAAGCCGGTATATGAACGAGGTGGAGAAACGCATGCCAAGCCTGGTATCTGTTTCGCAGCTTCCCGATCGGGAAGGGCGTATCCATGCGCCATGCAAAGCCCGCTATTATCGTCACACTTATTCTAATGATCCGCATCGTCGGTCAGCTAGCAAGGCGAAACTGGGAGCGTCGTTCAAAGTTAGAGAGCATTCAAACAGCTTGAGCAGATACTCCAAATAGCTAGTCGTAATCTCGCAGATCGAACTAGAATGTAAGCATTCTATCTCCACGCAGGCCTACCGTAATCGACATTGGCCATCGGACTAACAACAAATCTGCTGTCTATCGTTCCAGAATTCGACTTGGGACTGACTTGTCCCTCAACCCGCTGGGTTGGCGGTCTTCTTGGTGCGATTGTCGCCTCCGTCCCTTCTCCTCTGCCCGCTATTCCTCGACCACCAGAGTTGTACGTGCTCCAGGACATGAGGTGCTGTCTCCGCCGCAGTTCGTCGGCGACTGAAGGTCCAGAACGACAAAAAGAGCCCTCTGAGGCCCTCCCCAATGTCGGGGAGTCTGTACTCTCGACTGTTGAGTATCGTTGGCCACCGGCTATGCCTGGACAGGGTGAGATCGATGTGTCCTCCATCTCAGCCAAATGCTCGATGAAGCGCGGAGAGCGTGAACTTGATGCCTGGGATGCAGGTCGCTTCACCGGTGTCCCGTCGAGCATAGGAACAGTGTCCGCCGAGGGGTTGCCGGTAACGCCTGGCCGCTGATAAACTGCCGCAGGCAGAACACCAGTACCACCCTCCGTGCGAGCACCGAGCGGCAGCGAGGGTGGCGGTCGGTCTGGTACGAAGTGGCTCGCTTTCCGCTCCTTCTCGGCCTCCCGTGCGGCTTGTTGGTCAGCCGCCATGCTGTCTGAGCCCCTGTAGAAGCCTACGGAGAACATACCTTTGTCAGACCCAGCCCTGTTCAGTACGCTCATGCGCTTGATACATACTGCGCTGTCGCGTATGCGTGGGAGTGGAGTACGAACCTCCGTAAGGCGCAAAAGCGTCGTGTGCGGTGCTGCCTGATCGTGTGTGCCCGCTCAACGGGCTAGACTGGGTCATGTCGACGGCTTCGACAGGCCCGTGGAAGACGTGCGTGCCTGTCGCTCGGCGCTCCTCGAGCTGCTTGCGGCGACGTCTGGTAAAGAGTGCCACAAGCACAAGTACCAAGGCAAGAATAGCCACGCCGCCAATGACGCCGCCCACTATGGCACCCGTTGTACCTTTCTTGCCGTTGGAAGACTGCGCCGTCATTGCAGAAGCGGCGGCGGTGGCGATAACCTTCGAGCAGGAGATGTAGTTCCTGCCGCTCTTACCAACGTATGAAGCCGCTGGCATCTGTTGCTTCAGATAACAGTCTCCGCTATCCAAGCCAACGTAGGTGAAGCCCGCACAAGTTGAGGTTGCAGAGCAAGCAGAGAAACACTCGCCGTAGCCGCCAGTGCCCACAGTGACATTGCCGTTGGACTGGAAAGAGTTGTCCGCATTGCAGTGGACGGTATACTGGATCTTGTCTATGTCGGTATAGAGTGTGTTGTTGCCGGCAGGGCAAGCAGGCGCTGGGGTAGCCAGCGAGGTTACCGAATTTGAAGACGTGGCGAATGTGAACGACGTCGAAGTGGTTGCTGAGGTTGTGTTGGATACTGCTGTTAGGGGTGTGTCATGCTGCGATTCCGTAGTGGAGGACGGAGTGGTTGAAACTGAGTCGGTTGTGTTGGACGTCGAAGTGGAGCTGATAGATGCGGTAGAAGTCGCCGTTGTTGAAGTGCTCGAGATGCTCGCTTGCGATGATGTCTGCGTAGTACTTGTAATTGACGACGTACCTGTTGTCATCAAACTTGCCGTGCTTGTGGCTGTAGTGCTCGAGGTTGTGCCGCCTGGACAGCTGCCATCTGGACTGCACGGATCTACTGAGCAGCAGCCCTTGAAGCCGTTGGCGCAGCTGTAGAAAGCTGATCCCGATGGGCAGCTCTCTCCATCATCCAAACCTTTGGCGGTGTCTTTCTTCCCTGCTGGCGACCTGTTTGCGCCCTTCGTAACGTTAAGTGGTTGATTCGCCTTGCCGAAGGACTTCGCTTTCTTGAGCACGTCAAGTACTTCGACCGCAGCTTCTGACTTCCCACCTGTCAATTTTGCGGCTTTCGTCGCGTCGCTTAGCCCGTCAACATCAGGGACGACCATGGTTGGTGGGACGAATCGGTGTAACCTTGAGACTGAGCGGAGAGATTGCAGCAATCAAATCAAGACCTTGGAAAAAGGATGTATGTCCATCGAAGCGGTGCTTCAGGTTTCGCCGCATTTGGCAGTAGGATAGTGGACAAAGGGTCGTTTGCAGCAAGTTACCTGTATTTGCCACTCACAAAAGATGCTATACTTCCAAACCTACCTTCTGCCTTACCATACGGCGTTGACGGTCGGTAACTGATTAGCAGCATACATTTCCTGTCTTATTCTGCAACCCACTGCTATCCCTCTCGGCAAGATGTAACAGCCTTGCAGTCGTCGTTCTACACCTGAGCTGGAGCTCGCAGCAACGTCCGACACTGGAATGTGCAGGACGCATGCGGTGAGACTGCCAGCGTTACGCACCGGTATGCACATTCGGCGACTTATGCATTCCGCTTACGCATCTAACTGCGATGGTATCTCAATGACCTTCGCTGAACCGGCCGCAGGACGATGAGGGTAAGTCAGCCATTGTCTCCGTGTGTTCCCGTCGAAAATGAACATGTCGACCGGACAAGAACGACAGACTGGACTGTTGAGCTATATTGCGACGTCGCTGCTTGGAAAACTATAGTTGGGGTCAAGTCGTAGGCATTGGTATATGAGCCTTGTGTGCTGCGTAAGTGGCTATGATGGCGGTGATGGCTGAAGTGACTTGCACCTTCGCTCGCTTCATTGTGGCCTGACACCGTGATGTAGGACAAGCCAGCATTTTCACCCTGGAACTCATAGTGCTGTGTGGCGATGTGAATTTCTGCGTTGGATAGGGCGCTAAGCGTTGCGGTTGCGGTTGCTGAGTACATGTATCTACCAAGGCTGCTCCTCCCCAATCGAGGCCTGTGGCTGGTGGTGGCTGCCCGTTACTGGGGTCAGGGCTCACTCTCATACCGCCATATATGCGAACACTTGTTCATCGCGACTGGCACTTATCCTGCCCGATCTGTACGCGCGACCAGACTGCCGTTGTGACAGTCACCTCGCGCGACAATGAAGCATCTCCTCGCCTTGCCCGCCATCCTCCGCGCCTCCCTATACCTCGCCTCTGCGTCGTTCTCAGTCAATGAAGATCTCCTAGCCTTTCCTCAGTTCGAGGTCAAGTTCACGGACTCTTACCTATCCGAACTGCAAGCAGAGACGAGGCTTCATGGCAACGAGCAAATCAAAGTCAATGAGCAACCTGTCAACGACGATGGCTTGCAAGAACCCCCACCTTCGCAGGTACAGCAGTATCAGGGTGAACGTGGAGATGGCAAGATCAAGGAGGAGCCTAGGCTCGGGTACGAATACATGGTCTTGGACGGACAGCGTTATTTGTGTAGCGTTCCCGAGATCAAGCCATCTGCCTTTGCGTCAGGCGTTCCAGGCGCAAACGACACCCTCAGCAAGGTAGAGGAGGAGAAAGAGCTCGCTCGTGCAAAAGACCGAGGCTGGGAGCTTCTCTCCGCAATGCAAGGCAACTGTGTATACTTCATCAGTGGATGGTGGAGCTACCGATTCTGTTACGGCCAGGGAGTGAAGCAATTCCACCAGTTGTCTCCCAATCGAGGCGTACCCGTGTATCCTCCGGTCGAGGATCCCACTGTGGAAGGCTTCGAGCTTGGGAACTACAAGCCTCCGGAGAAAGGCGAAAGCGATGATTGGGCGCCGCAAAAGACAGCGACTGGCGAGCAGTCAGAGACGGGGAGTGCGTTAGATACCACCGACGGCGCAGCTGTGAAGCATCGGTACAGTGGCACCGGCGAGCTTGTCCAGCGAGGTGAGAGTCGTTATCTGGTTCAGCGACTGAGTGGTGGTACTACGTGCGACTTGACGGGCAAGGACCGGCGGATCGAGGTCCAGGTGAGCTGATCATACGTTTGTTGCAGTGGTTCAACACTGACGACTGCATCTAGTTCCACTGCAACCCGCAGTCGGCAGACCGCATATCACTTATCAAAGAGACGGCTACTTGCGCGTATCTTATGGTCATTCAGACGCCGCGTCTCTGCAATGATGTAGCATTCCTGCCTCCACAAAAGGATCAGCCGAACGCAATCTCATGCTCACCCATTCTTGGTGATGACCAAGTCGAAGACTACGAACGCGACCTGAAGGCCATTAAGAGCGCAGAGACTGAAAACAAGCTCTGGGAAGCTGGCGCTGAGGCAGCCGCGGCGATGGGGGTCCCGGGCTACGAGCAGTCTGCGCAGCTGGTGGGCGACATTATCGTCGGCGGTCATGCACTGGTTCCGGAAGGCGTCAAGATCGAGAAGTCTGCCATTGTTGGAGGCGGTAAGGAGACGTATATTGATACGGTCGCGTCATCCGACGGGCGCATCCTGTCAGAAGAAGACATGAAGCGACTGGGTTTGGGCGACCCACGTGCGGTTGAGAAGTTGAAGAAAGAACTAGAAAAGATCGCGCAAGGCCAACAGTGGAAGCTGGATGTCATCGACACGCCCAGAGGACGCGAGTACCGCGGCATCATTGGAGACGATGACGATGAGAAGGAAGAGGAAAAGAAGAAGGCGGCCGCCAGTAAGAAGTCCAAGCCCAGCAAAGACGGTGATGAGAAGGCAGCAGAAGGCAGCGAGGAGGAGTATTATAAGGAGGAATTGTAATGTGCGCAACGCACGGATGTGTCGTGTTGATGTTGGCAGGTCCGTCCTTGCGCCTTCCGCGAGCGAAGCCATGTCGTCCAAGAGCTTGCCCAACCGAACCTCACCGCTTCATGTCCGTGCTCGTCGCGCGATATCCATCAACAGCAGCATCCATTATTTGCGACAATGCAGTAGATGCCCGACGCTCGTTATGCCATTGCGATGACGCGAATCAGCAAGCCGGCGCGAAACCTGCTCCGAGCAGAACGCAGCGCGCACAAGGCAATCCGCCAGCGTCATCGCGAAGCGCTGCAAGTGGCAGAGTACCTCAACCATAAAGTCGAGCGACTGCGTGGTGTTATTGCAGATATGACGCGGGGCGAGAGGCTGCGGATTCCACTGCCAGAGTACAGCGCGGAGATGGAAACCATGGAGCAAGCGTAGGTGGCGAATGCGAACACCGCCGTGAAGACTGCATCCGAAGACTGACCAAGTCCCCAGCGTTCTGGAGCGCGCGACACAGTATGAGTCTGACGAAGATGAAGCTCTGACGAACATCGACGACCTTCCACAGCGGCCGCCGAAGAAGCGCAAGAAACAGCACGACATCCAACCTGAGCCGTCCAGCGAGATTGGTGGTCTCCCACAGCTTCCATTGCCGGGAATCTCCAGCGATGGCCTCTCAATCGATCCTGCGTTGCTGCTTACGAGCACGGCCGGCATCACGAGCGATACACTACCGACTAGCGAAGTCCTACCTTCCGAGACCATGGATCCGGAGCTTCTGCAGCAGTACCGTCAGCGAGCGGCTGACGTGTTAGGCGAGCATTTCAATACAACTATGGCGCAGCGCGTCTTGGCGATGGCGCCGAACCTCACTCGTGGGCGGCTCGAGAGGATGCGCGCGGTGCTGGAGGTGGACCTGAAGGCTAGGGTGGATGCTGTTCGGTTTGCTGATCTATTCTTCGGTAGTCGAGGGTGATGGACATCTTGCAACAGACTGAGAGCTCGTCTGGCTGACTGATCTAGCAAGAGTCCATGGAAATCAATATATTCGTCTGCTTTAGTCTTCCATGCCGGTCTCCGCGCGTGTCCACATGGTGTTACACAAGTTCAACTTATGCTACTATCAACAGGACACCTACTGCGAATGTCTCCTTTAAGGCGCAGAGAGAGCAATACTCGGCCCAGCAACCGGGAAAGAGCTAGTGTCAATCGCCACTCTAGCAAATTGAACGCATCTCGACTAGCACTTTTCGCGGATGTGTGAATGCACTCATGCCCATATCTAAGCCGAGACCGTGACTATCGCTCCTCGTTCTTCACCCATGGCAAGTCACCGCGTTCCAGCGTCACGCACGTCAGAGTTTGCCATACGTCACGTCTCTCTTTCCCCAGCTCGGTAAGGTCCACGAGTAACGGTTCCACGATCTTTCTGGCTTCTAGCCAAACCACGTCAAGGGCTTGATCTTGCGTGCAGGCCTCCTCGTACTTCGAATCGAGATTGGATTCTTTTAAAAACTTGCGAAATCTATGCTTGCGGACCAAACTTGGATAGCACTCCTCGCTGGCAATATAGTGATAGAGCCGTTCGAAACTTTGGTCGAGGCGAGAGCCGAACTTCTGAGAAAGCTTGTCCCGGAGCCAGTGGTGGAAGAAATGAACGGCCAATTGCTCGGTATGATCACGGTCGGCAGACTTCGTGCTGGTGTTGAAGAGTTCCCAGTCGCAGTCCTTTAACTTCCGAATGAAGACGTCGCGCTTCACAGCCATCATTCCTCCGATGCCGAGTTCCTCGAAGACCGCCGTAGCTTCTTTCCAGAATTTGTGGCCCCTGCCTATAACATTGGTCGCAGCCTCAATACAAGCCCACTCACTTTTGACTGCAACAGCGAATCGAAGCATTCTTAGAGGCTCTCTAGCACAACTAGCAAGGGCCTCCTTCCGCACGCACTGCAAATGGTTTTCAATGTGGATCTTAACCACGTGCTCGCAGCCATATATTCTGAGACCTTGGCTAAGGCCTCGACAGCGATCCTGGTCTTATTGAAAGCCTTCCCAGCAATTGAAGGAACCCAATGATAGAGTGTGCCAAGCATGTCTTTGTGCGCTCGGATGCGGGTAAGCCTCGCAGCACCGGGACTGCCGCTCGCCATCTCTGAGCTCGCCGCTGATGCCTCCTTCGACCTATGTCCACATGCATTGTTTTGGAAGCGGTTGTCTAATGCGACGCCTTTGCGATACAGTTGGCCCCCGCTACTGTCCTTCTCGAAGCGGAGTTCAAAGATTGTCGTTCGCTTGGTTGTTGACAGGTTTTCGATGCCAAAGAGAGGTAGCCTGCCATCATTTAATGTCGCAGGGTTCGCAGATGGAGCGCTGTTACTCCAGCGCTCGTCAAGGGCCGCCTTAAAGAAGTCCGAGTGGATCCGCAGCACGGCCCCATGAAGGACCAACTTTTCCTCTCTTGTCAACCATATCTCGCAGTCACCGTCGTGGAACTGTGGGAAGCCACGAGAACCACGCGAAGCCATCTTGCGGCCACTGCAGCTGTCGGTGGGAAACTTCTGGTACTCCAACTGTTAGATATTTTCCGACTGTGGAAGCGTGAGCGCTGTCCGACCGTTCCTACGCTCTTCGAGCTCAATGCACTAAGAGGAGGTGGAAATTAGTTCGCAGCTCAACGACAGTCTCTGTTGAGAAGCTGAGACTTCTCAAGCAGCACCGTGTCTAAGAAGTCGCTTGTTGATTGTTTGAGAAGAGCATGAAGATGATGACATAGCGAGCGCGTGATGAGGATGAGTGCGTGTGAAGTGAGGGAGAGCTAGTCAGAGCTTGTTAGAGTGGCAAATAAAGCCTTGTACTAACATCATTACAACCCAAGTGAAGACCCAAGATACCCTTCCTGCGGTGAGATGGCTGCAGACCTGCCGAAGGACCCGGCCGTTGTGTCGCTACATGTTTCGCACGGTATCGTAGGCGTTGGTGCGCTACGCTGTTCAGCTCACGCTCGGCATCTGCTCGCCCAGGGCTGCAGACTCAAGTCGCTAAAGTCGCCTAGAGTACCTCAGCCTCTTTGAATAAGACACAGATTGCGGTCGATCTGCTGCTCGCCATCCCGGCCCAGTTGCTGCGCCATCCAGCCAGATGAAAGTGAGGACCCTGCTGAGTCTTTACACCCATTTTGCGGTGTCCCCGACCTTTACCTCACGGCTCTGTTGTCGATTCCAGAGTACCCCTACGTAAGTGAAGTCATGCTGTTGTAGCTTTTCATCGCCCATCAGCAGTTGGTCTGTAATCGGAACGTTCAGCGAATCAAGACCATGAGCGTCCGAGTGGTTTGAAGGGCAGATCAGTGCTTGAAGGTTGATTGACACAGCTATGGTAGCCCAGACGCACCACCAAAGAGCAGTGGTTCAGCCTGAGCAAAGCGAAAGCCCACTCTCCAGGACATCATCTATGCCGTCGCGGCCAGGGAGCTGAAGGTGTACTGTCAGCAGCGCTCTTTTGCTCCCGCGCGGTAAAGACCTACATTAATCAAGTGGCACTGGTGACCTTCCTCAAAGCAGCCTCACATCACGCTGCCAGACATCACCACAAGGCATGGCTAACCATTGTCTCGACTGAAGGTTTGGTCGTCGTATCGTCCTTACGTAACGATGATTGCGCCCGTAAGCGCTCGACGTTTGCCATCACCTCCGCAGGACCTTCGATCGTGATCCTGGCCTCAAACTGCACGGATCGCATAGTCTTCGCATCGAGGCTGGGCAGTCGAGTTTTCGCGAGCTCCTCTATGAGCTTCTTGACTTGTGGATCCACATTATCTTCACTCGTGCTGTCCATCACGATGATGACGCAATGGCTAGCGTAACTACATAATTGGTCTGCTTTTGGCGGCGCTGCCGTAGCTTCGGTCGACATGCTCTTTAAACTATCTTCGTTCGTGGGAGTTCTCGAATAAGTTAGATTGCCTTTTGCCGAGCTGCGGGACGAATAGCGCGCTATCATGCCCTGTGCGGGAGAGCGGTGAGGTGGGAGTTTAGCTAGAGCTAGGTGAACCGTAGTGAATAGAGGCTGCTGAATGTAGCATAATGAGTCGGTGCGCATGGCGCGCACGCGAGGTGCTGTTCTGATGAGGCTGGCACAGCGGCTGACCTGCCCTGCGGTATGGGCCATCGCTCTCGCGTTCTTCAACATAGTGACCGCTCAGTACAGTAGTGTTGATGGATGCCCGCAACGCATGCGGAATCAGGTCCGGTTGCACTGTCTCCGTCGTGCTGCCTGAAGAACGCGATAGGCGTCGAAAGCGTGGTTGCGCACGTTTTGCGTTTCTAAGGATATGAAGGTTGGCTGGTGTCACCAAAGCGAGCGCGTGACCCAAATCTGTGGCTAGTATGACGTAAAGTCACCCAGCATCCGCCCCGACACTCAGTGAACCTCGAATACATCCGTCATGTCTTCTACCGTCTTCAAAAGCGGTGCAAGCTTGTTCGCATCTCGGAACGCCTCCGGCACGTTCTCCCTCATCTGCCGCAGCTTCTCTTGCACGTGGTCATAACTGCCCTCTTTCGCCGTATACTGCCGTATGACCTTGTTCGTAGCATGCTCTACGTACACCCTCGTATCTCTGATCCTCACTATCACGCCGTCCAACCTCAAGAAGAAGCGGCTCAGTATGAGTAACCGCTCTGGCATGACCCGTAGCTTGACGCTGAGTAGCGCAATGCCATTATCCGCAAGCTCGTCCTCGTAAAGATCAACAGTGTCGAAGAACAGAATGGGATCCGGTCTTGACAGCAGGTCTGTCCGGATTGGGAACCTCTCCTGCGTCGTCTGCTCCCACGCCCCAAGCGCCTCACCCGGGTGCGTACTGCCTTTGTAATCGGTACTATAGCTCCAGTCAAATGGCTTGACGACCTGCTTTACCTCATCTTGGTGGCTTCGCTCCTTCTTCCACTGTTCCGCTACCGCAACCTGAAGCATACCCTCCTCCGTCTTGCTTACTTTGTCCAGCGCATCTCTTGCGTTAAACTCTAGCGACCAGCCAGTCTTGATGTGAGTCAGCGACACAATGTTGTCACCAAATATCATCTCAGGAATGGGTATGCCTAACTCATTGGAGAGAGCTTCAATGGGTTCGGCCTTCAGAATTGGCTGCTTTCTGGTAGTGACATTCCACGCGCCATTCCTGCTTGTGGTACCCTGCGTACCACCCGCTTTTGTAGTTTCAACTCCATTGGCCGCCATGGCGCTGCCGACGTGCTGTGCATGTGTAGTACAGTATCGGAGCGACGTTGATGGCTTTGAGGTGGAGTTGAAGCTTCCGAAGCCGACTTCACAATGACTCGGAAGGGCTCGAACGTCGAACAATTACAACAGGGCGTAGAATAGAGCGACGACCATTCTCCACCCTTCTCGCAATATCATTATGAACTATTCAACCTTCAATGATTATCGTGCGCATGATTTGATGGGCGCTCGTATCGTATGCATGCCGGAACGATGAAGAAGCACCTCACCATTGTGATCAAACTCGGTAATATCGACAGCGCGTTTGCAGACACGAAACACTGACAGAAGTAGGTACATCTTCCATCGTACACGAGAAGACTCATGAGCCGTTGTTGTCCACACTCTCCACAATCGTAGAGACTGCCGTCAGCCTCCACCATGAAGGGCACCGTATTATCATCTGCTCGTCAGGAGCCATCGGCATGGCGCTCCGTCAGATGGACATGGACCGCAGACCCAAGCATCTGCCACAGGTCCAAGCACTCGCTGCCATCGGACAGTGCAAGCTGATGAGCATGTGGGATCAATTGTTTGCCCACATGAGGCAACCTGTGGCCCAGATCCTTCTAACCCGCAATGACATCGCAGACCGTACGCAGTACCTCAATGCACAGAATACGCTGCATGAACTCCTTAGCATGGGCGTTATACCCATCGTCAACGAGAACGATACCTTGAGCGTACAGGAAATCAAGTTCGGCGACAACGATACGCTTTCAGCCATCACTGCCGGCATGGTACAAGCAGACTACCTCTTCCTGATGACTGATGTCGACTGCTTGTACGACAAGAACCCTCGGACGCATCCTGATGCGAAAGCCATTGAGGTCGTTGAGGACATTGCTGAGCTAGCTGCAGACGTTTCCAGTGCTGGCAGCTCGCTTGGTACAGGAGGCATGGGCACCAAGATCGTCGCAGCCCGGCTCGCCACTGCCGCAGGAGTCACTACAGTCATCACCAGAAGCAGCAAACCTGGCAACATCGCCGCCATCGTTCGCTACGCGGAGGGGCTGCGATCCGCTCAACGGAGCTTAGAGAGCAGCGGCGAGCTTCAACCGAAGGTACCGACTGAACCACAGCTGCTAAAGACTGCGATAGTCAATGGCACTTCCACGCCTCGCTTGGAAGAGCCAGGCTTGCCGCCGCTGCATACTCGCTTCCTGCCGGACCCTCATCCGATCCGTGACCGCTACTTTTGGCTTCTGCACGGTCTTGCGCCGCACGGTACACTTTACATTGACGCCGGCGCCCATGCTGCGTTGAATAATAAGGCTGGTCTGCTTCCCGTCGGAGTCGTTGACGTGGAAGGCACATTCGGTCAGCAAGAGTGCGTTCGCCTTTGCGTCCTGCCGTCACGCAACGCAGCCCTAAACGAAGGTGAAGAGGTTGGTAGAGCGCTGGTGAACTATTCCGCCGCTGAGATTAAGCGTATCAGAGGTGCGAAAAGCAATCAGATTGCCGAGCTGCTGGGTTACGCAGACAGTGAATATGTAGCATGGAGGGAGAGTGTTGCCTTGTTTAAGCGCGAGCTTAGCAGACCGGTGACGCCAAGTGGAGAGAAGAGGTTGAGCATGGGGCGATTGAGTAGTTACATCGATGGGTGAATTCTTGCCGTTCAGTCGTGCCTGCCATCGGCACAGTGTGGTACCGGCGCTAGTGCTAGGGCCGAGCTTGCCTTTGCTCGTGACAGCAATAACACATGTGACAAGTGCCTGCTTGAGCAGGCAACTGAAGGCGTCCGTCCAGCAACTTCACAATATCTACTAGCTGCTGTCGGAACAAAGGCTGTCGTGACTCGCATTGGGAACGGTCGAAGAAAGCGATATCATGCAGACCGGCACCGGCACCGAAGAGAGTGCAAACCTCGAAGACATCAAGCACGCCAACGGCGGCGAGCGTTACGAAGCCAGTGACAGTTCGGACGACTATGAAGCGGCAATGTCCACATATGCCGCGGCGCTCGTTTCAGAAGAGCGCCACAGCAGACGGGCCATAATGAGCGGCTCACTCACGACGTCCGGCGACCACGACCTCCACCAGATCGTGGCGTCTAGAGCAGGCCCACAATGTGTTCGGCAAACTGTTGCCTTCTTGGACCTGTCCGCCGAGCTTCGCAATCGCATCTACGAATAAGCTTTTGGCGCGCACAATGATCTCGAACCCGCCCTCATCATTGCTAGTCCTTACCTGGACGTAGCAACGGCGGTAGCCGCCCAGCTGGCGATTGCATCCATATCTAAGCAAATCCGAAAAGAATCACTCGCCATGTTTTACACCGTGACCTACTGGGTGGCGTACATCGAGATTCACAATATTGAGCCACTGATGAAAATGGCTACGGGTAGTCACAAGTGTGGCAAGGCCACCAACTGTGAAAGTGCACGTTAAGCTTCTGCCTTCATCCGGGATGAGGGTCGATCTGCTCCCCTTCATGCGAGACTGGCGAGGTCTGAAGCATGAGACGATTCATTTGATTATACACAATTGTTTCCCAAACAGCGCTGATTCCGGCTTGCGGTCTTTGCTCGCGATGGTCGTGGATGGCGCTGAGAAGCTGGCAGCGCAGGGCTCTTGCAACCAAGAAGCACTCAAAGCCGAGTGGTGGAAAGTGCAGGAGAGGTGGCGGTGTGACAACTCGTACGAAGTGGCGTGCCAGGCAGGCGAGCGTAGTACATGTAGGCTTGGGTGCTTAGCGCGAAGGGGGCAGAGAGCGTGTCTCGACGGAAGGGAGGTGGTGACCTTGGACTTTGTTGTAGGCAGGAGCGATTGCAAGACCATCACTTGCCTTTTGTGGTGTGAGACGACCTGCTTGTTTTGCCAGCCCAGGCACATCATTCGGTTTCAGTTGTAAGACTCCTCGGATCCAGCCACGATTTGTTCGAGACGCTAGAAGGTAGCAGAATAATGAAAAGCTTGGAATGAGGACCTTCAAACACGTCCGGCATTGCTTGCTACCCGCACTCTCCCGGCGTGTCTCACACAAGATGTATCTCTTGATTAACGGCTGTAAAGTCTTTCTCACCCTTCATTAGGCCCTGTATATACGACTCGCCAACGATCTCGTGACAGCCCTTTCCCACCGATCGCAGGACAAATGGCGTCCATCCGCCGTCGAATTGCGCTATTTGATCGCCAACACGAACCGTAAATGGACCCAACCCTAGGTAGCCGCTCGCTGTAATGAAGAAGGTGCGATAGGTGACGCAGCCTTTTACATAGACCGCAAAGTTCCGGATGTCGAGCTGATTGTCATCGAAGTAAAGGACCTGCCTTCCATCTACCCTGTGGTTTGTGTTACGAACAGCATCCAGGTAGCGGAAGTAGGTTTCTGCGTGCGTCCAGCGTTGAAAGCGTGTGAGAGAGTGATCGAATACAAGTAAACGCGCAAAAGCATCAACCACGTCTGAAGTACGGACGACGGCTAGATTGAGATGCTTAAATGCTAAGCATCGCCATGATTCGAGGTAGATCAGACCAAACTCTCGAGGACTGATACCGCGCAGTCGAACATGTCGACCTACTGCAACCACCTGATCATGCAGCGCGCCGTAAACGGTGAGTTGCTTGCCGTCTTGGCTCAACACAGGCGTTCTGTTGGCCAAGGCGAAACGGACAGGCTCTCCCTCGGGTACGAGATGCTTAAGGCTGTAGTAGATTGGCGTGTTCCAGTTCCAAGCCGTCCAATCTGGCACCCAGCTAGGCAAGCCTTTCACGTTGCCTATCACGTTGTTGCTGGCCAGACCAAGAGGTCGAAGGTCACCTTGCAAAAGATATACTCTTGCCACTCGACGGTAAAGTTCCGATGTAGGCTCGTCATAGTCGACAGTCTGTAATTCAGAGGTGTCGACAAAGGACCCTGAGGAGAGATGCGTAGGTTGATGCTTGGCCAGACCGAGGATGGAGAACACCCTGTCGAGTGGTTCTGTGCAAAACCTTCCTCGTGCCAACTGCAAAGTCTCGAGAAGGTCCAGTCCGTAATCGACCCAGAGGCAAAAGTGTACCAACGTCGAGGCAGCGAAGTCGTTTCTCACAGCTTGGCTACTAACCATGTATGCAATAAGCCGAACAAATTTGGTCCATTCAATTGTAAAGGAGCCACGCTGCATGATAGCGTGTGGTGTCAGGCATGCCTCCTGCAGTATCCATGTCCGCATGAACTGCGTAAGATGTCCGTGTCGTCAGCCCCGTGAACATCATGATCATGACGGCGAAGGAAACGTGCAGACTCACCCACTGGTCGAGCAGCAACTTCCAGAAAGGATTCCAGCGCTCGTCCCTCAAGTCCGGCAGCCGGCGCTGTTGCATTTCCTGTGCTGTTAGTGTATGAGCCACTTCCGAATACCCTGTTCTTGCATCAACAAGCTGTACCATCTGAGCAAGTTCTTGAAGCAAGCTGAAAGCCTCAGCTGTTTGCTCATCTTCATCACCGAGCCAGAAGACACCCCGTAAAGCATGCTCATATATATAACCCATATGCCGAACTTGTACGCTACGCTCGTGCTTGTTGCTCTGATCAATACACAATGCATCGACCCACAGCCGTCTTGTCCCTTCCAACAGGCGCATTCGTCGGAGCAGTAACGCCAGATTCACGCCAACACTGATGCTGGAGCCGTTGCAATCGATTATGATCCGTGACTTCTGGTCGCCCCAAACGTATGACACTGCTTCGTAGTCCTCAAGCTCGTCCATTGGAATCATTCGCAACACGCCACGGATCGGTTCATTCCACTGACCAGGCGCGAGCTCGAAGTAACGCGTGTAGCGATCATTGGGCAGGGTCTCGTAGACATACGGACTCAATCTGTTCCCTTGAGCCTGTCAGCTGCGGACAGATATTTGGTTCGGACGAATGTACCCGTGGACAGATCCAGGAATGCCCGCTTTTGGTCGTTTGACTCGTCGTGGCGATCGCATGTTGCGAGTAAAGCTGCTTACAGTGAGGTTTGGGGCTCTCAAAATTGAAGGTCATCGCTGCCACTGACCGCACGCGATGGCTTTTGATTAGGACCCAGCTTAAGGCCTTGCTGAGCAGACCTGCATTTGGGAGATACGTGACAAAGAAGTTTCGAATGACAAATGGGAAAGAAGTTCGGAAGCATTCTATTATGAAGCCGACTCGGTCTCCTGTGTCCTGGTTTACGCTGTGAAACGGCAATGCGGTCATCAGGTGATAGGGCGCCTCCCTCCATGGCCTGGGACACAGGCAGCATGACCATCATATATCCGAATCTACTAGGCGAGCATGTCGGCGGCACAGGCATCGTACGGCACAGTAGGCTTGGGAGGGTCACCCCCTTGCAAATGCAGGATCAGATGAGAGCGCACAGATGCAGGACTGCGCAGTCTTAAGCGATACGACCCTTGGTAGGCGCCTTAAGCTTGTATTGGTGTGATGGGATGGTGAAACAGCCCAACCACTTACGCATCCCACACGAGGTATCCTGCTAAGCGCCGGAGGCCGCCAGATGCCGTGGCGGAGCGCTCCATGCCGGTAGCGACTCCGTAATCTCCGGGTCCAGCTCCACGCGCTCATGGTGTGGAAAGAGAGAGTGATAGCTTCGTTGTAACCAAACGAAATGCGTGCGCGGTCCAGTATCGTACCTGGCACGTGAGCAGTATCAGCTTCATGCCGCAGCTCACGTGTTCCGCCAGAGTGGCCACTCGCTAGATTGCAACATCTTAATCTAAGGCGGACTGTAGAAAGGGCGAGGCTGCACAATCTATTCAGCATGCTCACTCGAGAGCCTTACACGGCTTGCCAATAAAGGCATGCACCACGTGCAGTACACAGCTCACTGGGGTGTCGCAATGTCGACCGCGCAGCAGCCAATCAATGCGGAGCGCACACGCAGTGGCAAACGTGGCGGTGCGTGGCCGTGCAACATGCAGGTCGCTCATTGCTGTCCGGGAGGCGACTGCTACGTAGCGGCGACAATGTTTGGACTCTGAACACGTCTGCAGGTGTCGTAATCTCTGTGCTGATGACTGCGGCCACGTACACAAATAACAGCATAAGGTGTGGCTTGAATAAAGTTTGGCAGGAAGAAGCAAATGGCCAAGCTTTCCCCGTGACGTCGCAATTGCTTCCCGCCGCTTGGCTTCGACCTTTGACCACCAGCCATCTTCGACTTAGAACCCCACGCTGCGACTCTCACCCCTACCGTATCGGTACTACAGGCGCGCACTCTTCCAGGTATGTCCTTTGCGGTCACATTGTCTCGAATCGAAGCTGTTGCGGAAGTGGGCGCTCTCTCGTACTGCGAGCCACGGAACAGCTGACAATGTACAGGAATAGCCGAAACACCCAGACTCCTATCGAACGTCCATATCCACAACCGGCATAATGTCGAACCAAGGTTACTACGGCGGCCAACCCCAGCAGCCCCAGTATCCCGGTAACACCTAGTATGTTCCTCATATCTCTTCTGGTGGTTACCTTGAAACACAGGTCCCTCGCTGGTGCTTGCGCAGGTAACCAACTGACAAAACTGCAGTGGTGCGCCGCAGCAGGGAGGATACGGAGGCTACCCACCGCAACAATACCAGGCTCCGCCGCCGATGCAGCAACAATACTATCAGCAGGGACCACCTCCGCGACAGAGTCGTGGTGGAGGAGGTTGCTTCCAGGCTTGCATCGCCACGCTCTGCTGCTGCTTTGTCTGTGAGGAGGGTTGCGAGTGCTGCGCAGACTGCTGCCAGTGCGCGGAGATGTGCTGCTAAGGAAAGAGAGCGGATGAACGAAGGCAAATGCGCGGAGGAGAATGAGGAGAAGGGCGCGGCGGCGTGAAGATGGTGCGCCGATTGTGCAGTAGGAGATGGCACAAGGAACCTGTGGAATGTATTGCAGCTTGGACTGGAAAGCGCTTGGCTTGAAGCTCATGGTTTTCTTGATGCTGGTTTGTGCAGTTTGCGTTTCCCTACGGTAGTTTTGTGCATATGACGACTTGATGAGCATTCCGCGACTACAGACTTGGCCCTCTCACTGTTGTCTATTGCCCGTATGATCTTTACGTTGAGCCAGAGGGCATAAGGTCAAGCTGTCACGGTGTGGTGGCCGGTTGACGCAATCCGTATCGTTCGAAATCCGCTTGGTCCATTTCAGATTGTTCCACCCCACTGGCCGAACTCGAGTAGCTCCGGAAGCTTGATGTACCAGAGTCATAAGCTTGGCAGTAGAGATCGTAATACAAAGGGTCCTGATGCGCCATGAACGACCGACATCCTGTCGCAGTGGCCGTTCGTGAGAAGTCTGTCGCGTTATCACAGTCCCGTAGCTATCCGGGCCGAACGAGGTAGGCGCCAAGTGACCTATCAAACTTCTCCACGCGAATGGGCATCTCCATGGCGTAGAAAGGGTTCTTTACCACGAAGTCGCCATAGATCTCATAGCATCTCCGCACGACAATGTCCGTATTCGGCTGCTCCGGGCTCGTGAAGAGCAGAAGTTTGACACCGGTCGGAGTTTGGAAGCATGTCAATCGAAAATGACTGCTTTCAAGGCTTTGGATACCAGTAGTCTGCGGTCTCCGATAGCCTGGCGGTGGCTGAACGGCAGGAGCCGGGTTGATAGACCTCGAGATGGCATGGATGCCGTGGAACGTGCCTGCTAGAATGAGGTAGTCGTTGCTATCTAGCTTCTGGAGGCCTTCGTGGAATGTCCGATTGTATATTAGGCCGCCAGCTTTGTTGATGATCAGCAAGGCAAATACGACCCTTGGCAGACGTTAGCTGGCTGGTATAGCGGCACGGTACATCGCACACATACATCGTCACATCGTCGACTAGTATACAAAAGATTATGTAGCTAGACCGTGTCCTACTCCTGGCTTATCTTTGTGCCGTGACTTTGCTATGCTGCAGGTGTTATTCGTTGTTCGTTGTTCGTGCCTTGTGGCCTTACGGTTACCTCTCGCTGCAAGCAGAGCAAGGGTCTTGCTGCACCCCACAACTCCCAAATCAGATCCCTGCGAGTGATCGACATGGGGCTAGATGCTCGTGAATGCTACTGGTTTCACACTGCCCTGCGACAAACAGAGCTGCCATCAGGCGACAGCAGTGCACTGTCGCACCTGTGTCCCTCGCCTCATTTAATACACCTCTAGTTCCAGCAGGCATCCCCGCACGTATGAACATGGTACCTCCACATCGTCCATCTTCGCTTTCCTGATATTAGAGACGCTGTCCAGCAGTCAGCATGACAACGCCAAACAGCGCCGTGAATACTGCCGGCTCTATTCAGCGTATTACAAAGGAGCTTGCGCATATCCAGAAAGGCGAGGACTTGTCGCTAGCCGTAGCTCACCGTGATAGCGATGTGCGCAAGATTCGTGCTCTGATCATTGGGCCGCCAGAGACACCCTACGAGTACGGCTTCTTCGAGTTTGAGGTTAAGTTTCCCAAGGTAGGTGGATAAGCAGCATTTTGATTCTAGGCGCACTCATGAGTACCCTTCTTACTGTACCAGGAATATCCAATCAAGTCGCCACACTGCCGCGCCATCACCACTAATGGTGGCCGCACTCGCTTCAATCCAAACATCTACGCCGAGGGCAAGGTATGCTTGTCTATCCTCGGCACATGGCGCGGTAACCCAGGCGAAGAGTGGTCGAGCGCTCAAGGTCTGGAGAGCCTACTGTTGAGCGTGCAAAGTCTCATGAGCGCCAATCCGTACGAAAACGAGCCCGGCTACGAAAACTATGACAAGAACCAACCGAACCCGAAAGCATATGTCGAGAAGATCCGGCATGAGACTCTTCGCGTGTCCGTTATGCAACGTCTAGAGGTCTTGTTGGGCATCTCCGCCGATCGTGATGGCTTCTACCGCACACCCAAACGACCGCGTACTTTAGGCAGCTTCACGCCCTTTGCAAGCAGTGATAGCGGCTCGCCGAATGGCAACGGTGCTAGTGGCGCCAGCACGCCGGCGACGGAAGGCTCGGTGTACGAATACGATGCCGACGCCGCATTGTCCGCGCTTGAGGACGAAGGTCAATGGAACCCTTTTGCAGACCTGCTCAAGCGACGTTTTCTGTGGTACTACGATAGCTACGTACGTGCCGTCGAAGCTGGCGTGCAAGATCACAGGCAGGGCGAAGCATTCACGCGCATGGAATTCGAGTATCCACCAAACAGTATGGAAGGGTCTTTCGACTATAAGAGTCTACACAAACGACTCGATCGAATCAAGCAAGCGCTTGACGAAGAAAAGCACCACTGGGCGGAAGTAGGCACGAAGCAGGTTGCTGACTGCACGCAGCTGGCTACGATGCTCGGCTTCGTTTTCCGTCAATTAGAGCATAAATGGAACGGCGTCAAGCAGACTCAGTCAACAAACGACTACAACGACGGGCAAGCGGACGACGACCTTGACGGCGGTGACAGCTTCTTCGACGATGAAGATGTAGTTGAACCTCACGACCGTGCTCACTCTCCACCCGCTTCGGATTGCTCGGGACTCGAGATCAGCTTAGCCGAGGAGAATAACCCGTTTGTTTGGAACATCACCTTCATCGGCAAACCCTCAACCAACCTTGAAGGTGGCATCTTCAACATGACAATGCACATTCCGCCAACATTCCCGGACGCGCAACCGCGAGTGAAGATACACACACCCATCTTCCACCACCGCGTCAGTAGCGCCGGCACGCTATGCTACTTCCCGAAGGCTCTGGACAACATTGACTCACACCTGGAGGGCATCGTGGCAGCCATTGAGGATCACAACCCAACATACGATCCGCGTGCAGTCATCAACCCGGAAGCATTTGCGTTGTATTGGGGTGGCGACGAGAAACGCAAACTCTACAACCGTAAGCTACGGCGAAGCGCGCAGGATAGCTGTGAGTGTCTCGGTTGAGCAGCCTTACGCGTGAGTAGTGCTCGCGAATGGCGCTATGGCTTTTGTGCTGACCTCAACTGGTTGCCCTTCTCAGACCTCGATCTAGACCCGGCGAAGGCTCGAGGAAGAACCGTCGGGGTGCTCCTGGTCATTCTTCAGCGGTCGAGGCTTACGGACTGGTGACGGCGTTTGGGTAGGCGTCTGCGGAAGAAATAATGAGTACGAGCAACGGTGCTTGCTCTTTCAAAATGCGGTCGCGGCAATAGCTGCTTTACTGCGAAGGCGTTCCGAGGTGGCGGAGGACTGTGATACCCGCATTGAGTATGCTGAAGATTAGCGTTGGTGCTGCTGGCGTTCATTGCTATCGAACATTGAGATGGACTTATCCGAAATCGATGCTTAGTTGAGTACGTCCGTACATGCGACATGGAGTCTAAGCTGCAGGGAGCTCTTTCGGCCGTCCACTCACACACGTCTCACCGCATTACTCATCCGCTTCAAGGAGACATAACACGTCCAGCTCTCTTCTGATAAACTCATCAAAGTCCGACCGTTCCATCCCAGCGCTCTTCGCCAACCGAAACAAACTCTTGATATCCGTGCTGATATGCTGCTTTATGCCCAACTGTGCGCGATCCGTAACTACGCTCCCACCCCTCTGTGCCTGAGATCGCGCATTTGCTTCGGCTTCCTCCGCAGACATGACCTCTGCTTGCTCTTCCAGCCTCTCGACGCTGCCTTGGGAGGAGGTAGGCGAAATAGGCCGCGGCATGGAGAGGTCGCCCGCGGGCCCGTCGCGCATGTATTGTGCATTTGCGCTTGCGAGCACGGAGTCGTGCGCCTTATCAGGCGCGAGATTGTTCGTTTCGAGACCTAGTGGGACGTATGTGCGTTGTGGAGGTGGGTTGTCGGGTCGTAGCGAGACTGGCGCTGGTGCTAATGCTGGTGCTGGTGCTGCTGTGTCTGGAGTTTCTTCGTCTGGGTCGTGGCCGTCCATTGCTGGTTGCACGCCGCCATAGCGAGCGAAGTATTCTAGTTCGGATTGTGATCGTTGGCGGTTGCCGCTCTGTAGAGATGTGCTTGCTGGCGGAGCAGGGGAGTGCTTCTGGGCTGGTGTGCGGCCCGGTGTGCGGTCGTATGCTGCCCAGTAGCTGCCGTCGTCTTCGTCTTCCTCGTCGGCAGGTATCGAGAAGGCTGCGTGACTGCTCGTGTGGCCGTTGTTCTGCGGTACGGGTATTGTGTGGGTCGAAGCAGCATCGTTTGCTTCCAGTACCGAGTCAAACCATGGTGCTCCGTCCTCAGCGTCTTCAAGACTTCGGAGCTCGGTGAGCTTCCATCCTGCTCCTGTCTCGCCGTGCTCATCGTTCTCGCACCATACGAATAGAGGCGAGAGTTCATACTGATCCACGTCCAGCCTGGAGTGCAAGGTTTCGTCGTCTAGCCGTCTGTACTTGGCGGGACGTACGTCTCCAAGATCAAGCTCGCCGGATACAGGATGTGCTTCGAGCTGCATCCTCTCGACAACGTCTGGTAACCTGGCGGCTCTTTCCTCGTCCCAGGACAAAAGCGGTAACCAGCCTTCGGCGCTATCGCTCATGAAGTTGACTCTCTGCCGCAATGTCGGTGCCAGGATGGGCATGAGAGCCGGAGGAGGGCGTGGTGCCATGAAGGCTGTTGGTAAACATGCTACAAGTGGTGGCAGTAGCTCGCGTGAGTCAGGTGGAGGTGGTAGATGCATGGCAGGCGGTAGTGACCGTAAGACGAGTGGTCGTGTGCCGAGTACACAAAGTACACAGACAAGAGATATGCAGGAGCTTAGTAGTCAGATGTATCGGTAGTGCTTATCCCATCCGGCCGGTTCAATGGAGCTTTCTTGCCTACGGACCAAAGATCGTCACAGGTGAGACATTCTTGCACTGCCTTCTTCCTCGCACGTGGCTATGAAACATAAATGGAGAAGATGTCGTATGTGCGGAGAAGACGTAGAATGTCTCAAGCAGGAAGAGAATACTGGATCGTCTGCTTACCTCGAGGCGCTCTAGGCGTGGAGCTACCTGCTCTGGCGTTTAGCAAAGCGTACAACCATCTCCGGTCACGAGGTCTCGTAAACACTTCGTGAGAAATGTGACGTGCGTGGGTCTGGAGGCTGGTTCGGCCCAAAGGGAAGTTGCTGAGCCTCGCTACCGGTACTCGCTCGGCTAATGTGCCCATGCACTACCATGCAGCAACGCCACGTGACGCGTTTAGTCGGCGACGCGGAGGCAGTCACTTGCCGACCTCTCCTACGGTTATTGAGCCTGTTAGCCTTGTAAACTACGCGTTCCAAATACCACGTCAAGAGGCATAGGACAGTGCTCATCAGAGGAGCGGCAAGCAGTCTCGCCAGAGCGCGTTGATACGCGCAACGCTTCCAGCTGGAGCTCGCACAGCAGCAAATTTCAGACAGAAGCGCCGCTCCTCCGTCTCAAACATGGTGTTTCAGGACGAAGTGCACGCATGTACGCGCCGAACAGTCTCCTGTACCAGCAGAACCCCTCCACGGGACATCGACAGCCCCTTGTCTTCTCTTGGCGTATATTGAAGCGACGTCTACCATCATTGAAGCTTTGCCCAAATGAACATGGCCATACCATGCTCGCCGGCCTGGTACATCCCTTCCCATACGCTCGAATGCTTGGTTCGAGCGTGATTCCAGACTGACACAGTACGTGGCGTTGAGTCTGGGCTCTACAGTCTGCCTAACTCTGTTGTTCGCTCGGTGCATACATTGCTATTGACTCCTGCGAGTGCTGCATCTCTTTGTCTTCCATATCAGTTTTTCCCAGCAGTATGCGACTGCGTCTCTGCGTTCGCTCGTCAATCTCCAAACACAGAATCTGGCAGGTGCAGATCCAAAGTGTTCATCTCACACCGAAGAGAAACAACGTACCATGCGTTTTCCTTTCTTCAGCTCGTACTTTCTGGCATCGGGTGTTGCTTGTGCAGCATCTCTGCAAGCGCAGCATTCTTCGGGCGCAGAGCACATTGTGCTGATTGATAAAACGCACCCAATGCCACCACAAGTTGCGGAAGTGCTCCGTCGCTTAACGCTGAACGAGACGCATCCGGACGTTCGGTATGTTTACAATAACAGCGCGTTCACTGGCTTTTCCGCTTCGATGGGATCGCACTGTCTTGACCTTCTTGCAAACATGTCCGACATTTCAACGGTTGAGAAGACTACTGTTGTTGCAAGGGCCGCTGTAGCAGGAAGGCAGACTTCGCTGGCATACAATACGCGACCCAACGCACCATGGGGACTGCAGCGCATCTCGACCGCTACCACGGTCGCCGGCAACGCACAAGCTTTGGGCTACACTTATTCTTTCGCCAACACAGCTCTCGGTCAAGGAGCCGACATCTACATCATCGACACTGGGATTTACACCAGCCACAACATCTTTAACGGCCGAGCGAAGATGGCCTGGTCGTATAATGAGGATATGACCGACTCTGACGGACATGGCACGCACGTCTCGGGAACCGCCGGCGGTGACATACTCGGGGTAGCGTCCAATGCGAACATTTTCGGCGTGAAGGCGCTTGACTCGGACGGTGGTGGACTCAGCTCGAATGTCATTGCCGGGATAGACTTTGTCGTGCAACAGCATGATGCACGCAGAACCAATGCAAACAGCGGCTCTCTTGGCTCTGTGATGTCGATGTCACTCGCTGCTGGATCGTCAGTGCAGGCGCTCGATCAAGCCATCAAGGCCGCAGTTGAGGCAGGTGTGCACGTAGTCGTCGCCGCCGGAAACAACAACCAAGATGCCTGTCAGTCGTCGCCGTCCTCATCTGGTGGCGTGCAAGGGCCGGCAATTACCATTGGCTCCGTCGGCATCACAGGCCAACGTTCAGCCTTTTCGAACTATGGAAAATGCGTCGACGTATATGCACCGGGAGAGGATGTTATATCGTCCTGGTTGGGCGGGCCGAACATGATCAAGTCTTTGTCAGGCACATCCATGGCAACTCCGCACGTCACAGGCATTGTAGCCTACGCTATGGCTAATGCCACTCTCGCCAAGAATCCATCGCTCATGAAGGAATGGGTTCAGATGACAGCGCTGCAACTGCCGGATGGAAGCCTTGTTGCGAACAATGGTGTCCAGTCGGGCGATGTCAGTAATGGCATGCTTGCTTTTCGCAAGGGTGCCACGAGGGCGGCACTCACGAAGGTCTATGGCGCTAGTGGTGGTCCGGCTTAGGCAGCAAGAGAAGTATAATTCAGACTCGGACCACAGTTGTTCGCGCTTCCTGATTGCCCGAGAACCGAGGTATTCCAGGTAAAAGGGCGCCCTCAGCACACAGCAAGCTTGCTGCAAGAACCTCCAGCATGCATAAGCGAGCCAAGGCCACGCATATCACGACCGCACTAGCTCCGTGTCTTAGGCAGCTGCCCTGCATGCCGTCCTACGCCCCGTTATGCGGCGCAGTCCACCGTTGCATAGGCTTCGGGCACAGCGGGATGAATCTACGAGCTGTCACTGGCTGCCCTCAATGCCGGTCACCATTAGAGGTGTGTAAGTACCGGTGAGTAATCAAGGACGAATTGGAACAGCTTCCAGTCATCAGAAAGGTCGAGACCTGAAGCTGAAATGCACTTGCGCTTGGCGCACTCGTGGTGTTGTCGCTACAGACGCGCATGTTGTGGACATTGCCAATACCTAGCCGCTAGCTGACTGGTGTAGAAATAAATATCAGGGGTATCATTGCCGTGTCATCGTGCCATTACATTAGCGACAGTGTAGGTTGTATCATCCATTTTCCGCCCATCCAAGCATAGGGAACCGTATCGTTGATCAGCCTTGTGTCCTAATCAGAAAGGAGAAAGCTCGTAGAGGTCCAGCAGGTCCACCGTCACTCTCATGCCAGGACTAGGCGCCCCTTTTGCATCGCGATGATCTGTTCGCTGAGCAGCCACGCCTCGGTCACCTCGTCAAGACGCCAGGCTGTGGGATGCACAATGTCCCCCTCGACCTTCTTCGCTGTCTCCATGTGCCGTCCGATGTGTTCCATCCGCTCGTCCCACGATCCCGACCCGTCGAAAGAGACGGCGCACTTCGCGAACAGACAGCCACTTCGTTGTGGCGCTGATCGCAGTAGCTTGTAACACCTTCTTGAAATTTCACCCAGAGCCTCTTCCTCTGCGTCAACCTTCCCGCCTCGTCCAGATGCCGCCTGTGTCTTTACTTTCGTTGGACTCTTCTTGTCATCGCGCGGGACAGGATGCATTCGCCTGACGTGCTGGATGAACAGATCTTTACGGTTGAAGTCGTTGGGCTTGCGTTCGCTGTTGGGGCATTGATCGCAGCGCCAGTAGCCCAGGCGCATGTGCTGCGTTGCGACGTGCCTCTTCCACTCGTTCTTCGATCCGAAGCTTGAGGTGCAGCCGTACTGCGCGAATGCGCACGGGAAAGGCCGCACGGTTGACAAGGTCGCGTCTGAATTGGTGTTCGACTCGTCGTGCGAGGAGGTGCGTTTGCCGGGGGACGGACGCTTGACCACCTTCGAAGCCAAGTATGGAGATGTTATTGCGCGTGTTGAGCTGGCGCGACGGCGGCGGATGACCGGTGCCGCCTCGCTCGAGGCAACAACGTTGCCGTCCGATGCGCCTGGATTGCACAGCTGGCTTGGTGAGCAAGACACTTCGGTATGTACGTCGTCATGCATTGGGTGATAACCTTCCTGCGCGTAGTGTCCATATGCTAGATGCTCGTCGTCATAGTGAACACTCTCCGGTTGCGCGTCGGCATACTGCTGGACATCATGTAGAGCCACGCAGTGTCCATCATTGAAAACATCACAACGCTCGTATGTAGAGTATCCGCCGCTGGCAAGGAAGCTCATGTTAGTGTACATCGCTTGCGGCTGATCTACAGCCGCCTTTACATGTGGTGAACGATTGGGCGTCATTTCGCGGTCGCTGAGGACACTGCTTGGATGCGACATCGAGATCCCACTCTCACTAGGCGACGGATAGCGGCATGGGAGTGATTGCAACGATCCCTCCGAGTCGACGTACCGGAGTCCGTAGACCGGTACGTCGGGAAAGGGCTGCATGGTTGGATCCTCCTCGAACTTGTTGGACATGAAGAACGGTCGATCGCGCTCTTGGAGGTATCGCTGCATAGGTTGGACGGGAGATGTCCAGGTATCGAGGATACTCCATGGTTGTTGGTACGCCGAGAACTCAGGGTTCCAAACCGTCTCCGTTGGAAGATCGGTGGACGAACATGCATGATGATTGAACGCTGCTTGATGCGTAGAAGCCATCTCTCAACGCGATCGTTGAATGTCCCTTGTCAATGCAACAAAGATACCGTGCAGACTGCTTGATCAACCCGACAGTGAACGCGTTGAAGAGAGTTCGACACTTCCTTGACTGTCAGCGTAAGATATATCGCGTTGACACTGATTGGGAGAGACGACGAGCTGGGCGCAGCAGTGTCAACGACGAACAATCTCTCAAGGACAACACGTGTGAAGGGCGCAGTTGCGCACCGCAGCGACAGCAACGTTGAGATGCCAGTCGATACAAGAGTCAGAAGCACAATGGTCGTTATGCTAAGCCTACCTGCAATTTACCGACCTACCTTTATGATCCCTTTGCAACGACACGACTGCAGAGCCGCAACACTCCACCAGCATCCAGGTGGGCGGCCTCCCGAACGGTAGGCTAGCCCCTACTGCTTGCATTGGAAACCGGTGAAGGAGACCGACGAATGAGCGCAAACGTCGAACAAGCCAACCGTTTTCAGCTTCAAGCGCGCAGCGATGCTTACCCCGATAAGGTGCAACGCTGCTCCGACTCCGGTCTAGAGGCGCTTCGATGGCGGTTGCGTTTGAGGAAACGGCGCGCATGCGAGGGTGCCCGCCCTGGTGAGATAGCGGATGTGCATGCCGCCCTGCAGGAAGCTGTTATGCACGTTCCTGACCGTCGGGAGGATCCCCGCAGGTCTCGGATGCAGCTCGCAGCACCTTTCGGTTCGCCTTACGGGTGGAGCATGTGTTGGGGGCTGCTGGAGAAGCACAACAGTGGCCCACCTCATCAAGCCTGCTCAGCCTGAGGCCGCTGTATACTAGGTTTTACCGCGCAATGGCACGCTCAGCTCCTGATCTGTTCGAATGTCTGATCAAGAATCAGGTGTTCATGCTCAGGTACGGAGAGCTCTACGGTGGAGGCAGAGCTCAGAGCTTCGCCACTCCCCACGCCAGCGCACAGGGCGGCCTCGGTTGAAGCGCAGATCGGAAGCCACGTCGCCTTGGCATATGGTTTGCCCTGTTGCCTTCGCGTCCCTCAATGTTGCGGATAACCTGACCACAGGATCAAACAAGCTGCACTCCGCTTGAGTGTTCCATGACCTGCAGCATATGACGCCAGGCGGTGCTTGCATGGACGGCTTCGCAAGGTAAAAGGACCTTCGAAGGATTGATGCATGAATCTGCGCGCTTAATGAGTGGATTGCAGAACTTCACGGCTTACACACAAGTCCACAACCTTGCAGCAATCCCCAGACATGCACGATGTGCCATGTACGGTAGCAAGAGCAAGTGTTGTGACGTTGTTGCGGGTAGGAGGTTGCACGCAACCACACGATTTTACGGCTAGTCCGCTGATGCCTGAACAGATAGCGTGATGTCAGTTGTTCTTGCTCCGTGGGAGAACCCCAGCCATTTCATCCCATCATCATGCCGTTCTGAACAACTATATGCCCTGAGCCGGCTGCGACGCCCTGTGTGCACACCAACTCATGCCTTCTCACAACCGCGACCTGATCTCGAACTTCATGTCTTCGGGTAAGAACCAATTGGCAATCTTGTCGGCCTCTGGCTTTACTATTGTTGTCGCAGCGTCTCTGACCGGCTTCCCACCGTTCAGCCAGGTCGCGATTTCCTCGTCAGCGTGCGCTTCAGCGTCGTAGCCATAGCATTCTAGCACCGTTTGAGGGTCGCCGTAGAGGTTTGCGCTCCTCATACATATCTCCCCCCGTAGCTCACCCTCCATAGTCCTGTCTCTAGCTTGTTGTGCGGGACCGTTCGGGAGGTGCCACAACCATCCGTTCAGGAAAGAGACCTGCTGCTTGTAGCTTGCCTTGGGCATGCGGCACTTCTCATAAATAGTAACGGCTTCAGAGAGTGCGAGCCGGCCGTTTACGACCTCCCGAAGACACCGTGCAAGGAAGGCGCCATCTTCCATACTAGTTGCCGCTCCTTGAGCCATGTGGTTAACCATTGAATGTGCAGCATCTCCCATGAGAACAATGTTCTTTTCTCTGTTGGACCACGACTCCAATGGTCCGGTCACCAGAAGCGGCCATCGCGAGATGGGAGGCTTGATCTTCTCGATGGTACGACGAATTCGTGGATCGTAATCCTTATACTCGTCCCGTACTTCTTGTACGTCCACTTCCTGGACTTGGCTGACGGGTGGATCACGGAAGTGCGAGAGAACCATATTGAAGTCCTTGGCGTCTGATATTGGATAGCTGATGATGTAACCTGTCGGCGCCATCCAGACCTCCATAGTCCGCACGGGGTTGCCGTCCTTGTCTTCCACAAGATCACGGGTGAGAGGGTCAGCCCGAACTTCGTCGTAGGGTACTATTGCTCGATAGGCGCAATTGCCAGTAGGCGGCTTAGGCTTGACACTTGGGAACAATGTCCTTCTGACGATCGATTGGACGCCGTCTGCTCCAATGACCAGATCAAAGTTGTAATCCTTGCCTTTCTCCGTGCGCACGCTGGCTCCGTCCGGTCGCCATTGGAGCTTTGCCACCCTGCTATCAATGACAATGTGGACGCCATTCGCACGAGCGACTTGCACAAGACCGTTATGTAGGTGGTCTATGGTATGGCTCACAGTCATTAGCGTTGTCTCAGATAGAAAGCACAGCTTTATTCAAGGGTTTCCGTACGTCGATGAACCAACCACCATGGATACCCTAGGGTATCCTCGACCCGCGAAGTGTTCGCGTATCCGACTGCTGTGCCGTCCTTATTTCGCAGGTTGAGTTCAGTGAAACGGACCAAGTCTGATCCAATCGCTTTGTCGATCCCATATCGTATAAGCAAGCTTGCTACATTCGGCGTCTAAGCTGTTAGCGGTAAGCAGAGATAGGCCGCCGTTGGTGACAGCCCACCATTTGTATGCCTGCGCCAATCTCTCCTAGCTGGGCTGCGGCTTCTAATATGGTGACTTTAGCTCCAGCACGAGCAATTGCAATGGAGGCCATTACGCCGCCAATGCCAGCACCAACTATGCCGACAGACAGTTCGCGGTTGGCCATAGTGCCTGCGATACGATCTCGCGTCTTGTACAGGCTGTATCCACTTTAGCGTTGCTGGACACGGACAAGGATCGAGACTGCTTTCGGTGAAATTGACGTGCCTCCGCCTCGATCAGCTAGCTGATGATGTGCATATGGTCTTAAAGAACTCGGGAGCTGGGTCGAGGAAGAAGAGTATGTGAAATTATAAGGAAACGACGGAAGTATATGTTCTAGCACCAGCATCAACTTGCGGTATTCCCTTGCTGTTCCCACTCGCGGCATACAGCACGCGAGTAAGTTCTGAGAGCTTGTCCCATGCCGATACTGGTAGTTAACACCCTGCTGCCGTCCAACCGATGCATGGTTGCATCTCCCCGCAAGCTTGCTCCTCAATATGGGGCCGAGAATCGTCCGAGTTGCAGCGATGTTGGAGAAGGTCGAAGTACTGATGTACATGTGCTTGGAGGACCATTCTCGGTAGGAACTCGGATGATATTAAGTGGAGGTTTGGCTCGGTTGCTGCATGTACTTGAAGGTGGTGATATGGGGAAGCGCTTCGTATCTCAAGCAGGGTACGCATGGACAGTGCGTCAAGGGTGGATTCTCAGTTCTGGCAGAGTCGGACAATCTTCTCCTCGTCACGTCCAAGACGAATATTGGCGCTATCTTACCGCTGTCGGAGGGTGCTAGGCCAATGAGAGACTCACGATAACTTGCCAGATGGTTTCGCGGCCTGTACCACGGAGGCCCCGGGCTTCACAGCCTGAAGGTTGTTCTGAATGCGATGTGTTTTTACACAGCTTCACCCAAGAGCTGAGGTTAACCCTACGTTAAGTCCTAACCTCCATCTACACTTCCTCAGCAACATCATTGGCTGCACCGGATTTTTCGTCACTCCCGCAGTTGATCGCCTTGACATCAATGACTCTCTTTCCGTTTTCCTTGGCCACTCTCTCCTCCGCTGCCGCTATCCTGCCGGTATTGAGACCGATCTTTTTCATGGCAAGCGACAGTACCCCGCTAATGACCGCCAGTGCCGTAAGACACCACGACACAGCATGCAGGTTCTGCAACACTGCCTTGAGTATGTCAAGCTAGCCGTGCTTGTGCGAGGTAGGCCACGTAGTGTCAACGGAAGCAAAGCTAAGTCAAGCGCCAGCCCAGATGCCTCGCTAGCAAGCTGGAGTGGCCTAATGAAGACTTGAACGCGTTTTGAGCGGTCGCGCCACCGATGGCAATGCCCATACATGACCTAGCGCGCGACAGAATGGTGTCAAGCCCGCAGCGATGGCGGCGTGCTTTGGTTCGGTCGCTGCTTGTGCTGCTATGGACTGCGCTATGGTGAGAACGCCAATCTCAGTGCCAGCAACGAGGTTGATGAAGATCCACGCTGCTACTGTCGTGTCCGCTCCCAGGATGCGGAGTAAGCCGCAGCCCCGGCCCAACGTAGCCCAGCCGACGGATATGATGAGCTTGTACTGGCCACTCTTAGCTTTCAAGATGCCCGTCATCGTTCTGTAGATACCGGATTCCGATTGCTCATGACGAGATCCTAACTTCGGAAACGCATGCATGGTCCAAACACCGCAAGCTAGTCCAACGCCTTGGCTTCCGCGGTGTTAGATATCCAAGCCCGTGCGAGCCTGACATTCAGCTGCTCTTTCAAGCAATCGGTCCCGCCATGAACGACGGTAGGTGGACTGGGACCGTTGACTTACTGGACCTCTTCCTAGGCATGGCGCTTGACATAACCTAAAGCACCTCTTCGGTGAATCGGCCGGCTTTCAATTTGCTGGAATGGAGCAGCGTGACAAGAAGCTTGGAGAGCTTCCCAAGCACAGCGGTGGGACTATGACTTATACCGAAGCCTACGAGACTGTCATGGCGAATAAAGCTTGGGTCAAAGTATTCGTTGGCCTATGGACCTAAGGAAGGACTTGTCACATCGAACGCTGTCGGCTTATCAACTCTATGCACAGTATTGCCTAGCTTGCGCTGTCCTCAACGACTCTGCGACTCGCCTGATCAAAGCAGCCATCGAGCGCTCTGAAGCGCACAAATCTGGTAATGATCATCACCACAGCCTCGTCGACGCACCTGTATGCGAGTACAATGACGTCAATCAGATTCGGAAGGTGATTATGGATCTGTTCACGGCCGCGCAGAGTATGACTGGGGGCACCTGTGCATGGTTATCCGCCGAGCTTGAAGCGCGACGTGATTTCTAGAAGACGATTCGTCGGGAAGTGAGAGCTGCAGTCATGCATCGGTGATGGTGGCACTCTTCACAGCTGATGAATGGCGGGTTCTTGCCGTCTTCGGCACCGCGACGGAACAGAAGACGCCAATGACCTGGGCCAAACTTCAGTCGTGCAGCCAGCTCCAGCATGTAATCCTCGAGACTCTTCGAGAGCATCCGGTTCTGCCGAACATTGGTCGCAATGCGCTTTTGGACACTGTGCTTCCCCGTGAGCGTGGTCCAGATTGGTCTCTGCCAATTCCAGTGCCAAGGTGCACCCTGGTGACGATGTGCCTTTATCGCATGCACGGACGATAGAAGGAATGGCGACCGGAATGCGAGCAGTTTCGGCCACATAGCTCTAGGTGATGCAATCGTTACCGACGTGTGTCCTCTCACTGACTGCATGCAGGGAGAGCCGCCGTCACGGCCCTGAGTACGTGCCGCTTTCTGCCGGCCCTCATGTATGCATCGCTGGTAAGTGGACTCCAGGATCCCAGTAGACACCGCAGCTGACTTCCGACTGGAAGAACAATTGATCATGACGGAGCTCTCGTACGTGACGGCCCGCTTCATGCAACGGTTCGATCCCATAGTGTCACTACCAGGACAGGACAATCTGACAAAGGGCTATAGAGTCCTCGTGCAGCCCAAGAACGGCGTGAAGGTGCGATTGCGCCCTGCAAGCGCTGCTTGAGGGTCACAGGCCATTGTGTATTCGGGAGGATTTGCGTCGCTTGCTTGGCAAGTGGAAGAATCGATCCGGAATCAACAAGGCGGTGGGAACACTTACTCCTCTAGCACTTCATGTTCGGAACGCCAAACTTATAGGCAAGCATGAGCAGCAAGTTCAGGTGGCCAAAGGGCTCCCAATTTGATCTGAGAGCGTTTTTGCGGCCTTCATCGTCTTGCATACCATGCTGGGCTCATCGAGAAGCGTGCCCGCGTCCGCTCTGTTTGTGGACAGTCATTCATGACTATCAGGGACTGGCATTCCCGTTAAGTGCTGTCCATTACTCCAGCCTCCTATGGTAGCCGCTCGCATCGATTGCGGGATATTGGGCGGTGAATGGTGAACCAAGGACACCTGTAACTTTTAGGTCTGCCGTGTTGTCGAAAAGTTTAACAGAAGTGAGCGATAGTCCATCGAAGTGAGGCTTTACCGTTAGTAAGCGGAAATCTATCACCCGGCACGCCGACGCTAGGCTCAAGATGGCAGGAAGGAACATGCTCGATTTATCATCGAGACACCTTAAGAAGGCTGCCATTGAAGTGCATACACCTGACTCTTCCTTTCCGGAAAGCGTTTCTTGCGACATCTCCTGACGGCCTCAAGGGATATTTGTACTGACAACGTTAGTTGGTCAAGTGCCGAGGACAGGCACAGTCTTTAGTGGCGACTCAAGAGACATTTCAATCTCTGTCGCAGACGTCTTAATATTGAATGCCTGCACAGCATGGCATTCGACCCTCTGAGGCCATAGAGAGTCCCACGGAACAGACACCATTGATTCCGCAAGGGCCTTCTACTGTGGACGCGTCCGCGGAAGTCGGCCTGGATAGCAATGTCAATGGCAGTCTAGACGGCACGACTAATGGCGTCCCAAACGGCCACGCAAAGCACAACGGTGATAACAGCGCTTCCGCAGGAAATGACGATGGCCACACGCCGGCAGCTCAATCAATGTCTCACGCAAGAACAGCACTCTGCACGTTCGCCCTCGGCTGCCTTATCTTCCTTCAGGCCACCAACATCTCGCTTCTCACGACCACCCAATCCGCCATTGCTGCCGAACTCGATGCGTTTGAGAAGACCAGCTGGTTCACGTCATCGTACCTGATCGCCATGAGCGCCCTCAGTCCGTTGAACGGCAAGCTCGCGAGTGTATTCTCACCACGAACAACCATCTTCGCAAGCACAATTATTCTAGCCCTCGGCGTCGTCCTCTCAAGTCTAGCGGAGAGCTTTGAAACATTCGTGACGGGACGAGTAATTACCGGTATCGGGGCAAGCGGTATCTTTACAATCAGCATCGTTATCACTCTCGAGCTGACTGGATCTAAGCGGAGAGGTGTCGCCATCGGTTTGCTAAACTCCGGCTACACGATCGGTGTTGCGCTAGGTGCCACAGCTGCTGGTGCTCTGCTTCCAGTCATCGGTTGGAGGGCACTGTTCTGGCTTCAAGCGCCTATCTCATTGATTGGCGGCATCATTCTGTTGCTAGCGATTCCGCACGACTTCACGGCCGGCAAGAAGGATGAGAGCGGTCACGCCATGTCCAAGCGGCTCGCAAGGCTGGATTACGTCGGCGCAATCACTTTGACAGCGTCGATCGTGCTGCTCCTTTACGCGCTGAGCTCGCCGAAACAGATACCCATCCTGCCCATCATATTGTCTGGTATCGTGCTTATCACCTTCGTCTTGAACGAGGTCTACCTTGCACATGATCCCATCATACCTGTATCGCTGTTGCGATCCCGCGGGTTGTTACTGACATGCCTTGGGACGGTTGGTTACATGATGGCACGCTGGAGCGTACTATTCTACGCTCCTACATACGCGCTGGCGGTTCGACAATGGAGTCCGACGGCAGCAGGCAGTATTCTAATACCAACAAATGGAGGATTCGCAATCGGCGGCTTGCTGGTAGGCTGGCTTCACATAAAGCGGCACGGCTCTTTCTGGCTTGCCTCTATCATCGTTTACGCCATCTTCCCAGTCACTCTGGTTCTACTCGCAGTCCTGTCGACACAGAACTCAAACCCGGTTTTGTACATCTTTGTCGTCTTGCTTTGCGGCGCGGTGACAGGTGCAGCGTTGAACTACACACTGGCGCATTTGCTCCACTTGACACCGAAGGACACGCACTACATTGCCACGGCGTTGGTCGCTACTTTCCGGGGCTTCGCAGGTAGCTTTGGTTCCGCCATTGGGGGCGGCTTGTTCACGCGTACGTTGTACACTTCGCTCAGGCAGAATTTCGCACAGCAGGGCATGCGCCACGAGGAAGACCTGATCAGGAGATTGTTAGGCTCGCCAGCGTTGGTTAGGCAGCTGGAGGGGGTCGAGAAGGCAGTGGCTGTTCAAGGCTATGAGGATGCCTTGCGGTCGCTGTTTCTGGCAGGCGCCGGCCTCGCTGCGCTAATGGTGATTGTGCAGGCCGGGACCGGTTGGCGTGGACCCAGCGAGAAGAGCGTGCTCGAGGAGGAGCATCAAGCGCTTATGCATGCCGAGACGGGTGGAAGCGAAGATGGCAGCAATGATAGAGGTAGCATCCGATAGATGTGCACATACGGTCGAGCGCTGTCCGACCCGCTTCCCACCGTAATGTCACCCTACCGTCCTCGGCTCCGTCCCGGAATCACTACGATCTCCCTTGTGACACGGTTAGGTATCGTAGATGCACTGTATCATCAGATGCAATCTCCTCGATTTCAGAGATGAGTTCCTAACGGCTTGAGGCTTTTGCCTTGAAACCTCCATGTCATTCGAGGCCGTCCACTCTGATTATTAGTACATTGCCTCGCACGCTTTATACTCGAAAGCGAGCGAGCCGCGGCCATGAATCTGATTGTTGCAGTGCCACTACGAGTCCCAGACGTTGCGATCAAGCAACCATGATCTTGTCGTAGAACGCCGGCTCCGCTCTCTGCAGCATTGTCGCCACCTTCTCCACCTCCTCGGCGAGACCTTGCACATTAACATCAAAGGCTCGCGAATCCATGGTACTCCGGTCCTGCCCACCGTCTGTGTTAAAGTGAATCACGCCAGCGATCTGGTCGATAGATCCAGACAGCCGCTTCGACTCAATCATGCCTGCAGCATATGCCTCTGCACGGTCTGCTTCGACGCCCAGGAGAGCGCCAAGAGAAGAGATGCTGATGTTCTGATACAGACGCGAAATGGCCAAAAGGTTGTGCTCTAGTACCGCCTTGTCGAGGACGGTGCTGCCGTCGCTTGTCTTGGCGAGCTGGTGCTCGCGTAGATTCGCCGCAAACGCCGAGACCTCTGACGGGGAGAGCAGACGGTCAAGGAAGATCTTCTCGAGGATGCTGTACTCGGGCGTCTCGTTCGCACGGTCATCTTTGTACAGCCTGCCTAGCTGTCGAGCACGGGCCGGTCCAGCTGGCGCTAAGACAGCCGTGGTGATTGCGGCAAATAGTGCTTGCAAGCGCTCATCCTCGTCGATGATGCTCTCATTGGAGAGAGCGAGGTAGGCTGTTGACGCATCGAGGAAACTGCGCTGGCTGTCGAAGATGCGTGCTTGACTTAGCTGGAACTGCAGCCGAGTAGGTTGGTCGGTGACGCTGTAGATGACCTGTTTGACTTTGTTGAGGTAAGTGAGAGCGTTCGTCGGGTCGTCTTCTTCCAGATAGCAGCGGCATATGCGCATCCAGACCCTTGCCTTCTCGTCGTCGGTCACGTTGCGCTGGCTGGAGTCGAGAGTGATGGTCTGCAAGGTCTTGGCGGAGTTGATGAAGTCATCCTCTGCTTCGTAGGCGTCTGCTAAGATGAACTTGATCTCAGTGTCTTGCTGTTCGTAGCTTACGACGCGAGGGGCGAGGAGTTGCACGATTTCGTTGCCAGCTTCGATCTTGGCTTCATTGTTATGAACATTGCGGTATTGCTCAACAAAGGCTGAGAGAAGCGGACGTGAGTGAATAACACCAATGCTGTCGGAGAGTATGCTTTGTACATAGGCAATTAGATTTGCCGGAAGTTGGCTGCCATTTTGTGATATGATGTGGCTGAGAAGGCTGCCATATGCGTCTGTACGTTGCTGTGGGCTTGCACGCTCCGCCTGGCTGAGCTGCGTATTGATCTCTGATGAGGCCATTTCAGACTTTGGATGATGGCGCTGCCAGTAGCAATATTGACTGGGAAGCTGTGATCACTGTTGATGATGTTGACGGGGGAAGCATAGAGCTCTTATCGATAGGTGGCGGGAATCGTGCATACCTTACCGCCGTTACGGACCGTTGGCTAGCGGCATCTCGAAATGGATGCTTGTACCATCACAAGCCACAGCTTGCCTTGACTAGCCACATGTAACATCGAGCTGTTGAAGTCGTTCACGAACATTCTGCCTTACCAGCGCCAATGTGAGGCCGATTTGTCTCTGCCATTCAAACGATCCCAATTCTCTCTCCGGTGAAAGTCCGGACACCAACTATGGCGGACGTCAAGACAGAGATTAAGCCAGAGATCAAGGTTGACCCAGCGACACAAGGCAGCAATCTTGCCGACATCGAGGAGTTCGAAGACGATATCGATCTTGCCTTCCCTGACCCCAACGCTCAATCGTGGCTCTTGAAGGTTCCCGAAGACCTGTGGAAGGCATGGGCCGAGGCATACAAAGAGGCACCGGACGATGTACAAATCGAGATTGGGAAGATGCACGTTCCTAAGAACCCCACCGTGTCAATTCAAGAACAAGCGCTACAGATCTATCTGCACCCTCACGTACCGCAGCACCAGAACATCCCGAAGAAATTCCATGTCAAGGTCAATACCGATGGCTACAATAATACAGTGGTATTCTCAGAAAAGGACCTACCAGGCCACCGTCCGCTACAAGCGTTCCGCAATCGGAGCTACCTTCAAGGCTCGAAGCCTACTGGCGTTCCATCGCGCGACCAGCGCTACGGAAACAACAACAAATTCGGCAGGTCACGTAGCGCCATACCCAAGCAGACTGCACTAGCGCCTCTAGTACAGCACGAGGCGACCGTGACTCCAATGATAGACGCAAACTACGAGGCTGACTTCGCCGCAAAATGGCAAGCACACATGGCACCCAAGTCGAGGACAACGTTTATCGAAAATGTTGACCGTAACCTGGCGACGGGCGTTCCGTCGAAGCTCAGCACATTTAGCACCTTCGGCACCACTTCACGACCAGGCGCTAAAGGCAAGAAAGCAGCAGCCAAAGGCAAAGACAAAGCCGTGCGTATGGACCGCGGCGATCTGCTGGATGCATTACAGCGCTGCTTCCGACGGTACCGGTACTGGAGTATGAAGGCTCTCCGTAACGAGCTGCGGCAACCGGAGGTCTGGATCAAGGAGGTTTTAGAGGGCATTGCGTTCCTCGTGCGCAGCGGAGATTTTGCGATGAACTGGACGCTGAAACCGGAGATGCAGAGCATCATCCAAGAAGAGGATGAAGTCAAGCAGGAGACTGCGCCGCAGGTCAAGGCGGAGAGCGGGACCGAGGGAGAGGGCGGCACTGGCGATGAGTTTGGGGATGATGACGGCGATGATGATTTGGGGGGATTCGAGGATGTGCAAATGGAAGGTGGTGTGTGAGGGTCCTATCATGGACACCCATCTGCTGTAAGCTTTGAGCGAGGCGTTACTCAGTGGGAAGTCGCATTTAGTTGAAGATGTGGACACCATCCCAGATCTGCTGGATTGATAAACAACTAAAGATCATTGGCAACTCACTCGTTTTGACTAGCATCTGTCCCATTCTTCCCCACCTGTTGCACACCTTGTCTTGTTGACAAAGCGAAGATGGCTGCTCGGCCCGCGAATGGCGTGCTCCGGCCCTTGCGTTGTGGCGGAAACGTTAACAACGTTCTAGCGAGATCAATGTCGATTAGAAAGACGATTCGACTCATCGTCGCTCGCGCCACTGTGAGCATATATATCTAAACCTTAGAGCTTGCAATTCACGATACAACAACTGTACCCGTCTTGTGTACCCTTAATCGCACTACTGAGCAACTATAAACTGGCATTGTTGAGCCAACCGTTGTAGCGTGCCATCCTGCAGCACAACCAAGCGTGCATATTGTTTTGGGGTTTCACAGCGTGAGCCACCCGTGCTACGAAGAAGCTCGACATGGTTCTCGATCATGCGCCCATCGAGACTCCACCGCGCGCCCCTTCTCCTATACACAGATTCGGCACACTCGCAGTCCATGTCGGCTCCGAACACGACCCTGTCAGCGGCGCGGTGATCGAACCAATATCGCTCAGCACGACATTCGCCCAGTCAGCTGTCGGCCAGCCGATAGGCGCACACGAGTATGTGCGAAGCTCAAACCCGAATCGATGGAACTTTGAGCGTTGCATAGCTTCCCTCGAGCGAGCAAAGTACGCCTTGGCCTTCTCTTCTGGCTCGGCAACGACCGCGACAATACTACAGTCGCTGGCAGCCGGTAGCCACGTCGTCTCAGTGTCAGACGTCTATGGTGGAACCCATCGGTACTTCACCAAGGTGGCGTCTGCTCACGGGGTCCGAGTCGCCTTCACGCCATCGATCGAACTGGACATCGAGGGACTCATCACGCCGGAGACGAAGTTGATATGGATCGAAACGCCGTCTAACCCAACGCTATCTCTCGTCGACATTAGAGCCGTTGCTGATATAGCGCACCGAAGCGGCATCATGGTCGTGGTCGACAACACTTTCCTGTCACCCTATATTCAGAATCCGCTGGAACACGGTGCCGATATAGTCGTGCACTCCGTAACCAAGTACATCAACGGCCATAGCGATGTGCTTATGGGTGTGGCTGCTTTTAATTCCGACGCACTCCACGAGCGGTTAAGGTTCCTTCAGAACGCCATAGGCGCCGTCCCATCTCCGTTCGACTGCTGGCTTGCGCATCGAGGCGTCAAGACGTTACATCTACGTGCGCGAGAAGCGAGCAAAAACGCGCAAATGGTCACGAATGCGCTCGAAGAGTCCCCACACGTCCTAGCGGTCAACTACCCAGGCTCCGCATCGCACAGACAGCGCAAGATCGCGCTTAAGCAGCATCGTGACGGCCTTGGAGGTGGTATGCTTTCCTTCCGCATCAAGGGCGGCAAGGAGGCCGCTGAGAAGTTCTGCCAAGCGACTCAGATCTTCACGCTTGCGGAGTCGCTGGGTGGTGTCGAGAGTCTGGTGGAGGTACCGGCCAGTATGACACATATGGGTATTCCGAAGGACCAGCGCGAAGCAGCAGGCGTATTTGAAGACCTGGTGCGCATAAGCTGCGGCATCGAAGATGGGACGGATCTGGTTGCAGACGTGCGGCAGGCACTCGAAAAGGTTGTGGTTGGGCCTAAGATTACGAACGGCTTCGCGAATGGCAGTAGACATACCTGACGAACACTTAGAGAACGAATAGATATAGACTTCTAGTATGTGTACGCCCTAAGTTATTCTCACGCGTACTGTTTGCGTCCGACGACCCCGTTGCCCGGTGAGATAAGTTGCTCTGGCTCCGATAGGCAATTATGCAGTGGCTGTCGTGTCGAGATGCGTAATACCTCCAAGCCACGGCCCGTATCACTGGAGGTGCGTTCCCCAGCAGCTGCCGTCACCCCCGGCGTGCTTGCTAACTTCCTTGGCTAGACTCGAGTCTGACACTCGTGACATGTCCCTCATTACCCGTCCTCGCACACTCAAATCACAGCTCAGCCGACACTGTCCTTGATCAAGTTCGCTGCCAGATCTCGTGCATGACTGTAGTCTATCCGCACATTGACTAACGAGACTCCCTTATGCGCCAGCGCCTCGTCCATCACCGCGTCAATTTGCGAGGCATCGTTCATATTGAAACCCCTTCCGCCAAATGCCTCCGCTAGCTTCGCAAAGTCAACGCCCCCGAGATGGATACCACTACTCCGACCGTACTTCATCTCTTCCTGGAACTCAACCATGTTGTAAGCCTCGTCATTCCAGATGAAATGCGTGATATTGCAGCCTTGTTGCACGGCCGTTGAGAGTTCTTGAGATGAGAACATGAAACCGCCGTCTCCGCTCAAACTGATGACTTTCTCCGAGCAGGGCGGATCTTGGATCATGGATGCAGCAATCGCCCACGGCATGCCTACGCCAAGTGTCTGTTGACCGTTTGAGCAGAGGAGCCGGCGCGGTTCGTAGGCGAAGAAATAGCGCATCATGTAGATGTAGACGGTGCCGACGTCCACGGTGACGGTCGTGTCTTTCGGGACTCGCTTTTGGAGGGCAGAGATGAACTGCAAGGGGTGGACGAGGCCGCCGTCAGACTTAAAGTCTTTTACCTGGTCTTGCCAGGACACGAGCTCCTTGCTCAGACTTTGACAGAAGTCGTGTTTCGCGGGATCAGCAACGTGCTTGACAGCACTGCCGAGAGCCAGTATGTTTTCACGCACGGAGCCGAGAAGCTCGACTTGAGGGTGATAATAGGCGCCGTAATCGCAGGAGGTATAATCGACATGCACGAGGTTTATATCTCCATTTGGATTCCACGCAAAGGCATCGTACTCTGTAGGATCATAGCCGAGTGTTATCACAAGGTCGGATTTGGACAGAAGTCTATCACCAGTCTGATTGCGGAACAGACCGACTCTGCCAAAGAAGACGTGCTGTGCTTGTGACTCCGGTATGGCACCTGCTGCTTGGAAGGTCTCGACCACGGCGATGGGGTGTCGGTCCAGAAACTGACGTACTGCACCCACTACGATGGCGCTGCTTGCACGCTGCCCAAGGAAAAGGACCGGTAGCGTTGCGCGGTCGATCATGGCGGCAACCTTCTCAATTTCTGACGTTGGCGCAGGTCCGTAGAGGGGTGCTCTAAAAGCTGGAGAGGGAAAGGCTGTGATCTTTGACTTGCCACCCGCGACATCCATAGGGATTGATACCACGCAGCTGCCCTTTGGTGACGTGCTTGCCGTGCGGAACGCTGCCAGGACGACCTCAGCCGCTTGGTCCTCGACCTCGATACCTGTCGCGGACTTTGCTGTAGGACTTAGGATTTCCAGTGCCTTCATTGACTGGTGCGTGTGCTTCGTGCTGAGAAGGCGCGGCACAGAGCCGACAATTGCTACAACTGGATCGCCTTCTGTAGTTGCGGTCACTAATCCAGTCGTGAGGTTGCCCGCTCCGGGTCCAGAGGTTGCTATGCATACGCCCGGCGTGCCGGTGATGCGACCTGTGGCTGCCGCCATGAAGGCAGCATTCTGCTCATGGCGACATACAATCAGCCGTACTTCGGGATGATCGTGCAGCTTGTCGAAGATGGCGTCGACCTTGGCGCCGGGTATGCCGTAGACCACTTTCACGCCTGCATTGTAGATGCTGTTAACTATAATCTCGGCCACCTGTTGCTCGTCTTTGCTGGCCATGACTGCTAGAAGGAAGGGTGAGTGTACGCGGACACAATAGAATAGTAGTGAAACAGCACAACCACGACGTTCCCTACCTAGTATACTATCGGCAGGTCCTCTCCACAGCTGTTGCTATGAGCTGCAGGACAGACTCTGCATTGCACACTGTTATGTCATTCCACATCTTCCGCAGGAAGAAAGCTCGCTGGTCCGGAGACTCCCGAGGGAAGCCGTCGAACCTCACTTCACGCTCGCTTTCGTTGATATCGACGAAATTCTTACAGGATGTAGCTCTTGTATTATGTGAGCCTCAAAGGCCTTGTCTGAAGTTATAGTAGAAGGAGGATGGCGCAAAAGCGCAAGCATGAGCTGGAGGCGTCTTCAAGTGAGGATAACATCTTCCGCTCCGAGCCTATTGATGACCGCTCCTCCACGTTCATCGGCTTCTTCTCCCCATCCATGAGTGGTAAGCAGCTTCAGAGTATCGTGGAGATCAAGAGTGCCTCGCATAAGATCTTAGCTTGGCGCAAGGAGAGTAGTCAGCGCTCGCTTACGGGCAGCGTACCACAATATGATGTAGGCCACGATGATGACGGCGAAAAGTATGCTGGGAAGAAGGTGGAGAAGGTACTTGAGCAGATGCAGGTTGTTGGTGCATGCGTTGTGGCAAGATGGTACGGCGGAGTTATGTTGGGCCCAGTCAGATTCACGCATATTGAGACGTGCGCGAAGGAAGCTGTGCGCAAGTGGCAAGAGCATTTGGCGGAGGAGCAGCGCAAGAAGCGGAGGGTTGAGGCGGAGGCGATGGAGAAGGAGACGCTGATGGTGACATTGACTGAGCGAGACCAAAGCATTGATGTGTTGAGAAAGATGGCTGTGGAGAAGGAGAAGAGAGTGAAGGATGCGCTCGTTGCGGGTATGGAGGCGCTGCAGGGCAAACTCAACGGCGAGGCTATGGATGAATCGAACAGTGCGCAACATGCGAATCCGAAAATCCTCAATGTGTTGTCTCCGATAAAGACTGCCCTCGATTATGGTGCGCTGCCCGTGGAGAGGCTCCGAGTAATGGAGAAGGCGCGGGATGCTACGCTAAACTTTCTACTCAAGCGCATTGAGAAGGCCGAGAAAGACTTGCTTGCGCTTGAGACAGAGGCCGAGCCAGAGAAACCGCCTTAGCATCAACGTCCGCAGAGAAATCGCCAAATACACAGTCCTCCCGTACGTTGCTACCGTGCCACATTCGCGATCGTTCGACCCGAGCGAGTACATATGCAACAGTCACCCATTCTACATCACTGCCTAATCGGACTTCTTACGAACAAAAGAAACCCGCACGATGTGCAATGTACGGGAAGAAACCTCAGTTAAGCCTTGTTGGGGGCCACCACGTCGAATCGACAATGGCAGGGAGTGTCTTTTTACGCCTGTGTCATAGGGCTAACTAGCGACTGTCGACTTGTCAGGAGGAGCAGGCGGCAAACTCACAACTGACATCACCGGCATGATACGCCTCTTGAATCCGAGATTCCAAAGGCTCACAAGACGACTGAACGCAAGACATTCCTGCTGCGATCATATATTGATACTGCGACGCCGGAGTCTTGCCGAGTAATGGGTGCCTTGGCCTGGACTGCGAGCTCGACTGTTCACAAGCATATGGGAAGACGATGCGCTTGTTTGAGCATCATCAACGCAAGCTGCTGGATCAACACATTCCACAACCGAAACAGGATTTGTTAGCCGCACAAATTCCTTCCTAGTAGGTAGGTGGAGGGATGCAGGCTTGGTTGACTTGCTCCTCTCTATCAATATTGAGCTAAAATATAAGCCAGGCCTTGACCACATACAGCGCAGTTGGCTTGATATATAGATATCTGTCACTGGCTCGATGCTGGAGAAAGAACTGACTTATGGTTATAACTGAAAGGGTATGATTGTAGTGTATCCTCGCGCCAGAAAGCTAATGGCCTCAACTGGCGGGCAGTGCTTACGTTCTATTACTACATCTGACTCAGCAGTGCTATGCTAGTCCAATCTAAAGTACAAGCCCACCATCAGGCGGTGTCCATCTTATCCTCATCCTCCTTCTTCTTCTTATCCTCCTCCCTCTTGACCTCCGTCTCCAGTCCTACCGTTGCACCCGCGCTCCCAACCGGCTCGCCGTTCCCATCAACCTGCATGCTGGTCGCTGGCGCGCTACCACTGCCACCAGCCTCGCCTTCTTGCCTGCCTTCCTCCGGCACACTCTCTAAGTGCGTCTTGCCTTCCGCCTCGTCCCTCGCCTTCTGCTCCCTCGACTGCCTCTCCCGCTCCTCCTCCATCGACATCCGCAACACGAGCGCCAACTCTGGATCCAGATTCGGATCGACTCCAAACTCGAAGTCGGTCCCGCCGCCCGCTCCAGCACCACCTTCTGCGCCTGTGCCGTTGGTTGCTGCCCCGCCTCCTTCGCCTGCTAATATCGGCGAAGCGACGATAGAGTCTGACAGAAGGTTGGGCCCAGGTTGCACGATCTCGAGATGCGACCCATCACCACCTTTAACTGCATCGTTGAACGCGCGGAGCTTGTCGAGGTTGTCTTCTGTGAGGTCGCCGAAGGCCACGATGTCCACGCTAGTGTTGTTCTTCCTCATCTTCTTCGCCAGCTTGACGAGTGTACTCTGGCTATCTGCGATCGGGCTGCACACAAAGACGATGATTCTTTGCCGCTGACTCTTGTTCTGCCGATGTTTGAGCGCTAGACTTGCGATCATGATGCCGGTGTAGAGATGCGATTGGCCCTTCACCTTTGTCCGATGTAGTCCATCGAGTATCTTGCCAGGGTTGGTCGTGAGTGTGGTGAGTACTTCCGGGCCTGAGCCGCCCATGGACATCAGGCCGACGGACGATTCTGGATTTGCCTGGGTTTTGGAGTGGAAGATGAGGTTTGCGGCGTCGGTCTGGGCTTCCCATCGGGAGGGTACGTAGTCGCCATTTCTACTGCTCTCGCTATTGTCGACGCTGGAGAAGAAAGGTCAGTAAGGCTCACCCGTGGTGATGGCACGTGAGGCAAACGAACACGATAATCGTCGCTTCCAGCATCTTCGTAGCACACCCCTTGGCGGAGGATTAATGCAATGTTCAATCGGTTTTCGGGTGGAGCAAGAAGGTGACTGATGGTCGAGAGAACGCAGCAGAGTCAGATGGCCGGAGATGGATGGTTAGGTAGATATGTCGACTGCGTGTCTTCGAAGCTCCCGCAAGCGATCGGCGGCGAGTGCGGCTCGGCGGCCAGTTCCGCCGCCATGCCCGTAGCGCTGTGACGCCACTGTTTGTTTAGACATTGCCTTCTTCGATAACCTAGGACAGAAGCCAGTTCGATAGCAGGACTACAAGACCGGAGAGAACGATACGGCAGTCATAGAGGATGGCTTCAATCACACAGGCACAAAAGCAAGCTCTACTTGACAATTTGCAGCTCGAGAGTAAGCCTCTACCACCACAATGCAGACGCGCTATCTGACGCGTCGCAGTAACCGAGCGAGCACGAAAGTTGCGAGCACAGTATGCGTTGCAGGCGCAAGGCTTGAGGGCACGGTTGGAGATGCGCATCAATCGCATACCGCATGCGCTGCGGAAGCGGAATATGCAAGAGCTGTTGGACGAGCATGCGGAGAAGGCTAAGCCGGCATCTCCTCCACCGATGCTCATCGAGGACGATTCGCAGCGAGCAGGTGTAGCGTCCAACGGGACAGCAGTCGAGCCGAATCGCCTCAAGCGTCAAAGGTAAGCGGAGACTGTCCGAATGCGGAGACGCTGCTAATACCATGCGCAGTCATTTCGTAGCCGAGGACGAAGACAAGGAGAATGCGCCAGCGAACGCATCACATGACCTGGCGAACCCGAAGAAGCGCGCAAAGACGGCGACGGCCAACACAAAGGCAACGCGGACGGCATCGCGTAAAGGTGCTCCATCAACCGTGCTGTCTCCCAAATCCCACAACTCGCGGACATTGGCGCAGTCACCCGCACGAAATATGCCGTCACCTGTACGAACCACAATGGTGCGACCATTGAGTCCAGTCAAGCCATCCATGCAGCATCTTGCGCCGCCGAAGCCATCATCTCGTACGTTGAGTCGTCAAGCTTTACGACCCCTCACTGCTATGGAGTCGGAAGGCAGAAGTAGCGAAGTCAGCACGGCCAGCGCTGGTACCACCATTGTCACGAAACCTGCTGCAAAGAAAGCTGCCGCCACTCGCAAGCCTGCTGTAGGCAAGACGGCCACTACTGCGAAAAAGCCTGCGGTAGCGAAGAAGGAGGCTGCCGCGCCTGCTGCGACGGGCGGAGGGAGAACGCTGCGCAAACGAGGCTGAATATAGAGTATCGCAATCGCCCAGTACCTGGAGTGCATGTCAAAGCGATAGAAGGGTCTCTTGTGTGTCTCGTTCTGTTTCGACATGCGAAGTGGCAAGCTTTGGCTAAACAGCTCGTAAGCTTTTGGCTTACCATTCGCTTCATGTCTGTCTCAAGAGCCATCCTCAGCCAGCACCCCGCCCCTACAACCACCCAGTAACGCATTGAGCATTATGCGTGTAAGATAATGTTGAGAAAGCTTGGCCCGCACCACTGCGAATTGCTGCTTAGGTGGTGTCTCCGTCGTCGTACGATGGCTCGTGTAGACTTCTTGCTTGCACGTAGAGCCAGCCTACTCGTCTTTGCAAAGCATTGCTCACAAAAGTTCGAGCTTCGAAGACACGGTGTTGACACTTGCTACGCCGCGAACAAGACGCGTTGACTGCAACAATTGCGCTTTACGCTCTGAAAGAAACGGGAGAGTCGTCAGCGCGGCACTCATCTAGCAGCTATTATTGAAGAGAACAGCCAATGTACGTCGGAAACGGTACCTACCTCGCGTTCCGCGGGATTCGCAGAAGGCGTCGATGAGCTGCTAGCTGATGTATATGCCGAGCAGCTCGTACCGAAGGTCTGATCAGACCGTTATGGCTTCCGAAAAGGAACCCAAGAAGAAAGGCACATGGTGCAAGCGCTTGATGACCCGCTTGGGCAAGCTCTTCCGCTGGAAGCGTTCCAAAATCACAAACAAGGCCAAGGAGGTCGGCCTCACAGTAGAGAAGCCGGAGGTGCGACGGACGTACACGCCGCGCTATGCTCACCGCGACGCCGCGCTGAGCATTCCCGTGACCTACGGCAGCGAGGACACGACGAATCTGCGCGAAAGATTGCGTCAGCAGGACTGGGTCGCCGAGGTGTTTGAGACCGACGAGCGTGCAAGGCGAGCCAAGCTGGGCTACGACGGTTCTGGCCCCGCCCGCTACGAGTCGCTGAATGATGCGGAACGACTGGCGTTTACAAGCCGCCTGTCGCGCTGCATGATTGCACTGCAACGCATGCCGGATGCCAACGGCTCGTATACCCAGTGCCCACCCACTCATCAATCTTGCATGCCTGGCCAAGACTGTTGTCAGCCAGGGTCATCGAAGGATGCGCACTTACTCAATACGCTGCGCTGGCTATGCGGAAACGAAGGGCAGCAAGGTCCATCGCAACCGTCCACAAAAAAGTCAGCAGAGCCGCCTCGTCGCGGCTCCTACATTGCTGAGATGCAGTCGAACCCCAAAATGGCGTGTGCGGCTCGCCACAGCCGCACATCATTCCAGGGACAAACCTACAGCGAGCTTGTGGCAGAGCGCCGGAGACCACAGTACTGGACTCACAACAGCAGACCGAATGTGACGCTTACGCGGGAGGAAAGATGGAGCCTGTCAGAGACTCTGCGGGCGGATATCACGAACCGGAAGTCAGCCGGTATGGCAGCATATCCCAGCGGCACGGCCACGACATCTCCCAACGTGTCTTGCAAGGCCGCGGCTGGTAACCTTTCCAAGCGTGCAATAAGAGGAGATTCTGTCCAGGAAGACCGTGGGATCAACGGCCTCGAGCATCAACCGGCAGGTGTGCCGCTGAGGCTACCAGAAGCGGTAGCCGAAACGTCAGAGCTACCTTTGTCGAAACCGGAGGACTTAGACAAGTCGGTGCCGTCGTCAATCGAAGGACCATCGAGCTCCGGCGAAGTGACGGAGTCATCTGGTAAGACATCAGTGGCGAGTAAGACGCCGACCGTGGCCACGGCGCAGACCGAAGTCTCAGCAGGCGGGAAAGTCAAGGTGCAGTTACACTGTGCGCAAATTGCGCGCAAGAAGAATGTCAGCGCAGACACCAAGCCGGCCGCAATCGGGCGTGAAGGGAGGGTCTCTGAGCAGATTGGACAGCTCGAGGCGGCTGCGGAGACGTGCAAGAGTCGGAATGGTATGAAAGCAGCTACACGAAGAAGTATCGAGTCCTGGTCGAAGACTGGGCTCGGAGACTAGGATGGAATTTGAGGTTGTGTCAAGGAAGGGGCATAAGCACGACATTATGGGAATTTGCAGGCTGCAGTGGAGAAGATGGATGAGAGGACTTGCGGTACCACTGAGCACGACTGGCGTTTTCACAGGCATGCGCATCATACTGCCGCCTACATCCGCTCGACGATGGAGAGACTGGCATTATTTCGCAAGGGAATACACGGTGGTTGATTGTACAATAGATTGCGTGATTGAGCTTTTGCTCGATTAGTTGAGACTGTCAAGTCATTGAAAGACAGTTCGACCCATATCAATCCAAAGCACGATGGAGGACAACCACATCTACCAGTTCTCGCTCCTCAATGCTCTGATGGACGGCGTATGTGAGTCAGGCATAACTGTGTCAAAGTTGGCCAGTAGAGGCAATCAAGGTCTCGGCACGTTTGTGCGCATGGACGGGGAACTGGTCATGCTTGACGGCACGGTGTACCAGCTACAACCCGAAGGCAAGGTTCGCGTAGCCGACGAAAGCGACCAAATTCCGTTTGCTGTGAGCACCCAATTTGTTCCGCAGCGAACGAGCAAGGTCCAATTGAAGGACAAGGATGGCATCGATGAGGCGCTGAACAGCTTCAATGACCACGCAAAGAATCTTTTCATGACCTACCGCATCAACGGCCATTTCAAGTACCTCAAGTGCCGGACTGTTCGCGGCCAGGAGTACAAAGGTCAACCACTTGCTGAGCTTGGCAAGAAGCAGTCCGTGGAGACCTACGACGATGTGGACGGCACCATCATCGGATTCAGGACGCCGAAGAATTGGCAAGGCTTTGGTGTGGCGGGCGAGCATCTCCACTTCATCAAGAAGGACCGGAGCGCCGGAGGCCATGTACTTGAGGTGCAAGCGGATGGTCTCGAGATGCAGATGGCGGTGGCGAGTAACGTGCATGTGGAGCTACCAACAAGTGAGGACTTCAACGCCGCAAAGCTGGTGACGGACGACGCTGGCGTTCAGCAGGTAGAGGGTTGAGAAATGCCATACTAGATGGTTGGCATTCATTCTTGAAGCAGAATGCGGAGCTCTGGGCTGGCGTCCCTTGTTGATACATCGTACTCCAAACCGACTTTCGCAGGTATGGACTGCCGCAGAGTCTCTGGTGGAGAGCGATAGCGATTAAAAGCTGTATGGCACGGGACATCGCAGACCAATTTAGCCACGCGCACATGCGCCATGTCGCTACGTCTCAGCATACGACTTCGGTTCGGCGCGGGCAAGCCTTCGCGACCTCCTGCCCGCAGCCACTGTGGGAGATACTAAAGCTTTTGCAGCCGTCTTGACCGTTTCCCCTGGGAAACGCGTCGTGCGAGCACTCGGATAGTCGCCGGCGGCAAGCTTCGCTACAGTCCTCCCTCGATTCTTCGCCCGTCGAGCATCCGTCTTCACGCCACTCAGACGAAGACAAATACCGAAACGTTCCGTCTCCGTTATTGCAGCCCAGCGAGCCTTGGCTTCAGGCACACTGTCAATTGCTTGCTGCAGATCATCAGGCACTTCCATCCCCTTCTGCGCGTGGGCAGTTCCCTAATGCCCACCCGCCTTGGCTTGCTCTACGGCAAGGAGGCCTGCAGGCTTCATACGGTTCTCAGCAATGAGTTTCTCAGCGAAGCCAACATTACACTTCGACCAGAGGCTTTCGTGCCTTCGAGGCGAAAATCGATGCATGTAGGGCCTTTACTTAGCTTGCGACCTGTACTGTCGATCGATCCGTACCTAGCACAATGTTTCATCTAGAGGTTCTTGGTATGCCAAAGATGTCGTTACTATGTGTTCACTTCGCCAGGGTCAGCGACATGCCAGTAGAGGAGGTGGCGTGAGTGGTGAGACAGCTAGCCCAGGCACCCGCGTTCTGGGCGATAGTATTTCACCCGGCATAGGATGCTGCCAGGCAGTGCCTTACTGCTTGATACACGCATATGGCGAGCGCGATTAGAGAATGACTTGCAAACGGGTGCGACACTACACAAGTAGAGGGCTATCGGAAGAATTCCCCGTTGAGTAAAGAGCAAGCCAGGCGCCAAGATGCGAGCATCCATGGTACAATAGCTGGTAATCTACAGACACGATTCGAGAGAGCGAATGGGTTGGGATTTGGCTCGCGGACGTGCAATACGCAGCACAATACTGTCCACGAACAACTCAGAAGCAGAGCGTCCATCCAAAGGTTGACCCTATTCCATTCAGATTCTACATAGCAACCATTTCCAGCGACATTGAATGTTCTCTTGCTCAGTACCAATGGCTGCATCGTCCATGCTATAGCCATGCCACAATCATGCAAGTATCCAAGGCGTCGAGTCGCGTTTCCAGGGAGTCAACCGCCGTGGTCACCAGATGCGCTGTGCCTTGCTCGCGGAGAGTGTTGTCAGAGTGTTGTGTGGTCATGTCAAGCACACCGATGTCGATTACACCATGTCAGCGAGTGATAGTCGTTCGTAGTGTAGGACCGGCTGTCGTGCTGTGGCATGATACTAAGACGGCATCAATTCTTCAAGCGCGTCCTTACCAACGCGTCGACAGCGCGAGGGGAGTCATCGCGTACATACTTGGGAATCAAGGTCAGGTGCCGCTGAAGAATCTCGAATCGGAAGTCCTCGTGCCACATCCCTCAACATACATCAACCAGCAACACCCCAACCGCTTCATGGATCCCCTCTTGATGGAAGCTCAAGGACGGACCCTCTCGTGGTGGATTCTCTCAGTACGGATCCTCCCGTGATGGATTTACTCATGACGGATTCTCTGGTCACGGATCCTCTCTTGATGGACCCTCTCATCATGGCACACCCACCAGCATCTTGTACGGCAGCTCACAGCATCGAGTCGGTGCCCTGCAAGTTATTCGCGCTTCCACGCGAGCTCCGCGACGAGATCTACGCTTTAGCCACTTGCTCCAGCCTGCCGGTCTACATACCAAACCCTCAACGCAAGGGGTACTTCGGCCCGCCGCTCGCCTACGTCTGCAGCCAAATGCGCGCGGAAGTCTTGCCGATCTACTTCGCACGGAATACGTTTGCCACGAATTGCAAGATTTCCACAAATGGGTACACCGCCGAGCCCGAGAGCCCACTCAAGGCTCTCGTCGGCCATCCCTACTCGAAGTCATTCCGGCAATTGAAGTGGTTTAGCGGCACCATCGGCGCCGTGTACGAAGATGGTAGCGCGTGGCTCTTGGATCCCAAAGGAGCGATTATCATCGACGTTGAATCGAGTGGCGGGATGCAGTACTCGGGCTGGACCGCATTGAAGCGATGTGGCTGTGAGGTGGGCAAGGAGATACTGACGGCGCTGCAGGAGTTCGATCCGCGCAGCTTCCGTGGTGGTATCTACTCCAGAGCCATGTGCGAGGGACTGGGGTTTCCCGATGGGGATTCGGACAACAACATGAAGGCAGAAGTGTCGTGCGTAACCTGCGGTGTGCGTGCGCTGTCTGGGGATGAAGGAGGACGTTATTTTGCAGTGAGCGACGTCAAGCTCTGGAAGGACCGCTACAAGAGACGTGCCGAGAGCTTGAGTGAGCACTCGCAACCTGACCGTGTGTCTCCGCAAGCGCAAACCGCCTGGGCTCAAGCAACGCCCAGCGTTGCGATCCAACAGAAACACCGGCTTATGTCGCCGAGGAAGGCCAAGAAGCAGAGGCAAGCCTAGAGAGCGCTGCGCAAGGCTAAGGAAGAGAGTACGGAAGCGGCCATGGATGGAGAGGATTAGCGGTGGTTACTTCCAGCTGTTTTAGGACGCACGGTGCGACGAGGCTGCAGTCCGTGACTCAACTTGGGGGAGCTTGATGTATCCATGAGCGTGCAGTCGTGGCGGGTTAGCACCGAGAGCCGGAAGGCATTTTCAGTGAGACTGCTGTACTTCATCCTCTAGAGCTGGACACACGGACAGCATTCGGCATCGGCGGACTGGATGCTAAGCCGTCATGGAGTGGATATGCATGTAATGACTGGGCGCCTGTTGTCGATACCCGTCCGGATCGAATCTCTTCATGTCATGTTCGAGAAAGGCCTACAAAGCTGGAGCAAATTTAGCAAGGCAGCGTGTGTCCACTCCAATAAGACAGAACCCGAATGCAACTCTGGTCAGCTCGAACAGTAGGAGGTGGCGAAGCTGACAGCTTGACATATGTATGCATGATGGGGTTGTGCAGTGAGAGCAGAATGAACATTGAAACGAGGTCTGTAGAGTGGATGCAGCTCGTCAGGAACAGGCTTAGCGTCATGCAATGCGACATGGTCCCATGGACCCTCGAGGAAAGAGCTCCAGCCACAGATGTGCATCCATGTTGGTCGCAACCCAGCCTTCAACTCGTCGCATACTCTCTTTTTCTTTGTGCGCTTCAATTCTTGATCGCGCGTACGCAGCTCTGCTATTGTCGCTCGTTCATCGTTACCAACGCGGTCGTTGTCGTCAAGCGTTTCCGCCGCGTTGACTTTACCTTTTGAATCAACGCTCGGCGCAAGTCCTACGGGACGAGCGGCATGGTGGACCCGGAGGTAGACGTCGAGACGGGGCAGGACGAGGAGATGATCGAGGTCGAGGCAACGGAAGAGGCAGCAAATGGCGACGAACCAACAGGACTCGAGGACATTGAGCCCGAAGTCCCCGAACGGACCACCTTCCTCGAGTACACGATGCGCCAACCCCACCTCCTCCACCAACAACCCCGTCTAACATACCACGCATAGCTACCTACGTTCACCCATAGTCCAACTCGTCCTGGGCACCGGCGCAAACAAAGAGATCCTCTCCGCCCACCAAGCCTTACTAACCCAATCTCCCTTCTTCACCTCAGCCGTCACATCACTCAACGACGCAAATCGACGTATAGACCTCTCTAGCGACGACCTCCACGCCACAGCCTCCGTCCTCGAATTCCTTTACAAAGGCGATTACTTCCCCACTCTTGAAGCAGGCAACAGTCTAGCCTACGACCCTACCGTTGCCTCACCAGACGACGAAGGCGTGGCCCTCTTACGCCACGCACGCGTCTACACCCTCGCGCAGCGTTTCGGCCTCCCCACATTAGCACAAATGGCGCACAAGAAGATCCATCTCACGCAGTCTACCGCGAAAGGCGAGATCGCGTACGCGCGCTTCGTGTACAAAGAAACGAGTCCGGACGACGAGAACATCCGGAAACCCGTGGCCGCATTCTGGGCGACGAGGAGCCATGTATTACGGCACGAAGCGGAGAAGGAGTTCAAGCGCATGTGTCTGGAGTTCCCGCAGTTTGGCTTTGACGTGCTGAGTCTGGTGCTGGATGCGCAGGAGAAGCGGAGTCGGAGGGAGGAGGTGCAGAGTTCGGGGACGGCGAGCGGGAGGAAGAGGCAGAGGGTGAGTAGTGCGATTGTGCCTCCTGGAGTGGGGCTGAAGTAGAGCGGGCGGGGTGTGCTGACGTGTGTATGTAGGTTATGTGATGATGTGTCCATGTAGCGCGTGATTGCACCGTGTAGTTATAACTGTATACCCACCCAGACAAATACAGTACAGCCTGCCCGGCAGTGGCTGGTGGCGGTAACGACAAGCATTATAATCACCACAGCAGTTCGGAGCGACGCAAACGCAAAGTAAGCAACGACAAGACTTTTATCCTCCTCTACGACTATGTAGACGACACACCACATCTACATCGACCGAACACTACCTTCCTCGATCATACCAAGTCATATATACTGCTCGCCTCACCACCGACACCGACACGACGTTCGTATTCTTACTTAATACCCACTCCCAGTCAACTGGTTCTGACACCCAGCCACGCACTTGGCCGCCGACAAGCCCGCGCTATAGAAACCAGGGTTGACCTGGTACTTGAGGTAGCACTCACTGCCACTGAGCACAGCGGCTTGGCAGCCCGTCTTGCCATCGCAAGCGCTGATGCAGGCCTCCAGGGTGGCGACGCCGAGGGGGTTGGACTTGAAGTCGGAGTCGTAGTGGTCCTGCGTAGAGCAGATGTTACGATTAGCGTGGTGTGGAGGAGAAAGGGACGGTGGGGTGGTGGGATGGTGGGATGGTTGGACGTACGGTGTTGCACTCGACTTGGTAAGTGCGGGCGCCGTTGTTGGTGGTGTAGGTCGTGCCGTTGCTGAAGGGGCAGGAGATGGCGCCCTTGCGGGTGGAGCTGATGGCTTTGCCGCCGACTTAGAGAGGAGACAGAAGTCAGCAAACTCATCAATGGGACAAGGTGGCTGGGTGGGGTTATATGCGGAGACGTACTGACGCCGCCGTTGCTGACGCCAGTGGCAATGCCGTTCTTCAGGTAGCACGGGCCTGGAGATCCAGGGAGCTGTTCGAGGACGCGTCAGCATTGGATCGATGAGGACGGAAGTCGTATACAGGAAGACATACGTAAGAGACATCGACACAAGCACCATTAGCACCGCACGCGTCAAGGCAGGCGTTGTAGGTGTTGGTGTAGATGAGACCGATGTCATTGCCGTAACGATCAAGGCCACACTCGATGTGGAAGGTCACACCATTGGCGGTGTAGGTGTTGCCGTCCTGAGAGGGGCAGGTGGCGCTGGCAGAGGCGGTGCTGGAGGTGGTCGTGCTGGTGGTGAGAGTGGTGCGGGTTGAGGTGGTGCTTGAGGATGAGCTTGAGGTGCTTGAAGACGTGCTTGTGGTGCTGGTGGTGGTCGGACGGGTTGAAGTGGTCGACGAAGACGTGCTTGAGATGGTGGGAGTGCTCGTCGTGGTTGGACGGGTCGAGGTCGTCGACGAGGTGGAAGATGTGCTCGACGTGGTCGGGCGGGTCGAGGTGGTAGAGCTCGTTGATGTGGTCGTCGGACGGGTCGAGGTGGTTGAGCTCGTCGAAGAAGGCTTCGTAGAGCTGGTGGACGACGTCGTTGTCTTGCCGTTGCCGTTGCCGTTGCCATTGTTCTGAGCGTTCTGGGCAAGGCCGACCGGGGCCAGAAGAAGAGCAGCGTAGGCCGCGAAAGCGAGCGTGGAGCGAACCATGATGGACGGGAGGCGCGTTGACTAGCTGAGAAGCGTGGTTTTGCGAAGGAGCAATAGCAGGATAGAGGGAGACAAGGAGGTATCAAGGGCTTGTTATACCGCGATGTTGCTTCGGACACCAGTATTTACGTCAGGTATTGGACACTCGTAAAGACTTACCATATCAGGCAATACGGTAGAGGAGCTGCATGTGAAGATGGAGTCTTCTTACCACGACGTTCTCTCTGTAACGACAAGTATGTCGTCGGTGGAGTAGGTTGTCCAAGCGTCCATGGAGTTATGAAGAGGTTGAGCTGCAGCACCATCCTACCAGCTCGGTACACCTGAAGCTAATGGAGAGTAAGCTGCAAAAACCTGAGCGCACGGTGGTTTCAGTGTGAAAGGCGAAAGCGACAACGCAGACGGTATCTGGAAGAAGGTGAGGTCTCCCGCACGAAACCCAATCGAGCGGACAGGTTGTATCGCGCGTCAGGAACGTCTGGTTGAGGCATCGCTTGGCATGCTGGAGGAACCAGTGGCCATTGGGCGAGCAGTTCCGGATTCTGGGTGAAGCTTCGATCGACATGGCTCGCGAGTCAAGAAGCCACAGAGCGTCCATAACCAGTAGAGTGCTTACAGAAGTCAAAGGCGCTGCCAACCGAGCAAGCCTTCAGATGGCGAAAGAGTCTCGCCGGCGAGCTCACTTTGCCTCCTTGTCCCTCGGTGTAGAACGACGAGTAGCGGCGTACTGGCGAAGCAGTCCTTTAGCCTCTCCTCGAGTAACACGGCGACAATAGTAGGTTACTATGTAGTTCCAATGCATGATGCAAACAGCACAGCCTCGTCCGGAGAGTCGAGGAAGTGGTAAGGTGGGTGGTGTGAAAGCCCAACCAGATGCGAAGGACTTGGAGGTCATCTGTGCCTTGCAGTTCCCGCCAGCGCCTCGGTCGCCATATGGATCCATTCCAATGCGGGGAGGGCCGGCACTAACGCTTGTCTTCACGAAAACGTTGGGGTCGACTCTTTGTTCGGTCTTGACTTTGTGCCCGCCACCCTGCAGGACTCGACTTTGTCGCAACGGCATCCACCCGAAGGAGTCTGCCGGTGCATTATGGAGCACGCAGAGCTCCCCAACTAAGCCAAGATGGCAATGCATATGAAAGCGAATTGTGCTTCCAACCCCGCGAACCAGCAACTTCACATCAGCCACTGACCGTCCCCTCGGTCATGCTTAGCGGAAAGGTTAAAACAGACTCGCCGCCGCCGCCGCTGCCAACCCGAGATCCCTGCTCCACCGCTCCAAATAATGCAGGACCAAGACGGCCCCAATGCTTTGCCATCGCTGTCTACGCTGAGTCTATCCGACAATGACAAACGTGAGAACCACGGTCAAAGAGCAGCTTCAACTGGACTGTCGGATCGCATCTTCGCCAACACCCCTGTTCCCACGGTGATACTCGACCAAACCTTGACGATCCGGCATGTCTCGAAAAGCTACTATGCCCTCTCTAGCCGTACGCCAGAAGAGCTTATTGGGGAGAACATCTATGGATTCGTCGAGCAGAAAGTGCCTGTACCGGATGTCGCAACTGTGCGGGGCGCCATCGAAACCGCCATAGCCACGGGCAATGTGCAGACCATCCATGACATCCCCACGCCCGATGGCAGCTTCTACAGCATGCGCACCACGCCGATTGTGGAGGATGGCGAACTGTTGTACATCATCTTCGAGATCGAGAACACGACGCAGGAGCACATGAGGCAGACCGAGTTGCGCGAACAGCTCAGTATCAACGAGACGTTCCGTATCCTGGTGGAGACTGTCAAGGATTACGCCATTTTTATGCTCGACCCGGGCGGTCACGTGAGCACGTGGAATGCAGGCGCACAGAACATCAAGCAGTACACCAGGGAGGACATTGTGGGCAAACACTTCTCCAATTTCTACGGGGATGAGGATCGGGCGGCAGACAAGCCTGGCAAGGAGCTTGTTGTCGCCTTGCGGGACGGCAAATGCGAGGACGAAGGCTGGCGGTACCGCAAGGATGGAACGAAGTTCTGGGCCAACGTCGTCATCACTCCCGTCTACCGGAACGATATCCTAATCGGCTTCAGCAAGGTCACGCGCGACCTCACGGAACGAAGGGCGGCGGAGACACGCCTGATATCCGCTTACGAAGAGTCCGACAAGCTCAAATCGGAGTTCCTCGCCAACATGAGTCACGAAATCAGGACGCCTATGCATGGCATGCTGACAGCATTGACCCTTCTCATCGACACCGGCCTGAATGCGGAGCAGAAGGAGTTGTCCTCCATCATTTCCGACTCCGGCCGTGTGCTGCTGCAGCTCATCAACGACGTGCTAGATTACTCCAAGTTGGCCTCTGGTTCATTCTCCGTGGGCTCGGGTGTCGTCTGCATCCCTGACATCATCGTCTCTGTCACCCGCCACTTCCAGACCACAACCAAGGCCGCCACGCGATTAGAGACTAGTCTTGACCCTCGCATACCACAAACGCTCGAAGGTGATGCTTTGCGTTACCGCCAGATAGTGCAGAACTTGATCGCGAATGCAGTCAAGTTCACCGAGTCCGGGGTTGTCACCGTCACCCTTACGCTAGACGAGGAGAGTGGTGACAGCTTAACCCTCCTGACCGAGGTATCAGACACCGGCATCGGCGTACCTCAGCGCGCCGTCGGTACCCTCTTCACGCCGTTCACTCAATTCGACAATTCAGCCACAAAACGATACGGTGGCACGGGCTTAGGTCTCTCCATCTGCAAAACACTCGCGGAGCTCATGGGCGGCCAGATCGGCTTCCGGCCCAATGACGGCGGCGAGGGCGGCAGTGTGTTCTGGTTCACCGTCAAGCTCCGCCCAGTACGCAGAGTCGACTCGGTGGAGAAGCTCAGCAGTCTTCAAGCCGAGGGCGCATATACAGCCCAACCAACCGACCCCCTTGCGGAAGTCAAGCGGATCGCGACAGGCAAACGCCTCCTCCTCGCCGAAGACAACCAGATCAACTCCCGCGTCATGCTGCGCACGCTCAAATCCCTCGGCTTCGTCAGTGTCGACCCCGCGATGGACGGGATGCAGGCACTATCCATGGTCAAACAAGAATCCATCTCTATTAAGCCTTACGATCTTGTGTTAATGGACATCAACATGCCGCTGATCGATGGCGTTACCTGCACGGTTGAGATCCGGAAGGCGGGTATCGACGTGCCGATCGTGGCTATGACGGCGAATGCGCTTAAGGGACAGGCGGAGGCCTATTTGGCTAAGGGGATGGACGATTATATTACGAAACCCGTTGATCGGGGGTTGTTGGTTAAGGTGCTGGCGAGGTGGTTGAGGAATAAGTCGATGCTTGACGTTGGGACGAAGGGGGGATGATGCGTCGTCTTGGCTGATGAGCCTCTTGTTGGCATATGGTCTACAGTACATGGCTTGAGGAGCAGCGACACCACTATAGACCTTCGGACCGAGCAATCAATGGACGACTGCCCTGACGGCAGGCATGCAAAGGTGGGGTACCTTCAAGACGACGCGTCCAGCAACGTCTCTGCTGTCTCCGCTGTCTATCGGTCTACAACCAGTCCGCGAAGCAGCCAGCGCGCCGTACAGTCCGTCGTTCCCGCAGACCCTGAGGGGACAAAGGTTGCGATCCCAAGTAACTTCACAGGTCGCACCCGCTGTTGACGATGATGGGCCAGGTCAGTCAGTCGGAGGGGTCGGGACTCACTCGGGCTCGCCTGACGGAAATGCTGTTGTACGACTAGGCACATTCTGATGAGCAATGTGCGTGAGGGAGAGCAAGCTTTGTGCGTCAAGCGTCAACCAATGAGCGCTTAGCGCAAAATATACATGTCGTGAAACGTCCCCTTACCGAATTGAGCATACCTAACCTCGAGCTTGCTTGGACATCCGCTCCAAGTCCCTCTGTTCCGAACTGCCCAGTGCTTACACAAAGCGGAGTGGTTGATGCGATGCTTGCCCTTGCCCCTGTCCTGCTCTGCAGCTGCACTGAGCTTGAAGCGTCTGCCGGCCCTGGCCCCCAACAGGATGCGGCCCTAGACGTCATTCTGGATCCCACGCCTCGGCACCGATGGAGCTCTATCAATGCTTATTGCATGAGCTGAACGTCGAAAGGTAATGCGCAGCTGTAACGGATAAACAATCAGATAAGTGAGTAAGTGAGGCGGCACGGCCAACGGCATTGCCTACAGAATACCCTACGATGCACGCCATAAACTCTCCTCCCGTTCCCCAGTAGACTCCCATACCCTCTTTGTCCGAGTCCAACCATACACGCAAAGGAGCCCCACTGGCAAATCATGGCAAACCTCACCACCGCCCTCCAAGAGACCATCTACCACCTCCCACAAGCGCCCCCTCGCATTCGGAAAACGCCCTTCAAAGTTCTCTGTCCCGGTCCCCCCCGCTCAGCCACCGAATCCCTAGCCCAAGCCCTCAATAAACTCGGCTACTCCACCTACCACGGCTGGGACATCATCTTCGAACCCAACCCTTACCACCAAAAAGCGTTGTACCACCTCATTCGGCGTAAATTCTGCGGTTCCGCGAAAGGGGACTGCCACATCACGGCGGAGGAATTCGACGTCGTGCTCGGCGATAGTGATGCCACGATCGATACGGTGGCATTCCTCTTCTTCCCGGAACTGATGCAAGCGTACCCGGACTGTAAAGTCATCCTCAACACCCGCCGGGACTTGGATGCCTGGCACGCGAGCATGATCCAGACCTTCCTCAAAGACGTCGCGGACAGCTGGCTACTCTGGCTAATCCACTACTGTTCCGCGGGGTCGTTCTGGATGTACGAGGGATTGTATGGGATCGGGTTTCCGATGTTCTTCCGCAGTCGGAGGTCGACGTATTTGAGGCCGGGCATTGTGCAGAATGGGAAGTGGGTGTATCGGGAGCATTGTGCTATGGTGCGCGGCATGGTGCCGAGGGAGAGGTTGTTGGAGTGGAGTGTTGAGGATGGGTGGGGGCCGATTTGTGAGGTGAGTCTCCCAAAATCATACTTGCGATGTGGAGGCTGTTGGCGTGCTGATATTGCGGTTTTGAATAGTTCCTGGGTAAGGACGTCCCGGACGAACCGTTCCCGTGGGTGAACAATCCGAAGGATTTTGGAGAGAAGGTGGAGCGGACGCTTAAGCCGAGAATGGCAGCGGCATTTCGTAATATGGTGATAGTCGTTGGCGGGTTTGCTGTCGCCGTCATCGCGATTGTGTTCGCAGCACGCAGATTCATTGCGTGGCCAGCTCGGTCATGAAAGGCACAGAAGGTTTGCAAATCACTTTGAGTGCAGCTTGCCCGTATCGCAAAACATTCACTGGTGTGGCAATAATCATCAGCTCACCTGACCCATAACGTAACACCATCGCCCCGGCCGGCTTCGTAGAACCCATCACGGCACGAGTACGACCTGCCTTCCCACCCCAATCCACTCGCCGCCAAATCAAGCCCCTCCCTCCACTGCTCAAACGAACAAACTTTCGTCTCCACCAACTTCTTTTCCCCTTGGAAATAACCCCGCCGAAAGCAACCGGACAAACCCCAGCATATCCTCCAGTTCATACATCGACTTCCCCTGCAGCCGATCATTCCTCCCCATCACACTCACAGTCCTGGGATTCTCATTCCGCCCCATCAACCTCACCCTCCCTCCCCTCCGTAAACACCACACCGCGCTGCGCACATGCGGGGACTTGGCTGCCTGGGGGCGGGAAGGAATCAAGGACTGCGTCGATTTTGGCCGTTGGGGGCCAGAGTGCGTAGGGAGGCGGCGTCCGCCATTTCGTCACCAGTGATTTCGGCGGTGGGAGATGGAGGCGTATGGTATACCGTTTAGGAAGGACGTGGGGTTGCAGTCGTGCCAGTTCCGTCTCGTTCCCGCCGAAGGCTATAACGCGTGCCCCCCATTTGCCACGGCGAGGAGGACCGCTGCCCGCCGTAGGGAACTAGTAAATGGCCGGTGTACATTAGATCTGGGACTGAGTAGCCCAGCTTCTCGCATAGTCGGGTTTCGAGGGAGTGGGATGCACTTTTCTAATGACACTTTAGCGTACTGGGCGAAAAAAATTCCCATCACGCCAGACGTCCCGCATAAGCCTTTTGCTGCCGTCCGTCATGCCGGAGTGGATGGCGGTTAGGAAGACCGAATCCGGGTCTTTGCGGGCATGGATCAAGCAGTCGCGATAGACAAGTCGGTTGAGGGTAAGGGTTGTCGCATCCGGGCCTAGGGGCGGCGACGCGGCCGATTGCGTTTAGGCCGCCTATGAGCGGGATGGGAGAGTTGTAGGCGCGGGGTCCGGCGTAGATTTCACGATGGTAGGAGAGGACTTCTGCGATTAGGATGTGGATGATGGCGCTGCCGAGGGTGGGGTGGGGAGAGTGGGAGGGTTCTGAGGTGGAAGGCTTCGCCGATTTGATCGAGGACGGGGGCGCGGTAGGAATGGTGGGAAAGGGGAGGCCGTGGTGGAGGCGATAGTGAAAGAATTACCTGCTTGGGTTTATCTGATCGTCTGATGGAGCTATCCTCGGGAGGAGACGAGTGAGTAGATATTCATCGACCCGCATGTTGTCAAGTCCGATATGAGTTCTTGAAGCCGTACGAGGGCGACAGAACTCGATATTAAGCATATCACCTTCTGTGGTACTTGGACAGACGGTGTGTGGGAGAGGTGTGGTGCGAAGACTTGTACCTTGCCGGACCATTTACCGGTTAAGCAGCTGGGCAGGACTAACTACGCCTGGCGTTACGCTGGGAAGATGGCGACAGATCCCCAGCAAGCCCGCTGCAATGGCTTTCAGGCTTGGGCTTTCGTCAACAAGTAGCTCGCGGTATGGGACAGTCATCGCGCAGCCATGTGGCCGAACGGGCCATTGGTGTCAGCTGGGCTTGCGTCTTGGGAGGTGGAGGTGAGAGGAGCAGTCACCTCGGGGTCGGCATCTTGCAGACGCTGTACCGGGCCCCGTCACAATGCTGAGTTGCAGCTTTATCGGTTTGGGACGACTTGGTACCATCTAGACGTAGGTATGTGTATGTGTATGTGCATGTGTGTGTATATGTGTACGTGTATGTGTATGTGTATGTGTATGTGTATGTGTAGCTGTGGTCATTGTTGTCCCGGTCCAGTTCCTGTATCACTTCGAGTCATGTCGTGCTCTGGGCAGAACCCCGGGGGTCCACTATGCGTTGGCCGGCAACTTCCAAGTCGGTACACGTCCGAAGTACATCTTCCCTCCCATTCCATTGCTAAGGTACATGTGGTTTTATCTCCATCTTGAGGTATGAAGACGCGTCGAATGGACAACACCGCGTCTCGCCATCTCGCTGCACGGGGGATGAGATGAAATGGCTGGGTACTATTCCATCGCGCCTGCCGTATCAGACGGTTACGTATTGCAGGCGTCAGTGCCGGTACGTGACACGAAGTTGACCGTTTCTGTCGTCACCATCGCCTCGTCACGCGATCACGCGACAGATGGAGATGGATTGACTTGGCGAATGTCAGGTGCACGCATTGGTGACAGCTCGACACAGCTGCATCCTGCACCTCCCACACCCCCTTCTCACACCACCCTGCTTCTCTCTCATCGTCTCTCTCTCCCTCTTCTCACTCAGTAGCATGTCCCTGCTGCAGAAGAGCACTGCGGCCTCCTTTCGTTCCCTCACCCGTACATCCTACGCTCCTGCACTAACCTCGACCATCACCCGCCGTGCACTAACCCTACAACACCACCCTCGACCACTCACCACCAAACCCTCACCACCCCTCACCCCCCTCCTCAAGATGTCCCGCAACATGGCCACCGTCAACGAGAACCCTCGCCAACCCGCCCCCTCCCACTTCATGGCCACCTCCGGCGCCCAGGACCCCGTCTGGATCCACACCGAACCCTACTCCAACCGCCCCCGCTTCCCCGCCCTCGACCGTGACCTCGACACCGAAGTCTGCATCATCGGCTCCGGCATCAGCGGCATCCAAACCGCCTACGAGCTCGTCACCCGCGGCCACCAGGTCGTCATGATCGAAGCCCGTGACATCCTTAGCGGCGAGACGGGCCGGACCAGCGGTCATTTGGCCAGCTCCCTCGACGACGGCTACACCAACATCGCCCAGAAGCATGGCGACCAGGGTGCGCTGTATGCGGCGCAGAGCCATTCGTTTGCCATTGACCGCGTGGGGGAGATTGTGAAGAAGCATGATATCGAGTGCGAGTACAGGAAGTTGCCCGGGTATACGATTAGTCAGTGGGACCGCAGAAAGCAACCCAAGAAGCATGACGAGGATGTGAAGATGCTCAAGGAGGAGGTGGTCAAGGCGAAGGCGTTGGGTTTGCCGGCGGACTTTAAGGAGGGATTCTCGGTGAAGGGATGGGATGGCGAGCCGGATCAGCGGGATGCTGCTGTGTTTGAAGGGCAGGCTACTTTTCACCCAGTAAATCGTCTCCCATTCCCTCTACTTGCTTATGATGCTAACGATATGCTAGACGAAATACCTCATCGCCGTCCTAAACTGGCTCAAACAACAACCAAACTTCACCTGCTACACCCACACCCGCGCCATGAACATCGCGGAAAAGGGCATCGAAATCGGCCCCATCGGCACGAAATCCGTCGAGATCAAAACCCTCGCCGGCCACACCATCACCTGCGCCCAAGCGGTCGAAGCAACCTGCGTCCCGCTGCAGAAACTCTCCGTCATCGCCGAAATGGAATTCGACCGCACCTACTGCATCGCCATCCGCGTCCCCAAAGGCTCAGTAGAAGACTGTCTCCTGTACGACTCGGCGGAGGAGTACAAGTACGTTCGCCTCACGCACTGTGATGACAAGGACGACTACATGGTCGTCGGCGGCTGCGATCATAAGGTGGGACAGGAAGAACCCATCGGCCGCTACAAGGAAATCGAAACTTGGGTCCGCGAGCGTTTCCCACAAGCAGGCAGTGTCGATTACGCCTGGAGCGGGCAGATCTTCGAACCGGTCGATTACATGGCGTTCATCGGTCTCAACCCGGGCAACAAGCACACCTACATCATCACGGGCGACTCCGGCAACGGCCTCACGCACGCCGTCATCGCGGGCCGCATCATCGCCACGACCATCGAAGGAAAACCCGACGCCTGGGCGAGCGCGTACAACCCATCCCGCGTCACATCCCTGCTCAAATCCGGCAAGGAACTCCTCTCCCACGACTTGCAGATCAACGCGCAGTACAAACGCTTCTTGCAGAGCGATATCCAGGATATCGAGGACCTGCCCAACGGCGAAGGCGGCGTGCTGAACCCGGCCACGAAGTCGCCCATGGCCGTGTACAAGGATGACGAGGGCAAGGTGCACAAATTCTCCGCCTTGTGCCCGCATCTCAAGGGCGTGGTGTGCTGGAATCGGTCGGAGAAGAGTTGGGATTGCCCGGTGCATGGCAGTCGGTTTAGTAAGGATGGCATTTGTGTCATGGGGCCTAGTAAGGGGGGGTTGAATGCTATTGACGATAGTGGCAAGGCGTCGCAGCAAGAGGCTATGCAGGCGTGAGGGAGTAAGACTTGGGAGTGAGTGAAGCAGCGAGGGAGGGACAGCTAGATTGTGACCGTGGTGAAAGGGGATGAGGAGTCGGGGTCAGCGAGCGAATGTACTCGGCCTCTACTACGAAATCTTGCCGTGCAGCGAAACGAAATCTTAATGGCCGCAAGGCTCTGCAGTGGCGTTCGAATTCGGGCGAGACTCAATCAGAGTGCTGATGCGGTCAGGAATGAGCTCTCCAGGGGGACACTGTTCCTCTCTCGCTGTCTTTCGGCGATGTTCCTACTACGTTACTCGAGCGTCCATGTAGCATGTACTGCCTTTTATTTTTCCATTTAATCGCCTAAAGTCATCCCCTTTGTTAAGATGGAAATTGAGCAACCAGGTATTGACCAATAACCGCTCCCACGTCTTCCATTCTCCACTCACACCGGCGTCGCGCAGCTGGACCTGCTACTTCTTGCCCGCAACAAGCGTGGGCGCAGGCGCAGGCGCATTCGTCTCAGGCCCTTTGTACGTCTTACTCGCCTCCTTCTGCGGCCAGGGCGCGAAGACGTTTTTCTGATGCTTCAGCGTTGGGGCTAGTTCGGGGAAGTGTCTGTGGAAGAAAAACGAAGTCAGAATGGATGGACGGCCGCTGGCAGCTTTGCCCTCCAACTCACCTGATCAGGACATCCTTCATAGTGGTATTCTGCACCCAGTGCAGTCCTTCAGCCGTATACGTTTCTTTGTCGAATTGGTTGGCGATGAAGCGGTCGCTTTTGAGCCGGCGACTCGCCATTAAGATGAACACCCGGAACGCCGTGTCCGAGAACCCAAACCCCTTGGGGAGCGGTTCACAATGACATCCGATCAGCAAATCCACTTTCTCCACATCCCCCTCGTATACCTCTTCCACTTTCTTCGCCAGCGCCTCATCACCCCCCGTCAGCTCGAGGAAGCTTTTGGGTGCAGTCATGTGCAGCAACCGCCTCATTTCGCAATACCGTGGGATCCCGCGTTCGCGGTCCCGCAGGATATCAACGGTAGCCATATCCCGCAACACGCCATCGCCCGCATCCATGGGTCCGCGGAGGAAGGCGCCGTAGTTGTTGTGGGTGATTGCGCCCGGGTAGTTGATCCCGAAGGAGTAGAACGCGTCGGCGAAACTGACCCCGCTGTCGAGAGGATCGCGGGCTTTGGCGAAGACAACATCCTCGAATGGCGTGGTCCGCTCGTGCGAACCCGTGGTGGCGTTGAAGAAGGCGATGTTGTCCGGGATGAGAGTGTGCATTCGATAGACACTCACAAACTCCTCCGTCAAACTATACGGCACGCCGTCCTGGTCCACCCCCGACCCCGGGATGCCGCTTACCACATCATCCGTACTGAGACGACCGAGGAGTTTGGTTAGTTTCTCGCCGACCAGACCCCACCAATTGGTGTTCATGGCGACTTGAAGCGCGGGGTGGGCGAGGATGGCGGGGGTCCATTCGACGGTGTGGATTTTGGCCATGAGGCAGGAGATGACGAGGCGGGCTTTGTCGAAGATTTGGTCGGAGGTCCAGGTTGGGTGGGCGGCGCGGAGGAGGTCGCAGACGGCGTTGTGCTCGAGGGCGAAGAGGGTGTGGAGGAGTTCGAGGCCAATCCACCTGTCATTCTCGTTAGTCGTGGACTGATCTACGCCGTGAGAAATGCTGCAGTTTCACCAATTGTTGTTGAAGCCGGTCAATGGGAGACCAGTCTTCGGATCTCGAGGCAGGAAGGACTCTTTCTTGTCTTGTGTGAGTTCGAGTTTGCCGTCTGGATGCTTGGAACGTAGAGATGAGGTGACTATCTCGCTTTCGCCGTATAGCTGTGAAGCGTCCCACCAGGGTGTGCACATGTTCTTATAGCCAGGGCAAGCCACATCGGAAGCGTCCAGGGTGACGTCGGGCTGGGATTTGGGCAACGCCATCGTGCCATCTTTGCTTGGCCAGTCGTCGCCCGGCGGGAGAGGGACTTGATAGTCATTCTCGGTTTGCTGTTCGTGGAAGAACCAGTCGTGGACTTGGAATTGGATCCATGCAGCAGCTAGCAGGTTCAGCGTGGTGGCGGGCTTGAAACCATCCGGCTCCGTCCGCTTCATAAGAGTATCACTGATCAGCCTTGGGTTGGGCGTCATCATTTCTTGTTCAGATGGCTTCTTGGCGCATGATCGTGGGATGTTGCGGCCAAAGCGCATGCCCGCGCAGCCCATCTTCGGCATCTCCAGCGAGTTGTAATCGCCATCTGAGCTGCGCGCCTCGAGAAAGCGCTTATCTTTCAATGGCTCCGCGGCCAGGGTTCCTTGTGGAGCCTTCGATGCATACCTACACCGGATGAGAGTCGCCATCAGCCCACACTGAGTGGGTGTGTGTAGTTTCTCGGCAACTCACCCATCGTAGAGATTCTTCGCTCGCAACTCATATCGGAAGGCTAAGAGGTTTGCAACGCCGAGCAAGGTGGGAAGCTTATGCCATTCGATGTGCTTGTTGACAAACTTGAAGAAGCTGACAATGAGGTTCTCAAAGAAACTAAGCTGAAACGACCACGATTCATGTTCGACCGGGTCCGCTTGGTCGACCATGGTTGGCATATGAGACGAATAGTGGAAAGTATGTTACGAAGAGAGTATGTGACGAGATAATAAGAAGGAAAATAGATCTGACCTGCCTTACGCTTCCAAGCTCGATCCTCCCTTGAGTTCAAGGACGAGACCTCATCTACTGCAGACAGCCACAGCTGGTCGAAAGCAGCAGTCGATTCGGGCCCCTCTACGCCATGTGGGAGGGCTGAGCTGACACATGGATCCCTTGCAGAAGCGAGGCTGTAGCGCGAGCATGGAATGCGACGCTTGGTCCGTTCATGGATGCTTGGTAATGCTTGACGATCTGCTCGACGCAAGCCCAAGCACAGTGGAAGAGAAGGTTCGTGAGGCATGTTATTTGGTACCTACAAGCAGACCAGAGCCGACAACGATGGTGAGGTTGAAGCGAGCTGAAAGCAGGGGCCAACATGCCGACGTGGGAGCTTGGACCATTCATACCACATGAACGGCGGGCACGTACATCCAAGTGACACACACATCCTTCCCGTCAACTGCATGTCAGCAGCCACAGCTGCAAGCGCACGAGGTTGGTGATGCATGTAGCAATAGTAGTGAGGTAGGTCGGCTTCTTTGCATCTCCTTGACGTTGTCTGCCCATTTCAACACTCTCCGTATCCATACAGCAACCATACTACCATGGGCGGCTTCAGCTGGTCACACCTATTCACTCCCATCCTCAGTCTCTTCCGCCCTAAGCCTAATGCTGAGATCGAAGCACTGAAAGAAGCAAACCATGACTACATCCGCGGCGACGAGTCTCAGCGCTCGCCTTGTCCCTTTTTGAACTCACTCGCAAACCACAACTACTTGTATGACCAAACCCCATGCTGCAAATCGCCTTACGACAGCTGAAAAGACTGCAGACCCCGCGACGGCAAAGCCATCACCAAAGCCAAGCTCAAAGCCGCCCTAATCGTAGCCGGCAACAGCACGCCCCTCTTCGCCGACGTCCTATCCAGCATCGTCAAGTCCGTCACGCGCAAAGACGGCACCTTCACGCTGGTCGACCTACGTCGCCACAACGCCGTGGAACACGATGCCTCCTTCACCCGCCTCGACGCGCGACAAGGCGACAACTACACCTTCCAGCCCGCCATGTTCGAAGCTATGGTCAAGGATGCCCACGGCGGGCCGATCAACAGGGATAGTATTGCCCGCACAAGGGCGAGGAGGGATAGGGAGGAGAAGGCTGCGGGTAATGGGGCGGGTGTGACGTTTTGGAGGAGTCCGAGGTTGTATGTCACGACGTGGAGTCAAGCGTGTATCTTGTTGCAGACGTTTGGGGAGGAGATTGGAGTGGAGGAGCTTAGGAAGTTCTATACGGAGGAGCGGTTGGTTGAGGGCTGGGTTGGGGAGAAGAAGAAGCGGATGACGTTCCTTGGGCAATTGGGGGATATGGCAAGTGTGTGGTGGAAGCATTTCTTCATTCAGATCGATGGGGCCGCGGTCAAGGATCCCTTGAAAGGGTGGTAAGCGAGTTTACTGTGATTGATGTTTCTTGACGAGGTAGAATGGTTCGCTCTACACGGTGGATATTGTGAGCTTCACATCGAGTGGTCCGTGCATTACACCATTCATAGTGCCTCTACTTCGCCCCTTCTCTGTTCTTTAGCACTTCTCATGAAGCTTACCAAGCCTCACACAGCTGAACGATCGACATTGGCACGTTGCAAAGTCATAGGCGACACCCGGCATGCCTCGCCACATCACGCAGATTGACCCGTGGGGGCCAGTTGATCAATGCACCAGCATTCCAGACCCATGGTCACTCCTTCCAATGTTACTTTCAGAGGCAAGCACATTGCTTTTCGCAAAACACTGGCCGAGGTCTATGAACTGAGGATAAGATCACCATGGCCAAAGCACCACCACAAGCCGGAGGTAAAGGTCCAATCTCCAGCTGCGACACGCCCTACACACGTACATGCTTCTCCGCTACGACTTTGTCCTCGCCGCTCTACGTAATCCCATCTTGAGCCAGTACTCGGAGAACGTAAGCTGGATGCCCGACTCCCTTCTCCACTCATGCCTTCGGCCCGGAATGCGGATCCGGCACCCGGTCTTCAGCGTACCTTCCCAGTACCGGATCAATGAGGAAGTTATCAAGGTTCGGACCAGCGACGAAGACTTCGTTGCACAGACCAGCCTCCGCTTCTCCCGAATACTCTTCGAATCACTGATTGCGATTGGCCTGCAGCCTATCCTTGTCGATACAGATGACATGATCACGCATACTGAGTCGATGCTCGCGAAGTTATGCGAACTGCTCGAGCTTCATCCGGCGGGCGTGCGGACGCTGTGGGCGAGCGAGACACCACCGGAGGTGCTGAGGGGCTTTTGTGTGGGATTGCTGTCGGGTTCGACTGGCATTGTTCGGGATGGTAGGGTAAATTTATGAAGTCCCATCTGCGTACTAGCGGAGAGCGTTGCTAACGTGGAGCAGCCACATCCGGACGCTGTCGCTATTGATGCTGAGACAGAGAAGTGGGTCAAGGAGTTTGACGGAGAGACGGCGAGAGGGTTGCGCGAGAGGATTGATGCGGAGATGGGATATCATGAGTACCTCAAAGCTCGGAGACTCACGGTGTGAAGTTCAGAGTAGCCGCAGTAATCACTTCTCCAGCTTGCCCGGGGTGGCGAGAGCAGCTTATATAGCGGGAGCAGATGAATTGGGGTCAGACAGGCCGGAACTGAGTAAGTTTCAGCAGCTGGATGAATGCTTGCACGGCTTGAACTGTCTGCTACTGCATCTTCTTTCCCTTCAACTCCGGAGGCTGCCCGACCACAACACCCCTGTACAGCGCATCCTTGACACCCCTCCGTATCCCATCCTCCAACTTGACAACCGGCCGGTACCCCAACCGCTTTTTCGCCTTGTCAATACTATAATACCTCGTCATGCACGTATACTTGACCTGCGCTGTCGTCAGATTCGGCTTGCCAAGCCGAAACGCCCAGTACACCCATTCCATGATCGTCGCCACGGTCAATCCAAACTCTTTACTGAGTACCCAGACTTCGTTCGGCTGCGTCTTGTCACCCGCCGCGGCCCAGCACATCCGCGCGAAGTCGAAGAAGTACACAGGCGCGTCGTTGGTGATGAAGAAGGCTTCGCCATCCACCCTTTCGTGGTCTAGAGGTGCTGCTAGGCCGGAGTCTTCGCGGTCGCGGGTTGCCAGGAGTGCGGCAAGGGCGAGGTGGTGGGCGTGTGCTACGTTCGTGATTTCGGTGAAGTCGAAAAGGTTCTCGTTGTCTCCGATTTGGAATCTGGTTTGGCCTCTGTAGTACGCTGATAGACCGGGTGGAAGTAGTTGCACATCGCCTTCGCCGAACATTGCGCTGGGTCGTATTGCCGCGGTCAGGAATTTGGGATAGTTCGGCGCGCGGTTTGCGGCAAGTACTTCCACCTCTGCTTGTGCCTTGGTTGTGCTATAGTATTGTGGTTGTGCGTCGCCCATGATAAGCGGATACGTCTCGTCCGCATTGACCAGATCGCTGATGGTATCGTGGATGATCGATGCCGAGGAGGTGTATACAAATGCCTTGACACCAGTCTCCTGCGAAGCTCGGAGGAGAGTCTTGGTGCCGTTCACGTTGACATTGTACATGAGGTCGCTCTTGTTATTGTTCAATGCAGCGGGAGAAGCAGTGTGTATTACGGCGTCTGGCTTGATCTTCCCAAACAGCTTGAGCATGCTATCGTAGTCGGTGATATCGCCTTGGTGATACTCCACACCATTGATGGGGTTGGCATCTGGCCGCAGATCGAGACTCGAAAGCTGAGCGCATGCTCCTCTTGAGTCTAGTAATGCTACGATGTGATGTCCAAGAAAGCCACTACCGCCAGTCACGAGTACTCTCCCCAAGCTCTTCACCTTCTCGTCTTTCCCATACGCGTTTACTGTGTGTTCACTGGGCGCCATGGTGGGGTGCCTCTTCAGTTCACTGATCGTCAAGTCACAATGTTCGTAAAGGCCAGACCGCGCACGCTCGTCCGATTACGTGGATGTGTTTGCTCCCTACAGGATCGTGAACAATCTACAATGCGCCAGCCACCATCCTTGAAGGGACGGTCGAAATCATCGGCCCATTCCACTTTGCCCGAGCTGCAGGTACCGCTCACTTGCAAGGGTGTCGGCCCGTGTCCGCCTCTACGATCCACGCCGCCGGCGCCATTACGTGCTGTAAGGAACGAATCAACCTTCATCGTGGCTCTACATGATAACAATGTATGCACGTCGACGACAACATGGAGGCAGCCAAAGCGGACGCTGATCGCACCAGCCCTCCCATTCATCTCTATGCCGAGCATCTACGAAACATTCGAACTCTGAGTGTCCAAGCCACTTTTGCCACTCATTCGAATAAGGAGACCAAAGCTACCCTTTCAGTCGACGGCAGCTTGCTTAAAGTAAGCCATGAGGGCGAGGAAGCCTGCATTCGGCTTCCTGTAAGCATACCGGGAGGCCACAGTGATGCTACCCTAACCATACCCGAAGCACCAAGCAAGAGTCTCTCCTTCCGCCTGAAGATTGAGGAGAACCGTGGTACAGATGGGCTGCTCGGTAATGGTAACCAAGATGACGAAAATATCGTCCCATGGGCGGCCAGCGATCTGTCTGCGGAAACCGATATCTGCTGTGCCGAATGTAGAACCACTTTGGTTGAACGCCATCAAATCCAGCAATGGAAGGACCTGCCCTCCGACGGCTGGGCAGAATTGATGGACTTCTGGCATTGTCACAAGCCGGATGTTCCACACGACCATGGCCACGACCATGCTTCACAGCCAGATCTCACTAGTCGGCGAATTACTGAAAGCAGCCAACTGAAAGTGCAGCCTAGCGTAGGTCTGGTAGGCCCGACCTTCTTCCTGCTTGCTGCTGAGGACTGCCCAACACTCTCGGTAAGCTTGTACTTCCCTGCTCTCTACTATGTTCTCCATTTGTTTCTATTCGCTGTGGGCTCAAAGAACCGCCTCTTTCGGCCTCGCGGTCACCGTCAGTGGAAGTTGCTGGGATACAAGAGCCCAAAAGCGAGTTGATCGCACACACACCAGCTTCAACCTGTGCTGCGGCGGTGGTCGAACTGGCTGTAGTGCATCAGTCTAGCGTTCTGGGGTTGAGTCCGGAAGCGCATGGGCTTGACCAATATACGACCTAGATACATATAGAGTCTGTTTCAGGACAGACATAAAGTGTACGTCTCCGTATCGCCAAACCGGACTACACTAACCATTTGGCAGACGTCTTCAGAACGAACTGCGCCTCGCACACACGAAGTCTTGCGCTGTCCCACATGTCACTTGACAGTCGGCATTCCCGACTTCTTGAGTGCTGGCTACCGTCTTCACAAACGAGCACTTTCCATTTCAGCTTCATCAGCTCTGCCTCATCAGTCGTATGACATTGAGCAATGGCTAGCGTGCCAACTCTTGACCGCGGCTGAAACCCAGAGCGTTCGCCGTCTCTCAGTCCCTACTCCAACCTCTTCAGCGACCGCCGAGGACCGGGATCTGCGCATTTGGCTTTTTACGCCTGACATGACAGTCTCAAGCTCTATGGCGAAGACGCCGGAAACAATTCGCGTTGTTAAAGTGCTCTACCGTGAAGGCACACCTCGAGCAAGGGAGGCCTCTGACGCAGTCGGCGCAGGAGAAGGTGAGGTTGAGCTTGACATGACCGAGTTTCAGTCGTTGCGTGAACTACTAAAGACAAACTCACTCTTGCTGCCGGAGGCGGCGCGGACGTTTCAAGACTGGAAGGTATCATTGTTGCGACGTTTCACAGCTACCGACATAGAATGAGCCAAGAACGCACCTCTAACCTTTGTACGTTTAAATGGTAGCTACCGACGCTCTGCAACCCTTCACGTGAACCCTACAAACGATCGTGCACGCTCACTGTGCAGCGCAACGAGCCGAACAGCTTCCGTCACAGCATCGTTATCATCGCCATCATCATCAAATTCATCCCTGACATGCGCTTTCTTGGGAAGCACAGGAACACTCGCCGACCTAAGCAAGCGAAAGGTCTGCATCTGACCGACCCTAGCCGCCGTGCTTCGGGGAAGGAACCATGACAGCTTACGCTCACGCGCAAGTCTCTTCGCTTCTCGCTCAGCCTCGGCGAGCCTAAACTCAGCATCGCGACGATGCTGCTCGGCGTCAACCTCTAGACGTAAAATCTCGGATGCAACTGCCTGTTCATATTCTGTTGTGCGTGTGCGATTGCCCGGAAACTCATCAAAGTAAGCTTGCCTGACTCCGTCATCGAATTCACCATCTCGAACCAGATGGCTTACGCGGAGAATGCACACTGCAAGCCTTTCGGCGTCGGAAGCTTCTCGCTGAGCTGACAATCCAGGGTGGTATCCGTTGCCCTCTTCGCGGGGCGAGTATGGAGGCGGAGGCTCACTCATCAGCGAGTGTGGCGAGGACGGCTCGCTGTATTCGCTCTTGGTGTAGGTGAACGAGGCCCGGCCACGTTCACCGTTCCTGCCGCAGCGTCTCAACGAAGCGCCATCCGGCTCGACAGCGTCAGGAGCTATGGTATCGGCGTCCTCGAAAGCTTGCTCTTCACGAGCAGAATTGCTGCTAGCACTGAAATCGTAGACCGGAAACTGCAGCTCGGCGTCTTCCTGGATGGCGTTGGCGCGGGTGCGCGCGGTACGGTTACTCTCATCGCAAACCGGCAACGTCTCCCTCGACTTCTTCCTGACCCAGAAAGACGACAACTTCCGTGGAAAGCTTCCCACGAACTCGGCAATCGGCTGCGACCACGAGCCCTGGCGTCTTATCTCCTCTGTGGCATCCTCGGCAAGACTAACGCTGTCCTTCGCCATCACAAACGCCGCCACCATATCCTCCTCAAAGACCAGGACGCCATCATCCCGATCGAACACAATCCCCTTCCTCTTCTCCGCCAACCTTTGCCTTCGCACCTGCTTCTTCCCCTGCTTCTTCGCCTCCCGCTTCGCACGGAATCGCCGCCTATGTAATGTCTGCGAAGACGGCGACATATCACGCGGATGCTTCAGCATGATCGGCTCGCTAACATTCTCGATATAACCCTCCTGGACCGAGCTAGCATCGGACGGTGAGTCGTCCGAGTTCTGCGCACAGTAGGCTTGGAACTCCTCGTGGGCGTCTATGCCCAGGATGCCCTGGTCGACGGACATGAGAGGCTGGTGGTGATAGCGAAACCGGGGTACGTGTTCTGGGCGACCGGTTTGACGGAAGAGGATACTAGCCGGGATGGCATGGCGGTCACGCAGCAACTGGTGGTCGGCGCTGTCGCAGCGATGAACGCTGCTGTTCATTTCGGTAGTGCCATCGCGAGGCGAGGGATCGCGGTCAGCCATGCTTGCGGTTTTGATGCTTGCTTCAGGAGCTCGATAGTGGTTTAGGATGCCTGCTGTAGTGGTCGTGGTGCTGACTTGACCAAAGCAGAATAGACAAGACACAGTATGAAGAGACTTCTTCGTGAGCGGAGATTTGTGGACTGAATGGGAAGAGAAACCACGCAGAAGAACAGGAACAAATTGCTGCGAGCGACTGGATCTGGACTTATCTACCGGAAGCTTTGAGGGGCTGTGATGACTTGCTTTTTGCCTACCAGAGGGTAGCGTGCCATGACCAAACAGTCGAACAAGCTGTGGCTCGCGGGTGGTAAGCATTCGGATCAAGCGTAGGGTACGGGATGGTAAGCTGGTGACAGAGAAGCGAAAGCAGCGGAGCAGAACATCTCAGGCGGTGGAGATTGCTTGGCACGGTGGGCTGATAACCTCTCCAAAGTACAAACGAGCTGGGTGATGTAATCCTTGAGTTACCTACTAGCACAGCGTTCCCAGTTTCCCACTCTTAGCCGTCGCCATCCGCTGCCTTCACCCGCGCACTGCATTCTGAGAAGGAGCTAATTCATGGGACAGTCTGACTTGATGCATGCCAATCCGATGCCAGCGCAAAACCATTCTTACACCGCGTAATTGCGACTCATTCGGTTGTTGTATGCGTCGCGTTGCTGTCGTCGTAATCCTAATCCACAATCCCAACGAGCTTCTTCGATGGCCAGATCTACTGTGTGCCAGCACTGAACTCCATACCCGGGAAGAGCTCACGGAGGGTGCTGTTGTCGTTCGTCAAAGCCGGAACGCTGGCAGAGTTGTTCATGTCGAAATGACCGCCGAAGTTGCCCCAGCTGCTACCGTCGGCTGGCAGGGAAGGCATCATGGCGCCTGTTGCCGGCGTCGTGACAGCAGCGCCTCCGTAGAGGGTAAAGTCGCCGCCATTGGCGAAGTTGTCGATGTGCATAGTGCTCTGGTTCGGTGCGGTGAAGGTCTGCTCCAGCCGTGCGCCTGGCGAAGTGGCCAGCCCGGAGCTGCTGAAGCCGGAGTCAACCGATAAGTTATGGTTGTGAGTTGGGAAAGCGAAGTCATTGAAATCGAAGTTCATGTTGAAGTTGTCGTAAGTCGTGTCGAACGGCGACATGGTGCCATCAAGCTGTACGCCAGAATGAGAGGAGAAGCCAGCAGATGAACTGCGCCGGTCCTCGCTTGTCGAGGGTGTAGGCCAGGCCGTGAAGTTGACGTTATTGACGTCGAGGTTAAAGTGGTCGGAGAAGTCTCCGAAGTCAGGAGATGGGTTGGCGAAGATTGGTGTGCCGTAATTGCTTGGTCCGGCAACACCAGTGGGAGGCGCAGGCGGCATGTAGGACGAAGCCGCCGAAGACGGCGACGGCGCAATCGGAGTGTAGGGCGTCAATACCGCCGGTGACTGCGGAACTGAGCCTTGCGGCGGCAGGCGCGTGATGCTGCCAGTGCTCGCACTAGGCACTCTGCCTTTGCCGTTGGACTTCGAGCGTACATACTCCCACCCATGCGCCTTCTCCATGTGCTGCTTGCAGTTTGACTCACGCTTGGAGCTGTAAGGGCAAGGCTGAAACTGGCAGTAGTAGCGCGCAGCGCTGTTAGAATGCTTGTCGTTCTCGTGGCGGTCGCGTTCTTTCTCCGTTGGCCAACCCAGGTCGTGATACTTGCAGCTTTGTTCGCGACACTTCCACGGTCTCTCATGGGTTTTGATGTGTTTAGTGAGATCGCAAGGTCGCTTGAACTCCTTGTCGCATTGGGTACACGTGTGAATTTCGGGCTTGGCGCCCTTCTTGCGCCGTGCCATGGAGCGGAGAGCATCTTCATCGTCGGTGAGGTCGGCGGGCATTGGACGCTTGTTAGAGGAAGCGGAAGCAAGCTCTTCAGAGGAGATGGGCTCGCCGGTGGCTAGACTTATAGTCTTGCCGTCCTTGGTACGCCTGACAAGCTCAGCCGGCTTCCCATTGTGACTCATGCCACCATGGAGTGAAACACTCTCGCCCCTGCATGAATGGTTAGCACGTGACTTGACAATGGTCATTGAACACTTAGCAACATACTTGCTCTGCTCCATTGCGTCGCCTTCCTTAGTCTTGTCTTGCTCTTGGGATGCGCGTGTAGCAGCCAGAATCTGAGCGTATCTGCGAATCTGTATATCAAAGTCAATATTCGGCCCCTCCTGGAGCTTGAGACAACCGCAACACACCTGCGCCACGAGATCAAAGAAGTAGCCTTGCGTGTACGGTCGGTCGGTCGGCTCGCGCTGATCGGACTCGTGTAGGGTTGTGACAGTCGTGTGCAATACGCGAATCGTACGCTCGCAAAAGCGTAGGTATTTCGAAGGAGTACGCGCGTAATCCTGAACGCCAGAACACCAATGAGCAAACGCACAGTCTTCGGGACTGTGACAGTGACTTACCGGAGCGAGAAAGATGAGGGTGCGCTCGAGGTCGCGGAGAGTCTTAATATCCTTGTTGCCGATGCGCTCAGGAACCCTCTCAACAAGCGGATGGAACTCTTGAAGTGCCTTTTCGTCGAGAATGGGCTTGACGATGAGCTTGTGGATCTGCTCGGCGGCGTAATTGCTCAAGCCACGATCTTCTTCGGAAGCGACAGAGGTTGCATCTGAGAGTGGATGAGCATAGCTGTTGGTGAGGGCGTCACATGTAGGGACGGTCTCACCGGTATCATCCGCTTCCGCCTCGGTCTCACCGGTCTCTGTCTTGGCGGAAGCAGAGAGAGATTCTATGCTTGATCCGAGGCCGCTATCAGAGGAGTGACGCTGACGACGTAAACGCGGACGGGGTGCAGGCACGTCGTTGTCGATGATGCTCAGTAGAGCCTGCACTGGGAGAGCCTCGGGCTCGTTAAGCACCGCGGTCAGCGCTTCCGCGTTCTGGGTGACAGCCTTGTCGACACGATCCAGCAGATCGGCAGTACGGCGCTCGCCAGAGCCGATGAGCAAGTCTTCGAGAGACTTGGGGCAGGTGGTGGAGCGCGAGGGCATAGACGGTGATAGCGGATCCCACAGCTCAGCCTTGTCCTTATTGGTGCCGTTGTTGAACGTTTCACCCTTGCGGATGTTCATCTTCTTGAAAGAGTCAATGAGGAGGGGAGTCATTGCGGCGTCGGTGGGCCGGGCTCCGCGGCGACGAGGATGGGTGGCAGAGGGCATGGTGGTGGTGCAAAGGGCGGTGCTCTGCGCAGGTTAGCCACGTTGCGGGTGCGCGCCCTTCCCCGCTCCACCTTATGACTCACTCAGCTGTCCAATGGAGTGCTGCAGCGTTCTGAAAGGGAGTTGGATGCTTGGCCTGAACACTTGTTGCGTGTGACGCAGTCGCAAAGAGGCCGCCTCGCTATCACGCTGGAATCCGGCTTGTTGGCTGCCAAGACCTCCCAACACGTGAATGATTAATTATGCTAATGTCTTGCTTTCACGAGGTGGAACTGGAGCCTCGAGAATGGCAATGGTTGGGTGTGTGAGGTCTGATGAAATGGCTGCGCGAAACTAGGCAACCACCTGTGAAGAGGCGTGTTGCTGCTGCCTGCTGCGCTTCGGAATTACTCATCCCACGGGCGGCAACTTCCGACTTGACGCTATCATCTGCATGCTTTCGCTTCGCTCTTCCTTCTGGCACCACCACCACCACCACACAGGGAACCTGCGGCACCGCATGATCTGCGACTGACTGCTCGTATCAACAGGCCAGTCGTCCTTCTCATATTCAAGCCTAGGAGAGCAAGTGTCATATCACTCATCAATACTAGGCGCCTGAAGGATCGGCATCGGTGTTCGGCGGAATGTGCCAATCGTCAAGCTTGGCGCGGCCGGGCCACGATCCTTCGCGGCCACCGGCAGATCTAAGCCTCCCGTCCTTTCCATCTCGACAATGGAGGTGTTATTGCCACGCAACCTCTTGTGGTGCAATCTAGGATGACACGACCAGGTAGCACTCTGATTATGTTCAACCTGTAGGCAAGATCTGACGGAGAACGTACGGTCAAAGACGCTTTCGCATCGACGCTATGACTACTACGCCTGGTTGGTAGCCCTCCATATCTAGAATGCCTTATTGACGCTCTCGGAGGGAAGGTCTGAGAACGCGGCGACAGGCCTTCTAACTGACATCACATTTTTATTGGTTTACAAGCGAAATAGACGCGACCAATGCTCTTGTGCCTGGAATGTCAGCCTTCTAGGCATCTACGGGACGTCGGGTCCAAGAAGTCGAGCAGCTTGCGCCTTCCAGTCGACATCCGTGGAGAGCGCAGAGATCTCCCGCTGCACAAGAGCCTGAGTATCCTTCCTGTCCCACCAAGTCGAAGTGTCCTGGCCACGGGCCCGCATGAGCATCTCAGTGCATGTGAGATCTGGCCGCAGTAGTTTGACAATACCGCTGTTCTGTCGATGCCTCATGGCTGGGTTCATGGCGTTCAGCGAGAGAATCATGGACACGTAGCTGCATTCATAATGCGCTGTAAGTGTAGCCTTTCGCACCAAGTCTGTTGCACCCTGAAGAGCTGTCTCAGCTAGGAAAAGGTTGATGTCGAGCGATTGATGCTCAAGGCCACATGTCAACCAGACCTCCACGGCCCACGGCGGAAGGTCGGAGAGCAAGAGAGCGAGCTCTACTGCAGCGTTCACATAATGCTCGCCAAGGCCACCGTATTGTGCCTGCAGAGTATGTTTGCAGAAGCTCCGGAGTACCTTAGCCGGTCTAGGCGTCCAGGTTGATGCATTTTCCATGAGACTGGAGATGGAAGAATCTTGTCTGAAGACAAGCTTCCAGGGTTGCAACCCTTTGTTGCGGCCTAAGATGCCCATAGCTAAAGCCAAACCTCGACCATCATATCCGTCGGAGGTCGTTGGACTCGACTTGAGCAAAGATAGGGGCATGGCAGAGACTGCTCGGGAAACACGGGGCAAGAAGCCTTGCGAGCTACCCCATAGGTAAGAGACCGTCTTTGTGTCTGGGTCTGCCGAAGCATAGATGCCGACTCTAGGCTTGTTGCTCTCTAGCTCCAATGTGTCGAAGTCGTTGGGTTCCAGCACTCTGATAATGTCTGTCGGATCGTTCTTCTGCAACGAGCCAGTCCATAAAGCCCAGCCATAGTAGTCAGACGCAGTGGGTTGCAGTTCAGCAAGCCTTGGACGGACCTGAGAGATGATGCGCTGCCACGTCCTCGCATCTCCACAGAGCGGCGCGGAGTTTATCAGAACGGCAGTCCTGCTTTGACCAGCCCAAGCGTACCACCTCAGCTTGGTATAGTGTCGATGCTGCCAAGCGGGGAGCATGTACCGAACCATAGCTAAGAACGTCGCAGAAGACAGGGCTAGCACGGACACAGGGTCACCGCCTCCACCAGCAGTAAACGCTATCGTGCTCATGAGGAGTGATACAAACAACAAGACGGAAACAAATGTCCACCACCAGTGCTCAACCAGCGCCAAACGGAAACGAAAGGTCCATTGGGAGGACGACTCGGTCATGAAGGCTAGTGCAGCTACGAGACCTTGGAAGATTGCCGTAAGGACTGCAAGGCCGATGGATGCCCACGAGAAGGCGGCACTGTCGACATGCTGTGCGTGGAAGAGGCTGGACATGGTGTGGTTACTGCTGCTGGTCATGCTAGCATGGAGGCACTCTCTTTTTCTGTTTAGGTCACTCAACTGGGTTTACGATATCATTTACTATGCGATTTCGACCTTAGTATATCGCTCATTACAAGGCTGCCAAGCCTTCCGCCTCCTGTACAACCATGCGTAAAGGAGCCAATAGTCGATGCGAAAAGCCAGGCCCAAGACAATCAGTGGTGTGATGAGGCGCAAGCTCGAGCAGACTTCAGCCTTGTCCGTGCCTGCATGGCGTCCTGGTTTCCATCTTTACTGGAACAGCGCATCTACCTTGTCGCACTCGCAATATATGGATAACAGCCGGTGGCTCATAGTAAAAAACATGAGCGAAGTTTGGAGTAGTAGGAATGCATGGGGGAATTGGTAGCACAAAACCGTTCCATCACGTGACGGCTCGGTTTCGTTGACGGGCATTCTGTTTCTCCGTCTCACCGTGAAACGATCACGACGCAGCTCGAGAACGTGGATCAGTCCCGCAATGTCGCGTGGTGCAGATCAAAATGATATGCTTCCACGGACGCAGCATGCCTTGAAATTCGATCTGGTTGCGAAATGCGCAGTATGCCCCCAATACAGGTTTCTCGCGCATTGTTTGACATACTTCGTTAGACGACCAAAGCCCGCGCAGCTACGCTGCATCTACCTCATGGCCCAGTTCAGCTACCAATGTTTATGCCCGTGGCGACCCAGGCTTCCTTGAAAGGCTTGACGCCGAAGCAGCTGGAAGAGACAAGCTGCCGACTATGCCTGAACAACACGTATCATCTGTAAGGCATTTCGTTACAGCATCCTGAACGATCAACTAACCCGTGCAAGAGGCCTAAAGCCTGGTCAGGCAACACTTGACACAATCGGTGGCGCTCACAAGTTGCAGTCATGGCCGCATAACATATTGACAGGTAAGCCTTGTCACCTGTAGTAGGCTTCATGGCGGGGGACTAATCAGAACAGACAGCGGAGGGTATGCGCCTTGCAATTGCCGAAGGCTGTAACTATCTAATCAGGTGACAGCTTCCAAATGGTGTCGCTGCTGAAGCTTGCACAAGTCACCGAAGAGGGCGTACGCTTTCTAAGCCCTCATGATGGCACCCCGATGTACGCTGCTCCCTCAAGGTTTGTAGAGCCACCACGCTAACTTGCGGTAAAGGCTGCTGACACCCGAACACTCCATCTCGCTACAGAACTCGATAGGCTCTGACATTATCATGCAATTGGACGACGTTATTGCAACAACCTCTCCGGACCACGCTCGGATCCTGGAGGCCATGCATCGATCTGTTCGGTGGCTTGACCGCTGCATTGCCGCTCACAAGAAACCAGAGTCACAGAACTTGTTCTGCATCATCCAAGGCGGCCTCGACCTGGAGCTACGTCGCGAATGCACTCGGCAGATGGTGGCTCGCGACACGCCCGGTATCGCAATCGGCGGCCTCAGCGGGGGTGAAGCCAAAGTGGAGTACTGCAAAGTTGTCAAGACATGCACCGATCTTCTTCCCGATGGCAAGCCGCGGTATGTCATGGGCGTTGGCTACCCTGAAGACATACTCGTATCGGTCGCACTCGGAGCCGACATGTTCGACTGCGTCTGGCCCACGCGAACTGCTCGTTTCGGAAACGCCATTACCAATGTAGGCGTCCTCAACCTGAAGAACGCATCCTATGCTTGCGACTTTCGTCCCGTGGACGAAGGCTGCAAATGCATGTGCTGTAGACCGACGTCTGAAGGTGGGCTCGGCATCACTCGAGCCTACATCCATCATACTGCGGCGAAGGAGACTGCAGGTGCGCATCTGCTGAGCATACACAATGTTCACTACCTGCTCATCCTCATGCGACAAGTCAGAGACGCCATCACTGAGCAGCGGTATCCTGCATTCCTGCGAGCTTACTTCTACAAGCTGTATGCTGGCGAGAAGCACAAGTACCCGCAGTGGGCCGTTGACGCCTTAGCCGGGGTGAATGTTGATTTACTGGCGGAAAGCTGACATGCATATTGCGTTCGAGCAAGAGACGATTCACCATTCACAACAGCTATGCACCCGCTCTCCGACTGAATGCAGCCTTGAACAGGTCTAGCGCGAACTCCTCGCACTCATTACTGTCTCCATCACCTCACACAGCGTAGACTATCGTCACCTGTATCGCACACTTTCTCAACATTCGGATCGCACTGGCCACTACCAGCTACCATGCATTGCAGGCCCCACGCCCATTAACCCACCTCAACGCCCAGGCGCAATTCCGGCTATGAAGAGGCGAATGGCTCTATTGGCACCTGCCCACGCAGTAGCTAGCAGGCGCCAGAAGTCTAGGAACACCAAGTGAGAATCCAGTGTGATCAGCCTATGCACGCCAAGCACCAGCGGTGCAAATACGTCCGTAAGGATAACCAGAATGGCCGTTTGATTTGGACCTTCTGAAGGAATCGATGTCTCCTTCGCTGCTTGAGTAAATCTGCCAATTGCGGCAAACAGGAGTATGTTGAGCAATACGCCAAGTGAGCGAGCCACAGGTGCTACTTGGCCGAGTTGGAATGCTACTTGTCACCGTCGAATCGCGGAGGGGAAGAGATGAAGCGTACGTACTCCTGGACAGGGAACGCTACTTTCGTATATGAGCACTGCATTCATGACGCCAATTGTTGTGAATACGGCCGCTCCGCGCTCAGCAAGGTCCTTCGCAAAAATGTCGGCTGGGTTCTTCCGATCCGCGGTCATGACTGTGTAGTCTCGGTAGGAGAGGTGCGAATCCTCGGACGAGCTGAACATATGACATGAGTGTCACTGCACTTATACATAATCTCAAGTGCCGCTGGAAAACACACAGTGGCTGTGCAAAGTTTTACTCGCTTGCATTCAGTTTTCGATATAACCATCATTAATAAGTACTTTGGTAAGCTGACCATCAGCACGCTCGCCGAAGATATCAGGTTTTCATTCCGCACACTTCTGCATATGGTTTTCACACAGGCGCATACCCCAGCCCTCCCTCCTGAGTTCCGTGCAGCAGAAACAAACAGATAACCGCGTTTGCGGCCGTCCAGGCGGCAACGAAGAGGCACCAGATATATGGAAACCCCCAGTGGCCGCCTGTTGCGTCAATCCATGCAAAGATGCAGAGTGCAAGGCCGCCACAACAGAGTCTGTGACGATAGCCATCATAAGCCAAGGATTGCAATCCCAGGGGTTCTTCGCCGGTGATTCATGCGTGACGTGAATACAAAGCGCAATCGTCGCGCCCAGCACGAAGATGCTCAGTATCAGACTCAGGTATGGCCACAAAGGTGCCATAGGTCCGGACTGCTCCCAGTCAGCCACGCTACTACGTTGGTCGTATGATAAGACGGCTCACTTCACCTGGAAAACTGCTCAAGTATGCTATGAAGCCGCCTGGGATGCTGGCTGCGGCAAAGGTGATCCCAAAGCGCTGGCGGTAATCCATGAGAAAGTACCACTGGCCTGCACTTCTTTGTTCGCTATCCGTTGTCAGGGCGGTGAGCTCTGCGTATGAGGGTGCCAGGTGAGATAAGGAGGGTTGTGCTTGAATTGAGGACTAGGTACTTTTCCCATCGCGTATGACAGGGACTTCGTGGGTGGCTGTGCGTGAATAAAGACTCTCGGGCCATCAACCGCCTGCAATAGAAAGGTAACGGAACGCTAACGGGTGGAATTGACTCCTGGGATGCTCCTGAAGGTAAGCTGACAGACACCACGACGGAACCTATTAAAGGCCGCTATTTCTTGGTACAGATCACACAGCCTTGGCCTCAGACTCCGAATATTCGCCCAGCAATGCTCACCAGAAGCAAAGCGAAACATTCATGCTCGAAGTTGTGTCTGCGGTGCTAATCACGCGTGAACGGCTTACCTGGGGAATGAAGAATGGTAAGCGGACAAGGGTAGGGCCAGGTCAGCTGCCTGGCATTGTTTCAACAGCCGTGCGAGGGCATATTGTAACCACTACTGACGTGATCAATGGTAAGTTCGAAGGCACACCTCATGCTGAACCGCTCGACGGGGACATTGCCGCGTCTCATTGGCAGTCGATTCGCGCGCCAGCTGTGTCCCGACGCTGCTGCATGTCGGCCTCGTTGGTGACGATGCAGCATGACTTGATGCACACACGGCGCAGGATAGAATGGTCTGGAAACAGCAACCGCTTCACCCTTGGAACAGCAACCCAGCGGCATACTCCACGTTCCCACCACAAGCATCCAACGCAGCGATCGCTTGCTGGCGGTCAAAGCCCAAGCTGACCAGTTGGTCAATAGCCTCCTTCGGATGACTGCTCGATGCAGGAGCGCGCGAAGTGGCGCCAGCAGAGGCAGCAGGCGTGGCTGCGGGTGTCGGTCCGTTGGGCGCTTTCGAACTCAGGGTATGCCCTTGACCGCGGAAAGGCCCGTTCGCAGCCGCCGCCCCTCCTGACGAGGAAGCTGCGGTCGACGAACCCGCCGGCCTCACCGTACCGGACTGCGCGCCCACTTCGGTGCCGTTTGGTCCGGCGACAGTGGGCTCGTTCAACATAGCCTCCTCGAGTGACTTGGGAATGTCAGCTTCGCCCAAAAAGCTGACCTCGTTGCCGTCGCCGAACACAAGCTTGTTGCTTCTGAGGTCGATGACTGCTTGGAACCGCTTGAGCATGTCGAGGCCGAGTAGGAGGTCAACGTCTTTGCCTTCCATGACGGTGAAGGAGCAGGGCATCGTGGAGTTGCCGATTCGGATCGGTGCTGAATGCACCCGGCCGAGAATGACAGCTGTGCCAACACCTTTCGCCACACCAGAGTACCGCCGGTCGATCAGCCGCATGATGCCACACGACTCTGCGCAGGAGGGAGACATTATCGTGGTCTGTGCACCGGAGTCGACGAACGCTTTCACGGGGTGACCGTTGACTTCGACGGGGATGTAGAGCATGGTCACGCGACCGAACACTATCAACCAACAGAGTCAGCATGTGTTACAATCGGCACACTTGTGTAATGTACCTTCTGGATTGTGCTCGTACGCGTGCTGCAGGTTGTCTTGCACGGCTTGCTGGCGGATCATCTCCTCGATCTTCCGCTGCGCATCGATGTTGAAAGGATCCTCGTTCAGCAATCGCATTTGCTCTTGCCTCTCGCGCTCACGGTCCTCATCCTCGCGCATCATCTCCATCCAAACATCTTTAAAGCGATCCGGATCGTTGATCGCATCGGCAAGTGCCGGTCTCTGCTCTCTCACCTGCGCCATGGCGCTTGGGTTACCCAATATGCTCAACCTCGTCGTTTCGATCTCTGCCTGACCCGGCCCTGCTGCTCTCCGCTGACTTGCTTGTTGCTGTGGTTGCCTACCCATATTGTTCTGTTGACTGGGTTCACGCATAAGCATGGCTAGCATGTCACCATCTTTGATCCCGGCCTCCTCTAACGTCTTGTTGTCGCCTTGTATGGGTACGTTGTTGAGGTAGAACTGCTGTGATGCTTGTGGGAGGCTGGTTTCGGCATTGACGAAACCTTTCAGGTCCGCTATTGACAGGCCTGGTGGGAGATCGAGAGTGATGAATTCCTGGTCGAGGTCGTGGTTGGGAGCGATGATAGATATGGTGATGCGCGGCCTAAGGACAAGAAGGTGAAATCGTCAGTGTTGTTCCTGTTCATTTCTTCTGTAACACCGGCATGGTCTGACGGTGAGACCCGGCACAGAGGTTCCGCAGTGATACTCACATATTGCTCGTTTCGAGCCGTTCAGCTCAGATTCCTCCGGTATCTCTCGCCGTTCCTTGCGTGGCTGAGGTTGAGATTCGTATGCACGTCGCCCAAAGGAGGCGTTGATGCTTGCTACTAAGTCGCTCGTGACAGGAATGCTCGGGAGGTCGGGGTGGCACCTTGTTGATGTTGTTCGTTTCAGGTGAAACTGAAGTAAATGATTTGACACGACTCGTGCGCTACGACCGCCTCCTTGGCTTCTAGAAGCAGGTAGACATGCTACTGCTGTTTCATGACTAATGACTGGGTGGCAGGAGGGACAAGGTCGGCGCAGAGTCGATGATGGAAGGCAACGACGTGATTACGATGAGGCTAGCAGTCAGCCGTTCACACCGCGATGGCGTCGACACTGGAGAGCAATATCCTCTAAGACGCTCGAGTGCCACCAACGAGGCGGTCTGGACGTCGGATGGATTGGGCTCGCACTGTTGGACTGCTCATGCGCGTAGACTCCGACACCCAGGTTCTGCTTGCAGTTCGCGGACGGCTAGCCACAGCACCACCATCGCCGGCGCCTCTTTGCGGTATAGTGCCGTTTTCCGCAACGTCTCGTCATCCCGAGATCCATCCCGCGCCGAGCCGTTGAGATCGTTGGCGGTGGTGAGTTCGAGAGCGACACCGACTGCCGAGGGAGACATGGAACACTTCCCTCGCTAGAACTAGGGTGGCAGGAGAAGACACATCCATGCAGAGCATTCCGCCAGCGAACAGAGCTGGAGCGTTTGACGCTAACGCGCCGCTACTGTGGTATAATGCAGGTGTACACGGCGTTTGAGGCGCGTGAGGCACGTACGTCACTCACTGCAGGCCAAGTTAGTATTGAAACGAGCGGAGAGTGCATGGCATCAGTCTGTCCTTGCTCAGATCGTGCTTGTCCACCGAGCTGTATTTAACTTATCGCAACGTAAGACGCTGAAGATTAACCGTCTGACACGCAACAACCGAGCAGAAAGTGAGTCTGCTCGTAACGAGGAGTACCGAGTAACGGTCCTGTCTCCGCTTGCTGCAACACAGGGACTGGTCACAAACTCCACTGTCTTCGCAGCCATTGGAGTCGCCTTCACCCAATTAATATTCGTCAGGAAGCTTTGATATCAGCCCCCGCTTGAAGAACAGCGTCCAAGTATGCCTCGGGATCTGTTCGCAGCGGCGAGAGAAGATACCTTGCAAGGTATGCCAGAGCTCACAAAATCACCGGAAGAGGTTGACGATCAATCGACGAATATGAACGAAGATGACGAAGAGAACCTAATCCAAAAACTGGCGTCGCGCAATCCAAAGTTGGACGAGCTTCACCCGTACACACAATCTTTGAGCCTGCAAGACGTCGAAAGTTGCACGAAGCTGGAAGAGGAAGCGTTTCCACCAAATGAACGTTGTTCCCGAGAGAAGGTACGCCCGTCAAGCTTACAGACCGTCCGAAGCTGTCACACTGTCCTCCTGGTGTATTGGCTCCGTTCCCGCATCACTCTTCCCAAAGTTCTGCCGCAAATATCCATAGCTTGCTCTAGCTCAACTCCTTGCATTGATGTGGAACTCAAGCATGTTTGAAAACGTCCCACTCGAGTGAAGCAATAGAAATGGACAGCACGTTAATATTCTAAACAGTTCCAATACCGTCTAAAACACTGCAGCACCCTCTGCCTCGGCATTTTCACTTCCCACTCAGAGAACACCATCCCCACCGCCCCAACAGCAGCACCAGTCTACAGCGGCGCTCCAACCCGCAAAAGCGTGCTCCTCGGCCACATCGTCGCCACCAAAACCACCAACCCAACAGTAACCGACGCGGACATGGCAATCCCCGATTCATCCTCCCAACCCAACAGCAACTCAGACGAGCCACGAGTGGGACACACCGAAGCCGGCCGAACCGTGTGTATTCATTCGTTAGCCGTGCTGCCCGAGTTCCAGAAACGAGGGCTCGGTCAGACGCTCTTGGGAGCGTATTTGCAACGGATCGAGAGCCATGGCGTTGCCGACCGCGTTGCGTTGATCGCGCGGGATGGGTTGATACCGTACTATGAGCGGTTCGGCTTCGTCAATCAAGGCCCAAGTGAGTGTAAGTTCGGCGGTGGTGGTTGGTATGATTTGGTGAAGGAGCTGGAGCCGGGCGATGCCACGAAGACGTAGAGTGTTTGCGCGGGCTCTATTGTTGTTGATTAGCGTGGCGTTCGTTGGCGGTGACCATAACTTGTTAGTCGGCAATCATTGAACAGGATCCGAGTTCGAACTTTCGCACCCATGCCCGAAGTACGAACGCGAGGTGGCAAGGTTGGTTGATCTTTCAATCGCAGTACCGCTTCTAGCGAGTCCATCTCAATACGGAGCCGTGTGCATTTCGCAGACCCGACCCCTGAGCAGTCGCGTATAGAGTACGCCGAGCACTCCTAACATGCACAATTGCTCGCTCAAACAAGTACCCCAGCAAGCATTCCCATCCGCGCCACCCAAATGCAGCATAACCATAACCTTACCGACTTCTCGTACTCCCCATCCCCCGCTTCCCAGCAACAAGCCACTTGGGTATACTTGCCGTCTGATGCCGATCCGCCTCGCCCTGCCTCGCCATACGATTCATCCTCTTCTGCCCCAACTTCGCCAACCTCTCCGCCTTCGTCCGCGCCGTCTCATCCTGCACTCCGTCATCCCGTCTGTTCGTGCTCTGACTCCGCTGTCGAGCAGTAGACAAGCTGCGACGAAGACGCTCCGCAGGCGCGGCGTCGACGTCCATTGCGTCTGCCTCTTCGGTGCCCGCGCGACCGGTACTGCGACCGCGGGCCGGACGACTGAGTGAGCGCGCGCGTGCGGCAAGGGCGGTGGTGTCGTAGCCGGCTTTCTCGAGACCGGCCTGCATTTTCTCGAGCTGCACGGCCTTCTTCGAGCGCGGGATGACGGCACGGTTCTTCAGCGATTTGCGCATTTTGTTCTCGTTCCGGATGAGTTGTCGCTTCTCGCGGATCAGCTCAGCCTTATATCTGACATCTTCTTCCTCCGCATCGGCGAGCTCCTCTTCTTCGTCATCATAGTAGCCTTCACCTTGAAGCCTTTCCTCCTCCTCTTCCAGCGCGGCAAGCTTGGCTTCAATGTCTGGGTCGAAGTAGTCGTAGACATTCTTGCCGTTGAGCGTCTCTGGGATCTTGTCGGCCTTCCACTCATCGTCATCCAGCAGATACTTCTCTTTGAGGTTGATATTGAACACGCCGGCGCCACCATTCTCCTCTTCGACATCACGCATGAGCTTCGGCCGGTCTGGATCACTCTTATCGTACTTCATCCTGTTAAGAACAGCCTCTGGGATGTACGGTTCGCGCAGAATACCGCCAAGTGGTTGAGCGACGTGGATACGTCGAAGCACGTCGCCTAATCGGCCTGTCACCTCTCCTGATGCGTTTGTGCCCGCCTTGAGCTTCTGCGCATTTCGCTCTGCCAGCAATCTGTCGCAAGCTGCATTCCGCACATTCATCAGACCCTCCGTTGTAGTACACGAGAGCTGCAACAGCTCCACATTGCCACTTTTCAACAGCTCCTGCAGCTTCGCTTGTGTCTCTGCGTCCAAGTCCTCGGGTCTCATGATATCGATCTTGTTGATGACGATGAACACAAGCTTGTTGGAGAAGAGTGGCTTGATGCTTTGAAACAAGGCCATCTGTGCGTGTACGCTGTAGCCACACTGCTCGCTCAGATCCATGAAATACAGGATAGCACTTCGCAGATGTGCGATGGCCGTGATACTCTGCATCTCAATCGTGTTCATCTCTTCTAATGGGTGATCGAGAATACCTGGTGTATCTATCGCTTGGAAGCGCAGCATCTTATAATCGAAATGTCCCACAAACAGTGACTTGGTCGTGAAGGCATACGGTTGGACATCTACATCCGCACGTGAGATGTTCTTGAGGAAGGAGGATTTGCCGACATTTGGGTAGCCGCAGATGAGTAGGGTTCGCGTATTTGGGTCAACTGAGGGCAAGCGGCCAAGATGTTGTCGTACCTGCTCCAGATATAGCAGTGGGTCTTTTAGCCGCTTGCAAATGGTGGCCATGCGGCCCAGCGCCGCCCTCTTCAGCTGCTTGCATTGGAAGAGCGACTGTCCGTACTTGAGAAGTCGAAGGTAGTCTCTGCATACTGTCTCAATCAAGCCTTTCGCGGTATTCAGCTGGCCTAATGCTATCCGGAAGTGGTCCGCATCGTAAAGCGTGTTTAGCAGGTCTTTGTGGAAGGGATGGATGTCGGCCAACCTCGGGAAGCCGTCAAGAATCGACGAAAGCTTCTCCGCGAACGTCTCAGACGTGTATTTGACCTTGCGAATGTAGAAGGCACGTATACGGTGGATCTTGAAGCCTGCGCGGATTTGCGTGGGCAGTCGGCGCTGGGTGCGGGACAGTACAATGTCCAGAAACTCCTGCGAGGTGGGGACGGGCGCGATGTCCTTCCATGTGGTCTTCATGTTGCCGGTCTTCTCGCCTTCTCGGCTTGGCTGTGTGTGTTTTGCAACGCTCTCACGTCCCCAGGTGGAAAATGTTCAAAGGCAAGGCGAGATTCTTCCGCGATCTTATCGATACGAGCGGTTCGGCACGGTCCTCGGAAGAGACCGATGCCACATCGAGAACACAATCAACTCTTCGAATAATGGCGCTCTCTGTCCCACCGTTTCCACATCATCCCATCCTGCTGCGCAATGACCATCAACTCGCACAGAATGTCCCTGTCTCGCCGCCAAGTCAATGCGCTGACATCGGTCAAGCAAATGCACATACAATGCGATGACTGGTGCAGTTAGTGTCAACCGTTCGGAGTCACGCAGGAGAACCGGGATCGGCGTTGACGTCTGCGTCGATCTTGTTGCTGGCGCTGCTGAAAGCGTACCGCCAACCTATCGCTTCACTGATGAACAGCCTAAACACTTCCCTTCCCAGACGGTACCTCTTTGTGCACTTTAGCAAAAGTCGCAGCAGATCACTTTAAACAAGCTGCATCTACAACTACCAACTAAAGCTATGGTGGCTACAGCCGGCAGCCTCTCAGGTCTCATTTGTGGCTCGTCCCTCCTGCAGCATCACAACGCTGCCTATACCGAGGCTACGCAAGTTGTCTTGCTCTTCAGATGCTTGACTGTGCGCCTCTGACGACGTACCTGAACCACGACGTAAAAATGTCTTACTCAAGAGCTGTCGACCTTGGCCTCCCGACGCTCCACTGGTGCGCTCGGCTGCTGTGATGCCTTTCCCTGTTACGGTAACTGCAGGGTCTGATCACTGCACATCCGAAGCCGCTTTCTTTCTTATGGATCCTCTCTCCAACCTTTGTACGGCGAAGATCTACTTTGACTTGACAAGGTGCTATCGTTTGGCTGACGCCATTGGTTACCACAGCTTGACCTTGCAGCATCACGTCTGCTACGACGCTTTAAGACACTGCTTGCGAGCAGCATATAACACTACCTGGTTGTCCCAGCATGAGATGGTAAGCATTCACCAGCAGTTCCCTCACAATCCAGCGCAGGCGTTTGCGAAAATGTTCTCGTCTTCACTTCTCTTCGGCCTGTTGGTGGCCTTCCTGCCCGCTACTCTCTCGCTTCCTGTTGAGACATCCGTCCAGCGAAGGGACGCCTACAGTGTCCCACGCATGGTCAACTATGTCCAAACCTTCCACGATGTAAATGGCAACCCGCTCGACCTTACTCAGCTCTTGACGCAAAACACCCAAATCACGCACGTCAACCTTGCGGCACTGCACGTAACCGGCACCGTTGGCGAGCTCAACCTCAATGACAACGGCATCAACGACACATACTGGGATACGATGTGGTCAAACGTTACAACCCTCCAGAACGGCGGAATTAAGGTGCTCATGATGATTGGAGGAGCCGCGCAAGGCAGCTACAAGACACTCTGCGGGTCTTCCGTACCTGCTACAGTGGTAAGTCTCGCAGCCGGGTCGTGATCATAGTTTCTCAAGTCTAACACATGTGTAGCAAATGGACTACTACGGCCCACTCCGCGACAGCCTCAGATACCACAACCTCGACGGCGTGGACCTCGATATCGAAGAATCCGTCGACGTCTCCTGCGCCCTCGCCCTCCTCAAGCAATTCGACGCCGACTTCGGCGACGATTTCATCATGACCATGGCTCCCGTCGCAGCCTGCATGATCCCGTCCTACCAAAACAACGGCCTCAGCGGCTTCAGCTACTTCACCCTCGACTCCGAAGCGACTGACTCCAACCGCCCCAATGGCAAACTAGTCAACTGGTACAACGCGCAATTCTACAACGGCTGGGGCGACGCCAGCACGCAGGTTTTCTACAACAACATCATCTCCGAAGGCGGCTGGTCGCCCGACCGCATCGTCATGGGCGTGCTGGACAGCTCCAACGATGGCGGCTCCGGGTTCGTGGGTCTCAGCACGCTCCAAGGCGTCATCCAGCAGCTTCGTGCGAACTACGACAACTTTGGCTGCGCTGTGGGGTGGGAGTACTGGGATGCCGGTACGAGTGATGGCCTTGACTATCCATGGCAATGGGTTCAGGAGATCTCGAAGAGCATCTTCGGCGCGTCGAACGGCACGCCGAAGAACACGACGTCCGAGCCCTTGCCCAACCCGCCCGCGCCGTTCCAGGCGCTTACGGACGAGCTTGTCGATTTGGGTGCGGCGTACCTTCAGGCGGTGTGGGCTCTCAACATAACGAATGGCGATTTGTTGGCTGCGGAGCAGTTGCTGAATCTTACGAGTGTGCTTGACGTGCTTGACGTGGGAATAATATGATGATAATGAGTGAGAGCGAATTTGTACATATATAATGACTTTAATGGGTGAATGATAATCTTGGACACATCAAACATTAGGTCACTGGCTGTCCGCTTGGCGCCAACGCACCGTCCGAGACACGAGTCAAGTGTGAATGTGCTTCGTTTAACACACCTCAACCTTCATGTCAACATGGTCATACTCGTACTAGTATACAATCCCCGCCGAACGAGTGCTTGCAGCATCCAGCGATGCTTGCCGGATACATTTAGCAGACTTGTGAAACCTGCGTCTGTGGCAGTGTCCGCTGCGTCCGACATTTTGTTGGCCAGTGCCAGCCGCGAGTCCCCATAGCATATTCTCATGCTTCCCCATCTTTAAAACGATTGTTAACCCCCAGCCCAAAAGTGCCCAATCCCGAAGCAATAGTGGTATATAGCGAAGCGAATACTCCCTCTCAGCTACACGGACGCCGGGACCGCCAAAAGCAGCGTATACCCGGCGTTGCGTGGGCACGATACGGTCCGTGAGTCATGGCGATTCATGCGCGATATGGCATGTGATGGGCAAGCCAGCGACTGAACTGCGCGCAAGCGACCGTTGAGTAACGCAGTCCGCGTGGTACATAAGCCACAGCGAGCAGGATCCCATCATTGTATTAGAGCAGCCAAAGGCATCAACGCCTGCCTTACCGTCCACCATAGCCACCGTACTCCACTCCCTGCATCGCCGCCGCATGTGTATGCGGCGCGCCATTGAAAGCATGCGGTGGCTCCTGGTTCAGCGGTGGGAGCGAGATGCCCGGCCCACCACCATTCATTTGCGGACCGCCTGCGCCTTGCAGTTGCGAAGTGAAGTGACCGTAGACGTGCGGCGCATTGGGATCGAGGCGTCGAAGGTGTTGGTGCATGACTTGGACCTCGGTCTTGAGCATCTCGTTCTCCTTTTGCGCGTCGCGGCCATAGTCGCTGTCTCGCTGTAAGCGTGAGAGTTCCGAGTTAATACGCCCTTCGTTCTGCTGTATGCTGCGGATGTATTCGATGGCTATGCACGCGTCAGCGTTGGTACGAAATTTGTGATAACAACCAGTGCCCACCTTTGCTGAGGATTTCCCACTTGGAGGCCTTGGTACCACCACTCGTGGGTACGGCCTTGTTCAGCTCCTCGAACAGATCCTTCATTTCGCTCCGCCGCTTCCGCTCTGCGAGTTTATGGCTGACCCGTAACTCCGGCGTCCTGCTGTAATTGCCGACATTCTGCGGTGACACTCCTTCGTTCTGCAAGTTCTGCACCGCGCGGTGTTGCATGGTATGATGATGTGTGGTGGCCTGCTCGTCATCGAATCTTCGCTGCCCGGACGGCATCGCTGAGTCTGTGGAGAAGATGCTGCTTCGAATGGACGAGGCAGCGAAGCTGTTATTCCGTGACACTCCTCGAACACTCGACTCGTCGCTGTCTGATGTTCTGCTTTCTTCCGGAATGGGCTGGTCTGGGAAAGCCCATGCATAGCCCTGCGTAGGACGGGAGGCAGTTGGATCAGGACCGCCGGACAACCTTCCGACAGGCATAATTGGTGGCGCTACACGCGGCGCAGGATGACGATCACGACCTATGCTTGATCGACCATTTAACGGAGACATTGGCATGCCGTTATTGGGGTTGCGCAAGCTTGCGGCAAGTGAGACTTGCGACGTGTTGTTACTTTCGTAAGGCGATCGAGGCCCGTTGATATATAGGCTGTTGAATGTCTGGTGCATGCGGCTGTCGACACTACTTCGCCGTGAATCCAACGTTGGCGGGTAGTCCCTCGAGTCGCGATTCGGGTCATGGTGGAAGCCTTGGTTGATCGACGGTAGTTGTGAGCCTGTCGATGTCGCTGATTGCGGGATCCGTGCAGACTGAGGTGTCTTGGGAATCGAGTTCCGTGGTGGCGAGTCATCCGGGTTCAGTAGCGTATGCACTTGCAATCCCTGAGCGTTACTGGAGTTGTCTACACACGATAACAGTCAGTCCATGTCTTTGAGGTTGCACTGCTATGAATGTCGCAAAAACACCGTGAGACTTCTACTAGCCGATATAGCCGACGGTTCTCGTACAGTCCATTCGAAGCTGGCGACAACGCGTTGGTGCGTGAATTAGGGACTTACTCTTACTCTGTGGCTGCGGCCAGGTGCCGGAATCTGGTCGTAGAGGCTCGGTAGCTGACTGCTGGTCCGGCGACAATTGCGATTGCATCCGAGGCAAGCCATTTGTCAAGCTGCTGATGGATGGTAATTGTGATGGCGAGTGGTGCTGCTGAGCAAGCGGTGCAGCCATGGTCGCGTCTTTCGAATGCGCTGCCAGCAGGTTGGAACTGTAACAATGGTGCTGACCTTGAGTGAGAAGTCTCGGGTCGTGGTCAAGCTGTAGCTCACAGACAGAGCCGACTCAGATAATAGCGCGATTATATTGCGCAACAAACTTAGCGCAGATCAGGGCTGGAACTGTTTAACGCGTGACTAGCCGTGTGTGCACTGCAAGTGTGTCTGCTGTGTGCAAGGTTTGGAAACACTGCGGTGGTGCGATTGCGGGGTGTCGTTCCACCTTCAACCGGAGAATAGACGCTCTGTCGGGATAGAGTGTTGATGCAGAGTGCAGACAAGTGTTGCGCGGAGTGCAACTCTACCTAGAAGTGAAGGCGGTACGGATGCTCGTGGGCCGATCTCAGGCTTTGCGCCAGAGACAGCTCGAAGCGGAAGAGGCTGCAGCAACCCTGTACTCGGGACCGCAGCGCTGACAACGATGACTTCTCGAGGGTTCAGCAGACCGCCAGAGATACAAAGCCGGTAGAGACTGTCCTCAAGCGAAGTTCGGGTGGCGGCGATGCTAATTTGGAGTCGTCCCTCTGCGCGGTGCCTTGCGCTCTTATCCGAGATGTTCGGTGGCGGCGGCACGCAATGGATCAAGTGATGTACAACCAGATGGCTGCTCCGGCAGCTCGTATTGCAATGTAGATGGGATGGTGAAGCTAAATGCCGGTAAGGCCTGTTGTGTAGTTCGCAGTTATGGACCAGGTGTCATGCGCTGGGGTGGCTTTGTTTCTGTGCCTTGCATGAGTTGAGTTGAGCAGAAGCTTGTTCTGTGCGACCGTTGACCGAGTTCCCTCTGCGCTCCCGCTGTCATCCACGCTTGGGCGGCCTCGCGATCCGTCCAGTTGCGTTACCTCGAGATAGTGGTAAGACTCGAGACGTTCATCCGCAACAGAGACGTGCGACCCGATACAGGGCAAGGCGCCTCGGCTTCTTCAGCAAAGCTGTTGTTCGCTCCGAAGGATGATCAGCATCCGCCCAAGCTAGATCGCCACGTGCGAGGGGTCTCCGGTCGGCGCCTCGTCGCCTGGATCCGTCAATCGAGCCGACAGTATTCGTAGCAATATTCGGGAGTCTTCGATCCAGCGCCCTTGACAGACGCGTCACATCTCATTCGGTATATGGACGTCGAGCAAGACAACCATTGGTTCTCCGCCCGTAGTAGCACTTCGCGCAATCTCACAAGAATAGGCTCGGCACCATCCGGTACGGAGGGGTCGTACAAGACAAGGGGCAGCGAGCGATGCCAAGGCCTCATGCACACACCCTTTGGCGCTGCTGCTCGCAGTGTGTCAAATGTCGATCAATCCAAGCCGTTCCCACATCCACGACACCATGCGCAGATCACCATCGCATGCGCTGGCATGGTCGCAACGTGAGCGTTCAACGACATGCTACATGCGCAAGATCTTCACTTTCACGACGGCATGGCCTACACGCGCGATCAGCGCTAAAGCAAGCACCTTGGTACCAGCTTACCTGCAACTTCGTCTATTAAGACACAGTCTCAAACATAAGGCGGGCCACTGGGCAGCTTCTCAACCGTGAGCATTTTGTGGGGATGATCGAACCCTGTGGAGAAGCAATGCAATCTAGTCCTCCATGCACACATTCTGTTATCACATGTGATAGTGGTGCAACTTCCAAAACCTCTCCCGCACTATCTACGCTTCTACTCAAAGGCTTAAGTTGCCGTTAGCCTACGGGCACAACAGCAATGCAGTGCTTCTGACCTTCATCAACGGACCAGGTCATCGGGAGAATCTTCAGTGCCACCATCTCGTTAGGCTTTCCGGCGTATCGTGCCGTGGACGATCACTAGGATCAGCTCGGAGCCTGCCTTATCCAAATACCACATCTTGCACAAACCCTACGAAAGCATGGACAACGAGCGGAGAAGCACGTTTCGATCGACGCTCACGAGTGATGTTGTTTCCATGTATCCGGGAAATGCTGAACTATTTCACCTCGTTCAGCTGAGGCCGTCCTTACGCGCTCAACCTTGCTGATCAGGTGTACCGATACGCTGCAGACGCATTGCGAGTGAGCGAGCAAGACGCAAATCGTGCGTCGAGGTAAGAAACAACGTAATGTCCGCATGCAGCTGCGTCTCGGCTATGCAGGCTCCCGCAAGATGCGGACAGGTTCAGCACTGGCTGCATCACCGGCCCGTCCAGGCCTCGACCATCATTCTGGTTTCCAATCTGCGGCTTGGAGATGGTTGGCTCTTAACGCGGTGAGGCTCACCAAAGGCGGTTGTACCGGCAACAGAATTCCTTCGTCCCCACGTCCCCAAGCTGGCTGAGGGTGCCACTGCATGATTAGGACGCAGAGCGACGGGGCAGCAGAGCTCGAGGACAGTTAACGCCTCGCAATTCGAGTTATACTGTAGGCGTTCGAATGAGCCTACCAAGTTGCGGACGACCTTGCACGCGCGTGTAGTCAAGTGCAAAATACGTGCAGTAAGCCCAACCACGTGATGCATGGTCACCTCAGCAAACAATAGCAACGCCACCGCTTCATGCTTGTTTCTTAACATGTCCATTTGCCCCTTCCCGACTCCTAGGTTTAGCAGAGCCATTCGTTGCGGCCAGGCGTTTGCGCTTTTGCGGTAACCGCCAGCTTGTCTCCCACCCATACAACGCTCCACTTCCAAACACCAACGCAGATCCAAGAACCATCTTTGCGCTGAGTTGGTGTCCAAAGAATGCTGTGCTGATAATGAAAGAGACCAGCTTCCGAATGTTTAGCACTACAGTCACCGTGACTGCGGAAGACTTGGAAGACAGTAGATTGACGCCTGAAATGCAGACTAGTTGTGTCAGAACGGTTAACGAGAGGAAGAAGATCCCTTGAGGAAGTGACTCCATCGCTACAAGTGGAGCCTCTACCAGGCCTGATGGCATGAGCATCGAGACCTGCCACTTCTTATGGTCGAAGCTGAGCGGCGGTGTAGCAGCGAGCCTTCTGTATTGCTGACGTAACGTTTCGGATAGTGGTAGGAACAGCGGGAGACTCAGGAAATGAGCGTAGAACAGATTCTCTGTCCAGTGGGTGCCTTTATACATGGTGTATGTGTCTTCCACGTATGCGCCCATGTATGCGGACAGTAATTGCGCCATCAGCAGGAGCATCAGACCTGTCGTAAACTCGGACTCGGAGGCATTGCTCTCCAAAGACAGTTTCTTGCCCTATACACCAAGTCAATACCTGCAGGTCACCCGTGATCCCGTTATGTCTCACCTTGCTCTCAGAGTCCGCCCATGCACTGACCAAGACGCCGACAGTGAGTATCGCCACGCTAAGCATTTGCAGGAAGCTGTAACGCTTTCCACGGATGATGCCCATGAGCATTGTCGACACACTTCCAAAGCTGCGGAGAACAATATGAACGGGAACGCTTATGCTGAATGCAAATGCCCAGTTGTTGAGCAGACTGATACTGCAGTGCATCAGAGCGACTACGGCCCATCTCCGGACTGGCACCTTTGGCGGGCGGACCGTGTAAGGACTACCAGGAGCGAATTGCGTCGCATACGCTGCGCTCGTCGTGCAGAGCCATTGGCAGAATGTAATCAAAAGGCCGCTTGAAGGTTGTGTCTTTATAATCGCTTCCAGAGCGAAGACATTCGAGCAGCAGCCACCGAATATGAGCGCCACTGTGGTCAGCGGGCCAAGAGCTAACGACATGCTGTCACCGGCTTGCACATCTGGCAAGAGTATATCATTGAGGCTTCATGTCCATTGTAAGAGCGCGCTGCCGGTGTCAAAGGAGTGTGGTCCGAACGAAGGAATGTAATGTAAAAGTTGAGTTGTTGGACAACGGTGTCAGGGCACGAAGGGCAAAAAGTAAGCTTTATGACTTATGGCATGGTGGATCCTACTGAGCATTTCGCCATGCACTTCTGAAACACCTAACAAAAACCGCACAACCGCTTTCGAAGGACAAGAAGTTGTGCACACGTTGGGTTATGTCGATGCATTACCATCCTTGAATGACACCAAACCAGGGGAATCGCTAAGTCGCTTTGGACGGCGGCAGTGGTTCCTGCTCCCATCACTCGTTATGAATGTTCTAGGTTCGTTTGTACAGCCTTGAGACTACGTTGGCAGCACACAACGGTGCACTCTCTTGCCAAACGTGCCAATCCGCATGCATCCAATGCCGATAGACCTACATATCGCCAACGCCTTTGTATGCTCTATCTCTATCTTCGTGAATACCTTCCTAATTATGAACCATCACCGTGACCCGTCGTACCGTTCGCCATTTACAGAATAATATCCTGTGCAGATTCTTTGCCACCACAGCTCAATGGAACCTCCTCATCTCCAAATCTTCCGTCTGGCTCCGTCCTACCGGCCTATGACCCTCTGGCACATTTGTCGTATCACGCAGGGCGCCGCTCGCTGCAGGCGTAGCGGGCGTAGGCGGGTGAAGATTGCTCTCATTTGTGTTCATCCTCCACGCAGCCGGGCTAATCATGCCTGACCGCGGATCCAATCGTTCATTGTTGCGTCCCTCGCCCAGACTTTGAGGCGCGCTATCGGAAGCCGACGGATACTCGGGAATGTCGGCCATTATGCCGTTCTCCATCAGGCCAACGTCGTCGCCGGTGCCAGAGCGGAGATTGCTACCGCGGCCGAAGAACCGGTTGCGATGGACGCTGCCGCCGCGCTGACCCCATCGGCTGCCGCTGTCTGTCGATCTGCGGGCAAGGTTTCCTGGTGTGAAGTGTGGCACATCCCGCGATGTCGAACGCGCGAGGTCATTGCTTGCCCTCGGCGGGTTCTGAGCCGCTGCGCGCTCACGAGACCTCGACTCCGAAGCTTCCATAATCTCGATTGGTATCCGTGACCTGTCTCGGTCCGCATATACGTCACCCGCATAATCGCCGGAAGCCATGCCACTCGCGCCAAGACTGAAGTCGACACGCTTGTTCATCTGCGACAAACTTTCGCCACGTGGACGAGCGTGCTTCATAACCGACCCGCTTCGCATGCTAGAGTGTGGCGCTTGAGAGCCTGTTGTCTCCTCTCGACCGGGGACGGCAGCGACGAAAGGAGGATTCTGCAGTCCCTCCTCCCGCTGTTCGCCAGGATAGATGCCACCTGGTGCGTCCGGCTGTCCAGACTGGCCCATGCCCGGTACCTGCGCGTATGGTACGTTCTGCAAGTACACCGGGAAGCTCTGCTTTTGGCCAGCAAAGCGCATGTTCGGTCCCTCGATGCCAAGCTCCTGCATCGCCACCATCATTGCACAGATGAACTTGTTCCTGCGAGCCAGACGGAGACCTTCATTCTGCCAGTTTGACTTGTAGAAGAACACTACGTTCATGTTCATGCTGTGTACTTCAACAAGGTCGCGGAGCTCGGTCAGGATATTGCCTTGATACTCACGCTTCTCGGCCTTTACGAAGTCGAGAAGCTTCGTCCGCAAGCCATCAATCTGCTCGAGTGTGGTACCGAACTTGATAGTGATGCTGACGGCCTCCGCCAGACCACCTGAGCGACGCTGGTTAAGGATGAAAAGGGTGTTGAGGTAGCTGTTCGGCGCTTGCACGACGTGACCTTCCATCTTCTTGAACTCTGTATAGAGCAAACTGATCTCCTTTACAAAGTAGTCATCTCCACGGCCAAGCGCACCGGTGTTGCCGTAGATGCCTACACGGTCGCCAACGTCAAAAGGATGCTTGACGAAGACGAAGATGCATGATTGCAGGAATTCCTGAGCTGTCGCCGAGAAGAGCCAAGAGAGTGCCAGCACCGTAGAACCCGCGGACGTCAAGACACCAGCAGCCGACGTCGAGATTAGAGAGATGAAGACCAGGATCGTAATGATGAAGACGATGAACATGAAGACATCGTCCAGCTTCGCGACTACCGAGTCCAAATCCTTCAACGAAGCTGTGATAGATTTGCGCTCACGGCCGATCTCCACACAGACGGCTTCGAGTTCTTCCATAGAGATGTCGCCATTCATGTCCTTATCGAACATGCTAAAAGCCGCCTCTGCTTCTTCGTCGGTATCGAAGGCATTCTTGAGATCATCAGAATACACTGTTTCAGTCTCTTCGCGAGCGAAGGTTCGGTACAGTCGGCGAGCTAGCACCTGTGCCCCAGTCGTGCTTGCAATCAGAGCGAGCACGACCTGGTGGGGATGCGAGCTTTTCTTCGTTTGCTTGCCGGTGAAATCACCGGCGACCCTGCCAGCTATGTCGCCAAATTTCGTGAATGCTTGTTTAGTCGTCTTTGCGGTGCTCGAAATCAGTGCGCCCGGCGTGCGTGCACCTGACGCAGGACCAACTGACGGCGCCTCAAACTCGTAGTCTTCCATCGCAATCTTCTCCTTCGAGAACTTGTACAGCTTCGCGAGCGAGCCGATCTGAAACTTGTTGAGCTCGATCCGGTCGGCGTATGTCCGCAGATGAAAGCTGATGGCGATAAGCTGGATGATGATCTTTTCGCAGAAATTGAGGATAGCAGCAACGAAAAGCGAAACGAGAACCTTGTTCATCGTCACCATCCAGGAGGCCGTGTGACTGGCGGGCCACTTCTTCTGATGGTGGAGCATTGTCGGCAGGAAGGACACCTCGATGGCCAGCCACCAGAAGAACAACGTCGCTGGAAGTTCAAGTTCTTTACCCATATCGCGCCACTTTTTGCTGTTGTTTGTGAACAAGCTGGTGCAAACGCCAATGGGCCAAGGCAGGCACTTCGCGAGAATGCGGCCTGCCCACAGGCTCAGCCAAACAATTTCTAGCCAGATCATGAACCACTGAAGGTACACGCCACCGACCGTGGCCTGCTTGAACACCAGAGAGCCGAGCAGTAGGGGAATGAGTAGGATTAGAGTCAGTGGGGAGATGTAGACCACATATCGGACGAGCCAATTCGTGGCATGCAGCTGTTTCACAAACTTCGCAAAGCCGGTGCTCGGATGCTCGACAGGCTTATAGACCTGCGTCTTCTCGTGCACTGGGTTGGTGGCAACGTCGAACTCGTCAACATGATCTTCGCGCCTGCGCGACTTCGAGCGGTACATGTCTTCATCTTGACTCCGTGTTCGAGACATGGCCTCCTCTTCCGCTTGCCGAGAGACCTGCCGCTCGATCTTGAGCAGCGCGAGGTCGTCATCCAGTCTGTGAGCCTGCTCGCGGGTTTGCGATGGTGAGCCGATGGATCGGAGCGGATCGCCTGGCTCATAGTCCGTCGCTGTCTGCACAGTCAGGTGGCTGTTCGCTCGCAGTCTGGCGGTGATTGGCGGGAAGTTCTCCTTTTGATTTGGTGCATTGATCGGCTTGTCATGCTCGCTATTGATGGGTATATTCTCGAAATCTCCGACAACCGTCCCTTCTTCGTCCGATGATTTGTCGTGACTCGCATTGCGCTGTTGATTGTTGACGTTATATGAGGGTAGCGATGGATGTTCGAAGCTAGGCCTCTCTTGATCTTGACTTGCATTACTGATGCTAAACGACGGATGAGAGTATGTCGGCTCTGGCCGCTCCCCCACTGGCGTCGACATGGTTGTAGCAGTATGCGTATCTAAGACAACTCTGAATATTTTCCTCCGTCAAGATCGCACTCTTCCTGGACTCCTGCTCGCTCTGACTTCCAGCACTTGGTCGCCAATAACAGCAGTCCGAGAGGTGCGGAGCACGCGATCTATCACAGAGGTAGAGAGGAATCTGAACGAATGACGAAATGTAACGTTGCGAAGGATGATTGGCAAATGCACAAGCGGTTAACAAACCAATTCAGGCAGCTTTTCTGCGAACGATAGCAATGGGACTGCACAGCAGTTGTAGCTGAGGTGAACACAAACGCTTTGCACTGTTGGGGTAGCATCGAAGTTGAAGCCATTCGTCATCCCTTAAGTGCCAAGCTGCAAGACGCAGGCACCCGAGGCGTACAGCGCCTATCGGTCGCTTAGTGAAGCGCCACTACTCAACCGACTTCCATAGGTTGCGGCAATGTGTGGATTTTGTGCTGACTTTAGCAACTGGCGCGGCGGGATCCTCGGATGCTGTAGGCCAAGCTGCCCACCGGGACTTTCTTTGCAACGACGGGGTGTGGAGGTCGAGGAATTTGTTTGGGTCGCATGCGTGGCATCTCCACTGCACCTCTCGTATTCGGGGAGGGCGATGGTACGCTGCGGTTGCGGAAGGCTTTAGCTTGCATAAATTATTGCTTATCGCTGCAATCAATCCCTTCGAGTTTCACCTCTCGAATTGGACACGCTATCTGTTTCACATCCGTCGTCTATAACGCTTCCGAATCTTTCGCCCTTACGGGCTACCGACCAATCAGCGTGCAGTCCTCAAACAACCAACATTGAACGTCGTGCGCAAACCAGACAGCGACCAGCTTCTTCGCGGTCGATATTGGGAGTGAATGAGCCGCTACTGAGGCCATCAACTTATGAATCCATCGGCCGAACCAATAGCGGGAGAGCTTCTTTGTGGACAGTATGCGTAGCCGATCCTTTCGCGAGTGTTTCGGCGTTGTGAACGATAGCAGCATGCTCTCATGTTGTGACTACGATGTGGTACAGTGTCAACGGCATGGACGCGGGATGAGCGGAGTGGAGCACGTGAATCGATGTCTTATTACTACACACTCTATGACCCCCCCCGTTCCATACACCGCTCTGCTACATTCGACCATGCACATAACGACCTTCGTACAATAGCCCGTAACGCACGTTACTGTACTACTCGAGGTATACTGACGGCCTCGCTAACATCGGTTAGATCTTGTGACCATGGACGCCGCACCTTACTCGACTATGCCAGAATCCGCGACGGTAGCCACCTCTCAACCTCTGCCGCTGTCCTGCCACCAGCGTCTGTTCTCGGAAGATCAAGTCGTTGGTACGGTCAACCCCGTCAGCACCTCAATGGCTGATACATCGATGGAAGATGTTCCGCTCGTGCCATGCCGCCGCAAAGCTTACCTGTTCGCTCGTTGCGGCCACGCCTACATCGCTCCACCCTGCCTTTGCTGTTCTCCAACAGAACAGCAAGAAGCTCTGGCGTCTTCTCCATCGCAGGACCTGTCACTCGACTTCTTGCTTACTGCCTTCCAAACCCTCAAGCTTAAGCAGGAGTGCCCTGCATGCCAAATATTCACGTTAGACCTCAAGCTCGAATTCGCGAAGCAGTATTATGAGGACAACCTCGCTTTGTGGGGTGATCAAGACGTAGATACTGAGCGTGATCTAATAGCTTACGGCAAGGAAAGCAAGTCGTACGCGAGGCTGACCCGAGCGATCGTGCGTGACTCGGAGAACGTGCAGTACTGCCAGCAGGTTTACGTGCGGGACATACAGTCTTCCCGAACTGGTCGCTAACATGAGAGCTTCTGCAAGATGCTTTGGGTGCGGGCGCGTTGATGATATTGACGGGCGCTGAACATGTCTGACAAGTCCTACAAAGGCGATCACTGACTATACTGTTGTTACGGAATGCCATGAATGGAGGTGGCCTGACAATGATTGGTAAATGCTGAGCTTAGTCGCTCCTTCGAACCGGAAGGGCCTACTTGAACTCATAAGGCGCTTGCCCTGAAGAGGCTAGTGGAAAGGTACGATCTTTCTGATGTTCGATCCAACTCCTCCGGGATGAACCTCAAGCTTCGCATGTCGTCACTCTGCGACCAAATTGATACTGTACCGTTGGTGACGGCAGTCCAGTAAATGTGCTATCATCGCGTGGCTGGTAGGGTAGGTCATATACACTCCTTGCTATTTCAACTGCAACACCCAACCTCCCTCTCGTTACAAACCTATTCCATACTTTTCACCGCGTGACTATCAATATGCCACCCAAAGACAAATACACAGATCCAGACTTGCGCGATGAAATCAAGCAGGAAGTCCAGGAGTCTGACAAAGGCGGCGCTCCCGGTCAGTGGAGTGCCCGCAAAGCACAATTCATGGCTTCAGAGTACAAGAAGCGCGGCGGTGGCTACAACACCGACAAGTCGCAGCAGGACGAGTCGCAAAAGCACCTTTCCAAGTGGACCGAGGAGGAGTGGCAGACCAAGGAGGGATCAGGCAACGCCAAGCAGGCGGATGGTACTGAGAAGCGGTACCTGCCGAAGAAGGCATGGGAGAATATGACCGAGGAGGAGAAAGAAGAGACTGAGCAGAAGAAGCAGGAGGGCAGTAGGGAGGGTAAGCAGTTTGTACAGAATACTGCGAAGGCTCAGCAGAGCCGTAGGCAGGCTAATGAGGAGGAGGACGAGAAGTATGAGAAGAAGAAGGCTCAGGAGCAGCAGTCAAAGCAGAATGAGCAAGATCAAGCAGGTAATGATGAAGACGAGCATGCCGCTGAAGAATATGATGATGATTCCGACGACGAAGAAGAGGACAATGAAGCAGAGGATTTCGAGGATGATGGAGAGGATGCTGAAGGCGAGGACGGGGAGGACGGGCGGGACGACAACGATAATGATGAAGAAGATGAAGAAGTTGATGAAGATGGAGACGCCGAGGCAAAGACGGGCCAGAAGCGGAAGGGAGGGGCAGACAACCAAAGCAACGGCAAGTCGAAGAAGCAGAAGAGCGAAAGGTCTCAAGGGAATGCTCCGGCAGGCAAGGTAGGCAGCAAGCACATGGATGCAGACGAGCCTGCGCCGCGCGGCTCAGCCGATCGCCTTCCAAAGAAGGGGCAGAAAATCACCTGGAAAGCTATGCCGGGATATGTTGATGGTAACGGTCTCCCGCCTCACAGTGTGCATTATGTGTCTTTTGCTAACTGCATATTCAGGCGAGGTGACGGAAGTCCTCACTTCAGGCAAGAAGGTCGATGGGAAGGATGTCAAGGCGTCGAAGAAGGATCCCAAGCTCGTTATGAAGTCGTCAAGCTCGGGCAAGGTTTGCGTGCATAAGCCTGATGCGTGCTTCTATGATTGAAGCGCAGGATCGATTTGTTGAATACCTCGATGAACTCGACAATAATCTTTGCGATGAACGTCAAACTGCGCATGAAATTGAGGCTCTCGATCGAGAGAGACTATATTGTCTCTGAAACTGTACGAGAAGCAAGTAATTTCGTCGATATTGGTTAATTGGTCAATTAGTTGCGTATACGTGCCTCATATCCCTAAATGCTGCCGCTCGACTCCATCAACAATGCATACGGTACTTCCGTTGTCCAGCGGCTATCCCCCAATATGACCCGAAACGCTATGAGAGTCAGCCAAAGCATGGAGTTCGCACCACTATGGCATATGCCAACCCACGCGCCATGCCAAGCACACCTTCGCTGTAAGAAGTCAATGCCGCAAGAAGCTCGACGATGCACAATCAAGAGAACGTGTTCGTTCTCCTCCTCAAAGGAAGCCTTAGCTGGAAGCTTCTGCTCAGCCTTGAATTTGTTCCCAAACCCTGTCTCCCGGCCTGCTGCAGTAAGAACGTTCTTCTGGCTAGCACCGCTGCATCTACACCCAGGTCGAAGTCCAGCAAGAAGCAAAGCGTGACCTCCAAGTTCATCAATTGATTCCTGCTCACGCCACCAACTTTTGCATAAAGTTCCTGCGTCCACTTGTTGTCTTCCAGTGCCTTGCTCGCGACTCGTATTGCCGTGAGCGAAAGGCGATGCACTGTCCGGTTGGTAGCCGGCACCGTAAGGTCGGCGACGCACAAGCGATGGCAGTATACGGCTGCTGTAAGATACACACCTGGCGAGTGCGGGCAGAACTTATGCAAGCGGAGCAAGTAGTCTTTGACTGAGAAGGCAGGCGCGACTTTAGAGAAGAAGCGGCGCGCGATGGCAACGCGTTGTAGCGCGACGTCTTCGGCATGCACGCCAACTTCAATGGTAATGGGTTCGTGAGGGTGAGCTTCCGGTGAGCCAATGTGCATCGAACAGGGCGCTTCGGGAGAGGAGGTTCGTCGCGGCTGGTTCTCGTCCTCGTATTCATCCTTCTTTGGTGTGGTAGGGCGCGATACGGGTGGAGTTGGCGGAACGTCACCCATCCTGTCGGCAAGGTTTTGCAGGGCTTGGATCAACATCCTCAGTGCGCCCAGAGGCGACACGCTTGTAATGTCCCATGATTCACTGTCTAACTCAAGCGGTTCGTCCGATCGTTCGATGAAGGCAGGATCTATTGGATTCCAGGCGGCGTCTGCGCTTGGCGGTTCGGGAGGTGGTGGCAACTTGTTCTTCGTTCCATCTCGCTCGTCTTGGTGTTTTAATCCATCTTCCATCACTTTAGACGCGGTAACACGCGTGCTCGCTATCTGCCCATTGGCTCAGCCAGTTCGGTGGTGGAAGCGACGCTTCGTGCTGTGAGATTGTTGCGACACAGGTGTCGCTGGACGCATGAGTGCGTACAATCGGAGGACAGCCTTTCGACTGCCACGTATGTGACGGTTGTTCGCCGTCGCAAGGTTTGACTGGTCTGTGACCTTTTATATTGGGTCCACCAAACAAACAAATGACCGACTTCCGAGCCGTGACCGGAACAGGAATCGTTGCTAGACTGCAAATTTCAGACTTCACTCGGCCTCCAGAACATCATGCAACAAGAGACAATCGGCACTGCGAGTCCACGCAATGATATGACCCGGGCATCCTCTACCCCGAGCATTTGGGTGTAGAGCTCAAAGGCTGGAGCTCCCATACACAAGCGGGGTAATGGTGCGTTTACTTCGTCAGGACCAACCGTTTTCCCTCTTGTGCATGAGAGCTAAAGCAGTATTCCGTGTCTTGGCTTGCTCAGATGTCAGGATGTCCTGCAGAGCAGCGTTGCGTACCAGCCGGCTGATTATGATGGCGGCTCCCAGCGTGCGGCGGAACGCGTCACGCCGCCTTTGTCATTCATGCTTGCGGGCTTGCCTTAGTCTTCCTCGAGGGTTGAGTGGCATCCAGCTTTTCAGAAGCACTGCAGATGAGATACGACTTGAATACTGCTGTCCCAGTTGCTGTACAGCAAGCGAGGCGCCACTGGCTGCATCACTGCGATTGATCCTAAGGCTTCTGTGCCAACATGGCGGATATGCTTCTAGCTATCAGGTGTCATTGCGATATGAAAAGTTCAGGAGCCGACAGACGTCCTCCATACAACTCCTTAGTCCATCTAGGTGAGCATATGTATCGCTAAGTCTCGAGGAGTATAGCTGTTGCCACAATGTCTCTAAGTGTCTTGAGCCGCTGAAAGACTCTTCACTTCCACTCATATGTAGGGTCACATCAATGTGTACATCCTCTACGCATGAGCTCTTGTGTTATTGTTAATGGAAATCTGCAGTTCGCATTCAATGCGTTTCGGGAAGGCACGCTAGCGCATAAAGTGGACCGTGCATAATGTATACACACAAAGACGTGAGCTTCGCGTACATAAAACGATCAGTCTACGATATACCACGAAGAGCATCGCAATATGGACTTCGCACTCCAGGAGTTCTGCGGCCGCTTGGGCAGGCTGACTGCAGAGGCTGACCGACTGAGGGACGAGCGCGGGAGGCTTGAGGCACGCAAGGCGGCGATTGACGAAAGGCTCGCAGAGGTTGATGCAGCATCCAGGGTTCGTGTTCTCGATCGTTTGAATGCGAACTCTGCTAGTGCAGGTGGCCGGACTCAGCTGACTTTCGAACAGGACCTAGCGAGCTCGTACGGTGCTTCTGGGCCACGCAATCAGACCATCTTACCACATCAAGGCGACCGGACATTCACAGCTGCCCCGACACCAGCAGACACCACTCGGTTCTCTACACCATCTAAGGACGTCGAAAACACAGAGCCAGATGGGGATAACAACATCATTGTTGCCTCGCCCAAGCCGAAAGGCACGCTGGTCGCGTCTTCTAAAATGATACCAGGCCGTCACCCGATTCTGCACGAGCTTTACCCTACCATTGTCAATCTCGACGGGATATGGACCGAGATCTGGTGCGGCCGGTGCTCGCTAAACTGGAACACAAGAAGTCAAACCTACTTTCACGGCGTCGACGGTCTACACAATCACTGGATGCAGGCACACAAAAGCGAGCTCCATGACAGTTCGCTCAAAGCCTGCCTCAAAGAAGCTGGACGCCGCTCCGTCTCCGATATCGATGGCACGAAGATGAAACTGGGCGAAGCCCCAGTCGACGTACTAATCAAGCCTCGCGGACTCGACACTTCCTCCAACCGCGTTCATGCCAGGAAGAGCATCATGCAGCAGGCTGAGTCGCCGCCGCAGGTTGTCACGTTGCATGACACTAGCAGTTCGAAGAGTGCTGCCAAAAAGATCACGGAGTATGAGGTCTTCCAAAACTTGGCGGCGGAGGCGGAGGCCTCTGCTACGCCGAAGGCGAAGAGGCAGCGTACGAGCGCGGGACGTCCATCCTACTTCAATGGCGGAAGGACGATGAGTTTGTGAGTTAGAGTAGTATGGGAAGTGGGTGCGCCGCATCGGGTTCCGTTTCCCCGGACAGCGTAGCACATGTTACACGCTATTTTATGAATTGATTTCAGGGAAGGCGCGCGCAATGCAAGGTACCGGCGTTTGTAGCTGTTACCGCATATGGGTGGTGGCAAAGAAATAGCGTGAGCATTAGGAAGGCACGAAGCTTGGCACAAACCACTTGACCTCTTAACATGCCACAGCCCAACATCTCCCACCCCTACCAACATCGAAACTCCTCCGCTCCGCACCGTGGTAACCTCGAAACAACATGGCTCAAAGCCGTGAGGAAGCTGAAGACGGCATGGCACGCCTCCTGGCGAGGGCTAAGGAGCTACGAGCGGAGTGTCAGAGACTCGACACTGACATTCTAGGCCTGCGTGTACGAAAGGCGAAGGCTTCAGAAGGCCTCGAGAATGTCGAGGTCCAGTACATGGTTGGCGGCACTCTCCACTCTCGAACCGATCTGATTGCTAACATATCCCGACTCGATTGCAGAGTCTAGCACGCTCGTTGTTAGCTTCAACAGAGCGTTCAAGCATAGCTGCTACAACTCCGCAGGACATTACCGTACTTGCAACTACACCGACGTCCGCACGCTCTGGCCACCCCACCCCGTCCGCCGCTGCAATCGACCCTGAGGATGATGCCGCAAGCGTTGTCATTGTGGCCGCAGCCGAACGCACCAGCACCGACGACACCCAACCCGACGCAGCCTTACAGTCGACCGTGACCGACAACTCGATCATCCACCAAAACTTCCCCACCGTCGTTTACTACGACGGCGTCTGGAAGGAGCTCTCATGCGGCTTCTGCTCCACTAACTTCAACCTCGTCTCGCGGCACTACTTCCAGGGCGTCAGAGGGCTTCACCAGCACTACCTGCACACGCACAGAGCCGATCTTAACGACTCCTCCTTAAAGTCGTGCATCCCGCATTACCGCCGTCGCAGCGTCTCCGGCGCCGATGTGGCGCTTATGCGCGCCGGGCTACAGCCAACGGACGTATCAATCAAGCGGCAGAAGCCGGATGGTTTGCAGGAGAATAGTACCACCAGCGGAAAAGGTAAAGGGCACAGCCACGATCAACAAGTAGCCCAGTCGACGCAGAATCAGGCTCCGCAGAATATGAATGTGAAGCTCGAGCGTGCTGAAGACGATCCGATCAACGATGGTAATGCGGCGGCGTTGATTGCGCTCAAGCTCCCAGTCAAGCAGGTGACCGAGTACGAGGTCTTTCAGGGCCTTGAGGCAGAGGCAATGGCGGCCGGGCAATCGGCGGGAAGGAAGAGGAACAATAAGAAGCGCAGGATGCCAGTGGCTTCCTATCTGGACGACGCTGAGTACTACGATGGTGAGGAGATGCAGTTCTAGCGCTGACGCATTACAAAGTCCGCAGCCCGAAACACGATGTAGCAGTACTTGGACAATGAGTCTTGGCAGCTTCTTGGTTGATTGGTTCTTGCGCACTGGGCGAAGACTCAGGCATACATAGCTTGACATACACTCACCTCGCTCAATCACAACGTCTCCCACTTTGGAAGCTACTCAAAGCAACCCCCTGCCCCCCGCCTCCCCCCAAAACACAGCAACCCTCCAAACCTTCCTCACCAACCCCTCCGCCTCCTCCCTCCCCATCACCGGCTCAACCTCTTCCACAATCTCCCTCGCCCCGCGCTTCCCGTCCAGCCCGCTGACCACAACATCCACAAGCATATCCTCCTGCACCCCCAAGTAATCCACCACCCGCTTCACCACAAGCGGTCGGATCTGCTCTTCCAGCACTTTGGGGGTGAGGTAGCGGTAGTTGAGGGGTGTGGCGAAGAGTTCATCGGTTTCCGTGGGGATCTCTCGAGCGAGGGCGGTGCGGAGGCGTGTGCGTTCTTCGTCCGTCATGTCGCCCGGTGCGGGGACGGTGGAGAGGTCGGTGAGGGGTTTAAGGGACATGATCTTCTTTCTGCCGCCTGAGCCGGAGGCCAGAGCGGCGTCTTCCTCGTCTTCGAGCAGGCCTTCGACGTCTGCTAATCCGCGCTTGACACCCACGCCGCCGGGTCCGGTAGCAGTAGCAGTAGCAGGAAGTGCACGCGATTTCGCCGCCGAACCGAGCGAAATCTTGAACCCCGCCGCTGCCCCAGCAGTAGGCTGTCCGGCTTTCTCATCCCCACTCCGCTCCACCAACCCATCTCCCGCCACCCCTCCACGCGCTTCGGCCTCACGGCGTCTCTCCTCTGCCGCCTCCCTCTCCTCCAACACCCGATCCCTCTCATCCTCCCTCCCCTCCCTCTCCCTCCAAACCGCCCGTTTCCTCAACCACGCCCCACGGTCATGATAATACTCCTCCCTCCCCTCCCTCGCCTCAACATCATCATCCCATTCCCTCAACCTCCTCTCCAGCGCCTCCCGCTGATACTCAACCGCCCGCTTCTCTTCCTCCTCGCGTTGCTTTTCCCGCTGATGGGCTGCGGTACGGGTGCGCTCGCGATGAGTCCACCGGCGTTCCGCGTCGAGGTACGCCCGGTGGAGTTCCTCGTCTTTCTTCGCTTGGCGGCGACGCTCGAGCTCACTGTCGCTCTCTTCTGCATCTTCGTCGGCGTCGCGGGCGGAACCGTTGGTCGCGCCGTTAGGACCAACGAAGGCGACCCCGTTGGTGTAGTCGGAGGGGAGTTGGGTGCCACGGAAACCTTTGGGGCCGACTGGCGCACCTTGAACGCCTATTTGGCTGCGTGGACCAACGGGGACGCCGTTTGCACCGCCGGGTGGAGGGGAGTCGCGGGCGAGTCTGGAGACGGGGGCGGAACGTTGGCGCTGGAGGGTTTCTAATTCTTCTTCGTGGCGAAGTTTCTCGATATCTTTCTGATGCGAGCGGTTTCGAAAGGATCGAATCTCAGCGGCTATTGTGGGTCGCATCTCGACGGGTATGTCGGATAGTTCGTCTTCTTGTGACACTGGGATGGTGACGGAGTCTGCGTTGGCTACGATCGAATCGCCGTTCTGCATGTGGATGTCGCCGTTTGCGTCATGTCGACCGTTGGTAGCCTCTGCGTTGGCGGCGAATGCGCCGAGGTTCGAGAGGGAAGCGATGCATTGCCGCATATCCTCGCGACAGCCATCAATGCGGAACTGTCTTGCGTCGGGGTCTTCTTTCCGCCTGCCCTTCCACTCGCTAATATACTCTTTACTTTGATCATCGACCACGACGAGGAGCTTCGTCGTCTTCACCTCGCCACTATCATCTTTCTCCGCTACGCCATTCTTCATAACAGGCACCTCCACCCCACCGCCAAAGATCTCATTCGCAGCCTCCAAACTGTCCACATCCTCGTATTCCGCAAACCCGAACTTGCACTTCCTGTCATCCGCATCTCTCACTCTCGTCCACCGTCTTAGCTTTCCAGCACAGCCGAGTATACTCTCAATATGCTCATCGCCCGGCGTACCGTCTCCCAAGCCACCAATAAAGATCGTCCGCGCAACCTCTTCCCTCGTCGGCGGCTGTAGCGCCATCATACTCTCTCTGACAGCCGCACGCCTCTCATCGATATCACCACCCCTCCCTGCTCCACGATCATCTCTGGCGCCAAGTCCAAGCCGACTCCGTCCGCCCAGAGGTTCGGCGTTACTACCTCGCCCTTCTAAGCGACCTCCACGACCTCCTCCGCGCATGTCGTCGACTTGTGGGGCCCGGTCCATGCCAAAGTGGATGACAGGTGCGGTGGGGTTGAAGCCTGGTGGCATGTTGGGTGGAGGCTGGAATTGTGAAGGCATACCAGTGGGTGACTGTGCCATGCCTGGTGGTACGCCGAAAGGTGTTTGGCTGTAAGGGGGTTGGCTGGGGTAGCCGCCTGGAGGGCCGTAGTAGGCCATGTTGAAGGAGAATGCGATCGGGCTGTCAAGAATCTGGGCAGTGAGTCTTCTCCCCTTTTCTGAGTACGTGGAAGGTAAGCAACACAGATTAGCGCATGGTGAGCAGCTCGAAGCAGAAGGCACAATATCAGGCAGGATTATATACGTGCGAGTCAGTTGGTTCGTCGCGAAGTCTTCGTTTGAGTTGTGAAGCTCCATGTTCGATAGAGGAAGTCGCAGCCTGAGGCAGATGTGCTTCGAAAAGCTCCGCCTTTGCATCTCCTTCAGGGCGCCGCACGCGACACACACCACCATCTTCTCCTCCACCACCTGCACCTCCGTTATCTGAGATGGAGCTGTATAGAGTGGGGGAGGCCTTCCTCCGCTCACCGCAGCCATTGCTGCCCTTCCTCGCGCCAGCGGCATACCAGCGAGCAACCGGGAGCACCAGAGTCGCCAATGCAGTCTCACGGCATTGCAGGTCACGACCCATGCAGAGTCAAGCATCACAGCCCTTCAGCACATCCCTCCGGCGCAATGATCCCGCCCCAGCAGCAGCCGCCCGGGAGCCTCAAGTCAACCACAATGGGCCATCACGGGATTCATCCGACGACACCATCTCTCGCCTCCTCGACTCCACCCTCGACTTCACCAAGGGCACCCCCGCCGCCCCTACTTCCCGCACGTCCCGCTTTAAATCCTCCTCCGCCCAAGCCGAGCACAAAATGGACTCCTACCGGCCAAGCTCCTCAAACAGCAGCCTCGATGACCTGCTGGCCGCAATAGGCAACCAACCTCCTTCACGAAACCGCCAATCTACACCCTCATCCCGTGGGAGCACGCAGAGTACATACATGTCCGACGAAGTGACACGCATGCTCGACCCAAGCAAGAACAACGCCTTCCTCTCCCCAAAATCTTCATCGCGTGTAGGAGGCCCACCCCAATCCATCACCGCCCCCCCAGCGGACCGCACCCTACCCTTCAAACTCGGCCCGAGCGTCGGCCGGACCGTCACTGTAGACAACAATAGAGGGATGGACGTGGGTCGCGCGTTCAGGACGCTAGAGGTACAGTGTGCGCGCAACAGCGTGCGGAAGGACTTTATGCGGCAGCGGTTTCATGAGAGAGGAGGGTTGAAGCGGAAGAGGCTGAAGAGTGAGCGGTGGAGGCGACGGTTCAAGGAGAACTTCAGAGGGATTGTGGCGATGGTTGGGAGGATGAGGAAGCAGGGGTGGTAGGTGAAAACCATTTATGCTATGCAATATCCCTCTGCTAGGCGTGGATTGTGCAAGGAGTGTGTACACATTACTCATGTACATGGGATGTTACCCGTGTACACGACCGTTATTTGTGTATACAACCGTTCATATACACACAAGCATTACATGTGTGTATAACCATTACTTGTACACACAACCGCTATTTGTGCACACAAGCATCGATTGAGTACGTTACCTTTACGACATAGATCTGTTCGGTTCTCGGTATGGCACTGTGATATGCATATCCCATGCTCATGGCATCCAATTGCTTGTCGCTGTTCACACGCATTCTGACCTTGACAAAGTAGAGGCGCCAAGCCTGCTCCTGCAACATGCGGCTAGACTGACTTCGACTCCACTTCCGCTGCTCTTGTACCCAGCCGCATCCGCGTCCACCACAACCAGACTTCAGGCTCAAACCAACCAGCCACACATCAAACCTGGTAAGTCTCTCACACGTCCTGCCTCAACTGTCCCATCTTTTCCCCCTAGAACACACTCCTCCGTCCACTTCTCGCGCAAACATGCCCTCCCTAACATCCCACCTCCTCCACCTCTCCCCGCCCTCCCTACACGCAGCAACGCATCACCCCTTCCTCTCCCTCGCCGCCACAGCCTCCGCTCCCCCCGCCCTTCTCAAACACTGGCTCGCCCAAGACAGGCTATATGCCCTCTCCTACCTCTCCTTCGCCGGCACCCTGTTATCCCGGATTCCCATGCCGACCCACGCGGAAAGGGAGAAAAGTCTCGAATGGCGGGCCGCGGACCTGATCATAGAGGCGCTGGTGAATATTCGGAGGGAAGTGAGACTGTTTGAGGAGACGGCTGAAGCGGAGGGGTGGTTGGAGGAGATTTGTGGGGTTGAGGCTAGTGTGCAGACGAGGGCGTATCAGGATCTCTTCGCGGGGGCGACGGCGCAGGGGCGGCCGTTGATTGTGGGGTTAGTCGTGCTGTGGGCGACGGAAGAAGTTTATCTGCGTGCTTGGCGGTACGCGAAGGGTAAGATGGACCCCGGTGTGAGTGATGGGGAGAAGGATGTCATGCAGCGGGTGTTCATTCCGAATTGGAGTAGTAGGGAGTTTGAGGCTTTTGTGCGGAAGCTGGGGGGTTTGATTAATATGTTTGGCTTGGCTTGTGAGGGTGAGAGGGAGGAGCGAGAGGAGGATGGGGAGGTGAGCTGGCAGTGGAGGGAGTGTGAGAGGGCTTGGGGGCAGGTGCTTTGGGCGGAGACGCACTTTTGGCCGGATGTGGGGGGCGAGGTTAAGGCAAACGGTGCCGGGAAGGAAGAGGTGGAGAAGAGGAAGGGCGTGTTGAAGAAGTAGCAATCCGGATTAACATACGAACGGAACTACACTACCTTGGAATTAAGCCACTTGCAAGCAAATCTTACGGCTCAGACAAGATCCATAAACCCGATCTCCTCATCCTCCTCACTCCCGTCATCCTTCTCACCCTCTACCCCAACAGCCAAATGCTCAAACACCACCACCGGCCCATGCTGTGCTTCAGCCCTCTCCCTCTCCACATTCTCACCATCATAGATATCGCCCAACCGCTCCAACACCATCACCCTAGCAAATGAATCCACAAGCTCCGGCTCAGTGATGAACCCCTTAGCCAGCGTCTCCGACTCAGCATCCTCGTAATACCATTCCACTGCCTCAATGGGGATAGAGATAATGTTGATATATTCCGGATGGATGCCATAAGATTTCTGCGCCATAACGATGGATTTTAGCACTGGGTCGGCCCGGGAGGTTTGTTCTTGATCGTTTGCTGCGATGAGGTCTTCAAAATCTTCCAATTTCACGACGGGCAGAGCCTGGTCCTGGGTCAGCATGCCGATGAGTGCGTTATCATCTTGCATGAAGTGCGAGATGGTCTCGGCGGGACAGCCGATAGTGGAGAGGAAGTCCCGCAGACCGAAACTAGGATCCACGCCGTGCGCAAGCACGGTCAGAAAATCTGCCGGCTGGACATCGTGGCAGTAACTGACCATTCGCGTCGTGAGCGCAATCCAATGGATGATTTCTAGAAAGTCAGTAGTACCCGCATGCTGCCGGAACTCGATCGTCCCCTTGCACGTCTGCTGCCACGAAGATTTTGGGTAGAGGTTCTCGAAGTTGTAGGCTGAATTATGCCCGCACGTCCGCTTGTTCCTGAGGTACTTCGAGCGCGGCTTACTGTCGTCCACACGAGAAATGGCGGATAAATGTTCGTAGCTCTGCGTGCGTTCAATGATGGACAGCCATTTGAAGAGGATGTCGTGGTTGTCGCAGGAGCCGTTGTTGTGGAACCACCAGGAGGGAGGGATATGCCAGACCCCTGCGGGTCCACCGTCGAAGTCGTCGCCTTCTTGCCATTCTGCGGGCCAGGCGATGCGGTTGGCGGCGTGGATCTCGTCGGTGCAGCGTTCGAAGGCTGTGGCGAGTTGGAGGAGGTTCTTGCTGGTGCGCAAGGGGATGCGGTTGCCGGCGCCGCAGCCGACGTGGACGTGGAGGCCTGTAGAGTGGTTAGTCAGGAAGCGGCAGCCGTAGCTTTCTACTCGCGCGAGGGCGTTGAGGACTGCTCTGATCTGGTCTTGCCAGTTGTCGGTCAGTTTGAAGATGGGTGAGCAGATTTCGATGGACTCCGGTGGCCAGTGCCAGTGCTCTGGGATCGCTTCCGTCTCGGCTTCGGAAACTTTGACATAGTCCTCCTGCACCGTCCAGCGGTCGTAGGGGTTGCTTGGGTGGATTCGAAGAGCGTCGGGTTCGTGGCCAGTCGCAGGTACGCCGGCCTTCAGCAGTTCGTCGTAGAGGACGGCCCCGGCGTTGCGCTCATCGTAGACTTCGTGGACGGGAGTGGTGTTGTCGAAACAGCCTTCGGGCCAGATACAGATGAGTTCGAGCTCGACGCCGAAAGTCAGGTCGAGCGGCGCCATGGTTCGCTATGTGGGTGTATGAAACGGGTTTGGAACGAGTGACCGAACAGCATCTATCGAGGCTTGCCTTTTGGGCGAAGCCTTCGTCATGGCTGCGACGATACGAGTCCTTTGAGTTCATCTCGGAAGACAAAGGATGAAATGAGTGTTTAAAATGAGAGTATAAGATAAAGGGACTCAAGAGCAGAACAATGAAGCACGCCTACGCTGAGCATTGTAAGGTGACCCTCCTGGGACAGCACGTCGATGTTCTTCGAATTGGGGCAATGGGAAGCTCGAAGATGGAGCAATCACGCTATCTCATCGCGTGTCAAGACTCCGTAGTCGCAACCAGATGGTAGACAGTAGGAGGCGCCGAAAGGCTAGGCGAGCTTATAAATGCCTGCGTTTCGTGTCCGTCACGGTGTGATGCTCGGTCGATGGCAAGATTGCATGAGATCTTGCGCTGTTGGAAACTTCCCCTCCGTGGTGAGATTCGTGTCGAAGTCATTCGGAGGCGTCAAGGCCCTGGGTGACGATCCGAGGCCATGGTCTAATACACATAGATCGAGGCTGGACAGAGATGCAGGGGTCGCAGTCGAAGACGGCCAATCTGTCATTTAGCCTCGGCAAGATGGCGCATATTGCATAACATCCTCGGACTTCGCTGCGGATAGGCCATATCATCCTACGGAATGGACCGGCTTCCCAGAGACTGCACAGGATCCGTGCCCTTGTCGAAGCCCGGGCAAGCCTTCGTCCCTCGAGCGTGCCTGCGTTGTGGCGTCCTGCACTGCAGCGTTGCTACACTCTCCCCCGTGCGGTGACGTTGGCTGGTTGGCAGGTAGCGCAGGCATTGCCTTGCTGACATATGCATTCTTGATTACAGGCCCGTCACGCAAGCTTGTTCACGCTCGGACTACAACAGACAGGAGGTTGCAAAGTAGATAGTGAATGCCAGCGACTTTCGAACGAGATGCAGTGGAGGGTGCACGGACTACGTCGTACAGTTTCGAGGCTAGCGCGGTGTGGAGAGGAGCCGAATGGGCCGAGCGATTTGGGCGGCGGAGATCAGCAGGCGTGTGTGATGAATTGCTTGCTTGCTGCTCTGCGGCACACGCTGTACCTGACATACCCTTACCACCCGACTTGCGCCGATATTGCGTCGATCGCGGGGCCGTCTGGCTTGCAGAAGGGCAGTTAGGGTCTGTATAAGCAGACATCAGCGATGCATGCGCGCGTCCCGGTGTTTTGCGCGTAGATGAGGGATTCGCCTACCGCTTCCTCCATCCGCGCCCCGTTGCCTCGGCTGTCTGTGTCGAGATGGATGCATCTCCAAATACCCAGCAGACGACGCCAAGTAGCGCGACCAATCCGACTGGAGCGGGTGCCATACCCAGCTCGCAGACTCCAGGCCACCCATCGTTTAGGCGACAGCGTGCCAGTCGAGCTTGCGAGGTGCGTCTCAACAGTTTGCGCACAATGCGGGCATGCAACGAGACTGACCATGACTGTAGACGTGCCATGCGCGAAAGGTATAGGACCTTGCACGCTATAGCTTGCAAAGTGTGTATGCTTATAATGGTTAGGTGCGATGCGATGCCGCCAGTCTCGGAGTTCCGTGTACCAACTGCGTCGCCTTCTCCATCGAATGCAAGATCCCCGCGCCGAAGAGGAAGAAGACGGGAGGTAGCAAGAAAGATGTCGACAGGTGCGCATCAATGCAAATCTACATTCTGAAGGGCAGGAACTGATGACTGTGTCCAGTGAGCGGCGGGGCTCATATACCGACACCGGTGCGTCGCCGTCAGCTCGCAGCGATGCCGTCCCGGGTCAACGTGAGATTGTTATGCCGCGCCAGCTCACGCCTCGTGGCTTCCAACCCGACGAGATCGGCATGAACACTAGCTCTGGCATGCCGGACACTGAAGTCACGGAGGCGTACGCGAGCCAGCAGCATGTCAACAACGGCACCTACGTCCAGTATATGAAGCCAAAGTTCGCTCGAGCACCCATCAAGGAAGCCGGTCGCGTTGCGTATTTGGGCGAGTCTAGTAACCTCTCTCTACTTGTGCAAGATCGCCACGGCACGACGGATGTGGTCCACTATCCGTTGCCGGAGAATGTTCGCGGCGCTCGAGCGCGCGTGAACGAGCTTGACAATGTCGAGATAGACATTCTCCACCAGCGCGGCGCCTTCCTACTTCCGCCACGCCAGCTATGTGATGAGCTGGTCGACGCTTTCTTCCGTTGGATTGCCCCCGTGGTTCCAGTCATCAACCGCAGCAAGTTCATGCGCCGCTACCGAGACCCGAAGAACCCACCGTCTCTCTTACTTCTTCAGGCCATCCTTCTCGCCGGCAGCCGGGTATGCAGCAATCCGCAATTGATGGACGCCAACGGCAGTACTACTCCCGCAGCAATGACTTTCTACAAGCGCGCAAAAGCTCTGTACGATGCCAACTACGAAGATGATCGCGTTACCATCGTACAGGCGCTCATTCTCATGGGTTGGTATTGGGAAGGGCCGGAAGGTAGGAACCGCCACCGTGGAGAAATCGTCACGCAGGCGCGGTCTGATGTTGCTGCAGACGTCACGAAAAATGTCTTTTACTGGAGCCGGGTCGCGGTTATCGTGGCGCAAGGATCTGGTATGCATCGAAGGTGAGCCGATTCAACCATGCTGCAGTATCATACGCGCCGTGCGGCTAACTTGGTATAGTGTCGAAGGCTCCCAGCTCTCCCGAGCAGACAAGCGACTATGGAAGCGCATATGGTGGACCCTCTTCACCCGCGATCGCTCCGTTGCTGTCGCGCTGGGCCGTCCTGTCGGTATTAACATCGAAGACAGCGACGTCGAAATGGTGTCTGAAGACGACTTCATCGACGATGAGGGCGCGACAGCGGGCGAATTCGCGCCCGATCCGATCCACGTCCAATTCTTTTTGAACTACGTCAAGCTTTGCGAGATCATGGGACTCGTCCTAAGCCAGCAATACTCGGTCGCGTCGAAGGCACGAAATTACAACGCGATCGATTTGACGCACTCAGATATGGCACTGGCCGACTGGCTGCAAAATTGTCCGCCAGAGGTCCGGTGGGAGCCGCAGAGGCATCATTTCTGGAGCGCGCTGTTGCATTCCAATTATTAGTATGCCGCAGCCTCGTGTTGAGCAATGCCATGCAATAACTGACATGTTCTAGCACCACGCTGTGCCTTCTCCACCGGGCACACATGCCTTCAGCCGGAGCACCAGAGGCGCGGCCGCTCAACGGCTACCCTGAGGAGACAGCTTACCCCTCGCGAACGATTGCGTATCAAGCCGCTGGTATGATTACGAGCATTATCCAGGAGCTGCAGAATCATGATCAGCTGCGGTTTACGCCTGCTTTCATGTAAGCTTCCACGTCTTTACCATACCGATGAGCGCTAACGGTAGTGTGAAGCGTATACTCGCTCTTTTCGGCACTGATTATGCACGTCTACCAAATGCGCAGCTCTAACCAGTCTATCGTCTCCGCCACGCAGCAGCGTCTCACCACGTGTATGACTGCATTACGAGATGTGAGCAAAGTCTGGCTCGTGGCAAAGATGGTGCACACACTTTTCGAGTCAATTCTGGGCAATAAGGTACTCGAGGAACGTTTGCAGAAGGCCGCCGGCCGTCGGCATGGAAAAGGTAAACAAAATGGATACAGCGGGCAACGGACGGCGAAGAATACACCGCCACCGGGCGTTCAGCAGCAAAGCATGCCGCCGACAAGCGATGCGCACAAGCGCAAGTTCGACGACATGGAGCTGGGCTATGCCAATGGACCTCCCTCCGGCGCGCAGATGAGCTATGAGCGAAGTCGGCCGCAGAGTCCAGTCATCTCGCCGAATCGAGAATTATCTGGCCAGCAGCAATTGCCCACCATCTCAGCAGGCAGCCCCAACATCCGCCAAAGCACCGATGCGTTCATGGGCACGTCAGGCTCTCGAGTCAATACCAGGCCTACAACGCCGTTTAACACGTACAGCTACCCCGGCACACCACCTGATCTGTTCCTGCATACCAGAAATAGTCCGAAGATTAGCGAGGATCTGTGGCAGAATTACGAGCCTGCGCAGCTCTTCCCGCCAGAGGTGAATGGGATGGGATTCAGCGTGCATCAAAGCCCCGACGGCGTTCCCGTCGACCCAGCATTACGAAGACTATCGCAACAACAACAGGCGAGCGGGATGGGCATGCAGCAGGACGGCGGTGCGCCACAAGCTCAGATGCATCAGCAACAGCCGCCGCAACTGCCCACGTACCACCCGGACACTCAGGCATGGAGTCACCTCCCAAATGAACAGATGATGCAGCAGCACGCAGGGGCGCCTGGTGGTGGTCGGCCGCCGCTGCAGGACGATCAATGGTCTACTTCCACGGGAACCGGACCGATCGTCCCCACGACGCTGAATGTGGGCGATTGGTTCGAGTTCTTTGGGATCCCTAATGGGGATTTGGCGGCGTTGGGTGGGGTGCAGGGACTCGCGGCGCATTTGCCGCCGCCGAGTAGTGGTGGAGGGTATGGGTAGGAGCTGCGTTGTTGGGGCGGCGCATCGTTCTGTGCGCTGTGGGAGAGAGGAGCGGGTGATCTGGGTTCCGACGCAGCGCTGTTGTACGTTTCGTTGAAGCGAAGGAGTTGGCTTTATTGTTGGCACATCATTTCTAGCACATACCGCACGGACGCTTCGGGCTGACTTCGGCACACTTGTGCCTTGGCCATTCGTGCCTCTCTATGCTTTCTACCCACCATCGAATGTTACGAGCCACCGTTCAGAACATCTCCTCGTGACTGAACATCTCCTCACGACAGTTATCTAGCAAGCACCAGAACTCCTACCGGCTATGGCGCCCATAACCTCCCGCTGGCGCGACATAATCTACCTCATCTTCTTCACCATCCATATCCCCGTCATGTTTTGTACGTCCTCATAACAACAGACTAAACCCCTCTCACCCAACCACGTAATCCAAAACAAAGCTCATATTTTGTTCATTTACAGGCGTGGACCTCTACCCTCTCTACCCAACCAGCCTACGCCCGGCGTTCTTAGACAATATCCGCCGCTTCTACATCGAAACGTACTACGACCAGAATTTCGTCACGCCCGCGGCGTGGTTCACGTTGTACATGTGGATGGAGTTTCTGTATCATGTTCCGCTGAGCGTGTGGGCGATTGGGGCTTTGTTGCGCGGTATGCTATTCCCTTGTCCACTCCTCACCTGGACCTGCTGATGCGTGTGAATTGTTCGGTTGTATGGTGTTGTGCTGAGGATCTATGTGACTAGATGACTCAAAGCTGCCGATACACCTCCTCATCTTTGCGGTGCAGACGGCCATCACGACGAGTACCTGTATTGCGGACTATCTCAGTTGGAGTACTATTAGTAGTGCTCAGAAGGTTGAGTTGGGAAAGCTTTATGTGCCGTATCTGGCCCTATGTGAGTCTATTGTCTTGTGACCTGCCCATTGTTAAGAGGTTCAGGACTGATGCGATGCAGCCGTCTTCATGGGCGTCGACATGTATGCGAGGCTCAATGCAGCACTAGGTCCCAGGATTACGAGCAATGCTGGTAAGAAGGCAGCGTGATACCATATCTCGTTCGCAGTCATGCTCTGTTAACAACACCGAGAGTACAATACGTTCTGTCATACATTGGGTATCATATATCATGTTCGTATCCCAAGGACTCCCTACCTAGCTCCAGCATCCGACCATGGACCAGAAGAAACAGCACGCCGACGCGGTAAATCGAACCCGCCATTTCCTCTACCCATGCCTACACTGGCCGTATATATCTGGGCATAAACGCCAGCTCCCACAACGAGCATATGCACGCAACACCCAGCCTGAAAGCTCGCTATCGGAGAAAGCCGTGCGTATTAGGCCAGGCTTGAGGCGTCGGCGAGGGCGGTAGAGACGGTATCGAGACGATGTCAGCAGAGTCGCAATACTCGTCGTATTTGTAGTCGTCGTTGAGGTGTGTTGAGAATGGTGACAGGTGTTCGAGATCGAGCGGCGGAGGCGCATCGGCATCCGTCATTGGCGTATAGTTCGTGATATTGAAGTCGGGCGGCATCTCCATCGAGTGACGATTCCGTGCCGAGGAGCCGCCTGCGGACGGTGAGGAGTAAGCGCCCGACGAGACAGGTGTGGCCACACCTTCAGATCGGTTATGTATCTTCTCATGACGGGTAAGGTGGTCCTGTCGGACGAACGATTGACCACACGTCGCGCAATGGAATTGGCGGCCATCGTGGGTAATGGTTTGATGGTGTCTTCTCAACTCTCGACCGAACAAGAAGCGTTTGAAGCATCTGTCGCAAACGTACGGCCGCTCAAGGTACGGCGTATGATACCGTTTGTGATGCTTCAGGTCATTCTGCGTTCGATAACGCTTGCCGCAATTGGTATGGTCACACAGATGCTGCCCTGTGGATGAGCTGCGGCTCGCTGAGCTAGCCACAGAGCTGCTCCTGATGCTTGAAGGACTTCTGCCGCGTCGACTCGAAGACCGACTTACCCGTGGGCTGCCTTCAGGTTGTACTACGTTCAGATCGTTCGTAGAATTCTGAAACACGTCCCACTCCCTTCTATCCGGACTCAAATGGTCGATGGGTGAGGCTCCATGCGCTGACGTTGTCTCAAGCTCACCAGGTGCGGTGATTTGACGGTCGCCGGCCTGCAGAGCTCGTCTTGGTCCAGTCAATGAGCGCGGCCGCACATTGAACGGATGCGCAGTGGTTGGAACAGTTTGTGCCAAAGCCTCTTCAGGCTGGTGAACCCGGATAGCTGGTGCCGAGAGCGGAGCTACGGCAGGGTAGGCATGATTGCCTGGGTGAAGTTGTGCTTCGGATGTGGAGAGATGCAAATGTGGGCGTTGAGAAGGGCGTAGATTGGTCCGTGGAGGTGGCGTTGCGGGCATTCGAACGAACGTTGGGAGGTTTCGGTGCGGTGGCAGAAGCGCTGACGCTGAGAGGGGAGCTTGCTCACCGCTGCTGCCTCCGAAGCCGATGGAGACGGTCAGCAAACCGCCCATAGCAATGAGGTCGGTCAGGTCTGGTGAGTGAGCTAGTAAATCCTCTTCGACATGGTTGCAGGCGACAGGCTCGGCCCATGTCCCGGTCAAGCTCAACATGCTTGGGTTGATGCCTCGATCCATGCTATCGCGGCGGTTGAAGCTCACGTGCCGGTGTTGAAACTGCGAAGATATGTATTGTTGAGAAGCCAGGTAAGTGTGACTGAACGAAAGGGATGTTGTACGCGCCAGTGTTCGAGCCACTTGACCGGTCGAGCTTTAGCTCTACGTCTCGGCTGTGTAGTAGTACCTTGGGCGACCAAGCGATGCGAAGATAAGAATCCAAGACTATGGCAACTGGGTCAAGACAAGACGAAGGAGACATTGGAGGATGACAAACACTTGGGTGGTTATATACCTACACTGCCGCCATTGAGGCCACCCAACGTGTAGTGACGAGCGGGCGTCTTGCAGAGCCGCAAGGTTGAGGCGGTGCAAATCATTGCCTGATTTACCGCCCTCTACACCTCTGTATTGGGGAATTGTGCAGGCTTAGAGATGTATGTTGAAGCAGTGCAAGCCCAACGAGATATTTAGAGGTCGAGGTGAAATATTGATGGTGTAGTAAGTGATGTCTGTTGCACGTGAGGACCAAGCTTCATTGCCAGTTGAAGCTCCACGACTGAGTTGATGCTCTCGTGGCAACCAATCGCCTCGCTAGGCAAATTAGCCCCGCTTTTACATGTGACCACAATCCTTCTAAGTCCCTCCTGTCAACCGGGCTTCTGCCTCCTAGTCATGGTTAGATGGAACGGAAGTGTACAGGTACAGACGCATTCACCTGCTACTGCTACCTAGTGGACGTCGCAGACTGTCCGCTCCCATTGCAACCTAGCGTATGTCCTCCAAAGTACTGCTACTCCCTCTCCGCCACGTACGCCGTGCTTGGACGCTACAAAAACATGCCTCAGCCAACGATATCAGTCGAGTCTACCGCGCGGGACAACCATGTCCAATCAAGTGCCGGTCTAAGTGCTCCTGCCGCTTGAAACCTATTGTATGCCACTTGCAGATGTCGTTCGGACACTTGAATGAGCGATAGTTGTTATGAACCGAATCAATATGGCGAAAGAGGTCTTTGGGATAGAGAAAGGTTTTGGTGCAGTCGAAACAGAGCCAGGGACGTGTGCCGTGAACGTTTCGAATGTGGTGCCTTCGGAAATCGTCAGCTTGTGCTTAGGGAGTTTGTGCTTTGTTCCGCTTACGCTTTGCCCGCAGAGTTTGGAAATCCAGCTCCACAGACCGAGCAGGTGTGTTCACTCGCGGTAGATGTTATCTCACTCTTAGGTCTCCTGGGGGTTCCCGTAGAAGAGCCTGCCGTACTAGGTCTTCCACGTCGTGTTTGCGGTGGTGTCTGGGGCGGTGGCTGAGGCGAGCCATTGAGTTGACCTGGAGCCCAGGGAGGGGCGTCAATAGGAAGGGTTCCACTAGTGACGTTTGTTCCCGAGAGCATGCCAAACGGCAACGACCCACGCATGTCCAGATAAGGACCAGGCGACGGCCCTATGTTTCTATGTGGAGACAGTTGGGTACTGAAACCAGGAATCGACTCGTCATATATTGCAAAGCTTGAAGAGTCTGGTAACGCTGGAGGCAACCGGAGGGAGTATGGAGTACCAGGAAGAGACGGTAGCTGAGCCACGTCCGCATATGACCGCCCGCCCGTTCGCATCGATTGTGTATCGCTCTGTGCCGTTGATTGGCCGGGCAGGGAGTCCGATGGCGTATGGTAGGGATCCGACTGCGTCCACGCCGAAGTCTGCACAGTCGAGTTGGCCGCTCCTACCAGCGAGCCTGGACCTGGCGTATGTGGATACTGTGACACGCCTTGTCCATAATAATAATTATACGGTGCTCCCGCTGCGAAGTGCACAGGCGCCGCTCGATCAGGTGAAGGGTAAGCGTATGTTGTCCCGTTGGCCGGACCAGGTGAAACAATGTCGCTCGGTGCGTATGTGCGAACAAGCTGGCCTGACGGCGGCGATGTTGGAGCGTGCGTTACCGGTAGCACTCTGCTTCGCTGCGGAGCGTATGTAGCTCTGCTCGTTTGTCGCGTCTCCTCCGATGTTGTCTGCACCCGATGCACCCTCCGCCAATCTTGGTCCATTCGGATGTATCAGTGGTAGGGAAAGGGTAATGGAAGCGCAGAAAGCGGTAGTACGTATAGAAATGACGAGATGATATGTTACGCTTGAAAAGCTGGTTAAGACGATTGCAGAGTTCACGACAAACCCAGCTAATGTCCTGTCGCCGTGTCGGTTCTGCTGACTGCAATCATTGGCCTGCTATTACAATTGGGCTCCAGGGCGGCCTCTTGGGCCGACGTGGAAAGGGCGGTCGGTGCATGACGTTCAAAGCGAGTGCGTGAGACGGCTCGTCAGATGTGTAACTCGACCGTGAAGAAACGCCCCTTACAGACCGTTCCATACAGTATATTGCAAAGAAGAGTGCTGGTCGGCGAAGACAGCCAGGGCAGATTAGGAAGAGCGGATCTGCTTGTTTTAATCGACACACGCACCTTATCCGCCCATGCTTTCTTTGCATCATTGATGAGGGCCAGCGTGGGGGACTGAGAGGACATCCCAGATACACTATCAATAGACCTAGCTTGTTAGAGAGAGCTGCATCTACGATTCGAGTCCGGCCGTCAGCCACCCACGTCGCTGGGTTTCTGGATCGAGGGAGATCACCATAACCACAAGGACGAGGTCAACTCCAGCCTGAGCGACGATTTGTCCTCCGTGCATCGCACATCGCGGCAGGCCAGTTGATACGGCGCATTTTCTTGAGAATGTTCTCATCTCCTGTCTTATTCTTTGCTAGTGGGATGAAAGCACATGAAAGGGGTGTTGACGGGCTTGGCTCGATAGGGGTCCTCAAACCACTGGACTGCGCCTTGCATTGTGTCTGCGCCCCTCGTCGACAGAACCACTATTGACCTTATTTCCCCCGTTTGTCCTCTCATCACATAGCACACCAAGTTTTCGTGGTTGTTGATGGAGCCCAAAGTTCAGGCGTCTTGGAAGGATCCTGTCAACCGCCGACGGGCTGTGGGCGGCGCGAGTATTCCAGCCGCCACAAAGTGGGCTTGGTCATATTGATCCATCTGTCGAGTGGCATCAGCCGTTCGCAACCGACTGGAAGCTTGCGACTACCATCAAGCGTTATCGCCCAGTAGCGAGACTTTATATCCTGTAACCTACCGCCTTGTAAGGCATCTTCGAAAGTGGCTCGATGCTGTTGTCGCTCATGGCCCACTCCCGTCATTTTCAACCTGGGTGTCCTTCCTTTCGCCCATCCAGTGAAGAAAAGCCATGTGATGCATTGAAAACGGATTGGGCGTGCATCAACTGTGGACAACGACCGGGGCGACGCCGACGAGGCTTATGCAAATCTGTATGGTTCACCGCTACTTCTCTTCTGTTCAAAGCCACTGATTGTCATTGAGCTTAGAGGGTCATGGCTCTCATATCAGCGGCTCGTCAGTAACCCTCATGACCCGACGTTCATGCAGTGTAGCGTGTGTCACATCTCAGAGCCTATCAGAGACGCATGGGACGTGAACCGGTTCTACTGTAGCGGCCCGCGACATATCTAGCCATTCGTGACGATAGGCCTGTCGTTGGGCACCAATGGAACGAACAGCGCACTCTCCTCGACCGCCAGAAAGCTGGAGCGACCTATGACAGTGATCTTGCAAAACTACGGCGTTGCGTCGGCGAACGAGTGGAGCTGCTACGAGTATCATAGCAGGCATCTACCTGGTAACAGTTGGTATCACCGAGTCACGGGCACGCATCAGAGGCGGGAGTATCCTAATCGTTGACACCTATGTACAGTATACTAACCTTCTTCTACCTGCCACACAGACTCCTCGCTTATGAGAGGCGATTTAACTCGACCAGTAAGTGGCGAAACTGCTGACACCGCTGACAACATCGACAAACGTTCTTGCAACCACCCGCTCAACCTGCTCTGATGGATGAAGCTCGTCGTACCACATGAAGCTATCGGGGCTCGGGCTCGCCACACAGTTACCGCCCGTGGCGTTGCACGCGTTGACGACCCCCGTGACGTTGAGCGGCGCGGTACCGTTGAGGTACACGGTCGGGTTGTCGTGGATGTCTTGCATCTATACAGCGCATCAGCATTGACACCCTTCAAAGAAGTCTGTCTTGAACCTTCGACGTACCAGGTCATGCACATTGAACACCGCAAAGCTGGCACCCGGATACCTTCGCGCAATCTCAACCTCAAATGGCGTCCTGTAGTCGTAGATGGAGTTCACAGTCACCACTTGCTCCAACATCCGCTCGGAGATCTCGGTGAGGTTGCCCGACTTGTCCGGCCAGTACTGGTTCGGTCCTACACCGCCCTGGCCTGGAATGCCGTATTCGGGCGCCAAGTTCAACGGCGCCACATTCAGAATGACGAAGAACCTGCCACCGTTGGCGTACACACGCGACAGCTGGTCGTAGACGCAGTCAACGTAGGTAGTAATGTTTGTGCCAGCCACCTGCTCGTCCTGGATCAACGCCGCGTATCCAAGGTCGTTCGTACCGATCCAGATAGCATACACAGTGCCATCGGACGGGTTGTTCATGAATTTGGTACCGTTGGGGTAGTAATACTGGCTGTCGTTCAAGTATGCCGGCAGCTCGTAGCCAGCGATATCCGGGAAAGGAGCATTAATGGCGCTGAACCACCTTGGCGTAATGCTATTGCTGCAGACCGCACCGCTAACAGCGTAGTTGTACAGATTGGCGCCAGTGTACTGCTTCACGTACTCGACCCACGTCCGACCGCCGTCTGCCGCATGGTAGCTCACTGGGTTGTTGTAGCCAACTGGAGGCGCGCTGCCATTGTGGGAGATGAAGTAGCCAAGACGCGAGTCGTCCGTGTAGCTGTCACCGAAGGCCACAAGGCTGGTGAAATTCGCGAGCGCCCACTTCTGGGAGAAGCATTGTGCGGCACCTGACGAGCTGGCAGACGAGGCAGCGGCTGAAGATGTGCTGGCTGGGGTGGCAGAGCTTGCCGATGATGCTGCGCTTGCTGGGAATGGCCAGCCAGAGCCAGGCTTAATGGGGTCCCATGGTGCAGGGAAGGAAGGTGGTGGACCCCAAGCGTTGGCGCCAGTCGCGATTGCGATGGACGCGAGAGTAAGAGATGTACGCATATTTACAGGCTGCCGAATGAATGCAGGTACACAGCAATGAAAGGATCCGAATAACTAGTGACTTACCGTGGGCAGAGCGAAGAATTTGTAGCTGTAGGTGGAGATCCATGTCCATAAGCACAGACATCTTTGCACCAAACATTCTGCCGCGACACGGCAGGTCCATGATCTGGATAGAAGACAGAGGAAGCGGTTCATGCATCATGACATTGATCGAGCCCCAGAGCGGCAAGGCGGGGAGTGTGTGGGGATCCTGCGGTCTTTAGCCTGATTAGCCAAGACCAAGGTTTTGAGAGGAACAGGAAGCTCGCAGGGCCGGTCGAAAGGCAAAGTCGCTTTCATGGCTCTTGTGAATCAGCCGCAAGCACACCGCCGAAAAAGCGTCACGCGCACGTGGCCTGCATGCGCTATAACCGCCCAGGGTCGCGATACTTCATCACGCCTCTGCCTTTGAACTTGACAGGAGGCCCATGATCATCATACTCGCCGACTCGATCCCTGCCGTCCAGTCTTCCTTCGTCGCCTTTCTGTTGGTGTCTGTCGTGAGAAGCTCGATACCGGTCATCACCGCGTCGTCCGGTCGCATATCCGCGGTCATCGTGCCGCGGACTGGGTCGGTAGCGATCCTCGTTCCCGTAGTCGCGCCTATACCGATCGTCGCCATACTGATTTGGTAGGCTACGTCTTCTGCGCTCATATGCGTGAGCCTCTTCATGTCCACCATCGTCCAGATGCCGACTTGGCGAAGAGCTTCGTTTCCGCTTGTGCTTCTGCACCGGCGATTCGGCACTGGCGGCTTCTTCGTCTGTTGACGATACAGCTCGCGACTTAGAGTGTGAGCCTGACCGTTGCCTCGGCCGTCCTCTGATACCTTCGTCGACAATGTTGTCGCTCTGCCTCCGCTGCCTGCGCGGCTTTGGCGGCTCGCGACTGTCCGCCATCTCCTCGTCGGAGCCGTCACCGCTCTCCCTGCGTCGTCCACGATCGCCCGTAATGGTCTGTTCCATTGCTTCTGTAGCCGGTGCGGCTCTCTTCTTGCGTCGCTCCAACTCGCCGCAGCGTGCTATCAGCACAGCTTCCGTCGGTCGATCGTCCTTGTCAACATTGACCTTGGCGATCTGCTGTAGAACCTCTTGTCCCGAAACCAACCGACCAAAGATGGTGTGCTTGCCGTTCAAGTGCGGACACGGCTCCAAGGTGATGAAGAACCTAAAAAGCGTCGGCCGTCAGCGCATGCCTGGCGTTACTGCTGGACGACAACATGTGCGTACTGACTGCCGTTCGTGTCCTTGCCTCGGTTGGCGGCACATACGAGGCCCGCAGCATCCATATCTCGCCAGTCTAAGTTCTCATCTTCAAAGTCGCTGCCGTAAATGCTCGTCGTCCCAGTGCCATCTCCCTTTTCGATATCCCCTCCCTGTAACATAAACTCATCAATAACCCTATGGAACGGAGCTTTGGCGTAGCTGAGACCGTTGTGCTCGCCGGTACAGAGCTGGCGGAAGTTCTCGGATGCTTTGGGAGCCTTGTCTGCGAACAGCTCGATGGTGAGACGGCCGGCGGGCTCTGCGCCGATGTTGACATCAAGGAAGACTCGTGACCTGTTCGCCGTAGACATTGTTACGACGTTCTACCTGCCGATGTTGATGCTGTGAGCAGTAGGTTTGGCAAACGAAGCTTACGTTTCTGCCTGCACACGACCTCGAATTGTAAGCTTCAAAGGCTCAGTGAATCTTCACATGGCAGTCTTTGCTTGTTTCAGAGTGACCTGACAAAGGTGTACAGGAGATTCTAGTATCTCGCGCCGCACAAGGTGTCTTAGAGACTGTGAATATGACCAAGAAGCATCACAGTTGGAAAGTGCTGCGTGGATGGATGCTCGGAGCTGTGACTGTTGATCTTCAACTGAGATGCAGCAGGACGACGACTTTTGACACAGTATCATTGTGCATCCAACAGTTCGTCAATGTTATGCAATGCTTTGCTTCCATAACCTCGATGTTGAGGAGATTCATCAACGGCTCTATGGCGGTGTCCGAATTCGGCAGGCTGCGTAAGCCTCACTCGGTACAGACAAATTCTTGCAGGTAGCAGATATGCAGGTTGCGAGGCAATGGATGTAGGAGCGCCAGCAGTAAACGAGGACATAGGCTTCGAGCGGCGGTCCGAGTGTAGGCTGATGCTTGATGAGTGGGCTTGTCGTCGCAATGCATGACTTCACTTCCCAGGTCAATCGTTATACAAGTCGCTGGCACCCCCATCAAGCCCCGTACCCCGAGATTGCTAGTGCGCTACAATCAACCAATCCGTCAGAACTTTCTCTTCGCCGCCGCACTCTTACTCAAAGCCTCCAACCTCCGCCGCTTTTCTCTCCGCAACCTCTCCTCCTCTGCCAACGCCTCCTCATCCTCTTTCTTCGCCGCTCTCAGCGCCTCTCTCTCCTCAGCTTCCACATCATCAAAACCACCCTCCATATCATCACTGTCGTAATCATCATAGGCACTACGACCCTCATCTTCCTCCTCGGCGTCGTCAAGATCGGACCAGCTTGCGTACCCTCCGTACTTGTCCTGTGGCTGACCCTTCTTAGGAGCAGGTTTCGGTCCGGATCCTCCGGCACGCATGGTTCCCCTGTAGGCCAGTGTATCTGCAGGCGGCTTTTTCATCGTGCCTTTGTAGGATGTTTCTACTACTTTCTTCTGACCGACGCCGCCTGGACTAGCGGTGATGTTGGGTGTGTTGCTTCTACTTCGGTCAGGTTTTGCATCCTTCTTCGCCGCTTTCTGCCGCGCCATCTCCTCTTCATGCAGCCGAAGTCGCTCTTTCCTGCTTAGTCTTTCGACTGCTTTGTGCTTAATTCCTCCACTACCCGTCACTTGCGCGGCAGCCTGGGCGGCTTTGGCTTTTTCGAGGATGGAAGCGAACCCTTTCTTCGGCTTGACTGAGCCGTCTGCCGTGCCTGGCGGTGTAGGCGTACTTGTAGCGTTTAGTGACCTTGCAACAGGCTTGGCCGGGCTAAGCGATGGTGCTACTCCATTGCCCCTAGGTCTTTCGGTCATCGATGACGTCCGGTTGAGCCCAGGTTTACTGCTCAGCTGGAATCTGTTGGAGGGAGCAGTAGGAGGCTTCTGCGCGCCAACCTGTTCGGTCTTGACGAGCTTCGCCCTCGGAGTAGGCTCAGGCTCCTCTGATCGCCTCTTCACACCAGCGGCAGCGTTGTGGGGGGTGAGCTTGAAGCGATCCGGTACACCATTTGGCTTCCGGTCTGCCTGCCCGTTCGCGATCGGTCTCGATACGCTTGAAACTGTTGTTGCTGGTGCTTGAGCCTTGTCGCCCAGCGACGAGATCAAAGAGCTGAAAGACTTCATTGATCTATCAGCCAGCAGGTAGGGGTGAGCTGGGAGTAGATACGTACTGTCATCGTACCAAAGCCCACTATCTACAGCCTTGGCTTAGCGATTATGGACACATTATTCTTTGCCGTCTAAATCTGCTCGGCAAATCCAAGACTTAAACGTCGGCGTCGATGCCAGAGTAGAAGTAAGTGGGAGTGAACAGAGCAGGGAAGAGAAGGGTAAGGGAAAGTGAGCGCATATCAGTGGAGGGACAAGGCCAGACGTTTGCGGGCAATGATAGCCTAAGGCCACCGAAGCACGGACCGGTCTTCGAAACTCTTGGCAAAGCCATCCCACATCGAAATGTTGCTGCGCACATTCAGCTTCGCGACGACGACATAGTACCAGAACCTGAAGTCTCAGTCTGCACTGCAACCCCAGTGCTTAAAGGCGATTGAGTCTCTCGTTCATCCAATACCACTTTCACCTTCACCACCAATTCCAGCAGTATGTGGCGCATAGCGGAACTGTATAGTGGTATTTGTTGACCAAACCTGCAGCAACCGTCACAATGAAGCATTTAGCAGCCTACCTTCTCCTCAACCTCGCCGGCAACACCACGCCATCAGCGGACGACATCAAGGAAGTCCTCGGCGCAGTCGGCATTGAGGCGGACGAGGACCGTCTCAGCCTTCTTCTCAAGGAGCTTGATGGCAAGGACATGAACGAGGTAAGACCAAACCCTTACACGACCAGAACAACAAATGAATGCTGACTATGTTTTAGCTCATCTCCCAAGGTACCGAGAAGCTCGCATCCGTTCCATCTGGCGGTCTTGGCGGTGGTGCTGCTCCCGCCGCTGCTGCCGCGGGTGGTGCTGCACCCGCTGCCGGTGGCGCTGCTGCTGCTGACGAGGCCCCGGCGGAGGAGGCCAAGAAGGAAGAGGAGAAGGAAGAGTCTGATGAGGACATGGGCTTCGGTCTGTTCGACTAAGCGAGTCGCACTTCGAATGTTAGGTCGGACATCGCGAGACACGACCGGAAAGGCTGGGAATGGCAACATACTTGCGGAGCGAGCTACTGCGTGTGTAGATTGTCTATGGTAGCCAACTGTCGCTGCCAATCGACACATCTTGCTGAGACAGTACCGAGTTCTATCACTCCCAGGGCTCAGTGCCACCCGACTGTCTTGAGTCGCGTTTTCATCACATATCTTCCAGTATCAAAAGCCTCTGTTCATCTGGGCAGGGTGGTGGACGACAGGAATTATCGCGTCAGTGCCTGTAGCACGTGACCTATCGTGGAATGAGCGGACACTAGCGTGGTCTTGGCACAGAAATCGAAAGCCCACATTGTGAAGCGCACCTCACTCTTCGAACAAGTCAGCCAACGTATTGAAACCCTCACGTCTCGAAACACATCCCAATCATGGCCGACGAGGACTACGTGCGTGTGAGATACCTGCTCACAAGTGCACAGCATGCTGACTCTTTTCATAGAACGCCGAGGAGGCAGCCGGTATGCTCGCACCGCAAACTCAACAGCGCTCCTTCGCGGACGCCAACAGTGGATGAAACCCTGTGGACGGGCCACAAAGGGGCGCTGGGAGATGGACTTATAGACTGACATGGGATACTTGTTGTTACAGAGTTGAAGAGAAAGAGAGCGTTCCGCAAGTTCTCTTACCGCGGCATCGACCTTGATGAGTGCGCCACACCAATCCAACATCTTCATCCGCTCACGCTGACTCGCCGGCCTGTGATAGACTCCTCGATCTCTCCTCCGAACAACTCCGCGATGTCGTTCATGCCCGCGCCCGTCGCAGGTTCAACCGTGGTCTCAAGCGCAAGCCTATGGGCCTCATCAAGAAGCTCCGCAAGGCCAAGTCTGAGGCCAAGCCCAACGAGAAGCCGGACACCGTCAAGACGCACCTGCGAGACATGATTGTCGTGCCGGAGATGATTGGTAGTGTGATCGGTGTGTACTCGGGCAAGGAGTTCAACACGGTCGAAATCAAGCCGGAGATGGTTGGGCATTACCTAGCCGAGTTCTCCATCAGTTAGTAAGTTTGCTCTTTGTGTTTGGGTTTCAGGGATCTTTGGTCGTGTGACTGTGCTGACGAATGTGATAGTAAGCCGGTTAAGCATGGTCGGCCGGGTATTGGTGCTACGCACTCTTCCCGGTTCATTCCACTCAAGTAAGCGAGCAAAGACGAGGGTCACGAGCCGGCAAATGGAGGGCTAGCATGGCATGATTCCGGCGTACGGGGTGGCATCGCTTCAAGAACATCGACGGACGCAGTGTGGTTGAATAGCAATATGGCATTGCCACTCACCATAAGCAAAATGCTTTCCATCCAACTCCTTTCATTCTGACGCCCGCCCCTAAGTTTCCCAATCTGTCGTTCCATCACCATCAGGTTTCTGCTGGCAACCTACTTCCCATGCATCCTCTCTGGAGCGTCAATTCCAGTTTGTCGTGACTGCGCAACGTCTTCCAACTCGGGCCACATGGGTGTAAATGCACAGTACAGTGCACCGCGGAATTATATCCCGCGGGCACGACGCGCAGTACCTCGCTCATGGTAAGCAGATGGAGAAGCAACAAGCGGTGTTGCTCGGCAGCTCAAGTTTCAGATAGCCATAGATATACCAAGAGAGCTCATAGTGATGCTCTGCAACCTCGAACAACGTGAGCACAGCGAAGCTCGCCTCAGGCCCGCGCATTAGCTGCGGAGTGCCGGGTTCGAAGCGTTTAATGTCGAGGAGTGAAAAAGCAGCCGACACTTTGGACGAAGCAGGATAGCTTCCATCTACATGGCAGCTATCAAGACCTGCAGGAAGTTCAGACGCACAGCTTCCTCTGCGGTCTCCAGCTGTTCCAGCCTTCACTGAGCTCTTTGCCGCTCAGTGTCACCACGGACCGCCGTCCGCGGAACGGAGCAAAAAGGGATACGTTTTTCAGGTTGATTTCGGTGTGAAGGTCCTGCCTCTCCCAAGCGACAACGGGAGGAGTTGGTTGGAGCATGGCCATTACAATAAGTTTCCGCAACGGTGGAGTTGCACCTCCTCGAACTCGAGAAGGCGTGGGAGAGCATGAGTGGGTACCTTTGCGATGACGACCGTTGGGCGGGAATTGTGTTATCAGTGACTGTAAGTGAGTAGTGATGTTGGGGAGGCAGTTCTACGAATAAGCACCAAGGCCGCCGGCGAGCTGAGAGAAGTACTTTGAATGGGGTTATACCCCATCTCCTAGTGGTGTTGGAGCCACTGAAGTTGGGATGGGAGTTGAGACGCTTCCGGTGATCAATGGACGTGGAGATGAAAGACAAAGGGGTCCGAGCTTAGTGATCCAGCCGCGTACTCCAGACGCTGCACATTGCTCGCGTGGACTTGAGTCCATTTGTAGGTAGGCAAACAAGTACAACTTTGATTGTCTGAATGGCAATGCTCGCTCACTTGTTTCTGGGGGCGTTCTTCATGCGGTGACAAAGTCAGGGGCTTGGGACTTTGCGCCCTCAATCGTCAACATGACCAAAGGGGAGGATTACATGGCGGAGTCCATACCTCTCAACCACTCCGAAAGTCGCATGAATGGTATAGAAAGCGAAGACGCCCGGAACTCCACTTCTTCAGCCTCGACGCTTTCGCTCGTGCTAGATCACGTCTCGGACAAAGCCGCCCTTCGCGCCAAGGAGGGTCTTTACGCTCACGGCCCACCACAAGAAGAGATTGATATTGAAGATCAAGTGGCCTGGAAGCGATCATTGAAACCCGTAGATAAGAAGGCAAAGCGCGTCCTTTATGTAGTGATTGCTGTGGCCGCCGTTGGGTGGATCGCAGCGTTTTTCCTTTTCCTCAGCCAGGACCGGCACGTCGCATTCTCGGAGCGTCCACATGACCCGCATGCAACGCAGACGGTCGGCACAGGCAAGAAGGTGGAGTTAGAACAGGTCTTGACGGGGCAATGGCGAGCGAGACAGCATGGCATACGTTGGATCGCCGGCCCGAATGGAGAGGATGGCTTGTTGCTTGAGCAAGGGGGTGGTGATGGTAGGGACTACCTTGTAGTGGAGGATGTGAGGTATCGCGGGCAGAACGTGGTCACGCAAAAAGCGCATAGTACCACACTCATGCGCGATGGCAATATCCAAGCTGGCAACATACATGTTACCACAGATGAGGCTTGGCCGTCGCCGGACCACAAGAAAGTGCTTGTGAACAGTGAGTTCAAATCGAACTGGAGGCATAGCGGTACTGCGCGGTATTGGATCTTCGATGTTGGCACGCAGTTAGCGCAGCCTCTCGATCCGAATGTGGTCCATGGCCGCATTCAGATTGCTTCGTGGTCACCAAACAGCGATGCCATTGCCTTTACGCGCGATAACAATATGTACATCCGCCATCTGGACGCCGTCGAAGCTGTGTCAATAACGAATGATGGCGGAAGCGACCTCTTTTACGGTGTGCCGGACTGGGTATATGAGGAAGAAGTGTTTGGCGGTGACTCTGCGACTTGGTGGTCCGGAGACGGCAGATTCCTGGCTTTCCTCCGCACAGACGAGAGCAAGGTCCCGAACTTTCCGGTCAATTACTACTTTCAGCGACCTTCTGGGATGCCGCCGAAGGATGGCGAGGAAAACTACCCGGAAACGCGGCAGATCAAGTACCCAAAAGCTGGCGCGCCGATGAGCGTAGTCACAATGCAGTTCTACGACGTGCAGAAAGGCGAGGTCTTCAGCGTGCCAATTGAGAACGACTTTCCAGACGACGATCGATTGATCACGGAGGTTATCTGGGCGGGCGGCACAGGCAAAGTGATCGTGCGCTCGACTAACCGCGAAAGCGACATTCTCAAGACGATCGTCATTGACGCTGTGGCCCGCACCGGCAAGACTGTACGTGAGCGAGATGTGCTGAATCTGGATGGAGGCTGGTTTGAGGTTACGGAGACGACAGTCTTTGTGCCAGCCGACTCTGCCAATGGACGTCCGCACGACGGGTATATCGACACGGTCATCCATGACAACTACGATCATCTCGCGTACTTTGCGCCCCTCGACAACCCGCAGCCGCAGATGCTTACGGAAGGCGACTGGGAGGTGGTCAAGGCTCCCTCTTCCGTGGACCTGAAGAACAACCTCGTCTACTTCGTTGCCACCAAAGAGGGGAGCACGCAGCGCCATGTCTACACAGTGAATCTGCACGATGGACCAAGCAGTATTAGCCCCGTTACCAACACGAGCGAGATAAGCTACTACGAGCCATCATTCTCATCCGGATCGCAATTCATGTTGCTCACGTATCAGGGCCCGAACATACCTTGGCAGAAAGTGTTATCTACACCCTCGGCCACCGAAGCTGCTACAGACATCTCGATCGAGACAAATAAAGGATTGGAGGACCTCGCCAAGCAGACCGAACTACCCCTCAAAATTTATCAGACCATCAACGTCGATGGCTTCAACCTTAACCTCGTTGAGCGTCGGCCGCCACACTTCGACCCGAACAGGAAGTATCCCGTCCTCTTTTTCCTCTACAACGGCCCAGTGTCGCAATTCGTGGACCGCAAATTCACCGTCGACTTCCAGTCGTTCATCGCTTCCTCGCTCGGATACATAGTGGTTACGCTGGATGCCCGTGGAACAGGTTTCATGGGGCGCAAACATCGCTGCATTGTTCGAGGTAACCTCGGATACTGGGAGGCCCACGACCAGATTGCTGCCGCCAAGATGTGGGCGCAGAAAGACTACGTAGATGCCGAACGCATAGCAATTTGGGGCTGGAGTTATGGCGCCTACATGACCTTGAAAGTGCTGGAGACGGATGCGGGCGAGACGTTCAAGTACGGTATGGCCGTCGCGCCGGTGACGGATTGGCGATACTACGACTCGATATACGCCGAGCGGTATATGCACACGCCCCAGCATAACCCAGTAGGATACAATAACGCTTCGATCATGGATATGACGGCATTGTCCAAGACCGTACGGTTTGCCGTCATGCATGGCGCGAGTGACGATAACGTACATTTTCAAAACACGCTGAGCTTGCTCGATAAGCTGAATCTGGCAAATGTGCGAAACTACGATGTTCATGTGTTTCCGGACAGCAATCACAACATCTTCTTTCACAATGGCAATCGCGTGGTATATGAGATGCTGAGAGATTGGCTGATCAATGCCTTCAATGGCGAATGGTTACGGACGGAGAACCCGAAGCCGATAGTTCTGGATACGATCTGAAAAATCCCTTCCGACCATAAACCGACTGACTGACGCTAATCACGGTCGTTGCATATCGCTATGGATACTCAAGTTTTGCAGTCGGCTGCGGTACGGGACTCCCTTACCGAACCTGGTAGGCACGCCATAAACCACATATGAGCTTGGCATTTGAGGCCAGCGCTCGTTGCGCACGAGCGCTAGGCCCCCAAGCCATACACCTAGATCTCCCCGCTTACAAGTACAGCTCCAGCAACATTCAACCTGGGCGTAGCTGATCCCGGCGTTCCATACGCCCGCTTCAACCGCGTGACTAGGTGACAACCTTGCAGAAAGCTCCACATGTAATGGGGGTTTCCTTCGTAGCACAGCTTCGCCCGAAAGGGTCATTGCCGCTGCAGCCACAAAGCCTTAGCAGACAAACCAACGAGGCGTGACGCGCAAAGCTCTATTGCTTCTCGACCAACAGCAACACTTAGCAGCAGCTTTGCGTCGGCTGAATCTGGCCATTGTCGCACATGTATACACGCTACAAAATGCCGCCCTCGGTAAGGCATGTTCTACTGTTCTCCAAATGGCCTTTACGTTGTTGGGCCACCCGCCCAATTCGTCTAACGCTGGAAGCTTGGTCCATGCACAGAACGCAGAGGCTGCTTGACCGACATGGTAATAAACTCATGTTCCTTGTCGCTGAGTCGCCTGATTAACGGAGGTGACAACGGGTAGCAGACGCCTAGCAGTACTTAATGTCCATAAACTGAACGAACCTCAATCTACCTTCCGCGTCTGAACAGTCTTCCTTAAGACTCTCTGTCTCCTGCTCCATCTTCCCATGGCGGCGCGAGTCGAGGTTGTCACACTGACTTCCTGGTTCTCGAACAGGTCATTAGACCAAACGTCGACCGTCGACAATGGCACCACCTTCGCACACCCGTCACTTGTCCCACAACGCGCCGGCATTGCTGCCGCAACGATCCTACTCGCGGTCCTCACCGCGGTGGCGTTGACAAGCGTATCTACGAAGCCACGGCTGCCGCCTGGCATCAAGCGACTTCCGAGACTGCCTCATATCCCCTGATTGGCCGACCATGGTACATGCTGTCTTCGGGCGCGGTAGTCGTAATCGTAGCTCACCTCATCAAGTTCCACAGCCAGTATGGATCGATCTATGAGTGGCAGGCCTTCGGCGTCGTTCGGGTTCGCATCAACAGCGACGCTATTGCAAACGACCTGCTTGTGCAACAAGGCAAGCTTTACAACGATGAGCCTGACTTGCCAGCAGCCTTGGGAATGAAAGCTCATTACTTTCTGCCCCTGATGGGTGCCGATACGCACAAATCTTCTCCGAAGCTACATCGTGTACTGACATCCGCTACGCAGGCGACGTGAAGTTCCCGACGCATCGCATATCCATCATGGGCATGATGAGGGCCTCCAGATTACAAGGCTTCTACGATCACCCTGCAAAAGAGACTGGTCATACACTTCGCAAGCTGCTGGAGCAACCTTCGGAGCACTGGTTGCATAATCTCATCGCCCATTGTGCCCGATCAGCTGCGTTGTGCGCTTGGGGCAGTCCAAAAGCCGCAGACACACTTATCGAAGTGAATCCTCCTCCCCTCAAGACCTTATCACCCGGCGGCCCGCTACCCAATCAAATGACCTTCTTAGACCGGCTGCCGTTTCTGATGTCGCCTTGGAAGCAAGCGGAAGCGAAGCGAAGCGAAGAGTTATTGCCGATGCTGCCTTTTCGGAAGCTTGGTCCGACGCCCTAAGACCGTCAACGAGGAGACCGTGAGATCCTGGGTGCGCTTGTGGTGCGAGAGCAGGCAAGATGTGCGATCGCCTAGCAGTAAGATCGATCAGGAGGAGGGTGTTCATGCCGTTGCAACGTGCGCCTTTGTCGCCATTGCGATGATCGGTTCTCCACTGCGCGCATTCTTTAACGCCATCGCCTTTCATCCCTCTCGGCTGGCTCGGCTTCAGGCTGAGATCGATAGGGTGTGTGGTGAAGAGCGTTAGCCGTGTGTGTACGACGTTCCGAACATGCCCGTGCTTCGCGCCGTGGTCAGAGAGACGAGTCGTTGGCGGCCTCCAATTGCATTCGGTGTGCCACATATCACGAATCAAGACAATGTCTACAACGGTTACCATATCGCAAAAGGTAAGTGGCGCGCCAACGCATCAATGTAACATCCGTCCTCAGTGACCGTCTAGGCTCGATCATCATGGTCATTCAACTGGCTCTAAGCCGCGAGCCATCAATCTAATCCACACCCTGAAGAGTTCCGACCAGAACGCTGTCTCGAACCCGGCTTGGCCGACATGCAAACAACCTCTCACACAATTTCCGGATGTGAAGAGGCGACCGGGCCTTCGGTCACGGAGTCCGCGCCTGTCCTGGTTTGGCGAGGGTGGAGATGTACACGCTGATCAGTGGCATCGCCTGGGCTTTCGACATCAAATGGAAAAAGGGTCGGGAGGGTCAGTTTGTTCCACGGTACGAGACTAGGTAAGAGCATAACATTCCGTTCGTCCTTGCTGACACTCCAAAGCCCGTGGGTCATCACCAATGCAAACTCATTCCCACTCGGTATTGAGGTTAGAAGCGTGCGCACAACTGCCATATTACGCAGTCTGGACAAGCACTTGGAAGAACCCTCGGCGTGGGCGGGTGAGAAGTTTGGTGATTCGCAAGGACTGGCGCGGCGTACTGAGATGGCAAGCTGAATGTAGAGATGGCGATGCTCGGCAGTGACTTGGGCCAGTCCGTATCACTTTTACCGCAACGAAGAGATCCTTCCTAGTTCACTCTCGTCACCTCTACGATCCCATCAGCATCGTCTAAATCCGCTCTCAGCCAGAACGGAACAACCTTCAACCCATCAGCCGCTTCGATTAGGTCCCTTCACTGCTGCCTATCCCTCTCTCTGCCCCGCTGGCGCACGACGGTAGGACTCATCGCCGCCCCTCCACACTGCTTCGAGTACAGGGAAGTGCCGTTGCCATGACTAGGCTGATGACGGGACCGGATTGGCGCTGCAGGTGTGAGGAGAAAGGAGGGTAGTCGGTAACTCATTCGGGTCGGAGGATCCAAGGGAGGCTGCTTCCATGCGCCGAAGTATTGTTTGCCCTTATGAAAGCTCTTCCCTAGGCAGCTCTCATCGGAGTTTTGCAAAAATGCCGTCAGCGCGTCGCCACATCGTGAACCAGGATGGATTTGAAAAAGTGGTAGATGACGTCTATTCTCTTGTAGTCACTAAGAGCACTGCAGCGGCCTTACACGATCAGCCGCTTAATAGTAACGCATGCTTCATCACAAAGGGTATCTTTCTAGTACGCTCACCGGATCCGCCGCCGGAACGCAAGCAGCAGTATATCCGCCGTCCACCAACGCCTCGCTTGAAAGCACGTTATCACGCAGCTTCTCTCTTACACTCCTTGCCGCAAGCTTGTCGACATTGCTGCGCAGCGCATCGACCTTCTAGACCGACTCCGCCGCGCAGAACGCCTCCGAGTCCGTCACAAAGCCCATGTTCGTCGCGACGTTGTAATCGCACACCTCCTTCGCGCCAAGCACGTCGGTCATGGTGCCCGCGCAGTCGGTGAGGAGGATGCAGTCCCAGCCCCATGAGTACGCGTCGGTGAGAGTGCCGAGCAGGCACTGATCCGTGTTCACTCCCGCGAAGAGGAGCGTCTTCTTGCCGCTCTCGCGCAGCCACTGGTGCATTGGTAGCTCGGGCGACCAGAGACCGGACATGCGCGCTTTGTCGAAGCGGACGTCTTGTGGCGTCATGTACTCCTTGAGCGGGTCGTAGATGTCCGCGTTCCAGGTTCCTTGGAATAGGCAGCGCTCTCCGCCTTGCTCGGGAGGTAACATGGCGCCTAATCCGACGTGCCAGCCGTGACCTTTCTCGTGCGCGAGCGCTTTGTTGAAGCCGCGCGTGACTGCTGGTGGCATGACTTTGAGGTCGTAGTCCGTAATGCCCCAGTTCAGCCAGCAGACTTGTATGCCTTCCTTCCTGCACTTCTCGATCACGCGTAGCAGCGGTTGCACCGTCTTGATCCCCTCGCTGTGATCGCGGAACTTGGGGTGGATGAAGAAGTTCTGCATGTCTATGATGACGAGGAGCGTCTTGTCCGGGTCGATCATGACCCCGCGGTGGTTGCGGATGCCATCGTCGGCGTCGACGGTCAGCCTACGGACGCTGCCGCGGGAAAGGTCGAAGCGGCGGGTGGCGGGGTTGTAGTACCATTGGTCGTCGCCGCCTGTGGGATATCGTTAGCAGAAGGGTTCGGTATGAGTGGACAGGAGTCAGCAGAGGACTTGGTCATGTACCAAAGGCAACATGGTCATCGATGTTATGCTCGACGTGGATGGTTGGCGACTTGTTCAGCACATCTCGTATGTATTCCACTTCGACGGCGGTTGGTGCCATCCAGGGTGGTACAGCTGTCGTCGTGATTGCAAGATGGTGGTCAAGTCAGGCGCAGAAAGTTGAGGGCAGGCTGTTGAGGCAAGTGGTGGGGCGACTTTTTGGTCGCGTGAGCAGTCGCGTGCCTTGTGCGACAAAGGAATGCGCGGGCTGGAGAAGAGAGAGAGACAGTGAGAGAGAGTGCCTTTGTTTCAAGGCGAAGATGGTGGGCGACGCGTGAAGGAAGAGGCAGTATCGGTAAGCAGAGGGAAAGGGAAGGCAGCCTGGCCTTATCTCTACCGTTGCTGGTATGACAGCGCGAATCTTCGTAAGGGTCTCTCAAGGGCCAAGGCGGAGGGGCGTAACATATCTTTTTGAGCTTTACTCCTCGAGATAAGAGTGTTACATGGCGGCGATAAGCCCGTCGCCGCAGCGATCATTCAACTACACGAGGTTTGATGACCACGGAAGAAGCATGGAGGACATTGATTAAGAGAAGCAGAGTGTGCGATCAACACGAGACGGGTTGGGAAGGTTGCCGAAGTGAATGGAGCGGAGTCCGGTAAAGTCTTCATTGGTTGAAACCAGCCAACGCTAACGGATGTGCTGAAATCTTGCTACTTCTTACTTGGGAAATAGGGCTTGGCGGACGGTTTCCGAAGCATGAGTGCATCGCAGAAAGACATACATGGCATACAAGAGGTGCACGATGGTGCTGTCGAACACGAGATGAGTCGCGTAACGGGCATCCATAACGCGGACATACTCTCATGCGGCTATTTTACTGGCCTGTCGCTGCGTCTCGGACTATACTCCGCTTGAGGGTGCTGGTTGTTGAAAAGACGCGCAGTGCATGGAGCCATCCAGAAGTAATCAATCGCGATTGTCGGTCCACCGGCATATTGCATACGTGCGTGCCCTCGTGATGCGTAGAATGAGGAATGATGAGATGGAGAAGAATAGACACTGTGGATGATAGCTCTCGAAGATTCCGACCGAGCGGAACGCTCCGAGGACAGCCGAAGATTGTCCATTCGCATCCAGAGAAAGTTTGAAAGTGCTACTCATGACCGATTATATCCTAGCTGCGGTTGATGACCATCGCTAAAGAGGCCTCCACAAGACGACAACAACTGCGATGAGCCTTGCGTCCCCCCTAATCGTCTCAAGGGCAGCGGCACCGCTCCGATGCATCGCGGCGACTCGCCTGCCATCTCATTCGCATCATGACCGACCACCGCCCCGACATCGAAGCTTAACCACATCAACATCGACCCATACCCGCCCGAAACAATCAACACACTCCCGAACAAACCACGAACGGATACAACAACGCAGACACTTCCACGCCTCACCCACCTCCTTCGCAACCAAGGATCCCTACAAAGTGCTGGGCGTCGAGAGCGGAGCTTCCGCCGGCGAGATCAAGAAAGCGTACTACGGCCTAGCGAAGAAATACCACCCGGATACCAACAAAGATCCCAAAGCGAAGGAGCGCTTCGCAGACGCACAGTCCGCTTACGAGTTACTTTCCGACGACAAGAAGAAAGCCGCTTGGGATCAATATGGCGCAGCTGCGTTCGATCAAGGCGCCGGGTTTGATCCTTCGGGAGGCGCTGGAGCCGGACCGGGTAATCCGTTTGCCGGCGCGGGAGGGTTCGGTGGGTTTGGTGGCGGCGCGAGTGGTGGGTTTGGCGCGGAGTTCAATTTCGAGGACTTGTTCTCGGCATTTGGAGGCGGAGGCGCAAGAAGGGGGAGGGGAGGCAGGAGTGCGCCGTTTCAGGAGGAGGTTATGGTGGGGGAGAATATCGAGGTGCAGACCAACATTTCTTTCATGGATGCGGCGAAGGGCGTGCAGAAGGACATTGTGATTACGCCGTTGGTGCAGTGTAAGACGTGCACTGGCAGCGGCTTGAAAAAGGGAATTAGCCGGAGTTCGTGTAAGAGTTGTGATGGCACGGGTACGAAGGTGCATTTCATGCAGGGTGGCTTTCAGATGGCGAGTACGTGCAGCACGTGCGGTGGGACCGGCGTGCAGATACCGAAGGGCGGCGAGTGCGGCACGTGTCGTGGGAATGGTGCGGTCAGAGAACGACGAACGGTGACGGTGGACATTCCTGGCGGCGTGGAAGACGGCATGCGTTTACGGGTCATGGGCGAAGGCGACTACCCACCTACCGGCCAAGCTGCGAACCCCAAGGCGAGCACGCAAAAGGGCGATTTGTACGTCTTCATCCGCGTGTCGCCGGATTCGAAATTCTCCCGCAACGGCTCGGACGTGCTATATACGGCCTCGATACCTCTCACGACCGCCGTCTTGGGAGGTGAGATCAGCGTACCGACACTCGAAGGCGAAGTAAAAGTCAAGGTCGCCACCGGCACAGGCACGGGCGACAAGATCACCTTACCCGGCATGGGTATGAAGAAGCTCAGTTCTCGACGCGGCAACAATGGCGACCTGAGAGTAGAGTTCAAGGTACAGATGCCGAAGTACTTATCCGTCAATCAACGAACGATCGTTGAGATGTTGGCGGATGAGATGGGCGACAAGTCCGCCAAGCGGGTCATGAACCTGAATCAATTCAAGCAGGAACCACCGAGCTCGTCACCGAAGCAAGGGCAGAATGCGGATGAGCATAAGAACGAGGGGTTTCTGAAGAATATGTGGCATTCCATGACCGGGCAGCATGATGGGATGAACAAACAGCAGCAAGGTCAGCAGCAAGGTCAGCAGGAGGAGGAGCCGCCAAAGAAGGCGTCTGGGTCTGGGTCTGGTTAAGCATGCATTCTGTTGGCGTTACGTGGGCGTTTGATCGTTTCTGGGGCAACTTGTATAGCATTGTCGACGCATAGCCAGCGCGTTTGTCCTTGGTTCGCGCGTGGAGGAGATTGTATAGAAGACGCAGCGAGCGACTGTACAGTACGATGTCAGAGTTGGTCTGAGGTCATCTCTCGACTCCGCCCATATGGCGCTGGACCAAGTAATCTGTACCACCAGCGATCACTCTCCATACAGCTCCCACCATAACTTGACCTTTCCGCCCATAGACATGCAGTCAATATCCTTCCCAATCAGGAAGTCGCTTAAGCGCCGGCGGCTAACTGGCCTTCGCTATGCGACCATGCACGACCATACAGAAGCACGATAGCCAGGCTGAATTTGTGTCGGGCGTCCCGCCGACGTCAGCGGTGCAGGTCTTCATGTCGGCATTCGCTGATCTGCATGTTGGTGTGCATGAAAAGGTGCATGTGGCGCTAGAAGGCTTGCATGTGAGCGTTTTCCATGCTCGCGTGGCTGTTTGGCGCCGGTGCGGGTCCTTCAAAAGCGTCCCCGTTTCTCCCCCACGTCACTGCGGGCTTGAATGTTAGACGCAGTGCTGTACGAACACCGTTTGGAACGATATAGGAGGGTCAATTGTCATCGGTGTTATTGATCGGAAGAGGTTGGAACGATACTGGACCTGTGGTACAGCGCAAATTGGAGGGGTACAGATCGCTCGTCGCACAAAGTGGTTGGAGGATGTTGGGTTGAGTGGGTGCCTGCAAGAGTCGAGAAGCCCTCAGGGCCTACGACGGGCTTTGGCAGGCAGAAGCATTGACGGCAGTCACGGGGTTGCGGGCTCTTGCATCGCCAACATCAGTGTTTGACAAACGCGAAGATGTTGCCAATCGCGACCCGGCCGGGTCTCTCACGACAACTCAGCGCTTCCGCCATGCAGATCCCGATGATTTCGAGTCCGATGAAACAGACGAACGAAATCGACTGGGTGCAACCGCTCAAGCATCACATTCGAACGGCTTATGGGGACGATCCGAACAGCTACGACAATGAGTGCAATACTCTCAATCGGCTCAGGCAGGACATGCGAGGGGCGGGCAAGGACAGCGCGGCAGGGCGAGATCTGCTGTACAGATACTACGGCCAGCTGGAGTTGTTGGACCTACGGTTTCCGGTGGACGAGAACCACATCAAGATCAGCTTCACATGGTTCGACGCCTTCACGCACAAGCCGACGAGCCAGTACTCGTTGGCTTATGAGAAAGCGAGCATCATCTTCAACATCTCGGCGGTGTTGTCATGTCACGCTGCGAGTCAAAATCGTCATGAGGACGCCGGATTGAAAACGGCGTACCACTCGTTCCAAGCGTCGGCTGGCATGTTCACCTACATCAACGAGAACTTCCTGCACGCCCCTAGTACGGACCTGAGCAGGGAGACCGTCAAGACGTTGATCACCGTGATGCTCGCGCAGGCGCAGGAGGTGTTCATTGAGAAGCAGATCGTGGACAGGAAGAAGCCGGGTCTGCTTGCGAAGCTGGCCGCGCAGGCTGCCTACTTGTACGCGCAAGCTGTTGAGGGTGTGCAGGAAAACGTTGCAAAGGCGGTGTTTGAGCGGGTATGGTTGCTGGTGGTGCAGATCAAGCAGCACCATATGGCGAGTTTGGCGCAGTATCACCAGGCGATAGCGGACTATGAAGCGAACAGCTACGGCCAAGCAATATCTCGGTTGCAAGCAGCGCAGAACGCAAACAAGGAGGCGAACAGATTGGCTAATGCGTTTCCCGGAAGCGTACCTTCGAACAGCAACTTGGGCAACGAGACTGGCACTATTCTGGTAGACATGACGAAAAAGCACATGTCCGCAATACAAGAGCTCATCACGGAGTACAATCGCGACAACGACATGATCTATCATCAAACGGTACCCTCTGAGAGTAATCTCACTAGCATACCGAAGCTTCCGGCAGCCAAAGCAATACCTGTGTCTGAGCTCTATCAAGGCCAAGACATTCAGCGGATTATTGGCCCGGACATCTTCCAACGCATCGTGCCCATGTCTGTCACCGAGAGTGCGAGTTTGTACGATGAGGAGAAGGCCAAGCTTATACGAGCGGAGGCGGAGAGAGTGGAGACAGCGGACGATGAGCTAAGCACATCGCTGGACTACCTGAAGCTACCGGGCAGTCTCAACATCTTCAAGGGAGCACTCAACGAGGATACGATGGGTGTTGACGAAGACTTCCGGAGCTGGTGCGCCGAGTTGGCTGGTCATAGTCCCTTTGGAGCGACGTTTGAGCAGCTGCGGGAGGACAAGCAAAGCATTCTTACAACTCTGGATGCCAGCACCAAGCAGCTGGATATGGAGGAGGCGGTGTGCGAGAAGATGCGGACCAAGTACGGTGGTGACTGGACGCAGCAGCCTTCGAGTCGGCTGACTTCCACATTACGAACGGACTCACGGAGATATCGAGCAGCGGTGGAAGAAGCCTCGACGAGCGATGCGCAGCTGTACAGCTCTTTTCGACAGTTCGAGTCTGATTTCGACGAGATGCGCTCAGCGGGTGAGACGGATGAGGCGGATGTGCTGTATCAGCGCGCCATGATCAAGGCTGGGGCGGGCAAGAAGGGCGTCACGAGCCCTGGCGCCGGAGACGAAGGTAATCTGCTCGATGACGACTTTGCGGACGATTCGCAGCAGAGCGTGGCGCAGCAGATAGAGAAGGTCGAAGAGCTTATGCGGAAACTGCAGCTGGTGAAGCGTGAGCGGCAGCAGGTGCTGAAAGATCTCAAAGACAAGGTAAGCTTCTGGTGCTATCTGTCCTGCATGCCATTTGCTGACTGTTATCAAGATACACAATGACGATATCAGCAATGTATTGATACTCAACAAGAAGGCCATTACCAACCAGGAAGCGCAACTATTCAAGGCCGAGCTCGAGAAGTTCCGACCTCACCAAAACCGAATCCTCCAAGCCAACCACAAGCAGTCATCGCTCATGAAGGAGCTTACCCGCACGTATGGCGACCTCCTACAAGACAAGCGCGTGCGGTCAGAGCAGAACAAGTACGAAGCATTCTCGCGGCAACGAAATACAGTACTGAGCAAGTATCGGCGGGTGTATCAAGCATACACCGACCTGCAAGCCGGCCTTTCACGAGCACAGCAATTCTACGATGAGATGAAAGACACCGTCGATAGTTTGAAAAAGAATGTTGAGTCATTCGTGGAGAACAGACGATCGGAAGGCGGGCAACTATTGAGCGCGATCGAGGCTGCGAAAGGCAGCGGCGCAGATCGAGAGCAAGCAAGACTAAAAGAGCTCATGGAGCGTATGAGTGTCAGCCCATCAGCGCAGAGCGCCGGCTCACCCATACCCGGCATGAGCGCTGGCGGTGGCCTGGCGGACTCAAGAAGCAGCGCGCATCGTCCGCCTCCATTACAAGCACAGTCGGGATACGGAGTTCAGCAAGCTTACAATCCTGCAACGAGTCCACCAACGATCGCAACGCCGCAGTACCACACCAATGGCGTGCAATCACCACATCACTCGTCCTCGTACCAACCCGCACAATCAAACAACAACCTCCCACTTCGACCGCAGAGCTACGCCACCCAAACGGCCGCATCAAGAGCGTCATACGACCCGGGTGCGTACGGCCCGGTGTCACCGCCCGCACACCAGCAGTACTTCTCGCCACCACCAAACCAGCAGTACAGTAGCTTCCAGCAGCATTCGAGTGGTTCGCAGTATGGTCAGCAGCATCAACAGCAGCACCAACAGCAATATCCAGGCCAAAGCGTGCCGCCTGGGTGGCAACCCCCTCCGCCTCCGCCTGGACCACCTCCAGGTCAGCAGGATTACAGTGCGCTACAAGCTACTCAGTACCCGTCTGGTCCCGGGGGTTATGCGAGTGACCCTAGGCGGAGTGCTCCGCAGCAGGCGGGTAGTGGCGGAGGTGTTGGTGACCCTTGGGCTGGATTAAATGCTTGGAAGTGAGCGTTCTGCGTGGATTGTAGAGAGTGTGTGTTGTTGTTGTATAGCACACTTACGAAGCTTGGGCGATTTGCTCGTCCCAGCGCGTCTCGATTCCGAAATGGTTACCCTGTCGATGCTGTCTCGAATTCAGTCTGTCTTTGCATGTGAAGCTGCCTTAATGCGCCGGCGTCTGCCCGTACCGGTCCGGAACTCAACTCCACGAGGGAGCACTTGGCGTGCATGACGCCGGGCAGCACCTAGGTCGACACCTTCCTACAGCTCACTTAGACTGCATTGCTCCTTCGTGCTTGATACGAAAGGTAGCTACATTAAATGAGCACTGAGAGATGATAACAAGCCATTCATGACACCGAGAGAACTGAGGCTTGAGGCCACACATGCATCGTCTCATCTCATGCAGCTGCTTGGCCGGCGATGAGCGCCAGCAATGTCCGCACCAGCTCCACGCCAGCAGCCTCTTCGTCCCTACGACCTCGCACAAACCGCCTTATATCTGGTCTGAGCGATGGCGGTGATCCTCTCAACGCTACTAGTGCTCGTAGAGCCTCTCCCTTACCCTCTCCATTAGGCAGTCGACCTCAGTCGCCATTACCGTCTTCCCATCTAAGCCGGCCAAGGGCCGATAATAGCGAGCAGAACCGTAGTCCTGGTCCGACGTCTGTTGGAGACAGCATCAACAGGCAGCGGAGAGCTGGGCACGAGTCGCCAAGCGCACTGGTAGACCTATGGGGCACGTCCTGGTCGGCCATTCAAGGCATAGCGTCCGAACTGATGAGCGGCGACGTGGCACTGGATGCGAAGGATAAGCCTACACGTACGAGACGACCAGTGCACCGTCTACAGAACGGTCAGCGATCCTCAACCAGTGCGCCTCCGCAACAATGGGGTCCGGCTGCGCCGGTGCCTACAGTAGCGGTGTCCAGCGTCGGCACTGGTACGCGGGATAACCAAGTTACGGCGCTGCGCGCGAAGAAAAGGAAAGACCTGCTGACGCAACAGGAGTCAAGCTATCAGGACACTCTTGGCAAATATAAACGGAGACTATCTGACGAGCGCGCGTCCATATCGGCACCGCCAGGGGAGAATGAGGACAGGGAAGCATTGGTTTACATCCATCATGTTGCGCCTGACGACACCTTAGCTGGCATCACGCTCAAATACAACTGCTCGGCGAATGTATTGCGAAAGGCGAACCGCATGTGGCCGAACGACACGGCGCAAGCTCGTCAGATTCTTACTTTACCTGTGGATGCGTGTGGCGTCAAAGGCAGACCAGTTGGTGGATCTCAGGCGCTGGACTTGCTCAACTCAGACGCAGATGCTCTTTCCGCAGGGCAAGCAGAGGAGGTAGCCGTGCAGACCACCGAGGTGGCTAACGGCAGTGCTTTTAAGCGTAATCGGGCGAGCTCCGCATCCACACATACAAGCCGCAGACCGTCTTCTTCAGCGGCAGCATCCAGTGTGGACACCGACCAACCGTGGCACCACAACTCATGGGTGCTGTTGCCCGGCGCCACAATTCCCACGGAGATTGCTCGCCTACCACGGCGAGCGCTTGGCTATTTCCCACCCGCACGGCGGAAAAGCAACTCCTACTCTGACAATGAGACACCCTCTACCTCTTTTGACGTTCCACGACTACCCGCGAGCGAGCAGCTGGTTGCCGTCTCGCCCTTGCGGCAGGATCCGCCTCAGCGACCCCAGCGGCCGCGCAGACTCAGCAATGCGAACAATGGCTATTTTCCTTCTTACCTGGCTGGACCAGGAGGTGTTGGCACTATGGGCAAGGACGTGCGTGCACCGGGACCGGCACAGGATGGTTTGAACAAAATGTTTGCCAAGCATCTGCCTGACGTGGCGCCACCGAGGCACCATCAGGCACTGCTCACTCCTGGCATGCCGCTATATACGGATGAACCCACTCCGGCTGGATCTGGCAGTGTCACACCCAACCATAGCAGGAATCTCAACCTCGAGAACGTTGGCGGCGCCATCGAGTCGTGGATGCGACGTGTTGCGACACAAGCTAAAGGTGCAGTGCAGTCAACAGACCGGCAGAGAGCTGCTCGTACGTCCGTGGGCGCTCCTGGCAGAGGTGCTGGTGGTATTGGCGACTTAATTGAGATGACTGACGAGTTTGAAATTGGTCTCGACTATGAAGGTGAGGATGAACCTGGCAGGGGACGGCAGGCCTCAATCGTACCCATTGAGACCACTACCAGGCCTGCAATATCGTACTTTGATGGTGCTGTTGCACGGGAGCGGTCGAAGAAAGGTGGCAAGGTGGACTGAACCACTATGGGCGAGTCGCCTTGTGACATCGGACACACAAAGTACAGCCTTGTCGCAGGCGACGATGCATCTTACCATGCAGTAGACGGAGAATCACCGGCTATGCAACATTCAAAGGTCCACTATTTCCGGACGCGGCGCCCATTCCCGGCAAAAGGCGTCGATCACTGTGGGGAGCATTTCGCGACTCTGCAGCCTTGAGTGATCCTCTCCGCACCGTCCCTATCTGAAGAGAGCAAGACTGGACGATTCTGGTAATACGACTACCTCGGCTGCAAGTTAATGCTCACGGGAGGTGTGCTCTTCCTGCGATGAAGGGTCGCCGTAGGACTTGAGGCTGTACGCTCTCCAAGAGCGAAGTGACAACAAGAATTAGGATCGCCTATTGCATGACGATGGCGTGGCCTCTATCACGAGCTTGGGTCGACGCAGCAACTGTCCTTGGTCGCCTGCCGCATATGCCGCAGTTCCAGTACAACACAAGGATAGCCGGACGCCGGATGCCCACTAGTTTACCTCTTAGCCAGCGACGAGGCTTGCTGGGCCAAGCTCAGCGTCGACGAGCTACTACTGCAGCTGCTTCGCCGATCGACCATTCTCTGATCGACCACCACTACGATGCCATTGTCGTAGGAGCTGGAGGCGCAGGCCTCCGTGCAGCAGTCGGTCTCGCCGAGTCCGGTCTGGAAACTGCCTGTATTACGAAGCTCTTCCCAACCCGCTCTCACACCGTCGCCGCGCAAGGCGGTATCAACGCTGCCCTGGGTAACATGACAAAGGATGACTGGCGCTGGCACATGTACGATACAGTGAAAGGGTCAGACTGGTTAGGCGATCAAGATGCGATACACTACATGTGCAGGGAGGCAGCTAATACAGTCTATGAGCTAGAGAATTATGGGATGCCATTTTCGAGGACGGAGGATGGCAGGATATACCAGCGTGCATTGGGCGGGCAGAGTCTGGAGTATGGGAAGGGAGGGCAGGCTTATAGATGCTGTGCCGCGGCTGACCGCACCGGTCACGCAATGTTGCATACGCTGTATGGGCAGAGTGTTAAGGTAGGAGATAGTAATGATAGTGCGGACATGACTGCTCTCGTGCTGACGATGTCAAGCACAATACAAACTTCTTCATCGAGTTCTTCTGCTTAGACCTTCTCATGGTGGACGGAGCGTGCGTTGGCGTGCTGTGCATGTCAATGGAAGACGGCAAATTGCATAGAATCTTTGCGCGCAATACAGTGCTGGCCACGGGCGGTTATGGACGAGCGTACTTCTCGTGCACTTCGGCACATACGTCCACCGGAGATGGCAACGTGAGTCCGCTGTCCGCTGAGATATGTCTACTACTGATGATATGTAGGCAATGGTCGCTCGAGCCGGTCTTCCAAACCAAGACTTCGAGTTTGTCCAATTCCACCCATCCGGTATCTACGGAGCTGGCGTACTTATCACAGAAGGTGCGAGAGGCGAAGGTGGGTACCTACTGAACTCGCAAGGCGAGCGTTTCATGGAACGATACGCGCCCACGGCAAAGGATCTGGCTTCGCGAGACGTCGTGGCGCGGAGCATGAACATCGAGATCCGCGACGGCCGTGGATGCGGACCGGACAAGGACCACATCTACCTCCAGCTGAGCCACTTGCCGAAAGAGCTGATATATGAACGCTTACCTGGCATTGCGGAAACGGCATCAGTGTTTGCGGGTATTGATATCACGAAGGAGCCGATTCCGGTGCTTCCGACTGTGCATTACTGCATGGGTGGTGTGCCGACGAACTTTAAAGGACAAGTATTGAATGTCGATCCTGTCACTGGTAGTGAGAAGACGGTCAAGGGACTATACGCTGCGGGAGAGGTGGCGTCTGTGAGTGTGCATGGTGCGAACCGGCTGGGTGCCAACAGCTTGCTGGATATTGTGGTGTTCGGCCGGGCGTGCGCAATGGATATCGCGGCCAACAACGAGCGAGGTATGGACCACAAAGCGGCCCCACAGAATATTGGGTACGACAGCCTGGCAGAGATGGAAGCGATCCGCAAATCAGACGGCGATACATCAGGCGCCCAGTTACGGACGGACATGCAGAAAGTGATGCAAGCCGACATCGCCGTATTCCGTACCAAAGACAGCTTAGAAGTAGGCAACAAGCGCCTGGCACAGATCCAACACGACTTTAAGAACCGGATAGCGGTGAAGGATAAAAGCTTGATCTGGAACTCCGACCTCATAGAGACGCTGGAGCTGCGAAACCTCCTCACTTGTGCGGCGCAGACGGCGAAGAGTGCGGTGGCGCGGAAAGAGAGTCGGGGCAGTCATGCGAGAGAAGACTTTCCGGACCGGCTCGACGGCGAGTGGATGAAGCATAGCTTGACGTGGCAGCGTGGAGAAGGGGATGATGTTACGGTTGGGTATAGGAAGGTGACGGGTTCGACACTTGATGAAGAGGAGTGTAAGGCAGTGCCGCCGGTTATGAGAAGCTACTGATCGACGCGTGAGACCCAGCTGTATGAGACCGAGCGAGGCGGTTCTTTAATAACCGAACCAGATACGAGCCATCACCGCCAGCGTCGGCACCTCCGCCATCTTTTGTATGCAAAGAAATGGCACCCCTGCCCGGTGCCTGTGAGGTAATTCACGCAGTCCGCGTGTAATATGGAAGGGAGGCGGAGAGGCGGGAGAGGAGGTACCTTGTGGAGGTCCGGCGACAAGAGCCGATAGACACTTGCTCGCAATAATATGTAAAAGGATCCTGTCGTCCTTGTTGACCAACTCTGTGTACATGTTTAAGCCCCCAAGCATGCAGAGCGGCAGCTAGCGAACCTCCCTGCCAATAGGCCTGGAAATCTGCATCACGCCCGGTTCTCCACGCACTGCAATGCGACCCATACTATGTCCGACTCTCTCCCACAATCCCGCTACGCAGCTTAACTCCCACCCCACCCCACTAGCCACGGCGCCTCCTCCTCCCCAATCCTCGACATCATAAGCGTCCGACAAGCACCATATCTCAGCCCACCTCTCCACCCCTCCCCAACGCGTCCACAAGCAACGGCCTCACAACCCCCCTCGCACTCTCCCACAACTCCCTCAAAGCTGGATACTCCTCCGCCTCCTTCACTGCCGCCTCATTAGATAACATCTTCTTCGTGAACTCCCTCAGCAGCACAACGCGGGCCGACCGGGGCATGGCGACTTCATTGTCGATCTAGTAGTACACGTTCGCGTTTTGCGGTCTCAGTGAGGAGTCTGTCCCTTTGTTGACTTGTTCGCAGAGCCAGGAGTGGAAGAAGTCGATGGCGTTGTCTTCGCACCGGCTTTTCGAGTCCTCTGAGTGGAGTTTTTGTACTTGTATTTCTACGTTGAACAGCTCGAGTTCGAATTCGGCTCGCTTGGCGTCCATGAAGTTGACAACACCAATACCCAGATCTGCAGCCCCACCCTCGCCCGTTCGCAAAACCGCTTACTACGGCCAACGAAATGCATCACCGCTTCCGCGAACATCCACCCACCCTCAATCTTGACTGAGAAAGTGAGCATATCCGTTGGGTCCTGCGCGCAACGCTCGAGCACCGTAGTGCGCATGCAACGGAGGAGGTAATACTCAATAACCGGCTTGACAAGTTGCTCGCAGACGTTCAGCTCGGCGACGTCAGTCAGGGCTCCCATGGCTGGCTTGAACCAGACCTGGGGATCATGCTCGAAGGTTGGGCAGCAGCGGTAGAAGATGCCGAAGAGATCTTTGTGCGCTTTGCTGATTACGGCTGGGTTCAGATGGGGTGTGGGTTCCTCTCCTTCCGTCTCGCTTTCGGCGGCCGCTCCTGACCTGGTCGTGAGGGCTTCTCCGCTGGTGTCAGTGAAACGAGTGATGTTTGTTACTCCGTGTCGGTATAGTTGACCCTTCGGACCTGCCCTTCTAAAAAGGTAGCTCGAAGACGGCCGAATTGCTTCGGTGGGGTGGTAAAGCTAAGGTCTGAGGTCACCACCGAGAATGCTGCTAGCGGTCGGCGGAGCACTGGGAGCCCAGCGGTCATCAAGCGCGGCCTCAAACCAGGGAGAGTGCACTTTCAACACGGCGCTATGCAGGACGAGTTTTTGGTGTGTAGTGAGGTAGATCCCCACGTCGCCTACGAGCAATGCCTGTTAGCGGAGTTTCGCGCAACATGCAAAGGTGTGCTTCTATATACGTACCATCGCGGTATTGCAGGAACCCGGCGCGTAGCCACCGTATTGTTCGATCTTCGATCTTATTTCCTGAGCGTAAAGTGTCGCTAGTCGAGGAAGGGAAAGGGAAGATGGAAGGTAAATGTGTAGCAGTACCTTGCAGAGGTTACCTTTTGCCCGGATGATGAAGTGATGATGAAGAAAGGTATCTAACACGACGTGAACTCGGCGGCAGGAAGAGTCGGTGAATTGCAGAACCTCACCACCGCTCACCAGTGTTACCTGATCCCGTCCGACCACTGCCATGTGAGTCGCAGCGCATTGTTGCATAAAATCATCATACAGCTGGTTTCAATGCAAACAGCTGAGCGCGTTTATCATCGCCACATCTCAAGACCGTATAATCAGATTGCTGATAGCGGTGGCTATTGCTGCTGCAAATGCTGCTGCTGCTTACTACCCCTCCTCGTCTCCATCGGATGCTCGCTCACCGTACTCGTCGGCGTCGCCATCGCCGCCGCACTCGCCTTCCGATCCCCCCCACCCGCTTGCTGCTGCCCCTCACCCACAACCAACACATCCTGAAAGGGACTATACGGCGCCGCGACCGCGAACTCTCGCCCGCGATCCTGTCCGTAGGCGAAGTGACTACCGGGCCACCGACGCTGCTGCTCGTGCATATGGTCCAGCGCGTCGCCGGCGATGTGGTATTTCTCCCAGTTGATGTACGGCATGCGGATGACGTCTTGCGGGCCGGGGAAGGGGGAGAAGTCTGGAGGCTTGTTGTCTGGTTGTGAAGGCGGTGGGATGGCGGACGAGGAAGTGGCGGGGCGTGAGGGTTGGGAGTCCGGTATTTCTGCCGGTCGGAACGAGCCATCGTCGCTTGGTCGCGCGGTTTCGGCGTCGTCACGTTCTGCTCCTGGCGCAGCATGCTCCTCGCCGTCATCGTCATCTTCTTCATCCTCGACCTCTTGTTGAGCACTGATGGCGGCTTGAAGGATAGCACCAATGCCTCCAAACTGCGGCTTCACTTCCTTCACCTTGCCAGCAACCAACGCTTCAGTAAACGCGTGTGGCTGTTGCAACGCGTGCTTGCGAGTCGCTTCCAGACCCTTGATATCCTTCTCAGCCTGATGCTTCTGAAACTGCAACGAAGCAATCGCCGCCTTCAACGCCAGGCCATCAATCGAGTCATCACTGGAGAAAGGCTGCGAAGGAGGCGGGTGAATGTACTCCGCTGGGGCTATCGCGGAGGCAGGGTGTGTAGGTGGCGGCATATCCGTCTGATGTGATGGTGTCGGGGCTGGAACTTGGCCATGCTGATTAGACGTGACTGGCAGTGCAGGCTGCACTCTGGGTGTGATCGGACTGAAGTCCGGGGCGGTGGGCGAGATGCCTCCGTTGGTAGGGATGAAGGCGGACGTTGATACGGACGGAGGCGGTGGAGCGGAGAATGAGAAGGCGCTTTGCGGTGGGGAGGACGAAGATGACTGTTGCGGTGGTGGTGGTTGGTGTGTTGGCGATGAGCTCAAGGTGCGTTTGGCGAGCTTGATCTTGGGCATCTGAAAGTTGGTCGTGTAGGGCTGAAGCGAGACGTACGTGGGTGGGTGGACCGTGCGTTATTTCGTAGGGCGGATCTCGATATCCAACTCTCTCTCAATCCAGACCGATCCTATTCTCTCCGGTCACACATGCATGGAAATGTCGCAAACGTGAAATTGAATTATACAGATTGGCAAAACTTTGAACAACCACGCGGGGACTGGGCTTCCCTTTGTTCGTATTCACTCGGCCGCGCAGCCAGGCACGTTGCACGTTGGATTTGCGGAGCGCGTCAGCGGCATCATGACGCAGTCTCCTTGACTTTCCACGGGAGGGATGAACTACATGTACCTACTTACAGTACACCACCCCCCATCCCTTCACTTCCGTTAATAGACAGGGAGAGGGAGACCCGGCAACAATGCGACAGCCACTACATGACAACAACCACGATATGATGAGACTGTGACTCCGCATGAACCATTGTTCTTGCTGGCCGGCATCCCGCCGACACCACCGCCTATCAGTCACCACCTTGACCGCACTCTTCACCTCTACAAAGGAGGTTGTCCTGCAACCAAGTATCTTTAGTCCTTCCTTCTTACCTTTCAATCTGAATTACTCTGTCCACCTCACTCACCATGCCCCCCCTCATCCCCTCCCTCACCACCAGCCCAAAAATCGGCTTCATAGTCCCCTCCTCCAACACCGCCGTGGAACCAATAACAACCTCCCTCTTCCACTCCCACTCCCCCTCCCACCCCACCATCATCCCCCTCTTCACCCGCATCCGCGTGACAACCATCGGCACCGACCCCACCAGCACAACCCAATTCGCCACCCCCCACATGATCGCCGCCGCACAACTGCTCGCCGACGCCGAGTGCGCCGCCATCCTCTGGAACGGCACGTCGGGGATGTGGACCGGCGCATCGCTAGCCGAAGACCGGCGGCTCGCTGAGACTCTGACCGAAGCGACGGGGGTGCCGTGTAGCACTACTACGCTCGCCACGGTTGCCGCGCTCGAGGAGCTGGGGATCCAGCGGTTCGCGGTCGCGGTGCCGTATCCGCCCGACTTGGCGGAGAAAGTGAGGGAGTTCTTCTCCTCGACGGGTCATGGCTGGGACGTGACGAAAGTTACTCGCTTGGATCCTGCGCCGGCGGGTAATTTGGCGATTGCGAAGTCGGATCCAGCGGAGATTAGGAAGGCTATCTACGACGCCGCCGTGTCACCCGACGTGCGAGTGGTGGTTGTGGCGTGTACGAACTGGCCGGCTGCGCCTTTGGTTGACGAGTTAGAGCAGAGAGTTGGTGGCGATTGTGTTGTGATTGATAGTATTCTCGTGACAATCTGGCAGGGTCTCAAGATGATTGGGTGTCAGCGGAGGGAAGGTAGAGACTCGAAAGGGTGGGGAAGGTTGTTGGATGGGTACCTCTAGTACCCCAAAGCCGAAGAAAGGCGACGTGAAGCAACCGGTCTACCTGTTCTCACGCTCACGACTTCGAGGACTCCCAAATCACGGAAGTCATGCACGTTGCATTGCGCACGCACGGGGAACGAACAGCGATGCAGGGTATCTCAAACCACTCATTTACGCACCACCTTCAGCGACCCCCTTGAACATTAGAACGCTCAAACCCCAAATTACCAACCACTCTCCCCCAGACCAGTTTTCGCATCATCAAGGCGGCAGCGGCGCCGGCGTCCCGAACGCCCCTTCCCCCGGCCTGAATCCCACACTAGCGTAAACCTCCTTCTCCCCTCCACTTCCACTTCCACCTCCACCTCCACCTCCACTTCCACTACCACCTTGACCTTCTGCCGCCGCCCCACCAAGCCGATGCAGCTGACTCGTCTCGAAACTCTGCTGCGGCGCCGAAACCTCACTCAGCAGCGCCGGCAGCGTATGGCCAGCATTATTGAACTGATCCCGCTCGTCCTCTCTCCGATCCCCTCGTGCCGCTTTCTCCGCAGAAGCGGGAAGGCTGGATATCGGCGCGTCGATGGTGCTGGCGCCGGAGATATTGGAGAAGTTGCGGTGACCCCCCTGCCCCTCCGCTTCCCCTTCCGCTTGCCGATCGTGCGTAGGAGTGGGACCGGGACCCGCATACCCATTCGCGCCGTTCGGCTGTCGCTGCTTCGTGACGAGCAAAGGCGAAGAAGAAGAAGAAGGCGGATCGCTCGGAAGCGGTTGCTGCCTCTCCTGATCCAACCCATCGCTCCCCACCTCCACCCCCGCCATCCCCTCGCGCTCCAACCCCTGCTGTTCCATCCCCGCCGTCTTTGACGGCAACGGCGTGGCATACGGACTCCCCACCGCCGGCCCAACCGACTCCCGCTGCACCCGTCCACTCAAATTCCGCAGTAAATTCCGCTGCGACCCTTGCTGGCCCGGCAGATCGACCCAATCGGGCGTATGCGTCAAATTCGGCGTGCCGTAGCCGTACCCGTACTGTGATTGTGGCCCCAGCTGTTGCCGTTGCGGTTGTTGCGGTTGCGCCCAGGCGTTTTGTTCGATGAAGCGGTCGTGGGCTAGGCGTTCGTTGGTGGGGTCCGGGGGTGGGAGGCGGGGGTAGAGGAGGTGTTGGGATTGGGCTTGTGCGGTTTGGGTGGTGGTGCTGGTGGTGGTGGTAGTGGGTTGGCGAGTGCGGCGGGAGATCTAGACCACCAAGTCGTCAGCACACACACACACTCTCTCCCTCTTACGATCCCGTCCGAAAGACGGACAAGCTCACCTTCATCGCCTTGAGGTCACCCCCCGCCTCCTCCCCATCCACCCCGACCACCTCCGGCGCGGCCGGCCAGCCCACCCACCGGGCCACCCCACTCAGAACACTAACCTCCTTATTCCACCTCGCCTGCTGCCTCAACAACTCGCCCCTCCTCCCCCCGTCAAACTTGAACACGAACGCCTCATCGCCCTCCTGATGCTGCTGCCGTCGTTCCCTCTGAATCCCATACCACTCCTCTCCCAACCCATACAACACCCTCTCCCTCGCCTCGCGCACACGCTGGAAGTATTGGCTATGCAACTGCGTGCGCTCGGCGATGGTGCGGTCGCGTGTACTGCGGAGTCGGTAGCGGTAGTAGGATTCCGCTTCGCGGATTTGCTTGTCCCGGCGCGTGTTAAGGCAGGCGGTGAGGCGGAGGTATTCCGGGTGGGTGCTGTTGGGGTCGGTGAGGAGGTCGAGTTCGACGGTTAGGGAGGCGAGGCGTTCGGTGTAGAGTTTGTCGCGGAAGGAGGCGAATTGTTTGGCTACTTCTTCGTAGACGTTTGTGGCGGCGGCTTTTTGGGGTGCTTCGTCTTCCGTCTTGACTGCGCTTTCTCCGCTTGGTAATGGTTCGAGTGGTGTAGTGTCGTCTAGCGTTTGTTCTGTTCGTGACTCTGCTGTGCGTTCTTTGCCTGGCTTGCCTTTGAGCTTGCCTTTTCTGCCCTTCGTGGCTTTGAGCAGCGCACTGGGTAGTGGAGTGACTTCGCCGCCATCAATGGCAACACTTTCTTCTGCAATATCCTCACCAAGACCATCAACAGCACCGTCTACGTCTGCTAGCTCTTCCACAGCTCCCTCAATCGGCTCTTCGGAGCTTCGCTTGCGCGGCGACTCTTCCAAGTCAGACTCGGCGCTCGTCAACGGGCTCTCGGCGGTGTCGGATCGTTTGCGCTTGATGCCTGCTACACCGTCGTCAGCTTCCACATGCATGCTGGAGTCACTGTGGCACTATACACACCGGTCATGACGGTGCTCGTACTAGAAGCCGCGCCCGCACCCACAGGCAGAGGCGACGGTGGATCCGACAGCTCTTCCTCCGCCGTCGCCGCTTGACTGAGCTTACTAGGCGTCTTGCCAATGGCGTCAGATAGTCGTCTCGGCTTCTGCGGCGTGTTCTCCAGTCGCTCCGTCTCGGCCTCCGAGTCGACGTCCAACGCTACACCTCTGGCAGGTCGCTGCGCTACGTCCGTGCCATCAATAGCCTCCAGCTCATGCGCAGTGAGATCCTGCTCATCATCCGGCTCACTCAAACTACTCGAGCGATCATCGTGCTGTTCGCCGATCTCGGTGGGGTCGGCGAGGACGGCATTGTCTGCGTCGGCCCCCTCTTCCACCGCGTCCTCCACCACCGCCATCTTCCTCGGCGTGATCGGCGACTTGTTCGCTCTGGAAGCGGTGCTGAGCGGCGATACCGAGGGTCTCGGGGTGGAGGCGCGACTGGCGGGTTGCTGCGAGGAGCGAAGCGGTGCGTGGTGGTGCGCGTCTAGATCTGTCGTGAACTCTGCATTACAGCAAATCAGCCGATGCCATTGCTATGCAATTGTGTGTCCCGTGATATGCAAGAATGGCTCGTGAACTAGTACTCACTGCTCGAATGCGGCTCGCTGCGACGCGCAGTCGCCGACTGGGCCATCACCGACCCGCCCACTCTCCCCTCAATGGCCACTTTCTCTTGTGTCTCAATCTATTTCGATGATCGGAACTATAGTCCACCCTCACCCTCGTCGTCGCGGAGTATCGTCGGTGCCGTACCGTCGCCAGCTCGCTGTTGCGCGGACAGAAACAGCTGCCGAGGGCTGAGAGGAGCGAATGTGGGCCGGTCTTCGAGGGTTGCAACGAAAACCACAACCGTCAATGTATGAATGAGTTGTGTGTGTATTCCGTCTACGAATTATGCGAGGTCATATGTGAGGCGTTTGGTGGTGGGAGGTGGAAGGGTTGCTGTGGTGGAGCAGCGCAGCCAAAGCCGGCCTTCACTCTCTCTCTCTGTGTCTGTCTCTCTCTCGTTTCCACCGCAGCAGCAGCATGACGCTGCGGAATTCTGCCGCCCTGAGCGGTGAATCAGCCAGGCTAGGGTCCGTTCGTTCGGCTGTCGGCATATGGAGTAACTATATTCCGAACGCCTCTGAATTTCATATAGCAGATTTCGATATACCATCTCAAAGCCTATGGTACACGCCATGGCGGAAAAGATTGAAAAGACGAAGGACGGCCGGGTCACAAAGACCAAGAAGACCAAGGCTGAAAAGGAGGACAAGGTGCGGAAGGAGAAGAAGCAAGCAGCAGCCGCTAAAGCTTTCACCTTGCTCGCTGCAGAGAATGCCGTGGATCCAACTCTGTCGTCGCTATTTGCTGTCGCGACACCGCGGCCTGCAGCGAGACCACGGACAAAACAGTCGCGTAGTATTGTAAAGTTATCAGATAGGGATGAGGAGCAAGCAGATCCCGAAGACGAAAGCGTGCAAGTCGACAATGTCCCGGAGGATCTGGCCAACGATGAGATTGTTGAAGAGGAGCAAACGGCTCCGAAACGTAAGCGCAAACGGAAGGATGGCGAGGATGACCTTGAAGCCGTCTACATGCAGCGACTGCAGCGCGAGGAGGAGAAGGATCGTGAGGCTGCAGCGCTGGAACGCCAAGCCAAGCGCCAGAAGGCTCACGTAGAGAGTGACGCTACGGCGAGTACATCTCATGCCGATGAGCCATCCGGGCAGGTAAATGGGAACGAGGACGCCGCTGCTGATGCTTTCGACGATGACAACAACGACGACGACGATGTTGCCTCACCACCACCGCGCCACGAAACGCAAGAATCCGCAGACGTCGAGCTCCAAAAAGCCAACCGCACCATCTTCCTAGGCAACGTCTCCACCACCGCCATCTCCTCCAAATCCGCCCGCAAAACACTAATCAAGCATCTCACATCCTTTTTCGACTCCCTCCCACCACCCAAAGACACCAACCCACCCGCACCAAAATTAGAATCCCTCCGCTTCCGCTCCACCCCTTACGCCACCTCCATCCCGCGCAAAGCCGCCTTCGCCCGCAAAGATCTCATGGACGCGACCACGAAATCCACAAACGCATACGCCGTCTACTCCTCCCCGCATCTCTGCCGTGAAGCAGCCAAGCGGCTCAACGGAAGCATAATCCTCGACCGCCATCTCCGCGTCGACGTCGTCGCGCATCCAGCGCCAACCGACCACCGCCGGTGCGTTTTCGTGGGAAACTTGGGCTTCGTAGACGACGAGTCAAACATCCAAGACGCGAATGAAGCGGACGGGTACGAGAAGCGGAAACGCGGCAAAGAACCCGCGGATGTGGAGGAGGGACTTTGGCGCACGTTCTCCAAGTGTGGCACTGTGGAGTCCGTGCGCGTGATTCGGGATAGTACGACGCGGGTGGGGAAGGGGGTGGCGTATGTGCAGTTTGAGGACGAAAACGGCGTGGAGGCGGCGTTGGGGTATGATGAGAAGAAGTTCCCGCCCATGTTGCCGCGGAAATTGCGGGTCAGCCGGGCGAGGGCGGTGAAGAGGAATGCTAAGCCCGGGTCGGGACGGCCTGGGTCGAATGCTACGGCGGGGAAGACGGCGGGGGAGAGGGGTGGGTATACCCGTAAAGTATCTGGCGAGGAGGCTTCACGCGCGGGACGAGCGGGCAAACTGTATGGTCGGGCGGCGGCGGCGAGGGTGAAGAGGCCGGAGAGAGCGTCTTCGGGATCAAGCCGCGAGGCTGCGCCCGGGCGCCCGCAGTTGGGTGAGGGGATTAGGAAGCCGGAGGATTTCGTGTTTGAGGGTCACCGGGCGACGAGTAAAAGTGGCAAGGCGGGGTTGAAGTTGGGGAAGAAGGGGAAGAGTAGTGTGGGTAAGGGGAAGCCGACGGGGAGGAGTGCGAAGAGGGGGGCTGCGTTTAAGGCTGGGCAGAGGAAGAAGTAGTGGGTAATTCAAGTGAATGCTAGGTCTTATCCCACCGAGTCTGTCCAGTTGCCTGAGACCCAGCCACGATGAGATCTTCTTGCTGTCCCGCTATCATAAGTAGATGGTTTGCAGTGCATGTGCTTGCAAAAGCAGCAGTAATACGTGACCAATCACCGTCAGGCGAAACACGCGATATGTTTCACGCGCGCCTCCCCAGCCGTGCAAGGGCACCAGACCCTGTCCGAGCGTTTGGAGCTTCACCAAAGAACACCAGACAGCTGGCACTTTCTTGAGAACCGCACTCTATGCGCCCCCTTAGCCTTTGAGGGCGGCACATCAACATCTCTCAAACTGTTGTAAAGACCGTGACCAAGCTGGCATCATGTCCACCCCTCCACCTGTCCGACAACGGCAGACCAACGGACCGAAGAAGGGAGGGAAGCCATTAGCAAATGGCAATGCTTTGACGAATGGGCATGCGAACGCGAATGAGGCCGTAGAGCAAATGAAGCAGGCGGGCAAGGATGCGGTGCAGAGGGATTGGGACTACAAGCTCGCCTTGACCGTGATCACGGTGCTGGCCTTTGTCACGAGGTTCTGGGGCATCACGCATCCGAATCAGGTGGTCTTTGATGAGGTGCATTTTGGGAAGGTACGCACGCATACCCTCTCTCTTTCGGACGCCGACGATATCGTGCTGGGTGGCAGAGGGACAAGCTGATATGAACGTATGCAGTTCGCATCCTACTACCTGCAACGCACATACTTCTTCGACGTCCACCCGCCCTTCGGCAAGCTGCTGTTCGCTTTCGCCGGCTGGCTGGTCGGCTACGATGGCGCTTTTCTGTTTGAGAATATCGGGGACTCATATATCACCAATCGAGTCCCCTACGTCGCCTACCGGTCCATGCCGGCGCTCATGGGATCTTTGACCGTCTCGGTGGTCTTCTGGATTATGTGGGAGTCCGGGTACAGCCTACCGGCTTGCATCGTCGCGGCTTCCATTGTTCTCTTTGACAACGCGCACGTTGGCCAGACTAGGCTGATCCTGTTGGATGCGACGCTCGTGCTGTTCATGGCGCTGAGTGTCCTGGCTTACATCCGCTTTTACAAGCTACGGCATGAGCCGTTTGGGCGGAAGTGGTGGAAGTGGCTGCTCCTCACCGGCATCTGCATGTCGTGCGTCATCAGCACGAAATATGTCGGCGCCTTCACCTTCTTCTCCATTGGTGTGCCCGTCATCATCGATCTGTGGGATTTGCTGGATATCAACCGCAAGCAGGGCGCCCTCAGCTTGCCGGACTTTGGCAAGCACTTCGGTGCGCGAGTTATTGGTCTCATCGTCGTGCCGTTCATGATGTACCTCTTCTGGTTCCAGGTCCACTTTGCGATATTATCGCGGTCCGGACCAGGAGATGACTTCATGACCCCTGAATTCCAGGCCACTCTAGCGGACAACATCATGACGCAGCAGGCTGTCGGCATCGACTACTTCGACAACATCGCCATGAAGCACAAAGAAACCAAGGTCTACCTGCATTCGCACCCGGATAAATACCCTCTCCGCTACGACGACGGACGCATCTCTTCTCAAGGCCAGCAAGTGACAGGCTACCCTCACAACGACACAAACAATCTCTGGCAAGTCATCCCCTCCCAACCAATGGAAGGCCTCGGCCATCGCGTCCACAACGGTGATGTAGTCCGCTTCCGCCACCTCGTCACAGACACCTGGCTGCTCACCCACGACGTCGCCTCGCCAAGCATGCCGACGAACCAAGAATTCACCACCGTAGCCGCGGAAGACGCAAACGGCCCGCGCTACAACGACACCCTCTTCGAGATCCGCATCGAAAACGGCAAGCCCGGCCAGGACTTTACGACAATGGCCTCGCACTTCAAGCTCGTCCACTTCCCCACCAAAGTCGCACTATGGACCACTCATACCATGCCAGCCCTGCCGGACTGGGGTTACAAGCAAGCCGAGATCAACGGCAACAAGAACCTCCTGCAGGCCTCCAACTTGTGGTACGTGGAGGAGATTCCGGGTATCCCTGCCGACTCGCCACGCTTGCTGAAGCAGGAAAAGAAAGTCAAGACCATGCCGTTCTTGAAGAAGTACCTGGAGCTGCAGAGGGCCATGTTTTACCACAACAATGCGTTGACGAGCAGTCACCCCTACGCGTCGTTCCCGATCCAATGGCCGTTCTTGTTGCGGGGTGTGAGTTTCTGGACGGAGAACGACACGAAGCAGCAGATCTACTTCCTCGGTAATCCGATCGGGTGGTGGTTCGCTTCGTCGATCTTGGCGGTGTTTGGAGGCATCCTCCTCGCCGACCAAGTCTCCGTGCGCCGTGGGGTGGACGCACTCGACACCCGTAAGTCCCCAACTGCACTGACAAAACCATTCCGCATACTGACCAACCTCTTTCCGCAGGCACCCGCCTCCGCCTCTACAACAGCACAGGCTTCTTCTTCCTCCTCTGGGCCGCCCACTACCTCCCCTTCTTCATCATGGGCCGCCAGCTCTTCCTCCATCACTACCTGCCCGCCCACCTCGCCTCCGCCCTCGTCGCGGGCGCAGTAGTCGAATTCATCTTCAACATCGAGCCGGCCGACGTCGCACAACTCGCCGACGCGCAGTTCCACGAAGCGGCGAAGGGGAGCACCCAGACGCAGGCGGAGCAGAGTGATGACCACGCTTTGCAGCGGAAGCCGATTCGCGAGCGCGTTGCGGGACAGAGTTTGTTGGCCACGTGGGCGGCGAGTGGGGTTATCGTGGCGGCGTTGGTGTGGGGGTTTTGGTTTTTCGCGCCGTTGACTTATGGGCGGCCCGGGCTGAGTGTGGAGCAGGTGAATGCGAGGAAGTGGTTGAACTATGATTTGCATTTCGCCAAGTGAGTGGGTTAATCGAATGAGCATCGCGAGCTGGGGGCAATGTGTGAGGTTGGGGCGCCCCGGCGTTGAAAGGGGGTTAATGTAGCATTAGCGGGAGTTGGCAGGAGTGAGGAAGGGAAAACCCGGACGAGGTGGATGTAGGATAGGTTTTGCGGCGCTCAGATCGCACGCCACGAAAGACACCAATTGCTGCCGAATGCTGTGCAAAATATACAAAGAAGGGTATAACGCACTACCCTAACGAAAAGCATGGGTACGATTACGACGAGCCGGACGCGCCGGAACGGGTCATGAACGCCTCACAGCTCCGCCCTATACTCGTCTCAATGTCCGTCCAGCCCTGCTTGCCCATGCGCTTGAGCAACGCCTCTGCCTTCGGGGCCTCCTTAAAAACGCTCAAATCGGCACCATGATCACTAACGTCGCCCTCGAAGACGCGGTCAGGGTACAACCCGCGAAGCAACTGGAGCAACGAGTTAATATTGTAAGGGCTCTCCGCTGCGAACAAGCGTTGGCCTTTGATATCTGGCAGTAGTAAGGCTGCGACGTGGAGGAGTGCCGCGTCTTGGACGTCGACGAAGTATTCTGATTGACGTGGGTTAGTGTGAAATATGGATAGAGGGGGTAGAATGAACTCGGGGCGAGGAGATGAGCGTACGTGGTGGTATCCATGCCGTTGCTGCAGCGTTGCCGCCGTAGATGAGCTTCAGCTCGGCGACCGTCGATCGGATGCCTTGTGCTTGCATATCGAGCACCTTACCCCAGAGCATACTAGGGAGCACTGACTACACAATCAGCGACGATATTGACGTTTTGGTCGGGAGAGCTGTCTTACCAGTGTTGAGTGCAAAGTTGACGCGCCATTCTCGCTGGTTGTACCACCTCCACACCGCCTGCTCCGTCTGCATCTTGCTGCTTGCAAATACGGCCCACGCACGGTCGATCTCGTACGGCGGCGGCTCCCAGGCGGTTCTGAACGACGCCATGTTCCAGCTGTCGCTGGTTACGTCTTCTCGGTAGCCGGACCCTTGGGCCACGGCGGCGGCGGAGGCACTGCAGTAGACGAAGCGCTTGACGCCGCTTTCTTTGGCGGCGGCTTCCAGCGCATTCAACGCGCCTGCGATAGACGGTGCTATCACCTCGTTGGGATCAGGGGAGAAATTCATGACCGATGCGACGTGGATGACGCCAGCGCACCCGCGTACAGCAATGTGGAAGGCATCTTTCGGCACCATGTCTGGGATCACTGCTGTGGTGAACCTGCCCGGTCCGTATTTCCTCGAAAAACAACCGCTCGTGGACACGGCATGTTCGGCGCTTCTCACCGTCCCACGAACGCGATAGCCGTGCTCCAGTAGTTGATCAACAACGTGCATACCCAGCCAGCCATTGGCGCCTGTGACCAGCACGAGCGAGTCCTTCGGTATCGCAGGCTTTTCGACTCCATTGATGAGACCTCGACCAACGGTGTGGTACGGCGGTGGCGGACCTTGTGCGTCCACGCTGGTCGAATCGGCACGTTCTAGCGGTTGCGAACTCTCTGCGGCTGTAGAGGCTGAGGACTCCGACCTGTCTCGAAGGGAAGAAGGGTACGGCGGTGGATCGAACTGAGGGTCTCCGAAGACCTCCTTGTACGTGTTGGCTTGGCGCTGCATGCGCTGAACAAACCTTGGAGGCATGCTGGCGAACACTAAGACATGCCAGGCCAACTTACGAAGCCATTTCCGGAGTCGGACTGCTAACAAGTAACGGCCCCTATGACAGTCAACGCAAGCGGCTTACCACGATCGCAACTCAAGAGGTAAGGCAGATTGCAGCAAAAAAGAACGATGGCGAACGTAATCAGCGAGCAAAAGCAGTGCCTACCTCTCACGTGTACTGTTGATTCACCCTCCTTTTAGTATGCCAACATGAGCGGCCGGGTGAATAGCAACCTTGATGATGACAAGGGCCACCCATCACCACAGCCTGAGACACCATGAACAGCGGTTACGGCAATTAGTGAGCCAAGAGATAGAGTTTGGGGGCCCAGATGTTGCCGTCCAACTCAAAAGGGCGTGATCAAGTGGTTTTTCGGCGAACAAGCCGTAGGACCTGACTCGGCAGCAGCTCCAACCGGAGAGAGCTATTGACGGGAAGGATCGCAGGACTGGGGACCGGTGAAGGCTGTAACGCGTAGGACCAAAAGAGCGTGCCGCAAAGGGTTTGCGCTGAAAGCAAAATGTTTACGCGGCAGAAGTTAGTCCGATCTTACGCTGTTCCTGCATAGGAAACATCCGTGAGGCGGTGCATGACATCGACGGTTAGCCGGCATTCATTCCGTGTCTGGTTGGGCCTAGCTGGGACCGGGTTAGTCTCACAGCTGTAACGCAGGCAGATTCGTACGTAGATCCAGAAAGCAATCCAGTACGGCCGCAGTGACCCCACAAACTGACCACTGTTGGTGATTGTCGTGGTTGCGCTGCAGACTTGAGGACACTGTATATAAGATGCTTACAACGTTCGGCCCGAACGGTCGGCCGGGACGGGTGAGCTGAACGGCTGCCCTGAACAAACACTATCGGACCGACGCACGGGGAACATCAGTGCCTAGTCGACTGTGACCGGAACTTGCCGTATGCATATCTGTCGTGAACCTTACGAGCAAACCAACGACGCTCTCCCCTTTCTGAGCTATGCACAGTGGACGAGTGGCTCGGGATGCTTTCACCGAAGCTCGTAGCCAGCGGAGATGCCACTTGACCCTTCCACGGCTAACCAGAAGCACTACCGGTTTTCACCGGCTTTGCGACCGCCTTCGTAGCATCATTCCCTATCCAAACACACCGATACACGACGTATCTCCAATGTTGCATGACCTTATCCTACATCCAATAACCTTCCAACGTCCGAAGGCAGTTATACGATTACTGACCCAATATGTTCATTCGCCAAAAGATCCAATGCCTAAGTTTCCAGTCTCTGGAGTTTTCGCCGGTCACGAAGACGGTTAAAGAGCCGGACCCTGTAACCGGACAGTGTAACCGGTTTGTAGCCGGTTTGTAGCCGGTAAGTGTAGTCGCCTGAGACTTCCCTAGCCGCCCAAACTGGCTCCGAATATCGACTTGTAGGTACTTGCTGCTCGCGTCTCAACAAGAACCAGATGCGCAATGTGGCTTCATGGCTCTCCACGGAGGACATGTATGTTATGATCTGCTGAAGCGAACTACACGTCACGTGACAAAGGAGACAGTACCCGCATATCTACAAATGCTACAGCCACGCTAAAGCTGCCGCAATCAGCGCCCATAGCGTGCCTTTTGTACTATACACGCATGATAACCGCAACTTCCCCGTGAGTAACCCATGTCCGCTGCTATCTCCGCTCTTCATGTCCTCTACGAGAAGCTCTTGGTGAAGCTCTGAATCGTCTCCCGGAGCTTGTTCTCCAAGTCCTTGCTCAACGCGCCCTCCTTCTCAATCTGCTCAATCAGACCGCTCTCATTGCTCCTGAGGTGGTTGAGGAAGTCGGCCTCCCATTGAAGAATCTTGTTGACCGGTACGCTGTCAAGGAGACCGTTGACACCAGCGAAGATAAGAGGGACCATCTCGTTGACGGCCATTGGCTGGTACTGCTTCTGCTTGAGCAGCTCAGTGAGACGCTCACCACGGCTCAAGGTTTGCTTGGTGGCAGCATCAAGATCGGAACCGAACTGGGCGAAGGCCGCCACTTCACGGTACTGGGCCAAGAAAAGCTTGAGAGAGCCAGCAACTTGCTTCATGGCCTTGAGCTGAGCAGCGGAGCCGACACGGGAGACAGAAAGACCGACGTTGATGGCGGGGCGGACACCCTTGTAGAAGAGCTCGGCCTCCAAGAAGATCTGGCCATCGGTGATGGAGATGACGTTGGTGGGAATATAGGCAGACACGTCACCACCCTGGGTCTCGATAATCGGAAGGGCAGTGAGGGAGCCACCGCCGTGTCTGTCGTTCATCTTGGCGGCACGCTCGAGGAGACGAGAATGGAGGTAGAAGACGCTATCGAGCAGTCAGTATGTGGCTTGAGGTAAGAGGTCAGAGGTCACGTACTCGCCAGGATAGGCCTCACGCCCCGGAGGACGACGGAGCAGCAGAGACATTTGACGGTAGGCAACGGCCTGCTTAGAGAGATCGTCGTAGATGATGACGGCGTGTTTACCATTGTCGCGGAAGTACTCTCCTAAAAAATTTGTATGTGATTAGTAGATGGTTGAGAAGGGTGCATATGAGCGCGATGAAAAAGTGGGATGAGTGGTCGAAGAGCCCAGCTTGGCTGCCATCTCGAGGTGGCCGTTGGACCTCTCACTGGTGTAAGGACTGGCAGACGTGGTGATGTTGCAGCTACCGAGGACGTAGACAACGCGTCTTCCGATTGAGGTATCTCCACCGTGTTTCAGGGGCTGGTGGTGCTGGTGAGGAGATGCAGTGTTGGGATCTGCAGTTGCTGTGGGAAGGGTGCAAATGCGCTAAGAAAAGAAAGGTACGGGACTCACCCATCGCGGTACCGGTGAAAGGAGCCTGAAGGAAGGACAGTCAGCTACTGTTCAAACAACCACAATGGGATGTCAACATTGCTCAACTTACGATGTATTGTAGGGGCGCGGCTTCGGAAGCGGTGGCGGCGACGACAATGCAGTACTTCATGGCGTCATTCTCCTCAAGGGTCTGGACAAGCTGGGCGACAGTAGAACGCTTCTGGCCGACGGCGACGTAGATGCAGTAGAGCTTCTTGCTCTCGTCACTGCCCTTGTTCCATCGGTTCTGGTTAAGCATAGCATCAAGGGCAACGGCAGTCTTTCCAGTCTGACGGTCGCCAATGATAAGCTCACGCTGGCCACGACCGATCGGCACCATGGCGTCGACGGACTTGAGACCGGTCTGCACGGGCTGGTTGACGGAGCGGCGGGGCAGGATACCGGGAGCCTTCATCTGAGCACGACGCTTCTCGGTGGTCTTGACCGGGCCCTTGCCGTCGATGGGCTGACCGAGGGCGTCAACGACACGGCCAAGGAGTTGCTCGCCGACTGGCACGTCAACCTATGTAGTGTTAGAAGCGTCAAGAACGCATCGGGTAGCATGCGGGACGTACGATCTCGCCGGTACGCTTGACAGTCTCGCCTTCCTTGACCAGTCTGTCGGAACCGAAAAGCACGACACCGACCTGGCCGGCTTCGAGGTTCATGCACATGCCCTTGACACCGGAAGCGAACCTTTTCGCAATCAGTGTCCGTACAAACAAGGCGCTTCATGCGAGCACACTCACTCAACCAGCTCCTCGGCCTGGACGTTGTTCATGCCATGCACACGCGCAATACCGTCACTATACGGCGGATTAGTTCGTTATACGATGTGTATTGTCTTCTTGATGAATGTGCATACCCGACCGAGAGGACACGGCCGGTCTCTGCCAAGCCCGCCTCTTCTTGCACGCCACGGATTCTCTGCTCGAGGATGGAAGAGACCTCAGTCGGCGAGGCCTTGGTGTCGGCAGCATAGCTGCGGGTGAAGGAGTTGACAACGGCGGGGGTGGTGCGCTGCTGTGATGATGCCGGTTAGCATGCTTTCCCTGAAACCGTTTCCGTAGTTCGCCATCTCCGGGTGTGGCCCCATGGAGCTCCAAGACCGTGCAAATCATCCCCCAATGAGCTTGGATGGTACCATTGAGCTCATACAGGGTACTATTAACGGCCATTGGAGCTCGATTGCCACCTTTACAGTAGGTCGTACGTACCGAAGCAACTCTGCTGCTGGCGGACAGCGCGCCGGCCGCGCGGGCGCTGGTGCGAAGGGCCGACCTGAACATCGACATGTTGATGATGCTCAAGTGGGTACGAAGTGATGTGGTCGCTCCTCGGGCGACAGTTGAGCGATGTGTGAGCGGACAGGGAGTCGGTGGTTGATGAGTGCTGTCAAGACGAGGATCCTTTTGCAATGAGGAGCTCGGATCAGCCAGTGCACGTGCCAACCTCCTCCGAGTTCAGCTCGTCGGCAGAAAGTCGTGGTACCCTGGACCGTACTCCAGTACAGTAGTTGTGCATAAAAATATCGGCCTTGTCGTTGCTTTAGACCGCACATAGTAACAGCTACCAACAAGCATCGCGGTATACCGGCTGTGAGCCTGCAAGCGTGGCGTTGTGAAAAGTACGGCGGCTCGTAAGCCTAGGTGGCAGATTCCGGCCTGCATTACAACCGCAGTCACCACGATACGCAGTGCCTCACCCCGGATCTCATCGAAGTCTGTCAGCATTGCAATATAACCAAGTACTCAACGCGTGTAGCCTTTTTCGCAAGGATCACCCCGCCCACAGGTCCATCGAGGTCATCTGTAGTCCCTCCCCAACCCACCAGTAGCCGCCGGATATGGCTCTAAATCTGGAGAAACAATTGCAATTCGTAGGGCATCGATGCAATGCACATAAGACATTTATGCTAATGTTTTGAGCAGTATGGCGCATACCATCACGATCCGGTTCGTTGGCCCGGTGCAATGCTGTCCATATGTGTCTCAGCCGACTAATGCCACTAATAGGTCAACGTCGGAATCCATGTTACATGTGTGCCCATGATCCTAATCACAGCCTTTTTATTCGTAAGTACACAACGACTCGCTGTTCCGTTAGTCAAGCTGACGCTACAAGCAGGGCACCAACACCCCAGCTCTACCGTTTCCGTCCTGGCTTACAGTCCCAGACCTGCCGCCGAACCTCGGCACCATCGCCTGCCTTGTGTACACAACACTGTACATTCTCATGGAGCCAGTGGCCGGCGGCCTTCTCGCACCCTTACTGCTCGGCGCCACAGCGTACGCCAACCACCTCACGAGCACCTACGGCATGAAGGCCAATTACATCGCCATTGGGGTCCATGTTTTCTCCTGGATTGCACAATTCGTCGGACATGGAATCTTCGAAGGTCGCGCTCCTGCCTTGCTCGATAATCTCGTTCAAGCTCTCTTTCTTGCACCGTTCTTTGTGTGGCTGGAGGTGCTGTTTATGCTGGGCTATCGTCCGGAGTTGAAGAAGCGGCTGGATCAAAACGTAGGAATAGAGGTTGGGAAGTTCAAATCAGAGAGGGCGGTGAAGGGCAAGACAGCTCCAAATGGCGTTGCTCTAGCTAACGGCCATGCTAATGGGCACGCAAAGTGAGCAAACGTAGAGTCGAACTGTGGGAGAAAGCGTCACTTAGAAAAGGCATTGCGATGGCTCGAAATCTCACATTCCATATACGACCCCAAAGTTACTTGCTCCATGGTGACCGACAACAGGCTACGTCGCAGTCTCTTGTTCGGACGCAGCGACACATGCCGTCACTTCTGCCGAAATTTGATCAGTTGCAGCTCTACTATGCCGCCTGGCTTCCTTAGATGGAGCGGTATGTGAAGTTTATGCACAGCCCTGAAGGAGCACGTCGTCCGAGAAGTGACCTTTAAACGCTGTCTATAAGTGCTGAGCTTTTACCAGCGAAAGTACCCCGCCTACTGTCATTGCTCGACAGAGTCGCATACGGACTTGTCCCCTGTCTTCTCGACCATTGCAGTGCGCATGCACAGCATGCACTGCCAATCTTTGCACTCAACGCACCTTTTTGCACCCTTTACTGTCGGCCGATCAGCCTTCGGTAGACGGCCCTTGACCGTCTCTTGGAGCTTGATAAGGGTGATCTTCGGCGCATGACATGTGAGGCACCTGGGTGCGATGCAGTGAGCAGCAAACACCGGTCTCGGTGCGGCCAATGTTCCATGAAGCATCGAGCTACAGTCGCGAGTCACGGCGTGTGTTTGGATGACCATCGTGGCTGCGAAGCCTATGGGATGTCCAGCATATGCGTTTGGGCTCAGATCTGGCTCAGATTGGCAACCAAGTCCTGTCAAGGCCGCGTAAGCATTCCGAGTTAGATGAGATTGGACATAACTGACAGACCCTGACTGTCTTAGGTTGATCGGCAATAAGCCGGGCCCGGCGAGGGCCTGCTTCTTGTCCGCTAAGCATGAGACCTAGCCTTTCGAGCCGTAGAGATGTCGCAAACTGTTGGCGATTTGTGCTGGCAGCGCTCTGGTTGTCTTGGCATTTGAGTTGGCACGGTTGTTCACGACCAACGCACCGTTCTTTTGACGCTAATTAAGCATATTGTTGTATTGTCGAAACAGAGAAGGTTCTCACGAGGTTACGCTTCATCGTGTGTGAGGCGCTTGTGGTGACGTGTTTAAAAGAGGTGTCAGCCGGCGAATGAACACAAGCGGACAATGCGCGTATGTATTCACTATCGTTGGAAGGCTTGCTCGATGAATATCCTTGCCGCGTCGCCACTTCGAGGTGTCAAGAGCGTTGAGTCACACCCTCCAGGCGTTGCCATAACGACCGAGTGAGGAAGGCACGGCTTGGTGAAGCCTGGAGTCAGGAAATGACGCGTGCGTCGTCAGTCGGACAGACTTTCCAATCAAACAAAGTCCGGCCCTTCGCCTTGACCGCTGTACCGTCTTTCTCTTCTGCCATCAGTCTCCTCGGTTTCAAGCGCAGCGTCTCTCGGACCAAAGCCTCCCCAGCCGTCGAACTCGTCCGCGAACTTCACCGCCGCCTTCAGATAAAACTGATTGGGGTCGCCCCAGGTCTTGCTCGCCTCATGAATACTTCTCAACGCTTTCACAAAGTGCGCATCGGTCCTGTACTTGCCGTTCAACGCCTTCTCCGTCACATACTTCCAGTCTCTGCCTTCGAGCTCAACGAGCTTAATAGTGTCAATGTTGATCTTTGGCCTGAGCTGTGCGATGAAGACCAGAAGGACAAACAGCCACCACTGACGCACAAGAGGAACGTGCCATCTGCTTGGTAACAAAGGTAAAAGCACGCGCACGGCGTGAGATGTGGTAAGAAGATGGACAGCAAAGAAGTCGTAACGCTTGTCTGCCTTGTCCTCCTTCGGCGTCTGAGCGGCCACGAGAAGTGCGACGGCGAGCTTTTGTGACTCGGCAAATTGTTCCTTAGGTCGCTTCAGATCCCATGAGTTCCAGTACTCGAGCGCGGCATTAGCTGTCTCCTCGTTGCTAAGGAGTGTTGTAATGTTGTCGCTGCCCTGATGATCGAATAGACCATCAAACTTCGTCTCGTGCGCCACACGATCAAGAACGGTGAAAAGCGAATCTGTCGGGTTGGCTGCAGGCTTCGTGTACTTCGGATCGTCCATGTACACGTGCCAGTCATTGTAGAAACATGCCGCCAAAGCCAGCGACTCGATCGCCACTGTTCGCGAGGAAAGTTCCTGTGCGTAGCCAAGATGAATCAAAGGGTGCCCTAAGCCGGATATGAGATTGTTGATAAGCGGCTCTTTGCCCTGTAGTAAGAAGTCGTCAAGCAGCGACTGCCAATCGTAACCATGCTGAACCAGTTGATCTTCGAAGAAATCTACGAATGCTCGTTGGTACTCTCTCTTTCCGAGATACTCCCGCCAGTCATGCTTGGCTATCTCGCCAGGACTGTCGTGCCATGACTCGAGGTGCTTGCTCTCTGCGTCGTAGATGTGATTGAGCTGGTCACTGTCCGCACCGAAGATGTAAGCGGAGCCAAGGATATGGGGTGTATGGTTATGGAAGCGGAGGGAGTTGTAAATGACGCTGTGGTTCTGGTGGTTTGCTCGGAGAAGATGTTTCAGCGTTCTTGCTCTCTTTTCAGGTCGCTCTTCAATGTCATGTACTTCAGCCTGGGATGTTATTCAACCGTCAGCTGCCGCTCGTCAGACTGTTTGGGCTTTCGGTCTGAACGCACCTTTGGAAGCTTGATGGCAGTACCGGTTGGTAGACTCCAATTAGGGAGCTGCGGCAGTCTGAACTGAAACATGTTGACACGCAAGAGTGACACGGAATGGAGGGAACAAGGTACTTAGGCTGTTAGTTGGATGAGATGGTCATTCCAGAGAGACAGCGTAGTTGGAGCTGACTGCGGCCTCACATGACGACTCGCCCTCGAAGCTCACATGCAAGGCGCTCATTCCCCGCAGTTAGTTCGCCTTGTCTCACCTGTGTATCGCTTGAGAGTACGAAAGACAATGTACTGTCTCGCCGTATACATTCACGTCTCTTACGCATCGCTGTCAGTCTGTTGCCGAGCATCTTGATACTCTTGGCTGCCTCCGCTGCAGCATGTCAGGTACCAATATGGAAGCGAGCAAGTTTGTGCATTTAAGGTATGGAAGGACTCTCAAGCCTGCGAAGACCAACGTGCGCTATTAAGGGCACGTTGCATACAAGGACTGGCGTATTTGTAGCATACTGTACACTGATCGCAATATCGAGTCTGCGCAGGATATGCGGCTGGCGCACACAGCTCCGATATGGTTTGTCCCGTGGAAGTGGCCCTCGTCTGTCTACGCTCATTGGATACCGGAGTGACGAACACGACCTATAAGCCTGTTTGATCTCCACGCTAGCTTTGCTGCAAGCTTCTTTACTGGATCAGCAAGACAGATGCTAACCCGTACCGCAGCACGACACGTTATCACCTATCATCGACCAATATTACATGTCGGGTAAGCTTTCACCTTCTTGGGTCTCCCAGGCGAGTCCGCGCTCAACCAGCCTTTTCATCTCCGAAGACGCCGGTTGGCAAACGCCACGTCTCGTAAGTTCCCGTCCACCATCCGCTCAACGCTCTCTGCACGCAACAGTTGTCATCTCATTGCTAGGAGTTCGAGAACGGTTTGCAAGCTTGCAGTAGTTGGAGCACCTTATGTACAGTAACGATATGCCGCTTGACTAGCAGAATGCATGGCAGCATAGTCGCCCGGTAGGACATGGCTTGAGTCAGCCATGACTTCCTTTACGTTACATGGGGATGCTTCCGGAGTAGTCAAACTTCAGGTTCATTTCAATTTTCACCTCGCTTGCTCGCACAAGCCACTTGACCCTCACTACTCATTCCAGCAGATTGCGCCTTACTTGACAGATCTCGGATCACACCACTGCATTCGTTGCACATCGAAGCTCTCATACCGTGCCTGACCCAAAGCCATGCGCTACCTATCATATAGGGCAACGGATAATGCATTCCTTCCCGTCCCATGGGCCCGCCCTGGCGCGACATGGCTGCATCGACCAACGACGCACATGCAAAGCCGGTCGAATCTGCCCAGTAGCAGCAACTGTAAGAGCACGGCTAGGAGTTTAATTCTCTACCACCTATTAGTGCCTATCCGATCCCCTGCCACTCTCTTATGCATGTCTCATGCACCCCACTATTAAAGCCTACACTTGACCTGTCAAGAACGAGCGGCGCGCTTCCCACCGGCGCATCAGTCTCCGTACAGACTTTGGGTACAGGTACCATTTGAGTTCAATCGCGATTAACGGCCGTTCTCGAAATCAACGGTTCAGGAACCCCACCGTGGCTCTTATTCTTGACAGTGGTGTTAGACTCCTGCGACATCTTCACTCAGCATTGCGAACCCGTCTTGTTCGTTTCCCTCTCGTCGGCGGATCGCACTGCAGATACGATGCAGTGAAGGACGATCTGGTCAATCTTTGCACTAACTTGGAAAGCACGAGAGCTAAGCTCATGAAGCTACCCGGTCCATGGATCTGGGGAAAGTCGTAGAGAGTGCGCATGGCGCACTTCACCCGCTCTCCGCAGAAGCATCCAACCAAGACCAAGCAGCATCTTCAGCCTTCCGCAGCTTCGAGCGGACCCTACCGTCGTCGCAGAGCCGTGGCTTCAACGTGCAAGATGCGCGGACGTCCAATGATGTCTGGACCGGAGCCATTGCACGATTGCAGGTGCAGGTCTCGCTGAACACTAGCATGCTCGACACGCACCGACGACAAGTCGCGGACATCGAACATGCTCTTGGCCGGTTGCAGCACGAAATGTCGGGTGTGGTTGCGACGGTCCGCGAGCTGAGCGTACGGCCTCTGACGACCGGGCCTCCGCGGCATGATCCTGCTGACCTCGATGTTATCGCGTCGCAGCTCTCTGATGTGACCAACAGAGTCAACGAAATTGACGGATTTAGAATGCAGATGGAGCTCTTGAAGAACCGGATGAGACGCTTCGAAGAGCAATCCACCACACTTCCGGAACCCGGCGCTACGCAAGCGCAGCCAGAACAACATGTGACCCACCCGAACGTGCAGCAACCGCAACCTCAGACACACATGTTGCCCCCTATGACGGCTGCGCTCACGGCATCACCGCCGGTTCCTCGTCTTCACGGCACGCAAGTTCCAGCTTTGCCTTCTCAACCGTACCCTCTGCAGCAGGCAATCCAAGAAACCCGTCCAACCGGACGTGAGCGTGGCATATCGCTCTCGTCACCAATGCAGCTGTACAGGCCCACAGAAGCTTTGCCGCCGCCTACAGCATTGTCCGGCTGGCGTTCAGCTGAATCGCAATCAGTCGTTCCCCTGCCGACGTCTCAATTACCGGTGCAGTACCGTCCGCAAGGTTCTGAGCACGAAACACAGCACAGCGACTGGGCTGCTGTCAATGTCCATCAGCCAGTGAAGCGCCACTTTGATGATCAGCGCGCATTTGAAGCGTCTTCGGCACCCACCTCGCCCAAGCGACCAAGGCTTGCCCCGATTATGCCACGGAGTAGTCTTAATGAGGAGCCGTACACACTACCACCAACTAACGCACAGCTGCCAGGAAGTGCAGTGGCTGCCGATGGCTCGTTCCAATCTCACAATCGTGCGTCCTCTGACGGGTCACAGTCGCAGCCACACCCACTCTATACTCCGGTATCTTCAAGTGGCTACCGTTTCATAACCTCATCGGCGGAGATGGACGCACAGGCAACCTGGCGTGCCGACTCTGAGAGCGTATCGCAAGTGCAGCAAGCCGCCCAGGGTGGCAGTCGAGGAAAAGCTCGAAGTGCCCGCGGAAAGTCTCGCGGACGTCGTGGGAGAGCGGGCGCCTACCATAGTGCTACCGACTCACAAGAGCTTGTTACTTCGGAGTGGGAAAGGCCGGACTTGGGTGGCGATCATACTTTACCAAATGGCTACTACAATCCAGTTAGCGTCGTTCAGAGTGGGCAACCCGAGACTCCAGGAGGCGCGGTAGGCCAAGTTTCGGAGCACGTAGATCATGATCTGCAAGCTGCTGAAGCTCATGGACCGTCACACGAGCCGTTTGCTTCCCAAACAGACGCTGTGCTGGGTAGTTCCGGCAAGAAGAGCCGGAGCAAACCTATCCGCAACGCAGATGGCGTGCTCATTCGCAAGGATGGCAGGCCTGATATGCGTTCCGTCAGCTCGGCGAACAATCTCCGTAAGGTGCATGCGAAGAAGGAGGCCGAACGAGCGGAGGCGGAAGGCAGAACGCCAACTTCCGCTCGCTCACTTGCGCCAGCTCTGTCGAGTTCTATGTCAGACGATGAGCGCGCACGATCTCGTTCAGGGACGCCGGGATCAACGGCTACGAGAGAGGGTGAGTTGGAGGTTGACGCCCAAAAGCGTCACCGGGACTCCATGAGCGGCGTTTTTCTGCAGGGCCATGGATCTGATGGCACGAATGACAGAGGCTCAGCGGAGGCGTACTTCCCACGCCGGGAAAAGCTTGCTCCAGTGCCAGAGGCTGTCATGAAGACAGAAGAGCAAGATGGTGAGGACCTCGAAGTGGCCAGAGACACGAGGATATCGACGGATAGCTTGTCAGGGGAGGCGTACAAGCGGGACCGGGCAGCAACAACGACCGATCATCCACATCACCAGCGTGAGAGTCAGGACTCCTTAGCCGGAAACGAGAAGAAAAGGGAGGAAGTGGATGACCAAGGTTCTGAGCATGATAATGAGCAGCATGCCGCAAGGCCGTAAACCGTCGTACCCCTAGATAGCAATTGAATCTCGCCTCTCGAGACTATGGCACGCTTTTACCGTTGAGCATCTTCATGGGCTAAGGAAACCTCCAAGCTGTTTCGCAATGTATTCGCTAGCGCCATTCTCGGCTAGATCCGTGCAGTAGTGGCAAACTAATTCGATGACATTAAAGGCCTGGAGGCTTGATGTCAGTTACGTTTTTCAGATCTATACGCCGGAAGTCTTCTCGTCAGTGGGCTCTCTCTGAATCTCTGGAGTTTACGCGTGAGACAGGGTAAAGCTGTAGTCGCCGAAATGACTCGGCTGAAGCGTTCGAGGGACGAGACCGACAACGATCATTTCGGCATGGGATCAACCGTCTCACTGCTGAATGGACAGTCTGGATCAACGACGAACAACAACACGCAGCACGTCGACAGTCCGGCCTCTACCAACGGCAATGGAGACGCCGATGGCTGGCAGCAAGTTGAAGGCCGCAAAGCGAAGCGCCGCAAGAAGCAGTCACAGAAGCAATCCGACAATTACCCTTCAATCACGCACTCCTCACATGCCCGTCTTCAAGCGTCTGTGAAGATTAGTGACCTTCAAAATCTAGCTTTGTATCTCCTCGCAGATGGTAACGCGCCGCAGTGGATCTCTGTAAGACATCATGGCGCCGTACGAAAGGTCGTGGTGCTTATGGTGCCAGGACTCGAGGCTGGCATGTTTGACAACCAAATACCCCTCTTGTCAACTGAAGAAGAAACCGCAGATGGCGCCAAGGAAACGACTGGTGACGGACATTCTGCAACCGGAGACTCTTCCATAAACTCTCAGCCAGTACCTCGGAAGCTCAATATCTCGCCAGACGATTTTTATCCTGTCAGGCTTGTACGTGATCGCTTGCCAGAGCCTTTACAGCCTCTGAGCGACGTCTTCGAGCACATCTGGCCTATCCGCACTCCCGGCGACGACAAGTATGCACGAATGCATTCGCCACTTGCCGCAATGCTCACTGCACCCATCGTTAAGACCAGGGAGGAGAAGAAGGCCAAAGGGCCGCAACCTCCGCCAGAGGGCAAGGCTTGGAGGAACCAAAGAACTCCTGTGACTGAGTTACTGGCTACGACCGACGAGCTGTGTGAAGGTGGCTACGTACTTCACCCTGCCCACTATGAGGGGACGCCACTCGCACAGGCAGAGATTGCCCGACGGGAAGCGAACAAGTCCACAGCCTCGGACCGTTGGGTTGACGTACCAGGCATACCGTCTCTGGAGTCTGGCGATCCGCCAGAGGAAGCCATTCAGAAAGGCTCTGTCACCGCTGGCCGCAAAGTCTTCGCTATGGATTGTGAGATGTGCATCACCTCGCCATCGGGTGTGACACCGCAGGTCTTTAGTCTCACTCGCGTCTCGATAGTTGACTGGGATGGCAACACAGTACTTGATGAACTCGTCAAACCGTCCGAACCTATTACAGACTACCTTACCCCGTACTCTGGCATCACCGCTGCACTTCTCGAAAATGTTACAACCACACTTTCTGACATACAGCGAAAGCTCTGCTCCATCTTCACGCCGCAAAGTGTACTTGTCGGCCACAGTCTGAACAGCGATATGAACGCCTTGCGGATGACGCACCCGTTTATCGTTGACACGACCTTCCTGTTCCCTCACCCTCGTGGTCCGCCTTTGAAGTCTAGCCTCAAGTGGCTGGCGCAAAAGTATCTCTCGCGTGAGATACAAAAGGGTCATGGCAAGACAGGCCACGACAGTATTGAAGACGCCAAAGCTTGCTTAGACCTGGTGAAGCAGAAATGCGAAAAGGGTAAGGCGTGGGGCACACCTGAAGCGTCTGGTGAGAGCATCTTCAAGCGGCTCGCACGCACTAATAGGCCGAAGAGGGACAAGGTGCATCCCAGCGGCGAAGATGAGCCGCGTATGGGTGCGGTGGTCGATTGGGGCGACCCAGCAAGAGGCTACGGTGGTCAAGCTAAGGTGACCATTGGTTGCGAAAGCGACGCCGAAGTTGTTGCCGGCGTCGAGCGCGCAACCAAGGGCGATGATACGAATGCTGTTGTTCCCTTAGGCGGCTGCGACTTTACGTGGGCTCGCCTGCGTGAGCTAGAGGCCTTCCGCGGATGGTGGGATAAAAGCAAGCTCGTCGACTCCGACGCTCTTCGGTCATCCACGCAAGCTGCATCTGTAGAGGAGACGCTGGCCTCCGTCGTCAAGCAGACAGCAGAGAATGTGCAGGCAATCTACGACTCTCTGCCGCCTTGCACGGCATTCATCGTTTATTCCGGCTCCGGCTCCCCAATCGAGCTAAGAGAGCTGCAAGCACTTCAGCAACAGTTCAAGGATGAGTACAAGGTGAAGAAGTGGGACGAGCTGTCCGTGAAGTGGACTGATACGGAAGAGCAGAAGCTCAGGCGTGCATGCGAGAAGGCTAGGAAGGGGATTGGGTTCGTGACCGTGAAGTAAACGGTCGCTTTCCAGGGCATAAGTCCATATGGTGTCGCGTACCTCACGTGGAAGCTCGGGCAGGCGGCATAGTCCTGCAGGTACTGGGGATGCTGAACTCTTTGACGCCGCGGTCCCCCTTTCCGAAATGAGTTGGTGCAAGCTTGTTCAACAAGATGTTGTGGTCACACCTTTCAGTCCGACCAAGACCAGCATACGGAAGCGAAGCCTAGCTGACCGATTCAAAAGCGGCTTGGTGATGCGGCGGAGTAGCGTGGTTTGAGCATCAACAGATCACAATTCCTTAGGGAGTGGCATAGTCGCACAGGGTGGGATCTTCAGACCACTCACTTTCCTGTCCCGACAGCCTCCTTCACCATCCTCGCCACCTCGCTCCGCTCCACCGCCTTCCCATCCAAACTGCCACCAGGCGCCAGAAGCTTTTTCAACACATCGCCCATATTCACAGCCTTCCCGCTCGCCGCAGCCTTCATTTCTTCAACCACACCGCTCACCGCCTCCTTAATCTGCTCCATCCCCATCGTCTGCACACTCCCGGCATACTCCTCCATGATTTCCGCCTGCTTCTCCTCCTGCTCCACCAGATCTTGCCTGCCTGCTGACTTGAACTCTTCGCTGGCAGTCTTGGCGGCTGCGGCTCGTTTGCGGAGTAATGACAATAGTTGCATGTCCGTCTTGATGGGACTGTTTGTCTTGGCGGCATTGGTTACTTCAGCTAGGACGTTGCGGAGGACGTTCAGGCGGGGCTTGTCCTTTTCTTGCATGGCGGTCTTGAGGTCTTTGCGGAGCTTGAGGAGGAGCGGAGGTGCTGAGGGTAGTGATGGAGTCGAAGGGGTGGCGTAGCGGCGGCATTGTGGACAGACGTAGCTTTGCTGTAGCCATGTGAAGCCTCTATATAGGCTTCGTGACGGGGTGAGAGCCATGGTGGCTTCCAATGGCACACGTTGATGTGAATGAGACGCCAGACCCGGGGGGTTGGAGCAGCCAGTTGGTCCAAGCTTCTTGAAGACGCGAGAACGCGACTGAATGTGAGCTTCCATCGCGTTGAAAGTTTACGAAAGAAAAGGCTCTGCTATAGTCGCCGCCCGTCGCACAATACCATACACAGCAATACAGCTCGTCCGTCTACCGGCTTACTCCCTGGATCAAAAACCCTCCTCCACCCGCGACACTTGCACCGCTCATCCTATGACCAGACATTCACTCGCCCGGTAATGCGCTGCTGGCTTAGCCAAAATACTCTCACCGTCGTCTCGACAAATTCGCGATAGCATATCGTACTCGCAGTTCTCCCTGCAAAGGACATCATGGCCGCCGTCGCAGGCCCGCAGACGCCCCAGCGTCCACTCCCTGGCGACTTCATCAACACTCCCGCACCGCAAGCGCCGACCATCTTCGCTCAACAGGCCGCGACCCTCCGCCAGAATCCACAGCCACCCGCAACGAACAATGGCAGTATCTCCCAGTCAAGCATTCCACAAATATCACCCGTGCAGCGCGGCGCGCGCACCATTGACGGCATGCTGGCACAAGAAGCCCGCTTTCCGGAGCTGGAAAGCTACGCGCAGCAAGGCATGAGCGGCGAGTACGAGCTGCCTACCAATCCAGCTTGGTTGCCGTACCAAAAGCTCAAGATGTACGACCTCCCGGCTGCGATCATTGAGCAAGCCAACCAGACTGTGGGTGGGCTGCAAATGGGCGTAATGCCGGTTCTCAGCCATTGCTGGGCGGTGATGGACAACTGTCTGTATCTGTGGGACTACACCATGCCGCAGCCAGAGCTTATTGGATTTGAGGAGAACTCGCATCCCATAACTGCGGTCAAGCTTGTAAGGCCGAAAGCGGGCGTATTTGTGAAGGAGATTACGCATCTTCTTGTTGTGGCGACGAGCGACACCATGCTGTTGCTCGGTGTGGCGAGTCAAGCTACCTCGACTGGTGCGAAGACCGTCTCATTATACAATACCAAAATGTGGATTCACACGAAGGGTCTTAACGTGCAGCAAATTGAAGCTTCACATCGGACGGGTCGAATCTTCTTCCTAGACTCTGGCAGTGAAGACATCTATGAGTTCCAGTATCAGCAGGAAGAAGGCTGGTTCAGAGGCAAATGCGCACGGATCTGCCATACTAGGAGTAACTACGATTTCGTGCCTGCACCCGTGAAGGCTGTCGGCTCGCTCATCGCGCCCAGCAAGAGGCAAAGAGTGCTCAAGAGACTAGCGCTGGACGACTCACGAGATCTGTTATACACACTCAGCGACACGAGCGAGGTCAAGATCTGGGCAGTCAAGGAGCAAGTGAAGCTTACTCTCTCCCGACCAATGGCCAGCCTACTGCAGAACACAAGCCACTTCACTGGCCGTACGGATCTACTATACGCGCAGGGTGTGCAGATTGTAGATCTAAGTATTATTCCGGCAAGCGAAGCGGGCAGACTTAGCGTCATGGCGACCACCAACACCGGGTGCCGACTCTACCTCTCCGCCACCCGCGGTTACGGTGGCAACGCCGACGCATCAAATCCGCCCAGTAGTATGCAGATCTTACACATTCGCTTTCCACCGAGAGATCTCTCGGCGCCTGCTCCGCAACAGCAGTCCAACTCTACTGCCGTCACACCTTATAATGGCGGTGCGCAAAGCAACGTAGACACATCGTCACGTGCACTTACGCCCACGGACGCCGCACGTCGGTTACCGCCGGGATACTTTCTCGCCTATCAATCTCCCAACTCAGAGTCCTCCCGTGGTCAGCGAGTCTTCTGCGCCGCACCCGACTTCGCACGCCTGAAGAACCCTCAAGACACATCCTCCATGTCGAGCCGCTTCGTCGAATACGGACAGTGGATCGAGTTACCCTCAGCCTACTCCATGACTGCCCTCGTCACACCAGACTGCACTTCGTTCAATAGCCCCATCGGCTTTGGCAACGAGCTGGCTGTGCAATTTGATCGTTCTTCTACGGAGATCGCTATCATGACCGCCGACGGCGTACAGACCATCAGGCGGAGACGACTGGTCGATGTCTTTGCAGCGATGATGCGATATGCATCCACGGACGAAGAAGGTCGGGAAGGCGACATCAAGCGCTTTGTCCGGACATATGGCCGAGGCGAGACGGCTGCCACAGCGCTGGCCGTCGCTTGTGGACAGGGTGTTGATGTCAGCTCCGACTCGCGCATCACCGCCGTCACTGAACCCGACGTGATCGAAGGCGCACGGAAGGCTTTCATTGACCACGGTGGTAAGCCAGAGTACAATGCTAACGCGGTCGTGGAACGTAATGCTGAGCCGCTCGACTCTGTCCGGCCGAGTCCGAGGCACGAAGGGTTAGCCCTCTATATATCACGCCTCGTACGCTCCATCTGGTCTGCGCGCGTCATCACGGAGATGATTCTACCTGGCGAGCCGCCTCGGATGCTTCCCACAATCCCGCTCGACAGACTGCGCACCGTACAAACAGACCTCAACAATCTTTCGGGCTTTCTCAATCGCAACCGTGCTTTCATCGAAGGCCTTGCGGGTCCTCCTTCGCAACCTGGCCGTCCAAATTCGCGCCAAGACGAGATTGCAAACCATGGTGAGCATAGAGCTATGACCGGTCTTGTACAGCTCATCGCAAGCATCGTCGAAGGTATCAGCTTCGCGCTCGTACTCTTCGACGAACGTATCGAAGAGATTTTTGCCGCGCTGTCCGAAGAAAGCAGAAAGCGAGCCAAGGAGCTAAGGTTTGAAGAGCTCTTCGTCTCGAATACCGGTCGCGAGCTGGCGAAAGAGCTTGTCAAAGCGATCGTCAACCGCAATATCGCGAACGGCAGCAACGTCGATACAGTCGCTGAAGCTCTACGGCGCCGCTGTGGCAGCTTCTGCTCTGCTGAAGATGTTGTGATCTTCAAAGCTCAGGAGCAGGTGAAGAGGGCCAGCGAGGCGGGTGGGCAGAGCGAGACCGGTCGCGTGCTGTTAAACGAGAGTCAGCGGCTGTTTTCCAAGGTTGCGGCAAACCTGAGCGAGGAGCATCTGAAATGGGCCGTGGAGCAGTATGTTGGCATGCAGTTTTATGCGGGCGCTATTCAGCTTTGCCTTGTGGTTGCGCAGGAGCGAGATCGCGCGAAGAGGGCTTGGGGCTGGGTGAAAGAGGGGTGTGCGGAGGGTGATGCGAGGAAGGTGGAGTTTGAGAAGAGGAAGAGCTGCTACGGCCTCATCTTCGCCACGATTGAGGCACTGGACCGCGCGACTAATGCGGACGGAGGGCAGACTCCTCTTGTGACTCGGAGGCGGAACGAGGCGTACGACGTTATCAATGGCTCCGACGACGCCGTTTTCCAGACGTGCCTCTATGACTGGTACATCTCCATCGGCCAAGCGGAGCGACTCCTCGACGTGGACAGCAGCCACGTAATCGACTACCTCAAGCGTCGAAGCCAAGACCATCGCGAGCACGCCGACTTGCTTTGGCGATACTACGCCCACCACAATGACTACCTAGCCGCAGCCGCCACACAACTCGACCTCGCCCGCGGCTACTTCGAGCTCAGCCTGGAAGAGCGCATCCACTACCTATCCCGCGCCCGCACAAACGCCTCAACCCGTACCACCCTTCTCATGGACAGTCGGCAGAGCAAACAGCAACTCCTTCGCGAGATCGGCGACTTGCTCGAGGTAGCAAACATCCAAGACGATATACTGCAGCGCATGAAGTCCGACTCCCGCCTTACCGCCGAGCGCCGCGAAACCGTGCTAAACCAGCTACACATGTCCGGCATCTTGCCCCTGGGCGATCTGTTTAATCAGTACTCCGACCAAGCGGACTACCACGACATCAATCTCCTTATCTTCCACGTAGCGGACCACCGCAACCCGCTCGACATCCAACGTAGCTGGAGCGAGCTCGTGCGAAGTGAGGAGAACCGTTCGCTAGCTGACCCCTCCGGTCCGGTCCCTTGGGAACGCATAGGCGAGAAGATCCGCGATTTGGGTCGACGACTGAACCTCTCTGAATCCGTGTTTCCGGTTCCATTCCTCTTGCACTTGTTAGAGAAATGGGCCATCCATCCTCGGGAGCATGTGCCGCCGAAGAACTGGGCGGTTGACATATTCCTTGATCTGGGCGTGCCTCATGAAGTGCTCCTGCCGGAGTTGGAGCGGTTGTTCTACCTGGGCGAGCATCCGTTCGTGGGGACGAAGAGGCGAGGGGCGGCGGGAAGCATGGTTTATGTCATCCGACAGTGGGTCCGTGAGAGTGAGAGGAAAGGAGAGAGCTGGACTGAGGAGAGTATCGAGGTGATTAGGGGTGTGCTGCAGGGTGTGCTTGGCGAGCAGGGAATGCTTAATGAGGAGGGGAGGAGGGAGGCTGGGGATCTATTGGCGGCGATAGGGGGACGCTGATCGAATGTGTCTTGATAGGAGAGAGATTGATGGGCTTAGCGAGGCGTTTGCAGCATCGTTTCTGGACCATTGCGATGCTATCTGGCTGGTCTTGGAATATCCACCGCAGCATATTGTGCATGAGCGAAAAAGCGTGGCAAATACTACTGATTCAGACACTCTTCAACGCATTTATCTCGGCAGCTTGAATCCATCTCCCGTCAATGGCTTTCTTCCACAAGCACACCGTGCCGTCATCTCCACTCGACGTTAGCAAGTCGCCCATATACGACCAGCTGACCCGCCACGGCGCGCCACCATGCATCGCCAGCTCTGCGATGAGCTTCGACTCCTGCTTGATGGCGCCAGGTACGCTGGCGTTCTCCTCTCGTCTGCCTCGTGCACCGCCTGCGAGACCGGCACCTATGCCTGATCGCGCGGGTCGAATGGAAGGTGCACGCGAAGACAAGCCGTCTTGATCAGCTGGTTGGTCAGCATTGCTCAACGTAGACAGAGCTGCCATACCGGGCGTATGCAGCTCATAGATCCTCACGAATCCGTCTTTGCTCGCAGAAGCGATCAGGTCGAAACCGCGCATACTGCCATTAGCCCAACTAACGTCTCGCACCAGCGTCTTTGCGCCTTCAAGTACAGCGGCGGTGTAGAATTTGCGGTCGCGGTCTGTGCGGAAGATCTTGACTACGTCGCCTACAGCTACCGCTAGACCAAGACTTTTCCGGTCGAGGCCGGCGAGTATCGCAGGCCAGGTGGGGAGTTTCTCTTTGTGCCAGCTCAGGCGGAAACCGGTCTCGTCCGTTCGCGGAGGCGTGCGGCAGAGGTAGTCAGACCACATGATGCGCCAGGCGGAAAGGTCGCTGTGATCTTCCGGCTCGCTGACGGAGAGGTACCCATCCCGTGTGATTACGGCTAGATAGGTTTCAGAGCCTATGTTCTTAATGTCAAGGGACATGTAAGGCACTCCTGTAGCAGAGACTTGCTCAAAGATCTTCTTGAAGCGGCGGCCAGAGTTCGGCACTTCATTGACATCTTCCATCCAGATGCGGAGGAGACCGTCTTCGCCAATCGTGCCGAGGTGGGTGCCGGAAAAGGGACCGTTCCACTTAATATCCGTCACTTCGGCGTCGTGAGCGAGCCAAACGTCGGTGACAGTCCAGTGAGCGGAAAGCTCGCCATCTTTGGTGCGCTCGTGGTGGTCCCACACTTTGACGCGATGGTCGGAGGAGGCAGTGGCCATGCGCGTGCCATAAAGATTGAAGCTGGTGGCCAAAATGAGATCATGATGGCCGTGGGAGAAGCGGTGGAAGTCATTCTGCGCCATTGTTGCCAGGTCATGCGTAGATTAGATATACTGTCTGGCGGCTCAACAGACAGTCACGGCTAATCATAATTGCCGCCAAGGATACTTGTACTACATGAGCTCCATCTATCCGTCTGTACATTGCTCGCTACGGCTATGCAGAGCAATACCTATGCCTTGCAAGTTCTGGTCGATGCTGTTGCGTCCATCATATGCAGTGCAGCTAAGAAACACATGCATCTGAGCTCGGAGTGGCTGATGCGCCAACGGCTGTGGCGGAACTCAGTTGCGGCAACCCCTGTCCATCGAATCATCTCGACAGTTGTCTTCACGAGAATAATATGTGCTTTCAACATGCATGTAGACAACACCCACAGGCGTAATGCAAGAGCTCAGCAGTACGGAAACGTACTCATTGGGCTTGCTAACCGTAGCATGCATAGCGGTCCTCATCAACGCTTGGAGCAGCGATGGTGAGCCACTGTTCGCTTCCATTGCCATCAGCGGGATTGCCTTTGCCTTCACATACGGTCTGATCAGGTGGACTGGTGATGTCTTCATCAAGCGTGGTTACAAAGGCCGCGACATGTCGAAAAAGAATGCAGTTGTCATGTAGGACACCTTATGCACACACCACGAAGTCCGTCGAGCTGACACATGTGAGAGACCGGAGGCCATGGGCTTGGTATGCGCACTGGTATACCTTTTAGCGATTGTCAATTTCTTGCCGTTCGCCTTCAAGCGAGACATCGTCGAGGTCACCACTGGTGGCGGGAACAAAGATGCTGTCCTTGAAGCCCAAGACATTGAGATGGGTCGCTTCTTGCACCGCTTTCCTCTCGAAAAGGTACTTTGCAGGTCAGGGCGGTATGCTGAGCGCAGCAAGACTAATGCTAGAGCAGCTTGCTTCCTACGGCTTCGCATATGGTACACTGGCATCTGTGACCATACTCGGGATCCTGGACGATTCGTTTGACATGCGATGGCGACACAAGTTCTTCATCCCAGCCTTTGCCGCCCTGCCGATGCTGGCGCTGTACTTTGTTGACTTTGGCGTTACGCACGTCGTCGTGCCATTACCGTTGCGAAAGTACATGGGCGAGTTGATCGATCTGGGCGGCCTCTACTACTTGTATATGGCGGCAGTTGCGATCTTCTGCCCGAATTGCATCAACATTCTTGCCGGAATCAACGGGATCGAGGTCGGACAGTCGCTGGTCATTGCGCTCCTCATCGCGCTCAATGATATGCTTTATTTGCTGCCGAGCGTGCATCAGCCTCATCCAGCCGCGGATTCGCATCTGTTCAGCATCTACCTGCTTCTACCGTTCATTGGCGTCTCGCTGGCACTTTTAAAGCACAACTGGTACCCAGCCAAAGTCTTCGTTGGCGACACTTACTGTTACTTCGCCGGCATGGTATTTGCAGTTGTCGGCATCCTGGGACACTTCAGCAAGACGCTCCTACTGCTGTTCATCCCGCAGATTTTTAACTTCGTCTACTCGGTTCCGCAGTTGATCGGCATTGTGCCATGTCCTCGGCATAGGCTTCCGCACTTCAACGCAAGGACGGGTCTCTTAGAACCGTCAGTCGCAACGTTCAGCAATGAGAAACCCTTGCGACCCATTGTAGGAGCCGTGCTGAAGCTGCTCGGCAAAGCCAAGCTCCTGCGCGTTCAGACGGACAAGGATGGTCGTGTGATCGAGACGACCAATCTCACGATCCTAAATTTATGGTTGGTGTGGCGAGGTCCACTGAGGGAAGATAGACTGGCGGCCGAAATCCTGGTCATGCAGTCACTATGCGGGTTGCTAGGGCTGTGGGTGAGACATAGCCTCGCCTCACTGTTATTTACGGCGGACAATAGATTTTGATCTCCGTCACTGGCGCAAATAGACTTTAGAACGACGCCACGAGCGCTGTCGCTTCACACGGTGGGCAACGAAGCCTACATAATACGGCGTTTATTGATGTGAAGTAGTGCGCGTGTGCTGTCTCATGCGACCAGTCTGGCGGCAATTTCGCTCTAGCATGATATCCGAGGTCTCCCTCAGTGAGCCGTGGCTGCCATCTGCGTCAGTGGAGCGTTTTAATTTCCCTTATCGGTGGACATGAAACGGCTGGCGACCGTTATGCAACCTTGGCCAGGCGCTCGGAACCTCCCGTCCTAGCGTTCCTGCCGCACCTCCTGCATATTGTCGCTTATAGGCACCCTTCCAACATTCTCAGTCTCATCCTCCTGACAGTCCGTGCAATCTTCGAGAGTGAGGATGTGCGAGCGTTTGCGGGGGGGAGCCGTTTAGGATGGCAGAGCTGGCTCTCACTCTACGCCTAAAGGAGCGCTCTCCGTGGTTAGGCGGGCCACCGTTCAGTTTGTTTTCTGTGTTTCATATACATACCTCTTGCCTTCCGTACACCATCCTTCTCCCTGCCACTTTACCACATCGTCGCCCGGTGCACGCCTCTGCGAGGTTCGGCCTGGTTGCCTCTGTCACTCTTTTGGATCCTAGTCGCTCATTTCATACGCTCCATTGAGCGGTCCATTCCTTCACAACAAACATTATCTGCCGCCCTTTGCGACCATAACTGTTGGCACTGAACTCCTTTGATCTGCGATTACTTATCGACGACCATAGACAGGCAACATGTACAGCATTCGAGCGTTCGCCACTTTGGCCTCTCTTCTCCGATTAGCATCTGCCGCCGATGTTTTCGCGCATTTCATGGTCCAGAACACCTACGCTTACGACATCAACCAATGGAAGACCGACATGTCGCAAGCGCAGGCAATTGGTGTTGACGGCTTCGCGCTCAACTGGATACCGCCGGACTGTGTGCCCGGTCTTGACTGGACTGTCGCGCGCATCAACGATGCTTTTACTGCGGCAGAGCAAGTGGGCTTCAAGCTCATGCATTCCTTTGACATGAGCTACAGCGTATGCGATGTCTACTGGAACCAGACTTTCATGGCCAGCATACTATCGACACATGCCGGTAGTTCTGCTGCATACCGCTGGAACAGCAATCTCCTCGTATCTACATATGGCGGCGACCAAGTCGTGCAGTACGGCAATCAGTTCTTCCAGGGGTTGAAGAATACGATGCAGAGCTCCAACGCTATTTCAATCGCGCCCGCTCTCACGACGTATTCTATGAGCGCCCAGTATGATGCGTCGAGTGCAGCCTCAAGCCTAGTGTCAGACTACCCATCCATTGACGGCTACCTTAACTGGCAAGCCTGGCCTCTCGATGTCCAGCAGAACAGTAGTGTCACACCTGACCAGGCTTTCCAATCTGCATTGAAAAGCAAAGGTCGGGCTGGACCTTACGTAATGGGTAAGTTTATTCTCTTCCTTGTGATGGCTCTGCTCCTGCTGATCCGATCTAGCTGTGTCACCGTGGCAGTACAAAGATCTCAATGACGGCAACCCACTTGATGCTTGGGTGGCTTACAGCGACACGCTCTTCCCGGACCGCCTCCGGCAGCTGACAAGCGATGCTATTCAGCCCGATATCATCGAGTTGCTGAGCTGGAATGACTTCTGCGAGTCTCACTACCTCCGCGACCTGCCGTCCCAGGATATCACCGCAAAGGACTACGTTGAGCTCGGTGACATGGGCAACTACGTTTGGGGTCAAAGTCATTCAGCGTGGCGCGTCATTGCAAAGTACTACCTTCACTGGTGGAAGAACGGCTCGCCGCCAGCAATCACTGAAGACCAGGTAGTCTTCTGGCACCGCGTTCACCCCAAGGATGCGGTCTGCACTGGCGGCTCGTCTACCGGCATTCGAAACAACGACATGCCGGAAGACGCTGTCTTCGCTTGGGCGCTCGTCAGTGAGAACTCCACTATATCCATGACGGTCGGGAGCAACCAGTACTGGAATTTTGAGGCAGACAATAGTGGCCCAACGATGAACATGGTGCCTTTCCCGTCTGATCTCACCGGCAACGGCGTAACGCCCATAGTGGCGATCATGCGCAACGGCCAGCTACTGGGGGTCTCCAACAGCTCGCAAGCGATATCGAGCGATTGCGCCTATCAGAACTACAACCCTGTTGTTGGCTTAGTAGGACCAGGCTTATGATCATTGAAGCGTGCTTTTCACTTCGAGATACCCTTCTGCAAGCTATGGATTTGGTTGCATATATTCAAACTTTGGCTGATGGCGGCAATTTGATGATAGAGATGACTGACGCTATTTGAATACAATAGAGGAGCACAGGCTCTGTCCGTCCAACATATGATGCAAATTTTCTTGTGGTTGACGTCAGCATACGGTTACGTTTAGCCCATAGCCTTCGTCGACGTACCACAAATCTTCACTTGACCAGAATCAGTCTACCGGTACTTCCCTCCCCATTGTACGCACGCAGCAAGACGGGAACACTCGTGGCACCTTCTCCATACCCTCCATACAGCGGCTTGGGAGCCTCGAACGGTATGAAATCGGTCTCCAACGACCATTGGCCGCTTACGTGCTCAACCTGTACGGTGACCGAAGGCTTACTCAAGTCCGACCCGGACCCTGCGACATAGGCATCGATAGTCACCGTATCACCGGGTTTGAGGTCGACAGTGCCGGAGATCCTAAGACGTCCTTCGCCAATACGCATGGCATGGGATTTCACTAGCGCTAGGCCTTGTCGGCGTTGTACGTCCGGAGATTTGTGGCCGAGAGGAACAAAATCAGACTGTAACGGTGGCGTGAGCGGTGGTGGTTCACGCCGCCTCGACTGCTGCTCGAATGCAAATGCATATTTCAGAAGGTCGCTGTCTTGCCCGTGCTTGCCAGCGAAGGTGAGGTTGACAGGCATGCCAGAGCCTACCATGAAGCCCATGGTCACCGATACTGTAGGTACGCCCTATGAGATCTGTTAGATGAGCCTTACATAAGTAGGGCTTGCTTGCACTTACCATGTGCCGGATTGCTCGATTGCCGTTGCTATATTTGACACCGTTCTGGAGCGCATGCTTCGCGCTCTCCTCATTGATTTCGAGATCCGCTTTGCCTACGTCGCCATTTGCCGGAAACACGACCATATCAATGCCACGTTGGTCCATCCAATCTTCAAGATCGCGCTTGCGTTGGGCTTCGAGAGCTGGCAGCGCCTCTCGGATCCCGTCAATTTCCCAGATCGACTTCCCATGTCGCTCTCGAGCAGTCTCAACAAGCGCTGGGTAGTTCATAAAGTTCTTCGTCTCAAGCCACCGGTCCGGTAGATAGCCCTCTGGTCTGTTCGGGAAGAGCTTCGCACCGTCAACAGATGCGAGCTCCAGATAGTGTGGGTCCCCGTTGGCTTTCAAGAAATCGTCCCATAGGTACGAAACAAGCTCGCCACGCTCTTTGCCATTCCAGTCGGGTTTGAATCCCACAACATTGTTGGTGTGGCCGGAAACCGAATCATCCTCGTAGTTCGTTACCAAAGGGAAGTCGGTCTCAACGACACTCGCCCCAAGCAATTCTAGATCAGATTTGGCGCGCTTCCAAAGCTCAAGCATCTTGGGGGACACCGTGGTTGGTTTCGCTCTCGGATCGTTGCCACCTACGAGGGAAGCAGGCACTGCGATTTTCTTCCCTTGGAGTGAATCCGCCGTGCTCTCGGACAGGTCTGAATAGGTTGGCCGCTTCACTTTTGGTACTTCAACAAACTCCTGCTGGCGCCAGAAGTCACCTTTTGTCGTCGTGTCCTCCGCCGTAAGGACGTCGGCAATTGCGAGCATGTCCACAACCCTCCTTGCCATGGGTACAACAACGTCGCAAGTAGGGTACAACGGCCAAATTCCTCGAGGAGAGATGACGGTACGCGAGGGTGTATATGCAATGAGCGCATTATTTGACGCTGGCGATCGACCCGACGAGACCGTTTCTGAGCCGAGACCGAAGGCCGCAAAACTTGCTGCAGTTGAAGTTGCGGCACCGTTGGAGGAGCCTGACGAGAAGGCTGCGGTGAGGTACTCAAGGTTGTAGGGGCTCTCGGCTCGCCCATACAATCCCCTGTGCATGCCAGAAGCCATCATGGGTGGGGTATTCGTACGGCCAAGCAACACAGCACCAGCCTTGCGCAGTCGCTCTGCCACGAACGAGTCTTCGTTGGCAACAAGATGTTCAAGTGCGGGTGAACCGGATGCACAAGTCATGCCCTTGTACATCATGCTGTCTTTCAGTGTGTATGGGATGCCGTCAAGCTCGCTTCGAAGCTGGCCTGCAGCACGCCTGGTATCCGAAGCGGAAGCCTCGTCGAACACACTGGGGTTGTAGATGATGATGGAATTGAGACATGGTCCGCGACAATCGAACGTTAGGATGCGTTGGAGATACTTGGTGGTGAGCTCTACGCTGGTGATCGCTCCTTCACACAGTGCACTCTGCAATTCTGCAATACTGGCTTCGACAATGTTCTCCCTCATCAACCATGACCACAAATCTAAAAGAGTAGAGCATACCATACCATAATGGGTCCGTTGATGGCCATGGCTTCTGCTGTTGTTGCCTTGCAACTAAAGGGTGTGGCGTCTAAGGCCTTGCCCTCTGTATCTAGTGCTTTACAACATCAGGAGCTCAGAGATGCTACAGTATGGTCGTGTACGTGGTCCACACGCACTGATAAATATGACTGGTCGGTTTCACTTCGCCCGTATGTAATGATTGTCTGTACTCTGTATTTGCATGTTCATTTGAAGCGCGGTTGTGTAGTAGGCTCGCCTGCTTGCTGTTGCCATTTATCAACGAGACGGGCCCACAAAAAGCTGGCCGCCTTCGCCACCACCTGCTGTTTGCAGAATGGAGAGCGGGTACCATTCGATTGTTCGTTACGACAGTAAAAGTGTATTGGTTAGCGTAACAAGTAGGTCTGCAACAAATAGGTCTGCAACCTTATTAGAACTCGTCCTTCATTGCGACAGCCTTCTCGGTATAAGCTTCAAGATGGCACCATCTGCAACAATGCTGACAGAAAGCCAACCGCATACAATTCGTATCAAGCCTGCCCTTGAGCATGGTTCAGACGTACAGAAAAAGCAGAAGACTCCGCTTGAACTCATATCGCAAGGTGTCTCACTTCCTGGCATTCCGCGTCATCCTTCGTTTGCCGCCCACCGTCAGTGGATGCTTGACCACATGAGTCTAGCATTCCGCATGTTCGCTAGGAAAGGCTACACAGAGGGCATGTCCGGGCACATCAGTGTTCGAGATCCGGAGAATCAACATACGTTCTGTAAGTGCGGCGAAAACGACGAGTAGAGCCGCATACCTGCTGATCGTTGATGCAGGGACCAACCCATTGGGAAAGCATTTCGCTCTGCTCAAAGCAAGCGACATGATTCTCGTAGACTACGATGGCAATGCCATTGGTGGAAATATGTCGAGGCCAGCCAACGCCGCTGGCTTCCTTATACACAGCGCGGTGCACAGAGCTCGACCAGACGTTGTACGTACTGAACGGTCTGCCATCAAAACACTGCTAAGACATGCAGATCGCTGCATGTCATACTCATAGCCCTGCTGGTAAGGCGTGGTCCGCCTTTTCCAGACCGTTAGAGATGCTTAACCAGGACGTGACATATTTCTACGGCGAAGCGCAAGCCGTGTACAAGGACTTCGGCGGCGTAGTCTTCGAGCCGGAGGAGGGCGAACGATTAGCTGCTGCACTTGGTCCGAAAGGCAAAGGTATGATACTCCGGAACCACGGTCTACTGACTGTGGGTTCAACGGTCGACGAGGCAGCTTATCTGTACACCTTGATGGAGAGGAGTTGCGAAGTCCAGTTGCTGGTGGAAGCTGCTGCTGCAAATGGAGTGCCGAAAGTATACGTTCCTGAGGAGTCTGCGAAATACACTTTCGAGCATTCGAGCGACCCAGAGACATTGTACTGGGAATGTCAGCCAGATTTGGAGTACGAGGAGATGATGAGCGGTGGAGCGCATAAAGCATGAGCTATTTTGCAAGCCTGGACTTTTCTGCTACCGTATTGACACTCTACTCTGGTTCGAGATGCATCTTTTTCAGCAGCCACGTTCTCCACAAGAGCTTCTGAAATCCCATCATTGGCTAAAGGCTTCGAGTCGTCCTGATAATCTCACCTTCCAGCTGTGCGACCCAAGGAACAGCCTAACTTTCCGATGTAATGGCGAAGTCCTCGTTGGCGATAATGGGAACACACAACCAGCTGACTAGGATACCAGCGACACCTGACACGGCGGGATGCGGATACGGTGAAGGTGACAGCATAGGGAAGGTAAAAGGTGTGATTGGTGACTGAAGACTAAGAAAGGTTGACTGTTAACTTCCCACCTTGGTTACGCGACGTGGTGCCTTTGTACGTGAATACTGCGAGGGTTGATAGTGCCAATCGCACTGCACTGAAAATCGGCCGCCGCGAAATGGCTAAGTTACGTCATGAAATTTGCTCGTATCGTGATGAAATACTGACTCGGCGGAACGGCGTAGGGCTGCGGTCTGTCTGTGTGGCATTGTTGCTGTGAGAATGACTTGTGTCATGATGAAAGGAGTCAGAAGGCAACTAAAGGGCACAGACACACCTGGGCTCATCGCGCGCTCTGATTGGCTCTCGGATGATCTTCGATGGATCCCGGAAACGACTACGATGACCAGATGGATAGGTCACAGTGCGGTTTCACTTACCTTGTGCTCTATTCTTTCCGTACATCTCATCTGCGCATACATATAGAATCCTCTTGTCTCACTAGATCGCTCCTCACTCGTTTCAATGTCGGTCAGCGATAGGCTTGAGCAAACTCGTACACAGGCGCCACCATCATCCCTTGAACGCGTCGAAGCATGGACAGTGTCACAAGTTTCCAATGCGCTCGCTGCAACATCGCTAGCCGACGCTCTGGGGACGGACCGTCCTGCACGCGGTACGACGGTGGCCATCGACATCCCCCTTGACGAGAGCATACATCAGGATCAACCGGTGCCTCACCGGCCCGAAGCTGTTCACACGGTCTACAAGCGCCGCACGCCTATCCGTCGCGACAGCCAGAAGCGACGGGAAGCCTTGCTGAAGGGCAAGGAAGGTAGTCGGCGTCGTCAGCGATGGGAGAATGATCGGCTGCTCAATAATCCTTGGGCAGAGCCTCCTCTTCCGAGCGATTGGCAAGTTCATCCAACATATACCCGACAGAGTGTACCATACTTCCTAGCGCCACTGTGGGATGCCGAGTATGCGCGTTCGACGCAAGAGCGTCGGAAGCGGGCAGAAGCTGCCAAGACTCCAGTGAACAAAGAGGAGGCAGAAGTCCAGCAAGTAACACGAGAGCTAAAAGCGAAGCTCAAGAAGTCCCGCGGAGCAAAGGGCTTGCTGCAAGACCTCGAACAAGAGGTGCGAGCTTTCGTAGAGCAATGGGATGCGAAGCAGAAACAGCTCGAGCAAGACGGCCTCTTTGATCTAGACAGCGAAGATGAAGAAATTGTCTTCGTAGGTAGGAACGGCGCCATGAGTGACGAGCGGCGCAAGGAGAAGCAGCTTGACTCACTTGAGAAGGACAAACTCGTCTTCCAGAGTCTCGTCGATGATCATGGCGCATCATTCGGGTACGCCATCGCTGCGATTCGGTGCGCACGAAGCTGGCATTGCTAACAGAGATGCAGACGCTACCTTGTACATTCGATCGCAGTATACTACGGTTTGCAGACGTGGTCAATCACGACAGGCGATCCTGCGCGACGAGAAGCCTACGTTGGCTTGAAGGTTGATCCCAAGACGAGACGGCCGAGCTTGACAAGAGCACAGATGCCGACGCCGCTGTGGGTTGTTGTCTGCTAACATCGGCGAACATTACGTGCGTACTTTCATGGTACATATGGACGTCTTTTATAGCCCAGGTACCATGATAGTGCTGCGGTATGCTGTTATTTGGTATTAGTAAGTCCAGAGTTTGCGGCAATACACGGTATCGCACCGGTAGTGGCATCCAAAGGCTCTTTCTTGTATGGGCTGGCTTTCATGTTGACCGCTCTCGATTCTACCGTGACTGTTGTATCGCGCATCATAACGCGGGTAGGCGCGGAGAGTTCGGCGGAAGAGCCGGAAGTCAATTCTGTACAACCATTGGAGCGCCACCACTCTGGGGCCAACATCCCGTCTTTCCCTGTTTTCCCAACCGCATTCCACATTGACGTCGTGCTGCGTTTAGGTGTGGCACACTTGTAGAAACCATTGTCCTGAGGTAAGTTTGCTCCATTGTTCATATATACCAAGAGTACTTTCCTTGTCCGGTCTTGGCATTATGTCTCGGCAGCAAAGCGTTGTAGACGACAGGTACGATGATCAGCGGTACGCCGACCGACCCCGGGAAAGGCGCGTGCAGGAGGTGTCCTGGGACCAGCTGGACAATATCAGGAACCGCGAGCTTGCATTGGTTGTGCCGACCCTTAGCGACCGTACCAATGGTCGCGACCGGGATGAAGACTATGCGCCGTATGCGCAACAGCGCGATGAACGCGACCGCCACACCGACTATGACCGCGCGCTTGTGCGACATAACTCTGCAGATGACGATCAGCAAGTAAGCCGACGGCGGGATGACCGGTATTACCAGGATTACGATGGAGACGAAAGCGATGAAGAGTCATCCCGCGAACGCCGGCGACGTCGCAGACGGCACGAGGAACGCTATGGCCGTGAGAGCGGAGGAGGAGGAGGTGGTAAAAATCCTACTGCAGATCGCACTCTTCCACCACACGAGACCGAAGGTCGTCTGTGGTATAGCATGAAGGAGCGCCGTGAAGGCAACTTTGTCGAGCGCAATTTTGACTCTTCATATGACGGGCTGATCGCTGCGGCGGCTGGCGCTGCCATTGGAGCCGTGACTGTTCGTCGCTTCGCTCCCGGCGAGGAGGGCAGGGAGAAGACGTTAAAGGCTATAGGTGGTGCGCTTGTCGGTGCTGCCGCGTTTAATTGCGCGGAGAACTGGTTTAGAGTTTACACGGAGGAGAAGGAGGAGCGGCAGGAGAGGAAAGAAGATCGCCAGCGCCAAAGGGTAGATGCAATGAGGGATTGAGTGGAGACGATGTGTGCCCTCGACTGGGCCTGGAAATCACTACGCCGTGTACTCACCTTAGCAGCCGAACAGCAGATCAGCAAGATGAGAAACTTCTTTCCAAGGATGAACTACCGCACGCTAGAAAGTCGTCATAGTGCTTGTATACTTGGGAAGTCTTCAAGCAGGTGATTTTCGCGCACCTGCCAAAACGGGACAGAACCAATCGGCACGCCAAGCAGCTGAGAGTTCAATGACGGCACGTGAGCAGCGCCAGCAGGCCAGGTTGAGTCAAAGAAGGCTGCAGGGAGCGCGCGGGACAGCTTGTATCCGTTTGTACGGCAGTCTCACACGAATGTGACAGGTCAATCCCAATACCGCAGCTGTCCGGCACTCAGTTCACCCTCACTTCACACCGACAACGCATGTTCAGCAGGCCTCCAGGCTGCACCTGCCGCCGCATTGTTCCAGCAAGCTTGGGCGCGTTGCTACCTACATATACCTGATCGTCGCCACCTCTTTTCCAACCATCTCTCCCTCCTCTACGTCCTCTACGTACAAGCTTGCAACACACTCCCATCCATCTCCAAGCAACTCCTATTCCTTACTACATATCCTCACGTAAGTATCGGGCCTAACAGCCTTACCTCTAGTCCTGTACAGCTAAATCAAGACATCAGCACATCAACATGGCAGGTGACAAAGCAGAAAAGGCCAATGGCGCCACTCAAACGTTCGACTTCGAGACCATGGCGGCTCTTACATGCGCACTCAGCGAGTCCGGCATCATCCTTGGCACCAAGCACTACAAGATCATGTCCCAGGTCCTTGGCGGAAAGCCCACGGAGAGCGCGCTGGAGCATCAATTTCGCAAGGTCAAGGCTCGTGCGAAAGAAATGAGCGACAAGCTTGCCGCAGAAGGTGGGCTTCCTGCTACTCCTGCGAAGAAGCCGAAAACTGCGGGTTCCGGTAAGAAAGGTGAGTACTGCGCCCATCATTCAATAAATCCAATGAGTATGCATTGATGACATCGCAGGTGCTAAAGGCAAACGTGTGGCAGAGATCAACGATGGTGATGATGAGGAGCTAAAAGACAAGGTTGAATCTGAGTCGCCAACTAAAAAGGTCAAGGTGAAGGCGGAGGAAGACGAGCTGTTCTCATGAGGGACGATGCCAATGGCAAATTGGAGGGATGACACCATGGCCAGAGGGACTGGGTGTCGGGCCAAGTGCTGCCGTTTTGAAGTAGGGCGGATACACGCATGGCTTGAGGTGTCATAAGCGACATGCGTTTTAGATGCAGCTTCGAACGTAATGTACTATCTCGGCCGGAAGGCGGTGGTCTACTTCTTGTCTCATGCCTTGCCATGTCGTGTGCAAGAAGACTCGGTGTAGTAATTGTGCTATTAATCATACCATACCGTACTAAATCTACAAGCGTGCTCTGATGCACCTCACGTCCCAGATGCTCCAGCAGGGGACGATGTCTTCACCAACGTAGGCATGGGTTGCTCGCAAGGCACATTGTTCTCGCGGATCTGCTGCAATTTCCGCTCCTGGGCCTCGAATGATTCCTTCTCGTATTTCGCAATGACTGTATCCATATTCGCGTAGTGGCCGGCTGGCACGTTCCATGGTGCGCCGGTGTTAAGCTGCCTGTCGCCAGGAAAGTCAGTGTATCATTCTAGGTCTACCCTTCCACTATGCTGTCACGGAGGCGGGCATACTCTGGAAACCGGACGTCCACCGTCCGTGGGTTCTGGCTGCTTTCATTCAAGAATAGCACTCTATCCGCTGCTGCCTGTTCCACTGCTTGCGTATGCAGGTCGTTTCGCCGGGCCCACTTTACGGCGTAATCATTGTATGTGTCACGGATGAAGCGGGTCGCCCACGGTTGCTCATTCGTGCCTTGGCGGGTGAGGTAGTAGAGTGCTATCGAGGCTGGGATTGTGGCTATGGTTACATAGAAGCCAGCCTAGCAGTATTGCAATATTAGTCTCTAGCGCATCGCAGGTGCTACTCAGGACAGTATCTCCGACGTACGCCAAACGATTCGTGCGTTGGGTGTTGGTTGTGACCGCCGTGGGGCTCGAACCTCTCGTGCGCTCCTTGCGAGTCACCCGCATACCGTCGTGGTTGCTTTTGTAGCTGTGGTCGTAGTCGACGCGCTGACCGTAGCGCCGTCTTCTGAAGAAGCTGCATGGTGTGGTTGGCAGCCAATGGCTTTGGGTACAGTTGCGTACCTTGGAGGTGAAGCTCGTGCTTCGGCTGATGTTCGGCATAAGCGGGCTGGCCCTGCCGTCTCTGTTTCGTAACATACTCTTACCTCGTCCACAAAGGACAGACAGCTCGAAGGTCTCCGCCAACAGTGCCGACCGTAGACTGTCATCTCAGGGGAGCCAATATCTCGAGTGACGCGCCTACATGGTACAACATATATTATGGTGGCCAAGATCTCAGAATGCTTGGGGCGTTCTTTATAGCGTCCCAGCAGCAAGACCGAGGAACTTTCCACCACAAACGCCCTGTTGCTGGAGACCGACTAAGGAAGGTTGTGGAAAACTCACGACCCGTGCAGCTACAAGGAAGCGTCCTACAGACATTATCTGTAATGTATCGGAACTCAACGTGTTAATGGAGAAGTGGAGTGGACGGGCTCACTTTGAAGTGCACGAAATCTATGCACAGGAGAATCAAGCCTCATCAACATTCCGTATAGGCATTGGAGACTTGACGATCCTGTCATGCGCCAGCACCTCTGACGATGCAGTCGGAGTAATGGATTCGGAACATTAATTGGCAGGTCGTATCAACATACCACTCTCTTCATTGCGGCGTGACAGCAGTCTCGGTAGACACATCTCGAAAGAAGCCAGCCTTGCCCAGATACTTAATGACCTCCAATGCCAATCGATCCTCTCCTTCCTGCTGCTGCTCCAGCAAGCGTTGAAAGATGCCCTTCCTGCCATTGGTCTCAATAACAGCCGCTCTGCGCTGCGCGGCAGGCGGCTGAGCTGGGTTGGTTCGCCCACGCGTAAGCTGCGGTCCCTGTGTGCGCGCATGACGGAATCTGCAGGCATCGCCATCTCTGCAGTGCCCACTCGCGGCAAAGTACTTGCAGACAGGCTTGCGGAACTCCGCGTCCGACGTATCTATCAGCTTCGACGTAGTCTCTTCAGGCAACTCGTCGTTATCGGGCACATTTTCTGTTGATGAGGCCGAGCTGATTTCTGACGATTCGGATAGTACTTCGGACGATGTATCAGATGCACCGTGTTCAGGTTCGACGCCTGGATTGTCTTCATCATCGTCATCAGCGTAGCCTACCAACGGTTTTGGTATGGAACTGGGGTTGGCCCCGCCGCCCTCATGCCTGACCAGCCGAGACTGACTCATGTCAATACGAGCTTGGCCGTCAGCGACACGCCGTCGCAAATCTTCGAGTTCGGCTTCACGTTCGGCAAGCTGTCTTTTTGCTGTGACAAATTTGCTATCCTCATTAGTGATGGCTTCGTTCGTGATTGAATCTAGCTGCCGGCGGTCATGGAGGCGATCATCGTCCTTCTTAGTCGTAAAATCAACCGACCATCGACTGTTAGGCAATGGTGGCATCGCTAGAAGTCTCCTGCGCTCTTCGCCAACTCTCCGTCTCTCGCCTTCCCTCTCCGTCATCCGTGCCCGGGTCGGCCAATTGCGCCTGCGCTCCTCCTGCCATGCCGCGATCTCGGCGGTGGAGCTGAGGGAGATGACCGTGCCGTTGTGCTCAAAGGAAAGCTTCGCGCCAAGCTCGGCATGCATAGCCTCTTCGTCGATATCTTCGTTGTCACCATCGTCAGATGACGAGTACTGAGGGTCTTCTGAGCTCGGCACAAGACCGAGCCCATTGGAGGCAGGCTTCGTCTTCACCTTCGCTTCTGCTGGGCGTGGTTTTACCGGCTTTGCAGGAAGAAGGGGCGGACCAAAACTTGGTGTAGCTGGTGCCGCTTGCGACTTCGGTACCCGCTCATGGGGCGGCGGACGTAGGGCTTCAAGCTTCCTTTTGTGGCCAGCCGCGGTACGAGGTAGTGAAGCCGCCATCGATACCGGTGTAACATGAGACGATGTTGGACTGAACTGCCGGTTTGACGTTGCACGATCTGGGTCAGCGTAGGTGCCGGACGCTAAGGTTATCGGTAACGGTGAGCGGGTGTCTTGCTGTTGATAGAGACTATTGGGTGAAGAGGTGTGACGATTGCCTGTTGGAAAGCGTTGCTGCTGCTGACTCCTCAAGGTAGGTCCGCCACGGTTCGGGTGAGGATGTAAGTAACCACCCCTGTTCCTACCACGTCCATCCCAAACACCCTGCCCCCGACCATTTCCGTAACCGGAATTGCCTCGCTGGCGGTCGTCGTAGATTCGGGACTGGAAACTTCCTGCATGGTCCGACTGAAGTGGCGGCGGTGGCGGCGGTGGTGGCGGAGGAAATGAGAAGCCACTGCCACTCATCTTATCATGGAATATAACAGCGCAATTTGAACGAGATGCGCCGTTCTACAAATCCGCCGAAGTTGTTGTGGCTCTCATCGGCTCTAGAAGCAACGGGCAGCCAAATGTCTGCAAGAAGTGCAGAAACGCTCTCGGAAGTCGGGCCGGCGTCGGCAAGGCTTCCGAGTGGTCGCATTTGCTATGAAGGTATTCTTTCTGTATAGCTACGAGCTGCACGAGACGATGCGAAGTCTAGAACTTTGTGACTTCGGTATGACTGTCAGACTTGCACACGATCCAGTGAGTGACCGCTGTCCAGGAGATCTCGTTGCATAGGGTTTGCATCTGACGATGCGATGTACATTCTCGTAAGTCTAGCACACAGCTTACCAGAGCCAGAAACTGACTCGAGCACCAAGGTCTCTATTGCCGACGTGGTGCAGTTACACCCATCAGACTTCCACAAAGCCAGCCGGCGGGCAATTGAGGACTGGCTCAATGCAAAGTATGCCGACAAAGTCATCCACAAGGTTGGCCTATGCGTCGGCTTCCATTCACTCATCAAGGCATCCGAAGGCCTAATAGGTCATGGCACTGGCATTGTCAACGTCAATGTCGACTTTCGTGTCGTGGTATTCAGACCCTTCAAGGGCGAAATTATCCGCGGCGTGATCTCTGCATCAACGGAGAACGGCATGCAAATGTCTACCGGCTTCTTTGAAGACGTAGTTGTCCCCAAGGAGTGGCTTTTTAGCGTGTCTGATTTCGAATCGGAAGACGGTGCTCCGCCTGTGTGGATCTGGCGCACGAATGACATGTCGCTGTATTTCGATAAGCTGGAGAGGTGCTTGATGCGAGTCGAAAGCGAGGAGTGGACCGATATGTCACCGCAGATGAAGCGGCCCGATGATTTCGACACGGAGAGACTGGATCAGTATAATATGCGCACTGGACCATACCGAATCATGGCCAGCATGATGCACACTGGTCTGGGAGTTGCGGCGTGGTGGCTTGGCGAGGATGCGGCAGCCATAGAGGAAGATGGATCGTGATGAACTTTCGTCGGAACCCTTGAATGCTATGCAGAAAACGATTGAACGCGCCATGCATCACCCTTGGGGACCTAATGGCTTTTCTTACAATATTGCCGGCGTTAATAGATAGGCCTACAAGGCTGCAACCGAATCCCCTCGATCCAAAAGTTCATATCGACTCTGCCCTACACATCCTCTTCACTAGCCCATACGCTTTTCACACATACATGGCCATGGGAGCGTATTTCTGGGTTCCTTGATTCCTCAACATTGGCACTTTTATCTAGACTGATCGTTCGTGCACTTCGTCTTGCTGACCTAGTTTCTGGGCGAAGCTTGTCCGGCTCTGCGGCGTCTCGCTGGCACTTTGTTAAAAGCACGTTGAGTTCTGGACGTCGGCTGACTCGACCTTTATTCCTGCGCTATGTTGTTGTTCCAGCCGGCCGACGCGTCGCCGGTTGAACATTTTCTTTGTTTGTCGCTGACTGGTCCGTGATCGGCTTTAAAACATTCATAACAGACAGTAATGTGTCATGATCCAAAGACCGAGACACTTTGCTACCCGCATTTGAGCGATCGTTTGCCAGCAGGTGGAGAGCTAGCGTCTCCACCGACGGCTTCTGCGGCTCTACTGCTGTGGGCATGTCATGCTGGTACACCATCCTCTCGAATCTCCTTGTTGCTAGCCGTAGTGCCTTGGGAATTTGTCCGGCACACTTCTGCGGAGTGACAGAGGTGACAGGCAGGTCTGGATCGACACGCCTCATCACTAACAGGGACTGGTTATTCCCCGGACCGTCTAAACCGAGCCTGCCGGACCGCATCAGAGGCAGCTTGCTGTAACGCGCCGTCCTCGCGTCGTGATACTGGAATCCTGCTGGATTGTGGATAGGGAGCGGATGTTGCTGGGTCTGTGCTATGCCATCCTCGCTCTCTGCAGCTTCGTGCCCGTCCATGTTGATGTCACTAAGGATCTCTTAGAGGTCCAGGAGTAGCAACGACTGCAGCACAACAAGTCACTCGTCATGACCCAGTGTGAATATGGTGATCTTGTATGCAGGCTTAGCGTAAGGTGTTTCCAGTCTTTCACGCGCAGGTTTCAACGGCCGAAAGGGCGGGAGACTAGTTGAGCCACAACGCCTTCGTTTCGGTTAGCAGAAACAGATGGAGGCAGACTTATTGAAAGAGATCTGTGTGAAATGAGTTGAAATAACTGTGCATCGTTTAGGAACATGGGTAGAAAACATTGGGTATCTCGTGCACAACAGCGCTACAGCCTCCTGTTCTCGTAATGGCCACCTCACCCGATCGTCTCCTGAGTGTCTTCGTCCACTTGACCATGCTCAAGCTGCCACCTCAATTGCCTGATAATGGCCTTGTCCAACTCTCGGTCCGCCTCGAGACTTGTGATGCGTGCTTGGAGCTCAACAACCTTGGCATTGTCGAGCCCTGCGATTCTGGCACCGAGTTCCGCGATCTTCGCATCTTTGGCTTTAATAGCCAACCTTGAGATGTCTCTACCGCGGATGATGCCTTGCATCTTCAGGTCGTGCTTTGACAGAACGCTTCGAACAGCGTCCCGGATCCCGTTCGGCAGTGTCGCGGGAGCGAGAGCAGCAAGAGCTTCATTTGTCAATGAGCTCTCGGAGTCTGCGGGATCATGTAGACCGTCTTTAAAGCGTGTAGGCGGAGAATGAGCCTCGACCACTGCACTGCTGGCGAATGCTGAAGATGCCTTTGGCGTCTGCACGCTGGGATCTGCTGTCGACGAGACAGTGCTTGTACGCTTAGATGGTGTGGCCAAGTGTATGTTCTTGTCAGACGATTCAAGCTCCAGCCATGGAAGCTTCCGCCGGCCAGTGGTTCCGGGTGTAAGATATGCGTCAGTTCGTTGCATCTTTCGAGGCGTCTCTGTTGCAACGTCAACACTCCTCACCATCTCTTGCTCCTCTTGTCCGGTCAGAGGCCATGGGAAGTAGTCGTCATTCTCGTCAATTCCTGCATCACGAGCAGTACGCTTTGTGCCAGAGTTGGCAGTCGCAGAATGACGCCCGGTAGGGGAATGCGACACCGGGCTAGGCGTTGGGCTGTCCGTCTCCTCGGGCCCAGCATACAACACCTTTCCACCGTTCTGTCTATTGACTTGTTGCACGGACTGCGCGAACAAGCCTTTGCCGCTCGCGCTATTGTCTTGAGCGCCCATTGCATCTGTCCTAGCAGCTCGCTGGGCTCGCGCAGCATCCCAGCCTTCCTGCACTCCCGATTCGCTACGGCGATTATTCAAGACAGCAGCTTCCTCCCGCGGTTTGGCATCCTCATCCCAGAGGAAGAAGTCGCACCGTTTTGGATCCGCTTGTTGACAAGTGTAGAACCAGCGGCCTTGGTTTTTGCCTTCTTTCTTCACCTTGAAATGCTCAGCCGGCAAGCGAGGAGTACAATTGCACATCCAAATCCCATCGGCGAAAAGGCCCTTAGGGAGTCGCACCGCTTGCGCCTGTCCATCGCTCCGGTTGCCCCGACTGTAGGAGCCTCCTCTATTACGGTACCGGCCGCCTCCGCCGCGGTGCATCGTTTCAATTTCAGTGAGTTTTAACCTCTGTAAGGATCTCCCTCGCACGGCGACCTGGCCGCCATGCAGGGTTAATTGTAGTTTACCCACTCATGGACGAACGAGCAAGCAAATGGCTGGTGATCGATCGCAAACGTGCACGAGGCAACAGCCTCGGCAGTCGCTGGCTCACACTCGCCTAACAAACATCCTATCAAAATAGAAGAACATATGGAAGTACGGCACGAGACCTACGGCAAAAATGGAGGGATATGAATTTGGAAGCATCGAGACAACTCTGTACGGTGCAGTGCGAGACTGGTCAGCGCAGAATAGCCACATCCAGGGCGTACGAAGGTTTTGAAGGTGCTTCGAAAGCCTATGAAGGGTTGCCGCCTGTCCATTGATCTTGAGACAGACTGGAAACATAATCAAACGCAGAGAATGCCTACAGAATGTCAGCAAATCCAGGTGAGACGACAGCAGTTCTTCGCACGCGTACCGATGAGTCGAGGTCCAGCCAGTCCGTAGTCTGCCACCCATCTAATACGCTCGACATTGTTGGCGACGTCCCAGTACCGTTGAAGAGAGACATTTGGAGGTCCGAAAGGAGCCCATCACTCAGCACACCGGATTCACGGCTAGGTAATGCCAATCGCTCACCCTGCTCAGCAGCAGGCATGGCTTCAGGCAAGTCGGCCTGCTTCCTGCCAACCCGCTGACGCGCCGCATTTCGCAGCTCTTCTAAGATAACACCGTACCGTGCTTTCGGCGAATTGCTTTCCGTAGCCCTTGTTAGATGCTCTTGGCATCTTTCAGCAAGCTTAATCAGAGCAGCGGACTCCATATCGTCTTCCGCCACAGCATCTCTCCAAGGTACTTGACGCCGCTTCTGAATCTCCCATACATATACTACTGCCAGAGCGCAGAATGTGACATACGATGTCCACCAAAACGCATGGAAGAGAGTCTGGTCGGCGACCATCAGATCAACAGTCTCAAGTGCATTTCTGGCAGCACCCATGCATTCAGCAATGCTATTCTTGACCTCAGGATTCGTGGTCCGGTCCTTGGCGTTGCCTAAGAGGAACGGTCGGAACGCGTGCATTGTCGCATGAGCGTGTGCGAGTCGGAGGGCGACCGCCTGCCGCCGAAGGCTCGGAATCAAACTCGATGGCTTGACCGACCCTAGATGGTATGGCAGGTTCTCACGCCATTCATGCAGTCTGCGGCCCTGTCGATGGGCCGCGGCTACTCTTTCTGCTTGCGCCAGACGCCTGATTGAGTAGACGTCGCTAGAGATGCCATCAATAATTCGAGCCAGCTTGGCATGAAAGATGAGAGCATCGACGTGACAGTCATCTGTGGAATCGACTGCTACACGACCCTCAGAAGACATGTTCTCGTCATTGACACTGTCGGGAAAGTCTTGATCGATATCTTCGTCATGGTAGTGTCTTGGCCTTCCAAGCACAACAGCAAGGTACTTCTCGATAGTATAAGCGACCCAGAATGTTCGTTTGGCACACTGTAGATGAATATAATCCTTCTTCGATGCGAGGTTTGTTGCCTGTCTGACCCCAGCTGACCGTCTGTGCAGACCCAAAGCCGAAATGATCTGCAAAGCATGGCCGCACACATACCAAGCCTGGTTCGTGCGCGAAGTCTGTAGAAGGTATAACACCTGTGCAAGACGCGCCTGTGCGGACTCTAACTGAGGCAAGCCAGTCTCGGCATCCGTGAGGCGTGTTGCATGGCCGAAGTACTCGTCGCTTTGATAGAGCGGCCCAGAGCCGTCAGTGTTATGACCGGAGACTTTTTGCTGGCGGTAAGATGCTATGGCGAGTATGGTGAGCACGCATGAAGCTCGGGCATGGCCTATACTTCCGGCTATAGGCTGTCGCACGTTCTGGAGAATCACGCGCAACCAGCCTTCGACTGTTGGGCGATGAAACATGCGGTAGGTGACGACACAGACATCGAAGTAATACTGAAGCAGTGCAACAGCTGTCGAGGTCTCCAGCATTATTTGGACAAGTCTGGATTCATGAGTGGGGCTGGGATCGAGAGAGACGAAAGGACTGTCACCGGCCATTACCAGCGGTTGTCGGTTGACCACGCTATCTGTGATACTTACGTCGGAGGGACATCCATTGGCAGCAAGCCGCTTCCAGGCGCGGTGCAGGAACGTCAAGCCGGATTTTGAGTCGAAGTATTGGCCCTCGATCTCGGCGGGTTCGGTCTCAGGAGACGCTCGGGAGGATCTATGTTCCAGGGCATCGTAGTTGTACGTCAGACGGTCAGTGTCTCTATGGAGTCGTTGTCAGTAGATTGGACTTGCAAGAGCTCTGATGGCATTCCCACTGACATTCGCACGTCAGCGCTAGTCGTACGCTCTACCGTAGATGGATTCCTGGTCCGACTGTGGGCATTGCTGAGTGATGGTCGTCAGTCATGCAATGTAATAGAAATATCGCAGACTGACAGTTGTGCCTGGGCTCCGTTTACAGACTCTCCGTCGTCGAGGTAAATGGACACAGCTGTCGGCTGTTGAGGCATGGGAGGCTTTCCTCTTGCATACTTTGCTTCATAGGAGCATACAGTGCCCTTGCGAATACAGCATGAACACGGCTTTTCGCCATTGCATCGGATGCGCTTCGTTTTGCAACAGTCACAAGCCCTGGTCACTTTTCGCACTCTTCGCTTGTTCTCGGGCCCCGAGGTGACATTCTTAGACGGACACGGTTCGTCGTAACTACGTTTTGGCGACGATAGCATGTTGCAGGTCGGAAGGGGGAGCCCGTCCGGAGACTGTGTCAAAATCCGGACCGGAAAACTAGAATAGAAGACACAAAAGTAAAAGGAAAACGCCTTGATTTTCCGGTCCTGAATCTCGGCAACACGTTCCGAAGCTCCAGCACACTGTCAACGCTTGGCTTTGCTATTGAACCCTTCGTTTACCAGAGTTCTGGATTGGACGTGGAGACAATGTCACAGCTTGTGGTTTTCCTTTCGTTATGCTTGAGGACAGGATCTCAGTTACAGCAGCTGCTGTGGCATCTCGCTTAGTACGCATATGCCGCATGATTGCGCCATGCCAAAGTTTCAGTGTATGCAGTCGTGCTAGGTACCTTGGATGCATGCGAAGGCTTCTTTGTGCATTGATCCTTGTGCTACACAAGCTACAACCTACGCAGGCTGACTGCTGGTGTCTTTACAACGCATACCGATACAGCGGCGACTTGTCGCCCATTCTCTCCAACTTCTCGTCTGTGTACATCGCGCGTATCTCATCCTCGGACACCTTCTCATTCTTCTTGTTGATAGTCCACAAAGCATACTCCAGAACGAAGCAAGCCGCGATACCAGCAGCGGCGAAACCCAAAGAAGTTCCATAACCGGTAGGGTACTTGGGCGCTTCCTTGTCGATGTATATGAAGCTTCCAATCAAGCCTCCGATGTTGCCGACTGCGATGAGATAGGCGATGCCCATACCTCGTTTCGTAGGACCCCAAAGGTTTGCGACGTTCCACGCGCTCACGCCAGGGAAGATCGGATATAGCCTGCGTTGCAGCGGGTGTTAGCCTTATCAGCTCTGAATTGGATGGGAGCGAGCTTACCCAGCGCAAGCCAAGCAGACTGCAAAGTAGCAAAGCCCAACGTTGTGCTTGATGTTGCCAGCTTTCGCCGATAAAATACCATAGGCGACGATAAGCAAGAGCTGAGGCGCGACAATGAAAGGCATGCGCCAGGTCTTCTTATCAGCAATGCGTGCCAGAATGTACGACATGATTGCGCCGCACGCGTAAGGTGGAATGGTCATTAACTGTGCGTTCGCGGATTTGTAGCCCATGCCAGTCATGATCGAAGGCATTGCGAATTTGAGTGCGTAGTTCGGAACTGCTTGCGACCAATTGGCGAAGAAAAGCAGGACGATCTTCCAGTCGGTCAAGACGTCCCATAGAATGCGCCAATCAAAGTACTTCGTACGGTACTCCTCAGAGTTTGTAATGCGCCTGGCGGCTTGGCGTAGCTGGAGATACCTGATCTCGTCCGCATCAAGCCATCGCGAAGAGAGGGCAGGGCTGTCAATAAGGCAGAAAAAGCAGATTGCTGCTGCAACGAGTGTGGCACAGCCCTCGATGATGAAGATCTGGCATTTTGGTTAGCTCAACGCACAGTAGGTGGCATCTATTGAAGACGTACCCAACGCCACGGCTTAAAGCCAGCAATACCACCCATCTTCGAAATACCGAAGGCAAGCAGTCCCGAGAAGGCGCCACCAGTTGCCGCTGAGGAGTACAGAACGGCGATGCGAGTCTGTACCTCGTTCGGTAGATACCATTCACTGATCAGCAGAATCGCACCCGGGAAAAAGCCAGCCCTGCGAATACATGTCAGCGGTCACTTCTGTAACAGTCCGGTCTGGGAGTTGTGGAGGCAGTACTCGAAGAGACCAAGCAGGAAACGCATCGCCACGAGACCGCCGTAAGTCTTCACCAGTCCGGAGCACGTCATAATCACACCCCAGAGGAAGACAAGTAAGGCCAGATACTGCGACGGGCGCTTGAACAGCTTCAAAATGATGTTGCTGGGAACCTCTGCACAACCTCTTAGCGTACGTTATCGATGAGCCTTGAAGCGCCATACGCACCAAAGATGACATAGGGGATGAAGAAAATGGCAAGGGCGACGTTGTACTCTCTGCCACTCATGTGCAGATCCTTGAGCAGCCCTTCAATCTTGGCGTTGCCTGAAGCGTTGTTAGCGGTGAGGTCGAGTATCACTCTGATGCTCAATGCACGAACCAATGTTGGCCTTGTCGATGTAAGTGATAAGGTACAGCAACAGCAGGACCGGAAGAAGTCTCCAATCGATCTTTCTCAGCATCTTCTTCTTCTTGTCCTCAGGGAATGAAGCCAGGAACAGCGCATCGTCTCGGCTAAGGCCTGGCAAGGAAAGCATTTCTGTGTGCATTACTGCTCCCTTCTCCTCTACCGTTGACATTTCATCGGGCGAAGAGGACATCGCGGCCAACGAGACACTGGACAGCGGATCAGCTTTGGGGAGTAAAGAGTATTGCTAGAACGTAGTAGGCGAAGATTTACTGCTCGAATTCAGGCCGTTCCTTGAGATGTCTCCGTCTTTACCAACCACCTGTTATATAGATGAACCGCCGTGGGAAGGCCAGAGCGTGCGTGGCCTCCATGTGGCTTAAGGTAGCGTGTCGGGACGGATTCCCAAACAGATGTTTCGAAATCCGGAGAGAGTCTGGAGAGCGGTTGGAGTCTCCGAGCGTAGCGGAAACACTGCGGTCGACAGAGAGGGCAGACTAGTTTGCCCCATGGAGAAGAAGAAGCGATAAGAGGTGGAGCCTCGACTCGGAGAGCCCTGATTTGGGAAAGACAGTGGATACTGTAGTGGACCCCAGCTGAGGAGTGCAGGAATCCGTTCCCGCTAGGAATATCCGAGAAACTGGGGTTGAGGCATAGCCCGGATTTGCGACCTCTGTCGCCGGAATCAGAACAACAGTGGATATGCTGTGTTGCCCTTTCCGTGCTTCGTAGGTCTCAACTGACTAGGTCCGAAGGCCGGAACGCTTTGGTGAGTTGCAAATCTATGGGTATAAGTATCTTGCCGCTTCATCGTACTTTTTCACTCACTTCAACAGCTCAATTTCCCCCAAGTTAACCTCCAGCAGCTTCGCACTTGTGTTTCATCGACAAGTAAGCAGTGTTTGGCTGACAATATGCTCGACCTTCGTGGAATCACCCCTGCGCCAGTCACGCCTTTCACCCGCGAAGGTGCTGTCGACTATCCTGCAATCCAGCGACTGGGGTCATGGCTCGGTAGCATAGACGGAGTCAAAGGCCTAGTGGTCCTTGGGCATGCTGGCGAGGGCACTTTCCTAACGGCCGAGGAACAAGTTAACGTCATCAAGGCCTTCGTCCAGTCCGTGGACAACAAAATCCCTATCATCGCAGGCATTACCGGCGAAGGCACGGAGGTTGCAGCCTACGAAGCCAAGCGCGCAAAGGATGCCGGTGCGGCTGCCGGTCTCCTGTACCCTTCTCACGGCTGGCTCCGATTTGGATACCAGCCTGGTGCGCCTCAGGATCGGTACAAAGTCATCTACGAAGTCAGCAAGCTTCCTCTCATCTTGTTCCAGTACCCAGACAACACGAAAGCGACATATAGCTTGCAAACCATGCTCGACATTGCCGCCCTTCCAGGAGTTTTCGCTATGAAGAACGGCGTCAGGAACATGCGCCGCTGGGACACGGAGATCCCAGTGATCCGCAAGCAACGCCCGGATCTACAGATCTTAACCTGCCATGATGAGTACCTACTGCACACTGTGTTTGATGTGGATGGAATGCTGGTCGGCTACGGAAACATTGCGCCGGAGGCTCTTTTCGAGCTGCTAAAGGCTGGAAAGGCGCAAGATTACCCCCGAGCTCGTCAGGTCCATGATCAGCTTTTGCCAGTCACGAAAAGCGTTTACCACAGAGGCTCGCATATGGAAGGTACGGTGGCGCTCAAGCATGCGCTCGTGGCGCGTGGCATCCTCGAGCACGCAACGGTAAGAAGCCCTCTGCTCCCTCTACCGGATGGCGCAGAACAGGAGATCCATGAGGCAGTGAAAGCAGCATCATTGAGCCGCGTGAGTGGTACGTCCAAGGGTTCGCAGGGTACCAAAGGTGTGAGCAAGGTGAATGGACTCCATGCACAGAGCAATGACGTTGCTGTCTCAGCATGATAGCGTTCGTTCTGCATACGTGCGTGCTTTCGCTTATGAAACCCAGGTTACCTCATAGCGTCCGTAGGCTTCGAAGCATGACAGTGTCTGATCAACAGCATTAATCTGAGTCAACATACGTGTTTGCACGGGGAAGAGGTGTCGTGCAGATGATGGTCCCTGCGCCAACCTGGGACGCCAAGTAACATTAATCGTGCCCTGAGAGAGCGAAAACGACAGACAGGGCGACCTGCTGCGGTGTTGAACATCCACTGCACCTCCACTTCATCACAGGTTCGATAGCGACCGCCACTGTGGCCGGTAACATCAATATATCGGACGTTCGGCCTTCGCTCGCGACTCAAAACATCGCACTTCGGCGCGACCCTGCCAATGCCCGTGACGTAGGTGGACAACCTCAAACTACAAACCACCCCGCCCACGCTGGGCTTGCTGCGTAAGCGTACTAGGCGACTATACCCGGAGAGGCTTGATCCTTTGCGCATGGTTGAGCTGACAGCGCGTGCGACACCTGGTATAACGGCCTGGCATCTCTCGAAAGTTAGACACGACCCGTCTGGCCGCCGTGATATACTATGCTGCGTTGACACAGAAGCGACTTCGGATTCGAGCTGTACGTGAGTTCCGCGGACGACCGATGCCCCGAGCGGGCGCTGAAGGTCAATTAAGACGCTTGTGACGTGCCAGCCTACTTGAGGTCAACCGATTGGAGTTCTCCCATTTGCCGCCCGCTCCTATAGACGTACTCTCCAACAACAGCGCGGCCATCTTGTGCGCCTTTGTAGTTAAACCTTGGGGTATCACACGCAATGTCGCATTCGAACCCTCAGCGGCGAATGTCGTCCATCGACCGCGAAGATGCCGATATTGCACATGCAGAACTGCAAGCTGAGCCGGAACGATGGCGAAACTATCCAGAGGCCCAACGAATGGAACGCGCATATGACAGCTATCACGCGCATGATCGAGAAACTGGACCGACAGAAGTACCCGAGGAACCGCGTGAAGAAATCGAGGAGGCAGAGGAGGAAGAGGAGCTTCCCCGAGCCCGTGGCAAGCGTGAGATGTCCAGCGTCAGCACGAATCCGGATTTCGAAGCCATCCAGACAGGTGGCACGCGCTACCGCACCAATCGTCTGGACTCTGTAGGCACTACCCTCTCAACAACCTCCACGAGGATGGAGCGGGCGTTTATGGACTACCTCGACCGGCACCCCACAGCCATCAAACGCATGGAAGAACACCGCCTCCAACACTCCCACACGGTCGGAACGACGAAGTCCCGCGACGGCGTTCCCCTTCCCAGCTTTGGCGGTGGGAAACCTTACCCTCCTCCTCTTCCGGAGCGGGAAGAGTACGTCGTGGAATTCGACGGCCACGAGGACCCGCGGCACGCCCAGAACTGGCCGCTAAAGACCAAACTCATTATCGCCGGGATCTTGATCCTCGACGCGCTGGCCGCAACCTTCGCCTCCTCCGTTTTCTCCCCTGCAATGACCTATATCGAGGAGCACTTCCGTGTCGGACGCGAGGTAGCGACGCTCGGCACCTCCCTCTTCGTCCTCGGTTACGCTGTCGGACCGATTATATTTGCGCCCATGTCCGAGCTGTACGGTCGTCGTGTCCCCGTCATCATCGCCGCCTTTGGCTTCGGGATTTTCAACATCACTGTTGCGGTGGCCAAGGACTACCAGACGCTCATGCTCGGCCGCTTCTTCGCCGGTCTCTTTGGCTCCAGTCCTCTGACTGTCGTCGCTGCCGTGTTCGCGGATATGTTCTCGAACGAAGCGCGTGGTGTCGCTGTGGCTTGCTTTTCCGCTACCATCATCTGCGGACCCTTTACCGGCCCGTTCATTGGAGGATTCATAGCGAAGTCTTACCTGGGATGGAGATGGACGGCGTACATTCCCGCTTTCATGGGGTTTGCAGCCTGCATATTGGCTGTCTTCTTCCAAAAGGAGAGCTACGGTCCGGTCATCCTCGTTGACAAGGCATCCGAGCTTCGCCGTATGACCCGGAACTGGGGCATTCACGCTAAGCAAGAAGAAGTTGAGGTCGATCTCAAGGAGCTGTTGAGCAAGAATATCTCGCGTCCGCTGCGTATCCTGTTCACTGAACCGATCGTACTACTAGTTACGATCTACATGTCATTCATCTACGGTACGTCATAAAGACCGCCTACTCTAGTGACGAATGGCTGGTACTGATATTTGCAGGCCTGCTGTATCTCAATCTCACCGCTTACGGGCTGGTCTTTGGCCAAGTCCACGGTTTCAGCAATGGCGTCAACGGGCTGCCATACATCGGACTAATCATTGGCGTGATGATTGGGTTTGTGTGCGTGGTACTGATGAATCCGGGTTACGTGAAGAAGTTGAAGGCGAACAACAACAGTAAGCGCCCGCCATTTCCAGACCTCAGACCTTCATCACTAATGGCGCTCGACAGTCCCTGTCCCCGAATGGCGTCTTCCATTGACCATGGTTGGCGGCATCATCTTCTGCGCTGGCCTCTTTTGGTTTGGCTGGGCCGGCTACATGAAGTCCACTCCATGGATCGTTCCCACCCTCGCCGGCCTCTTCCTGGGCTTCGGCATTTACGCCGTCTTCTTACAGTGCCTAAACTAGTACGAGCCTCCGTAGCTCCCCACAGCAATCCGTAACAAGCATGCTGACCTCTACTGCAGCATCATCGACGCATATCTCATGTTCGCAGCCTCTGCAATCGCAGCAAACACCTTCATGCGTTCCATCTTCGGCGCCGTCTTCCCGCTCTTCGGTTACTACATGTTCGAAGGCATCGGTATCAACTGGGGCATGTCACTACTTGGTTTCGTCGCCGCGGCATTCATCCCCATGCCCTTTATCTTTTACATTTACGGCAAGAAGCTTAGGTCTATGTCTAAGTTCGCGCCGGCACTGGATATCCAACAGGACAAGCGGAGGGACGAGGAAGCGCGAATGGGTGGGGATGCTTCAGCGAATACTGCTGCCAACGATGCCGGCGAGGAGAGTGAGGGTACGTCGGGCCTCAAGCCTTCAAGGAGTAGTTCGGCGGAGAATGCGGAGAAGGAGAAGGAGCATAAGGTTGAGTAATAGCCGACCTGGAGGAGTTGCAAGACTTTTAATATCTGCTGTTGAGTGTGAACTTGTTGTGTCTTGGTAGGATAGCAGCCTTTCTTGCTTACCACCGACACTCACTTCGTAGGACAGCTAAATAGAACCTCCTTCTATCGCACTTAATCAACAAGAACTCAATTGCGCGCAAGTGTCAGCGCGCAGCTTCAATACTCGGTCGTCTCTGCATATATGTACACATATCACCGCATGCTGCAGGCGCGAACGAGGGAAGTCAAGAGCGCCAGAACGCCGTACGATTCACGATCGCAATGCCAACGACTACAGCTCCTTCTCCTTGGGCTTAGCGATACCTTCCTTCCTCTTCCCCGTACCCGTGGCCGTCGTCTCCACTGCCGACCTATGACCGACCGCTTCCGGGCCCCCAATTGTCTCAAACGCCGTGTGAAAGGCCCACTCGGTGGCATATTCGACGGGCTTGTCGAAAAGAAACGGCAAAGCAGGCACAGCAGCCAGACCAAGTCCGATAGGACCCCAGGTCCGTATCCGCGTATTCTTTACACCTTTCAGCGCCTGTCCCGAGTACCGTACGATACTGTGGATGGTGAAGGCGGGCAAGCCCATCGATGCTACAGATTGGAAGACGGCTCGTTGCGCCATTACGGTTCCCCAGTGGTCAATCGGCGCCACGCGGCCGGTGAGCGCTGTCTCGTGAGATGGAGAGGTCGTTGCGGAAGCCGGTAGGTCGGGCGGCGTGTCTGCAGCTGGGTGTAGAGCTTGCTGGTTCCGCACGTACGCTTTGTAGCCTTCGTGGCCGACGTCACCGATCAAATACGCCCATGAGATACCGTAGGCCGCTGTAACCAGTCGCGGATGTGCTATGGGGCGGAAGCTCTCGCCTATATCACTGGTGTAGGCCACGTATCTGTGTGCAGAGAGAAGGATAGTGCGGAAGTTTCGGGCGTAGGCGGCGTAGCGGACGGAGGTTTCGGTAGTGTCCTCGCCTTTGCCTTGCTGGAAGAGGTTCCACCATGACTCCTCGTTATCTATGGTGTCTTGGAGCTCCTTGGGAAGTGTCGCTCGGGGCAGTGGTTTGGAGAAGTCTGGTCGGGGGCCGTCTGTACGCTCATGAGGGATGTCTGAAAGGTCGTCAAGATCTGATTTTTTCCTGTCGCCACGGGCCATGATGCTGTCCTGGTACAATACTTCGTCCTACGCTACTGCTTCAGAGTGTGTGTCTACGTGTACGTCTCTGGTATCGGAGAGGGTATCAGTACGCCTCGGCCTCTGAGCTCGAGCTCTAGTGTCGCCGAGTGTGGCGCAAGGTCTGTGGCGTCATTCCCGTTCCGAAACCCCAGTCCATCTCTGAGGAGCACTGGAGACATTCAACTCGCTACACGAAGCACTCCGACTCGAGAACCCTTCCACTCCTCCGCGTCTACAGAACTGCGACCGCCAAGATGGTGCAGTACTACGAGATGTTCGGCACGAAGGTCGGCTCGCACCACGTACGTCTCTCCTCCCAGCGGACTGTCCCTTTTTATTACTGGACCGCGATCCTACTACCTCCCTGCCTCCATGGTATAAGCCTGAGCGGCCACTGACACTTTACGCTCCAGCTCTCGATTGCCGTGCTCACCACAATGTTCGTCGGCGGCTATATGCTAAGCGGCGGCAGCAAGAAGCCCACCGAGAAGGGCCCGCAGTTCAATGCAAGCAGCAAGGATGAGGAGAACTTCATACAGTACGCATGAACCCATGCTGGCCATTGCCAAGATATCAGGAACACCGTCGTAGCTGACAATCGCAACAGAGACTTCCTCAAGCAAGCAGAGTCGGAATCGAAGGGCGCGCAAGCGGGAGGCAAGCACTGAGTGAAGCTCTACAAATGCGCGGTTAGCAGCATGAAGATCGGCCATCTGCTGTTTCCGCAGGCAGTGTACATGTAGAACAAATGCTGTGATAATATTGGGCGAGCTACACCGTAGCGGTACCCGCGTCAGTCGGCTCGTCAATGTTCGCCTCCGCAGCTAAAGCGTCATCATCCATCTCTGCCCATCCGTACTCATCCACTTCCCCATCCGAATCGGCCACCTCATCGAATGTACGCTTTCGAGGCTTGACCGGGCTACGCTTCACGGCTGTTGGAATCACTTGCGCGCCACGGCCCCGGAGCTCCACAAGCTCACCGTCAGCGCTGATATCAAAGCCGACCATCTTCCCTACCTCCCCAATCTCCTCCCTACTAATGAGGCTCCGGCCACCGCATTTCTGCAGGCCTGCGAACCGCCCAGCATAGTCCCGGAGAACGACCATGCGAGTCCAGACTCCAGCGTCCCACTCAGCACCACCTACGCCCGGGATAAGCGCTGAGCCAAGCCCGCTGTCAGTACGCATGCGGGAGGCACACCCTGTCGTAACGATAACTGCTAAGTTGTGGATGACGGCTAGCTTGTTTAGACCTGCGACCAGCGCGCCGAGGACGGTGTAGCGACGCCCGGCTTGCCATTTCTGCTGTTCGGTCTTGTTTCCACTGGCGAAAAGTATGCGCGGGTAATCATTGTCGATCAGAGAGTTCAACCCGTCGATTATCAGAAGCGACGTGCCTTCTCGGACGAAGCCGTCTCTCGGGTGAAGAATTAGCGCCAGCAAATGTGATAACGTTGGCACAGCACGGTAGGAAAAGCGGGACATGCAGGCCTCGAGCTCACTGGAATTGAGAGAGCCGTCGCTCGCGGTATCAGCCCGACGCTGCAGCATCGAGCGTAGCCTCGGGCCGGACAGTGGTGTAGCAGCATCTAACTCGAATGAGTAGGATACAATATGGTGGAGGAGTGAGCACATACCGAGCCATGTCACCATATGCCCTCGCATTACTTCCCTCGCGGCAGCTTGCATCCTGTTGCGCTATTAATGCTAGAGCCTGGATCGACACAGCCCTGGTGAATCAATGGACACGCTCAATTGGTAAGACGTACAGTATGGTAGTCTTGCCCGCGCCAACTGGACCCCATAGCTCACCAACTTTGCCACGTTCGAAGCCGCCTTGACCGGAAGCTTTGCCGGCTACGAGAAAGTCGAGAGGCTGCAGACCGGTGCTCACGGCATCTGGTCCATGGGACTGAAGGTCCTGAAGCGCTCGTGATGCAGAGACAGTGGGCAGACGGTGTGCATGTCCCTTCGTTTGTGTCGCCGACGGGGAGGAGCAAAGGTTGATAATCTGGGCTGTGGCAGCCATCGGATCCTTTCTGGCTACATCGGATCAAGCGTATTCATTCGCCCTCACGCATGTAAATTGATTTGCTGCAGATAGAATCATTAGGATCCTTCAAAATGATTCGGACGCGTACAGTGGTCGCAGAGGACGCGATTCAATGCCGCGCCGAGCTGACGTCGAGTCGGGCCGTGTCTCCCCCATCAATAGTGTAGCGCAAGTGAGCGAATGCTTGCTCGCGACTACAGCATCTACGCTTGTGATGTTTGCCACGGACGCGATAGGCTTAACAAATGCACACGTTTGTCACTGTTTCCTTCGGGCTCGCATGTCACGAAGAGCATCTCAAGCAAAGTGATCTGTATACATCATTTCGGTTTCCGCGTCAGCATCCGGTGAAAGCAATACATTTAGTCTGCGCTTCTACGGAGGCATTGCACATCTAGTACTGGCGATGGCGGCCATGGCATTGTTTCAGCATTACGTCGATTATTTGACGAGTCCCGGAGTCCTCCTCACAATTGCCGTCCTTGTGGGGCCCATCTTCTTCTCAGTGTCCGCCGAGAAGATCACAGCAGCGAAGACGAAGCCCCCAGACGTGCCTCGAGGTTGCCGGCGACTTGGTCTGAGAGGGAAAAGCAATCTCAATCGGCAGGTTCAACAGACAGGCACGGCTGAGGATGCTCGTCCGATCGTAAAAGCTCTATTTACGTATCCTATCAAATCATGCCGTGGTGTTGAACTGCCAGCTTCGGAGGTCGAGTCAAGCGGCTTGAGATACGACCGGCTGTTCTGTTTCGCACAGCAATTACCAAGAAGCGAGAAGGACAAGGCTGCCGGAGAAGATCGCTGGCGCTTCATCACGCAACGAGAGTTTCCCAAGCTCGCCTTGCTGCAGACGGAACTCTGGATCCCGGAGCCTAAGCGTCAACCTCCTACGGTGGCGAACGGACGTGGCTCCAAATCGCAGCGTCTTCCGAGCAACCCTTCGGGAGGCCGCCGGAGGAATCGGGGTTCTACTCTGGTTGGTCAGCTAGAAATCGGCGGTGACTCGGAGACGCAGGCCAAGGGCTTCGACTGGGCTGCTCAAGGTGGATGCGTGGTAATTTCTTTCCCGCACGAGCCTTCGTTGAATGCACTGGGGCTACGCACGCAGCGGGTGAACATAGTGATACCACTTACGCCAACATCGCAGCGCGCTGAGGCGAAAGGCTACTCTTATGAGCAGCTGAGCATCTGGGAAGACGCCGCACGAGCGTTAAACATGACCAAGGAGATTGACAAAAGCGACCTTCAGAAGCTAGCACAATTCATTGGCGTTAGAAACCCTCTTGCACTGTTCCGCGTCGACGACTCAAACAAGCGACCAGTGACCAGATGTCTGCCGAAGGATGCGTCGGGCAATGACTTCCGTGTTGGCTTTGGCGATGCCTTTCCCGTCAATCTGATGGGTCTGGCCAGCGTGAAAGCAATAGACGACTCGCTACCATCCGACACCAGTGCGAAAGGGCAGCTGGACCCCACTCGGTTCAGAGCGAACTTCTACATCACGGGCACCGCACCCTTCACCGAGGACACTTGGAAGAAGATCACCGTAGGCAGACGCATCGGTCGCAATGACAAGGGTCTCTTTGAATGTGACGCAGAGTACCATGTCGCTTGCCGTACCGCTCGCTGCAAGCTGCCGAACGTGGACCAGGACACTGGCGTCAAGGATAGGAATGAGCCTTACACGACGTTGAGCAAGACCAGGAAGGTTGATACGGGAGCCTACCCGCATCCTTGCCTTGGTATGCAGACGATACCGATGTTTGAGCGTGGCATTATCAGAGTTGGCGATGAGGTGCAAATCCTCGAAACGGGCGAGCACTGCTATGAAAAGATGTTTACATGATCTATTGCAGTGTCAATTATCTACAGGAAGCGAAACACAGAGACGACATGGGAGCCAAGCCTCCGCGCTCCAGCAATCCATGTGTGCACCTTGGCGATCATTACGGTCCCGGAATGGGCAACAGTATCGTCTACCACTGAGGCCAGTAGGGTTTGCAGAAATACATGCGCCAAGCACTGAGCATGCAGAACCGTCAACTACACAGACCTCTCTAGGTCGACCTCATGCACCTGCGGCCTTCTGTCCTCTTCCGCGTCGAACTCGAAGATGGGAGTGTCGCCCCTGAAGTGGCAAGGCACAGTCCTGCCAGGTTCGAGACTGCAAGCGCGCCGTTCGGTCAAGTCCTGAACACTGGAACCGACTGATTTGCCGTCCGATCTGTGGACGGCCACGACCTCGGCACGGTCAAGGCGGCAACTAAGCATCACTGTCAGCATGAGCGCAGTACCAGGAAAAGACGTAGGGCTGACGGACCAGCTTCCAGCTGAAATAGTGCATCTGTACAACAAGCGAGACCAAATCCACGTCGTCCAATCACAGGAAGCCGTCTGATCCGTGAGGCTACTCTCCTGTTTACGAGCATCCCTTGGCGCAGCTGCGCAGCTCTGGGGTGCCTGGGTGGTGGCTGCGGAGGCTATAGGCACCCCCGTCTCGACCTCCACAACATCGCCGTGCCTGCTGAAACGCAATGGCGGTCCTTTCGTTACTGCCGAAGCATAGGCCATTGTCCTCGTGACGGTCGTGGTGCTCGTTATCGTGATTGGTACATGCTTGAGAATCTGCTGCAAGCCGTTGTCGCCAATGGCTGGCACATAGAAGGCGGCCGTTGCGGAACGAAGCGCGGCGAAGGCTACTGAGACCGAGAGAACGAAACGCATCTTGTCTGAGCCAGCAGACGAAAACACTGACAAGACAAAGGGCGTCAGAGAGTGAGGACAGTAGCGATGGATGGTCTCAGACAAGATGTCGCATAAGGCGAGCGTTTGTCCATTTGACCGTCTGCTTCGACTACGCCGCATTCGAGATGGAACAACGTATGCGCTGCTTCGCCGCCATGGCACTCAAGATGATACAAGCACTTGACCTAAGTATATCGTGCATCGGCTTTTGGCGCTCGGTATGGTGGCCTTGCAGGAGATGGGGGACTAAGCGCTGCTGTGCCGTAAAGGGCGGCAAACCCGCTCACCGTTCACATCTGTTCTCGCACGGATGTTGCATTCGTACTGTTGGTCATATGACGATTAGCGCAGTAAGGCTCAAATTGCGAAAGGTCGCTGTTACCGCCGCACGGCATGGTCCAGCCTCCGGTGATGACGGCCGTGCTGCGAAGCGCCAATACAATGTGCGTCATGCCAGCCTTCAATATGGCGACAGATACCACTCTGCCCAGTCCGAGATAGCTAAAGCGCCAATCTTGAGGTCCGTATGCGATCACCCGCCCGTCCGGTGTACCTGCTTCCAAACTCACATTTGCAAGCCAGTTATACAAACAGTCCCCTTGCTTCAATGTCAAGGACAGAAACATCTGAGTGACTTAAGAGCCGCGTGCGATGATGTGCCGGCCGTATTGACGTACGCGAGCAGTGGCACTTCGTCCACTGAACACAGTCCGTTGAAGTCCCATTACATCCTAGGTCACGTTTGACAACTACCCTCATATCGGAGACTGGCGGCATAGCTGAACATTCGTCATCAATGTCGATCGTCCCATTTTCGCAAATTGACGTTTGCAGCTCCATCTGGAGTTCCAAGAAGCCAGTAGAGGTTGGCTTACCGTCACTGTAATTTCCTGCACAGAAGGTCATCTTGACACAGCGACGCCGGCATTTACGAAACGAGCAGGTTTCACCAACATCAACGGCAGCGCTTGGAACTTGTCTAGACTGGTTTTGCTGGTCCATCAAATGCGGCAAAAGGCCTTCTTGTCGCTCGGCATTAGTGGCAATCGAGGCGCAGGCTATGCCGCGGCGACAACATGACTATACGTGAGCACCTTTGTGTGAGTGGTTCTACCCCGACGAGTGCTCCACAGCTCGTTCCTTGTGAACCAAGGGAGATGATCATTCTAGCGGAATTCAGGAGTAATCGAGACTTTCAGGTTAGAATGAGAGCGAAGGGGTAGGGAGGAAACGGACGGGACTGAATACGGAAGGGCGCTTAGACCTTACTCTCGGCCGCTTCGAATAAATGCTACATCATTAACGCCGTCATGTCACGACAGTCTCCATTGTTTGTTTGATGCTGTATCGCAGCAAATACTCCAGCCTATACCCAAGCTCTGCAGTCCCTCCCCATCTGCTCGGCTTCATTCTCCAGCAGCACCACTAGATTTTCTTTCCAACCGCCCATGCACTTTCCAGCCACTCCCGCGTCAAGACCGTGCCTTCCTGGCCATTGCTTGCCTTACACACTTCTGACGACAGGCGCTCCATATCTTCGACCCAGCAGCTGCCAAGAAGGCCACCGACACAGTCACAACTTGTCCTCACGATGTCGACCTCGATGCTTGCGACACTCGGACCGAATGTGACGTCCAGAGCCACTTCGCAAGCGCCTTGAGCGGAACACTCTTCGCATGGCGAAGGCGTTTGACGATCTCAACTCCACAGATATGCTACAGTGCGTTGCGTGAGACCATGCCAAGCCACGCTTGGAAATAGCTTTCGTCGTCTTCGTCAATGTTGAACTAGAACACGTTCATACGGTGGTACAAGGATAGAACTTCAGCTCGTAACACGCCATTCACGGGAGCCAAGCGCGGGATCTCGTATGCATGGTTGTAGCTGGGGGGCCGAACGGGTCCAGCTCCGAGGGCTCCTATACCGATCAAAGCGAACGCGCAGATGTTGCTCTGCAGCTCCGTGGGCAGCTGGGTGAAGCGTGGGAAAAGAAGTTCGTCGTCGCGGCGTTCAAGTGTTTCACTAAACCGCTCCCTGCTGTCGCGCCGCGTGCCAGATACCTTGAGCTTCCGGTCACAGACGAACTGAACCAGCTCCTCGTACGTGCAGTTGGAATACTTGCGTAGGCCACGCTCGGCGCGCTTCACCAGTTCTTGTAGGCGCTCTTCGCTGTCTCGATCATGATACCGGATTCCGTGCTGCTTGAGAGCAGACTTGAGGAGTTGATCGCGCAATTGGCGCTTTGGGCGTGATGACCACAGAGCCGGAGCGTTTTGCTCTTCCGCCATTGTAGTTTTAGATCGTGTGTTGAATAGCGGCTGTCTTGAGTTTGTCCGCACGTCAGTTGCGTACTTAGGTGGAGGAATTGCGTGAAGAACTGCCGAAGCTTTCGAATGCTTTAGCACGAATTTTGCTTGAGTCGCCGGAAGTGGCTGCGGGTCAAGGCTCGCCATTCACCAAACGCATAAACTCGGAGGTCTCGTAGGCCATGTGATCGGGACCCACTGTGTTATGCGTGGCCTATTCACTCGGCTGGCCGTGGCGTTGCGGCCCGTGTATGCATTCGTCGCCCTATGAAACAGATCTCCTGGGCGGAAGCTCAACGTTGCAATGTCACTCCAGACAAGCTGGGCCTCGAACGGCTAACGACAAAACTCCGTCGTGCGACCTGCGCAGCCGCTCAGCGAAGTTTCCTGCAATTTATATACCAGCGACGGACAGGCGTTAGCGTCGTTTACGTTCTTGTTCTTGCAAGTCCGAGCGGGAAGGACGACCTGATATATGCTGACACGCTGTTTGCTCCTCTCTTGTTCAGCCAGGAAGCAAGACGGAAGCGTTGTGTGACAACAATCGGTCTGCATCAATGCGATGAAACCATACGCCAACAACACCTAATCGGGACCCCGCGCACTCACTTCTTCGAACCATCAACCCACCAGCCCATGAGCTCATTTACCGCCCTCCGACCTTCCCCTCCTCACAAGCCAAACCAATAAATCCACCTTCGTCACCACCGCCACCGCCCTCAACGTCCCCTCCCCATCCCTCTCCGTCACAATCGCCGCCGCATTCCAAACAAAGAACCTCTCCAAGGCCTTCAAGCTCGTCTCCTTCGTAATCTCCACAAACTGCCTCTTCGTCTCATCTCCCTCCGTCAAGGCCGGGTTCTTCTCCAAAGGTTTCACCTCATCCAGTTTGCTAAAGTTGAACATCACTTCACTTACAGGCGAATCTATTGTAACGCGACCAGAGGAGAGGTAGGAGAGGCAGTTTCCTAGCGTTACGAGGCCGATCAGACGGCGGGTTTTGCTGCGGGAGGTGACGGGGATTTGGTCGAAGCCTTTGTCTCGCATTAATTCGACGGCTTCGTCGACGGTTTGGGTGGAGCTGATGGTTTGGATGGGTTTGAGGCGGAGATCGGCGATGGTGGCGTGGGCGTATTCGTCGCGGGAGATGGGGCGGCTGGACTTGGTCTGTGAAGGAGCAGGATGGTCGTCGTTGTGGTCCTTTGGGATTACTTGCTTCTCCTGCCCGGATTTGTCTTTGGCTTCCATATGCGGGGTGGAAGGGGCTGTAAGTGGTGGCGAAGGCGGTAACAGATCGTTTGCGGCCAGCCAGTCGTCGTCCACGAATTTGCTGAGGTAGCTGCGGATGCTGTCCGGTAGTATGACCACAACACTGTCGTTCTTGCTGAAGTTCATGTCCTTGATCGCTTTCATGCAGGCGGTCATTGCTGAGCCGGAGCTGCCACCTACTAGCAGTCCTTCTTCGCGGATGAGTCGGCGGGCCCAGTAGAAGGATTCTCGGTCGTCGGTCTTGTACCACTGGTCGACTTCCTTCTGCACGAGAACCTCCGGAATAAAGTCGTAACCAATACCTTCCACTTTGTACGGCTTGTCTTTGAAGTCGTCATTCAATGATGCGGGCAACGCTAGGATCGAACCTTGCGGGTCCGCAGCCACGATCTTCACGCTGTTACCGTGCGCCTTGCGTATACCCCTCGCCAGGCCCGTGATTGTGCCTCCGGTGCCAGCACCTGCGATCACAGCAGCCAGACGACCCTCTATATGCTCGGTTTGCTCTACGATTTCCTTCGCCGTGCCCAGCTCATGCGCAAGCGGGTTGTTTGGGTTACTATACTGATCCAATATGACACCGCCGGGTATCTCCTTCTCCAGCCTCCGAGCGACGCCAATGTGGCTCTCTGGACTATCCCACGCCGCGCTCGTCGGCGTCCGGATGATCTCCGCTCCCAGCGCTTTCAGCACACTCACCTTCTCGCTACTCATCTTCTCCGGCAACGTGATGATGGTTCTGTACCCTTTCACCGCACCCACCAGCGCCAGCCCAATGCCGGTGTTGCCTGAAGTGGGCTCAATGAGGACGCTGTGTCCGGGCTTGATACGGCCTTCCTTCTCCGCCGCCTCGACCATACGTAAGGCGATACGGTCTTTGACACTGCCGCCAGCGTTGAAGAACTCGCATTTTGCGTAGATCTTGCAGTCTATATTGGCAGACTTGGGAATGCTGTTGAGGCGGACAAGAGGCGTATTGCCTATGTTCTGGAGGATGGAGTCCATGATCAAGGGCGGATGCCGGGGCTTTTCTGTGGTGAGGTGTGACATTGTGGCGATATTGTAACGAGGCGGAGAGGTCGAAGAGACAGTGGAATGTTGTACTTACAAGAGAGACTTACATGTGATGTCTGAAGTTGGACGAGAGACTGCGTGCCGCCTGCGTTGGGCTGGCGACGTTGCTGTCGTCTCATCCAGCCGCTGATAACCGCGCCGGTGTCAGCGGAGGATCGATCGCCTTCTGACAGCCGGCTCCCCTTCTTCCTGCTCTACAACAATCACCTGCTTCCCTCACGTACTCGAAACATAACTTCTTCTCGGCACACTCGATATTCGTCGAGTCCATCTGCCTGTTCCGGCCAGTAGTATCTATAGAGGAGACGTCGATAAGATCAAAGCTATAAGCATGAGCGCCCGGTCCGCAATTACCGCATAGCATCTTTGACCTTGCCAAGACGTCATTGAAGGTGCAGCTCAAAGTGAAGTATATATGAACGCAATTGGCAGATCTATAGATTCGATTCCAGTTTCTTAACATCCATACTCTCTTCATTGCCACTACTCTCACTTATATCACTGACTGACAGCTATAAGTTCTACCATGGAGACAGTAAAGCAAGCAGTAGGCCTCGGCGGCTCTTCAAGCCCACGACTAGCATGGATCGGCTTGGGCAACATGGGTCGCGGCATGGTCAAGAACTTGGTCGAGAAGGGCACCTACACCGCTCCGCTCCTTGTCTACAACCGCACCGTCGCCCGCGCCGAGAAACTCACCTCCACTCTACCCTCCGGCAAGGCCAGGGTAGCCTCGACAATCCAGGATGCCGTAAAAGGCGCAGACATCATCTTCACCTGCGTTGGCGATGACAAAGCCATCGAAGAGACCATCAACACAGCCCTCAAGAGCCCCGAAGCCAAGGGCAAGCTCTTCGTGGACTGCTCGACCGTGCACCCGGACACCACCAACAAGCTCGCCAAAACCATCAGCGAAGCGGGAGCAGAATTCGTCGCTTGCCCTGTCTTCGGCGCACCCGCAATGGCCGATGCCGGGCAGCTCGTCTGCGTCCTTGCCGGACCAAAAGCGCAGGTCGACCGCGTAAAGCCTTACTGCAAAGGCGTCATGGGCCGTGCTGAAATCGACTACGCCGACCAACCCCACGGCGCCGCCACGCGCCTCAAGATCGTCGGCAACACTTTCATCCTCAACATGGTCGAGACGCTGTCCGAAGGCCACACGCTTGCGGAGAAGTGCGGACTAGGCACGGACAATCTGCACGCTTTCATTGAGACCATGTTCCCGGGTCCGTATACTGCGTACAGCAATCGGTTACGGCAGGGAGACTACTATAAGCGGGAGGAGCCGGCGTTTGCAGCGAAGTTGGCGCGCAAGGATGCCGGGCATGCGCGGAGTTTGGCGGAGAGCTGTGGGTGCAAGATGAAGGGTCTGGAGGTGGCGGATGCGCATTTGAAGGATGTGATTGAGCATTCGGGGGATAAGGGCGATATTGCAGGGATATATGGGGTCGTGAGGCAGGAGAGTGGGCTGAAGTTTGAGAATTAGAGTGTCTCTAGGGAGCACTACTTCAGGGCAGTGACGATGGTGCCGCTCGGTCGAGGAAGGTGCGAACCTTCCTAAAACCGGAGTAGCTTCTCGATCAAACGCATGTCGCACATGACTACAACGCACATGACTCCACGCATTAGCCAGAGTTCCCGCAAGTTGGCCCTTTGACAGAAGCATGTCTGAACAATATTCGTCACCGTCCTGGGAGTGGGAGCTGCAAGCCACACGCAGGCAGATTTGAGCCCGTATTGAGAAGCGGGCAACCCCAATTCGACTTGATATCTTTGAAAGACCTCCAGAAAGTTGAGGCCGCCCAAATGGTGTTGCGCGGAAGGCCATTCCTGCTTAGAGTCCTGCACAGGGCTGGGTTTACACACGAAGAGCATCGCAGCAAATAACAACTGCAAGACTTATGGCACCGCGCAGGTTGTGGGCGCTGCAAGTACACGAACTGCAACGACCAGGAATTGGCACGATTCATCACTAACCGCAAGATCAAGGTATCCACGCTGGGCGGGAAAGGGAGACTGGAAAGCACGACCGAGCCGAGATGATTGGTTTGTCGGAGCGTGGTGATGATGGTCCCCCATTCAACCGCTTCCACGAACTGCCGATGGAATTGCAATTCACCGTCTGCGGCTCCGTCCTATGCGCCGAAGGACACACTCCCTCTACTCGCCATCCATACGCTATTCGACACTTCGACTACCAAATGCCGTCTATTGTCAAAGTCAACCATGGACTTCGTGGGCATACGTTGAACCTCTACCATCTGACACACATCTTCGAACTCGAGAATGGCAGCAGCTACTCTGCACTTCGGTTTGAACGGTGGTTCACGAAAACGTCAAACGAAGCTCTAGCTTACTTCCGCAGAATCAAGCTGACAAAGGCTTTCACGAAAGTATGCCCGGACAGAAACTTCTGCGTGGCGTCTGTGCTCTTGACGTTCAACCTCAAGCTAAGGACGGTCGATGGCAAGGTTGTTACCTGGGACGTCGGCTGTCGAGCTGGTGACGCATGGATCAAGAAGGTGACGGATTTAGCGCGGGTTCGGCCGGAGGGCAGCGGCGGTGCGATGCTTACGAAGGAGAGATTGAGGGAATTGTGGGAGCTTTGCTAAACCGGCTGAGTTTAGCATCGGTTAGGAGAACTGGTGTTTAGGTGTCTTCGGGGCGGTAATGTCAGGTGGCCGGTCATCTCTTCCTTTCGCCGGTGACTGGGCACGCTCCCGCACTACGTTCTGCTCAGTGCAATGCCGGCTAGCTCAAGTTGGGGCAAACAGCAAAGCATATAACACCCATGTGCTCACAGCGGCGTCACAATGTGCCAGTCCTTATCTTCGACGCATTTGACCAACCAACCTGGTCTGGGAAGGTGCGACCCTGACAGCAGGCGTAGCTTCCCTTCCTGTCGCAGGCAGCACATGAGGACATCACTGCAGGTGAATGAGAATTCTGTGGGTTCGTCTCCGTCCGGACAACTTCACTTCGCGAAGATGGACTCCGATACTAGTCATCGCTGAAGCACTGGTACCTCTCCAGTACATAATCAGGAAAGCGAGAACAAGTAAACTCCTCCGCCAGCTCAGGTCAATCGCATGCTGAGGACCGAGGCCCTTTCGATCTTTCACCGCTCAAATATGTTGTTCTTCGACCTGAGTAGGCTGAGTTTGGGCCACAAGTCTGAGAGCTATGAGGACAAGCCCAAGGACAGCTCTATACGGCTGCAAGAGTGGCTTGGTCTTCTTTAGAACAAGTCCTTAGCGGATGTGCATAAAGTCAAGGTAGAGAGACGGTTCGTAGATTGCAAGAGCTACAGGGAGCTAGAGCTGATGTTCCGTCACGATTCCGTCACAAGAGAGACAACTACCCACAATTCTCGGCTCGCCTATGACGACAACGAATGCGAAGAGTGGGTAGAGTATATGAAGGAGAAGTAGGTGTCGGAGATGGAAGTAAAGAATGCGGAGGAAAGGCGCCCAGTCGTCACGCCCAACCGGCTGGAAAGGTTGTGGTATTGTGATTGCCAGTATGAGTGAAGCTGCTTGGGGACGCTCCCACAGTCCGGCGCGCTATCACTGTCGTCTGACATTGCGAAGCGTCGACGCTGGAGCAAAGATAAGAGCATACCTAGCGAGTGACGCCGAATCCGCCAGGTCGACCAACGACGATTGACGGTCACCGAAGCCAGAATCACGGAGTCCTCAGAAGCATCAATGGCATGTAATCGACCTTTCTACCCACGTGGGCCGTAAGCGTATGTTGCGTGTGGGGATTAGTTGCTACATATGTACAAGTGGGCTGGCGTGAGCAGGTCACATACCCACCCAGACGTACTACCACTGCCAGCAGTAGACCGATTCCGGCTACCTCGCCTGCGTCTCTGGAGTATGCGTGTCTCTCCGATCAAAGTACGTCCACTGGCCCTCTGCAGGCTTCTCCTCGAGTTCCTCCCATCTGTAAGACATGGCACATTAGTAATTAACCCCATCACCGTATCTTCTCTCACAAAATAAGTGAGATGACTTACATCTTCGCCTCCGCAAGCGTATCAACCAACTTCTCCTCCCCCTCCGCCACCTGAATAATCTCCTCGATCAAGCCCGCGGCAATCCGCTGCTCTACCTCCTCCACCTGACTCGCACTCAATGGCGGCTCCGGCTCAATCCTTGGAATCTTGGCCGCATCCACCACTGGGTCATGCGCGAGCTGACGTCCCTGATTGCGGCGCTCGTGCTCAGTCCGCGGACCCTCGCCTAACTCTCTTGCATTCTTGTCGCCCATCTCTGCGTTCAGCTTAGCTTCGGCCGCGCTGGCTTTGTAAACAACGTTATATTCCGTCCCCTGCGGAGAAGAAGAGACGGGGATCTTCTTGAAGGCTTCGGGGTGCGCATCTACGGTTTGCTGGACGCGGGTTTGCCATTCTTCCAAGCCGGAGGGTTTGACGGACTCGATTATGGCCAGTCGGTGTTTCGTCAAGGCTTCGACGGATTGGCGGTAGACGCTGCTTTCAGGGAAGTTCTGGCGGAGTTTGGTCAGGGTGCTATTGTAGAGTTGGATGAGGGTTGTGCGAGGGGTGGAGTGAGTGAAGAGGCCGGTAAGGCCGGTGGGAGAGCCGGCTTCGAGGAAGGTAGGGTTTTTGGCGGCGGTGGAGGTGGCGGAGGAGGCGAGGGAGGCGAGGAGGCGGGTGGCAGACCTCATCTCGGCGGTTTGCTGTTGCTCAGAGTTGAGTGATGTTCAGATGTCAATGGCGAAGCCTGAGGTATGGAGTGTAAGGTTCGTGGTAGTAGGGTTAGGGTTCGAGCCTGCATATGCAATCAGACAAGGATGGCAGATAGGAAGTAGTCTAGACAAAGACCGCAAGCAATAACCTCTGAAGCTGTCGCGTGATATTGAACCATTAGGATCGGACCGTGATTATCACCACGAACTCTACGACCAAACCATATACCCACGTGACGAAAGACAGTAGACCTGATACCGATCGTATAACGTGGCGCATACACGGGCGACTGGCATCTAACTACTGTATTGACGGGCCTTGAGCCCAGTCAACATTCGTCATGCGCGCTTCGTACCTACTGCGTCTTGTTACCGCCACTCTCATAGGTTCATCCATCGCTGCATGGTTGGAGCGGCCTGCCAAAGACCTCGACCTCCCTAAACGCCAAGACGTCGCCGAAGGAGAAGGAGAGTTCAGCACGGCAGAGAGCACCGATGCCGGTCTGGAAGTGGAAGAGGGAAGCACCTTCAACGGCAAGCATGTCCCACCGGAGATGTATATCGAAGGCGCCAAGCTGGATGAGACGATAAGCAGCGGCTACTGGGCCGTTGAGTTCTTCAGCCCGTACTGCCACCATTGCCGGGCATTTGCGCCGACATGGTTGACGCTCTACGAGTTTTACTACACACAGGAACCGGTGGCGGGAGGTAGTGGAAAGGACGCCGACATCAGCTTCACGGACTACTATGACTTCCACTTCGCCAAGGTGGACTGTGTGGCCTACATGGATGCGTGCTCCACGAAGGATGTCAAGAGCTTTCCTACCATTAAGCTCTTCAAAGACGGTGAGCCGGTGAAGGAGATCATGGGCGCCCGGAGTATCAAGGTGATGAGCGAGTGGGTGGAGGAGACGCTCGAGACCATCCGGCCCGGGTCACGACCGAAGGGCGGCATGAAGGTACCCAAGGTCGGCGCGGACTCGGTGGAGAAAACTCTCATGCCCGAAGCACCTCCAGAACCCGCGCTGAAGGATACGGACGCCACCAAGACCGCCTCAGACTCAGCATCCACCGTTACTGCAACTCGAGTCGCGGAGCCTGTCACACCCAACCTAGACGGCCGAAGCAGACCTTTGACTGCGGAATCCTTCCAACGACTCGTCACCACGAGCCGCGATCCTTGGTTTGTCAAGTTCTACGCCCCATGGTGTGGACACTGTCAAGCGATTGCGCCAAACTGGTCTGGCATGGCGAAGCAAATGCGCGGGCAACTCAACATAGGCGAAGTCAATTGCGACGTGGAGAAGCGGCTGTGCAAGGACGTCAAAGTTAAAGGCTACCCAACCCTCCTCTTCTTTCGTGGCGGCGAGCGTATCGAATATGACGGTCTTCGTGGGCTAGGCGATCTCATCCGTTTTGGTAATCAAGCGGTCGCGGTCGCGGAACCCATCCAAGATGTCACGGCCGCGGAGTTTGAAGCCCTCGAAGCGAAAGAAGACGTGCTTTTCCTCTACTTCTATGACCACGCTACCACGACCGAAGACTTTGCCGCTTTAGAGCGCCTCACCATGTCCCTCATCGGACACGCCAGACTCGTTACGACCAAAGACCCACTCTTAAATGACCGCTTCAAGATCTCCACCTGGCCACGCCTCCTAGTCTCCCGCGACGGCAAGCCAACATACTACACCGCCCTCTCACCCAAAGACATGCGCGACTTCCGACGGGTGTTAGGCTGGATGCAAAGCGTTTGGCTCCCCATCGTGCCCGAGCTCACCGCTTCGAATGCGAGGGAGATCATGGACGGTAAACTCGTCGTACTCGGCATTCTCAGTAGAGAACGAGAGGAAGAGTTCGCCAGCGCCAAACGAGAGATCAAGAACGCGGCGCTGGAGTGGGTGGACAAGCAAACGCAAGCTTTCCAGCTTGAACGCCAGGAACTCCGTGATGCGAAACAACTCCGTATCGAAGAGGCCGAGGACCGAAACGACCAGCGTGCGCTTCGTGCTGCGAAGAGTATCCGCATTAACATGGAGGATATCGAGCGGCGCGAGGTCGGGTTCGCGTGGGTGGATGGCGTGTTTTGGGATCGCTGGATCAGGACTACATTTGGCGTCTCTGTGCGAAGTGATCACGAGAGGGTGGTGATGTACGATTACGACAATCATCGGTATTGGGATCAGACTATGACTGGTAACCCTATCGTGCCTTCTCGCACGTCGATTCTCGAAACGCTACCTCGCATCGTAGCGAACCCGCCAAAACTGAGCAGCAAGAGCACGACGACGGTGTTGGGACATGCTTGGGGTGTGTTCAAGGAGCAATTGTTTGAGCATCCGCGGGTCTCGATTGCCGTCGCGATAGGAGTGGCGATTGGCGTGTTGATTGTGTGGAGAAGGTATGGGGCGCAGTATGTTCGCGAACTGAGGCTAGAGCGGATGCAATCGTTACCGGGATATTTCAGAGTTGGGGAAGGGAAAGGGTGGATGGGAAGTGAGAAGGGCGGGGTTATGGATGGATTGCTGGGAGGCTTGGGAGGGCAGCAGGGAAAGGTTGACTGATGCGGAGGATGTTTGGCGTGGGTACATGTGCAGCGTTCTTGTATGGCATATGGTTGGCGTTCTCTAATAGCGAGCGAGTATTTACATCTACGTGCCACTATGATATGAGTTGTCTTGGAGACAGTAGGTCTACCTTCTTGTCTGTCTCGTACGCGTTCATTGTGTTTCTGATCTTGATAGTCTCGCATCGCCCCGTCCCTAGCCGGATAATCCTCGGATGTAGAATTGCAGTCTACATAATAGTCCGTAATCCAACTGCTCAATATTCGCTGCAGGGATGGTGTAGTTGGTCATCACGACTGTCTAACAATATTACAATGTTGTCTGGTTCACAGTAGGTCCCGGGTTCAAACCCCGGTCCCTGTACGTCCTTTTGCACACAACGACGACAGTGGCGATAGTAGCATTGTTCGTTTTGCTTTCATCAGAAGTTTCCCTGAAGAGTTTGGGGGAGTCGGCTGTTTTGCGTTGCGGCACACCCTCGTCACACTGGCGTTGATACCGGCGTACCCAATCCTTCGGTATAGGCCGGCGGTTATGCCAACGGTGCGGAAGTTTCACTCGTTAGTGTGGTCGGAGTTTACCCTTGTATATGCGACCAACGATAGGAGGATAATTGCGAGATCGCTTCACAAGTACTATACTGTGTAATGGGGCTGGTCGTGGGGACGAAGATCTAACGCGAGGAATGATATCAATGCCGCTGCTGTCCGCCCAGGCCTCGATAGTCGACTTGCGAGCACCTGCAGGCTGTGCCGCCCAGGGCTGAGACGAAGGCACACGGATCTCTCGATCGTCATCTTTGGACGATCAATGGTATCTACCAGAACGGACGAGTGTTCCTAATCTGACAACGTACCTTGCGTTGAATGTAGAAACCCGCACGGAGGCATGCGCCCACATATATCGTCCTTGGGCTGTGTGGGCAGGGCGATCAGCGTGGGTGCGGACCACGCACCATCAAGACCTGCTGCAAGCCACATCCATCATCCCGTACGCTGCCTTGCACTAGCCTGACCAGAGCAGTCCCGCACGACTGGATGTGATACTGGTATACTGGACAGCGCAGCACCAGAGGCCGCGCGCTACCCGCGAGCCTCTGCCAATCCCTTGCTTTAACCTCCCCGTGGGGAGCCCTGAGGATGAGACTAATTTCGGGCGAGCACGGACGGCTGTGGACATGCATATTGCGTATAGCCACTCCAACTACTGCCAACAGCCTTTTAGCCTTACAGTCTTGGGACAGCCACGCAAGGCAGATGGGGGCCACCCTGATACCGCTTGGATGGTACAATTGCATCGCACTCTACTTCCTTGCATCCACCGCCAACAAAAAGGCCGCATTTGAAACGCAATACGAGGGTGACGTGCTCAATGTAATAGCGGATATGCAATGTGTCGGAGTCCACAGCGCCTACCTTGCCTTGTTAGCTATTTCCAGCCATCCAGTCTGACGGGGATGAGGTGAGGTTACTCTCTGTGGAGTCAACCAAAGCAAGCGCTATAGCAAGCTCGGACAAATCTTATGACGTTGAAAGTCTATTGAGCACAGTCGTTCCACTTCCCGCAAGCGCCGTACCCAATCAACGCTATACCATATGCGCTCATGAACCATAGAATATACAGTCCTACACCCTCAAACGCAGCCGCAAAATCCTGTCACAACCCTTCTAAAGCTGTATGCCCATCCTCCGCGGGCCCAAATATAGCAGTCCACCCACTCCCGTCATGCCGAGACCAATCCACCACAACCTATCGGCATTGATGCGGTGCACCACGCTCTCGCCACCATGAGCTTGCTCTCCCGCCAACTTGATCTTCCAGTCCACCGGGATCTCCATGTTTGCCGCGGGCGTCCGTTTCGCCTTGTTGGTTGCGGTGGCGGAAGTCGGGTTCAAGGTGCTGGTTGGTAGCATTTGCGGAGGCTTGTAGACGAGGTACATAGGGTTCATGGGCGAGCCATCGAAGCGGAAGAGGTCGAGGCGCGGGATGTTGTGGTAGGGGTCTATGTATTGGCTGTAGCGCTGTAGGAGGCACATTCAGTCAGTAGCCGTAAGCGTCATAATGCTCCACAGAATGATATCGCAGCGCTTATGTCCCTGCTCGCTTCTCGTCTTGGATAATGAGGGAATGATATGACATACCTGAAACTGCTCCGTCACATTGTACCTCGTGTAGATGCCCGTCTGGTATTCGCAAGGGCTACTCAGCAACTGCCTTCCGTCTACCTCAATCGGCGTGAGGGTCAGGCTCCCATTCGCGTTCATGACCCAGTTGCCATGTTGCCATTGCATGATGCCGGACGGACATGCTGGGTTCTGAGGGTTGGCGATGGCGCGGTAGTAGGCCTCTTCGTACCAGCCATCCTGCGTGAAGGAGTATGAGATGCCTGTTCGTGACGGCTCGATCAGGCGTTCATTTATGGGGTCGTAGAAGCCCTGATAGGAGAAGTGGTATTAGTGGGAGTGGTGGGAGAGGGGAAGATGGGCGAGCGCATACAGGTCCTGTGACTGTTTTGTTGGATTTGGTGCTCCATGTGCCGACGAGGTTGCTTGGCCTATCGCAGCTTGTCAGTCACGCCGTATCCAGTATTGCACGCCATGTATGTCTTGTACCATGTCTGCGCCGTGACCGACGCCGCCAACCCCAACGCAGCCGCTAACGAGGAGTATAATAACATTGCGACTATTGCCACCCAAGGCTGCCCGGCGTGTGTTTATTTCTTTCTCTTCGCTGAGTACTAGTTCTGTGGGATTCTTGGGAGGGTTGTGTTGTTGTTGGATACAATCAATGTCAATATGAAAGTATTGGCATGGCAAGCGTCGTCGTAATCGTTGGACATGGAGACATGGGGCGTAGGGCTGATGGCGTAGCCTTGGCGGAAGTTTGTTGTTCTCCCGCCAGAAACTGTACACTGATCGACCTCAGCAACACCGCTGTTGATCTGCAGATTATGCACTATCTCGCCTGCAGTGTAGAGGCAGAGGAGGTTTCACCACGGCGCCGTCGCTGAATTAGGAGCATATGCAGCGATGTCTCTGTCTCTTTCGCCGCACAACGACCGCTGCTTTGCCACCTGTCTCTGGAAGGACGAAACGTGAGAAGCTTGTCTTGTCTCGCCTGAGTCTACGCAAAATGTCGACGAATACCACAGATGTGCAACCAAAGCAAGCAAAGAAGGATTTACGACGGAGTGTGAAAACTCAACTGGCTGAACTCAGTGAAGACGAGGTAGCGAAGCAGTCACGCATTGCTCAGGATTCGGTACTCTCGTTGCCGCAGTATAGAAACGCGAGACGGATCAGCGTCTACCTCTCGATGCCGAGCGGTGAGGCTCGTACAGATATGGTTTTCCGGAATGCTCTAAGCAGTGGCAAGCAAGTATTTGTGCCTTACCTCCAGTCCGTGCCAAAGCCGGAGACGAAGTCAGGAAAGGGCAAGGTCATGCAGATGCTTCGGCTAAGCTCTATTAGAGAGTACGAAGGTCTCGAGCGAGATGCTTGGGGCATCCCTTCCCTTTCTCCTGACACTGTTGAGGAGCGGGAGAATGCTTTGGGCGGTTATGGCGTCTCTGGGAATGTTGCTAATTGTGCTGACGGCGGGCTCGACCTTGTCGTGGTTCCTGGCGTGGCTTTCGATGAGGACATGAGTAGGCTCGGTCACGGCGCCGGCTTCTATGATGGCTTCTTAAGCAGACTCTGTGGAAATGGCCGCCGTAGCAAGCCGTTTCTCGTAGGCTTGTGTCTCGCCGAGCAGATCCAGCCAAACGGCCGGATTGTGATGGAGGAGTGGGATTGGAGCGTCGACGCTGTAGCTGTCGGAGACGGCCGACTTCTGACTTCAAAGGGAGTTTGATAAGCACTCGTCTTAGATACAGAGCTATGCTGCTAAGGTGGGCTTACATCAGATGTGGCCGGTTGGGTGAGACTTAAGACTTCGGTTTCATGACCACTCGTAGCTGCCACCGCCGGCTCGACGGCGCAAGACGATGGTGGGACATCTGTTCAGCTCCTGCGGAACTTGTGGAAGTGAGCTGTATCAGCGGCATGGTCGCGCCTCCGCTTGACTCCGTACGCCACGCTTTCGGTAGCCTAAGAAGTGGTAACCCATACCCGACTCGAGTTGTGTTTTCCTAACTCAGGCTCTGAATCAAACAAACATTATCCCCTTTCAGCAATATTTGCCCTAGAACGATCTATTAGCCCTGCCGCACCGTCCCAACCTTTACCACCCTCCATACTCACCTAGCTCTCGCCTCGGGTTCTCCGGCTCCGGGTCCGCCTTTGTCGGCTGCTTGACCTCCACCGCCTCGTCAATGACCAGGTTCATAAACTCGTCGAAGCCACGGATCTTCCCTTCGATCCGTATCCCGAGTTGCTCGTATAGCCAGATTTGGACTGTGCTGCGTTGTTGAAGGAGCTTGAAGATGAAATTGATTGGGGGTAGGAGGACTTTGCGACCGCCACCTCCGCCACGGCCGGACATGGTGGGTTAGTGTAGTAGGAGACGGTGTCGCGTGCTGGGTGGGTGGGTAGTGATTGAGTCGGAAAGACGCAGAGTTGGCCAGCAAGGTCAGTCGAAGAGTTGCGGAGGAATGCGATGCGAAGACCGGAACGGTGAGTGAATACGTAGGCGACCGTATGTATGCGAGGTCGATTGAAGGTAGCTCGCAGCTTTAGTGTTCAGTTGCAAATTGATGCATGACTCGCGAAACATCTGCACGGCAAGCTCCGCGCCGTGGGGTTGCGTTTCTGCCCGCGGTGATTGTTTCCTTCAGCGACAATCGATCAGAAGCTGCAATTGAGACCGTCACAACACTCTTCTCACCCTTTGGCAACCCTCCACGGTCACTCGCCATGCAGGCGAGGCGATAGAGTCGACCGAAGGCATCACTTGACGTTACCGAACCATTTCAGTGCGGAAGTTGTGGGACAACCGGCCAAATGGCGACAGCCGCAACGGTGAATGGCGCCAATGGGCAAGCCTTTGATCCGGTGCTACGCGCTCTGGCGACTATGTCATCCAACGCAGATCGATCGCAGAAAGGGCAAGCACATGAATACCTTGAGCGGTATCAGAAGTCGGAAGGAGCCTGGACCACGACCTTCGCCATCCTGCAGTCTCCGCAATCCACTGACGAGGCGAAGCTATTCGCCGCGACGACGTTGAAGGGAAAGGTACGCTGGTATGTCGACGAGCAGGCTGTTTTGTGACGAGTAGCTGACCAAGCAGATCGTTTTCGACTTCCACCAACTACCGCGCACTACACTGCCTCAGTTAAGAGATACGTTGCTGTCATTACTAGCCCAATATTCGAAGGGCCCAAAGCCAGTACGCACTCAGTTATCCGTGTGTCTGGCAAATCTTGCAATCCAGATGCTGGAATGGAAGGATGTCCTGCAGACTGTCATCAACACGCTCGGCGGAAACCAGTCGAGCATAGCATGTGTCCTCGAGTTCTTGCATGTCTTGCCTGAGGAGGTGACAGAGGGTAGAAAGATCAATCTTACCGAAGATGAGCTTAGAGACCGGACAACGGAGCTTCTGGAGCAGAACGCTCAGCAGGTATTGCAGCTACTTACGCAGTATGCGCAATCGTCACCAGATGCTGCGAAGAATCCGCAGTTGATGGAATGTATTACGAGCTGGATGCGGGAGGTGCCGTTGACGAGCATCGTGCAGTCGCCCCTTTTGGACGTGGTGATGAATGCAGCACAGAGCGATCAATCTTTCGATGCTGCGGTTGAGTGTCTGTGCGCGATTTTTAAGGAGACGCGCGATGTCGATGAGAATGAAGAGTCAATCAACACGCTGTACCCGCGGTTGGCAGCACTGCAGCCGAAGATTCAAGCTGCATCTTCAGAGGAAGACTGGGAGACCTTCAAGGGCTTGACTAGGATCTTTGCGGAAGCTGGCGAAGCATGGTGCGTCAACATCGCGAGAAAGGCGCAGCAGTATCGGGCATTGGTGGAGTCAGTGCTGGAGTGCTGCGCTCGAGATCGGGAGAGAGAGGCTTTGTCACAGACCTTCAACTTCTGGTATGAGCTCAAGCAGTACATCACGCTCGAACGGTATATCGAAGCGAGGCTACAATTCGTGGACATCTACTCCAAGTTAGTAGATATAATGATCGGTCATCTCGAGTTTCCAACACCGGAGTCTGGAAACGAGAGCGACCTTTTCGACGGCGATCGAGAAGCTGAAGACAAGTTCCGAGAGTTTAGGCATCACATGGGCGATGTACTCAAAGACTGCTGCGAGGTCATTGGCGTGTCTGAATGCTTGCAGAAAAGCTACGTTCTAATCGAACAGTGGGTGGCGCAGCATGGCGCGCAAGCACAGGCAGGCAAGGTACCGCAATGGCAAAAGCTGGAGGCACCGCTGTTTTCTATGCGTGCGATGGGCAGGATGGTGCCGAAGGACGAAGGCGTCATGCTGCCCCGTTTAATACCATTGATCGTGCAGATACCGGACCATGAGAAAGTACGCTTCCAAGCGGTTATGGCGCTGGGGCGGTACACAGAGTGGACTTCAGAACACCCGGAAACTCTACAAGATCAGCTTCAATTTATCATGGCGGCCTTCCGTCATCCGTCAGGAGAGGTTGTTCGTGCCGCGGCGCTTAGCTTTCGCTTCTTCTGCAACGATTGCGCGGACCTGCTCAAGGACTTTATGACACAACTACAGCAGTTCTACGAGCAAGTCATCAATACGCTGCCCAGTCAAAGCCAGGAAGAGCTCACGGAAGGCATTGCTTCCATCCTGGCGAAGCAACCACTGACCACGCTCCTTCACTCGATGAAGGTGTGCTGTGACCCAGTCGTCAAGCGACTTATGTCAATGGCACAGACAGCAACGCAAAAGGAGCATAAGCTCGCCATTGCCGACCACATGAACCTCCTTACCATCTTTATTGGGGAGGTCAAGCCTTACGTCGACCCGAGGGAGCCGACACATCCGTGCGTACAATACTGCCAGGAGATCTTTCCCGTACTCGCCGCTATCTGCGAGCGGTTCATCGACTTTGTACCGATTGTCGAACGTGTCTGCCGGTGCTGGCGGTACATGGTACTGTCGTATCGTACGCATACTGCGCCGTTACTTCCACAACTTGCGGAGAAGATGGCGGCAGGCTTCACTGCAAGCAGACAAGGGTGCTTCCTTTGGGCCACTGACAGTATCGTTCGGGAGTTCTCGGACGTGTCGGAGATTGTGCCTGAAAGTACGGCGCATGCAATCTACACTTTCTACGAGCAGCAGGCGACAACGTTCCTCCGGGCTTTGAACGATCTCCCGCCAGAAGAGCTACCGGATGTCATCGAGGACTTCTTCCGGCTGAGCTGTGACGTCCTGCTCTATCACTCGGAACGACTCATCCCAAGCGTCCTCATGACGCCGATCCTCTCCGCGGCCTCGACATCACTCACACTGCTGAAGGAAGAACCTCTGATTGCCACACTTCACTTTCTGCGCGACTTTCTCGCCTACGGCAGCGAAGAAGCTCCATCCTCGCACTTCTCCGAAGACGGTACCTACACCAATCGCGCCAACCCTCCCACCATTCAGACCACCGTCAAGCAGCTCGTCCTCCACGAAGGCGAAAACCTCGTCCAGCGTTGTATGACGGGCATGATGTATACGTTCCCTCAAGACTGCTTCCCGGACGCCTCGGGCGTGCTGCTGGCGCTGTTCCAATTGCTGCCTGCCGAGGTTGCGCAGTGGACGGGCCGAACGGTGACGATGCTACCGGAGGGTAGTATTGCGCCGCAGGAGCAAGAGAGGCTGTTGAGAAACATCCAGCAGCGGATTGAGAGTGGGGAGGTTAGGAAAATCAGAGGGTTGTTGCAGGATTTCACGAATGCTTATAGGAGGAGAAACGTGGCGCCTAGGGAGGGTTTGGGTAGGTTGGAGGCTACGAGGTTTAGGTTCGCGGGATGATACTGAGCGACATACGATGATTGAGGGGTTGAGGTTTAGCGAGGCTTGTGGGTCGATGGTTGTGCTGAGCGTGGAGTAGGGGTGGTATCCTACAAGCAGGGGCGTTTTAAGGCCCGAACCTCCAAAATCTGCTGTAATCGGTCGGAGGAATGCACGTTGTCCGCCAAAATTGTTGACATATCAGCCGACTATCAGCCATGTCTTACCTAAAGCTACGTCGAATACAGTCACGTGTATCTAGTCATAGCGCATCTAGCGTTATCGCGCGTCTCGGCTCCGACACTACAACCTTCCCTTTCCCCTCACACGCTGTTATCTCCAGAACCCAAAGGATCTAACTCTGCTTGTCAGCTTCATGCGCGCGGCTCGTACTGCCGACGTGTAGGCGTACATTTGCCTGTCAAGGTTTGGTATAGCCGTATGTCCATGACTAAGTCTGCCGTCCCAGTTATGCATGTCTATCTTTTCCATCATAATAATTGCTCCATTTCGTTATCTCATACTATCAATCCTTGAAGTCGTGCTCGCTTTCGCAATGGCAGAGAAAGACATCGTGTCGACTGAGCCGGAAGGCAGGGATTCCAAGAAGCTTGATTATGAGGAAGCGGTGATCGCAACAGACAAGGAGCACAGTCTTACGCTGTCTCAGGCGCTGAAAGCGTACCCTAAAGCGATTATGTGGAGTGTGCTTCTGTCGACGGCCGTGGTGATGGAGGGATATGATACGCTCTTGGTGAGTCTCTTCGGCTTCTGATGTCAAATTCCCCATCCGGAGCTGACAGGCTTGTAGATAGGATCGTATCTTGCATCGCCAAGTTTCGTCAACACCTTCGGTAACACTGGGTCTGCGGCAGACGGCACGTTGGCAATAACCGCCTCGTGGCAGAGCGCCGGTAGGTTCAGGCTTTATACTATCTACTCCAGAGGGAGCCTCTAGCTGACACCCGGTAGTCGCCAACGGCGCTTACATTGGCGAGATCCTAGGTCTGGCTGTGACAGGCATCCTTTGCGATCGCTTTGGAAACAAGGCTGTCATGACTGGGGCAACTGTTATGATGATCGCCTTCATCTTCATCTCCTTCTTCGGCACCTCGCTTCCTGTCCAACTGGTTGGCCAAATTCTGTGCGGTATCCCGTGGGGAGCTTATCAGACAATTACCACCGTCTACGCAGCTGAGGTGCTACCCATCAATCTGAGAGGGTATCTAACATCTTACGTGAATTTGTAAGATGTATTGGGACTGACTTTTGTGTGCATCTGCTTGACTAACACCGTTTGTCAGGTGTTGGGTTATTGGTCAGTTCATCGGCTCTGGCGTACTTGTAGGTGTTGAGACCCGGACTGATGTCTGGGGCTGGAAGTAAGAGTGTAACCTCTGATGACTCTAGACACAGACTGACGGCGCATAGGATCCCATATGCTGTCCAGTGGGTATGGCCGCTGCCGATCATAGCGGTCTGTCTACTCTGCCCGGAGAGTCCAACCTGGCGTAAGAAGCACCATACCAAGTCAGTACCCTCAGTAGTCGGCTAACGCCTCCACAGTGGTCAAGCACACCAAGCTCGCGGAAGCCGAACGAGCAGTCGCTCGTCTACAATCTCCGAATCATTCGGCTATCGTCCCGACACCTCAGGAAACAGTCGCCTTGCTACACAAGACAGACGCCATCGAAAAACACATTACCGAGGGCAGCTCGTACTTCGAATGCTTTAGATCCGTCAACCTCCGCCGCACAGAAATCGCCACCGTCACTTGGGCGGTACAGCAGATGGCGGGCCCAGTCTTGCAGACGTACGCCACCTACTTTTTCATTCAAGCCGGCCTCGCATCCTCTGAAGCTTTCAACATGACCCTCGGGCTGTACGCCATCGCATTTGTTGGTACCGTGCTGAGCTGGCCACTTATCCACCGTTTCGGCCGTCGCACGATCTTCCTTGGCGGGCTGTTTGGCATCTTCGTATCTCTTATGATTGTTGGTTTCATCGGCATTGCACCGCAGTCCGACTCCGGTGCATCATGGGCTGCTGGCGCTTTCTTATTGGTCTTTACTTTCATCTATGATTCTACCATTGGTCCTTTAACGTACGTCATCGTGCCGGAGGTGTCGTCTTCCCGACTCCGGCACAAAACGACAGTCATTGCAAGGAATGTGTACAACATCACTTGTATCTGGACGGGCGTGCTGACGCCCTATATGTTGAACCCCGCAGCGTGGAATTGGGGTGCGAAGGCGGGCTTCTTCTGGGCAGGCATGACTGCGCTATGCATCCTCTGGACTTGGTTCCGGCTGCCCGAGACGAAGGGTTTGACTTTTGCGGAGATCGACACGCTGTTTGAGCAAAGAGTTCCGGCCAGGCGGTTCAAGAAGACCGATGTGGATATTGGGAGAGTGTTGGAGAGTACGTGAACGTAGTGTAAATCTCTTTCAAGAGTGGACGATACGCGAATAGTAATGGACTACTAAAACTGTGTGATTAGTCGGCAAAATATTCGACTCGTGAACTGGATTTTATGACGTGATACTGCGAAGCTGGGCGCGAATGCCGCGTAGGGATCCTGGCGATCCCGGAGCGACTCCGAAGCATTGCTGCCGCAGCTGTCTCAGCGATACCTAACTGTACTCCAGATATTCGCATTCTCGATAGCCTGCATTCGCGCCCTGCCAACCATTGCAATCATGTTACTCTTTAACGTGAAATCATTCTGCAGTGCCGTCATCTTGGCTTGCATGTCGAGGGCTTGCTGTGGCGTCATGGCCTCTGTTGACGCTGCAGCCTGCTGTGAAGGATGCTTCTGCTGCCATGCCTGCTGGTTCAGGATGAGCTTGCCTTGAGCGATCTCGTCAACAAGGATCTTATTGATTTGTTCCGAGCGAGCCTTGACCGCGGTGTTGCAAGAGACAGGGAAGCACGCTCGCGGAACATGTTGATGCCTGAAAGGGAGGTTGGTTGCTGGGTCGAGTAATGGGGCGTTTGTGGAGGACGCCTCGCTGCTGCTCAGCCATGCTATTGCCTGGTTGAGGTGCGTGTAACACGCATCAGGGTCCATTGCCACAGTGAGTGCAAGCTCTGTGGTGAAACCATTGCGGGTTAGTAGTGCTGTAGCGGGCGAGGTGCTGTTGTCGAGGGTGAAATCTTGACCCCAAAGTTCGTATGTGCGTGTCAATATGTTACTAGCCAAACGTCCTGCCCGCTTGTGCCTGTGGACCGAATATTAGCGAATCTACTACTTTGTTCTGTGTGGTGAGAGTAACAGAATTCCAATAAGGAGTACGTAACCGAACCGCACAAAGTGTGTAAACGCCATCTGAGCAGAGTGGTCGTTGCCCACTTTGCTCAGGAAGAAGCAGTGTGCCCTGGTGCAAAAGTCATTACCCTCCTCAGGCTTGACTTACATATTATCCAATGGCGCTCCTCCCAATATGTCCATGCATAAGTAGAACTTCTCGGGATGCAGAGCGCCCGCATGCTTGGGCTCAATCGAAGCATCTGCGTAGTTGAAGATCGCCGAAGCTATCCGCTGTAGCATCTGCGTGGGTTGCCAGTCTGGTGTTACCAGGCTTCCAAAATATTGATGAGCAGCGTACTCAGACGTTGTGCACATTAGGTGGGGCGGAGTCTCGAGTCGTCCAGGTAGTACGGGAGCAGCACACTTGTAGCCTCGCGCACGAAAGATCTCCTGTCTGTGAGTGACCTTGTGGTCTCCCGCAGTATAGCCCTGAACATAACACTTGGCACAGCTGTCGAAACCCGCTTCTGGAGCACATTCGAGGCAGCGAATGCGCGGTTCCTGGTCGTTTATGAGCTCGGAGCACAGGTCACATGTCCACCTGTTGACGGCCATAGTCGCCAAGGTTGGATAGCTTGTGAATGATGGAAAGCAGGCAAAGTCGTCCAGAAAAGACTTGTCGAAGCAACAACACAAGGCTGTGCTTCGTTGTATGGCACCCAATTCCCCGCCCAGAGCTCTGCGTCTAGACCTCCTTAAGCGAGTGGCTGACGGCGTGCTCACGGCAAATAGAGCCTAGCCGTAATGGTCTATGATGTTGCATGGAGGGAGATGGCCTAGAGGACGAATTTGCGGTGCCTTTTGCGACCACTCCACCCGTCAGGGTAGACACAATTTGCCGAGGAATCTGCGCATCATTGTTTGGCTTCCAGTATACCATAGCCGTACGTTGTCGTCGGAAATAGCTTTGGATCAGCGGTAACGTTGAATGAGTAAGCCTATCATCAACAACCGTGGAGCTCGGAGTACAATCAGAGCCTATAGTGATTGATGGTACAAGAAATGTAGTAGACTGATCTCAGTCATTGGAGTGGATCAGGTACAGTATACCGATGGTTCAAACCTCATCCCCGCCATCCCCGCCTTTCCTCACCGTTCTGACCGCTCTTGGAAGCTCCGGCTGCTCCCTATTCTTACTTCACACCCTTGCGCAAGTGAGGTGGAACATATGACTGCTGCTCTCCGCCACTGTTCGCGTTCACGCGGGTACCACGCACTTTGGCCTTGGTAGCACTTTCTTGAAACGCCTTGGCTGCACCGAGATCGCCATTCGTAATTCCGTTGCTCGCCTTCGCCTTTGCTACTCCCTCGTCTATTGGGCCAACTTCCCACTGCTGGACGGTGGCTATGTGCGGCTGCGAGGCAGCGGCATTGATACTGGCCATGACGGCGGAAGACCGAGGTGCGATCGATGTGGGCTGCGGCTCATTCTCGGGCGTCGGCGCTGGATTTGGGTGTAATGTTGTAACATCACCGGCAGCTGATACTGTCTTGCCGCCAGCGTTGGTGCTCGCTATGGCTGCTGATGCCACTTCCACGTTCGCGCTGCTTACAGTTCCGTCTTTCGCCTCCAACTGCTGCAGCCTTCCCTCTTTTTTCAGGCGCTCAACCCACTTTGGCTGCTGCAGCACCAGCTCTTCATAGAAAGCTTGATCGTAACCTACGTACTGCAGATACTCCCACCAGAGCCTCAAGCCCGGCAGCTCGTCTGCGTCTGCACCCTCGAAGGACTTCAACACAGCCTGTTTCGTAAGCTTGCTCACCTTCATCCTCGCGTCTTTCTCCCACACCTTGAGCTCAAGCGCGTGCTCCTCGAGCGCTTTCTTCACTCCCTTCTCCAGCACTACGCCGTTAGCATTGTTCACCGGAGCCTCTGAGGTAGGTGTGTTGACAGTCGAATCCGTCGGTATCGGACCAAGGTAGGTGGGTTTGGGCCAGTAATGCTCCATGAGCGCCTTGGTAATCCACTCAGGACGATCTGGCTCTGTGAGCAGGTCGGCCCAGTACTCGCGCACCTTCTGTGGCACAGTCTCCATCACACGGTCGAAGTCCAGCTTGTCACTGTAGCGTAGTTGGCTATATTGGCCAAAGTACACGTAGCCGGCCTCCCCCTGCCGCCGAATGAAGACCGGAGTGTTCTTGTAATCCTCCTCTGTCGGCGCCTGTCCACGCTCGGAATATGTACCATTGAAGAAAGGTGTCATCTTCGCGCCATGTTGGCCAGGTGCACTGGGGACGAAAGGCTCGTACTCGCCTTCGAGCATCCAGTAAGCCTTCGTACTGCCTAACTTTCCGGAGCCTGAAGCGACGAAGTAGAATGCAGGTGACCAGTGTTCGCCTTTGAGGTGATCTTGCAAGAACTCCCAGCTGAAGGATATTGTCTTGGCACTTGGGAGCTCTACAATCGGCGTTGGTGGCATCAAGCGTACCGCAAGGGGCTCCCACTTCGGTGAGCGTTGTTTTTCGGCGAGATATCTAGTGTTTACTTTCAACGGCGAGTCCTGCAGTGGCGCTTTGGTGTCCACCGCATGCGCCTTACCCGTGCGGCGAGCTGGCATATGGGTCGGAGTCTCCGCATCTACGGGCCCATTAGCAATGTCCGATCCTTGAATCGCGCTCGCAGCGGCGGCGGCCATCACTGTAGCGTAGCCTTGAAGCTGTGCAATGTCTTCTCGGAGCTTCTTCGCGGTCGTTTCGGCTACCTCGGCCTGTTCAACGTAGACCTGCAGGACGGTCTCTTTGTTGAAGTGCTGAAGCATGATATCTGGTGGTGTGAATTCCATCTCCAGTATGTTCGGACCACGTCGAACCACTGCAAGCTCCCCGTTACCAGCATCAATCTGCCCATGAAGGCGGGCCAGCTCAGCTTGCAGAGTCTGTAGGTCGTTGGCAACTTTCTGGTTGGTGATCTCAATGTCCGCTTGGTTGCGGCGAGTCTGGTGCTCAATTCTTGCGAGATCGGCGACGTGGCGGATATGCGTTTCTGCAACGTATCTGTCGAGGGCACCCATGCCTGGTCCGCCATCGTTGAAACCCGGAGATGGTGGCGTCAGCGGCGGCATGTAGCGGGTGACTTCGGTACCGCTCGGTTGGAAGTGAGGAACGGCAGGGTTGAGGTATGCATTGCTGGTGTGCCCTGTTCCACGGCCATGGTGACGGAAGCCGTTCGGTAGCTGCTGATGGAAGGGGTGATCCTGGACGGCAGTGCTGAAGCTGCCACCATTGACGCTGGAGTAGGCCATGTTCGTGGTGTCACCGCTCAGATGCTCGTCACTGAGATAGTTTGGAGGTGGCTGTCAAGTTGAGCCTATTGGACCGCTCATGTATGAGGTTAGGAGGGAGATGTAGATCAAAGCCGCTGATCGGCTGTGAGGAGTACCAAAGAGACCGAGGAGATCGAAGGCTAGAGACACAATTGAGTGTTGCAACTGATTGTGTGGGAAAGGCCTCCTGGCGAGGTAAGTAACACATCAGCTGCTCCAAGTGAAGACCAGGCTAGAGCGACAAGCTAAACACCGACCGCATTGTTCGATTGAAGTGAGTGCGCTTAGTTTGGAAACGATTTGCAAACTGTCTGTCTCGGTAACTTTAAAGGATGTAAGAGTATCCCACAGCAAGAGCTAATAACGACTGAATCAGAAGAAAGCATCTTCGGCGTTAAGCACGAAGAAGGGGAGGTGGCTCTGTTGGACGTCAGCTTTGTGAGTCACGGTAAGATCGAACGCGCTTGAATGGCGACGAGATCACGATTGTACACAGGTTGTCCTTTGGGTAAGCTAGTTTGTACAATGCCTATTGGATCGAGCATTTTCAGCTGCCGCAGCATTTTGTCGCAGTCTGATATCACAGAGTTCGTAGTCCTGACACAAACTCAGAGGCCCTATACGCTCCTGCTGGCTGAGCCTGCGTATACCATGCTCGTTCAATGTCGCGAGATATTTCACCCGAGTTCGATACTCGGCAGCTTTCCAGGCTGTGATGTTGACGCTTACCTTCAGAGCCACGTGACAGAGACGTTTGCGCTAGCACTAACGGGCCGTGTCCGCTTCCGGCGCACGTTTCGAAGCCCGGTGACGTAGATTCAGAGCTCCAGTCGCGTGTCTCGCGAAGGTCGTTGTTACAATTTGATCAGATCAAAGCTCGTCGTGTGCCTGCTGCAGCCATGTAAACCGCTGTAATTCTTCACAATGCGTTGTAACTTCTTAAAAAGCAGTGTCATCGACGTGTCTTAACATTGCGCCAATAGTGTCAAGCAGAGATGCCGCCGGCAAAGTCGCGCCCAGCGCAAGAAGATTCACGATCAGATGCGTCGACTGCGAAGGACAGGCAGAACGGTACAGCAGCACACGTGAAGGGTAAGAAGAACGGCGTATCCGCACTGCAAGGTAGTAGCCTGAAAGAGCTCGCACTTGTGCACACGGATTCCGGCAACGTTGTGACGCCTGGCCAGAGCACTGGAGTGAGTGTCCGCTGAAGAAGCTGTACCTGACGAGCAAGAGGGTATGCTGATGCGACTGCCGTGTAGATGGCATGGAATACCGCAGACACAAAGCTCTTGAACAATTACCGCGTCTCACATCACCTCTCCAACCCTGCAGCCTTCACGTCGCCCTACCATCAAGCATTGCTCACCAATCCGGGTCTGGGTCGCCAGTCGCCCACGATGGCTCGAAGGCGAGAGAAGCGTCGCATATCGAAGGAGCAGCTGGCATTGGCCGTACGAAAGAACTTCAACAGCGCGGCCGTGAGCGAGATTGACAGTATCGTGGAGTTTGTATATAAGGTCCGGCACCAGAGTAAGTATTGCAAGCCGGATCTGCTGTCAGAGCACGGCGTATTGGCCTCAGGTCAGCTAACAGAAGCTACAGACAAGGCGTTTCGGATGCGCTGTCTTCCATCTGTGGCGAGAAAGTCATAGACCCGTTTTCGAGCCATGCTATTCGGACTGGGTATTGCGATTGTCGTGGCGGCGTTCGTTTAAAGCGGTTCGTCAATCTGGATATGGATCAGACAGAACTGGACATATGAGTCGAGAAGTGTCCAAAAGCCACGGAGCTGAGGTTGCGGTTTGCTCAGCGGTGCGGCTTGCTTTGATGCTGCAATGGATGGTGGTGTACGGTTAGCGTCATCTCATGGTCCCTCGATGCGCGTCAAGGAATATATGTCTCGCTATGAGCTCGGAAGATGATGCCTCATGCCGCTCGATAACAAGACACAATTACCCAGTAGCACATTTCGATCATCTCATTGAGCCAAATCAAGGTATTTCTGCTGAAGTTCTGAGAGCGCTCTACGCTTCGGCTTATATCTGCTAAATATCTCAAGGGATTTCGTTCCTTGCAGTAGACCACGGCACCTACCGTACACGTGATGCGTAGGGCTGAGACATGCAGCAAGCTTTCGCGAGAGCGGGCTTCTGCGGCGCGTGGTCCAAGCGGAGGAGAACAACATCGTCACTGCGGCCAGTTTCCTGGCTAGACAGACTGTACAATCACCCTCGCAACCACCCTGTACCATCTCATCCTGACCTCATACGTACATGTACTGACCAGAAATTGCGACCGCGTCACAGTACTGTCACGCGAAGAAGCAGGCCAACAGCACCCAAGAGGGATCTGGTTGTGCCGTAAGCTCTCAACGCCCAGGTCGGAGGCCTTTGGGCTTCTGTATCCGCAACAGCGATGGCGACATTCGGCACCGAGCTGTTAGTTATATACAACGAACGGCCGTGAGGGAATCTGGGGCTAACGTGGCTTACTATAGGCTTAACGTTGTCAATCGCTTGCAGGACTTGGTCTTCAACACTATAGGAAACGATTCGCTGGACCTGCCACAGATCGTCGTGGTTGGGTCGCAGTCTTCGGGCAAGTCTTCGGTACTCGAGAACATCGTGGGCAGAGACTTCCTACCTCGAGGTAGCGGTATCGTAACGCGAAGACCGCTCATCCTTCAGCTCATCAACATCCCCTCTGAGCGCGACGACCAGGGTGCAGATCACGAAGTGAATGTTCCGCACACTCCGGCTTCAGTGGCCGGTCATGATGAATTTGCAGAATTCGGCCATATCCCAGGACGAAGATTCTACGATTTCACCGAGGTGCGAAGAGAGATCGAGAATGAAACGTCGAGGATAGCAGGAAGCAATAAGGGCATTAACAGGCAGCCGATCAACCTGAAGATCTACTCGCCGCATGTTCTGAGCTTGACACTGGTGGATCTACCTGGCTTAACGAAGGTGCCGATTGGCGACCAGCCTACAGACATCGAAAAGCAGACCCGAAACCTCATCTCAGAGTATATCGCCAAGCCAAACAGCATTATTCTTGCAGTGTCGCCGGCGAATGTGGATATTGTAAACTCCGAAGCGTTGAAATTGGCAAGATGGGTAGATCCAACTGGCAAGCGTACCATTGGCGTGCTCACCAAGCTGGATCTTATGGACCATGGCACGAACGCCCTTGACATCCTTTCAGGCCGCGTCTATCCCCTCAAGCTTGGGTTCATCGGCGTAGTGAATCGGTCACAGCAAGACATCCAGTCCAACAAGCCCATGTCTGAAGCTCTATCATCTGAGCGCGACTTCTTCCGCATGCATCCCGCTTACCGAAACATTGCCTCACGATGCGGTACGCAGTTTCTGGCTAAGACGCTCAACGTTACTCTCATGGGCCATATTCGCGAACGGCTACCGGATATCAAAGCGCGCCTCAACACACTCATGGGCCAGACACAGCAGGAGCTGGCATCCTACGGCACCGACGCTTTCACGGGCAAGGAACACCGTGGCTCGCTCATACTCCAACTCATGACGCGCTTTGCGACATCCTTCATATCCTCCATTGATGGCACATCTTCCGAGATCAGTACAAAGGAGCTTTGTGGTGGTGCGCGCATATACTACATCTTCAACTCCGTCTTCGGCAATTCCCTTGAGACGATCAATCCTACGCACAATCTCTCCGTTTTGGACATCCGAACCGCGATCCGCAACTCAACTGGCCCCCGACCATCACTGTTTGTGCCCGAACTAGCATTCGACCTCCTGGTCAAGCCTCAGATCAAGCTATTAGAACTACCCAGCCAAAGGTGTGTAGAGCTAGTTTACGAGGAGCTCATTAAAATCGCACACACTTGCGGTTCGAACGAGCTGTCACGGTACCCAAGGCTACAGGGCAAGCTTATCGAGGTAGTCTCGGATCTTCTCCGCGAACGACTTGGCCCTTCATCGTTCTATGTCGAGAGCTTGATCTCGATACAGCGAGCATACATCAACACCAACCATCCAAACTTCCTAGGCGCCGCTGCAGCTATGGGCAGCGTGATGCAAGACAAGCACGAGCGGGAGAAGAAGGTCGCAGCCGCGGAGGAGAAGCGAAAGCGGGAAGCACGAAGACGGAAAGAACTGAATGGTGTCAATGGCACAGAAACCCCAGAAGATGACGAAGAAGAACAGCAAGCGACGACATTGCCCATGCGGACCGCTGCCAAATTGAAGGATGGCCGTAGTACGTCACCCGCAGTTAGCAGGGATGGGTACCCGTTGAGGCATGCAGTGACTGCGCCTGGCAGCGCGGCGGACGCAAACGGCGGCAGGGACAGCTTCCTGAACTACTTCTTCGGCAAGGAGAACGGGCTACCTAACAATCCATTGCCCGGTCAAAGTCTGGCGGGGGTGATGCCGGGCATGCCTGGAGGGAGCAGACATGTCAGCCAGAACATTGAGCCGAGCATCGCCGCCAGCTTCAGAAGGGGCGACACCAGGCCGGCGAGCATGCCTGAGATGCCTGTAGATGAGTCGGTTGAGGACCACGATATGGTAATAGTATCCCGCCACCTTCCGCACTCGCCACATACTGACACGCTGCCACACAGGGCGACCCATCCGGCGCCCCCGCCCTCACCGAACGCGAAGCGCTCGAGACCGAACTTATTCGCCGCCTCATCAGCAGCTACTTCAACATCGTGCGTGAGACCATTGCCGACCAAGTGCCCAAAGCCGTCATGCACCTCCTCGTCAACCACAGCAAAGACGTCGTGCAAAACCGTCTCGTTAGCGAGCTGTACAAGGAGAATCTGTTTGAGGAGTTGCTGTATGAAGACGATGCCGTACGGCAGGAGCGGGAGAAGTGCGAGAAGCTGCTGAATACGTATAGGGAGGCGGCGAAGATCATTGGGGAGGTGTTGTAACGGTTATGTATGAGCGTGGAATGTATGGTAGGATTGGGTGGAGGGGGATTGTACTCTGCTTAGATTGTGCATCCGTCGGACGCAAACGGTGGGTGGCGCTGGGGCGTCAAGGACTCTGCTCCGTAGCAAGGCCGCTGAAGGTCTAGCTGCTCCAGGACGCTAAAAGGTTTGGCTTGTATACTACCAGACGTGCTGCTTGAAACGGCGAACACCTCAATTGTACACCTAGGTATCATGCTCATCTGCGGCATAGGCATTTCGGTACCAGAGCTACGTATGGCGGGGCAGATTGACCTCTGAGGATGTCATTTTGCTTCGTAAGGTACTGTCTTTGCTGCGCCGATAACAACCGATTGATCGAACGCTCAATATGTTTGCTGTGCACCTAGCCATTCTTGTGGTACTGCCATTTGTAGTAGCAGCTCTTCGTGGAGCACAGCGACCATTGATAAGCGCGCCAAATGGCGGCCAAGAGCTCATGCGAGTGTACGTACATTCAGTCGTCTTGCTGAAGACGATGCACTGAGAGCTGATGCAATGGATACACAGCTTGAAAGAAGCGTCCGTTATACCGGATGTTCTTGACAGCTTCACGCCCAGGGTTACACTTTCCTTATTCTGGGAGAATGCCACAGCCGAATTGGGCAACCTGATCAAGACGTCACGGCTACAGAGACCGCCAGACGTGCAATTAATCGATCACGTCCCAAATCCGAGCTCTAGAACCAAGAAGCTGGATCCAAAGATGCAGCTCACGGTCGCTATGACCGATCCGGATGCGCCGAGTAGAGAGGATCCGAAATGGAGCGAAATATGCCATTGGATCGCTACCCACATCCAATTGACTGACCCTAGAGACAATATGAGCGCTCGGGGCGGCTGGAGTAAGGATCCGGAGACTGTAATGCCGTACTTCGGGCCTAAGCCTCCTGCTGAGACGGGTAAGCACAGATACGTTCTCGTAGCGCTGGCGCCGGCAAATGGGACGACGGAGAGCCTTCACCTGAGAAAGCCCAAGGACCGGCGCTTCTGGGGCTATCAGGATGATAGGAGAGGTTTGAGAGATTGGGCGGGAGAGATGGGCTTGGAAGTTGTTGGTATGACAATATTTGCACTTTCCCAGCCAGCCGACCGTGCTAACAGACCGCTAGGTGCAAACTTCATCTATGCACAGCACGACGAGCTGTGATAACGTGTCTGTCCGCGCAAACAGTCCCGTTCTGATCTATATCGGCATCACTGCTCTAAGTCATTGCAGCCGTTACACCAGCACCCCACTGAGGAAGTGGCATGCGGCCCATATCCGTCCGACGCACACGCGCCTACCTTTTGACCCCCGCCCATGCCACACACACTCGCGCCGGCGCAGTGAGTACTATACTGTTTCGCCTCATAAGTTCATCCTGCTACGCGCTCTCAGCGACGTTATCATGGTCCTGCATGGCGTTCCATTCTGCCAACGTCGGAATACGCTCACCCATGGCGCGAGCTAGGTAAACGACTGTCAGCTGGACCGTATGCACGGGCGGATTCGATGACTTATCTGCTTGCTTTGCTCGGCTGTATGCGGCTATCCTGGCTTCGTGCGTGTTGCGATTGTCTTGCTGCTTTCGACTACGTTCTTGCCACGCATGAACGCCGCGCAACCACGGATCGCTGTCTCGCAATTTGATCCTTCCTTCGAAGCTTATTGCCTGGTTGGCAAAACCGTTGTTGTTGAGTGACCATGCTGGAACGTCCGGATGCAAGCGTTCGGGTTCTACAATCTGTACGGCAAACTGCAAGATGTCTCGCAGCCGGATGCCTTCGACAACGCTCAGAGTTCCTGCTGCTGATCTGAGGTTCAGGTCCAGCGCAGAGGGCCTGTCGCCCTCCGCAAAGCGATGTGTCTCAACCCGAACCTCCTTCAATGGCGGCTGGCTAACGAACATCTCCTGCCAGGAGTGGCCCACCGCTGGCAGTCTTCCGTTAGGACCAGTCAGCAGGGTGATAATCACTCTGGCAGAGTCCATTGGGGGTGGACACAAGGAGTCCATTGAAGCGAAGTATGTGGGGAATAGATAGTAATGCACGCTCTGACGCGGTTCGAGAGTGTAAGCCGTGCTCCAGTTGTTGAAGTTGCAGACCAAACCGGGAAGATAGGTATCGCTCGAACAGAACCTGCTAACCTCGCCCACGCCTGATTCCTTGAGTGGTATGTAGAAGTCACCATCGTCGCTGCTCCGTAGGCCGATCCTTGTCTGTAGCTTCGGAGATGTCTTGACGAGAGCCTTGAAAGCCTTGTTGATGAGCTGCACGTTTAGTAATTCTTTGCTCGATAACAGGCACAAGATGTTCTCAAGCATTTCTGGAACAGCGAAGACCTTCTGCAGAGGACCGTCATCAATGTTGCCTCGCTGACGCTTGCCGAGTGCTCTTGGGCGTCGAAGCGGGTGCAAACAGTAGTCGAGAAAGCTGGCCTCGATCCGGATGGCCGCCGAAGCCATGCTCAATTCACGATCAGCGGCATAGGCAGCCTTTGAGCATATAAGTCGCTCCAGGCCGGCGCCTGTGCGCGCCAGGCGCGTGGCGGCATTAGATATCATCTCTAGCTTCGAGGTGGCGACCCTGACCAGGCCGGTGTTCGCCGTGGCAGCATCGGCGCTCGAGTCCGCCATGGGTGTCTGGTAGTGTTTGGTCGCAGGCGTGTTTGGTCGCAGGCGTGTTTGGTCGCAGGCGTGTTTGGTTTGCTGGACGTTATATTCGAAGATGCGGAGGCTTTATAAAATTGGACAGATGCAAAATCCCTGACGTGACTGCAATTTGTGAAACAGGAAGGCGCGAGCGGGAGCCGCATTCACGTGAGGTCATTCGATTCCTCGCAACACTATTGAAGCTTAATTTGAACAACGTACATAAGGGTGCAGCTTCACAACTCCCCTATAGTAGCCCAAGAGGTAGCCGAGAATATGCTGCAGAGTGATTGGTGGAGTACACCGCCCGGATACGTGGCCTCGATGTCTACGTTCGATTCAGCGGAATATCATGGGACCTGATACACCGGCAGGCTCACATACCTCGCCCTCAAGCCGTATCGCACAGATGCACGAAGATCGAGACAGCTTGATCGGGACAGCTGTAGACATTCGTGCCATAGTTCGACGCATGCCCACACACATCGTCCCTACTCCCGCTCGAGGTGATGTTCCACGGATTCTCCGCGAATGGGTCGCCGTTGACGTCGTTGACGCTCCACCAAATCGTCCCGGCACTCTCTGTATACCCGAAGATCAACTTGTACTCAGTAAGACCCCAGTAGTTGCTGTCTCGGGTGATGCCGACACTGTTGCCAGAACCGGTCATGGTGACGGCAGGGGAGGTGTGGTTCGCCTGAAGTTCTGCCGGGTTGCCGGTGCCGCCTTGGTTGGCGAGGGTGATCCAGATGCTCCAAGGGCAGTGATTGATGATGGTATACTGCGAAGCTTGGACGGATGCAGCCGTGGCTAGGAGGCCGAAGGCTGTGGAAGTGAATGGTCGCATGCTGCACGAAAGCTAGAAGCGATTATTCGGGCTGATTGAGGCTTTTCGAAATAGTAGGCCATGGCCGAGCTTATATGTCTACGCCAAGGAGTACTGTTCTTCTGACCTTTGCGGACTGAGCGACGTCATACTTGAGAGCACGTTCCAGCGTATCAAGGTGGAGATTGAACAATAATGGGCGGTACCTTGCAGCTGACGGCTTGCCCTTGCATCACGAAGAAAGTTTGCCGTTCGTATCTTTTCCACCGCTTCCTTGTAGGCTTTGTGGTAAGCTATGGCAAGGCCGACAAGTGGGACACTGTGAGACTGCCAGAGCGGTTGCATTCTTTATCTCCGCAGCCGGCAGTCTGTTACCTTTCGCATCCATCCAATGTCCTGGTGAGAACCAACCTCTAGCCGTGACTACCGTTGCCCAACGATCAAGCCCTCTGCACATCGTCCGCTGGTCTCTTCCCTGTTCTCTCGTCGGCTCGGGCGTTGTTGAGCCTTGGGTCTTGGTCAGCTTTGAGCAAGCAGGATATGTCCGATCTGTGCGACGGCTGCAGCGGCGTTGTAGAAGCTCTTGTGAGCGTGACATTGGTTTGGGGTCCAGTTCAGGTTGCCTCGACCATCGTGTGACAGCTCAAGAATGACTTAAGAGTGATGTCTCCCGTTGGTATACCGCTCAACCGCCCGCCTTGGCCTTAGCTGCTGTTTGCTGTGCTTCTGTTGACAAGTTAGTGTTACGAAGGGCAGACGGGAAAGGGTATAGTGTGGTCCTGTGGCCTCACCTCTTCGTGTAGCATCCTCCAATAGCGGCGTGTCCACAGCGGCAGCAGGTAGGTGCACATAGCGCACTACGCTGCCTCGGATGAACACATTCTTGACTGAGCTCTACACAAACATAATGTCAGCGAGTTTTCAAAGGGTTGTATGTGCTCCAGAGCTTGTTTGCTGATCTCAAATGTATTCCCTTGGGTAACACTTGTGACCCTCATGGTGCGCCCAAACGTCGTATTTTCTTTCCCAAGCGTGCAACCGAAGTTCCACCAATCAACGTACCAAGTGCGGGTATTTCATTTCCTCCACAACAGAGATGTCGTCAAGCTTAATGTTCAGGTATTGGTCTACGCTTTTCAGCGTGCCTCGGATTGAGATGTCATTCTTAAGCTCGACAGTGACTTCTTGATTGACAAGCGTCTTGAAGAAGCTGAAGAAGAGCATCTTGTCGCCGTATACGTCTGATCGGGCACAGAAGTGCACAATGTTCAACCGTCGGGTGTAAGTGTCAAGAGTAGGGGTGCAATTCAACATGAAGCTCAGAAGTTGGTCGCCCACAGCGAATCACGATCACGTGTCGAGGCTTGGCGGGCGCTTTCCACTGCGAAAGAACGCACACTGTCTCTCACGCTTGTGAAACGGACATTCGCTGGTTCATAACGAGTGTAAGTGGTATTATTAGATAAAAAGTACGACTTCGAACCATCCCAGCCCCGACCACAATGCTTAGCCCGACTTTCTCGCCCAGCCAACGAGACACTTCCACCCAGCATTGCCCTTACCAGCCTCCTCCAGTGCCTTTGCGACACCTTCCAAGCACTTGCCATCTGGACGTCCCATCTCAGTATTAACCTTGAGCATCCACTGCTCCCACATGCGCGCACCAACAATGCCGGTCATGGCTCGAACATCGCGTGTACTGCCAGTAACTGGTGGCTCATAGTAGTCAACCTGACCCTCAGGACTGATAGTACGCTCGGTGGCGTTTGGGCCAAAGTAGTCCTCACGCTCTTGCCCAGGCATAACAGTTGCAGCACTCGAGTTGGAGCTGGGCGTCTTGCCAGAGTCGGTCCACTTGGGCAAGACGTCAGCGACTGGCAATATCATCCAGGCACGCTTGATGTCGCCGAAGCCTGCTCGCTTGAGGCGAGGAAGGAAGCTCTTCCCGGCTGATGGATCGTAGCCACGGGTCTTGAGGTTGAAAGCGAACTCAACGCCCAAGGCTTGACTCGCTTGATCAGGGTGCACGAGCTCCGCATCGAGCAGGTCAAACTCGAGGTAGCCGCCTCGCTTCAGGACGCGAAGGCATTCGCGGAGAGTGAGGTCCCACTCGTCCGCTGCCTGACCCTTGGGCCACGTTGTCTTAAGATTGGCGTACAGGTTGCGAGCGGAGATGACGTCGAAAGTGTTGTCCTCGAATGGCAGCTCCCACGGTTTTGCAGCCGCGAAGACATGATGATTGCGTGGACCGTCAAGGGCTGACATGGCGACGTGAGCTTCAGCATCCGATGACACGGTAGTAAAGACTTGTGCGTCGGGATGCTCAGCTGCGACAGTCCAAGCCCAGCTGCAGTGCACTTGTCCGGATAGGTCGAGTATCTTGACATCGTTGAGCACCTTGAAAGAAGATACGATGGGGCTCGTCAACAAGCGGCCACCGTTCACTTCTTTGTACGCCGACAGCGTCCATGCTGAGGACTGCATCTGCTCCAAAGCTTGCCTCTCCCGCTCAGCTTGAGCAATGACTTCCTTCTTCTCATCCTCACTCGAAGCCTGCATCAAGGACGAGATTGGCCTTGGAGGCGCTGGACGGTCTGGCACGTTGATCTCGTATTTGCCTTGCAGCTGACCCACATGCTGCGACGACATGCTAGTCCGCCTCACGTGCTCAGCTTCCGCACGAGCCTGGCGGTGTTGGAACACATCGCGAGCCCGCTGGGAGCGCTTCTGATGGCGCCAGCCTTGCCAGAACGTGCCATCATGGATCGGCGAGATGCGCTTGGATGGTTCGGCGTGGAAGCCAGTCTGTGGCTCTGGCGTGGTATCTGCGAAGCGAACAGACTTCTTGCTGGGCGACAAGTCAGAGACAGCCGGGGTAGGTTCGACAGGCGTTCTCGGTACAACATCCTCAATATCCTTGAAGCTGGCGATGAGTTCATCGTCCTCGCAAACAGTCTTCATGTAGTCCGTCTGTGCACTGAGCCATAGCTGCGTCCGGTCAATGTTCGCTGTGGCGGTCTCTTGGAGCACAGCATTGTAGCTCTCGTCGATCTCATCGACGTCCGCCTCCACGCTCTGAGGTGAGAAGGCGATCTTGCGAGCAGTGACTGGACTCTTCTGGCTCTTTGGCGACGCCATGGGGACGGTGTGCTCGACCGCATCGTCTGGGCGTGAGCGCCATGGTACGCCATAGAAGCGGGCGGCTGTACTGGTTGGGAGAGGTGGAGCTTGTTCCTGTCGAAATGGCACACCATAGAATGCTGACGCTATGCCCGTCGTTGGGACCGGCTCGCTCCCATCCCACGTCCTGCGAATCGATGAGTCCAGGGACGCGAAGAAGCCGCCCGGAGATGGTATTGAAAGAGCAGAGAGCTCGTCGTCCGCGTCGTCACTAACCCCGTTCTCTTTCTTGACCGACATCGGCGGCATGAGGTTCTTCGTGTCGAGGCTGAGAAGCCGTCCCGTAATGGGGGGTGACTCCAAGACCTCTGTCATCTCCATCACCGCCTTCGCAGGCACTTCGACGACAGTCTCGAGCTGCTCTTCCGCATGGTCCGGGTGAATCTGCCGCAGAAGCAACAGGGCATGCGGATCGAGTTGGGCCGGTGCTTCCCAGCCATCAGCCTCACCCTGACGCTGAATGTCAGGAGTCGGCGGACAGCTGGCCCCAAGATCCTCGGAGGTAAGGCTGCCATCTAGGGAAGGGGCAGACGAGGTACTTGCTTCAGACTGCTCTTGCAGCCGTGACAAGACGGCCGGTGAAAACTTGGAGTAGACGGGCTGTACGCCTTGCGTTGCCGATTGGAGCTTTTCGATGGTCGGCCACTCACTCGGAGACGGGATTGCCATAGAGGGGTAGCGATTGCGTCTCGGGGCGTTGGCTCGCTTCTTGACGGACGCAGAAAGCTTGATGGGAAGTTCATCAATCTCACTCTCGCCACTCTCGCTTATATCGTATAGCTCATCGAAATCAGAGTGTGAGCTCTGTCGACTCCATAGGGAGTCATCGTCCGAGGTTGTGTCAGAGCTCGACGGGCTTTGGGGTACAGTCTGATGTGGCAGGTAAGGGGGCATTGCCTTCGGCGTCGGAAAGTCATCGCTCATGGGCGATATGATGTTCGCACGATCCTGCAGTTTCTGCGGCGCTGCGCGTCGTAGCGATACTTGCGGTACGTCCTCAATTACTGTATTACGTGGTAGCTCGCGTGCCGGCGCGAAGGTCGTTGCTGGTAGTATTGCGGTAGACATGGTGGAATCTTGGGCGGTTATTCTGATTTCTGTAGCTCAATGCTTCTGAAGGTAACTGTATCCGTCCAGCGGGGATTGAATATGCAAGCTTCGGTCAACGAAGCGTAAACCGGAATGCAAACCGCAAAAGCACAGAAAGAGAACGATTGACGACACACACGCAGCAGCGAAGGTGTGGTAGAAGCGAACAAGCGGCACAGCAGTAGGAAATCTTCTATACCGACTCACCCTTTCCACAGCTCGTGGAAGCGCCCACCTTGGGGGCACGCAATAGTAGCGATAGCGCCTACCTATATTGCCTGCGGAATACAGACCTCCACATGGTCGAGACAGGGCGCTAACAAGGCTTCCATTATATGGTCGAGGCAGCTGGTTGGCTTCTGCCGAGATGGCTTGAAGGTTGAAATCCTGCGCAATGACTTGCATCAGGGCCATTTCGGCTCACTACACGGGAAAGTCGGGGCGTTCATGGGCGCGAACGATGAGGGAGTCTGCTCGACTGGGTGAGACGTAGCGCTGGGGTTCATGCATGGTGTGCGGTGGGCGCTTACTGTCCGTCTCTACCGGCCAATCAACGCGGAATGACTCGCTGCACAGCATTGGGGCTTGGTAAATACTTCCCATACCGCTCTCAGAAGTTGCTGACTTTCACCGACCGTCGCCTGCGCCACGTCGATGTTCTGGAAGGCGGTCGGTAATGATCGTGGAGTGGAGTGTAAGCGATGACTGCGCTCCATTTCACTCCACCTTGTTCCACGTTGCTGGCGCCTGGTTGATCTTCGGGAGTCGTTCCCAACATGCCTGAGGCTTGACTATCGGCCGGCTCGGATGCGCAGCATGACGGCGAACCTCATTCGAGTTTCGATATTAATCTTAAACCTCCGAGTGCCGTCGTTCCTGCTGTACATCTGTAAACGACAAGTAGATACCTGAAGGTCAAGAACAATGGCACCACCAGCCATCATCGCCCCCTCAATCCTGAGCGCCGACTTTGGCGCTCTCGGGAAGGCATGCTCCGACACAATCTCACAAGGAGCAGACTGGCTACACGTGGACATCATGGATGGGCACTTCGTCCCCAACATGACCTTCGGCGCTCCCGTCGTAACGAAGATACGCTCACATGTCGATCGTCCCGCGCAAGCCTTTGGGAAAGGCACATTCGATTGCCACATGATGATCAGTGAGGTGCGGGAAGCGCCACGTTCGGCCAGGAACTCTTCCATCGGTGTGTGCTGACCTGCGCAGTAGCCGAAGAAATGGGTAAAGGAGTTCCAGAAGGCGGGGTGCGATTTGTATTGCTTTCATTATGAAGCTGCTGTGGATTCGACGGCTGCGGAGTCGCCTGAAGCGCAGAGCGAGACGAAGACTAGTCCGAAGGAAATGATCAAGTATATTCATGATCAGGGTATGAGGGCTGGTATCGCGATCAAGCCGAAGACGGACGTCAGCGTACTTTACGACATTCTCGATAACAGCAATAAGGAAGAGGTTCCGGATGTAAGTAGTAGAAATCTCACAGCGCTTGTTCAACGTGCTGACGGTAGTAGATGGCCCTCGTCATGACCGTCGAGCCCGGTTTCGGTGGGCAGAAGTTCATGCCGGATATGATGCCCAAAGTGGAAGCGTTACGCAAGCGGTATCCCGAGCTCAACATCGAAGTCGACGGCGGGCTGTCAGAGAAGACAATCGATACCGCAGCAGATGCCGGCGCGAACGTGATCGTGGCTGGCAGTGCTGTGTTTGGCGCGCAGGATCCGCGGCACGTCATTCAGATTCTGCGGGAGGCGGTGGAGAAGCGGCGGTGACTCGAAGGTAGTAGACTATAATCCATACACAGCAAGATGCGGTCGCAGGAGCTATCGGAACCTCATCCAAGAAGGAAGTTAGCTTTTCCAATGCCGGTCATCATGATCAGACCAGCAAAAGCAATGCTCACGCACCACGAAACTCCACAACCACACCCGGGTACTTCAACCCGCATCTACATGATACGTTGGCTTGGTAGTTACCCAGAACATAACTCTGCATTGCGTCTGATATGATACTCTACACGAGGAGGGCACGGCTATAGAAGCTTGGCTTGCCAAGCATACCTATGTCACGTCAAATATGAGTGAGAGAAATCTGTAGACCTTCGGAAGGACCCGAGACAGCCATGTTTGATCCTTCTGCGCAAATTTGTTATATAGCTGAATCCGTGCGCTTTGAAGCTATGCCGAGTATCCATTTAGTGGCTTTTCTGAGAAGGATTTGGTGGACGTGAAGTGAAGTGAGGGTGAGCGGAAAGGGCTGGGTCCGAGCGTGCCTGCGAGCTGCGCCAGCTCGAACAGTGAGAATATCATCTAACTAGTTCGGGATTTGCACCAGCGACCAACCTCAGCGCGCCCGTGTTGCCTTATCACTTCGTCCAAGCTTACTCATTCATTTCCCCCTCCCCCATCCTCCCCATCCTCCCCGCCCACCAACCCAAAAGCCACCCTCTTCATCCTCAAATCCCCCTCCAACCGCGCCAACTTCTCCAACTCCCGCTTCTTCAACAATTGATTCGCCATCCCACTCGCCTTGATGCGGACAGCCTGCACCTCACGCTCCAGATCCGCGACTTCCTCGAGCTGTTGATTACGCTCGACCGTTTTGGCCGCGGCGTCTTCGTCGACGACATCCATATCGTCGTCGTCGTCGTCGTCCGAATCGTCGTCCGAGTCGTCGGAAGAAGCTTCGTCTTCGTCCGGCGCGTCGTGGATGGGTGTTTCGGCGGCCGAGGGGGTTGAGGTTGCGGCCATGGCGTGCTCGACCGCGGCGAGGGATGCGGCTTGTTGGTCCAGTAGCGGCGCCGGGGAGTCGGTGATCAGCTCAGTCACGCGCGGCTCCGGTTCTGCCGCAGCGTCTTCGGCTAGTGCGTTGTTGAGGTCCGCCTCAAGCGCACTATAGTCTTCCTCCGGCGACTCCGCATACTCCTGCGCATACTCCGTGCTATCCATCACCTCACCCTCCGCATCCATCTCCTCTCCATCCTCATACCCAGGCTCCTGCGTGCGCCGCATCACATCCCACTCCGCCAGCGTGTACTCCCTCGAGCTCACCTTCCCGCCACTCCGCTCCCACTCCTCGTCCTCACGCAGCAGTCTCTCGACCTCCGCTTCAACGTTCTCCAGCTGCTTGGGGTTAACACGCTTCCGGAAACGCCGCTTGCGGACGTGGTGCATGGGTGGGGTTAGGCCGTGGGCGTATTGCATGGTTTCTTTGTCCACTTCTTTGGGTAAGGCATAACTTCTAATCTCTGCCTCGGTGTCGACACGGCCGAGGACTAGGAGCATTTGGCAGACATCCGAGACTTTCCACCAGCCTTTTTTGTCCCAGCTTTTCATCGATTCCACGATGCAGGGTAGATCTACGAGCGCGGCGGCGTATTTGCGGTCCTCTACCTTGACCAGGGCCCGGCGAAGATCAGCCGTCACGAACTTGATGCTGGCTTGGACGCTACCTTCTTCGTCCTTGACGCCGATCTTATTGTCGGCGATGGCGTTCCGGAGTATGTCGGCATCCTTCCCTGGTGGCATTCTCAGGATCAGACCTTGCTGGATCGCGGGATCTTCCTCGCGCTCGCTGTCTTCGCTGTCGTAGCCTACGCCCGTCTCACGCTTGGGAACGTCACGTTTCACATGGTGTGCGGTGAGCGCCTTGAGGATGGTAGATTGCTTGCGTGGGGGCGCAAGTGCGAGGGCGACCTTGCGACTACTGACAGCGCTCAATGGGGTGGCGGTGGACGGTGCATAGCCTGGCGGAAGGGTGGGTTTGAGCTTGATGGAGGGTTTGCGCGCCGCCGATGCACCACTCGCGATCCGCTTGGCCGCAGGCGAGATGTCATCGTTGTTGGCCCGCTTCTTGCTTGACGGTGCTGCTGCAGTGGTTGCCTTGCGCGCCGCCGGCTTCTGGTTGTCTGCTACAGACACGACATGTTCAGTGGCCGGTGTCGGTGGCTGTGAGGCCTTGAGCTTCAGTCTCGGTCCTCCGGCGGTGCTCGGTGTAGGGAGGGGTGAGGCAGCAGACCCTCCGTCACCGTTGGCTGGCTGTGGCTGCTGCCCGCCCGTAGTGAGCTTGAGCTTCAGCGGCATCATAACACGGCATCACACGGCATCACACGGCAGCAATATCGGTGAAGATGTTACCGTCACGCAGAAAGTGGGGACTGTCGAACATCGAAACGTCTGCTGCGCCTTCCATCTCAGAGGCGCAGCAATCCACAAGCCAGGCCGGTTACAGTTAGTGCTCCAGGTACGGCCCGCACTTGTCAGTCTGAGTCAGGCACCGAGCAAACCGCCGTGAAAGCTCACAGTTACCACTGTGTGGAAGTGTAAGCAGAGCAGTCTAGAACACACCACAAACTCATTCGTTGTTAACAGCTCTGTTATCTCGCCTTACGGCCGTCGCAGCAGTGGAGAAAGCTGACAGTCACGGCCGTAGATTTGAGGTGGGATCATCACCCGGCTCCAACTTACCGAAGTGTAACGTCGCGGCATAGGGCTGCAAGGGTGGGGATGGGTGACTTGCCTTAGCGCAATCCTACGACACCGCCTTGTGCTGCAACCCATCCGCCCTTTCACTGCGAGCGTGAGCTTACTGCCTTGCAAACTGGCGGTTGTCTCATCTCCACCATGACACTTGACCCTCCGCACACGTGGAGGCGCAAGCAGCTCTCTACAGTATCTCTCTCTCCCCACTCCACATTCCGTACGGTGAGTAGGAGTAGTAGTCTGTCATACGCGTGCCCCCTGCTTCCATGCTGGTTATGAGCGTTATCTGCTTGCTTACTGGCGGTGTCTCTCGCCTTTCCCACCATTTGCCTCCATGCGCTCACGCCTGTATATTACATCTGTATCTCTCATCCTCTCCGCCTGAGATCTCAACACTCACCCACGGTACTCTACTGGCCAGCGCAAGCGTTTCGCAATCAGCCCATACACCCCTGAGCTGAGAGGACCAATCTCACCTGACCTACTGCTGGCCCCCACCACGACTCACACCACAGCGGCAGCCAAAAGTATACTCAGAGCGCATAACTCCATGGCCTGTGTCGCACTTCCCACTGTCTGGGAGTCGCCGCTTGAGTTGAAGTTTGACTGCAAAATGGGCTACGACACAATGTCCGCTTGGGACCGTACTTCTTCCGACTTCAGCGAATATATTGAACGACGGTACGATCTGTCTACCCCACTCTTCAAATTATGCATGGGCTGACTCTCATATAGGAGCGACACATGGGCACACAGCTCCCACAGGATACCAGCATCATACCCGTCTCGCCTAACGGTCCGACGCAAGGCCTCCAAGTCCCCCAACCAGCGTCGCCCACAATCTCCAATCGAGCTCCCAGCATCAGTCCCCTCGTTTCAACACGCGACACAGAACTGGAGTCCCCCGTCATCACCCACCGCACGCTCCCGCAGCAGCACTTGCTCCTCACCCGACTCTCCACGAGTCGACTCCGCCGTCCTCAACCTACCCATGCTCCTCCCTCTCACACCCAGAGAGAAGGGCCGCATGGGCGAAAAACTCTACGACGCCGCCTGCACCGGCGACCTCGACGAAATCAAACTCCTCATCTCCCTCGGCGCGCCCGTGAACACGAGCAAGCTCGTCGAAGGCCTCTACCAATCCTTCAAACCCGCCAAATCCGGCCGGCTCTCCCCTCTCGCCGGGGCAGCAGGCCACTGCCAAATCGACGCCGTCGAGCTCCTCCTAGCCGAAGGCGCGGAAGTCAACCCGGACCTCAACATCTCCTCCAGCTCCCCGCTTCACGAAGCCTGCCGCGCCGGCGACGTGGAAATCGCGCGATGCCTCTTAGAGCTTGGCGCGAACATCAACAGCCTTAACGCTTACAAAACTTCCCCGCTCATGTACGCGGTCAAATACGGGTCCCCCGAGATCGTGCAGCTACTGTTGAGTTACAACCCGGACATGAACCAGCGATCTTTCATCGGCACCGCGGCGATCCATTGGGCGGTTTGGCCCGATCGACCGGAGATCCTTCGACTACTTCTACAAGCGGGCGCGGAGGTGGATCATAGACAAGCGGATGGGAGTACGGCGTTGCATTGTGCCGCGGTGGGGAATCGGGTGAATATTGCAAAGTGTTTGCTGCAGTATGGGGCGACTCCGTTGGCGAGGGACGATGATGGGAAGACGCCGCTTGTGGTTGCGGAGGAGAGTGGGCATGCGGTGGTTGCGGAGTTGTTGAGGCAGGCGGTTACGCTGCGGGCGGGGCAGTAGTTAGATGGGACGGGAAGTGATTGGAATCGTGCTGCGTTTGAGCGACGGGGTTCGGGCATGAACAATGATCTTATGGAAATGTAACATATCCCGTCCTATGTCTGCCAATACCCATAGCAGAGATGTATCATGATTAGCGATCTGTCTTCACATACAATGCGTTTCACAACCGGCTTCCAACTGCTCAGTGAATGCTTCCAGCCGAATTCGCTTGGCGGCACGTGGCAAGCCCGAAACCTTCATCGCGCTTGCCCTCGCTCTCACCTTACCTGTATCGTAGTAAACATCCTGTTTCACATCCACCTCAGCGCATCCACAGCCGCCCTCGCGCAAACCTCTCCAGAAAATGCTACCACGATAGCCCATCAACCCCCAGCGCCCCTGCGCACACACACACACACACAATCGGTCATTCTCCCTAAAGCGGAACACGATGTCCCAATCCCACGATCTCCACCGCGCCCTCCTGCGCCCCTCCATCATCCACATCCTCCGCGCGGCGGGCTTCCACAGCACCCGCCCTTCCGTCCTCGACACCCTAACCAACATCGCGGAGCGCTACCTCCTCCTCCTCGCGACCACCACGGCCCGCCACGCTGCCAACTCCCATAATGACGCTGGAATGGAGGTGACGGTGACGGATGTGCGGATGGCGTTGATGGATGCCGGGGCGTTGGTTCCGGCTGAGGGGGCGGGGGAGGAGGGGTGGAGGGAGCGGTTGAGGAGGAGTGTGCGTGAGATGGGGGAGGCGGTGGTGTTGGTTAGGGAGGGGAAAGGGGGGGATGGGGAAAAGGGGAAGAGGGGGGCAGAGGCGCGGGTGAGGGCTGAGAAGCGGAAGAGGGAGGAGGAGGATTTGGCGGATGTGAGGGTGTTTGAGGAGTGGTTTGACGGGGCGCAGCATGCGGAGATGAGGCGGGTGGCGGGGATGGTGCCGGATGCTGGTGCTGCTGGTACTGCGCCCGCGGTGGGCGTGGGGGGTGGTGTGGTTGTGGCGGAGGACTTTTTGGCGGGGTTGAAGAAGAAGGTGGGGAGGGTTGGGGTCGGGGAAGAGGGGGGTAGGTTGATGGGGACGGTTTTGGGGAGGGAGGGGGAGGAGAGGGAGGTGGTGGTTGAAGGGGGGCCCGTCCAGAGGGTTAGGGACTGGAGGCCTAGGTTGGAGGAGAGGAGTGTTAATTCGCTTGGGCCGGAAAGGGAGGGGAAGATGAATGTTGAGGAAGGCGTTACGGAGGATGCAACAAGGTCTGAGGTACATGACGAAGGTGCTTTGCTGGTGGCAGAGCAAGTGGAGGCGACGTGAGCGGATGCCGGATGGCGTCCTTCACTAACCCAGCAATGTGACGACCACAACTTTAAACATCGCCCAGCATCAAGCGTAAAACGATGGGTGTGCTTGAGGAAAGACAAGTCTGCCTTACATCGTCATGCCGACGCTACTGGCACCATGTCCACCATCCTCCGGGTATCGCAGCCGCACGCCTGCTACTTTGTTCGCCCGACTTGTCAACCATCAGCCAAACGCGATCAGCGTGGTCCGTGAAGACCAGCCTCCGTCGCTCCCAGACACACTGCAGTATCTATGTATGGTGTATCATGCACAATATCATCACGCAGATTTCCGCCTTGGGAAGCGATTTCCGCCCTGAGAAGCCCTCAGTAGCCCTCACAACCCTACAGTCGATTCAGGTAGAGCATTGGTGCTCGGTCATGCTGCACCTCATAGCCAGTCTCCCGAAGGATCACCATGTCATCTGACCCGGACATTTCGCTTTCTGCCCGACTTTCCTGCCGTAGACGGTTTTGGTCGGAAGACATCGGTTCGGCCGAGACCTGCGTGAGCGTCCTAAGCTCCCTCTCCGGTCGCAGCTTCAATGAGCAGTCTTCGACGAGCCTTGGCGGCGGTGTAGCGGGCGACAATTGCACCTCGGCTTCCTCCTTCGATAGATAAGGAGAGACAGAATCATTGCGACTTCTACTCGCGGCACTCTCGAGCGAGGCAGGGTCTTTACTCTTCTCGCTCTTGCTGGACGCGCCGCTCACGTCCGACATGCCGTAGCTGCCGTCGCCTTTGCCACGGGTAAAGCCAAGCCCAAAACAGGTCTGGAAGCTTTCCGTAAACGCTTTGAGGGCCGCCAATGTGCTTGCTGCGAGCGCGTACGCCAGTTCAACTTCCAGCCAGACGACTACGACTGCGCTCGTAAGGCCCGGATCCGTCTGCGGTAGCCGTAGCTGCATGGTATAGTAGTTGCGACCTATCGAAAAGCCAAGCACTGGTAGGCGGAGATAGAACGCTATCAAAATGATAGCTTTCTTCCGCATTGACATCTGCAGGCCCCAGACTAGGTATACCGGGAGGGCCAGAAGTAGGACCTCGGTTATGATGTCCAGACCTGTGATGGTTTGCCACCGAATGTTCTGCGCATGAAGTCAGCAAGCGCCACCAGACTCTTCAGTGAAACGACTTACTTGGCTGGGACAACTGTGTCGGTTCGCATGAAAAGCCCAGTAATAGCCGGATGCAGTCGGACACCCAGCCACAGCCGTAAGCACCGAGATGACGCCAATAACCGCAGTGAAGATATTGCAGATGAAGAATAGCCGGATCTGCTGCGGCGTCTTCGTGATGCGGCTCAGAAAGAACAACATCGCGCATTTGGACACATACAGAGCCATCATGAACGTCACTAGTCCAGCGATCGAAGCCTAACCGCATGTCAGACGAGTTCACAGACCGGTAACTGACGTAACTTACCTCGCTAAGTGACGATATCGTCCCTTCGTTCAGTATTGTCCGCCATGGAAGGCCAAGTCCTTTGCTAAGCGCAACATAGCTGGCGGCCGCATTGCAAAGAGTGAGGACCGTCGCAGCCGCAATGACAAAGTCATCGCTGCCGAAGGAGCCTTTCCGTATGACTATCCGGACGAGCGCAATGCACACTGTGTATATCAGGCAGAGGCTGATCGTGAGGTTGAGCGCTTTCTGGTAGCCGCCAGCCTCGGACATTCTGTTGAAGGCAATGCTGCTGCATGCAGGGGCCGAGCAAGCTGCAGCGATGCTATTGTACGCGGTACGCGCTCTGCTGACACTCACTCGGTGCTGCCGTGAGTGTGGGGTGGCGATGCGGTGCGGTCGCTCGAGGGCCGGAGGCCACAAGGTCTGATCCGTACGGCTGTAACCGGCGAGGCCGGAGCTTGCGAGTAGCTCTAGACGTTTGAGAGCGCGTGAAGTGACGTTGACGGCGTTCCACCCAGTCGATCGTGCCTACCTCGCAAAAGTTCAAGCTTTCAAGAACAGCATTTGCTAAGAGAAAGAGAAGTGGTCAGAATCACCTACATGCGCGGCCCGTGTAATCATGACAACAACATCCTTTCATGGCCGGAGGCTGAAGCGCCTGTGTCACGTATCGGCCGCATTGGTTCGTTTGGGTGGTTTGTGCGACAAGACGATTTCACAACGAGGTCGCGCTTCGCCACTCATTCGCATCTGGCGGGGCATGATGCGCTCTCTCATGGCATACACTGCCTTGCTTCGGCGCTCATACTGCTTTCGAATCATACGAGCTCTCATCAAGCGGCAGTACGGCAAGTGACGCTCGCAGTGGCAGAACCAAAACTCGCAGCAATGGTCTCCACAGCCACGTCGCACACAATCGCTTGTGCGCAACGAGCCGCTGCAGCTGCGCAATATGAGCCAAAATTTGGACGAGTTGCCGTAGGGCACGATTGCCAAGTCAGTGCGTCCGGATGCCGAGATGCGGTGTTGCTCGGTGTCTTGCATCTGCACTACACACAATCTCTGCACAGTGGACAGCCCGCTTGGCGTACAAACTCCATTAAGCCCAGCAGCCCGGTTTTCAGGAAGGTGTGCTGAAGCGGTGGGTGACGCTGTGTAACGTGACCGTTACTAGTGGCGATTGAGCCGACAGCCGATAATGCAGGAGACCGCAGTTGACAACTTTCGTGCGACACCTACGAGAGAGGCTTCTCCCAGGATACCTCGTATAGTGCAAGAAAGCATTGAATGTGGTCATGGCGCGACACGCTGTCAGCCGTGGCTATCCGCCAACGATCTAATGGTTCGAATACACTTCCGTGCACTTCCCCGTCACGCGAAAGCGTACGTTGATCTCAGCCCACCGTGCCTGCCTTGCGTGGATGCAGCCCAGACGCTGCTTACCGAGTCGTTTGCTGCCCAATGAAGCACTGCCTTGGCAGGTGTGAATGGGACGGAAGGCTGGGCCACCTCGAGCCGTGACGCCCGTAAACTGGCAAGCGCAGAGCAACGTGCTGCATTGTGGAGAGAGACCACCCTTGCACTTCCTTGCGTTCTTCAAACCGTTCCATCTTACGTTCCAGCGACCTGAGACCACGGCTACACTTACATTAGATCCGCTCATTTAAAAGCACCGCAATGGCAATCACAGCGTTGCCAGAAAGGGCCAAGGCAGAGCAGCGCTTCTCCATCGATGACAGTGGCAGCGATGGCAAATCATCCGCCGCGCAGAAGGGCGGTACAGCCGCAGATGAACGCGAGATGGACAGGATGGGGAAGGTCCAGGAATTGAGAGTGCGTCTTACTTCAATGTCCTCTCGAACTACCGCTGACGGACCAACGTTAGCGCAATTTCAAATTCGTCGGAATAGTAGGCTTTGTGACCATTTTGCAAGCGACATGGGAATGCACACTTCTTGCCAACTACTTCGGTCTGCTCAATGGAGGTCAGTCGTTCCGTTACTGATGCTGCTTGTGAACGACAATATACTGATGCGTTGCAGGCACCGGAGGCGTCATCTGGTGTACCATCGCCGTGTGGGCACTGATGATGTGCATGATCGCTTCCATGGCAGAGATGGCCAGCATGGCGCCCACTGCTGGCGGCCAATATCATTACGTGTCTGAGTTTGCACCGCCGTCACTACAGAAGTCGCTTTCCTACGTTGTTGGCTGGTGCTGTTGTCTGGGATGGATTTGCGGCATACCGGCGTGCGGACTCCAACTTGCTGGACTGGTCCAAGCCATGGTATTGCTTACCTTCCCGGATGCCGATGTCAGCACGCTGTGGCAGACGACCCTCTTGGTGTCGGCCTTTGTCTTGCTGACGGTGGGCTTCAATATCTACTTCGCCCACCATCTGCCGCTGGCGGAAGGCATCGTGCTCTTCCTGCACGTCTTCGCATTCTTCGCCTTCCTGTTGACGTTGTGGATCATGGCGCCGCATGCATCAGCCAAGCAAGTCTTCTTCACATTCAATGACGGCGGCGGCTGGGGCAACGTCGGACTGTCTTGTCTGGTCGGTCTGGCCACGCCCATATGGTGCTTCATTGGTCCAGATGCTGGCGCGCATATGTCTGAGGAGCTAAAGGACGCTTCACTGCAGCTCCCGCGCGCCATGATATGGGCGACATTCGGAAATGGCATTATGGGCATCGGCATGCTCATTACGTTCTGCTTCTGCATCACAGACCTGCAGGCACTGCTGGACTCCGACAGCGAGTACCCGGTCATCAACGTGCTTTACTCGGCCACGCACTCCTACGCCGGGACGGTTGTGCTGGGTTGCGTGCTTATCGTGTTGCTGTTCTTCTCCACCGTCACGACCATAGCTAGCGCTTCGAGACAGGTGTGGGCTTTCAGTAGAGACTGCGTGAGTCAGCAAGAACAAGCAGCAGGACTGCAATAATATCGACTGACAGAGCTACAGGGTCTTCCGTTCTCGACATGGATACGTTACGTGCCGCCAACCTGGGAAGTACCAGTCAATGCGGTATGCTCACCCGCTCACACTTCAATCGGTGGATACTGACAGCAGCACTAGCTTCTCGTCTGTCTAGGCGTCTCACTCATCCTGTCAGCCATCAATTTCGGCTCCGACACTGCCTTCCAAGCCATCTTAAGCGTGTCAAACGCCGCCTTGATCTTCAGCTACATCATATCAATAGGCTGCGTACGGCTGAAAAGACTGCGCGGCGAACCGCTGCTTCCTCGCAGATGGTCGCTCGGCAGATGGGGCGGACCGATCAACGACATTACGCTCGCTTTCCTCTTCGTCGGCTTCGTGTTCTCGTTCTTCCCGGAGGCGCCGTCAGTGGGCGATCCGAACTGGGCGGCGGACTTCAACTGGTAAGTTTGGAGCTGTAGCGTACATACACGATGTTGCTAACTGTGTGGCAGGGCGATCGTTATTTTCGCCGCCACGTGTCTGCTTGCCTTACTCTACTACGTCTGTGGCGGGCATCGACAGTATGTGGCGCCAGTTTCGCTGGTGAAGCAGGACTAGCTGGACTCGAGCCTTCCATTCATGTCATCCGGGCGATGATGATCGGCCACTGTGCGAGTACAAGTGTCAAATGGACGTCTGTAGGGTGTCGGCGGTACACTGTTTCACGCATCTAGCATCTGCATATCAAAAAAGTGTTCATGAATTTGCCGACAAGTCCCAACATGAGCTCAGTTTACCGTATCAGCACCCTGACAGGTGCGATGACCTATGTTCACCTTGTCAGCATTGTCGTGACTGCTTCCCTATCCTGAGCCAATCACTGAAGTCGTCTTGCCTAATAGCACGTAGCAGCCGTAGTCTGAGGATTCACCAGCGCAACATGCTGCGGTCCCTTCCGACTTCGTCCGGATTAGAGTTACGCATCCTTCAGAGATCATAGGCGAACATAGACAAGGCACTTGTACAGGAGCCTCCGGGCCGGACAGAACGTTTGCGGAGTGCATGAGCTTTGCGGGGATACCATCAATCTATGCTATTGGCAAGACGCGTGGGCGGTCGATCTGCGGTGGGACGGAGACGCAGCGGGGACGATGATTGAACAGAGTGTTGGCAACAAGCTGGCACAACAAGCACGCGTAGTTGATGAGCATGCTTGGGAAAAATGTCCGCTGAAGGTACCCTGAACGGGTGTCGCGTGCTCAGCGCGTGTAAGGCGGTATACATGTACCGTGCAATGCGAGATCATGATCGTCAGCCTCGAAATCCTGCAGACCTCCGAGACAGCTGTCGGAGTCCGAAGAGTACATTGCGGTAGACGGTCCACTTGATGTCCTCCTGATACTGGAGAGGCGCTCAAGCACAGAAAGACGGTGTGGTAAGCTTCTGGTCTTGCATACTGTGCACGGTTAGATACAATCAACATGCCGTGTTCAGAAACAGCAATTTCACGACTGCATGGTGGGAGAAAAGCTCTCGTGTTGGCGGGAGATGCTGTAGCTTCTGGTGACCAGACGGGTGGAAGGAGAAATCTTCGTTGCATGAGGTAGCTAAAGGTAGAGGTATGCTTTCGCGTTTCTGCAGGCGGGACGTAGTGGGCTCAGCGTCCCATTCAGGTTGTCTAGACGTGGCGCCGACGGACCCGCAAGATCCCGCCATGCAGATGCTGAACTGTCGATCACTCTTCACGTGAAGAATGCCATGTGTTATGGGCGAAGGTGTGGAATAGGTCGAATGAGTGATGTCTGACATCTCCAACACGCCATAATAGAACGACGAGGAGGTGGACGGTAAAGAGCGTTGACAGCGTTCGTTACAAGCAGGCAAGGCAGGTTGGACAGGCAAAGAATAGTCGCAAAGGTTCGCTTGCGATTGGACGCTGGGAGAGTTCAGCCACCGCGTGGGGGGAGTTACCGAGTTCCACGCACAGATGCGTATCGGTGTGAATCCCAGCAGTATTCCAAGGTTTTCGTGAACACAGCTCCCTATATCCCGTGCCGCACACCAGTTCATAGTCCTTTCGTCTCTGCTCCGTTGTACTCCTACGTTGCTCATTGTTGGAATAGTATTGCTGCAGCTCCACTCAACTCAAGTCGTAAGCGTTCCTTACGCAGCATCCGGCGGCTTGCCAATCTCGAGGAGCAACCTACGTCAGCCAGCCCTCAACAACAGCATCCTGATCCACTTTCGTATCTCTCGAGACAGCATTGCCCACTTTGTCTGGCTGCCCGAATTGTGACGACACCCTGAAACACATCCACGCTGCAAAAGTGTTTCGCTTGCAGAACTACCGACGCTTTCTCGCCCAGAACGTCTATTGCTACTGTCGTGCCGGCTTAATCGGCCAGACTGGGATTTACTGCCTGACTTCTCACACCCAGATCTTGACCTCGTCAGTACCCTTCTGGCCTGGTCGGCCCCCTTAGTATTAATCGCCAAGGCCGTATGAACGGAGTAACTGCAAGCACAACCTGGGCACTGTGTCCCTTGACGACTGCATCTAATGGCCCCTTCGCTTCCACCCCGGAAGTTCGCGCCTGAACCTATTGAGACTTCCTCCAAGTCGTCTAAGGATGTTCGGCAGCATGAGCCTTCTTCCTCGAACGCCGCGACGCCGAAGCCGCGACGCTTCGCTGTCGAGCCCGTAGAAAGCCAGCACATCAGCAGCAAGGACAAGAAGGAGAGCACAGCGGAGGAGAAGCCCAAGGCAAGGCGCTTCGCTGTGCAACCGGTAGAGACGGAGCACAAGAGCAGCAAACACAGCAGTCGTGCGTCGAATGGAGCAGCCTCGGGTGAGAAGAGTCCACCGCGCCGCTTTGCGCCGCAGTTGGCGGAGACGTCAGCGAAGAGCAACAGAGGGCACCAGCCGGAGCACAACATACCAAGTCATATAAAGTTCCGGCCGGAGCCGGTCGAGACGACGTATCGCAGCAACCGCAAGCCGCAAATGGACGATGAGGAGGTAGGACCCAAAGATGAAGGCGCGAAGCGGCCCAAAAGATTTACGCCGGTTCTTGTCGACACAGCAAAACGGTCACGGCGCGCTGGAGATGCCATGCCGGCGCTTAATCAGTCCCAGAAGACCGAGTCTGGCCACCATCTGCACGCTCGCGAGCATCGACGGCACATTCGTGGTCACAAGACACCCTTGGAAGAGGCTGGTGATCCAATGGATACTGACAGCCCATCATCCAGTACGCAGGCGCTTGACATTCCAACACAATTACGCCGACACTTGGCACCGTTAGATGGCAGCGCACCGCAACGGCGACCGGCCGTGCAAAGTCAGCGGACGCACTCCTTCCGCTGTCCCGAGCTTGATACAATCGAGAGCTCAGAGAGCGAGCCGACTAGTGATCTCTCGTCGCTGTCTTCTAGTCCAGGTCAAGGCTCGCCAATCACCGCATCAGATTCGTCGTACAACGAGGGCCACAAGCATGCCACGCGGATACGTGAGTCTGTTGACGAGAGCTTCCAACACTACCTGCTTGAACTGGAAGCGAAGAGAGCAGCCGAGCAGCGCCTACGCGACCTCGCCAACGCAGCATTTCCAAACTCCGATTACCATGAGCCGGTGCAGCACTACGTCGACGAGGATGGCAGCGACGAGATGAAGATTGAAGACCGTCCCGTCACCTGGGCGGACTACGAAGATGAAGTCTTACTTCAGATGGCCAGGCGGCGAGAAAGCACGGCCAAGATCTCGTGGGAGCAGATGGAGATGCAACGGCATGCGGAGAAGCTTGAGCAGGAACGCAACGCTGCAAAGACTACGGCAAAGCAACCCACGCAGTCGCCTTGGTGGAATCCGGCAACATCGTACGGCTTCCAAGACGACGAAGAGGAGATGCGATCAATGCGTGACCGCGCCCGTCCGCCTATGTTGGGCGCTGACATCCAGTTCCCTCGGTGTCCGTCACCAGAGCCGGCGCGGTTCGACGTCACGCAAGGCTCCACGGTGCTGAGGCAGCAGATGTGCTACTTGACGGAGCATGCGGAATCAGAAGCCAACCGTCCGGATGAAGAAGTGGGCTTGTGGCATGCCCCTTCACCGGATGCTGACAAAGGCGAAGTCAGCGTCTGGAGCAGGAAGACCAGTACCAAGGGCAGCGGTAAGCTCGGGCTCTGGGGTGGTTTCTGCGTCGACGACGGGACCTCCACCGCACCCGCTTCTGGCGGGCTGATTCCACCTACCGGTCCGACAGGCCTTCTCACACCCCGCGTGGAGCGTGTCGAGAACCCGTTCGAGTCCTCCTTTGCCGACCCCAGCGCGGCCATTCAGATAGGCGCTGGGCTTAGGACGCCACCAACCCCACCCCGCAGCATCCAGGACGGTGACTTGGGTCGCATTGACGGCGTGCTGAATGCAGAACACGACTTGGACGAAGTGATGGAGAAGGAGTACCCTGACACTTTCATCACCCAAGTCTTCAACTACCTCTCGCTCGGCTACCCGACTCTCGCCCGTCCGTTCGATGAAGAACTATCAAAGATCAGCCGTGTCTCCATCGCAGAACTCCGCAAGGATGACCGAAAAGCGAAGAAATCTTCGAAAGGTTATATCCGTATCGGACCGGACTTTGAGGGCGACGGCATGGCGGAGCAGGAGAGTGTGAGGTGGCATGCGCTCAAGCTGTACGTGCGGGAGTGGGCGCGGCAGGAGAAGAATATGGTGAAGGTTGATGGGCCGGGTGGGAATTGGGGTACTGGTGCTAGGAGGGGCAGTTGGGCTATTTAGGTGTTTACTGGTTGCATGGCGAAAGGGTGTCAGAGTAGGCTTTGCGAGGTGTTACTGGCGTTGCTAATGGGAATCGCCAAAAGCGGTCAAGCGACCCGAGAGGTGTGTTTTGGTGGCATAGGGACGGTGTTGGTTCATGAGGAAGGGCAGGTTGCAGGATATAGAGACGGTGGAAAGGGTAGCATTCTACGTATTGACAGTATGTAGTAAGCAATCGCTGAAGCATTACAATCTACTCATTGACTCCCTCTGAACTGCTGGCCGGAGTTCAGCCGAAGCAGTGACGCCTCTGTCTCCTCCCACCACTGCTTCACAGTCCACTACTACGCAGCCTCCTGTCCAGATGACAGCGCAGACCGCGCGATCATCGACGCAGATGTCAGCCAGAATAAGTCCATGCAGCGGGCGGCCTTGGGCTAACCAACCACCCTCCACTCAATTCAGTTGACTGACATCATGACTATTACCGCCGCCGTCATGATGACTTGCCTCGTGCATAACCCATAGCGTTGCCTTCCCCCAGTAAATCAGCCAGATGCAGGGTAGGTAAACAATGTTTCGCCTTTCCCTTAACAACTTTTGCCGTCAAAGCATAGCAGCAACAACACCATTATCAAGGCTACCCGTACAGCACCACTCCTTCACCACCTCGCAGACACGACACGCTAGCAAGAAGCCCACCATGTCGAGCACTGTGTCGAGCATTGTAGAGAACGTGCAAACCACTCTCTCAGAGAACTTTGGCCGTTCCGCACAGGCTGCCGCGCCCACGGGCACTCACTTCTCGCTCGACGATGTTCCAGATCAGACTGGCAAGGTTGCCGTGATCACGGGTGGCAGTGAGGGAATTGGATATGGCTCCTCGCACACTCTCCTTTCCAAGGTTCGTCCATTGCCTTGTCTTCGCGTCGTCCTCCAAATAACGCGGATATGACAGAACATCTCCAAAATCTTCATCATCAGCTTGTCAAAAGAAGTCGTAGAGGGCGCCAAGAAGTCCGTCGCCGAAGAGCTCGGCCAGGATAAAGCAGACCGTACTCATTGGTACCAATGCGACATGGGTGACTGGAAGAAGGTTGCGGAAGTGTCACGAGAGATCGCCAAACAAACAGACAGAGTGGACATCCTCATCAACAACGCCGCACGAGGCATCATGACCTACCAACTTACCGACTACGGCGTCGACCGCCACATGGCAGTCAATCACATGGGCCACGTCATCCTCACCTCTCACCTCCTCCCGCTCATGAAGAAGACCGCGAGTAACGGCAGCAAGGTGCGGATCGTCAACTTCGCCTCGAACGCCCACGAGTCCTCGCCCAAGGACACGCAGTTCAAATCCATCGACGATCTGAACAAGGATCTAGGCGCCATGCCGCAGTACGGTCGCGCAAAGTTGACCTCAATCCTGTACAGCAAGTACCTGAACCGGCATCTGACCAGTCAGCACCCGAACATACTGGCGAACGCGGTACATCCGGGTGTCGTGAAGACGAAGATGAGTCAAGAGGACATCCACGAGCCATACCCGCTCGCCGGGTATATGATGAGTGTCGGTCTTACGCCATTCAAGAAGGATCAGTTCGAGGGTGCCCTGTCTTGCATGTATGCGGCCACCGTCACGACGAACTCGGGCGAGTATATCTGCCCGCCGGCTACTGTTGAGCCTGGTAGTGATTTGGCGAATAATGAGCAGCTTGGAGAGGACTTGATGAAGTTGACCCGTGATCTCATCACGGAGAAGACGAAGAAGGATAGTGTGGACAAGGGCTGCCCCATGAAGGACTACTAGACTCTATCTTTCGGCGGGGTTGATATTGTATTTGTGCATAGCACGGCCTGTGTATCGCTTAGACTGTACGATAGAAACGTACGGCATACCAAAGACTGTTGTGGAAACACGAACACATCAACTTTACATCGTGAGCGACCCTTTCGTCCTTTTCTTGGTATGCGGATACAGTTCCTGCATGACTCCACCCTCCCCACTTCGGCAGCTTGCATCGGGCATGAGGCTCGTGTGCGAGAACTCCCGCAACACTCAATTACCAAGACTTAGGCCTAGATTAGTTCAGCAGTCGTTGTGGTTGCCGAAAGGGCGAAGTATTTGTAGTACTCTTCATGGTCTTCACAGACTTGGGTGGGTGAATACTACATACAGCCCTTGATGTCCGCTTGCTTCAGTTCTTAGCTGTCCGCTCTGCATTCTTTTACTGCGCACTACTCTCATCATCTGTCTCGGAGTTCCATCTCTTTGACCTGTTCAGCAATTTATTACCTCAGCCAGCAGTCAAGCAAGATAATACACTATGGCTGCTGCAACTACGACGCTCCCGAATGGGACTTCAGCAGCTCCCAAAGAAGGACCCATCGAGACGAACTTCCTCATTGTCGGAGCCGGACCAGCTGGCTCAGCACTGGCTGGCTTCCTCGCCTCATATGGACTCACCGGTATCGTATTGTCCGCGGCGTCCGGCACAGCAAAGGAGCCTCGAGCACATATTACCAACCCTGCGGCGACAGAGTGCCTGCGTGACATCGGGCTGGAAGAGGAAATCCAAAACAACGCCACTCCTCCCAGCCACATGCAACACACTCGATGGTGCCATGACATGGCCGGCGAGGAGTACGCTCGTATTCATTCATGGGGCAATCAGCCTGACCGAAAGGGCGAATACGACGCCGCGAGTCCTTGCAAGCACGTCGATTTGCCACAAACGCTGCTCGAACCTATTCTCGTCAAGAACGCTCTGGTGAAAGGGTGGAAGGTCCGCTTTGATTCGTCGTTTGTCAAGTTTGAGCGGGATTCGCCCGATGGACCCATCACTTCGACCGTCACCGACAACCTCACCTCGCAAACCTACCAAATCCGGTCTAAATACTTGTTCGGCTGTGACGGTGCTCGAAGCCAGATAATGCGCCAGCTCGACGTACCCTTGATTAAGCAGCCGGGTCAAGGTCTCGCCATCAACCTGCATGTCGATGTAGATCTGTCGAAATACGTCGAGCACCGAACCGGCAATTTGCATTGGCTTATGCAGCCGGAGAAAGAGCATCCACCGTGGGGTTGGCTCTGCTTGTTGCGAATGGTGAAGCCGTGGCACGAGTGGATGTTCATCATTCTTCCGGAACCATCCTTCAAGGATTTCAGCATTCGTCCGTCGAATGAGGAGTATCTCAGGCGGGTCAGGGAATGGATTGGGGATGATAGTCTGCCTGTCAAGATTCTGGATGTGTCGAAGTGGTATATCAACGAAATTGTAGCTGAGTATTACAGTGACGGCAACATCTTTTGCCTGGGCGACGCGGTGCAGTGAGTATAAAAGACGACAGAATAGTTACCGAGACTGACCGTGTGATCCACAGTCGACACCCGCCTTTCAACGGCCTGGGCAGCAATACCTGCATTCAAGACGCGTTCAACCTGGCCTGGAAGGTGGCATATGTCGAACGCGGGCTCGCAAGTCCAAAGCTGCTCGACACGTACTCCGGCGAACGCCAGCCCATAGGTGCTGGCATCATTAAGCGAGCTAACCAAGGCCTACGTGACCACGTCCCAGTGTATGAAGCTTTTGGTGTTCTCGCCGAGACAGTGGAAGAACGCAAACGGCAGTTCGCCGAGCTCTCCGCGCCGACAGAAGCGGGGCGAAAGCGGCGCGAGAAGCTGAGAGATGCCATCAAGTACACGGAGCACGAGTTTGGCGGGATTGGTATTGAGATGAATCAGCGGTACGAGTCCGGCGCGGTGTACTTGAAGGATGAGAAGGAGGCACGACGGCCACCGCCCGAAGACGCAGTCCTGCAATATCAACTGAGCACATACCCCGGATCGAGGTTACCGCATGCGTGGATCAACAAGCGTGTTCCGGATCAAGGACCGATATCGACGATCGACTTAGCAGGGCATGGAGAGTTCAGCCTTATTACAGGCATTGGAGGCGACAAGTGGAAGCAAGCGGCGTACGAGGCTTGCAGGTATCTGGGTGTCAGTGTGAATGCGTACAGTATTGGCTGGCATCAGGACTGGGAGGATGTGTACGGTGACTGGTCGAGACGGAGAGAGATAGAAGAGGATGGTTGTGTTGTGTGCAGACCGGACCGGACCATTTGTTGGCGGAGTCCAAGCATGCGCGAGGATTGCAATGAGGCTCTACTCCACGTGCTGAAGACCGTGCTGGGTAGGACCTCGTAGTTACACACATATATTATCATGTCACTCCCATACCTTCCGAGCGCAAAACCACTGCACATTTTGTCTTCTTCCCATCCATACCGCATACGTTGTAACGCTGCGTGTCATTGTTATATGCGGATGAAGTCGGGAGACCGCAATGGGATGGCCGGAAGATTTATCGCCGAAAGCCGGAAAAATGATAATCCGGGAGCTCCGCGTATCAAACGCCATCTGTAAGAGCGAAGCCGACGGTTTGGGGAATCATAAAAGGAGACAACACAGATGCACCTCCACCCCCTCCTGCTCCTCCCTACCCTTCCTCCTACCCGGAAAGGGGTGGCAAAAGGGCGGGTCCAACCGCGATTCGAACGCGGGGCCTTGGATTATATCAGTATCATCGTCAATGGCGTATCGGGAAGGTCACATACCTGTCACAATCATTCCGCAGTAACTGCGGAGGGATGGGCTAGAAACCCAGTTCACCCGAAGCGACAATCATACCACTAGACCATTGGACCTGTACCAGATAAAGCTATCTTGGGCCTAGTTTGTTTATGTGGCGTCCAACACAATCCTCCGAAAAAACGCCGAGGGATCGTGCCACCTCGAAGGTAGGCGGCACCATCTTGGCGAAGATATAATATCACATAACGAAGAAGTGCTTCCTACACTCGCAGTCTATGATGGATGAAGACGATGATGCCCCTCCGATACTCGTCAAAGGCGATGCCACTACCACGGAAGGTGCACTCGCAACAGGAATGGCAGATATGGACATTCTCAAAGTCCCTATTACGATCATTACAGGTTTGGTACATCTCGGTGTGCTTCCAGGAAATCCTTAACCGTCTGACCAGGCTACCTTGGTGCCGGCAAGACAACTCTACTCAACTACATTCTCACAGCCCGCCATGGCAAGAAGATTGCAGTCATCCTAAACGGTGGGTCAGTGTGTCGTTGATACTCCCACTGCGGATCCAACCCTAACGACCAACAGAATTCGGCAACAGTGCCGATATCGAAAAGTCTCTCACTATCAACCAAGGCGACCAGCAGGTCGAAGAATGGTTGGAGCTCGCAAACGGTTGTATCTGCTGTTCGGTCAAAGACAGTGGCGTCAACGCTATTGAATTGCTAATGGACCGACGTGGAGCCTTCGATTATATCTTACTCGAGACCACTGGCCTCGCCGATCCAGGCAACATCGCTCCGCTGTTCTGGGTAGACGAAGGCTTGGGCAGCACAATTTACCTGGACGGAATCGTCACGCTTGTCGACGCCAAAAATGTACTCCGATGCCTTGATCAACCTACCAGCGAAGAGGCTGCACATGACGAAAACCACGGTGGTCATGGAGGGCCTCTTCTTTCAACCGCCCATTTACAGATCTCTCACGCGGATGTTCTCGTTATTAATAAGACGGATCTGGTCACCGAAGCTGAGCTCGAGGCTGTCCAGCAGCGTATAAGCTCTATTAACGCTCTGGCACAGATGCGTCTTACGGACCACAGCAAGATTCCACACCTTGAAGGTGTGGTGCTGGACCTACATGCGTACGATCGAGTAGATGCTGCAAGTCTTGACTTTGCCAGCAAAGGTCACAGCCACCTTGATTCAACGATTGGTACCATAACTCTTACGCTGCCAACAGTAACCGATAAAAGGCTGCAAAGGCTTGATGCATGGCTACGATCCGTGCTTTGGTCATCCGTATTACCTGGTCATGATGTTGTCACGAACTGGGAGATTCATCGACTCAAAGGGCGCTTAACTATGTCTGACGGGCAGATTAAGTTGCTCCAGGGCGTGCGTGAGGTCTTCGAGCTGATCGATGGTTCCGACGTGAGCACCAACACCACGCAGCCTGCCGGTGGAACAACTCCTGGCGGCAAAATCGTCATAATTGGCCGCAACCTTAGTGGCGATACAACTAGAGGCGCATTTCAGCGCAGTCTCAATACGGCGGTCAACGAGGAAATCTGAGAATCGGCATACTCATAATAGAACGAGCCGCTTCTCAAGAGAAATGTCTTCTTGGGAAACGTATCGTAACCGTGTCTGACGGCGGCCTTGTGGAAGTCGCTGTCCGTACGCTCACAGCCAGCAATCCATCATGCGCAGCGGCACGCTGCACCTATAAACGCTTCAAGGACAAAGACTGCGACGCAGATGCTACGCAGAGCTGCCCGTGAGCCTGGACGAGAATTTCGAGTAGCACGCGAGCTATGCTGGAGCGTGAGAAGCCGAACTGTTTCGTCCAGACTTGAGACTCCGCATCGCTGCTGGAGGTGTGCGTACAAACAGCAGTATCGTACTTGCGAAGGTGCAGACAACGTTATGCCAGAACGGCCAGACAAGTGCTGGAAAGAGAGAGGACACGTTATACCAGTACAGGCTTGCGAACAATCTTCGCCGCCAATGCTGAATGCTAGCATCTAGTTCGTCAGATCTCTCGTCATCATGACTGCGTACCGGTGAAGCACCGCGCATACCAGCGCAAGATAGGACATGAGAACGTCACCTTCCCACTGAGGAACGCCAGCCCATCCCATTGCCATAGCGGTGTATCTGTCCGTGTAACCACCCAACCGCGCCTCGTAGTACCGTCCCATGCTTTCAGATACGTGTACGCTTCAAATGCTAGTTAGATGGATAATAAGCTGCTCTCCAGTCGAGCGCGGCGGTTCTGAACATAGCGAGCGATGTGCAGCTCTCCATGGCCTGCGCGCTCAGCATTCAGACGTAGCGCATTCGTGCCTCGTCCGAGTCTTCGTGCGAATAGATGTGGTCGTAGTCATTGAATCTTGCCTTGCGTCTAGCCATCCGCCGTCCTCATCTCGCATAGGCGTATGCATCCGTCCTACGCCCAGTGCCGTTTCCATTTGGATAACCGTCCATCTTCCCATTCCCATTCCCGCTTGCTGTAGAACTGCCACTCCGACTCGCTCGGTCTAGTCCTGGGTCGCCGAAGAACTGCGCACTCACGCCAACTCCATCGGGCTGGTTTTGCCCTCCATTCACATAGCCGCCATGGCCGCTGTGACTGCTCATGCTCCCGTTCGCGCTGTCACTCCGCTCAAAATCCGCAGTGCCATACCGCGGGTCGCTGGTCCACACTGGAAACCCATCCTCCGGCATGCTCTCGCCCCTGGGCTTCCCCTGCGCATGCTCGGCAAGTACTCCGTTAATTCCAGTAAGCGCCCACGCAAAGATGGCTTGTTCGCGGATCGCGGCCATGAAGTCCTGGTTGTCCGGCCCAGACGCACTGACTGGGGACGCGCGGGCTGCACCTCGAGGACCCAGTGAAGGCGCAAATGCCGGACCGAAGCCTGCACCCGCCCGAGCCTCGATGGGCGGGAGTGTGGGCTCGACCGCCCAGGGTGCGGCGAAAAGACCGTTCTGGTAGACGGGCTTTGATGGACGATGCGTAGGATGCGGGATCATTGGACGAGCCTTTCGGAGACATACGACCAGCCCGTCCGAGGCGCAGGAGATGACCGCTTCCAGCTCGATCGGGTCCGCCGGGTTAGCTCTCGTTGGCGCTGGCGGTGGGTTATCACCCGGCGATGGCGCAATCGACGAGGCAGACGACTGTGCTTCCAGAGAGTGACCGAAGATGGCCTGGTGCGTGTCTGCTTGGTTCATGCTGTCACCAGAAGAGGTCCGCGAACTGGGTTGCTCATCACTCTGCACGCCCTCCATCTCCATGCTGTCGCTCGACGCGGCATTCGAGTGCGACGAGCTGGCACTTTCAGGCGACGTATTCGATCCGCTGTGTAAGTTGACGCCACCGTCTTCCGACATGTCAGTGCTCATTTCGGTCGTCATCTCCTCGTCGCTGTCTTCGTCCGGAGGCGGTGGCGGGTCGTCCACTCGTGGGTCTCTAAACCAGAACCGAAGGTATGCTATCGAGTCGTTTGCCTTGGCGTTCTCGAGACACTTGACCGCATCCTGCAAGCAGTTCTCGGCGATGCAGTAATAGAAACTTCGTCCTCGCATCGCCTCCGCTGGGATGCCGATGACCTCCTGTAGACCGCTAGTTGCATACATAATGGTTAGTGTCCGTGTGAATCGATTCAGAAAGAGCGCCGCCCGTGGCTCGTGATTTTGGAGCTTCGCTGGCTGCTTGAACTTCGCCGAAATATGTGAAAGCATGTGATAACGTGGGTCTGTCGGCGACGAAGTGAACAGACGCCGCACCATAGGTGCCTCCAGGGCTCGCTCTGCGGCTGAAATCAGCAAAAGCTCACGACCAAGTGCAGCGCATGCTTACTCTGACTCGCCAAGCCTGTCCTGTATATGCTCGTACAGACAATCATAACGTCGTAGACAATCGTAAAACAGCACTCGCAACCGACCCAGCCTCCTTGCTTGTCTCTTACTCTGCAGTAGGCTAGCACCGCCGCTTTGTCCATCTGCACGCGCTTCTCGTGGAATTTGCGAGCGTATGGGAGCTCGTCGGCAGGGAAGAAATCCCATGCTGAGCGGTTGACGATTTCATCTGGTGTGTAGCCAAGAATGTCTATGACAGAATCGGAGGAGTAGAGGATACGGGCTTCGGCAGTAAGGTCTGCACAGGACGTATCAGTACCGTTTCACGCGTATCTTACGAGAGAGCGCATACCGTGGATTGAGATGAATGTCGTCTCCATGGTGAAGACGAGTCGCTAAGGAGCAAATTCTCCTCTTAATGGGCGACTCTTGTCACCTCCAGGTGCGCATTGGCGCAGGCGACAGTTCGTCCACTGCGACAGACAGTGTCTGTCCGTCCGTCTTTGCGTCCCAGTCCTCGATTGTCTGTCGCGATAATTTGGCCCGACAGGAAGAGACTTAACCCCGATACTTCAGGCGTCCCGTCCAGAAAGCGCTCAGATGCTGTTGCTTGGCCAGATGGAGTTCGGAGTGTATATGTTCGGTGGGAGGAGAACGGTGCTGATTACGGATTGCAATCTCAGTGATCGGTCGGGCTTTCAAATTCCCGGTTCGGGACGAAGGCCAGACAGACGGTTCTCGGGACGTGTAATACAGAGGGCAGTCGCAGCTGGGCCTGAGTGTTACCAGCCAATGACTAGGGTTCAAAGGTGGAGGTCGCGTCCTGTTGCAGAATGCGAGGGATCGACAGCGAAAAATACGTCATGCATGCCCTTTCTCTGCTCTGCCCTTCCAGTGGCACAAACACAGGTGGTGCCGAGAAGGTCAGTACCTGATGGAATTGCTTGGGCAGGACTATCTGCACTCTGCCGTCACTGCGTCAGGATCGAATGTCTGATGAAAGGGTATCGTGATGCTTCTACTGTAGTTGATTGTAGAATACCCGTTGAGCTATCTACGCCACCCCCAAAGAGGCGTTCTGACTTGTACATAAGCGAGACGGGGATGTTCTGTCGCTTCTGTATCAATCGTTGCACTACCGACTAGGAAGTACAATATATCAGTCAACTTGTGGTTCGGCATGGTGATAAGCGAGCAGGCTCTGCATAAATGTACAACCGAGCTGCTTTCCCACCACCGCACACGCGTAGAACCAAGCGCAGCGATTCTGCATGCCAAACCTGCAGTAAGCTGCCGAGTGCCGTTCAGGAGTCTCGGCTCGCGTTCGCGGTGATAACGCCTTGCAACCATCGGACCTCTCTGCTCGCGTTATGAACAAAGCCCGCGAAACCAGAGTGTCGCTTCCTTAGCCAAACCCGAAGGGAGCAGCCCAATTATTGATTGAGTTCCAATAGGAAGCACGCCTTCGTCTTGGGGCGCATGCACACACGCGAACCGGGATCCGCAACGTTGCGCCTCGTCCCCGTCTCCCCGACGCGCCCGCCCAGCAAACTGCCGCCACAACGTCCCTTTACTGATCAAGGGGCTCTCCAATCGTCGATGGTGCTATACGACTAAGACTTGGTCATCGGGCAGCTCGCGCGGCATCGCGCTTGAACAATCCTTTCAGCAAGTTCACGCGTGCTCGCCGAGCAACTCCGGCCACGTTAGCTGGCTTATTGTACTGCCAAGCAACATAGCTGTATCAATAATCGAACACGTGAGCGGCAACGAGTCAGCGTGTTAAACAAGCCGTCGTTGACTCCATCAGCCCTGCAGCAGGAGTAATCAGCCCGAACAACGACGTTCGGCATGCCGAGCTTCAATACACCTGAGTAGCATGGCGCCGTCAGTGCCATTCGGTGACATCTTCCCAACATTGCTGTGCTGTACCAAGCTTGTCGACAGTGCGTGGTAGCTTCCTGTCATGACAAAGCCTTCAATATCCTCTGACAGACTACCCAAGATGCCCGGCTCTATGACGTGAAGTTCTACCCTTACGCCACGACTGATGACGAGCAAGTCTTTGCGGTCACCGGATCCTCTCATGCAAGTGTACTCACGCGTACCAGCAGAACCGTGACTAACATGCTTATAGGTCTTCGTCTGTCGCGCAAACTTGGAAGGAGATCCGCCATTTGACGTGCTCAGATGGTTCCGCAATGAAACGGTGCGCCTAGCTCATGCACCGGAAGGTCATTAGAAGCTTTGGCTAACAGCACTCAGAAAGGCGACTCCTTCAACAGCCTAGCATGGACGAAGGACCCAATCACCGGCAGTCCGCAAATCTGCGTCGCCGGTGAGAAACCCAAGCAGATCCAGATCCTCGACGTAGTATCCGGACAATGCGTCCGGACGCTCGCTGGCCACGGCAACGAAATCAACGACCTCGCCATCTCCCCGCTCAACCCAAACTTACTCGCTTCCGCATCAGCAGACTACACGATCCGGCTCTGGCACCTCTCACCCGAATACGAAGTCCAACCTTGCGTCGCCATCTTCGCAGGCGAAGGCCACCGTCAACACGTGCTGGCCTGCCATTTCCACCCAAACGGCAAATGGATGCTCACCGCCGGCGGCGACACTGCAGTCTGTCTCTGGGCCGTCCCCAACGAGAAAGAGCTCGACGACCATCGCCAGCAGTCGAGCCGGCCCAGCCATCCCAATCCAAAAGTCGTTTACTACCCTCACTTCCATTCCACGGAAGTTCACTCGCTTTACGTCGACAGCGTAGCTTTCTACGGCGACCTTATCCTCTCCCGCTGCGCTCGCGACGCGGGTGCGAAGGATAAAGCCAATGAGATCCTGCTGTGGCGAATTGACGGCTTTCACTCCGACGACGAGCCGCCGGCCGAACCACCAATCCCCACTCCGGGAGTGTGGACACGCTCGTCATTTCATCACGACAAGAGCTCAAGAGGCTTTCAGCGCCTGCTTACCTTCGACATGCCAAGCACCTCGCGCTTTTACTCGCGCTTCGGCCTGCTACATCGGAAGGGTATGCGGCCGATGCTCGCGATGGGCAATGAAGCGAGTAAGTACCTGTTCTGGGATTTGCAGAAGTTGGAGGAAGGCTGGGATCCGGATGAAGACAAGAATAAGGCCAAGAAGCCCAGAGGCAGAAAGAAGATGGGCGCGAATGCAGTCAACGCGAGTAACCTGAACGAACTGAGCGAGCTGCGGAGGGGACTCAGTACGCCTGGTGATGCTGGGACGAGAAAGACTTTCCTAGCTCCAAGCGAGAGCGGAGCGGGCACGCGTACGTACATTCGCTGGTCTTCTATGCTCTTGGCGCATTGCTGACTGTTTTTGGCCAGCTGACCCAAGCTCCACATCCATTTCTGCGCCGCCTGAGCGCAAATACGATCTGAGCGACCCTTTCGTGCCGCTGAAAGCGCACCACTCCGTCATCGCAGCCACTGCGCTTTCGGCACGTCGACATTTCGGCACGATGCAGGTTGCGTGGAGTCCTGATGGGAAGTGGATGGTTGGGGTAGGTGACTTCGGCATGATGTGTGTCTTCCATCGGGACGTTGTGAGCTGAGAGATAAGGCACGCAATGCTGCAGTGCATACTGAAATGGCGATGGAGCGGCTGGGGTCGTGCGCTTTTTGGAGCCGAACCTTGACGTCTCTCAACGTCCGGTGAAGAAGAGCTACCCTTAGCGCCGATGGAGCTGATTGTGGCGATCTAGATCTGCAGAGTTGGCGAACATGCCGGGTGAGCGCGCGCATGCAATTTTGAAAGGGGAGGTACAAGCATGGAGAGCCTGCGGTGTGCGTTGATCGTAAAGCAATGTAGCTCAAAAGTGGCGTACGCTTTGGTAGATCCCGAATTCAAGGAATCGGTGCTTGGCGCGGATCTTACGTCCAACGCAGGCTGCAGAAGCGAATCCATGACCCTCAAACTCTTCAGTCAGCGACAGTCTTGCCAGCTTCTTCAGCATCTGCCGCGGCTGCTTCAGTCGGCTCCATGACAGCCACCTTGGGTTTCCCAGCTTCTGAAAGCTCGTCATCCAACAGCAACTCCTTCTTTTCACTAGCAGGCGACATGACAGCCTCTTCCTCCTCCAGCAACTCCGGCTCTACGCTAATCTCCTCGCTCGCCTGTCTCTCCGGCTTAACAGTATCACTCCTTCTGATACCCAGCGCGGGCATGCGTTCCTCGCTACTACCTTCCTGCTCAGCCTCTTCCTTCTTCTCCGCATCAGTCCTTTCATCCTCTGCATCGTCCGGATCTGCAACGGAATGCCGCAGTATCTGCCCTGGCTGTGGGAGACTCTCCGCAATCTCTCGCATCTTCATCGACTGCCGCGCCAGATCTGGCTTTTCTAGGGGGCCTTCTGTCTCTGCTTCCTCTTCCGCCTCCTCCTGTATGACCGTGGATACAGAGCTAGAGCGTTCGGAAGGCGGATGTCTGTGCCTCTTCGTCGTCTCGCCAGCGGCTACCACGTGGTTACCTGCCGGCTCTTCCATGTGTGGCTCCGAGTCATCACGTCTCAATATCGTCGGTCCTTCTATTGGTGCCTTGTCTCTTTCTTGCTCCTCGTCCTGCGAAGGCTCTGCGGGCTCTAGCCCTTCCGCTTCAGCCGGGATGGTGTAGTTCTCCGCCTGTATCAATCCATACTCATCACATACTGCTTTGAAGAAGACGTAAAGCCCCGACTTGCTCTCCACCCGCCAGAACATGTCGCGATGCTGGAACCATGCATGTGCGTAGATGCGGTAAACGCGCCGGAAGATGTTGGTGATCTCTTTCAGTTGCTGCTGCAGCATTTTGTCCACCGTCCCAGCAGCCGCAGAGCCCGATCCTAGAGCGAGGCGGGAGGGAAACATCTTGCTGCTCGTCAGCGTCGTGGCGGCCCAGTCGAGGGTGTGGCAGCAGTAGTCAATGGCGGAACAATTCTTGGGCGGATCGTGAACGGCGCAGAGGTATTGCCATTCGCTTGCGCGCATTTCGAGGCAGGTTGCGGGCGAGCAGGGCGGGGTGTCGGCAAAGAGGGCGACGATGATGGCATTGGTCTTCTGGATGAGGAAGCGGCCCAGTTCGTAAAGCCAGATCTCTTTCGAAGTGTTGGGCGGAGGTTGTGCCAGCTGGCGCGCGATGGTGGCAGTAATGGGTTGGGTGGTGGAGGTGTCGGGGGGGTGGCTGTGGTAGTAATGTAGTGCTTTGAGGTGTTCCGTCAATTGGAAGGCGGAGTCGATCTCGGACATATCGACAAGCGGCGGGCCTTCTGCCATCTCTTCCGCCTTTGTGCCGGGCCGTATGCGTCTGGAGGCACCATGGTCGACCGCATTGCCCGGGAATTTGCCGTGCTCTTCAAACAGTGCCACACCTGGCGATGCCGGGCCTAGCTGGTCTTCGGCGATGGGTGGTGGAGATGGAAGACGCGGCGAGGATGCAGGCGAGTGTGCCGCCATTGTCTCGTTCGCTGTTGAAGAAAGAAGAGGTTACCACCGTCAACGTCGAGGCATATCGCGCAAAGCCATATATGTTGTGAGATTCTCGAGGAAGATCTGTGGAGAAGCGAGTGTGCCTTCCCAATGCAGGTACGAGCGGGCAGTACCGGCGCTAACGGCATCTAGAGCACGCATTGTCGCAGCCAATTGTGCAGCTTCACCAACATTCCGCGTGTAAGAGATAAGGTTGATACTCATCGCTGTAGGATATGCGCGAGAAACTACAGGTCCAGGATTATAATAAGCGCCAGAGCAGCTTATACGACGATCGTCGGGACCACATCAATCACTCCTCACGCCGTCCGTCCCAGTTTGAGTACAAGGCCACAACGTTTGCAAGGTTCCGCTGATAGCAATTTCCCACTCGCGCCAGACAAACCCCGGCAGAGCAAAATCCGGGCCTCATCCACTCACAAGCGGAACATGCGGCTTGCTGCAAGTCATGCAGAATGCAGTTGGCATTCTATACATGGTGGAATCGCCTTCGACTTTTGCGAATGCGTCAAGTCTTGCCCGCCGCCTAGCGCAGAGTGACGACAATAACACCGCCAGATCTGTCGTGTCCTTGGCACACTCGAGTGTAATTTCAGTGGCATCGTCCTCAAGGCAGGTGCAGTAATCGCTATCCGTCAAGCTGTTCTCGATAGTGATTACGCCGTCTGCGAGCTTCCGGAGGGTGTAAGTAATTTGCCACCGGCTCCCTCTGCAATCGAAGCGGAGCTGAATGTGCCGCAAGTGGTTGGTAGCGGTGCAGTGAAACTTCCAGATTGTCTGCGCTGCGGGAGAGATCATGCTGCGCATTCCTGCCACCGTGCTGTGCTGGTAGATGAATCGATTGGCGCCGTAGAAGACGGACAGGACTTCCTTACGAAGCTGACGGTTGGCCAGGGAGGCGGAGGGTTCTTGTGGGAAGCGTCGGTAAGCTAGAGCGTGGCGCCGCTTGCCATTTGCGGACGGCTTCCAAACCCCGCGTATCTGTGCGTACAACGGGCCATCGTGAATAGCAAGAAGGTCGTAAATGGCGTCACGTAGCTCGCCAGGCAAGGTAAGCAAATGCAGTGCCGCCTCGCGCTTCGGTACGGGCAGGTGATGTCTTGAGGGCTCGGGTGTGGGTTTTGACGGCGGCTCTGTCTTCGGCTTGCGAGCTTTTGATGGCCTTACTGCATTAGGAGTCGGCGGCTGGCGCTTGCTTCTTATAGCTTTGGCAGCTTTTGCAAACTGGAGGTGCGGCGAGTCGGGCCCATATCGAGTACCGGGCCAATCTTTGCATCCATCAGGCGCCTCGAAGTCGAATACGGACTCATCGCTAATGCTTAGACCACGGAGGCCCATAATGGTCTTCAGAATGCCCTCGCTTGGTCCAGCTCGGTGTGAGTCATACTGAGATGGCCGTGTCACGGCTTCTCGAAAGTATTGGGTTGCGCTGCCGGTCTGCATCATAATACGCCGCCGTTTCTGATCGGGCCGTCTAAGTGGTCCCGTGCGAAAAAGGCTGTCCGACTTCATAACCTACGTGAATGATCATCGTAAGGTAATTTGGGATGTAACCATCAGTGTGGATGCGAGGTCGAAGTTGCGAGACGTGAGCATCGTCGTCAGGTGGGGCAGGCGCAGCCACCTTTTGGCGGGGCTCACCTATCAACGCTACCTTTCCTCACCGTCACCCTCTTCTCATAGAATTCGTCAAACCTGTTCGCACAGAGTAGACGATGATACCAATCGGGCTACGGTGGTGGTTGAGTTCACTACATGCCCGCGTCTCCCGTTGCGGTTGCGTGTGCACCGGCGGGCCCTAACTACCGGTCCCACAGCGGTGCATAGGTAGTATACAATGCTGCGCCACGGGCCAGCAACTCTTCTAACGTCGAGCAGCAAGAGATTCTGTGCGTCACGTAACTCAACTTTGTGCGCCTATCGGAGCCGGATGGCGCACCGTCATCTGGCGCATGAGATGCCCCTCCTCAATGGGCTACCTTCGCAGTCTGCTTCTCTTACCAACCTTTCATGCCAACCTCCCCTCGGCTCGACATGACAAGATACGATACCCTGAGTCCAAATACCCTCTAAAAGAGACACTTCACAGCAGGTTGTCATCGAATGCAGCCTAGAGACGACCAGCCTCCGGAAAGGTGCCGATCCGCCACAGTACGAAGCCTTGTCCTATGCCTGGGGCGGGGGTAGCGGGTTGAAGACCACTTGTGTCGACGGCCTTGACATTCAGATCAGGTTTAACTTGGGGTCTACACTTCGTCGAATCTCGAAGATGGGCGAGCCGCATTATCTCTGGGTTGACGATACCTTAATCAATCAATACGACACTGTCGAGCGCAGCCAGCAAGTTCCGACACATATCATTTATCCATGCGGCGTTCGGACGATATCATGCGTCGGTCTATCTTCAAAGTACGATGACAGCGAAACGGCATTTAACTACATGCAGTGGCTGGGTGGTCGGGAAGACCATGATGGTGCCTGAGACTGCCCTAATGGACCTCATGGTGTGTACACGAAGGCTGTAAATGCGGGAGTCGTGTCGCTCATGCAGCGCCTGTATTGGGGCCGCTTGGGCGATGCAGGAGATTGCGGTCTCCCGCGATCTGCCACTGTTCGTGTGCGGTAACAACATGTAGTGATGTAAGTCCTTCAATTTCCCGCTCACACAGTGCTCCACTTGTCTAATCGTACAGGACGTTTAGCGCTTGTGGAGTCCGCCCAGATGTGTACTTGTTCTTCGTTCAATACAGGGCGGTTCCTAGTTGCCGTACTGTCTGACAACCCGCACGCTTCTTACATCCTACGCTTCACCCAGTCAGAGGTGCTGTCCTGGAGAATGATGAAAACTTCACCATCGGCATGCAATATAAGGGGCGGTAGGCATGTTATGCTCCTTCTTTCGCACTCCGCAGCCTTTGAGACCTCGGAGCCGCGCGATCGTGTTTATGCATTGTACAGGCTACACAAGATGGCAGGCATTGTAGACTTCACGCCACCCTATAGCATGAATATAGCTGGGATATACCAGCTGGTCACGGAGTTAGTGCTGAGATTGAAAGGCGATCTCGACGTGCTCGAGTTGATGCCGCACGACCCGGCGGAAGACCTGCCGTCCTGGTTTGTAGGCTTGTCGCAACAGCCTCCAGCAAGCCTGCCAGTGCCTACTCAAACTCAGAAGCAGCGTACGAGGACAGAAACGAAGCTGGCGCGACACCAGTTCTTAGCCTCCTGTATCTGAGCAAATCGATGCCGACTACGATTGCATGACCCTAGCCTCTGAGGATCTGAAGGCTCCAGAACCCGACCCTCCGCACATTGAAGCAGGGGTCCTGCGAGCGACAGGCTCGGTTATTGACGAAATCATAGAAATGTCACACCCGTCAGCCGGCATTGCTGCAGCCTTCTGTTACGCTGGAAGACTGACTCGGCACTTCGAAGCGTCAAGGTTCAGCAATACTAAGGCCTTCATGCAAGAGTTCCGTGTAGCAGAGTACTGGACTGGATACATGGTAGCAGAAGGCAATACCTCACATGACTGACCGCCCGCCGCAATATGATGACTTTCCTTCTTCGCTCGGAACCAATGCTGCGCCGATCCTACGAAGGTGGAGACGATACTCTATGGTATCCAAGGCTGTATGGACCGCAGCAGGTCGAGAGCGAAGCACCAGACCGTCGCGAGGGCGCCATGGAAACGGATGACTTTGAATGGAAATACGCACCAGGCCATGATGTCAATGTTGAGTTGTATGAGCCTGATGCTGCGTGATCGATGCTTGTTCACTACGAAAGCTGGTCGCATGGACATGGCTTTCGCTCCGATGAGAAAGGGTGGCATCGTGATCGGGTTCGAACATACGAAGCAGCTGCACGTCATCTGCCCCAGGGACCGAGGGCTGTTGGCGATATGTGGGTGTTGCTATGGTGCTGAACCTACGGTCACCAGGGGTCCACGATCGAAAGCAGAAGATAGCAAGGTTACGACCGGTTTGGGTCCGCTATGCAGTCTTTTCGAATCATCTTATCTAGATCTACCTCTAGTACCGTCCGCTGTCCCTTTTCTATGTTTGGGATCTTGAGCGACAACTCGCAACTTGGTGCCTCAGGCCAAAAGTCGGAGCGTGTCCTACGTCGCGACAGCAGCACTGCACTGCCACGCGGTTGCTTGGGAGCCTCGTGGACCTCCTGTTAAAGCTTGCCACAGCAGCATGGAAGAGCGATGGTGACTCTCACACTCTCCGAGGCACAATAATGGCCTCCGACGACGCGCCGGCGGCTGGCGATGCAAAACATGGGTCCAACAGTACTCTGGGCTCGCTTAAAGATGGGGATGATGGCTTGGACAAGGTCGAGCTCAGCGATTTGGATGCAAGTCCGCCGCCGCTTCCTATCGAGCAGGGTTTGATGCAACTGGCGCGATTGGGCGAGCTGCGATCAATACAGAAGTTGTTCGATAGTGGGAGATACAACGCTCTTTCGACGGATGATCAGGGGATCACGGCGCTTCATGTACGCTTAGATACAAGCCCGGGAAGTGAAATTAGCTGATAGCGACCTAGTGGGCTGCTATCAACGGCCATCATGCGCTCTGCCACTTTCTCATCCAATCCGGTGCAGATGTCAATGCCAGAGGTGGCGATGCGCAAGCGACGCCTGTACTCTGGGCGAGCAAGCGCTGCCATCTCCAAGTTGTTGCATTACTCCTTGCTAATGGTGCAGATCCATTGCTTAAGGATGACCAGGGCTATAACCTCCTTCACTCAGCAACTCTGGATGGAAATGTCTACCAGTTGATTCTACTTCTGCACCAAGCGGACTTGCCCGTCGACGTACCGGACTCACAAGGCCACACATCTCTTATGTGGGGAGCGTACAAAGGCTTCCCAGCGTGTGTCGACATCTTGCTCCGCTGGGGTGCGGACGTAAACGCCACGGACGATTCCGGCTTTACGGCTCTCCACTGGGCGCTCGTTAAAGGCAGCTACCCTTGCATCCAGAAACTGATCGAGTATGGTAGCGACCGTACCGCACGCAGCAAACCGGCCGAAGGCCAAACGGAAGGCGATACGCCCGCAATGACAGCAGCGAAGATGAAGTCGGAGCGACAGTGGCAAAAAGCACTCATGGACTGCGGGTTCGACGAGACCGGCAATCCCATGACTTCTCCGATACCATCAATCAAGGACCGTCGAATTTTCTACAAACGCTTCTTCTTTTTCTGGCCTTTTGCCCTTGGTGGCCTGCAGCTGTGGATGTTGGCCAGCTTACCAGTCTACTTCGGCGTGCCTGGCGTGCTGATCGTGGGTTACGCGTTGCAGTTTGCCGTCCAAAGGACTCTTCGCTGGGCACCTAATGACATGAAGACCATGCACAAAACACCATTTCTCGCGGGCATCTTTGCTGGGACGCTGTTTTGGGTTGGCGTGCGCTACGTGTTCAACGTATTGCCGTGGACGTATGCCACTAACCCTTTGCTGAATTTCGCCTTTGCTATCTGCTTTGTGCTCTGTGCATATTTTTACGCCTTGACCATGTCTGCAGATCCCGGCTACATACCTAAAGGTAGCAGCCGTGGGCAGACGAAGAAAGTGATCGATGAGCTCGTGGAGCATGCGGCCTTTGATGAAGCGCACTTTTGTACACAATGTATGATACGAAAACCGTTACGCAGTAAGCATTGCAGGCGTTGCGCGCGGTGTATCGCAAGAGAGGATCAGTAAGTGGCAGACGAGTGCAAAGCGACGCTTTCACTTCCGATGCGCTGACTCTTCGTGCAGCCACTGCCCTTGGGTCGATAATTGTATCGGCGTCAATAACCACAAGCACTTCATCCTGTACGTCTTATTCATGATCGCAGGCTTGTGCCTGTTGATAAGACTTACGATCGCATGTGAGTGCTCTTCAAAAGTACCTGATGAGGCGTAGTTGCTAACGGTGGACACTGGTGGCAGATATTGAAGTTCTGCCAAAGCCCGCAGAGTACAGCTGCTCCGTTCTAGAGGACGCGCTATGCGCTCAGTTTTCCAAGGACCCGCTCACCCTCGTCACGCACGCTTGGGGTGCTTTGCAATTAACGTGGACCTTTATGCTCCTGTTTGTGCACCTGACACAAGTAGCCCGTAACATAACAACCTACGAAACCATGCGCAGCAACGTGCAAGCTGGACCCATCATGACCGCGATCGCCACAGGCACCATGTCGGCCGAGGGCGCCCAATTGGAAGGACCAGAGGCTGGCGGACATAGCAGCAAGAAGCGTAAGGACGGCTTGCTGTCTTCGTGGATCAAGCTGCTTGGTATCGATACATTTATTACGGTCGCCTTTCAGGGCTACAAAGGTTCGAAGTCTAAAGCGGAGCGGCAACGGCAGCGGAGGTCAAATCCTTGGACAAGGGGTATATTCAGGAATTGTCAAGACTTTTGGCTTGATGGGCCGGTGTTGGCGAGGAAGAGTGATGGTACGAAGGCGCTGCTTGGCGGAGAGGTTGTCGACTATGCGCAGATGTTTCAGGTTCCGCAAGGAGGAATGCATTACCGAGGCGGGTATGAGGCTGTAGCGACCGCGGAGGAGAACGTGTAATGAGCTGCAAGGCTCAGCGTATTGCCACCTGAACCAATATTATCCATCCTGGAAGAAGCTCGCCGAACACGACGCTCAAACCCACTGCAAACGCTGGCAGCGAAGTGAATGCAACTTCACCTCCAAGAAGTGGGGCGTGTTACACATATTGGCAGGTGGCTGCCTGGCGTGCTTCACAATGTGTTCGCAAGGAACGAGACTCAAATTCGACCGAGCATCAGCTTGACATCTGCCACCACACTGCCGGCTCTATCGTGCAGACGCAGTTGCACATCTCCTTATGGCGGCACCTTCACCGTCAATTCCACACATCGCTGGCCGCTACGCTTTGTACAAAGAAGGGACTGCTCGGATCGCAGAATGGATCAAAGCGACGTCACGTTCATGTGGCGCTCTCACCAGGAGTTCGTCGCCGCAGAAGCTGACTACGGGAGACCTGACACGCTACGCAAACGCTATCGCATGCACACTTCCAGCTGTAAATATCCCGGGCTCGATAATCGAAGATCTCCGAGAAGTCATCTCAAGCCGTCAAGTCTGCGCAGAATGGTACACAGCACAGCAGACTACGCAAACGAAGGATCGCGATGTGGACATTGCGAGCCACAGGTCACACAGACACTTCATTGACGTACTTCAGGGCGTACTGGACGTCCTACAAGAAGCAAGGAAACGGAAGCAGAGGGTAAGAGGTGCACGCGGTGGCAACTCTGCGTCGCCAGAGAAGCGGCCAGCTACAGCTAATGGTGCGACCTCTGCTCGCTTCGCTCAGCTTGAGTTGCACGAACCCTCTGAGGATCAGCTCATCACTGAAACTCCGACGGGCTTTGTGGATTCATCGGCAGCCTCTACGGTGATAGCAGAGACGCTGAATGTCGACGCTTTTGCAGAGCAACAATACGCGCTGTGGTGTTTCTTGACAGATTGTTCGGACATTCGAGCCATAATACGCCAGACATGGCAGGACTTCGAGACTGGTCACCTCAGCTTCTGCGCAGCAAGCATGACAACCGATGTTGCATTCGGTATCATGCGACGTGCCGACGACGAGTTATCCTCCCTCTACCCAGAGTTTGGCGACGCAGACGAAGTACTTGAACTTCTGGATGCGGATCTTTACCTGTTCCATGATTCACCAAGATATTTGACGCACCGTATGAACACGTCTGAGACTCCTCTTACGACTCTCGATATGCTTCTTTGTCCACAAGCACACCACTTATTGTGGGCGTCCGTTGTTTACCAGCAGCATATATCGAGGCCCGAAGACGAAGGCGACTCCCTACATCAAAGACCCAAGCGAGCGGGCAGGAAGCTCGTAAAGCCTCGTGCTGCAGAGACAACGCGCACCGCCCATCACCTAGCGCAACTTAAAGATCCCAGAATCGTCACCAACGAATCACAATTTTGTCCCATCGAAATAGCCGCCTACGCATCGTACCATCCATTCGCGAAGAAGTTGGTCTCAATCTTCCCCGAGATGCTTCGCCATCTCAAGACCTCACACCACTCGTCGCTCAAAGCGGACGTGTTGGATGTCAACAATTTCGACGAATTCCTGCGTGGGATGCAAGAACTTTCCGGCGGGCTACGAAGAAGGATGTGGTTAACATTTGCCTGCCAGACATTCATGGATAACTACGACATTACTTCGAAACGCCCTAACATTGGCCTGTACGAGCTACAGCGGGCTGTCGCTCGGCTCGACGCCATCGACGCCAGTCACACCAGAAAGTTTACAACACTCAGTACAATTATGGCATCCTCCCAGCTTCTCGTCGAGAGATGTCGTTTCACTTGCCTCAGAATGTCATGTCCTGTAAAGTCTGACGAGAATTTCTCTTTTGGCTCCGACTGCGATTGGCTTGATGGCAGCACAACGTGGTGGCCAACCACCGTATACGGCACTTTGCCGACGCTGATAGGCACCACGATTAATACCCTTCAATTGCATGCTGTCTCGACCGGCATTTGGATTTCGAATTTGAAATACGGAGCTCTGGCGATGGCACATTTGTACAGCGCGATGCGCCATTACCGGCTACTCGATGTTGAATGGACAGATATGGATTGCTTTATTGAACGGCAGAACAGCCATTGTGCTTTCATCGATAAGCTGGATGAGACAGTGGGCTCCGCCGCTGTAGCGAGGCGATTTTGCATTGCCGTAGGCGCTCCAACAACTCTGGCTACGCACCGATGCAATTCCGACACGTTCTTTAAACAAGCCAGCGCGGGACGCAAGTCTAGCATACGGTTACTCCCTGGCTCCAAGTTATTGCGCCCTCTCTTCGACCGCATATCCATTGACAATGCCGCCGGCTTTTCGCGTGGTGAGCTTCTTGACGTGGTGCTCAGAGGTTTATGTGATGTGTCGCAAGGATCCACTAGCAGTGCGTACAGCCGACTGCGCTCCTCAAACAGCCCAAGATCAGCTCAAGTGACGGGCTCGCAGCTGCTACTGACTTTCAGAGATGCTTTTATCGAATCGGAGCCTGAGCTTTACGTTGACCATGCGAGCCTCTGGAATCGCTGCATTGATCTCTTTGCGGAAATGAGGGTTGCCCAGCACCCTTTTCCGGAGACGGTGGCACGTCTAATGGACGGTCATCCATGGTTTGCGACCATGGACCTGCTATACGAAGCACAGTTATGCTCGGATCTTCAGCTGCCGGTGGAACAGTCCTCACTTGGGCGTGTCGCCCGTTACCTGCGCTCATACATCGTCGTTCATGGCAACGACTTCACCGCGGCAGCAGGGCGGCTTACAAGCGGCCATATTTCGCGACACCTACATCCTATGCTGTCGCCAGAGGCCTATGATGAGGTCTTAGAACCGCCTGATGCGTCACAGTACGCTAATACGATGGAGAAGATCAGGAATCTCTACGACATCTTGGAGTTGAACACCCCAAATCCTCTCACCGGCGCCAGCATGGAGGCGGAGCGTAGTGACGACATGCAACTCCCTCCAGAGATCCAAGGCGACGTGAAAGCAGTCTACGCTGCACGGAAGAAGAGTGGAGGGCGGAGGTTGCTCCGTAGCAGGAAGTAGGAGTGACTGCCTAGGCAGTAAAAGATCAGCTGGCACGTAACAGTGGTTAAGCAAACCGTGAGATCAGAGAGGGCATGTTCTACTTGAGTTGCTCGGCCTTTGGGGATGCAGTGATCACCTTGCTTAATATGCGTGTGGGAGAGACTGTGGATACACATGTCGGATATTATGAGCAAGCGACGGTAGCAAGAACTTCGGGAAAGCGTAGGGAGTTACCGATTCATGACGATTGCTCATTCGGTAGGCTCATCTTTGACCACTATAACATCGTCCTCCTCTCCTTCCAGATCGTCTCCATTGACAACCCCAACTCTTACCCTTCTACTCCCACCTTCCTCCCTCTTCACCTCTATCACATCCAGTATTACGCCTCGTCTTGGCCGGATCTCCTGCGCTAAGATGATCGTCTCGATGCCTGCCTTCACCCTCTCGTCTTCCGGACCCCACGGGAGACTCTCGACATCGATGTCGCGGTTGAGCAGACACTTTAGAATGACCTCCGCTCCGGCTTTCGACATGACTTGGTTCGCCTCCCGACACCGCTCGCTGCAACAACATTCAAGACAACCCTCGTAACAATGACAAGCCTCGACTCGGTCGCACGCTTGCGTGAGCAAAAGGTCCACGAACTCAAATGCCTTGGCCGCAATACCTGAGCCATGCTGGCCACCCTTGTCGTCGTAAAAAGTCAGTCGCGCTGGTCTCTTGCGCTGGGTTTCCTTCTTCGCGAACTCCTTGATGGCAACCTTGCACTCTGTCCTCACGTCTCCAGGCATACTGATCACGAAGTTAGGCATCAGACTCAGTATCGCGTGCTCGGCTGCATGTATCCCGGCGGCCAGGTTCAAGCGTCGTGATTGCAGGATTTCGATTGCGTGTTTCGGTACATCTAGCCACATGCCCTTGGATTGGATGATGATGGGTGGGTTGTCCACTTGCACCGCATCCAAGATTCGACGCTTCTTATCCACCTTGAAAAAGCCAAAGACGTTTTGGAGAACTCGTATCCGGCCAAAGAAGGCTCGACTTAGCGATCCCGGAATGCGTCGGATGGCTTCTGTCTCCACAGGATCGATATCAGTGTAATCTCGCTGCTGCGTCGTCCACTCCACCTTGACATATTCGACTTTGGCGATCATGTTGTCGGTATCCATATGCTTGACCAAGTACGTGCGGCCTTGATGCAGGAAGATGCCGCCCTCGTAGATCGTGAAGAAGGCGCGACTCGCTTCAAGCTCTTCGAGAACTTCGTTGCGACCATTGGTCGTGTCAACTATGGCGAAATGGCTGTCCTCTGTATCGCGTATAGCCACGCTTCGTGATGGGTGCGGCAGGAAGCGCTCGTCCGTATGGTAGAAGCCTAAATCGTCTTTGCGCATCCGAGTTTCACAGATCTCCGGAAGTTGTTTGGTGAAGTAGTGCACGTCTTCGTCCGGGCTGATTGGCATTTCGTAGGCGGCGCATTGGACGTGGCCCTCTAAGACGAGCATGTTGGTTAAATCGACCTGCAGCTCGCAGTTCGGCCGCGTGAAGATCTCGTCCGGGTTCTGCATGAAGTATTGGTCTGTTGGGAAACAGTCTCCCACAAGAATACTCAGGCTGTCTTTGTTTCTTCTACCTGCCCGACCGGACTGCTGACGGAGATTGGCAATGGTGTACGGAAAGCCGACGGTCAGCACAGCGTCCAGTGACCCAATATCAACGCCAAGTTCGAGGGCGTTAGTGCCAATGATACCTACCAATTTGCCGTCGAACATTTCCCTCTCTATCCTTCTTCGATCTTGCGGAGTGTAGCCGCCTCTGTACGCCATTACTCGCGCCATCACCTCGCCACGCTCAAGCGAGACGAGTTCGTTCTTCACAGCTGTGGTGAGGATCTCACACTGCTTCCTCACCCTGCAGAATGCGATAATTCTGACGCCTCTCAAGATTAACTGGCAAAACAATCGGGCTGTCTCCGCAAACGTGTCGCCCCTTCCGCTCGACGGATCGCCAGGATCTTTAAATGGCGTGTTCCAACACAGAAACTCCTTCCGACCACTCGGACTGCCATCAAAGTCCACTAACCGCACATCTTCGATGCCGAAGATCGTGCGCATGTGTTCTTGTGGATTCGCTACAGTCGCAGAGCAGGAGATGAACTTCACATGCCGGTTCCCGACCGCAGCACATATCCGTCGCAACCTCCGCATTATCAGCGCTACATGCGCGCCGAAGAGGCCGTTGTAGACATGCAGTTCATCCATGACCACATATCGCAGGTTCTGCAGGAAGTTCCGCCAGCTTTCTTCCTGCGGCAAGATAGTCAGGTGCAGCATATCCGGGTTGGTGAAGATGATACGAGCTTCGTCCCGGATGAGATTACGATCAGGAAAGGGTGTGTCGCCGTCAAAGGTCTCGCACATCACGTCGGAAAGGCCGGGCATACAGGCCAGTAAATCCTTGAGACTGCGGCGTTGATCCTGGGCTAGAGCTTTTGTTGGGAAGATATACATTGCTCGGGTCTGCAGATCTGACTCCAGCGCTGTCAAAACCGGGATCTGGTAGATTAAGCTCTTACCTGAGGAAGTGGAGGTGGCAACAATGACGTTCTGCCCTTCGTGCAATGCATTGATCGCTTCAACCTGATGACTGTAGAGGCGCGTGATGTGACGCGTGTTATATAGCGCATTGACGAGGTCTTGACTAAGGGGAAACGAGAGGTCTCCGTAAACAGGTTCCTGTGGGTCGAAGACACGGTGGCCGTCGGGCACGATCTGGCCGGTGTACCAGTCGGAGACTTTGAGCTCGGTTACTATCTCGGAGATGCTTTTACGATCATCTGGGATAGTTTTGGGTAGGGTATCAAGCGGAGCGGGCGTGCTGGAGCGTGAAGAGGCTTGCAGTGGAATGTACGGTTTGTGCTCGTCTTCCAGTCTTTCGACGGGATCGATGCCTAGTTCGACGGACTCGTTGAGCCATGCATTGATTGCTGATGTGAACTTCACGTTGCGCTTTTCAATCAAGCGCATCATCTGCTTCTGACTGTAAACCGGCATGTTGAGCTCCTCATGCTTAAGCTTCTTATGCGCCCTCACCACCTCGCCCGTTTTGGGGTTGTGCACCTGCCTCTTCAGATCGCCATCGATGAACTCAAACAGCAGCACCTCTTCCGCCTTTCCACCCCTCTCCCTCCTTTCTGCCGCCCGTCTCACCCGCTCTTCCATGGGGTTCTCAGGGAACATGTCACCTGCCCTCTTCCCTCCCCGCAAGTCCTCCTCGCCCATGAGTGCGACCTGCAGCGCTTCCTCGTCGACATACTGGAAGTTGATGGCAGCCGGCACGAGGCGTTTGACCTTCGCAATATCAGAGATGGAGAGGGGACGCTTGAGGCTGGCTTCGACTGCGCTCTTGATGGTGTCGAAGGTGGTGGCGAGATGTTTGCGCGTGCAGCAGAAGGTGTAAATGAGGTTGAGCGCTTTGTGAGTCTGGGAGAGCTTGGTGAAGGCATTGGGCCATGGAATGGTGGACTCAATCACGGTAGACGAGTCGTGGCGGATGAGTGGTGGACGGTCGCTGGCGGACTTCGGAGTACGGCGTGGTTTCTTGCCGCCATCATGCGTCTTAGTTGGGACAGCGACTGTCGTTGTGCCACTGCTGTCAAGTGACTGCTCGTTCGTGCCTTCCTCTTCTGGTGCCGGCTGTCTCTTGCGCTTGCGGTGGTGTATGAGTTGGTTGGAGACAGTGGCTGCCTGCAGCTTCACCATTGTTGACTTCGATGATGAGCCATGCGCTTATACCATTGTTGAGATCTTATGTCGACTATAGGCAACGTGTTGGGGCTGTATCGAAAGGCACTCAATGTCTTCATCGCCACCGGAGACAGCGCGGTCCAAGCGCGCCGGCTTCGACGCGAGGTCACATGCGAGCACTTTAAACGTGCCTCTACTCCCGCTCCGCCCTTCTCCGCTCGGCAGTATTGGTATGCCTCGCTGAATATGCGCTAAGTGGCATACATCCCTTCTGCAACAGTGTCCCTCTGCGCAATTCTAGCCGTCCGAACCGGACTGCCAACTCGCCTGCCATGAGCAACCAGGATTACGAATGAAGGCACGCAATCATCTTGCTCTTGAGCGTTTCCTCCGTTGCTACATAGGCCACGTGCGTATCGCAGATACCGTCCGACTATCGCAAGCAGACATGGCGCAAGTACTGCAAAATCTACATAACGAATCTGGCACGGAGTACAATCCGGGCCAGATTATCATATTGTTCGACAACCGCCACTTCAAGACCGCGGACAGTAAACTGTCCACTTTCCAAACGTATTACTTGGACGGCTTATGTAGACTTGGCTGGGCGACTTACTGGGAAAAGCCAGACTTAGAGCCCAGGAAGCTCCGGCTCATATGGTACACGGTACGCTCAGATTACACCCCTTCCTTTCGGTCAGTGTCACTCACAAGCATTTACGTACAGCACGCGGGCAGAGAGGGTCATCGCGACTTCCCACTTGCCCGCTACATGGCAGTGAAGGACATGTTCGACTCGCTCTCCGAACAAGGCTTCCGACCCATGGTGCTAGGATGGTCAGGCGAGAATCCTTACCCCATGATCGGTGGCACTGAACCAGCACCCGAACCTGAGCAGAAGAAGCCCAAGCCCAGGCTGGCGACTAGTGCCAGTGACTACGTTAGCGGACATGGCGGCAAGGCCGGTGCTACGCCGCACGATAGAGTCATGGCGATTATTGAGCAGGAAGAGGAGCGGGAGGCCAAAGCGAGGAAGGAGTTGGTGGAGATCTCGAAGAAGGCAGAGGCTACTGGGTATGGCGTGTGATCTCCAAGCTAACTACTTGATGCAATTTAGCGACCTTCGCGGAGCTCTTTGACATATACCTGCCGTTTTTCTTCTTAGTAGCGTGCGTTGAAAGATAGATGGCGTCCGCGCTTGGGAAGAGTGCCGGAAATCCCGATCATTTCTGGGGAGGTGCCGTGTATGGCAGCGGAGACAGGCTACGGTGAAGCAAGGGGTAGCGGCGAGGTCATACATGTTGCTTATCGCTGCTCAAACCTTCGAGAACGTCTCAAGATGTGGTTCAGATCCGCTCAGGGGCCGGCGCTATTTCGAGATGGACCCTGAACACGAACCCGGTTCCACCTCTCAGTCAAAGACCGCACAAGTCGTAGACTCATGTAAGTAGTGTAACGCTGAAATTCTTTCTCAGCTCGAATACTGTTGCGAATGACCGCCAGTCTCTAGAACGACGGCTGAGCAGAGCCAGGAATAGTGACCTGCAAGCTGCACGAAGATGGAACCACAACACTGGGATTTCAAAGCGGCGTCTGCGTCTGCGTTGTGCCGGGTGGAGATACGAGGCTTTGCCGAAAACAGATCACCAGCGCACAAAAACCATGCGTAACGGGCGCCTACAGAAAACGCTTTGCGGCTAGCCGCAGACGCCATGCCACTGGTCGCTATGCCGGAATGCCATATGATAGGCTCAAATACGGCGCCCCTAATCCACCCGTATCGTCCATACATTGCTGCAGCGGATCCGGGGCCATCCTTCTCCCTTCGGACCTGCAGGCGGCAGGGCCTCCTTTCTACGCGGGCTGAGACGTTACGGCTGTGTGTCGCATTTTGGTTGTCGAGGTTGTATTACCATTGTCCTCACCATACTATCCATCGTAAGCTCTTCACGGCAGCATTCTGATTCTCGTTCTGTTCTTTACCAGCCTCATCACACTTGGGTTCAGTGACGGATTTCCTTGACGCATTCGCTTCAACGACGTGCTACGACTTTGGCATTCTGCGGGACGACATTCGCTTCAGCCTCATCGTGACGAGCTTTGTGTGGGCATGATTGTCACGGGACGGTAGAAAGATCGCACGCAAGATTGGAAGTGTGCCAACCACATTCGTTCGAAAGGGTAACCGGGCTTAGGACATCACCATGCTGCACCGGTTATCACTGAGCAACCTTGTCATCATCGCCGCAATATGTATAATAACACTCTTTGTCCTCCTCACACAACACCCTGGCGGGATTTCGGAAGAAGTACGGAGTCGGTACTCACTGATGTTCAAGGGTGAAGATGAGTGGTTGAAACAGCAAAGGAGCTTCTGGAACGCATTCTACCATGACCTCAAGCAACATGGGCCGAAGACGACACCCCTCGAACATCCCGAGGGTCACGAACCGCAACTGAAAGTCGACTTCGATCGGCACGCCGAGCACACACGGCCGGATTATATGCAGATCACAAACGAACAGCAACACGCATTGACAACGGCTCACTCTGCCTTTGTGCAGGCGCTTGGGAACCGAACCTACTCGTTGCCGTACAAGCCTGGAACACGAGGTGTTGTCACGACGGCAGGAGGCAATTACCTGAACGTTGCGCTGGTTTCGGTGCGTATGCTGCGGCGGACGGGCTCAGTCTTGCCAGTCGAGGTCTTTTTGGCAGATTGGTCGGAGTTTGATGAGGACATCTGCGGCGCTGCATTACCCTCCCTCAACGCAAGATGCGTGGTTCTCGAAGATATTTTCAATACCTATTACTCGCTCTACAAGGTCGACATCTCAACCTACCAGTTCAAGGTCCTCTCGATCATGCTGTCTTCATTCGAAGAAGTCCTATTCCTGGACTCAGACTGCTTCCCGGTGCACGATCCGTCGCCGCTATTTGACAAGCAGCCTTTTACAGACACCGGTCTCATTCTCTGGCCGGACTTTTGGTTCCCGTCTGAATCACACCTTTACTTTGATATTGCGGGCATTCCGGCTCCCGATGTCCACAAGCAGTCTAGCACCGAGGCAGGCGAGATTATGTACTCGAAGAGCAAGCAAGAGGCTGGCATCCTCCTCGCGGCCTACTATAACTACTACGGCCCGGATTTCTACTACCCACTACAATCTCAAGGCGCACCGGGCGAAGGCGATAAGGAGACCTTTTTGTGGGCCTCCATTGCGACCAATACTTCCTACTACGCCGTACGCGAGCCCGTGAACGCGCTCGGTTACCGCAGCTCAGCCGGTGACTGGCGAGGCAGCGCCATGGTGCAGTTCGATCCCTTCCAAGACTACCACAACGCCACGACGCCATACCGACCGCGACCCTTCTTCTTGCACGTCAACTTCCCAAAGATCGATCCGGGTCAGATTTTCATCCCTGAGCACCTCAGCTTTGGCGTGCTTACGCCGGTATTGGACTCGGATAACAGCATGAGACGGATTTGGCATAGCACAACGCCCGCAGCGCTGGAGTTCTTCATGGGTGAGGACGTGGAGAAGGCGATGTGGGAGGAGGTCAAGGATATCGCGTGTACGTACGAGAAGACCATTCGGGCGTGGAGGGGCAAGAAGGATGTGTGCCATAATGCAACGGTTTATTATGACCATGTCTTCTTGCACTGATATGGCTGGGTTTAAGTTTCGGCTCTCTTCGTGGGCCTGGCTTTTGGCGAACAGGGAGCTCTTGAACACCCGGAAGGAGACGGCTGGTTTAGCGATTCGGCGTCCTGGATGTTGATGGGAGAACACACTGGCGCAGAAGCGACATGATATATCTGTTAATACACCCTAGGAAGGGAACGTACCTCAAGTCAGTCCTACATACCATCATCCTCTCCACGCTTGGGACGCCGAGCAGTATGCGCTCTGGACATAAGGATGCGGAAAGCCACTGGGCGGAGCGCTGTCGACCTCGCAAAAGGCTGCAGGAAGACTTCTCTGAAAGCGTGCCGCGAGAGAATGTAGATCGACGTGCACAGGCCACCATTGCGAGCGTAGCGGACCAGGCAGAGGATGGTACAGCGAGCACTCACCACGCGAGTGGCCAACCACAAATGTGATGGCTGCTGCAACTCTATGCTATCGAAGACGGCCAGCTCAGCCAACCTGAGCATGGCACATAAGGTATGTGCTCCTCAATAGCAAGCTGGATGTGAAGCACGATACGTATGCTCAGCTGCCGTACGCATCAATCCATATCGCTCCGCCAAGCGTGACTGTCCCATGCACTTGCGTGCATGTCATCACGATGGCCGTCATCTCGGTTGAGGTCCGTACAAGGACACACTGAAAGCGACCTGATAAGTAGCAAATATGTACGCCGTACGCTGGCTCCACTTTTTCTCATCACAGGACATTACCATTACCAGTAATAGCCGCGTAATCCGTCCATTACCGGGGTTGACAGGTGGAAATACCTACCACCACGCTCAGGTGACAGCATACTCTTCGTTCGGCGTAAGCGTTGCCGGCGTACTGTTCCGGCCATTTGTGCGTCAGAAGAGGTAGATGGTAGACTCTAATCAGATTTGCCACAGGGACATACGGTCCCGAAACATTGCACAGCAATACTATCCAAATCCTTAGTCGGTACCGAAGCCTTACACTGAACCTACGCGGTAGCCCGTGAGGGTTGCACTTCCGACACGAACAGTCCTTCCACGTGTCCGCATTGCATCGATATCGCTCGATTCGGAAAATCGCTAGAACAACGGGAGGAATGTTGCACTTTGTTGCTTCTAGTGCTGATGACCAGCTACTCCAGGTGCATGGGCCTAGCACTCCTTCGTTATTACCAGCATAGCCCGCGGATGCAAGCTCCCGGCTGAGCTGACAGCAGCAGAGTGCAGAGAGGGAGCACGCCCTTTGTCCTCGATCTTCAGTGCCATCATCCCGATTTCAAGTAGTCAACAGTAGGTCAGCGACTACCGGCAGATGTCATCAACCATGCGATGAGCAAAACGTAGGGATGCTAGGGGAGCCCGATCATGGTACTTGGTTACAATGACAGCTCTCGATCGTGCGGCGGGAGTGGTGGCGTGGGCGTATGCTTATCTCCCTTGCCACCACTCGCGTCCCTTATCAAGTACAAGCAATCCAACAAAGCTTTCTGATAGCGCAAGGTGGCGTGTGCTTGTCGTGCTTCTCTGCCTGATGGCCGATGGTGGTAAATTTCAAGCACGTAAGATCTTAGCATGACCATCTGTGCGGTCCCTCCACATGAGCTAGGGGCTCCCGAAGATATCAACGCGACCTCGGCTGGTACCCGAATGAATTGCGACGAGTGTAGAGATAAGGAACATTATTCCCTCAGTCCAATGATGCGAACTCTAGTCGCGTGCTGAGCGGGGTGAGTTCGGCCAGCTTCCAGACTGGGCTTAGTGTGCGCTACATTGGCTTCCTATCAATCACCGGCGCTGGTATCAGAAAGGCAGCTGCGACGTTACTCCTAGGCGCCACCTGCGCGTTGATGCAACCAAGTCATTTCTGAAAGGTCGCAGCGATGCGCTACCCGTGTCCGTGCGCTGTTGGTCTTCGTGTGGTGGCCCACGATAGGTTCAGGGCCTGTTGGATACATATGTATTGCCATGAGCCTCCCACGTCGTCCTGCAGTTAAGTACCTATCCTGCCGCCGGAGGACTTGAGTGCCTGTGGGTAGTTTTGGAAGTGCCGTCGTACTCTTCTCCAACGCTTGGCAAAACAACTCGAACTGCTTGAGACAGGATGGCGCAACTAGTACCCCCGGCCACGGCCATGACTGAGACCACCATGAACGACTTCAACCAGAAGGTCTCTCCCGCTGATCAGGAGCGTATAATGCTTCAAGGAAGCGCGTACGAGGGTGAGAATCCTGGGAGTCCGCCAGCCCGGCGCGTACGTTATCAGATGGATTGCGCTGACTTCGTCTAGTAAACATGAACCGGCAACCGCTCGAGGTATACCAGTACTGGGCACGCCTTGAGCGTGAGCGCGAGGCGAAGGACATGACCGAAATCCCGGACAGCCCTTGGGTTGTGCTCTTCAAAATGCTCACAGGACGCTCAGTGGCTGCGCCTACCGAGGTTGCCGCTGTCCATGACGGCCGTGACCCTGAAAAAGAGTCCCCAGCTGGAAGCTCTGATGTATGGGGATCTGTGAGCGAAGATGAAAGGTCGAAGGCATACCGAGCTCTTCGTGTCGCTTCATGGCAAGCAGTCTTTTACCTAATTACGACCGACATTCTCGGCTTCTCCAGTGCGCCTGAAGCTTTCCTCGAGCTCGGCCTTGGTCCTGGTATCTTGGTTTATTTCTTCTTCTATGTCCTTGCCGTATTCGCCGGTCAAGTCATCTGGAAGATGTACATGGAGACGGACAGCTCCAAATACCCGGTAGTCTGCTACGCCGACCTTGGAGAAAGGATCTTTGGCCGCGTTACCCGCCACATATTCAACGTTGTTCAGTCGCTTCAGCTGGTCTTCAACGTCGCGCTACTGATTATCGGTAACGGTCAGACGCTTGTTACCATGATCGAGTGGAAATTCTGCTACTTGGCACTCAATATCTTCTTTATGCTAATCGGCATGATTGCTGGCCAAGTACGGAGTCTGCGCAACTTCGCATGGTTCGCCAACATCAATATCTGGCTTAACATCATTGTTATGATCATCACTCTGGTCGGCACTTACCGCTACCCGCCTGTTCCATCGCAGTCCAACCACGCAGATCTGAGCGCGCCCAAGAGCGTGTCAGGATGGGTGCCGACCTACACCGATGGTTGGTATCAGCAGGTCTCTGGTGTTCAGCTTGCCGTCTTTGCCTATGGTGGTGCCATGATCTTCCCAGAGTTCATGGCTGAGATGCGCCGCCCGCGCGACTTCTGGAAGTCGATGCTGGTCGCGCAGTTCTTCTGCTTCTTCATGTACATGATGTTCGGTCTGCTCGTGTACTGCAAGCAGGGCATGTACGCATCTATTCTCCCAGGTCTGAATTTTGCGAACCAGACCTTCATTCTGGCGAACAACGTTATCGGCCTGATCTCCACCATGGTGGCTGCTGTTCTTTACGGCAACATCGGCGTTAAGGTGTTCTACGTTAACGTCCTCCAGGCTTACTTCAAAGCTCCCTCAATGCTGGACCCGAGAGGACGCTTCTACTGGGCCGCCACAGTTATTGGCTATTGGGCAGTCGCTTGGGTTTTGGGCTCTGCCATCCCGAACATCACTGCGCTTGTCACTCTTGTGGGTGCTGCCTGTATCTTGCAGTTCACCTACACCTTCCCGCCACTCTTACTCCTGGGATACTGGGTGCAAGTTGATGCCGCAAAAGGCGACAATCCCTGGACACCAGACATGGCTCCAAGATCGAACCGCATCGACTCTTGGAAGGACAAGTCGAGATGGACCCGAGGTCTATCGAAGTACTGGTATGCAAAGCTGTTCTTGGTAAGTGTCTCCGAAGTCGTTATAGCGTCGATTTTGTTGCTGATGTATCCCAGGCTTTGCTGTTCGTTGCTGCCTTGGCCAACTGCGCGCTCGGTATCTACGCCGGTATCGAGACAGCCATTGGGGCCTACGGGGCCGGTTACCTTATTCCGTTCTCATGCTATGCGCCAAACGACCCTCGGGTTAATGGTGGTGCTTGATTTGTCTGGCGAGCTGAACGAGCGAATACGTCGATGCCGAATGAACTCGCTCACGGCGGAATCACTACCGAGTCGAAGGACGTAGTCGACATCTACATATTCTGTCTGTAATCAGTGCAGTCACTTGCACATACATGGAACGTATTTCGTGGCGCTGACAACCTCGGGAGAGTAAAGTGTTCCACATGGAGGCTTGTAGAGTAGTCTGACTTGGGTCATATATGAGGTGAAGTCAAGAGATGCACTGGAGAAGGAAGAACAAACTCGACCAACGAGTAGTGGCTGCTTACGGTACTCTGTTCATGGTCTAGGCACCAATACGGCATGGAAGAGGGCTCTTCCTGCATTCCCAATCAGGACACCGTTCAGCACGGCAGGATCGAATGACTCCACCATACAAGCCATTGACATCATGCGCACCAATTCCACCGAATTCACCAATTCATCAACTCCTGAGACAGCATTCCAGGCGGGAGCACAATAGGTTCGTTGATCAGCGCGTTTCAATGACAGCGAAGTCCGACCGTGAGAGTACATTCCGATGATGTTACCTCGCCACTGTTGTTCGATGCGTATGTGTCTTTACTCAGCGAAGCTCATAGAGCCCTAGGGTTGAAACGCGCAGTCTTCGGCATCAGGCATTGCGGGGAAAGGACAGTAACATGGTTAGAGATGTGGAGTGTACAACATCGCTACACCGGCCTTCCCTTGACCTTCAGTGGGTGGGCCTCCGTGTTATACACCCAAGTATTGTGCTTGCCTTTGCGACCATCCTGCACATGGAAGGGCGCATCATCCTATTGAGGGTTGTCAGCGTCCGCTGCAATGGTCCGCTAAAGCGATCGTACAACTCACATCCAGGTGGATTAGCCAGACATATTTCAGCAACTCCGCCAACACAAAGCTCTCCATACGGTCAAGCTGCGTCCCGCCATCAATGGCATCGACGTCGCTGATAGCACTGAATCCAGATTCCGTCCTACAGACCCTGTTGATAGCTTCGAAGGCTTTCCACGCCCACTCTCGGTACTTCGGGTCTTGGGTAGCTCTATATGCGTAATACCACGTCTCTATCACCTCCGGCCGTAATTTGAAGTCGTTACTGGTAATTTGGACGGAGTTGCTCGCGTTACACTCAGTCAAATTGAAGTCGTGTAAGAATCCCTGGCTGCAGTCGTTCGTCCACACGATGAACTCACCACCGAGTCCCGTCTTCGTCATCTCGTACATGGCTCCGCTGGTGTCTGCGATGGTGAGGCCAAAGTCAATCAACGTCTGGTTTCTCAACGCCATACCGCCTAGTATAATGTTGCCGCCGGCAAACCACGAAAGGGAGTCCATGGCATTAGACAGATACCGACCTGTGAAGTACGGCAAAAGGGTCCACTCTGGATGGCCCACTGGATGCGAAGCTAAATACCGGATAGTAGAGTCAACGGCGAGCTTCCAGCGATCAAGGTACATCGCGTATGCGCCTCGATCATATACATATGCCTTGATGAGATACTCGTAGTAAGAATCGGAAAAGGAGCCTGGTGCAGAGGTTAGCATCATAACAAGCGGCAGACGCGACGCCCGTTTCGTATGTACCCCAGCTCCCCTTGGAGTTTATAATTCTGCCGTCTATTATCGACAGAAAGGAGCCGATTAGGCCGGGAAAAGGCTCGTTGTATTGCGGGAAAGGGTAGAGCAGGAACTGCTCGGCCAACCTAGCATGCCGAACATACGTGTCATTGCCAGTAATGGATGAGAGCCGATCAAACTCCAGGATCAATGTTCCGATACCTGCAATGGCATTCGAAAGGCCGTCATCAGTCTTACAGATTGCTGGGTCGATCCAGTTCCTAGGTATCCCAGAAGGCGTGTTGAACCCGCAATCCAACGCATTGCCTAGGTTGACCATCTGGCGATACAAGCCGTCCCGCAGACTCTGGTCTTCAGCAATGTGCCTAAATGGTCCGCTCAAAAGATCATGCGCTGAAATCATGCTGCCAAGATGGCGAATCGTCAGTTCGAAGAGTTGAATTCTCATGCCGTTCGTGGGCCTTGTAAAGTCGACGGTGGCGATGAACTGTAATATCTGGCGTACGACCGTCTCCTCCTCGAACATGATCGCAGTAGACAATGCATCGATTGCAGTAGCACCCCAACCCGCGAAGTCATCATCACATGTATTGGTTACGGGATGCAGTGTGTCATTGCCCATGCAGTAGGTTGCGTAGCCAGTCCAGGCATGACGGAAGGCTTTCTTGACTTCTTCGCGCCTCACTTTCAGCACCATACGTGACCGGGAAATGCCTTATACCGTATTGTCAGCACTAACAGGGAACACTATAGCCATTGAAAGTCGTACCAGCACCCCTCGGAACGCCAAGTGGTGGAGGTAAGCCATTGATGGAACTGTACACAATCCCTAGCAGTACAACGGCTCCCAATATAGTCAGAACATTACGTGGCGTCCATCGCATTATGCGATGCTGTATTCGACTGCTGAGTACGACAACTCAACCAGTCGCGCCAGAGTAGGTGGGAAGGGAGCTACTGGCTCAAGCCCACAGCGACCAGAAGAAGGGGAGACAGCAGAAACAAGGTGGATGATTGTCAATGCCCTTCCGCACTGCAGCTGCACCAGCCAGCTACTAAACCTTGCTGTTCTTGTCCATCTCGGCTGATGACCACCTTTGCAGCTGCGGGCAGCCGTGATTGGTGGGCCACGCCAGAACCGAACCTTGTGTCCAGCATCTTTGTGCAGTAGTCATGGTATAGAAAGTACTGACAAGCTTGAAGGGTCTACAGAGATGGAGGTAATGCATAGCGCAGTTGAGAAGAATGAGAGGTACCAGCAGTGTAACGGACGGTGGTGATGGCGATAAGGATAGCATGCATGACTCGTCCACATCGGCGCCAAGCGCAGAGATCAGAAGCTTGGCATTCCTCACAACCGACAGTGATCGCGTGGATGTGATGTCGAAGAGTAAATTGACCACTATATGCTCAACACCGGCGTACCCTCTCCACCACCGTCCCGTGCAGTCAATGGACTTAGGACTGGGCTAAGCTTTATCTTTGGCCTTGCCCGGAACACGCTGTCATACTCTGCCTCGGGCGAGAAGAGCTGCTCCCTAGGCGTGATGTCTCTCCTTGCCAAACCCAAGGCTTTGGAAGGACTCGTGCCAGCCGACGATCTTCGTGCGGTTGTTGCTGTGTTCTGACTGTGGCTCAAAGGTTGAAAGGAGCTTTGCGTACGCGAGTGAACAGGTTTCTTCGAAGCTGGCGCTGATGATGTTATGGGAGCTTGTGAGATGGATTGGCGGGTACGGTCCAGTAGCGTTGGGCCAACGTCGTCCGCTACGCTGCCGTCTCCTCTCGTGGTGATGTCGTCGTCATGGTCGGGTAAAGTCGAAAAGGTAGCAGATGTTAACGTAGGGGACATTAGCGGACCAGCGCCGGCATCTTCCGGACTTCGCAAAGCAATCGACATACGGGTCCGCTCGACCAGCGATGGGCGAGCAGCAGCTAGCCGTCCTATCGGGAGCGCCGGCACCGCGAAGTTGTGGCCATCTTTTGAGGGTGTTGCTTCGCCACCGACTGAAGTGTCGCCAGTGTGAAGATCACTCGCGGCCAATGTTGCATAGCCGTTCTGGGCTGACGCTTGCTGTGTTGACGATGGAGGATTCGTTGGCAGACCGATTCCACTGTCGAGCCTCCCACCGTCAACGTCACCATGACAGCCGTCTTGCTTCTGAACATTGCTACCGAGCGAGCTCGCACAGAGCTCATCCACCGGCGTGGCCAAAATAGAACTCGAACTCAACGGACTACTCCCACTATCTGTCCTTACCGGCCTCGGCTTCAGCGGTGAGAAGATCTCTGACTTCAGGGGGATAGGTTGTCGCTGACTCTCAACCTTCGGCTGGTGGTAGCTTCGTGAACGTGGAGGTACCACTCGGGCGGTGACTGTTGGACGTATGACAGGCACGGCGGTTAAGGACGGAGAACGTTGATGTGGATTTGGTTTGTCGGCGGAGGCGTCGACGGTTCGCTTGCCGGGAGATATGGACCGGCGACGGTTCTGCCGGAGCTCTTCTCGCATGGTGGATAAGATCTCGTCGTACTTGGTTGACATGGCGGCATGCGTTTCGCTTCGCATCCGTATTGAGTGTGGCGGAGGTGGATGCGGGTCTCTGAGGTTTAAATTCTTGTGCTTGTCGAAACAGAGATCAACAGTGACGTTGTTGGGCGAATCTTCGATAACATTTTTCATTCGGTTCGCATGTCGTCTCGACAGGAGTTCTTCGTGCATGCTTTGCCATCTGCGGACCCGTTCGCTCTGGAGACGTGCCGTGTGCTCTAGGGCATTCAGAGGATTCGTTTGCGGATTCGGCAGGACGGCACCATTGATAAGATTTTCCAGCGGTTGAGTCAGCAGCAGGTGCTCTTCAACAGTCTCGTGTTTGCCAATCAGTGTACCCAGCAGCTCCTTGCTGCCCACCCACCGCTTCCTCAAGCCCTCCTCAAGCTTCTTAAACCTTTTGGCTTCTGCAACTGTCGGCTGACTCTTCGCTCGCGCCTCTGCTTTCTGTCTGCGCCTCTCTAGGTCCACTTCCACATCCTCAAGCGCATTCCAAACCTGCTCGTACGCTTCCTTTTTCTTGCACCTCTCATCCAACACTCTTCCCAACGCCGCCTTATGCGCCAAAGTCATTGGCAACAGACCCTCCGCCTGAGATCTACTGACATCTCTCGCCAAGCCCAACCTCTCAGCAACCGGCCCACCATACCGTCTCTGCTCGTGCGTCCTCTTCTTTTCCAGCGTTACCTCTTTCAACACCACAGCAGAGAAGACTAAACATAGCTCCCAAAGCTTAGACCCTTGGCAGTCATCGAGCATAGACCTTCGCAGAACAGTTTTTCTACCAAGGACGCCATTCTTCTTGAGGTCGTTCAGACAACGATAAAGCGCTGCGCGTAGATTGATGCTTTGCAGTGGCTCCAAGGGCGGATAGAATGGCTGGAGCTTATCCGCGGTAAGAGCTGGTTCGTACAAACGGAACAGTTGGTACAAAGCAAACTCGACACTACGAATGCGGGACCTGGCATCACCGGTGCTGGAGAGTGTGTTGGTTGTGATTGCAGGCCACTCTGGGAGAAGGTCAAGGTTCAGAAGGCGAAGGTTGGTCAAGAAGAGCGATATTATGGTTGCAGTGGTCGAAGGTTTGCTAGCAACGTCCTTGGACGCTGTTCTTCTATGTCCATAGCTGGCGGACGTTGCCGTAGTTGAGCCAATGGTTGATTGTGTTCGCTCTCGCCTTGCCACCGGCTCCATGTCTGAAGTTGAACCACTCAGACATGAGATCCCTCCGGTACGCTCGATTTCCTTGTTGTGAACGGCCTTAGGAGGAGGAGGAGCGAATATAAGCGGGCATTATAATGTGCAAAGTAAACATTCCATTCCGAGCTGCGCGTCGCGTAACCGCTGGCTATCTAGTGCAGCAGTCAATGCGAACTCTTGGCACATCGATATCACAATTCTTACTTGATTACTGTTTGCAATCAGACAAAGTAACGTGACCAAGATGTTTGCAGTCAAAGGCTGGTCGGTCGACCCATCAGCACTTAAGCCGCAGACCGAGGTATACAGGTCAAGTCAGGGAGATGACGGGGTGAAAGCAAGCCGAAAGCGCAAGCGGGATGAGGGCCAGACTGCGCGGCAGGAGGGAGACGTAGGCAAGCTGTGGAGCCAGCATGTTGAGGGCAAGGTAGCGAAGAAGGCGAGTGGCTCGGTCAAGAAAGCTCTCAAGCGCGCGAAGCATGGAGATAGGCAAGATCAGCAGGCCAGACCAGTCAAAGGCGCAACGGGAGACAGACCGGCTGCAGCACAGCCAGTCTCGAAGACCGATGATGAGGTACCAGTTGCGAAAGCCCCGAAGAAAGACAAGAAGAAGCACAAGCATGAAGTTGCACGGCACATCTCGCAAGACGTCAACACTGGGAGCGAGAAAGCAGCAAGCCAGGTTGCGCAGACTGCTCCTCCGCCAGTCCCGCCGTTCCCAGCACAAGCGAAACTCACGCCCATGCAAGCAGCGATGCGGCAGAAGCTCGTATCTGCCCGCTTCCGTCACCTCAATCAGACGCTCTACACAGCACCTTCCGCCACCGCATTGAGTCTCTTCGCGCAAAATCCGGAAATGTTCGAAGACTATCATGCTGGCTTTCGGCAACAGGTCTCCGTCTGGCCGGAGAACCCATTAGACAGCCTCATTGAAGTCATTCGTAATCGCGGCAAGGTGAAGCTACCAAAACATAACGATCGGAAGGGCAAAAGCAAACCGTCTGGCAATGAGTCTCTGCAGCCTCTCCCACGCACTCAAGGCATATGCGTGATAGCTGATTTAGGGTGTGGCGACGCCCGCTTGGCACAAACACTCAGGCCTGAAACCAGCAAGCTCAATCTAAAGATACAGTCCTTTGACTTGCATTCGCCATCCCCACTCGTGACTAAAGCTGACGTTTCGAATCTGCCATTGCCGGACGGAGCCGTCGATGTTGCGATATTCTGCCTAGCCTTGATGGGTACGAATTGGATCTCCTTTATTGAGGAAGCCTACCGAATCTTGCACTGGAAGGGCGAACTTTGGATTGCGGAGATCAAATCGCGATTCGGTCGAGTCGGTGGCGGCAAGGGAAAGGTTGTAGAGCATAGCGTAGGTTCTAAGCGGAAAGCTGCCGCTGTGAAGAAAGTGAAGGATGCGAAGGAGAAGGAGGACGAGCAAATCGACGAGCATACCGCGTTGAGGACGGAAGTCGATGGGGTGGAGGCGAAGAGGGATGAGACGGATGTCGCTGCTTTCGTTGACGTCTTGAGGAGGAGAGGTTTCGTGCTTAAGGAGGGCAAAGGTGGCCTTGACCTTGGCAATAAGATGTTCGTGAAGATGGAGTTTGTCAAGGCTGCTACGCCGTCAAAGGGCAAGGGCGCCGTTGCTTCCACGACTCAGCCGCAGCAGGGTAAGAAGAGATTTGTGGAAGCGGTAGAAGACGAGGTGGCGACGGAGGATGAGGCGAAAGTGCTCAAGCCTTGCTTATACAAGATCCGATAGAGCTCCAACCTCGCTCGTTGCCATGCAATGCACTAGAGACTCGGCAATGCCGTCGTCGACCACGGCAGCAGTGCTTTTCCGCGGGCGCGTAAACGCGCTCACCGTGGTCCGTCAGGTCCGCCGATCAAAGCGGACTGGCAATCCACATGCATCGCGCGGTTGCCTATCGCGGCCCGCGCTCCGTTTGCACGAGGATACGAATTAACGCTTCTGATGTCTTAGATGTCCACTTATCACAGCTTCGCACTTCGATCAGACATGCTCAGGCAACCCTCTCGCATCATCGCTCCGATGATGGTGTCGCCTCCGGTGGCCGGTCGCTACGCTCTGTACAAGGAGGGAACAGTCCGCATTGTCTGCTGGCTTAAGACCGAGGCCTCTCACATCAGTGAAGCGGTGGTCAATGGCCTGTTTGAAGGTAAATCGTGCGCAAGAGATCTCATCGTGCTTGCCACTGCCGTCTCCTGTGCTCAGACTGTTATCGACATTCCGGGCAGGAGAGTGGAGCTACTGGATGAGTTTGTCGAAGCCCGGGCGGAGTTTGCAACGTGGTGGTCTACGCAGCCCGCTGATTCATCTGTCAAGGCCGACAATCTGACCCATCAGCACTTCATCAAGATTCTAGGAGAGGTTCGCAAGTTCCTACTACATGCGAGGACGCGGCAAAGGGGTACAATGATGGCACGACACCAAGATGATGTAGCGACAGCTCATCGCACCCAGACTGTAGATCCACTGCAACGGATTGATAACAATGGCATCGGCCAAATCCACGGTATCTTCTTTCATCTTGAGCTTAACGAGCCGTCCCAGAACCCGTTAGGCAGCGAGCCTCAGCGATACATTTCCTCCACCAAGGATACCAACAACCTCGGAATGGATGCACGGACCGAGAAGGCGTTGCACTGTGGTGCTTCTTACATGACTGCGGCGATGTAAGATCTTTGGTGCGTCAAACCTGGCAACAGTTTCAGGAAGGTAGCCTGAGTGTCCTTGCAGCGAGCATGACAACAGAGGTTGCTTTCGGAATGATGCGCCGAGCTGACAACGAGCTGGCTACTGTGTATCCCGACTTCAGGAATGCTGACCTTGTCGTTGACTATCTCGGCTACCGACTGGACTGTCGTGGCCCGGCGCCAGCACTCATTTCGCGCAAGCTTGCGCGTCGTGCGTTTGAAACCTCGTTGTGTAAGGAGCTACTGTTTCCTGGGGCACAGTTCATACTTTGGTGCCACCTACAGGAGTGTAAGTTCTCGGCAGACAAACCGGCTTATTTCGAAGCGTCTCAGAAATCTGGTGACGCCGCGATATCCACTTCAACACTTGCCGCAACCGTGTCTACAGGGCGTACGAAGAAGGTCAACAGCGCGTCCCACACTATGCATCCTCTAGTGCGCGTGGAAGGCTTCGTGAAGTACGATGCACTGCGTTACTGCGTGTTTCCCCTGTGGGCGGAACGCTTCAGATACCTCATTCTCGAACTGATGCAGTTCATCGATGCCTTGGGGCCGAAGCCAAGCTCCAAGGGTGATGGCATGTTCTGGATCCACGGATCTGACGAGTTCTCGGTTGGCTTGCGTGACCTGAAGGACAGTTCAGAAAGAGAAAGTGGTTGACCGTCGCGTGTCAAAATCTGATGGACAACTTTGTAATCACCTTGCAGCAGCCCTGTCTTCATTCGTCCGAGCTGAAGAAAAGCATGTCGCATTGCGATTTGAATTGTTGGCAACATCGAGAGGCTTCTAGATGGTGGTGAGGCCAAGAAAGTTAGGCAGAGTAGGAATGAGGTAGCAGACGATGTCCATCGTTTCGCTAATGCAATGGAACTGCCCGAGGAGACCCAGTCAGGCTACAGCATAGGCTCGACTATCGACTACCGGAATGGGAAGGTACAAAAGGCAGCGACCGCTACGTGACGCACCTTCCCTACCCCCTCCGGCAATTTGCTTTTTCACCATGAGATCATGACGCACTGCGCTGGTATCGTCACAGCGAATGTTAGAGGGTCGACTTTGGTAATGCGCACCTCTACCAGGCTATGCGGCATTACCAGATACGTGAAGATGGATGATCCGATATGGATTGTTTCATGGAGTGGCAGAGCAAGCAGTCCTACTTCCTTGCCGAGCTCGATACGACGATGGATGCTAACGCGCTACTGAATCGATTTGGCGCCGCATTGGGCATTGGTGCAGCGTTAGTTGTCAAGAAGGACGCCTTCCGGAAGATATTTCAGCATCACAAGGACAAGGTTAAAGAGGCTGTACGGATCTATTCCGGATCCGAGCTGCTCAACTCTCTCACCACACGAATTTGTGTTGATCTCAATCGTGGCTTCTCAAGAGGTGAGGTGCTGGATGTAGTATTGAAAGAGATGCATGGCAAGGCAGAGCAAGCACTTGAGCAAGACGTGCCATGCACAGCGAAACGGCACGCCACTGTCAAGGCCGATGCAGTAGTGACGGATCTCAATCTGCTGCAGACCTTCAAGAATTCTGATGTCGATTCTGAGCTGGAGCTTTACTTCGATTATGCAGGTTTCTGCAATCGATGCGTGCTGTTACTGAAATCAGTGAAATTCCCTGTGACACCTCCACATCAAGCAAAGAAAGGGATGACTGAGGATCCTGTCTATATCGGACTGCATCTGCTGGATGAAGCGAGGCAGCTTGAAAAGGCAAGACGTCCTATGGATGACTCAGGTCTTGCTCTCTTGGCACGTCAAGTGCAGAAGTACGTCGTGAAGCACGAAGATGACTGTATCCAGGCAGCTAAGCAGCGCTCGAGTGGCAATACTCCCGCCTCTGATCACTCGATGCTGTCTAAGTCTGCTCGCAAGCACGATCAGCAGTAGCGCATGGCGTCCAGTTGAGATGGCTAAGCTCCACTACCGACACGGTCTGTGGAGAGGTATGGTGTGCTGCAAGCGGTCTAAGCAGGCGAGGCTGCAAAGTCTGAGGGATCACAGTACCAAATACGAGGCGGAATGGGACTGGATCATCGTTGGACAGGGCGAGTACGAGTTACTGGAGAGAGTAGCATAGGTGGTATAGCTGCGTTATTGCACGCTTCAGCCCGGCGAGCAGGGCATCGATCTTGTGTAATCTCCAAGTTAGACAGTACGCTCGACTGGTCTACTGGCAGTCCGGCTTCCGTAACAAACGCTGCCGGGCTAGAAGGCCATGCACGGTCCTGTCACCCTTCTCGCGAAGGCACACCCGTCCCCTCAGGCTAGATAGATGCCGAATGTCAGCGAGTATGCCCTTGCGTATGTGCTTCATGTGTTTTCCGACATACCCTGTCACCGCTAAAGTTTACACTCTCCAAAACACACTGCCCTCGATTGACCTGCCCTCCATGGCCACCTCCAAGCACTCCAAACATTCCATCGTCCGCTTCTGGAACGAGAGCGCCGTGGCAGGCGTGATCGCGGTTGGGCCGTTTGATTCAGGTCGTAGTCTGGCCCCACACGACAAACCTCTCCGCTCCTTTGTATGAATGCCGTGTAGTGGTCAGCCCTGTTCCAGCTTAGAACGCCTCCCAAAGCTGTCGGCAAAGGCTGAGCGGCACCAAAGTTTCGATTCCGCTGTGGAGTCGTCCAGGAGCTCAATCAGTCCGTCGTCCAGGCGCTACATTTGCGGAGCGCGGTGGGCTTTCAGGAGCGCGATGGGCTTTCGGTAGCCCTGTGTTGTTAACACATCTCATTGGCAGGTTCTCCAATGCTGTGAGGTAGGGATACCTAGCTTCAGAGCAGAAAAACAAGTGACATGAAGCTCAAGCTTGGGCCGCTACCTCGCCGTCCGCGTCCTCGAACTCTTCGACCTCTTCCGTCTTCCCACTCTCTGGCGTTCGAGGCTCATCGTCCTCCGGCTCGATCTTCCGCAACTGCTTCCGTCCAAAGAAGTCATCAGTCTGCAGGCCACGCACGTCTTCGCTCCTGATGCCTCGCATACTCTGCCCGCTCGCCTTAGCGGCCTTGATGTGCTCCCTTACAGGCACCATGGCCGCATCCCGACACGCTTCTTTGATGTCGCTGCCCGACATTCCCGCACTGAGCCTTACAAGCGTATCGAGACTGAAAGCGGACGAGCCGTCGTGGAGCTTTGAGCGATCAAGCTTAGTGTCACGCAAGGTTAGCTTGAAGATCTGCCTTCTTTGTCCCGCATTCGGTAAGCTGATTGGGAACTTCTTGGGCATGCGGCGAAGAATAGCTTCATCGATATCCTGAATTCGATTCGTCGCGCCGAGGATGCAAATACGTTGGCTGCCACCCGACGCGGTGGAGGAGGCCAAACCATCCCAATGCGTCATGAACTCCGCCTTCACCATGCCGCTGGCTTCGTGCTCGCCGCTGCGACGTTGTCCAAGTACAGCGTCGATCTCATCGATAAAGACAATGCTCGGCTGCAACTTCCTCGCTAATGAGAATACAGCAGCGACGAGCTTGTTGCTGTCACCGTACCACTTCTCCGTCAGAGTAGAGATGTGGAGGTTGATGAAGCATGCGCCACTTTCCCGCGCTAACGCTTTGGCTAGCATTGTCTTCCCGCACCCAGGCGGACCGTACAGTAGTACGCCAGACGGCGCGGTTAGCAGCGAAGAGTGTGATGCATACAGGTGAGGCATTGTTAACGGGTAGATGATCGACTCGCGAAGCTCCTCAATGATGTCGTCCAGCCCGCCTATGTCTTCAAAGGTAACTGGTATATCGTGTGGACTTACGACCTCCATCGCGATGGTCTGCTCATATTGATTAAGCGTGAGCTCTTCCGGTTGCTTACGCGGCTTTCGCTCCTCTGGATATACGCCTGGTCGACCATCAGACCCTTCATCGTGCTCGGCGTCGTCTTCGGTGCCATGCTGTCCAAAGATGGATTGCAGACGGGTCGAAGCGGCGAGTGCCTTTTGTTGCGCTTCCGCTTTTGCGCCGGCGTCCGGATCAAGGCGAGATAATATCTGTCGAGCAAGGTAGTATGCTATGAGGGGCTGTCCATGATCGTCATGTTAGCCTCCGCAGGAGGGACCTATGGTCGCAGGATGGTCGCTGAAGACCGGCATTCACTCACTGCTGCGGCGACAAGGAGAAGGTCTTGGATGAAGCTGCTGAGCTTACGATCACCAGCTCCCATCTTGTTCTAGGAGTGCGGTCTGTGTATCGTGCCGTGTCGCCTCTATATCTCTAAAGTGTCTACTGCACCGGTGGATTCTTGTTCGGCGCATGTGAAAGGCCCAGCGATGTGGAAGGTGTGGCTTGTTCAAGCCACATGGCGTCAAGGCTCGCTTGGGAAGGCACAGCCGAGGCACTTTGAGTCGCGTCAACATCGACGCGTCTTCTCAACATCAACCAACACACACGAAACAACATTGTGTTCGACTCACGACAATGGCACCGGCAGCTATAGAGATAGGTCCTGCAAGTGGTCCGCGAAGTGAGCTCAAGCCGGAGGGACAAGCAACGACCAACGGCAATACGAATCGGACGCCACCCAGTCTGCAGCACGAGGAGTATCAATACCTGAACCTCATCCGGGAGATCTTGGACAATGGCGAGCACAGGCCTGATCGGACTGGCACTGGAACGAAGTCGATACCGTTTCCGCCACAGCATAGGTATTCTCTGTCACGCCCAGACGGCACGCTTACTTTACCTCTTCTGACCACGAAGCGTGTCTTCCTCCGTGCTGTCATCGCTGAGCTGCTTTGGTTCGTAAGCGGTGACACTAATGCCAAGACTCTCCAAGACCAGGACGTCCGTATCTGGGATGGCAACGCGAGCCGAGAGTACCTGGACTCCGTCGGTCTTACGCACCGTGAGGAAGGCGACCTAGGGCCCGTCTATGGCTTCCAATGGCGGCATTTTGGAGCCGAGTATCGGGACTGCCATGCAGATTACTCCGGCCAGGGCGTTGATCAACTCGCTGAGGTGATCTATAAGCTCAAGAACAACCCTTTCGACCGACGGATTATCCTCTCCGCGTGGAACCCGGCCGATCTGAAGAAAATGGCATTGCCACCCTGCCACATGTTTGCGCAGTTCTATGTCTCCTTCCCATCTAGCTCACCTACGCGGAAAGACAGTAGCAAGCGTGGCACACTCCATGCGCTGCTCTACCAACGGTCGAACGACATGGGTCTTGGCGTGCCTTTCAACATTGCTTCGTACGCTTTACTTACGCACATGCTGGCCCAAGCCTGTGATCTGGTGCCTGGCAGCCTGACGCACACAATGGGTGATGCGCATGTCTATCTAGATCACGAGGAAGCCCTCAGACTGCAGCTTACGAGAGTACCGAGAGACTTTCCCACGCTGGAGGTTGCTCGTGAGGCGGGCTGTGACATTGACGGATGGCGAGTCGATGATTTCAACGTCGTCGGCTATGACCCGCACAAAGGTATTGCGATGAAGATGAGTGTATGATCGAACGAAAGGCATCCATCCTACAACAGCTATTGCTACAGCACATTTTGAAGGTATGTGCTCTTCTCCCAGACACCACGCAGCCACTAATAGTGATCACTCAGCGTCAGCGTACCAGTCTTGGTGATCATATACTCATTGATTGCCACGTCCTTGCCCGACTCTTTGCCGTAGCCGGACTCCTTGATACCACCAAATGGTGACTCGGCTGCCGAAGAGTTGCCAGTGTTCATGCCAATCATACCAGCCTCCAGGTTCTCCAGCAACCGCCAAGTCCTGTCAACGTTCTTCGTGAAAAAATACGACGCCAAGCCCATGCTGGTGTCGTTCGCCCTCGAGACGGCTTCATCCTCGGTGTCGAATTCGAAGAGCGCCATAATCGGAGCAAAGGTCTCCTCTTTTGCAATCAACATGTCATGCTTCGCGCCTGTGATCAGCGTCGGTTCGAAGAAATACCCGTCATAACCCTTCGTGCCGTGTAGCTGGTTGCCACCCATCACGACCTGACCACCCTGCTTCTTCGCGTCGTCCACCTGCGACTTGGCCTTGTCAAGACTGCGGGGCGTCGTTACCGGACCTAGGGTCACGCCTTGCTCAGCACCATGTCCGATCTTAAGCGCTTTTGTCTTCTCGGCCAGAATCTGCGTGAACTTGTCATACACGCCCTTCTGGACGTAGACACGGTTTGCAGTGATACAGGCTTGTCCGGCGTGTCGCCACTTGAGCGCCATGAGCTGAGTTGCGGCTTGCTCGAGGTCAGCGTCATCGAAGACGAGGAAGGGGCAGTTGCCGCCCAGCTCGAGAGTGCACTTCTTCAGACCGTCCGAGCAGATCTTGGCAACGAGCTTGCCGACGCGTGTGCTACCTGTGAAGGTCACCTTCTTGACAAGCGGGTGCCGGCATAGCGACTCGCTCAGCGCGGGCGTGTTGTCGAGCGATGTTGGGAGGACGGAGAAGACACCCTTGGGGAAGCCAGCCTTCTCTGCCAAATACGCAAGCGTAAGGACGGAGAAAGGCGTCTCGGGCGAAGGCTTGACAATCATGGTGCAGCCTGCCGCTAATGCCGCGCCAGCCTTCCGCAAGATCATCGCAATTGGGAAATTCCATGGCACCAATGCAACTGCGACACCGATGGGTTGCTTGACGGTGAAGACTCTCCGCCCCGGTGCAGCAGGAACTTGGATGGTGCCTTGCACTCTCTCTGCCTCACCAGCAAACCACCAGGTGAAGCCCAACGCATAGTCCAACTCACCTTGGGACTCTGCAAGTGGCTTACCCGTCTCGTAGGTGACAATGTGGGCTAGGTCATCTCGGTTCTCACGGATCAGTCTGTCCCACTCCAGCAACCACTTGGCGCGCTGACGCGGGTTGGTCTTCTTGAAGGATTCGAAGGCCTTGTGGGCGGCGGTGACGGCTGCATCGGTGTCATCGGGCGTGCAGTCGGGGGCGGTGGCCCAGACTTTGCCGTTGCCTGGATCATAAACGTCGAAGCGTTTGCCTGACTGGGATTCGATCCATTCGCCGCCTACGAGAGCTTTGTCGCGGAACATCTCCGAGTCGTTCATCTGTCAGCAAGTTAGTGGAAGCATCAACACTGGGTTTGTCAATCAAGCGTACCTTGAAGGGGAGATTGGGCGCCATGTTGGTGATATTGATTGTGTCCTTCGTCGTTCTTTGTTTCTTCTTGGGTCTCGCCAGCTTTGCGAGGGGAGAATGTACTGACTAGCGATTCAACGCGATCGAGCACTTATTGGAATTGTGGTCGCTACGTCAATAGTCGACGGCATTAGACCGAGGGCGGGGTTCTGGGAAGGGCCTGGCGTGTTTCTGGGGAAAGCTGCTCCGGAAATAACGGGTTGGTTCGACTACTCCATTTGGTCTTCCGTTACTTGGGAAGAGCGACACGGCAGCCAGGGCGAGTGTGTCCGTTCAAGCTCCATTGGTCAGAATACCGCCGTGGAAGAACTCGAACGTCTGTACACCATGCAGCTCTCCCCGCAGACCTGCCCCGGAAGCTCGTCTCACAGCCAAGCCGTTCCCAGGACATCGCATTGGCGATACACCAGCGCAGAAGGAGCTGATCGGCGAGAGACGCCAGCAGGTAGGTATAAGAGACGGTACGTATCTCCTACGGATTTCTCGATCTCTTGCGCATCGCTCCTCTTCAAGCCTTTCCCCTCCTCGTTCGTGTACGTTCCTATAGCTCTTGCAACCAATATAAGCGGTTGGTTGGACACTTTTTTCGAGCATGCCTCGAGCAAAGAGACAGAAAGTCAACGGCACGGCCACCGCGGTTGCCCCTGCCGAGACGGACGCAACCATGCGGAACGGTGGAAGCTCCCACGCTTGGGCAGATTTGCCCGCTGCGCTCCATAATATCCTGCCCAAAGCCAACAAGGCCGCAGAGAGCGATGGACAGCTGAAAGCGTTCACGACCAGCAACGCCATATCCGCACCAGCCACATTTGGCATCAAGTCTGCCGGCGCGCCAAATGCTGTCCTGGTCACTGTCACCAACGGCAAGGCTGATATCCATACTGGCAGCACTGATGAGGCGGTGTTCACGCTCTCGGCCCTGCCAGAGCAATGGCAGGAGTTCTTCAAGCAGACGCCTGTGGCACCCGTAAGTTGTTGTACCGTCTTCGCCTGGTTGAAGCATTCCAAGCTGATTGCTGCGTATTGTGCTAGTACCAATCCTACTGGGGTATCAAGCGTCAATCCCGACGTCTCTGGGAGCACAACGCTGACCTCTACGCAGGCATGTTCGGGATGAACATCAAACAAGAGGGCATCGAGGTGCAAGGCGACCAGAACGCTTTCGCGCACTGGACGCACGTCTGGCGGCGCGTTCTCGAGATCTTGCATGATGCTTATGCTGGTCCTACTCCCGAGGACGACGAGCCTGATATGGACGTCGATCATATTGTGGGTCGGTATGTCTACATCACGTCACCAGTATGGGGCAAGTGTAAGGTGTTCTACGAACAGTCCGGGGAAGGCGATCAGGAGATTGTGTTCTTGCATACTGCTGGCAGCGATAGCCGACAGTATCACGGCGTCATGAATGACGAGAGGATGTTGAAGAAGTGCAAGATGACGGCTTTTGATCTGCCGGCGCACGGTAGGAGCTTCCCTTATGAGGGATATTGGCCTGGTTAGTAGACAGTCATCCTTCGCCACCGCAAGCCAGCGAGCTAATCTGGGATGGCAGGCATGCACACTAACACAGAAGATGCCTACGTGGGCTGCATCGCAGCAATGGTTAAGAAGCTCGGCTTGACTAAGCCGATCATTTGCGGTGCGTCCATGGCTGGGCAGGTCTGCTTGGCGGTGGCTGCTCGCGCAGACGAGGTTGGCGCTGGCGGGTCGATTCCATTACAAGGCAGCGACTACCTCAACATGGTAAGCTATTGCTTGTGATGGTTGCTGGCGATCGTGTGGCTGTGCTGAATTGTCTGCGATCAGGAGCGGCAATGGTACGATCGGTCACCGTACGTGAATCAATCGCTCTTCAACCCTGAGTGGGTTTACGGGATGATGTCGCCGACTGCACCGTTGAAGAACCGTCAACTCATCTGGCATATGTACTCTGCACAAGCGTACGGCATCTTCCATGGAGACCTTGTAAGTTCGCCGCAGCCACACTGCCTCATTCGAACGAAGCTGACCGTTCTGTAGGGTAAGGATAACATTAAGCAGTTCTTGTGCGAGTTGACATATCCTTCCACATGCTAACACAGTATAGACTTCTACTTTGGAGGCTGGGACGGCCGCGACAGGATGGCCGGCATCGACACGAAGAAGTGCCCGGTGTACATGCTGACAGGCGAATACGACTGGAGCAACACACCGGCCATGACCCAGAAGACGTGCGACAAGATTCCAGGCGGCAAGCAGGTGGCGATGAAAGGTCTGGGACACTTTCCCGCGACGGAGAACCCGAAGGTTTTCGTCGGTTACGGTAAGTGCACTAATTCCTGCTGAGCGGAGTCGATAAGCGACTGACTCGTGCTTGCCAGTGTTGGATGCTATCGATCACATTCAGAAGATGAGAGCTTGAGCTCAGTCAAACAAACACCGACTTGTATTGGCCAGCTCTGTTTGATGTATTCGACGTTCTACCCAATGATGACCTAGTGTACATACCACACGAAAAGCATTCTGTATTCATTTGTCGGGCGTTCCGATACCACAGTGCACAATGAGATGAAAGGGAGCGGTATATTTTTTGATCCCGCCATATGCATGGTCATCACTTGTGTCCTACAGCTCATCCTCCCGTACGAGCTTCTCTCTGGTGAGGTGCTCGGGGCTCGTCGACGGTATACCCGCCAAATGCAGAGTCAGTTCCAAATCTCCCAATAAAGCCTTCAACACATGACTGACACCCTCACCGCCTCTCAACGCAAGCCCGTATACGTACGGTCTCCCAATCAGGCAACACTTCGCTCCAAGCGCCATCGCCTTCGCGATATCCGCTCCACACCTAATCCCAGAATCGAATAGCACATCAATATCCTTACCCACTGCCTCAACAATCCGCGGCAGCATGCTCAAGCTCCCGACTCCGCCGTCGACCTGCCGTCCGCCATGGTTGGAAACAACAATGCCCTGCACGCCGACTTCGACGGCTTTGCGAGCATCGGTGACGTTCTGGATCCCTTTTAGCACGATAGGTCCGTCCCAGTGTTGTTTCAGAAACGCAACGTCCTCCCACGATTTATTAAGGCCAGGGAAGATGGTCTTGGTCCATTCGGCTGCCGCAAGACCCATGTTGTCCTCGACCTCAATGTCGTGGCGTTGTTTGAACTGGGATCGGAAAACGGGGTCGGAGAAGCCTATTGCGACGCCTATTGGGTCGGAGCGGAGGAAGGGGTTGTAGCTACTCTAAAGTCAATGTATGTGTTCGGGTCCGGCGAAGGAGACGGAAAGTTGAGACAGCTCACCCGTTGTCCATGTCGCTGGGTCGCCACCCGAGGATGTACGTGTCGAGCGTGACGAACAATGCCGTGAAGCCCGCCTTCTTGGCACGTTCGAGCATCGAGATGGTGAGGTCGTCGTGCTCGCGACTGGGCCAGTAGAGTTGGAACCACCTTACTCCATCGCCGTTCGCCTTGGCCACATCTTCGATACTAGTGCTGCTGGCCGTGCTCATAATGAACGGAACATTCTCCCTCTCGGCGGCAGCCGCAGACGCCGCCTCACCATCAGGATTGAAGATTCGCTGGACTCCTACCGGAGCGACAGCGATGGGAAATTGCAGCTTCTCGTCCAGAACCGTAACAGAGAGATCGGGAAGTGAAGGGGTTGGAACCAGACGAGACGGAACGATAGACCACTTCTGGAAGGCGGCTAGGTTCTTGCGGTAGGTTTCGCCTGTGCCTGCGTTGCCGCTCACGTAGCCGGTACTTTGGGCGCTCATGACTGCTTCGGCTTGTGGTTGCCATTCCGTGGTCCGGAACGTGAGCGATGGCTTTTCGTAGTGTAGGCCGCGTTGGTAGATGGAGTTCTCGTACTCGACTGGGTTGGCAGCATCGTGGTGCTCAGCTTTAGGGCGGTGGACGACCTGGTGCGCGCTTTGCTGGGCCATTGCTGCGAGGCAAACCAGATGATCTGCTTGAGTGTTGTACTGGAGAGTGCAACGGATGGCGTGTGGTAGGGCTTGAGCAGGTGTGTTTATGATACGAAGGATAGACGTTTGGATGAGAAAGAAATGGTGCCTACCTCCTTCACACCCTATATATCTTGGCAGAGATGTTGCTTTACAGGAACATAATACATTGGCTTCCGGAAGCAGTGGATCATGGCAACGTCACAGCGCAGGCACACTCCATTCGGAACGGCTGTCGCGGAGCAGTGAGGCTGTCATCGGCCAGGCAGAACCTTGACAGCGTGAGCATAGAGCATCGTTGCAGATGGCACGAACGCTGAGGCGGTGATGGTGGCATTACCTGAATAGGCGTTGAGGGTCAGATGGGAGGGAAGTAATTGCTTGCAGTCGGTTGAAACTGTGCATTAGGCCGATGAGGCGGAATTTGCCGCTCAAGCAGGGTCAAAGCTCGTCTCCGTTCATTCTTGCATTGGAGAGACACGCGAGCATTAACATACCAGCTCCATCATCCACACCCGCAAGCAGGATGCATTGCACCAGCGCGTCACTCCTCCGGAGTGCTCTCCACATCACGCCCTGCAGAACAGCCGCAGTCGTGCCGCCGTCCTTCCTCCTCCCAGCCTTCGCCCTTACACAGACCTCTCCCTTTTCCAGTACAGCACCGGCTTCAGCTCGCAAAGACCACAACCGTAACCGCGGCGTCTCCGCCCTCCACCGCACCGGCATCGGCAAGAAACAGCACCTCTCCGTGAAGCTCGAAGACCTCCCCAAACCCGTTCTTGACCCCAAACGTCGCAGCGACATCGAAGTCGATCCCGACCATGGCCTCTACGCTTTCTTCCCAGACGGCAACGAAGGCGACCGTATCATGACGCCTGAAGAGTACGCCGCTCACGGCCGCGGCTGGCGCATCCAAGAACTCCGCGCCAAGGACTGGGAAGACCTGTGGCGGCTGTGGTGGGTCTGTTCCAAGGAGCGGAATAAGATTGCTACGCTGGAGATGGAGAGGAAAAGGTTGGCGGGCAATGGACAAATGTATGGTGATGTAGAGGCCGGGACGAGGGATAAGCAGGTCAGGGTGACTATGAGGAACATCAAGGTGGTGTTGACGGAGCGGTGGTACGCGTGGGAGAATGCACGTCAGGCGGCGATGGAGGATCCCGAGGTAGATTTGAGTGCGGACCCGGGGAAAGGGGAGCAGGCGTATTTGCCAGGGAAGGGAGAGGGTGTGAGTTTGCATGTGAGCGGGGGTCTAACTATGATGGAATGCTAACCTTGGCACTCAGCTCCTTGACAATAGCAGTGCGAATGAAGGCATTACAGAGCCAGGCCAGGGGCTACCGCCACCAGTTAACGCACTTCCCATGTCCGAAGCGCGTGCTTGAGCGGCATACACGACTAGCCGCGTTCCAAATACCTACTCTTTGCACTTTGGCAATAAACTTGACGAAGGCAAGCTCTGTGCCACTACTAATCTCCACGAGCACGGAAGCACTGTGACATGAGCACAGGCCCTGAAGCAAGCCGCGACATGCCCTCCCGGAACAAACCCATAAGCCCACATGGGTCTGGTCTATTTTCTCGCCGACGAAGCTTGGACCAGGCTCTCTATCTCGGCTGCAAGGCGGCCTCTGGCGCACAGTACTCGCCATTCGCTATCGATAGGCGGCGACCGCGCTGCAATGTCTGCACGGCAGCTGGCCATCGAATTTTCCGCCTTACGACCCATGCCTTGCACCGGTGTTGGAGTGCTTGAGCACCTTCCTCGCATAACCAAAGAGGCAGTACTGGACTTCGACATGTTAGGTGCTGCATCTGACCTGAATCGCTATTGGCATTTTGCCAGCCCACAATACGCCAATGGCATGAAACAATTCACAACTTTCACGTACAAGCTTCAGCAGTGCATCGTCCACGATCTCTCCAAGCTCATCATCAACGAAGAGTTGCCGGGAATAAGAGTCTCGGATCCTGCGATCCGCCTACGTGAAGCCTTACGGCTGAGGAAGCAACTCAATCTCCCAGACATACCCATTACAATGAGAAACCCCAGTCTGCTCGAGATAGTCGAGAGCCGGGTTTCGACCGATCTACCGTCTGTAGAGGGCTCCGAGGACGCAGGTGGATCGTGGCCGGATGATGGTTCGATTCCGTACCTATTGCTGTCGCCACTGTTGTATTCTTCTTTGCGATAAGAGATTGTCTCGAGTGACGGCATATTGCGGTATAGGGAGTCCAAGAGCAAATCAATGTTCAGCGAAGAATCATGTCGATGGAAGCCAGCCTAGAATACCTGCTTACTCCGTATCGTGCCTTCCTTATGCGTGAACAAGCTTGTCGTTGTTGGTGATGGTAACATGGCAAGCGGAAGCATTCCGGGCAGGCACCCTCGGAGCGCCGCACTATCGAAGTGTAGCTCTTCCCACACCCATTGACCGCCCCCTACACCCTAAGTATCACCTCCACGTCCACTTACCACCAGTGCTTTAAGCTGCAAAGATGGAAGAGATCGCGCCAGAGTACGATATCGTCGTGCTGGGCACGGGCTTGACAGAATGCATTCTCAGCGGCGTAATGTCTGTCAAAGGCCACAAGGTCCTCCATATGGACCGCAACGATCACTACGGCGGTGAGAGCGCATCGCTGAACCTCGAGCAACTCTTCAAACGCTACGGCAACTTTCAGGCCGGGACCGAGCCATGGAAGAAGTACGGGCGACCCAACGACTGGAACATTGATCTTGTCCCGAAGTTATTGATGAGCAACGGCGAGCTTACCAACATCCTCGTAAGCACCGACGTGACACGGTACATCGAGTTCAAGCAGGTGGCGGGCAGCTATGTACAGCAGGGGAACGGGGCCAGGGCGACAGTGGCCAAAGTGCCGAGTGACGCTGGCGAGGCGCTGAGGAGTCCGTTGATGGGCATATTCGAGAAGCGAAGAGCGCGCAACTTCCTGAGCTGGGTGGCGGCCTTTGACGAGGCAAACCCGAGCACACACAATGGTAATTCGTGAAGCTCCAATGAGAATGGGAAGGCGCACTGACGGATCGATGACCAGGCATGAACCTCAGTCAGGCGACCATGCGGCAAGTCTACGACAAGTACGGCCTCGAACCCTCCACCCGCGACTTCATTGGCCACAGCATGGCCCTCTACACCAACGACGACTACGTCGACAAACGCGGCCAAGCCAAAGACTGCGTCGAGCGCATCCGTCTCTACGTCAACAGCATGGCACGCTACGGCAAGAGTCCCTACATCTACCCTCTCTACGGCCTTGGCGAACTGCCCCAAGGCTTCGCTCGTCTCTCCGCTATCTACGGCGGCACCTACATGCTCAACACCACCGTCGACGAGATCAAGTACGACAGTTCCGGCAAGGTCAGCGGAATAAGAGCAACAATGAAGGAACGAGGCGAGGATGGCGAGGGCATGAAGTTCGAGACGAAGTGCAAGAAGATTCTCGCGGACCCGTCATACTTCTCCGGCAAGGTACAAGTGGTCGGGCAGATACTGAAATGCATCTGCATCCTCAACCACCCCATCGATAGGACCGACAACGCCGACAGCCTGCAACTCATCATCCCGCAATCGCAAGTTGGGCGCAAGAACGACATCTATATCGCCATGGTCTCCTCGGCGCACAACGTATGTCCCAAGGGCTACTATATCGCCATTGTCTCCACCATTGCCGAGACGGACTCGAACCATCATCTTGAACTTCAGCCAGGTTTGGAAAGGTTGGGACGTATTGAGGAGAAATTTATGGGTGCGCCAATCCCGATCTATGCGCCCAAGGGCGATGGGAAGGCGGATGAGGTGTTCTTGAGCAAGAGCTATGATGCGAGCAGCCATTTCGAGACTATGACTGACGATGTGAGGGATATTTATAGGCGGGCGATGGGTGAGGAGTTGAGGGTAGAGGGTTTGAAGGAGGGGCAGAATCTGGTGGCGGAGGAGTAATGGGAATCTGAGCAGTGAGTTGCGCTCTTTCTCGGACGTGACGTTCAGATTGGGCGATGGCAATGGGCAGGCATGAGGCACGAAAGTGACGGAGCAATGATGGCGTTGTTGGTGCTGAGCATTGGTCGTCGTTCAGTCCGTCTGGAGGCAACCTTAGTAAGACAGAGCGTTAGAAGTACTTGAGTGCAACAAGCACGCTTGTTAGTGATGTTATTCTGCCGACGCGACTTGCAGTGTGTCTTAGTGGAGATGAATCGCATCTGGCCAAGCCATGTATGGTGACGTGCACCTTCGACCCAAGAGCCTTATCCCTCACTGCCACAGAGTGCACATTTACTGTGGCAAACCGAAGGCTAAAGGGAAGAGAAGCCTTTTAGTAACACTCTGTGTAGTACCCCAGAGTCCTGTGAAGCATCAGTATTGCATTGATTCATTCCCGTGTCTGATCGAAAGCACCTGCACCGCCTCTCTTTTGTGTCGAGCATCAACCCTTCTGTTTTTCGACCTTTCGCATATCTAGCTGCTACGATATTTCGTACCAATCGCGAATGCTGAGCGAATCCTTCTGCTCATGGCTGCTGCTCTTTAGTCTTGCCTTGTACACTCTCGGTCAGTCAACTTCAAATGATCCTATTCGGGGAGTCAACCTTGGAGGCTGGCTGGTTACAGAGCAATGGTGCGCAATGATCGCCAAGTGCGTTGATCAGCACACATCATCTCACCGTACCATACAGGATCACTCCGGCAGTCTACCAAGGCACCTACGCAAACGACGAATGGCACCTCTGCAACCAACTAGGCCCTAAACAATGTGCATCCACCCTCCGCTCACACTGGTCTTCCTTTTACGTCCGCGATGACCTCGTCGCCATACGGTCTGCAGGTCTCAACAGGATCCGGATACCCATCGGCTACTGGGCGGTCGATCTTCTGCCCTACGAGCCTTACGTCTCTGGACAGTACCCTTACCTCATCCGAGCCGTGCAATGGGCCGGCGAACTAGGATTGTCCGTGATTATTGACCTGCATGGCGCACCAGGGTCCCAGAATGGGCAGGACAATTCGGGATTGATTGGGCCGGTGCTTTTTCCGAGCAACGCGTCGAATGTGGACCGGAGTCTTAATGTGTTGAGGAACCTGACCGAGGAGTTCTCATCTCTGGTTTACAACAATACCGTGATAGGCAAGCTTGTCCCAGTTACAATCAACCTTGTGATTGCAATTTCTAACTTGTATACATAGGTGTGGAGTTGCTCAACGAACCTAGACTATCTGCGACCTTCTCCATGGACCAGCTCAAGCGTTTCTATACAAACGGGTCTGCCGTGGTGCACGATGCGAGCACCCGAAGTGGCTTCAATGTCACTATACACGGTACCCCACCTTCGTTTGTTCGTGACAGGCACTGAGGGTGGTAGCTAACAGTGCGTCTCAGATGCCTTCTGGGGACCGCAGTATTGGACGAACTACAATCCGAGCAACGCCGCAGCCTCTCAGCCTGCGCAAGGCCTGGCAATTGACACGCACCAGTACTACGCCTTTGCACCCCTCAACAACCTCACCGCACCGCAAATCCTGCAGTCAATCTGCAATATCTCACAGCTACTGAAGGCGCCTCATAGCGGCATTCCGCCGACTGTGGTTGGGGAATGGAGTCTTGAAACAGGTGTGCCTTGCTAATTGACGCATCATTTGGAGCCTACCTCAATACTGATCTTTCAACAGGCAATTCTCCAGTCGCATCAAGCTCCGATCAGAACGGCAATGACAACCAGGCACGCCGAACGTGGTTTCGTCTGCTCGCTGAAGCGCAGATGCGTGCATACTCTCCCACCGCGGAGGGTCAGAGTTCGATCGGGTGGATCTTCTGGGCTTGTATGCTATCACTGTTCAAACGGTTCGTGACGAGGTCTTGCTAAGTGGGATGTAGGGAAAACTGAGTATGACATTGATACGTGGTCATATCGCCGCGGCGTCGCAGACGGATGGATACCTTCCATCGCAAGCAATTACTCGACCTACGCCTTTCCAGTCCTTGCGAACGGGTGTGTCGACACGACTTACAACTATACTGCTCCGCGAAAGGTTGGCAGTGCCGGAATGGTCAGCGCGGGTATGCTGGACTCGAGGTTGCTTGCTTTAGCGGCGTTGGTGTGTATCGCAGTGGCGATGTGAGTACGCCGGTTGAGCTATGAGGTTACAATGTATCCATGGTTAGCTGGCTTGATATTCGATCGGGGCTGGACCACGAAGCACGATACACAAGAACAAAATACGTACCTCGATCGAGGAAGCATAAAGCATGGAGCATGAGCATGGAGCACTGAGCGCGGTGTGACGTTGAAGGACAAAGCATAAGGTGTGAAGTGTAAAGCAGTAAAGCTGGGATACGGAGCATGAACCCGTTCAACACGGGCTGCTTGTGCGCTGCGTTCGCCCTTGCAGTGCAGCGCAGACGCACGGCTTCGACCTGTACCTGGTCAATGGGACGGTAGGTGTGTTCGATCCCACAGCCTGCAAAAGAAGGCAGTAGTCAGAATAGACTCACGGGAACGCGTTTATTACGAACGTTGCACGGTCACTGCCATTGTTACACGAGCCAGCGCCGGTGCGTGTCACCATTGAACAATGCAAGTTGCCTGACACAGAACAAAGAAACGTGGTTGATGGACCGTCGTTATTGACGGCCTCGAGGTGGCTTGCAGCATGCAATGGCATCGTGCAGCGTTAGTCGAGCTTGGCTGCAGGGCTTACGCGGCTTGTCAGGCGTATCAGCGGGCCTCGTGTGAGCTTGAGCGACGGGAAAATGTTGTTCTGCATACTGGGGCAAAGTGTCAGCAATCGTGCAGGAAGCGCTTGATGTCTGTGGAGAAGTTGCTCTTGATCACCTCGTGGAGATCAGCACTGTCGCAAGGGGATAACCACGCAACGGTCGATCGAGCGCCGCGACATAATGGCGTCTCATAGGCAGGTCCGGCAGACGAGCCGTGGAGTCCTCTCTCTCATCTATTTCGTGGGGGCGGTGCCCTGAGCCTTCGATGCTGACTGGTCCGGTGGTGCGGGCCACTCATGCACTCGAGATAATGTCCGAGCACAGCCGCGTGCGGAAGGAGCCGCTTGGTCGCGCTTTCTCTTTCCTGGTCAATTTCATTTCGACGTGGAAGAAGCTTCCTTGCCTTTGTGCTCCAGCACGAAACCGTTGGCAGTCAACCAGTGTCAGTTTAACCATGATTCAAAGGTGACTGAGACCTCACTTCTACTTGTGTGCTCCCGACTACGCTCCATGCCTTGGCGCCTCAATATAATGAGTATTCCTTCCCTGTGAAATGGCCAATTCTGGACGCTTTTGCCCTGACAAGACAGCCTTGCAGCACGCGCTCTGCCGCAGCGGATCAATCTAAAATTGACGGCCAATAGTGCGGGCCGGCAAATTAGGCTAAGCCGTGACGGGACACTAGCTCGAAGCTGGACGCCTCTCGTCCGCTCTGCGCTTTCCCTTCTCTCTAGCACAGCGGGTCGCTCTCGCCCATCGTCGTTCCTTCCCCACGACCACATAACGACACTTCGTCTTGCAGGCTCACAGCTCGATTGGCAGTATTGGAAGGGCAGGTTGGCGCAGTACTCTTGCACCGTTCACGCCGTCGACGACAACGAACGCACGCCTTACGCCGACCGAAACACACCCCTTTCTTGCTTGTCGCCAACTTACCACACTCGCTTCACCGACTTCACCTTGCGCCACGACTTACGTTTACGGCCTTTGTAATATCATCGTTTGCCTCTGGTCTTCGCCTGCACCACGGACCAGAATCGGACAGGGGACACTGGTGCTGCTCACTCGCTGCTCTTGCTGGAGAAGGACGCGCGCCCATTGTACAGAAACGCCAAGCCTAATCACAACTCGGCCGCACGGGCAGGACTGTCAAAGACCGTGCTCGTGTCCCAATTGGCCGTTCTGACCTCACTTGGTCGACCAGTGTGGGAAGTCAAAGAGTGCGCTCTTTGTTCGCCTGCGCCCGGAGTACCTAGGCTCTCTTTCAGCCGTGGGCACATTGAAATTGGCATCTTCCTTAGACGGCAACACCAGCTATTCACCCACTGGATTGGTTACGTCTGACAGCCGCCAGCCTTCAACCAACCGCGCATTCCAACTATCAACGCTCCCTCAAGCGAGTTCCAGCAGTGGCAATGATGACCTAAGCGCCGTCGACTAAGCCCGCGCGCACAACCTTTTGGGACTCCCTTTGCGCTCGTTACTCTTGACAATTTCGTCAACCACACTCGTTTGTCTTGCTTTTTGGTATGTGCAAGGCCGAAGATAGAAGATACGAGCTTGGTGTGCTTGCTAACGTCGTCCAGTATCTTGTGCATTCCTGTTCCTCCTCCCGCAGTACATTTCTTAATACTCACACAAGATGAGGACTTCCACAGCAGCCTGGGCTGCAGCCCTGGCGGTGATGTCCATGAGCGGAATGCGTACAAGAGCGGAGGCTGCGCCCGCTCGAAGACATGATGAACCGGAACGGCCGAAGTACTACTTTCCCAAGCATGTAAAGCGGCAGTACACGAACACATCAAGTTCCGATCCATCAGACACGAGCAGCTCGAGCTCAGCATCATCCAATGCCTTGGACTCAACCACATCATCTACCGACATCGCAAGCTCGTCGTCATCGCCTGTTACGACCTCTAGCGCGCCGAGTCCCTACTTTACCCCTTTCAACCCGATGGCATGGCTTGAAAGCATGATCGATGAGGGCTTTGTACCGGAGACGGCCAACACGATGGTCACCACAACGCTGACGTACACGGAAAGCAACTCCACAGTCATGGATACAGCGACTTACACCTTCACCTACACGGAGACCATCTCCCCAACAAGCTCTTCGGCGGCGCTAACAACGTCGAACAGTGTACTGTTTTCAAGCTCGTCCATTGCGGCTCCATCGAGCTTAAGTCCGAGCAGTTTCGGACCCGCACCAAGCACAAGCAGTTTTTCCACTCCGGTGTCATCCTCTAGCGTGGCGGTCTCTAGTTCCACGGCTTCTTCAACTGGCTTTCTGAACGGTCTTCTCGCGCCCTTCGTGGGGTCGAGCACCAGCTCTGCTGTAGTCACAGCAGTATCATCCTCGAGCACTCAAAGCACAAACAGCTTCCCGAGCATCAGCTTCAACTTCACGTTTCCGGCGTCCTTCACTTTTCCAACCGCAAGTAGCACGACATCCAGTAGCTTCGCCTCGACCTCTAGCCTGGCTTCTAGCTCTAGCACCACCTCTTCCATTCCGGGTCCGACCTCAGGCGCGAGCTCATCAGATCCGGCATCATTGACGTCGAGCGCGAGCTCTGCATCTTCGAGCAGCACCGCCGCGGTGTCTGGTTCTCCGGCTAGCAGTGGCTCTGCGTCCTCGGATCTAGGCGCGTTAACTTCTAGCTCGACACTTGCAACTACAGCTAGCCTAAGCGTTGGTACGGTAGCATCAGGCAGCAGCGTCCCATCTTCCATCGTGTCCCCAACGATCAGTAGTGGGTCAGCTTCTACATCGGCAAGCAGCACAGTCTCGCCAACAAGCTCCGTACCCACAACGTCGACAATTGCAAGCTCCATCAGCGGTGTCTCTTCAGACGTGTCGTCAGTTGCCGCGAGCCTTTCCGAAGCTCCGTTGACCTTGTCGTCAAGCTCATCCACGGCGCTAGCGACTTCCACGTCTTCCAACCTAGCGGCGATTAATGGACTAGCAGCTTCGGCGAGCTTAAGCGGCGTTTCTGCCGGCAGTGTATCCGAGAGTGTCCAGCCGTCCAGCTCAGCCTCTATAACGGACATCACTACAAGCACATCTGCTATAGACTCGACAACATCGACAAGCTCGTACACTGGAGCAGTCACCGTTGGTGTCGACACGGTGTTGTCATCCACCGCGTCGTCCTCTGCAGAGATCTCCACAGTCGTCGACGTTAGCTCTACACTAACAAGCTCGGATTCCGTGTCCTCCATCGCGAATACTGCATCTGCTGCGTCTCTTACCACTACGATTGCGTTGACTGGCAGTACTACAATTACCATCACTAGCACTGCCACGGGCTCAACGTCCGTCTCGTTGATCACTACAGCCGCGGCCACAGACAGTAGTAGCAGCACGGTCTTGTCTGCAGCATCGTCCTCATCATCCGCAGCTGCGGATATCACTGTCGGCTCATCCTCCACAGCGAGCGGTACTACCATGGCATCCTCAGTGACTGCTGCGGCGGAGACCACTGTGGCCACGTCGTCCTCGTCCAGCGATGCCACAGCGGCATCCTCAGTGACTGGTGCGCCGGAGTCCACTGTGGCCACGTCATCCGCGTCCAGCGATCCCACAGCGGCATCCTCAGTGACTGTTGCGCCGGAGACCACTGTGGCCACGTCATCCGCGTCCAGCGATCCCACAGCGGCATCCTCAGCAACTACTACAGCGGATACCGCTGCGGACTCTTCAACCGCACCCAGCGATACTACAGCGACCTCCTTAGCAACTGCTGCGGCAGATACCGCAGTGGAGTCCTCAACCGCACCCAGCGATACTACAGCGGCTGTCAGCTCTACGCTCAGCGGCGCTGACGTTTCTGTCACGTTGACCACGACAACTGTCGAGAGCGCTACCCTTGGTGCAACAACGCTCCAGTCAGCTCCGCCAACAGCCGCCGCGACGAATGGCACTGCTGCCAGTACCACGATCAGCAGCTCTGGAACGGCTAATGCCGGTGCGTCTGGGGTGGCAACCGGTTCACGCATCGCCAGTGTTTCTGATGTCAGCGGAGTATCGGTGACCGACACTGTGGCATCTAGCCAGGCTTCTGTCACAGACACTACTGAGGCTACTGGAACGACAGCTACTGACTCTATAGCTCTCTCTGTCACGACCACAGTGATGCCGTCGACCAGCAATGCAGCAAGCACTGAACCAGCACCTCTGTCTAGCGAGGCCTCAGCGACAGGCACCTCTGACGCTACAGTTACCGTTTCCCTGTCAAGCGTACCAACAGTAACTGGCACAACTACCACCGACACCGCTCCGCCTACGGATACGGCGACGTCCGTCATTATCAGCAGCGGAACTGACCCGAGCGCTACCGGGTCTACGCTGCCCGCAGACACTACGGCATTCGGCACAACTGCCGTCCCAATTACAAGCTCCTCCACGTCTTCAGATACTGCAAGCGTGGCATCAGCGAGCCCCACGCCGGCCAGTGTGGCAGTTGTCACAAGTGACACTTCACTTAGCCCTTCAGGGGTCGCCACGAGCGCTTCTGGCACTTTCTCCGGCTCGGATGCGGCCGTAAGCTCGACGAGCACCGCGACAGAGTCTGCCACGGGTATTGCAAGTGTCAGCACTTCAAGTGTCCTGGCCGTGTCAGGAAGCTCCACATCTCTGACTGCAGACACTGGTAGTGTGGTTACCTCATCTGGCCCGCTAACGGTCTCAGCCAGCCCAACAAGCTCTGTGCCTGTTAGTGTAGTCACCAGCGTGCCCACTGCGTCAGATACAGCTTCTGCATCCGTCTCCATCTCCGCCTCTACGGCTACGGATCTGTCGGCGACCGTCAGCTCAATAGCCAGCACCGGAGCTAGCTCTTCAAGCCCACCGATTAGCACTTCGACAGGCTCAGCCTCGCTGACAGCAGGGTCTGTGATCAACCCGGCTCCCCTGTTTACAACGAGCACAAGCACGGGATCTTCCACGACTGTTCTGGTTCCCGTACCGGTAACGACAGATGCATCATCGATTCTGGCTTCCGAAGCTTCGGTTCTGGCCTCAATCTCGTCCTCGCAGTCGGCTGTCCAGGCTTCTGTATCTGCGTCCGAGTCGTCAGCTCTTGCGGCCGCCTCATCGTCTCAAGCCGCGCTTGCGTCTTCCGCCTCGGTATCCGATGCTTCGCTGTCAGCGTTGGCTTCCGCTGTCACTAGCAGTGCGTCTGTCACCGATATTAACACGGTTACCACTATCCCAACGACAGTCCCGTCCACCACCTTGAGCGTCTCTGCGAGCGTTGACCCGAGCCTCACTGCTTCTGTGTCGAGCATCACAGTGTCTGGCAGTGTCCAATTAACGACAGACAATACTGCAGTGAGCACGGGCAGTGTTCCTACTGCGACCGTGCCGTCAACCACTGAGACTGCTACGTCAAGCGCGCCTAGTGGAACAATATCGGGGACGTCTGTTACCTCAACTGAAAGTAGTGCAACAAGTCCATCTAGCCGAACGACCTCCGATACGGCTATCGTGTCCACCGAAACCACCTCTACTGGATCAAGTGCAACGGCGGAAATCACCGCAGGCACTGCGACCACCTCAACCGCGGTGCCCGCTTCGGAGTCTTCCACCTCTGCATCTGTGACTGTTGTGCCAGACGTCTCGAGCTCAGCTACATCAAGCGGGTCGTCCACTTCCGCATTATCCACGTCTGCATCTATGAGTGTTATGCCAGATGTCACGAGCTCAGTTACGTCCAGCGGGTCGTCCACTTCGGAACTTTCGACGTCTGTCTCCGTTACTGTTGTGCCTGTCGGCTCGAGCTCGGCCACGATAACTGTGCCTACTAGCGAGGCCTCATCGACAAGCGAAGAGTTCGTGACTGCGAACTCTACCCAAACCACGTCTGTGACTCTCGTGCCCGCGATCACCAGCACTTCCACCACTTCGGAAACGGCGCCTACCTCCATTATACCAACTGGCACCGACACCGAGACCATTTTGACAATTCCAACGAGCTTCTACTACGCCTCGTCGACGAGCGCCAGCACAGCCGGACTTGCTACGCAAACAGGCAGCACTACCTCAGCCTCCACTGGCGTGCCCACGTATATGCCGCGCCTGGTCCAGCCTCCTGGCGGGATACCAACAGCGCAACAGAACAGCACGCTCATTCAAGTGGGGTTTAATTATGCGCTTAACTACCCGTTCGTGGTGAGCAATGAGAATACAACCGCGCAAATCTTCGCATACCTGCCCCAGGGCATCGCCGACGGCCTTGGTATTTCTAATGACCAAGTGAGAATGAATGGCCTAATGCCATACGACACTTCAGCTTCTCAGGGTTTCATTACGACCTTAGCCCAAGCATATGTGCCGAGTAACATGGTCACGCTCCTCCAGCAGGAACTTCACCAGCCACAGAGCAATCTCTATAACAACCCGGACCAGACCATCAACACGCTGATGGCCATGATCAACCCTGCGATCCCTCTGTTTCCAGGCGCTTCTCTGGACAGTGCCACAGCCACAAACAACAACAACCCTGCGGCCACGACATCAGCATCGGCGGGAGACGGCGCCCCCATTGGCGGTGACTCTGGCAGCTCGCAGCCCGTGCAGGGCAGGTCGGTCGGAATAGGTGTCGGTGCCGTTGCAGGCGCTGCCATCTACGCGGCGGCGATGGTTTACGTGGCGAGACGCTACCGCAAGAAGCGACAAAGCCACCAACGCGCGTCGTCAGTGCCCACCGCCGGTGACATGAGCCAAGTATCAGGTGGCATGGGCGGATACTTCATGTCTGGCGCCGCTGGACCTCGCTCACCCTCCGTCAGCGGTGGAAGAGGCAGCAGGCAAAGCGGAGGGAGCAGTAACGGTCGAAGTGTGCGAGAGCAAGGCATTTCGAACCCTATGAATGCCGAAAACAGCTTGGGCTGGAACTGAGTACAACGTTTTCTATCTACGTGTGTGGGACTTATCACATCTGCAGCGTTTCCTTTATCTTTGTTGTTGATTAGCGATACCGCGAAGAGCCTTCGAGCCCGCATGATGTGCTACTTTCTAAAAAGGCTTCCGTTCCAACTGGAAGAAAGCCACTTGGCCGGATATAAGCCCTTTGTACATATGGATCAATCAAGCCAAGAGTCTTCACGTTTTGCCTGTCGATCCATCTTGTCGATCCAGAATCAACCATCAACAATGCTCGAGCGAGCAGCACGGCGTGCTACTGATCGGCGAGTGTCCGCAAACGCTCCCCTATCTGACAGCTATCCAGGCACGCAGATCATTTACTAGCGTTTGTCGAATAGGTGGTAGATCCACTTACAAGGAGCAATAGTCTCAGTGATCGACAACTTTCTCCCGGTCCCCCCTCTCTGCCATCTGATGATCATAAGACCTTGTCCCGATGTGCTCCGTTCTCCGGAGACGTCTCATCAGTAGCACTGAGCCAAGAAGGGTGCTCCCGAGTGTCGACTGTTGTGATCGCTGTTTCAAAAGGAGTCGGAACTGGTGGCTGCACTATAGGCATCCCGCTGAGCATCCGTCTGCCGCGGCGGCGTTCAACAAAAACCCAGCTCCTCTCCGCAAACAGATGGTCCTGACCATTGCCCACCGCAACGGGCCCGTTGAGCCTCTGACGCGTGTCCGCAGCGTGATAACGGTTCGATGTAAGTGGTAACAGAGTCCTACCGGCCGGTATATGGTCCAAGTTGCGCTGTCAATGCAAATGCCGGCAGCCTGCAGATGCCCCTACCCGCAAATTCCCCGATCAGAGCACGACTCGCAGGAGCATCCATGCGCGGCTAGGGAAGCAGGAACAGTACCTAGGTTTCTCGCTTGACCAGCATCAGGCCTAAGGCACAGTAAGTAGGTTCGCCTAGAAGGCCACTCTCTGGACCCGCACTTCCCCAATCCGTCCGGACCTCATCAAAACTGTCTCTGAAGGTTCCGTGGGCGGCATTCCCCAGGCCGGAGACTGTCTCATTCCCTAACAGTGAGCTAGGCGGCCGCAAGACGCCCTGGACGTGCGTTACGCGCTGTGACGCTGTCGGCAAGTGAAGCATAACGGCCATACCATTGAAGGTGCCGCTTCTGCAGCGAGAATGCGATGGTGAAACCACTGCTGGATGAATGCCCGAAAATGCGCGAACGATTCTGGTAAGAGGTTAGCTCCGCTCTACTGCGTTCCTGACGATCTCCCTACACACACCAAATTAGCCGTTTGACGGCCCCTGCAGAGATGGGCCGGACCTCACACGATCTACTGCAACTCCCGGTGGATCAGTGGCATTTTGTGTGGGAAATGGCAAGACCTCACATGCTTGCGCGAGGCACGGAGAACGCCAATGCGGGTCGCTTGCAACAAGCCGCATCAATGTCAGTATGCCGCATAGGTTATTCACATCAGCCGATGCAGCTATCGGCAAGGTTGCAGATTGAAGCACCGCCGTTGGGCCATGGTCGTGCGCCACGGCTTTGTTCGTCTCGACCGAGGGGAAAGGGAACGGCGGGAGCTTGGAACGCTGTTTACTATGATCGAGAACTGACTTTCACACGTGTATAGTGGAGAAGTCTCCCTTGCACCTTTCCACTATCTGCCCAGGCTCGCCTCCCCACAAGTGAGTGAAGGAGTTGATCGATACGGAGACCTTCGACAGGACTCGTCTTCACCTTACGAACATCACTCCCCACTCTCACCTTCCGGACCTTGAGGCAGGACCTTAGTAGCATCAACATCGAATCTTCGACAACCGAACAAACGTCGACTCTCCTCATTGAACTGCATTCCCAACATAATCTTGCGTCGACAACGCTACGCAAATCGTGCTGCCTGGCGCTGTAACACCCTGTCACAATGGCGATGTTATTACCCAGACCATCGACATGCGGTACGCGACCTGCCTACCTCGACAATCTTTTCAGAGACGCACCACCGGTCCCGGCCCTCAGCCCCAGCGTCCACTCATCGACCAGTAGCATCTCATCGGGCAGCATGTCACCATCAGAGATACGAATGACCAGACCGCTGCCACCACCATTGCCACCATCAATGGAGGAACCGTCAGACGATGTCAGGTCGCTACGATCGTTCAAAGTCAACTTTGGATCACGCTTCAACGTGCGCAGCGTCTTCAAGCGCCGGACATATCCCGAGGCGACAGAGATCAGCAGACCTCCATCCCCAGCTTCCATCCATTCACAGGAACAACCTGCGTTACGAAGGCCTTCGTTGCCGAAGCTGCAGACGGCCTTCCCGTCACCAGGCCGCAAACTCGGGCTGGCACAAGACAAACCATTACCGAGGGCACCGTCACAAGTCTCCCTCAAATCACAAGAGCTTAGCTGTCATCGCTGTTATTACTTCGCCGCACGCAACTGCAACGGTTTCGTGATGGGAGGAAAGCATGGTGATGCATGCGAGCAGTGCTTGGTGAGTCAGACCTTGGGACTATGCGCTACTGTCTTCATTGCTTACGTTGCTGACCTGTACCATAGCGAGCCGGCTTCTTTGGCGCACCTTAACGCACTGCTCCCGTCCCATCTCTTGCTATGATCCTGCTACAACGGCGTTCAATGCTCATACGCCCAAGACGGCTGGATAGAACGATATAGGGTCTTATTTGCCGAGGTCAGGCACCGGCGTTACGATTACAGGATGCTATTCGATGTAAATGTATGAGAGAAGAGACGTCGAGCACAATCAGAGTTGAGGTTTGATGCGCTGTCTCGGCCAAGGTCGGGGCAGGCTTAATGTACAGTACAGAGTTACCATAGACGCTTTGTGCACGCTCGCAAGGAGCCTTACGAATTGGAACTAAATACCGCATAAGCGTCATGCTTACACTTCTGATGTAGAATTCGCAACGGGGTATCACTTATGCCGTCCAGTCCACCATAAATGTCTGTACGATAGCTCAAGCGGCCTGCAAGTGCTTGCTTGCCAGCTCGCTATGACCGGGTATCAGCAGCTCAACGCAAGAATTCAAAACACCCCATGCTTCTTGCAGCAACTCCCAGCGAGGTTGCTGGAAGCTCTCGCGCAACAGCAACAGCAGTCCAAGACACGAGTTGCGGTCTTTGAGCTTCTCGAGGTCATCGGGACTCCCAACGCCGCCCACGCGCGCCAAATAGCGTTGCATATCGAAGATCTGCAGCTCGCGCGTTGTAAGCGTATAGTTTGACGGCCGAATCGGACCATCAAGCGCGTAGCCGTAGGACCAAATGATCAACAGAGCGAAGTACATCACCCACGGTCGGTTCAGCAGGTAGTCATCGCGTGCGCTGTATGTGAACGTCGGTGGCTGATGCGGGTGAAGTCGCTTCGGGCTCAACTCCTCTTCCGGCACGAGCACCTCACACAAGAACCGTAGCGCATAAAACGTGGCATCTCGCGCGCGAGCGCTCGGGGCCCACTGCGTGCGCATCCGCTGTTGCACAGCAGCGCGGTCCGCGTCCGTGACAATCCTGCCGAGAACGCGCTCGGAACCTGCGAAGACGAGACAGTCTACGATGTCCACATGCATCGCCATGTGTGCGAGACTGTGCAGACAAGTTCGGGCTTCGAAAACGTTGTCTCGGTGGTCATTGCTTGACCGATCGTTCGCCTTTGTGTTGTTGCACACTTGCAGCCAGTGCTCATTCTTTGATAGGCTCTCATCGAAGTCCCTACGCCAGAAATCGAAGGCTCGAGTGAGCGCGCTCCGCCATTTGATCTGATTGCCGAGCGTGTTCGTTGCTCCAAGCGAAGAGACTTGCAGATCACGCTGGTTCATGTGCCAAGTCACGTTGAGCAAGCCGCTCATGATGACCACGCGACCAAATGTATTCGTGCGCACCTTCTGCCCATTGAGCGAGCGCTTGAGCCCTTCCAAGAAGGTCGTAGGCTTGAAGCCATTGGCTGCAAGACTCGCTTCTACCCTTTGCACCTCAGCGCTGCTTGTTGCAGACCACAACGCTTCGTCGCACGGTAGCGGTAAGCGGAGGTCATGCGGCGACATTGCGGCAGAGTGTCCGAATAGCGTCGCGTGAGTGGAGTCGATAATGAACGCTGCAAAGGCCACCCTTCGCGTCGCTTCTGCCGTGATCCACCTGTTCCAGAAGGCATCCGGCGTGTTCTGTCCGCTCGTGTTGATGGAGCCATCCGGACCTGGCGGTGTCCTTGTGGGGTCATCGTGACTGTGCGGTACCTCTGTCGCGCTTCGACCGATAAGGGACGACCCTCTACGCATCACAGTAAGCGTGGTTGCATGATGGATGTGAGCTCGTTCGTGCAAAGCTATGGTGCTGAACATCTTCTCAAACAGCTCGAGTAAGAGCATCGTCTGAAACGTCCACAACTTTGCCGTGGGCCTGAACTCGGCGTCTTTGAACACTTCCCAGCGAATGTGGTAGGCCATGAAGAAAGACAGCTCTGCACAGTTCTGCGTCTGCTGGTACGTGTGTGTACGTTCCAGGCACACAGCACCCAAGCACATCATTGCAAGCAAGAGCAGGTCGGGACACGTCTCGGGATTGAACGTTGGTCGGTGCAAAATCGGCATTTGCTGGTGTATGTGAACCCAGTAACTGGTAATGTACGTTTTGAGCATGTGCACACTCATGACATGCTGTTTGTCGTCCGAGTCGCCCATTAAGATCTCCTCCTTCGTCTTCCTGCCTAGGCAGCAATTGTGAGAGATTTCTTGCCAGCTGCGAACTAGCTCTGCGAGCCGGTTCTTGGTCTTCTCGCTGATGGCGCTCTCACGCATCTCAATGTCGAGTCCGTGATACCGAGAAGCTTCGGACCACGGATCACCAGGTTTGGGCGACTGTTTCGGCGTTCCGTCTGGCTCAAGCTTTGGCAGAGGCATGTTCCAGATGCTCGGATTGTGCATAGGGGCAGGTTCGGGTGGAGTGTTCGTGATGAGGTCCAGGCTACCAGGGTTGAACAGCGAGTTCAAGAAGTTGTCGTCGAAGATAGACGTCGGTGAGCGATTGAACCCATCGCCTCCAAACACAGGCATGGTGAACCCGGAAGACATTTGCTCGATGGCGTTGAAGTCTGCGATACTATTCGATCTACTGTTGGGTACCGGTTGTTGTTCGGAAGAGCTGAACCCGGGCGGTGATAGTATGCTGCCAGATCGTGCACTGCTAGGCTGTGACGGAGTGAATGCCTGCGGGAAGCCGAATGGTGGCAGCGATGGGAGCGACGTGAAGTTTGTCGGCGCCCGGAGTTGCTGGGCTGATACATTCGGTGGCGGATACAGGCTCTGCGGGTACACATCCACCGCAGAAGGCGAAGTGAACTGTGGCGGTGGCATTGGGTGTAATGGCATACTCTGATGGTTTCCGAAACCCTGTGTTTGCAATGCTGGTCGTGGATAAGACTCGTCAGGGCCATAGCGTCTTGCGGAAGGGGGTGACAATGGTGGCGGCATTGCTGTAGGGTGCGGGTGGTCGAGGGATAGAAACGCACCGTAAGGCGCATAACTTGGTTGATGTGTGTCAAGCGGACCGGCACCAGCTGATGGTATTGGTCGTTGATTGGGCAATGCATGGTTTGAATAGGTGGTTGGGCCGGAAGCATAGGGTTGAGAAGGCCCATTCAGCGATGGTGTCGGTTCGGGGTACGTAATGGGGAGTACATGATGGGATGTCTGAAGCGGTGATGCCTCCACAGTGGCGCTGCTAGATGGCGGCGAAGCATTTGTAGAGATGTTGGCAGACACAGAGTGCCTTTGACTGTTGAGGAAGGCATCCTTTCGTTGAAGGTGCGATCCCTTCGCGGTGTGGCGCTCCTTGTGGCGGGCGCAAAGATCAGCTCGAACGAAGTGTCGCTCGCACCCTGGAAAATCGCACCGATATATCTGCTTAGGTGTGTCTGCGTGCACATTAGTCGGTGGTACATTGCTCGCATTGCATGACTCAAGCAAGGTTCACATACGGTTCAATTGATGGCGGTACAGATGCTCCGCTCTGGAGTATGCTTTCCCGCACTCTTCATGCGGACAATGATACTTCTTGTCGCTTTCCTTGATCACCTTCCGTTTCTTCCGCGGCTTGTTGTCTGCTATATCATCAACTTCATACGCCGCATCCTCCTCTTCGACGGGTCTCGAGCGGACGTCGTGCTCGGCCGTCTGGATCGATGGTGGGGCACCCACGCTGCTGCTATCCCCAGACTCGGTGGTCATTCCAGTATTCGTCCTCTCGAGTTGCACGGTGGCAGCGAGGACTGCCTGACCGTCTGCGAGCATGGAGCTCGATGCGCCGTGTGCCGGTAATTACTGCTCGCACGACCGTGCTGTGTCAGCATGCTCGGAGGTTGCGGTCTCTGCCCGTTCGATGTTTCGACTCCAGAGACTGTCGTCATGAGGAAAACATGCGGAGATGCGTCGCAGAGGGCTTTTGCTGCCCACGTGCGTATCGTTTTGAAGGTGAGGCGCGAATGGCGAGGGTAAATGCGAACTGACTCCAATGAATCGCACGCCTGGAGAGCGCGGGATCGACAAGGATGCCTGCGTGGTGACCGCGCGAAGTGCGGAGAAGATGTGGGATCAAAGCAACGATCCGGCCGGCGGCCCTTACAACCTTGAGCTACGCCACGCAATCAGAGCAGAGCTCGAGCGTCTGCGTGCTGGATTGGATCAAATCCAGGTCCGCACTATGTGTGATACGCGTTGGACACGCGACACTCTGCCAATCGAACAAAATAGTATCTTCCCAAAGCCGAAAAGGAGCTCCCACAGAATTGCAAATTGATCCCTGCCGGAGAAGCAGCAATGCTCGCGTGGTTCATGAGGCTGAACCATCACCTATAAAGGCGTCAGTCTCCCTTTCCACTCACGACATCATTGGCTGCTAAAAATCTGCGGGCTTGAGATGACCATAGTGCACAATCCTTCTCTCGTCCCGCAACCACGCAACGCCGTAGACGGCGGGGAAGTTGACAACCTGCAGATGAGCTGCAGTAACGCTGCCCTTTCAAGTAGCTGGTGACGAATGCAGACGCCATTTGCGCCATAGACGTGCTGAGACGGAGTGGTTGACCCTGTCACGCCTGTCACGTTAAAGCGCACAGTGAGGATGTGTGCAGACGCGCTAAGCGCTTCGTGGTGTCCATCATCCGACAAGAGGCGAAGTGCGATTGCATGGGCAGCAGTCACGACCCACATGGCCGTGCAGCATCGCACAACCTATCGCACATGCAATCGCGTAGAAGGATCAGTAGTGTCAGCCTGCTTATTAAAACGAACAATGCTCACTTGTCCTTGCACTGCCCGGAACCTCCACGCATGTGCGCGCGTCAATGCAGGTATGTCACCACCACCACCAACACCGACAGCCCGGCTTAATCTGGTGGATGCGTAAGTGGGATCCACCTCGTTTGAGCTGGTCGTCCGTCTTCGGACCGTGACCGCTAGCATTCAGCCCAAGTTAATGTGGAGTCATTCATGAGGCTCTGCGGCATAGCGTGGGTGCTGATACCATCTCGTCGGAATGCTCCATTCTCGGTCATCTTCTTCTCAACACTCACTCCCTCGTTTAGAGAACGCTTAAACCACTTTCCTGCGACGATACTCTCACCTAGATGCGGCTGAATGATGATCGAAAGCGCACCCACGACTGCACCACGTGTCAGGTGCCTGCGCTGCGAAGTAGAGACTTGTCAATGGTATCGCTCATGCAGGAGAAGGCCCGACGGCGTGACGATGGCTTTGTTTCCACGAGCGCCTCAGGTACGAAGTACTTGCTGCATCCTACACCGCGGTAACTGCGCCACCGAGATGGCCAATGAGGCGACTACCCATCAGTCTCATCGCAGTGTCACATCACCCAATGACAACGATGGACCGGACCACGCATAAGGCTGCGGCCCTAGAAGCCGCGAACTCTCCTCGGCACGGCATGAGTCGTCCCGAAGGCGCATACGACAACCTTCCGTTTGCTACTTTCTCGCTCTTTGATCGCTCTAGCGTCCAAGACCAGACAAGGTGAGATGCACGCACTGTGCACGGAGTGAAGATCGTTCGGTGGCTTACCTGATCCGCTCACTCCCCGAGCCGCACCTTCTTTGCTGGCTTCGAGAACGATAGAGCGAAGCTTAGCTCTGACGACACATCAATCCTACCGTCAGCCCACGAGACCACTGCGAATCTGTTCCCTCGTCTGTCGTCGCTTCCCCTGGCGGCCACCGCATGAGCGCATCACTGACCCGCAAACGGAAGGAGAGAGCAAGCTTCGCGCGCGATTCTACCCGGTGAACGTGTCGCACCATCCCCTCGCTGATGCTGACTTGATGTCAAATAGCTTGTCATCTTCCGCGGAATAGGCATAGCGACGACATCTCCTGCCGTGACGTGCTGGAACCGATGCGCTCCGTCTCCAACGACAGATGCAGGCTATGTTCTGCTGCAGTGTCAGCGTGCCTTTCCTCCCTGACGTAGGATGAAGCCATCTTTGTTAGAGCAACAACTCTACTGCACCCATTGAAACGGTAGCTGAGTTTTAGTAGCGACCCGGTCTGAGTGCCATGTCGGGCAATCCACCGCACTCCTGTTCGCTAGTGGAGTCTATATAGTATAGCCCACATGTCTTGCTGCAGCTACGGCCGTGCGTCTTGAACTGACAGCTGTAGTAACGGTACGGCATACATACGGCTATCCTTCCGACAGCATTCGATTACCGTAGCGTATGAGTGTGTCTTTCTATGAGAACGTCAGTGGCGGAGGCGTCTGGAACGACAGGAGAAAGCAGGGAATGTTGAGCAGACTGCGAAAGGCCGGTCATGCGTTGATTCTAATCTTGATGGACGGAAAGCCCAATGTGGCGTCCTGCTTTAGGTCAGCTCTATAGTCAATGCTGCCTCCTTCGGCGTCACCCGCCCTCACATCAACATTGCAATCGCTAAGGGTACGCTTCAAGCTTCGAACATGCTCCAGTCGGCCCGTTATCGTCAGCTAATCAGACCTGTCCGCTCGCTTCTGTCCATTGACGGCCTGGTCAGCGTCCAAGCTCGCAGCCTGTTCCGCCTCTTCATGACCGTTCCCGTAGTATTCCTCCTGCTGCCTCTTCCGCTCAGCACCCACCGCAACACCACCGGGCGTCTTACCCTGACTTCGCCAGAACGCCTCCCTCTCCGCCAGTAAATCCCCAGCCCATGACTTCATTTCCGGCAGAACTATGCGGTTTGCAACATGACTGAACTCTCCCAGGTCGATCCTGCCCTCGTGGCTGCGCTCGTACTCATTCATCTGCAGCAGAAGCTCGAGCTTATCCACATCGTGCACAAACTTGGACTCCTCTGTTGCACTGTCTTCGTATTCTTGCCACACATCTCGCATACTCTGTGCTTGTCCGCTGCCTTTGTGCACGTTGCTTAGCAGGTTCGTGCATAGGTAGTCCATGGTCTCCGCTTCACGCCGACTCTTTTCGACCTTGCTCACGCCATCTACGGGGGTGATGTCGCCGACGAGTGTCTCTGCCATGTCATGTATGAGCGCCATGCGGGTGCATCTAGAGATATCTAAGCGTGAGGCCAATGCAGGAGGGCAGAGCATGGTGATGATGGCCATGCGGTACATGTGATCCGAAATACTCTCGCCATAGTTGATACCGAACCGACGCCAGCCTTCCCGCTTGGTGGTCTTCAGGCGTTCTATTAGGTGGAAGAACGGTAAGGGCGTCGAAGAGCCTTCTTCTGGACGGCGTGGTAGGGTTGCTAGGACTGATAGAGCCTCAGTATGGGTGATAAGGGTGCAGAAATGGTCTAATATCGTACAAGGCTCGCTCGCACCTTCATCTTCGTTGTTACGTACCGGTTTCGGGCGTCCAGTGGGAGTCCGCTTGTGAAGAAGTCAAGATGCCGGACTTGTCATCTGCGCATGGCGTGAGCGACCCTATTCCAACGCGTGGCGCTTGTACGACCTACTAGGGGGTGCATTCGTCTGCGGCGCGTCTTCCACCGCGCTGGGCGCCATGTGTTCGGTTTGAGCCGTAGTGGGAGATGGTGTCGATGCAAGAGCGGACGTAGGTCACCCCGTGGGAGAGGCTTTTGTGAGATATACTAATTCGACACTTTGATTGCTATATTAGCAGCTTACTATGCTCGGAACAAAGGTTTGATATGTGCAGATGTGTCCGGCCTTAAATCGCGGTCAAAGTGTTTGTCGACCAGACGCCGCAAACAGATGTGGGGCTGGACAGCGGCTCAATGTCGACAACGGCAACCGCATCCAGGTCAGAAACACGCGAGATAAGACCGCAAGATGGCGCGGCAAGATGATCTACGTCGTTAGTGGACCATTAGGATCGATACGTGTAGCCATGTGCGTCTACCCATCTTGTTGTGGGTGAGGTGTCAACTTGCACAATGGTAAGACCTAACGATATGAAGGAAGATGGCATCGTACCAGGTAGAGTTCGGAAAGTTAAGGATCGCTGGATCAATTACAATGCGCATGCAACGCTGCACTACAGCGCTATGCAAGATTTACTACCATTCACCAATCCACTCGCTAGCGCCGCTTTGCCAAAACTCATCGCAGGCAGCTTTCAATCCAAGGTTTGGCCGTAGGTCGTTGATCGTAAGTGGATCTCGTGTCAATGGATCCGTGGGGCTCCGCTTCAGATGCTCGGAAATCGTCGCGCGTTCGTAAGAGTGCCCGTTCTTCGTAATGACAGGGTCGTGCATAGGCTCAAAGGTGATCATGTCAATCAGATGGTCTGGCACTTCTCGCGGTTTATGATTCGAGGGGTCTGCTGCGGCGAAGACAGCCCGAATTTCGCTGATCTTCGTTTCGTAGTTGGTCAGTATTTCTTGATGCCGCTCCGATGCTTCAACATTCCCTAGCTGACAGCTCTGTAGCTGGTCGGCGACGTGCTCCAGATCGTGCTGCTTCTGGCATTCAAGAGCGTCTTCCAGCTCCGCGCGTAGATCTCCTTGCCGCCGCAACCTCTCGCGGTCGCGAGCGATGAACTTGGCCTTCTTGCATTTGAGCACAAAGCTGGAAAACGTTTCAAGATCCTTCGGCGATATCTTGGCTGCTGGCTGTGGATGCAACACCTGCTCATATGCCGTTAATGCCGACGAGAGCGCTTCGTGTGGATGATGCAAGGCAAGTTGAGCTTGCGCTGTCAATGTGTCAATGACGAGCTTAGGTCGCATACTCCAATATATGGAGTCAAGTGATGAGCCCGTTATCGCACGTACCAAGAAAGTAGAAAGCCTTGTGGTTCTGCCCTTTAGGCCCACTAATCTCTATGCTGTTCAGACAGTCATTGACGGCATCGTTGTTTTTTTGTAGCTTCAGTCGCACGTTCGCTCGATTCGTGAAGATTAAGGGATTGCGTGAATGCTTCTGGATCGCTTGGGTGTACAGGTTCTCGGCTTCTTGATATTCACCGTTTCGGAAAGCAGTGTTGCCTTTTTCCTTTAGCTGTTCAGCTTGATATGCTGCCATGGATTGCCCGAGCTTGATGCGAGAGATAATCTCACGGTCGGGAGCAGTAAACTTTGGCAAGAGGTGGAAGTGGAAGGCTGACGGTGCCACCTGAGCGTTCAGGTGGGGCAGTGCAGTCCGCGTTTGGTAAGCGCCAAGCGCGTGCATTCCGATTCTAGAAGTGTCGCTTGAACCATCAACCTCCGCCACGAATGAAGTGACCTGAACGCGTCGCATCAGTTACAAACGTTACTTTTTGCCAGTGAGGGATATCGGTAATCCAACCGCTCTGTCTGGCAAGCAACAGAATGAACTTGGAGGAGACACTCGGCGTTTGGGTAAGGCGCCTGCGCCTCATTCTGTGGCACGCATTGTACGTCCTAGATTCCAGAATCCAGTCAATGCCTTGAGCGGAAATAGTCTCCTTCGTTACGGCGGACAATCTTGACGCTGTGGTCGGTCCATCCTCCAAGGAGCTCTTTCCGCTACCTGTGGGATCCGAAGTAATGGTAGACTGCTTTTAAACCATGGCTCGTTGATAAACCCCGTTTCCAGGTGCGTAGGGTTGGCCTTGACGGTTTGTAGCCAAGGCACTGCGAAGCGGAAGGAGCGAATCATATGTTCCCGCCAACCCATTCCCACCACTGGTTTACCTTGCCACTTTCTCCGCCATCTCCTTTAGCATTGCCGCCACGAACACTGACCTCGACCCCATGCTCTCCCATCTGCGAGAACTTGAAGTCCGTGGTACCGTATTCTCCGAGCCAATTGGTCTCTTCATCGCCACCAGCACCCTCGTCCATACCGATGCCACTGTCCAGCAGACCTTTGCTTCTAGTCCGACGAACTTTGGCAATCTCCTCTTCAAGCTTGGTCCTTACCAAGCCAGCCGGCAGTGAAGTGAAGACATCTTGCTTGTTCGCAGCCACGAGCACCGGTATCGCTTGTGGGTCCTTCGACGTCTTGCTCTGTGTATGCCGCTTCTGCAACAGCAATAGTACGTCGTGTAGGTACTCCGCAGCCTCTGTTAGTCCGGCTGCTGAGCTTACCGCAGCGCTATCCACCACAAAGATCAGGCCTTTGAGGGAGCTTCCGGTGGTCAGAGATGATGTTGCATGATGTCGCAGCTTGCCGTGACCCGGTGTGTCCAGCAAGGCCAACTTGGGCTGAGCTTGAGCTGACGTGTCATTCTCGGATCTGTACCGGTCTTCTGACGAGCGGGCGGATGATGGAAGTTGACAGACTGCAGACTGCGGCTCTTGGCTGGTGTGTGTCGGAGAGGGAGATCCGTTTGCAAATAGTGTTAGGAGAGTGGTCTTTCCAGCACCGCTAGGACCAATCAATAGGAACGTTGGCAATTCTTTTGCGACAGCTTTCCGGTAAAGGTAGAAGTGAATAAGTAGTGGTAAGGTCAGACTAATGAGCAACGTTGCGAAGATAGCCGAGATGGCCGGTGAGAAGGCCCATGTCAGCCAATCTTTGGCCGTGCTAGAGCTCGCCATGGCGGCATACGATACGAAACTCAAGTTGCAGGCAGGTTGCACATGCACGGAAGCTCGTGTTGACCTCTGGCAATGATGGAGCTCATCCGGATGTGCCCGCGGCACCGGCTCGGGCCTGCTGCAATGCGTTCACGTTACAGCCTTGGGAAATTACCTATCCGTTGCAGGGCCATCGCCCTAGAGTGGCACAGAGACGTCTTCCAATGCAGGACTATGCTGGGCAAGGTCTACGCTACGGTTTGTGGAAGCGCGCAATGGCCCAGACCCGTGACGCGAGCATCTGCACCTCGCCACGCAAAGTGTCTCTGTAGCCATGGCATATTGACGTAATCTACATTCTGAGTGAAAGCTACGTGCTCTCTCTTCTGCATTGGCTGCGTTGCGATTTCATACACTAGCCCAAAGCTTTCCTACACTTCAATTCACCGTTTATCGACACCAATCTAGAACCACCGTCAGATACCCACCATGTTCGGTAGCAGTAATTCATTTGACCCGAATAAAGACATCCCAGACCTTACCGGCAAGACCTTCGTCGTGACGGGTGGCAGCGCAGGGATAGGTATGGTAACCTGCTCTCTTCCTTCCTACCACAAATGCTGAACGTTCTTGCAGGCTTCGGAATTTGTGCCCATCTGCTTCAGCATGGTGGCGAGATTTATCTCCTTGGCAAAAAGGAAGAGGTACGTGATCTTGTGGACCATGGCGGGTATTAGGTGGTCGTCCATGGTGCCATGCTGAATACGGCTGCAACTCCTGGAGCACAAAAGTGGGACAGAGTAGTTGGCTAACTTTGTTCATAGCATATTCAAGAGGCTGAAGAAGGCCTGAAGAAGTACGGCGATGTCTCAAAGGTGAAATCCGTGCAGATCGAACTGGAAGATTTACGCCAGACCGATGCAGTAGCTAAGAAGCTGGCATCTGAGCTCACCCGCCTCGATGCGCTCGTGCTGAACGCTGGACTCGGCGTAGGCGTCTACAACGAAACCAAGGACGGCATCGACAGCCACATGCAGGTCAATGTTTTCTCACAGCACCATCTGATGATGATACTCTTGCCGCATCTCTTGAAAACTCCGGACAGCCGAGTAGTGATGCAGTCGTCGGAGTTCCACCGCCTCGGCACCAGTGACGTCCAATTCAGGGATCTAGCGGAAATCAATCAGGATATTGGTGCGTCGAAGTTGTATGCACGCACCAAGCTGGCGCAAGTCTGCCTAACCAAGTCAATGGTCCGTCACAAGAGTGAGGGCAAGCTCGGTCTCAGCCCCGGAAAGGCTCCACTCTTCTTCGCAGTGCATCCCGGTGGTGTGTCTACAGATCAACCAAAACAAGCCGAGGAAGCCTACGGCACCATGGGCAAGATCGGCGTCGCAGCCGTTCGGCCCTTCATGAAAGATCCGATTGATGAGGGATGTCGACCTGCGCTGTTTGCTGCAACCAGCGAGGACGTCGTGAAGGAGAAGTTGGATGGCGAGTACATCGTGCCAGACCGCAAAGTAACTAGCGTTTCTGGCCATGCGAATGATCCTGAACTGCACGAGAGATGTCTCAAGTTGACAGAGACTGTGCTGGCGGAGAAGCTGGGGAAGCTACCGTACTCTACAATTTACGCTTCATCGTGACACGCGACTCGTGACTCGAGCGAAAAGTCATTGCACCTAGGAGTGCGATTGATTGAGTTGTTTCGTTGCGGCATTGTCGCACGCAGCATAATATTAGCAGATTGAGCTGCGAGTCATTTGAACGCGCTGGAGCGTGTGACAAAATGTTGTTGAGTTGTTCCATGTCATCCTAACCAAGCCATTATCCGCACGCGCCAGTGGCGACAGTTTGGACCGGTATAAGGAAAGGGCGGTTAAGAGCTGGAGGGCCGCCTACAGAACTACAAGACAATGATCGTACAAAGCCGGCCTCCCACCACAACCCATCACATTCACATTTTCGCCGTCTTCTCCTACCTGCTCGTTACCCATTTCAGCCATGCTCATGCACATCGTGACTCATGCTCTCCAGTCATCTCGCCACGGCATGCGTAACCCGCCACATCTTGTGGTACCCTTCAACCTGTTAATCATCAACATCTTCCTGCGCCAGCAATGCTGCACCTCTGATTCCCTCTCATATCACTCTAGATATTACTGATACCATAACGGGCCCATGCGCCGAGGGTATCCGCGCGGTAAGCGATGCAGAGCAGAAATAAAGCAATACTAATACTCGTGCTCAACACGCTGTAGCGGCCGGCGCAGCTGTGTCAAGCTTGTAGCATCTGCTGATCGAATTTGTGACCACCAGGTCGTAAGTGCGAGATTGTTGGTCAAACGCAGCACGTGCGATACAAAGGAGCTAAAGGGTAAATCGCTAGAGGGTCTGCCAGTACGGAGCCTCAAGTAAAGCTCGCGGAGAGGTCTGGATAGTAGCCGCGGCTGGATGCAACACCATCGAAACGGCCGCATGCGCCGACCGACCATTGAGCGCCCGGGATGGCGTCGGCATACTCGGCTTTGACGGCGTAATGCCGAGGTTCCGTGGTATATCTTGTAACGTTGTCGACCTTAATCGGTGGCGGTGGCAATTGGACGCCTTCGTAGATGGGGCCTGGGAAATACTGGTAGCCTTCGAAGGTCTGGATGCCGGCCCGCTCGGCATCGGACATAACAGTGTCGGCATGATGTTCGTTCTCGATGGCGCCTTCATCCACACTACCCGGACTGCTTCCACTTGACCCATCTGAGGATGGGTGGGCTGCGTACGTGGTACCACGGTATCCGCTGCTGACACCGCCGTAGCCAGTAGTTGAGCTCCTGAAGCCGCCGGCGTTCATACCGTACCCTCCAGTGGTACTACTGCCATAGCCGCTGCTTCCACCTGAGCTCCCAGTGCCGCGTCCAGTCGAACTGTTCTGGCCTTCGTTTTGGTAGTGGCTGGGTGATCGACCACGTACAACGATCTTGCCGCTAAAGCGTTGAGCAACCTTGACCCACGAAGGGTTATCACTGCCTTCCTTCCGCACGTCCGCCCACAGCTCGACAACGAGATGGAAGTACTGCTGTGATGCGCGTCGCTTGCCATTGTTAGCGGTAGCTGACTTGAATTGAACTCGCTCGAATGTCTGCGATGTTTGCTGTCCGGGTATGGACAGATGAGATGCCGCCGATGCATATGTACTGTACGATGGCATAGTAGGCGCTTGTGCGGTTGCTGTCGTGGTCGCACCTGAATCTGTCGTGCTTTGCAACGGCAGGTACGGACCAGGAACGACGCCCGTGGGATGGAAAGTTCCCATTGGAACCTGATACACGCCGTTAGGCGACAGAGTTTGCTCGGATCTTGAGGTGGGTGTTGGTGAAAGCTTCGTCACTTCGATCTTCGTTTTTGGTCCATTGTCTCGCTTTGGCGTATGCTGGATCAGCTCAATGCTTTTGCCTTGAGAGCCATCCACAACTGCCGAAAGCTTGACTCCCATGGCTTGCACCTGCTCACTGTTGTTATTACGCTTGAGGAAGATGCGACCGTTGTTGATGTTGGGAGTGATGTCGTAGCTACATGCGACAGAGAAATAGTTTCTCCTGTAACACGTCCATTTCTGGTCTGATGTCGACAGAAACAGCCCCTTTTCGACCTTGGCATGTATGTTCGGTGTGACATCCATACCTTCGCATGTCATTTCCAACAGACACTGAAGATCAGGCCATGGGAAGTTCGAGCTTTGACTGCTCTCGTTTGAGCTGCCGTAGCCATTGGCGGACGTCATGGCTTGCGCATAAGTAAAACCATCGGGCAGCGCAGGACCGTAAGAGCGTGATATATTTGGGTAGGCGCTGAAGCCCGGCTGCGGCAGTTGCTGGTGTGTCAGATAACGTGCCGCTCCGGTTGCGTAGGTCTCACGTTCCGAGACGTCCCCCACGATGGGTGGCCGTGGTAGAGGAGTCAGCACGGACGTCGCGCCATGGAGCCCTTCTGATCTGTCCAAGGAGCGTTAGCTATCATAACCACCAGACTTGGTGCAGCGTTACACGGCGTGGTTCACTTACATGCGGGCACCGGTCAAGGAACTTGGTACGAACGACTGGGGTAGTGACACAGAGCCAGTATAGGTGGGAAGTCCTGTGTAATGGTTCGTCGGGTAGGTGGTGTACGCAAGATGCGAGGATGCGGCGGAGGACGGACTGGTCGAGATCGAGCCAGAGCTCGAGTCAGTGAGATGAGTTGCTGCTTGGTAGCTGTTCCACAACAATGTGTCAGCCTACCATTTTACGCCGTGACACAAAGGCTGGACTCGAGCGCCCAGTAGAATATAAGGCAGTGAGCGTAAATGCTTGATAGTGCGTAACCATCGGCGCAAGAACGAGGCATCACGCTGACTGCTGCAAGACTACAGCTTGACCCACGTAGCCCATCGTGTGACCGCCAGCGGTTAGCTGATGTCTGCAGTGGCCTCGTTGACCGTCTTGCCGGAAACGGTGATAACCGACGAAAGGACGCCGCAATGCAGCAAGCAACGATGCATGGTGATAGACAGCGGTTCCGCCCGCTTGAACGGCACAACGTACGGACGAGCCGAAGCGTCGACCGGATGCTGAGTTAAAGAGGGGCTGGAGCCTGATCTGAACCAATGAAAGCAAGGTACGCACCTGTTGGCATCCGACGCTATGCCCCAGCGTTCAGCACCGAAGCGGGCCTCTTGCGCGTGATTCGCTGTATGAGCAGCTGTCGGCACAGCAAACGAGGCCGGCGATGGCTGTGTCAAATTGCCGTCTTGTCGGAAACGGTCGGCAGTGTGTGTTCCAGGTGGTTGGAAATGATGCGCATGTCCAGTATACTGCTCGATGCAGTCGTGTTCTCCATGAATATTGTAGTCGGCACCATGTAATGGTAGCGCATGTAGGACAGCTCCTGCAACAGCGTGTTAGCTACAGCGAGGATAGTCACAGCAATCGCGCATTAGCCGCAATGCACCGCGAGAACGTTGGGCTCTGCGAAAAGGGTAGCCGGTTGAGTGAGTTGTCGTGCGTGTTGTGCAAATGCACAAAAGGTACGCCCAATGTTACACAACACAACAGCAAAGGATTCAGAGCTCAAGCAGTCTTGCATGTCGAGGGTGTCGGAGGTCTCAACCCTTCGCCAGTTGGCTGCCATGTTGAGCATGAAGAAGAGCTGTGCAGCTGCAGATTGGAGGGACAAGGACGCTACTTTGCGACGCTTACCACCCGTGGCGGCCGAGAGATTACGCGATGCATAAAGCCAGGGTCGGGAGTCGAAGCTTACCTTGGTCCATTGCCATCACTGCAGCCATATGTCTTCGCTTGTTGTCGTCGTCGTTTGAAAAGTCGTAAACGATTCCGTTTTCGGTGAACTCTTGCAGCTCTCGGATAGTGTTCGCACTCGAGTATGGAACCCAGTATGCCAGCATCAACACTCCCACACCCGATCTTGCAGTGCTTCACTTCTTGATGGCTTGGCGTACAACTTCCAAGGCCCAAGCTTCAGCAATCGCGCAAACGCCGTTTCGGGCCGGGCGCTATTCGTCAGGTTAAAGGCGGCAACAGCTCGCTAACGCACAAAAAGTGCGGGCAGACTTCAGCCGCGTGAATTCAAACGGCTAGTCCGTGGGCGGGTGATCGCGAGAGGCCAGGATTCTGACTCTTTCACCTTTGACGACAGCACTCAATCTGGGATTGAGTTTGATGCGTCGCGGCTCTGGTAGCGTCTGTTTCGACGTCCAAGATGCTGTACAAGGTCAGTGTTGTTGCCAGAACAGTAATCTAGAAGGCCAAAGAGCGCTATGGATGATAGCAAAGATGGTGTGCTGTATCATGGCCACCTCTGATATGCGACAGGTCGCAGAAAGCTGCACCGTCGCCTCCCTGACGAACCAAGGTTGACTCTGTGGCGCCGCAACGGTCCAAAGGATTATCAGAACTAAGAGGAATTTGTGATGGTGCTGAAGCGAGAAGCACGGGACAATGAAGGCTTGACTGACCGCAGATCAAGGATTTCCGTACTTGGCCACCACCCAAGATGTCAGTTGATAAGCAAGAAATGTCGCCTTTATGCTAACGACCAGTTCAAGCGAATTGCGACGGCGGCTTCAAGGGATGTTTGGCGTGTCTCGACGGTTGCAAAGAGTCCTAGAGACCGTATCGAGGTCGACTCGGTATTGCGAAACGTGAGAGTGTCTCCTGGATGACGCTGGCCTGCAAAGCTCCGTGTGGCAATGGTGCCCGCACCCGCACTGTACCAAGCTGCACAAAGGCGGACGGCGGCTGAGCAGTGCTGTGAATCGGATGAGAAGGATGAAGAACCGCGTATGTTGCTGTGAGTCTATAGTAAACAAGGGGTTGTTTCTCAGAAGAGGCCGACGCTGCATATGTGGTAGGAGTCGCCGACACTGAACACTCTCCAACAGTTCTTTGCCAAATCAGCCTGAAAAGAGTCAAGACCCTCTCAGTCCTTTCTTTCGTTACCAGTTCACTGGGTCAGGTTAGCCTAGCCTCGAAAACAGATCGTATTTGAGCGAGCTTAGGCCACCGTCGTCCTTAGCACTAGGACGCAATGGAAAGCTGCATGCTAGTCCCTTCGCTCAAAGTAGACTACCTATAACCTCTGATGCAAGGGATCAGGCTGGAGTTGCCGCCTCGCTATCGCAGCCATTCATCGGCGCGTTCTGTGCGGCGAAGCCAGTCCACTTTTTGATCTCGTCAATTACCTCAACTGCTGGTGGAAGAGGATCAGAGCAAAAACACCTTTAGTCGCTTACGACCGTTATTGCACGCCGCTGGACATTTCCAAATATCTGCCGATTGCGTGCAGCGGATGGCCGCGCGCGATTGATCGAATGGAGGCGGTCCACTGTGGGTCAGGTTGTATGACCGTCATCATGGGTTGATTGGAGATGCTTCCTCGACACTGTACGCAACCAACCTACCAAATGAGTGCCCTGGTGCCTCGTCTGGTCGGCCCGGCTCCGCGATGCACCCACAGCGCATCTCTCCGCTGCTAGCATGGAGGTCCCACGTAATGTGCCCAAGGAATCGATATGTCACAGACGCTTGCAGGGCACGGCCGTCTCCGCTGCGATGATGGCAGCTCAAGGCAGGCAGGATCGAACGCTGACAGAAGGATGGGCGCCTGGGCTTGTCGCCGGGCCCAAGCATCCGCCACATTGCGCAATAGATGTAACAGCTTCTGCACTTTATGCCTGGCATTTGCATGCCTTCTGGCAGTGCATGAAGCGCAGCGATGGTTGACTCGAGATCACTGCCATAATCCCCACCATCCATATCACCATATGTGGGAGTATCCCTGCCACCAGCGGCGATATACGCCAGCCAGCAGCGCCAGTCAGGACTCCCTTTGGCGGTTAATGACCCTTGATCCTTGAAGTGCGGAGAGCAGATGAAAGGAAGAGATCAAACTTTAGCGTGCCAAAACTGACGCTCGGACCACAGGTGTCGATAGCACACACACCACTTCCCGCACACACGCCTCTTGCTGCGGCTTCAGCAGTACTCATTTCACCACTAATGACAGAGCCTGGCGTCGAATATGATGAGTTGAAGCCGATAGAGACGGTGTCGATGCCGAGGTAATCTGCTTGGGGTTGAACTCGCTAAAAACACCCACAGTCTGATTGGCTACCAGCATACTAGATCATTTGACGTGTAACGCCCCTTCGCGTAGAGAGTGTTCACGCTCTATCGCGACAAAGCGACGGCCTTGCTAGGTTTCTACCAAATCGTACCATGGTCAATCGGCAAGTGGAGACGCCGCATTCTGCGCCATGCATCCGTATTGCTCGACTGAGCATCGATATGTCTCATTTGTTGTCTTCTAGAGAGCCTATGGACTCCGGCGGCTGGCTGCAGGGCTGTGTTGTCTCGTCCGGTACCACTTCACCGCCACTCCGGCCCCATACACTGGCTGACTTTCAATGCACGTGACGAAAGGTCAGCGTACCGTTTGAGTGAATCTGCTCAGCGTGACTTGGAAGACCGGTTGTGATGTCCGTTTCTGCTCCCCATTAAGCAACAGCCATGTAGCTCTTCGAGCCGTCCGAGATGTCAAAGCAGGTTCAACACAAGGGTCCAATATCGGCAGAGGCAGATATCCGGAGCTCAACAAGCTTGAGACGGGCGACGGTCCGTCTCTGACGGATACCTGCAGTCTAGGAATCCCGAAATACGTCCAAGTTCGAGTATACTGCGAAGTGCAAACGGGGAAATAGCTCGCAGGCGAGGATGCTGTCCTCATGACGTCGCTACCTTGCTCTCTCACTCCGGAATTCCACGCCCGTTTCAGGGCTGTGTTTGCAGTGAGGTAGCAGGAGGCACAACGCAAAGAATAAGATCCTTTAACAACCCGAATACCGTCTGCACTCGTCCTACATTATTACTAAACTACGACCATAGCCGCACCTACGCCTTGGCTGGCTGGTTATATACCGCGGCTTGCTAACTATCCTTCAAGAAGGCGCCAGTGCGTGACGGTCCCTTAAAAACTCGACATGCTAGACCTAATGGTCCAAAACTCGTGGCAACAGCCGTCGTCTCCGCCCACCTGAGGGCTGACGCTTGCGAACTAACCATAACTGAGGAAAGTCCTGCAAACATTGTACGCGAACAAGCAGACCGTCTGGCGACAATTGCGGAGTTATGGTGGAGAAGCAGGATGAGTCTACCGGAAGGATTGGCGACAAACGCACAGCATGCGCACGTCACACCTTCCGAGAATCGACAGTATCGGTACTGCTTCCCCTCTCCAGACAACGAACAGCTGCGCCGGAGATCGCAACTCGTCTTTAAGCCACGCAAGTAGTAATGACAGATTCTGGTGCAACTGGAAGCCCATGAACCTGTGTCCACCGAGGCCACCGCAGCTGTGCTCGAGCGCCGATCTGGAACGACGCTATGGATGATACAACGCACAAAGAAATTGGGCGTACAAGATTTGCACCGCTGAGGGCTACACAAAGAATTGTCAACATGCCTGCAGCGTACGCAACAGACGAATGCTTATTGAACCGAGGTCTAGCACGAGGTTGCTCTCTCGTTGACAACAAGCAACAGCAGATGGAGTTAGGCCACGCGCGCTGCAGCCTACCAATACCGACTGCATAGCTGTTGTGCCAGCGCAGTCTGCGACCATCAAGCCCCGGCAGCAACACCTCAACCTCGGCACCATCATCATCCTTCAACCTATGTGGCTGGCAAGCTGGTTGATCTTCACCCATCCTCATCCTCCTTGGCAAGCATGCCGAGCTGGGAAGCAAACAATCCAAATCTGGAGGCTTACGCGGCTCTGCAGCTATTCGTGTGGTACGAATTGCCTTTCAGTGATTCATTATGACCGAGGCTCAATGCTCATCATTCTCGCACCCTCGAGAAACGGTGCAAGCAGAACTCACATTCGCGAAGCAACGACCTTACCTTTCTCGTGCAGCCAAGGCACCCGGGCGGGTTGAAGCCGCCTGATCGTCTGATGCCTGCGCCGCTGGGTCGGTGAGGTTGGCGATGGCTGTACATCGCGAAGATGGGGCGTAGCCCTCGATGCAGCTTCCGGGCTAGGACCAGGGTAGTGAGGAAGAGATGAGCTTGGAGCTGCTATCAGTTTTGTCGCAAGATACAGTCAGGAGGCCTACATTTCTCGGTCTCACAGTCCATTACGGGCCACAGGTGATGTTTCCAAGCCCAGCATTCCGAACGGCAGACCTCAAGAAAGACGGACGTCATAAGCGGACACCTCGCGCGTCGGCTTCGGTACCTTGACGGCTGCGTTTTCGATGTCAGGTGAGTGTCCATAAGGATTGATTCTTGACGTGCCGTGAACGGTCTTTTCGGCCTTCCGTTGCATGTTGCTCCCGCGCGTGGTCGATACGAGCTTAGTGTTGGGAAGGCCTTGCCATCTGCTTCCATCTGCTCTAGCGCGCCCGGAGTGTGAATAGTGCTCTAACCAGATACAAGGCCCGACCCGAGACGGAAGCTCATGAGCGAGGAATGAGGGCTCCAAAATGGGCTGTGTGTTCGCAAGGGTGACCATGCCGCTTCATGTGAGGTATGCTACGGTTCTCCAACCCTACTGCGTGCACAATGATGCAACGCAAGTTACCGTCCATTACGGCACTATATCCACAAGTCGTGCTCATTGACTTACGCTAGACAGCAGCCACGATAGCGTGCTTACTACCCCTTAGTTCTCCCACCCAACCCAATCTCTCCCCACAACCCTCCACACCCTAACCTCTCCACTCCTCAAATCGCCCAACCGGAACTTCTCACTCCTCACCCCACCCTTTTTCCCCTGCTCCCGGCCCTGCTCCCAAGCCCTCACAGACCTCCTCGTTCCATCCCACTCCTCCACCACAGCGACATGAAAGACACCGTATTCGACCTTGTACTTCTGCCTCATCGCGCCATGATGGCCTTCAAACTTGCCATTGCGCAGCGTGATGATGTCGCCGGGTCGTATTTCGTCGAACTGCTGCGTGCTGGCGTTGGCAAGGTTGGCGTAGACGAGGGCGCCGTAGGCGCGAGTGCCAACTGGCAAAAGGGCGTCAGGGAGTGAGCGGATGAGGTCGTACGGTAGGGCTGCTGGTGAGCCGTCACCGAACACATGCGTGTCTTTGTCCTTCTTGCTGTTGCCGGCAGCGTTTGCGGCATGGGCGATCTTGCTGCCGAAGCGCTGCCAGTATGCCTCCAGTTGGTCCTGACGAAGCTTAGAAGGCGGCGGTTCGTGTCGTTGCTCTAGGATAACGTCTGCTGGGTCTTTTGAATCGTACTGGGCGGTGATGACGGTTTGGCTGTAGTCCATGTATAAGATGTAGACATCTTTGCTGATCGTCGTGCGTCCGCCACGCTTTGACTTCTGGCTTTCTTCGCTTTCTGACAGAATCTCAATGCCGTTGCGGCTTTGCAATTGAGGCGGTAGAGGCTGTGACGCGGTCCACCAATGAGTGTGATGCGCCAAGTCAATGTCATGCGCGATCCGACCCATCTCGCCAGCCGACCGTCCCTGTTCGAGTGACCGCCTTGCTACGCTGCCTGTGCGTTGCACGTCCATCGACTGCCGCGGCTGAGTTGGTGCTCGTGCTGGTGGCGGTGGAGCCGGTTGAGCTATAGGCGGCATAGGCGGAGGTCGCTCAATCTCAGCAGGTGGCGGTGGCGGTGGCCGATCCATCGACTTGCGGGTAGGCGGTGGTGCCGCAGGAGGAGGTACGTCGTCAGCTGAACTCTCTTCCTGTATGTCGACATTGTCGGGTGGGACCGGTGGTGCCGCGACTGGAACAGCACTGGGCACAGGCGGTGGCGCTCTGCTCTCATAAGTGTACGGGTCGTAGTCATCATTGGTAGAGTCTCGTGTGGGTGGCGGTACCGGCGGAGGTGCTCTAGGCGTGTCCATTGAAGGTCGAGTCCTAGGTGCAGATACTGGAGGGAGCGGTGGCACTGCTCTTGTCGCGGGCGGCTGAGGGGCGGCGGCGTGTGGTAGAGACGGTGGCATTTCGTCCGCTGTGGTGCTGTCGTCTAAGCTGGGTTCCCGCACGTGTGATTTGAGTGCATCTTTGTGCTTCACACTCGACGCAATGTCGGTGTCGTAATCGCCTTCGTAATCGCTCTCACCACGTTCTGTCTCATCGTGGATTTGAGATTGCAGATCAGTCACTTGTCTCGAGATTGGGGCAGATGGTGGTAACGGAGGCGGCGGCCTTGAAGTTACCGGGCTATCTCCAGGTATTGGTGGAGGCAGGCGGCTCGCTCTCTTCTCCGAAGTGGCCGAGCTGGGCGACTGCCGTTGCTCAGCCATGGCATCTCTGCTAGGTAGTACTGGTGGCACTGCTGTCCGGATGGGTAAAGGCGTCTCAACCCCGGACGTCTCCGCTGACGATCGTTTAGCGTGCATTGACATCTCATCATCGGACTCCGACCCAGGACCAGGAGACACAATGCTCGCAACAGGCGGAGGTGGTGGTACAGGCCGAGCATCGATGGGTGGCGGGCGAGGTGTGGGCCGTGAGCTTTCGCTTGGTATTGCAGAAGGCGCGACTCTCTCCTCGTTCGGAGCTGGAGGGACGGAACGATCTATTAATCTCTGTCAGTATCGTCCATGTTGCGCCGTACGGTACGTTCGCTGGTGACGTCCAATAAGCTTGCTGGCTCCGACTTGCTTTGCAAGTACGCTTGCTGGTACTGCTCTCGACGTTGGGCGAGCGGTCACAATCCATGTGCCGTTAGGTTGCCAAATGATCATCCAGGACGTTTGTTCCAAAACGAGAAGCTTTCGACAACTTACCTGTGGGCATGGGAGGCGGCGCACTTCGCCCGTCGGTGCCTGCGCGCCTTGGTGGCGCTATCCGCGCCTCGTCATCATCATCTTCCGCCTGCTGCTCATCTAGGCCGAACGCTCTTTGTGTTTGATCAGACTTTGGACTCTGCATGGTTGGTGGCGGCGCGCCACCCATGCCTGGAATGGCAACCATTTGCGGTATCTGTGGTGCAGATGGTGGCGCACCTTCCTCGCTCATCGCCTTCTCCTTGGTCGATCGTTTCTTCGTGGGCGCAGCTGTGGCAGGCATACCGAAAGGGTTGAATGGGCCGCCACCTTGCTGTCCGCCTGCTAGTCTTGCCATGCGCTCGCGTAGCCGCTGCTTGCGCTGCTCTTCTTCGTCCAGCTCGTCCTCTTCATCCTCCTCGTCGGCGACACCTTCCTCATCACCCACGTCTGGCTCGTGCATTGGTGCAGCAGGTGCCCTCAGTAGCGGAGCAGGCCTGTCGTCACTATCTTCCGGCCCGGTCGTGCCAGTGTCATCCTCTGTAGTCTCGCCTGCAGCTGACTGATCAGCTTCTTCTCCACCGCTCAGAATCTCATGCGCCGGAACGGCATGTACAGGAGACATGGGCTCCACCGGCCGCCTCTGCGCAGAAGGTACTCGAGGTCTCTCTCTCGGCACTTCCATGGATTGTCGCGTGGTCGATACGCGCTCCAGCTCGTCCCCTGCATCCTCTGCCTCTTCTCCCTCCACATGCTCAGCAGGCTTCTGTGCCGGTGGCTTCCGTTCTTTCTTGTGCGAAGTCTCTGCCTGCCGTGTGCGCGCCGCCTCCTGCTCCCTCTGCAGCATTGCCATCCGCTCCTTCAAGCTCATTGGCTTTGGCGCATCCTCGTCCTCTTCTACTGGCGAAGTATGCCACTCTCCTGTCAAACCTGCTGCTTCCGCCGCTGCTCTGTCGTCCTCTTGCCGCTGCTTGATCTCAGGATCCTCCTCACGAATGTACGGCCTGTGCACAGGCTCTGCCTTCTGCGCCGGCGGCACATATGCGTTACTGCTTGGTGGTGGTGCCACAAACGGCTTCTTGATATAGTCATTGCGTGGCTGCTGCCTTCCTGGGCCGATAGGCGCTAGAGGTGCCTGTTCCGTCTTGTTGAAGGCGGCAATCCGGTCTTTGAATGCATTGGACTTGGGTGCTACAGGGGGCGGCCCAGCTTTCGATGGAGTTGAAGCTGTTTGCGCAGGCTCCACATGTGCCGGCTTTGGCGCTGGCGGGGGCTCTGCTCGCGCTGTGGGCGTCGTTCCAGCGGTAGGTTGTGGTGGTAAGGGTGCTTCTTCTTTTACGACGGTTGGTGGTTCTGCTGGAGTATCCACTAAGGGCGCCTGTGGCTTCGATGCTGCCGGAAGGGGAGGCACATCCTCTTCTGCTCCGCGCTCCACAGACTCCGGCACGGGAGGAGACTGCACGCTCTTCGGCCTCGCGGCTCTTGTAGGCCTGACAGGCACCGCTGGCTCGTATCTCTCCACAAAGTTGCTTGGGAACAGGCCTTCCTTATGTGCTCCTGCAGCATCGGTATACTCGCCCACGTACCAGTCGTCGCCTTCCAGTTCTACAACATTGATGATTTGTCCAATGGGAAACTTCAGGTCGTCGTCATGCTCGCTGGTGTACTCATACACAGCCTTGACCTTGAAGGGTGGAGCTGCCATTGCTGTCGCTCCGATAATCCTCAAGAAGTCCTACAGAAACCAATTTGTCGTTCTTACCACGAGCTGCCGTTGCTGCAAGCTGCATGCGAGGCCGGAGTCTCGATCGGCAATGACGAAACCCGTCGCCGCCGCCGCCGACACTTTGGGGTAACGCTTGGCGTCTCGCCTAAGGCAGTTACGCAAGCGGTCCGTGCGTCACGTGAACACTTCCCTTACTCTCAGTCATGTTGTACGACTATGTTGTCATTTAATGCCGACAATGTGTTAGCATGGCAACCCGGGTGCCCGTCAAGTCGATCCTCAAACAACAACCTGCCCCACCAAATCCAGCCGACGAACAGAAAGCCAAAGCAGACAAGGATCGCCACAACCGTTCCATCGCGCTGCACCACGCCAACCTAATCCAGCATCGTAAAGACGTTGAGCTCAAGATCGTGAAAGCCATCGAGCTGCTCCTGGACTATCCCACTTCGTCAACCTTCACCGTGGACGAAGGCTCCCGCTTCGTAGCACTCGTCCAGTTCTTCCAACCCTCCGATTACGACAGCCTTGTCGAAGAACGCAGGATCGACAACCATTGCGGCTACGCTCTCTGTGCAAAGCTACCACGTACGAGTACGCTAGGTGCAGCATCCGACTGGAAAGTGGGCAAAGGCGCCGCGGACTTTTGCAGCACCATTTGTGCCAGGAAGTCTAACTATGTGAAAGCGCAGCTCAGCTCTGTTCCCGCCTGGGAGCGTGGCGATGACTTTAGGATGCGGGTAGAGCTGCATCCTGATGATCATATCGGAGGGGCGCCTGCCTTGGGCATGTCAAGCTCGACGAATATGCAAAAGTTAGCGCAGGTGGCGAACGACGAGGAGCTTGCGCTTGAGCGAGGCGAGAGGGCCTCTTCGTTCAAGCCGAAGCAGGTGATGAAGGATGTCGTTGTTGAGAGGGCACCGAGGAAGCATCCTTCAAAGCTTTCAGCGAACGGAGACAGGGCCGCGCACGCGGCGATCGAGGGCTATATCCCGAGAGGGAAGCCTACCAAACGAAGTCAAGGAGTGGATGGCGCCGATACTGATGACAGCGACGAAGTGGACGTCAAAAACGCCAAAACGGACCATGGAGATGGGTACGACCATGACGACGAGAAAGACTGAAGCTTACTCAGTGCTTCTCTTCTCATCAATCTATGTCTATACAGCCGAAAATGGCTGCCAGGCAACCGTCGCTATGCATCCAACACCGGTCCGCCGCGTATGCTAGAGATGTGTCGACTCTCTCCTGGCCACCAATGTTACAGTAACACACGATCTCAGCACATTCGCATCCGCGTGTGCGCGGTTGCAAAACACCTGCGCTATGAATGTTCCTAGTCACGCCGCCCATCGAAGACGCCACCATATCGCCTTCAACTATTGCCGCCTATACATCGCATCCGCCATTTTGGCCACCTGCGCCATCTCCTTCACGTCATGCACCCTTACAACGTCCGCTCCACCTTGTACAGCAGCCGCCACTGTAGCCGCGGTGCCCCAGGTCCGCTCCCTAGCGGTCTCAACACCGGTGATCTTACCAATGAAGCCCTTCCTTGAGCTGCCAACCAGCCAAGGCATATTCTGCAGATCAGGCGCATTGATGAGCTCCGGTAGTCGGCGCAAGATCTCGAGATTATGCTCTTGCGTCTTTGAGAAACCAATACCGGGGTCGAGAATGATCCGCCAGCGACGGATGCCAGCGGCTTGCGCCGCATTAAGACGGGCGCTGAGCTCCCCGATCATGGTTCTAACAAGTCCGTCCGGGTAGGAGGTGTTCTCATCGCTTTGCATCGTGGCGGGTGTGCCACGCATATGCATCATCACGTACGTGCAACCCAGTCTTGCCACTGTCGGTAGCATCTCCGGGTCGAGAAGTCCGGCGGAGATGTCATTTACGATATGTGCGCCTGCTTTGATCGCTGCCTCGGCGACCGTCGCACGGTAGGTGTCGATTGAGATGGCAACATCCTTCGCCTCCGGAAGAGACTTGATCGCTTCGATCGCTTTAAGTACTCGCAGACACTCATCTTCAGCCGTGACGTCCGGTGCGTTTGGTCGCGATGATTGTCCGCCGACATCGATGATAGTGGCGCCTCCGGCGATATGCCGCGCTATCGTGAGCTTGAGGGCTTCGGAGTCGGTGGTCAAGTGAGTGCCACCGTCGGAGAACGAGTCTGGTGTCATGTTCAGGATGGACATAATGCGGGTTGGACGCTGGGGGTCGATAGCCCTGATTGCAGCGTTCTCCGGGCCCAGTGGTGTGTAAGGGAACATGTTTCGTGGTTTGCTCTCCACTGTTCGTAACAAATTGACGGCGGATCCGTTGAGTGGATCAACCACGTCTTGGGTGATGCTGCGGAAGGTATCAGTTTCATCCACGCAAAGGGAAAGGGGCTTGGCGGCGGTACTGACTCCGCTAACGGTCGCAGAACAAATTCGCGCTCATGCATCAGAGCGTGTGGTATTGTGAGCCGCTCAGTTGCCAATCGCTTTCCCTTGTAGAGCAGTATATCTAGGTCAATACTACGCGGGCCCTTCTCAACCGTCTTCACCCGGCCAAGCTGCTGTTCGATCGCCTGTAGCTTGTCGAGAAGCTCGGTCGGTCCCAACGAAGTATCTACCTTCAGGCGGTATTAGTGGTGTATGAGCTGTGGTTTGGATGTTTCAACCTACCTGGCAAACACCATTCAGGAACAAATCCTGCTCCTCGACGTACATGGGTCTGGTTTCGTACAGCGGGCTGGTTCCAGTGATACGTATCTCGCCAGACTTATCTATTAGACGGCATGCCTCCTCGATGGTTTGCAGTCGCTCGCCGATGTTACTGCCGAGTGCGAGAAACGTGGTATCACGATATGCGTTTCCGCTGCAGTCCGACTTCCCAACGCCCAACAGTTTGAGACCGGCGCGGCGCTCAGCTAGGCGCTTTTGACGAAGCTCAACGACAAACATTCTTGGACGCAGAGCTTCTGGAAAGATCTTGCGGGCTCCCTTCAGTGCATTGGCCACGTGACATGCCAACTCATCACAATTTCTGCTGGTGGCATCGTCTGCAAGAATCGGAAAAATGATTGTCTTCAGGCGGTCGGTGAGCGCTAGCAGAATGCTCGCAAGATTTTGCCCTCCGTCGTCGTCCTTTTTGCTATCGAGTAAATGCCCAGTGCTCTTTATTATGACGTCGCATGCCCCGTAACGGGCGCAAGCCAGCCCCTTCAAGGTGGGAAAGCGTAGGGTAGCCGAGAGTGGCGGAGAAACTCGAACGCCATTCGACTTCGTAAAGCGTCTTGAGCGCAGAATCAGTTTTAGAGTGTCCGAGCCAGTCAGAAGGCTCTCGGTTGCTGGCGGGCCTGTAGCGAAAGCAACTGCTACGGATGGCTGGTCAGGCACCGCGGCCATGATGCTGTAGGAAAAGCTTCGAATGTATCGAATGCCGCACTCTGTGTTGCCCCTCATAGTCTGCGGAACGAATGAGTCCATGCCCGGATGTGTGGGTGGTGGCTTGTCCCAGTTTGTCCTCAAACCGTATCTCTGAAACCCGGTATGCTCTTCGAGTACGCGGAATCTATCCCTATCAGCCAGTAGATCTCTGATAACGTGACTGCACGCTCACCCTTCATTCGTAGGTCCACTCGCCGATGTCTCGCCGCTGTCTGCAAGCGGCACACCTGGGTTATCCTCCTTTCTCACGGCGGCTAGTTCCTTTCCGGTTCTGTCGTTGGTACTGCGCTCAGATGCCACATGGTCATTTGTGGCACATGTATCTTCCTCGGAGTCTCGCGGCTCCTCTAGCCAGGGCTCAGACTCTTCCTGTTGATAGTCCAGGTCTCGTACAACGGCTGTGTTCTGTGCCTCCCGCGGTAGTTCGGGCGCATCTCGACGTGTACTAAACGGTGGAGCACCTATTGGGTGCGCAGCGGCCTCTTCATGGGAAATCCGCTGCCCAGCTGCAGTCTTCATTGCAGGAATATCTCGGGGATCGTCGACTTGAGCAGTTTCTCTGTCGACCAACGCTACGTCGACATCGTCTGGCTCCCCTTGAGGGTCAAGTTGGGCAGTGGCAGCATCTGTGAACAAGCTCCGGACTGTGCCATCCGCGTTGTAGAGCTTCGTTGCGATCTGAACATGGTCCACCTCAGGAACCATATTCTGCACTTGCAATACGCGTAGAATGGCCTCCGACATGAGCCTGGGAACTGATTCAGGGCGCTCAAAGGGCATCCTTGAGGCAAGCATCTCAGCGGTATTGGATGCAAGATAGAAGATCCGCCCGATCTCGTCGGACAAGCTCTTCGGGGAGCTGATCGTCAAGCCTCTCCCAGGGTGTCTCACGGCCGTGCGGAAACCGATGGCTAGTTTTTGTCTCATCCTAACACTTTCAGGCCCAAGGCTGTTGATCCTGACCTGCCCATAGTGTAGGTCCACGTTATGGAGTCGGACGGTTGGCCTAGGGAACCTCAAGCCGCGAACGTGTAACGTCACGGTTGCGGCAAAGCTCTCGTTCAGCTCGTTATTGTACCGACTCTGTATCTGTAACGGTCTGGCTTCTAGGTTTAGGGTCAACACTTTGGGAAACGACTCTGAAAGCGCGGCAGCTGCTGACAGGCATCCGAGCAGTGCAGTGTGGTCAGTCCTCTGGCAATGCATTTCCAATTGCTCGACCGCCATATCAACGCTGCAGTATTCCTTCTCGGAAGATGAAGGATTGTCCATACTCAACGTTACCTGAGCAGAGGGGATCCCAAGTTTGCGCGTTGTTTCAGTATGGCTAAGCCAGAATTAGCCGCTCCGACTGAAAGAGGCAATGGAAGGGATTCAATACATACAGCGTCCGGAACTCCTGGGCGCGCATAATGATTGGCGTGGTTTCCGTTTGCGCCTGAGCACCCTCTAAGGTGATGTTAGAGACACAGGTATCCGCTTCTGCGTCCTGCGCCGCTGAAGGAAGGGCATTGCGAGGTGGAGTCGTGTAATGTGGTGTACCATCTGCGTACAGCAAGATAGACTGGGTGAAGCGCCGTCTCCGGTTATTCACAGCGGTAAGCTCAAGCGCAGTAAAGTCGAGGATGCCTGCAAGATCCGAGCCTTGGAGGCTAGACAGAAGTTCGTTCTCAGCCAAGCGTAGCGCATCATATGCGTTATCAAAATGTTGCCCAGACAATTTGGCGGTGGTGTCAGCGACTAGTCGATCAAAAAGATAAGGCATTGCTTCCTCAGTGCCCCGGTATTCTGCAGTGTCGCCATTTCGCTTAGATGGCGCTAGGACACCCAAGTTCAGGTGGCCGGAGATCGAGATATCAAGGCCCCAGCTTTCAAAGGCCTTGATCCTGATCACACAAACGTTGGACAACAGCACATGCCGCAAGTCAATCTGAGCAAAGGGTCGAGAGAGCGCGGCGCCGGACGGCTCACGGTATATCTGCAGCACCAACTGTGAGACTTTATCGGACCGATAACTTGGTGACATGCGAGAATCTCTGCCCCTAGACTTAGACAGTGACGCGAAGAGCATTTGTACGAAGACATTTCGCGCCGATTTGACTTCTTCGCAAGCTTGCATTGCCATTAAATACGCGTACTGCAATACTGAGTGTGCGGAGCCGCTTTCGTCTACGGTCAAGAGATGGCGTTTTTGGACGGATGTAAGGTACGTTGACACAGTCTGATGAATCCGCTCCGTGGTGTACGACTTCCAGCCAAGCGCACATAGTCGCGCTGAGCGTGGGAAGCCGGGAGATCTATGTGAGAGTCAGTTGAGGCCTTTGTGCTAGTGACCTCGACGCCTACTTTGCCATCAGCCCGGTGGTATACTTATACACGCCCAGCTCATGGCGACGTGCATGCGGGTGTGGAGCACCACTTCCATCGGGAGGTCGTATGGTCCTGGACGAGCCTGCCGTAGCTGCACTGCTTGCATTTGATGTGGCGGATGGACGCCAATCGCGGATTGTAACCACTTGCTTCCTAGTCGGAAGACATAATTCCTGGTACCTCCTGATCCTCATCCTGGCCAAGTTGCATGCGTGTGGACGTTCGCTAATTGGCCACTGGCTGTTGGATGCCGCAACATGCTGGAAAGACTTATGCCGAATTTCTGTCGCTAACCCTTACAGCCATACTTACATATTCTAGACCGGTGTGAGGAGCACTGTAAGCCACGGTTCAGCGCACTATATACTCTAACAGAGTGGCACAGGAGTGCTTCGTCCTACCAATCAATACGCTTTAAGTCTTGGGCCAGAGAGCGCTGTCGACATGACTCGAGACACGGGGCGGAACGGCCCTGCCATGACCACGCAGATCCCTAGAGTCCGTGTGTTTGACACTGGAACTGTAACCATGTGAAACAAGTGACAGATTCGAAGGGTTTCTGTTCGTGACACCAGCCAAAATATGCCTGGACTGCGCTGCTGATAGGGGTTCTCATCAAGTGCAACGCTGTAGGGTACGTCACATGACCGACCGCCGACAACCTCCACTCGGCGCCGCGTCTATGCCTCGGCAAGCAGAGCCACCGAGGCCCAGCTTCCTACTGTACCCCAAGCCCCAGACACTCTCCGCTCCCTTCGATAGTCTAATACGGCGATCGTTGCGATCTGTGAACGCGCTCACCTCGCAATTGACCTTCAGTAACCTCCACCTTGTTATCGTTTATCTTCCCGTACTATCCACGTAGCAACTACGACCGCAACCATGGCGTCTCCACGTAAGCCCACCAAAGCGAACACGGCGTTCATATAGACTGACAATCAGCGCAGAGCAGATCCGCACGACTACTACCGATCTTCTCAAGATCAACCATCCTATCATGCTTGCTGGCATGAACGTTGCCGCCGGCCCTAAGCTCGCAGCTGCCGTCTCCAACGCTGGCGGTATTGGTGTCATTGGCGGTGTTGGCTACACCCCAGATATGCTTCGCGAGCAGATTGCCGAGCTCAAGGGCTACTTGAAGGACAAGAGCGCACCGTTTGGTGTTGATCTTCTGTTGCCTCAAGTCGGCGGCAGTGCACGCAAGACCAAGTACGTTCACCACTGACATGTGAAAGCTCACGTATTATGTCAGACGGCTGACATGTGATCCACGCAGTTACGACTATACCAAGGGCAAGCTTGACGATCTCGTTGGTATTATCATCGACTCCGGCGCCAAGCTCTTCGTCTCCGCTGTTGGCGTGCCGCCCAAGCACGTTGTTCAGCGCCTCCACGGCGCCGGCGTGCTGTATATGAACATGATCGGCCACCCCAAGCACGTCCAGAAGTGTCTCGATCTCGGCGTAGATATGATCTGCGCTCAGGGTGGCGAAGGTGGTGGCCACACTGGTGATGTCCCGACTACCATCCTCATCCCCACCGTCGCCGCCATGTGCCGGGGCAAGACTAGCCCAATGACTGGCAGGCCCGTACAAGTCATTGCAGCTGGTGGTCTCTTCAACGGCCAATCTCTGGCTGCAGCGATGGCGCTTGGTGCCTCTGGCGTGTGGATCGGCACCCGCTTCGTGCTCTCGGAAGAAGCCGGTGCGCCAAAGGCGCATCAAGAGGCTGTCCGCACTTCTGGCTTCGATGACAACGTTCGCACCATCATATTCACCGGCCGCCCACTCCGTGTACGACGGAATCCGTACATTGACAATTGGGAAGAGAACCGGCAAAACGACATTAAGGAGCTGACCGGTAAGGGTCACATTCCGGTTGAGCATGATCTCGAGCGGATGGGTGATGATATTGATGACGAGACGATGGACAATGCGCGACCGTTCCTGATGGGCAAGGCGGCTGCGGTTGTGAACGAGAAGAAGAGCGCCAAGGTGATTATTGATGAGATGGTGGCGGAGGCGGTTGAGCAGATTGGCAAGATGCAATCTGCCGTCATTGGCAGGAGCAAGCTGTGAGTGCAATAATGAAGACTGAGATCATCTGTGTTTCAACACTCGTCATCTAGTTTAGCCTTCACCTCGTGTTCAGTCGAATCGGCTCGTGATGCTTCTGGAGTAGTTGACAGAAAGCGGCCAGTTGAGATCCTGTTGCCGTCGACTGAGACAAGGAAGTATGCGTCATCACTCTGTTGTTCAGAGTCGATACCGTCTGGCAGCAGCGATATGTCACTCCCAACCTGTGTCAATTGTGTGTTGCTGGAGTTTGGTCGAGTGTTGACGTGAGAGTACCTCGGCACGAGGCATAAAGCTCGCGTCGGGCTGCCCTTAAGCAACACCACCTATGGTACATTAATTGCATGCTTGAATCACATCGAGCGCCAAGCTTAGCAGACGGAGTCAAGGTCAGGATGACAGACATAACACCGGACTTCAACATCTGCCTGAAGGGAAAGGGAGCATCGCTGGTACTACAGCATCAGTATGACTTTACCAAGATCAACAGCTTCCTACAAGAAGCGTACAGCATCGTACGAAAGACTCCCAACAGCACTCCAGAACCACTGCTAATCGGATATAGAACGCCCGCATTCGCGACCTAACCCGCGAACTCCGCTCCATCCGGCCCGCCTACCTCTCCACCGCCCCTCCATCCCGGCGCAAACACCTATCCAGTAACCCTTCCAACCACGACCGCAGCCGCCCCCTCACTGACAGCGAGCGCGACGAGATCGACGCGCAATCCAAGCAACTGCTCCGCCAACTCAACGGTGCAATTGAAAGTCTCAAGCAAGCGGAAGAAGTCCGAAGACAGACGCAAGACTCCGTCGCTCTCTCCAAACGCGCACGCGGCGGCCTCGGAGCACTAGGTCGATGGGCCGCGGGCGGGGCAGTGACCGCGAAGAGTCCCGACGAGGAACGGCAGGATGCCGAGGGGAAGGTGCTCGCGGCGCATAGGGAGAGTGTAATCATGTATTTGCAAGCGAAGCTGGGGGAGGCGGGGAGTGTGCAGGGAGAGATGATGGAGGTGAGGTTGGGAAGGGAGGTGGAGAAGAGTAAGAGTGTGCTTTACAAGTCGAGGTTGGCAGCCGGTGGGATACCGTATGCGCAGGATGATGAGGAGATGATGCAGCACGGTAGTCCGCCGACGCGGAAACGACAATCCATGCCGAATGGTTACGACACCACTTCATCCGGCGGTGAAGCTGACGGTCATCCACCCGAGCTCACGCAGGAGCAGCAACAAGTCTTCGCTGAGGAGAATAGCGAGCTAATCAAACACTACAACTCCCAACTCGACCAGATTGCCGCCGCCGAACGCAGCATCCTGGAGATCAGCGAGTTGCAGGGTAGCCTGGTGCAGAACCTGCAGGCGCAGGCAGAGAGTATCGATCAGCTGGTACAGGACTCGTACTTGACCACGGAGAATGTGGGTAAAGGTAACAAGGAGCTGAAGAGGGCGAGCGAGAGGAGGAGCACGGCCCAGGCGATCTTTTATGCGACGTGCGCTTTTTGTTCGTTTTTGGTTGTGTGGGATTTGGTTTTCTGAGCCTAGTCTGAACTCTTCGAAGTGAAGCACCATCGAGCATTTCGCGCATAATGTCAGTCTGGACGTCTCGGCGTCTGCAGCACGTCAAGCACAGCAATCTCATCAGTCATGGTTCTGCGGAGAACCTGCTACTGTTTATAGCTGTAGATCACCAATGGTGACGAGGCTTCGGTTTACTCCGGTATACACCAAGGTTCCCGAACAATTGAGACCACGCAATGCTTTTCCACACGCCACATGCAAGCCTTGCGTCAAGCCTTCCCTTGAGGTCTTGGCATAGATATGGTACAGCCACAGCCCGGAAAAGCACACCGGTCCTGCCAACTCCGACCAGATGCACCCCACTGCAAGACTCCATCACACTTACACCAGTCACTGCGTTACGGATTTTGTGACTACTTCTCCGTCTCCCTCACCACACTGTCGACAGCCTTGGCGAAGTACTCCACATTCTTCGTATTAAGCCCAGCCATGCTTATACGGCCGTTCTTCGTCATATAAATATGGAACTTCTCCCGCAGCTTCTGCACTTGCTGCTCATTCAACCCGGTAAAACTGAACATGCCGATCTGATCCGTGATATGGTTCCAAGTGCCAGGAGTCTCCATCTCATCGAGCTTTGACTTCAGCGCTTTCCGCATCTCGATGATGCGGCCGGACATGGTTCGTAGATCTTCCTCCCACTGTGCGAACAGCGCGTCGTCATTCAGCACGAGCGAAGCGATGCGCGCGCCGTAGGCTGGTGGGTTGGAGATCTCACTTCGTTGCAGGATGGCGAGTTGACTGCCGACTCTGCTGATCTCGTCTTGAGCGTTTGGGGAAGGTGCGGCAACGAAGTGGAAGCAGCCTGCCCGCTCACCGTAAAGGCCGAAGTTCTTGGCGTAGGATTGCGCGATCATGAGCTCGAAACCTTGCTCGATGAAGTGGTTGATCGCCCAGGCGTCCGTTTCTAGAGATCCGGATGCGAAGCCTTGGTACGCACAGTCGAAGAAGGGGAACTGGTTTTTGCGCCTCATTATTTGTGCGATCTGCTTCCATTGGTCCTGCGTGGGATCGACGCCGGTGGGGTTGTGCGCGCAAGCGTGGAGGAGTATGACGCTGCCGTCGGGTGCGGATGATAGAGCCTCCATCATGCCGTCGAAAGCGAGACCTTTGGTTTCCTTGGAGAAGTAAGGGTAGTTCTTCATTGGAAGGTGGACGTTTGTGATGATTTGGTTGTGGTTGGCCCATGTCGGTGTGCTGGCGTAGATCGCTTTCGCTTCTGGGTTGGACGGGTTGTAGAACTTTGATAGGAAGAGGGCGCCGAGGTGGACAGCACCGGTGCCGGAGATGGTTTGTAATGAGACGACGCGCTTATCTGCAATGGCCGGCGATGACTTGCCAAGGATAAGTTTCTGCGAGGCGGAGGTGAAGTCTGCCAGTCCAGCAATCGGCAGATATTCGTGGTTCAGGTCGGGATCCTTCCTTAGCAGCTCGTCGGCCTGCGCATGGAGTGAGCACGCGACATACATAACATCACGGGAGATATGCGATGGTGCTCACCTGCTTCACTACAGGTAGAACCCACGGCTTGGCATTGTTGTCTCTGTATGCGCCGATACCCAAATCCACCTTGTCGGGCGAAGTGTCCTTTCTGTACGCTGCCATCAACCCGAACAACGGGTCCTCCGGCGCCTGAGGTACGACGTCTGCACTAAAGGCAGACGCTGCCTCGCCATTGCTTGTTGAACCCATGTGCCCTTGTATTTGTCCTAACCGGTTGTTTGCTTGTTTCTTGGATACGGCGGTTCGCGTGATGTTGGAGGCCATCGTCGCGAACGGTTGTGGAGAGATCTCAGTAGTGCCCTCGGTGGGGTCTCGCCGTCGCACAAAAGGCGTTGGCGGGGCGGACGGAGGGACTTGGATAAACCTTAAATCAATGTTGCACGGATCTACATGGAAGGCGTATTGTCAGTTGAGCGAGATGTTCTAAAAGAAGAGGAAGAGGAGGCCATATGGATGGTGTCGGTGTACGGCATGCAGCTCCGCAGGATGTCTGGCTACCCCATGGGATGAGCATACTGGTGGCGTCAACACCCTGTCCCGTGCGTGGACCGAGCAGAGCAGCAAGCCGAGGCCAATATGCATCGAGTCACCCGAGGCAGTCTGCATATGTTCCGGTGTAAGCCGAGTTGCTACCTACATATCAGAGCACGGCAGACTTGAGGATCACGTGAGCAAGCAAACCCTCGGCGCTCAACAAGATATATCGGTTCCCACTTGGCAGTCAGCATTGTAGCCAGCACGTCTACATATCCTGCCGTCAGGAGCGCGAAGGGAACAGTCCATGACTGTATAGCTTGCGGAGGCCCTTTTCCAGTACTCCGCGCTATATACCGGACTGAAGATTACACTATAACTTCATCTTCGAAGCAAAGCCATAAAGTTCGTCAGCCGTTATATCGGGCAAAGCTTTTGAGATGTACCCCCGTGCTTGACAGCACAGCTTGCCGCTCACTCTGAATGGGAGCCTCCCGGCGCCTGCCAAGCACCAAGCCTCGAATGTGCTCACCTTACCGCACATCCTCCATCCAACTCACCTTCCGCCCATGCCCGTCCTCACTCTTTGCCGGCGCACTTCGCACCTTCCTAGGCGTGCAAACAATGCCGACCTTCGCCTCCGTAACTACAACCGTAGTCCCCCCGCTCACGCTGCGGCCACCGCTCACCTTCCTACCATCCTACTGGTAGTCCGGCGCGGCGCCACCAGCAGTCGCCTGCTCGCTCTGCTGCGCACCAGAATGCACTCCATGACTTCCATGCCCGCCGTGGCCGCTGCTGCCGATGCCATCCCGCATCACCTCCAGCGTATGCGGGAAGTACGGCTCAACGCCCCAGTTTCGTAGATAAGCACCCGTCTTCTCAATTCGCTTGATCTCCCGTTGCACGCCCCAACTCTCGCCTTCTTCGCTGAAGCGTCCGCGCACGACGGCCACCATGGCGCCGTCGAGTTTGGAGTAGAAGGCGCGGCGTTCGGCGAGGTCATCTTCGTCGCCGTTTTCGAGCCCGCCGTGGCTGTTGAGGTTGCCGCCGAGCTTCAGTAGTAAGTCGAAGGCGTAGCGTGGCCCGCTTGGCAGAGAGCTTAGGCGGGAGATGTCAGGTAGGAATTTGAGCATGCAGGCGGAGAAGGATGGGGTGGGGAGTGAGTCATTGAGGTCGTCTTGTAGACGGTGTAGGTCGAAGTTGACGATCGTGATTTTGCGGTCGAGCTGCGCGTTTAATGTCGCGGCTGCGTGGGTGGTGGATGATGCGTGCGAGGCGTTGTCCATCTGTTGCGCGATCGATGGTGGGACGTCTACGCAACGTTAGTAAATGTATCCTCTGCGCGAAAGTATGCTTTAGCTCACCCGGTCGCAATCCTCGCTTGTCAATCCAGGCGAAGACATCATTTCGCTGGTTCTCGAGCTGGTCAATGTACGCCCGCAAATCCGCAATCTCATTCTCCAGCGTCTCCACCTTGTCAGTGTACGGTCGCAGCGCTTGGTTGAACGCCTGCAGCAACAGATCTGGAGTCGGCTCGTGCTTGTTCGAAACGTGAGCACCACCACTCCCATATCCACTATCGTACCCATTCGTCATACCGCCGCCGCCGCCGCCACCACTTCTCGGCCCACCCGCACTGGTCGGCGGACTCGCATACTGCTGACCGCCCATCACTTCCGTCGGCTGGTTCTGGCGCGCATACATGCTGGCTTCTTTACTCAGCGCCGGATCGTTCAGCTGCGACGGACGATTGTCTCCACGTGATGAGGGCGGCAGATGTCCGTCCGACTCGCCGGCAATGGCGTACTTGTCGCTGGCAAACTTGCCGTCGTCGTAGCTGGCGGAGTTGGTCTTGCTGTCGTGCGGGGAGTGGTAGCTGCTGTCGACGTATGATTGACTGTTCGATCGCGAGCGGCTGAGGCGCTTGAAGAACATGGTGAGGGAGGAAGGAAGAGGGGAGGCAGAGCACGAGGGGACGGGTGATGGTGTCAGGCTCTAGGTATGCGCGTGATGGGTAAGCGGGTGGTGTGCAGGAGGCTTCAAGTTTAGCTCGCTCCCGAATCTTGGAAGTATGTGTAGCGAATGATGTGGCGAGGCTGGGAGATGGCGATGGCCAATGCGAGGGAGGGAAATGGCAACGACTGCTGAGCGCAACGCCTCACACAACCAACTTCCAAGCTGCGCTTTGCGATCCGAAGGCTGGAGCCCTTGTTGCGGCCCGAGCTCCTCTTATGGTCCGCGCTAGCTGCCAAGCAACCGCCGATTCGAGCTGTGTCGCACGAGCAGGATCCTTTCACACGAGTCTAACACTGAACGAGGCTTATATGCATGCACGACTACTGCGGCTGTACCTCACTTCTGATTGCACGATGAGCGGAGAATTTGATTTGAGACAGAATGAACGCTGAGTGAGGCGTTGCCGTTCACTGGTAGCTCAGCCGGTACTCCCCCACTTGAAACCCGACAGCCGACACCCCAATCTGCCGACAGGCCCGTTCCGCTTGAGTGGCCGGGGAGAAATAGTGTGGCGGGGAGATCGACTGCTTGTCCCGTTTCTGGAACGTGACAACCGGTTCGGGATGTCGTCGCGCACCGCAAAAAGAGTCTTTCCACAGCAACCCTTCTATGTCCACAAAGTGCGCAGCACGGCCGCCCTACGTCTCATCCACCTGGGCTAATCCACCCAACGCCGCCACCGACCATGTAAGTTCAACGTCAGTATCATTTTGGTGAACTTTGAGTAAGTCGATCATGTCGTCCAACACGTTCGACTTCACCAGTATTAACGGCGTGGTTACGTTTCGCGGCTCTGGCCGTTCCACCGTTGTTCATAGCGACGTTGTGGGTAACGGCAGCGATGCTTATACCAGGAAACGTTCTCGTGGTGACGGTAAGCTGTGTGCTGGACTGTGGTCGCAATAGTATGTTTGGCCGGGAGTCTTGGAACACCGAATGCCGCTCGGTTGCCTACACCGACGCCATGTTCAGGAGTCGGAGGATAAAGCGTGCCGCGTCATCCTCCATCGGTTGCTAAGCCCGATGCGCAGAAATGGAAGTTGCAGTCCGTTACCGTCACGTGGCCCCAGCAAAAGGTATGCAGGTTGATGTTTCAGGTCTCTAGCGAGCACAGTAACTGCACTTCACTACGCATGGTCTAGCGGACGGTCGTGTCTTCAAGGCTCGCTCATCTCTTGAATCACCTTCTCCAGGTTACTGATATCATGGGCAAACCTCCCCAAGAACAACCCATCGACTCCGTCCTTCAAGTTCTGAAACGTTCCAGGTCCAGCACTCCCTCCATACAAAATCCGCGTCCTCCCTCTTCTGTCCTCCACCAGCGCTCGCAGATTCTGCGCCACAGCCACAACATGATCCGCACCAGCAGGCTCCGCCGCTCCAATAGCCCACACGGGTTCATACGCCAGAATAACTTCCGCGTCATCCGGAACAGCTGAGAGCGCAGTAGTAATCTGTGGCTTGCACTCACTTACTGCTAACCCAACAGCTTGCGAGATGCTGGAGGTGGACGGCTTAGTCTTCTCCCCAATACAGATAAGCGGCGTCATGCCATTTCGCACAACCGCTGCGGCCTTCCTCGCCACATCCTCGTCCCTCTCCCCAAACAGTCGTCTCCGCTCAGCATGGCCGATCTCGACGATCTTGACGCCTGCTTGAGCGAGAGTAACGGGACTGACTTCGCCGGTGAAAGCGCCCTTGTCTTCGCTGAAGGTGTCTTGGGCGCCGAGCTGGACGGAAGTGCTCCTGAGCTTCTCGGCAGAGGGTAGCAATGTGACGAAATCCGGGATCACGAAGAAGTCAACATTGGCCTTGTCCGCGGCGGAGGCGAGCTGCGCCACGGCGCCGATGTAACGGAGAGTGCTGGGGAGATCGAAGTACATCTTTAATGATGTGCCGACGATGCGCTTTTCGCGCTGATGCGGGATGGGAGGCATTGTTGCGGATAGATCACTCCCTGCTGTGCAGATGGCTTGCTCAAGCTGTAATTGTATCTAGCAAGGTGCCAGCTGGCCCCACGAGTTCGTGCCTGCAATGGCCACGTTTCGCAGTCGTGAACTGGACAAAGCCTGAGGCGTTACAGGTTAGGCGCTATGGAACGTTGGGAGCGTTTCTACTGCCCGGAGCTGGGGTTGATGATCGACAGGTCAGTGTCACCGAGACGGCGGTAGTGGCGCAGTGGGGGTGGAGGGTGGAGTGAGGGGTGATGCAACCCTTGCAGAAATTCAACCCAGAAGTTTGCCCTATTCATTTAGACCCGAAGGATACTTCCTTCGCCTCTTTGACTATGTTCGCCTACTATCTGAGATGATGGAGGCTTCCGCCTTCTTCTAATCATCCTTCATCCTCCGCAAGCGACATGACATTGTACCAAGGAAGAGAGTTGACCGATCACAAGCGCTACTCAGCGCTCTGAGACGATTCGCGCAAGTGGAAACTTTGATCGTGTGAGCGATTATTGCACGGCGGCATACTGTCTTTACTGTCTATAAACTTGAGGAAGAGCATCAGCAAGCGAGATAGACTGGTATGTCATCTTTCACTCTTTGTAACCGGCCGACAAGCCTACCTATTGTTCTGCGAGACATTGTTTGCTAAGCGTCTCACCAAAAAGCAGAGTTTTCCACAACTTCATCACGATCACGCCGACACAAACGGAGCGGCTTGAGCGACTACAAAGATGCATATCACGAAGAAGCTGGCCCAGGCTCACGCCGAGGGCCGGCCAACATACTCCTTCGAGTATTTCCCACCGAAGACTGCGCAGGGTGTACAGAACCTCTACGACCGCATGGACCGCATGCATTCCTTCGGCCCGGCGTTCATCGACATCACTTGGGGTGCTGGTGGTCGCATGTCCCACCTCACGTGCGAAATGGTGAAAGTGGCCCAGTCCGCTTATGGCTTGGAGACCTGCATGCACTTGACTTGCACGGATATGGCACAAAGCAAGATCGATGGAGCATTAGAAGACGCTTACAAAGCCGGCTGTACGAACATCTTGGCGTTGCGAGGCGATCCCCCGAGAGAAAAGGAGCGATGGGAGAAGACGGAAGGTACGGCGTTTCGGTACGCGAGAGATCTTGTGCGGTATATTCGGAAGAAGTACGGTGGGCACTTCGATATCGGCGTTGCAGGCTACCCGGAGGGCTGCGATGACGAGACGAATGCGGACCAGCACATCCCGTATTTGAAGGAGAAGATTGATGCCGGAGGGACGTTCATTATTACTCAGATGAGCTACGACGCAGATACCTTCATCTCTTGGTGCAAGAAGGTTCGTGAAGCTGGCGTACCGGAGAGTGTGCCTATAATACCGGGCATCATGCCAATCCAGACATACGACTCTTTTCTACGACGTGCGAACTGGACCCAATGCCGAATACCGCCGGAGTGGATGGAGAAGTTAGATCCTGTTAAGAGTGACGACACGCAGGTGCGCGAAGTTGGCAAGAATCTCGTTGCCGACCTCTGTCGCAAGATCTTGGACAGTGGCGTGACGATGCATCTTCATTTCTATACTATGAACCTGGCAGCTTCAACTCTTATGGTTCTCGAAGAGCTGTCCATGACACCATCCGCGGATGTGCACCACCCAGACCTGAAGCCACTTCCATGGAGACAGAGTCTCGGCCGCAATCGACAAGATGAGAACGTACGACCCATCTTCTGGCGAAACAGAAAGCAGTCCTACGTCGCTCGAACGCAAGAATGGGATGAATTTCCCAACGGACGCTGGGGTGACTCTCGCTCACCAGCTTTCGGCGGGCTCGATGCGTACGGTATCGGCTTGAAGGGTACAAACGAGCACAATCGCAAGCTGTGGGGTGAGCCGAAGTCCTTGCAAGACATCGCGGACCTCTTCGTGAGCTACATGAGCGGCCGTGTGGAGACACTACCATGGTCCGAAGCACCCATCAGCATGGAAGCCGACGTGCTCAAAGACGATCTGATTAATCTTAACTCGCGCGGACTGCTGACAATCAACTCTCAACCCGCCGTTGATGGCGCGAAGAGCACAGATCCTGCGTACGGATGGGGTCCACGGAATGGCTACGTCTATCAGAAGGCTTACCTTGAAGTCTTGGTTCATCCGGCAATATTGCCAACTCTACTCGAGCGTATGAACGCCGATCAAGACATTACGTACTACGCCGTGAACGCTTCCGGCGAGCTGAAAACCAACACTTCTTCCGACGGCGGTCCGAATGCCGTGACATGGGGCGTCTTTCCAGGTAAAGAGATTGTTCAGCCTACGATCGTCGAAACGGTGTCCTTCCTGGCGTGGAGAGATGAATTCTACCATCTTGGACAAGAGTGGTCGAAGTGTTACGATGAGGAGTCCGAGAGCCGCAGACTGATCAATGAGATCACTGAGAGCTGGTTTCTGGTCAATATTGTAAACAATGATTTCCGGGAGAAGAGAGGCATCTTTCCACTGTTCGAGGGGCTCAGGGTGGAAGGCGTCAAAGGTGAGGAGAGGATGGTTAATGGCAGCGCCCAAGTCAATGGGTTGAAGCACGAAGGAACCGATGTTCCAGCTGTCCCTGGGACGGGTACTGGTGCGGCAACAGCAGGGTTGCCGGCCGCTGATGGGCATTCGAAGAGCTGAAAAAGTCTACTTTGAGGGTAGGGTGGCGATGGGAAAAGCAGGCGTGGCGTTTATGGCAGTGGTCGTGACGGCATTCTCTTCAACAATGAGGTGCTCTCAGGTCGTTCTGATCGGCGTACAGGGCGAAGCAAGGCAGAAAGCGCTTGGTGACTTTGAGATACCCCCATTCAACCGGGAAAGAAAGGCGTTGTGTTCCGCACCACGGGACGGTTGTGTTCATGACTGAAGCGCACTTTCGCTGTGCAGCTAAAGGCGTACATTGTGCTATCGTTCTCACCTCTTGTCCTTGTTGTCGCCGACCCCCGCCGACACACCACAAAGCTCATTCATCAACGAGAGGATGGAGAACATGTCATTAAGCGATGTCGGCGCGAATTGTACCTTAGCCATGAATTCCTAGCTGGACTTGGGCACGGTCACGCTGGTCGCGTTCTTAGCGCGTCGACAGCCCGACGTCACACGCTTCGATAGTATAAACAAATGTCTTTGTATAATTTCTCAGTCTCCGCCCTTGACAGCTTACATCAGTGTATCAGGCTCAGGAATGGGACGAAGGAGACTTCCGTAACCCACGGTGCCTGCACCCCGTGGCATCTTCGACACGCTTCCTCCGGAGATCGTACACAATATCTTCAACTTGCTCACGATGTTCTGAATCTACGGCAGACCTGTACACTTTTCGCCAAAATCGGCGAAGATCACGTCCCAAATGAGGAACTTGTGTACTACAACGCAGCAAGTTGGACAGCCTACACCACCTGGTCAAACACCCAAAGTTCTCTCAGCAAGTGGAATCACTGTTGTTCCATGGAGACCGCTTCCGACAGGACTGGAACTTCAGACCTAGGAGAAAGAAAGTGGCATTTCCGGATGCGGGCATGTTCCTCCTCAGGAGATGCCGGATACGAGAACTCAGGAAGTCCGCGTTACCGGCGTGCATACCTCCGCCAAACGCGCAAGCAAGTGGAGGAGGCGCGAGGATGGAAGGACCTAGAGAGCGTCATGTCGGCGTACAAAGCATTCGCTGAGCTCGTAGACGAACAGAAAGCTATGGTCAGAGAGGAGTAGGACTCAGCTGCCTTGGGAGCTTTGTTCAGAGGATGTCCGGACCTCAAAGACGTTACGATACCCTTTCGCGGAAGCGCTATAGCATCGGGTTGCCGGCCTGTGACCGCGTTTCAAGCGGCACTCTGTGATGCGTTGGCTGACATCGAGAGAAAGAATACCATAATCTATGAACTTCGCTCTCTTGCTGCAGCTGTAAGACGAGGAGGGATCACCCTGACCAGCTTGACTCTCAATACTGTGTCGTGGCGCATGTTCGACAGTTACGGGATGGGAGATGCTTGGTTCGCGCTTGAGGAGCCCTGGAACGTCTGCGAATCAAGATGGAAGATTGGAAGGTGGCGAAGAACGGTTACTACTACTGTGATTACAAGGACTTCTCGCGCACGGAAGAGGCATTCAACACCATGACGGGAGGCGCAGATCGGGCCCTTTTGCGGTGCGCGAAGAACTTGCCGGTTCTCAAGGTGCAAGGGCCGACACCTATGTCTCCAGAATCTCTACGCGAGGATGTTATTGTCAAAGTGGACATATACCTCCGTTGGTATGATTTCCTGGGATCATCGACTGCTTATGACGGTAAATGGAATCACCTGGCAGATCTAGGACTGAGTACCCTTGCGGCTGATGAGGAAGAGCTTGTTAGCCCGTTGCTCCGACACCGCAACACGCTGCGTCGAAAGAACTTGTAGTATTTGTCGCTCATGGAAGGAAACTGGTAACGGACTTTCTTGCGCACAGGTGGAAAGCTTCCACATTCAAGCGTTGTGAAACCGCGCGGCATTTTCTACAGTGACGACTGCGGGACAGAGTACTCATTTGAACTACCGAGGGAAGACGGTGGAGATCGATTCCCGGTGCAGGACTTCATCGATTCATCGAGCGCTTCTTGATCGAAGGTGGGGAGTTGCCGGACCCTGATACGCTGTGGCAGTTGGGGCTGCAGGCAGCGTCGCAGGATGAGGCGGATGACTCTGCCTACATTTACTTGCTGCAGGTTGACCATCCGCAAGCTGAACCGACCAAGAGGCTGTACCCGTGGGATAACTTCGAGCGCGAAATATAATGCGGTGCTCGAGGCATGTTGGTGGATTCGATAAGATAATCCAATTCGAGATACTCCGGGGAAGAGGTACTCAGTTGTGTGTGGTGTCATTATGTAAAATACCTGGACTCGATGCTATCAGGCAAAACATAGCAAAATCACAGCAGCATGATGTTGTTCGAAGCCGTTAATCGTAGCTGTTGAAAGCCGGAAGACGACATTGGCCAATATCATGTTCACTTCTCCACCATCAAAGTGGACAGCCTTGATATGTTCCAACGTCTCCCAGCATATCATACCTCACTGTTGAATGCGCAATCGTTGTCTGGCCACTCATCAGGAACCATTTGGAACGTACATGTAGGCGGCCACGACACCTCCTTCGAGAGTAGCGTACCGTCACGGCGCTCATACAGCGGAAATCCGCCGCACCACGTTTCCCATAGACGCGCTGCGCTCCACCTTCACTTACAGTTTGGGGGGCGTCAGGATTATATTCGCCATGGCTCGTCTCGGTCGTCGCGGCTTCCTTGGTGTCGCCATTGTCTTCCACCTCGTCTACCTGCTGTCCATTTTCGATGTCTACTTCCGCAGCCCGATCGTCAGTGGCATGCAAGCATTCAGCGTCGATGCTCCGAAAGCCCCAGCTAAGCGATTAGTGCTGTACGTCGGTATGTTGTGATGTGCTTGTTGAGAGGTTGAAGTCGAAGGCTAAAGGCACGGCAAGGTGACGGTCTGCGCGCCGACAAAGCATTCCAATCCTTCCCCGACCCGTCTCCCTCAGCCAACGATACGTCTGCCGACGAGCTCCGCCCATTAGCACCATTCCTGCGGTCCAGAGTACTACAGCACGGCACCTTTGGTGTTTCGCATACGCGTGTGCCAACTGAATCCAGACCGGGCCATGTTGCGCTGATTGCAGGCTTGTATGAGGATGTGTCTGCCGTCACGACAGGCTGGAAGCTGAACCCTGTCAACTTTGACAGCGTATTCAACAGAAGCGCACATACATGGCAATGGGGTAGTCCTGATATCCTGCCGATGTTCTCGACAGGCGCGGTACCCGGGCGTGTTACGGACGAGATGTATGGCGCGGAGTTCGAAGACTTTAGCAAGGACGCCACGGAGCTGGACTACTGGGTGTTCGACCGGGTCAAGGCGCTCTTCAAGAAGGCCCGAACGGACACTGACTTGAATGCACGCCTTCGCGAAGACAAGGTTGTCATCTTTCTCCACCTACTTGGATTGGACACGACAGGCCATTCGTACAGGCCATACTCGCGCGAGTACCTTCACAACATCAAGATCGTCGACGAAGGTGTCCGAGAGATCACCGAGCTCATCGATGACTTCTACGGCGACGGTGAGACCGCTTATGTCTTCACAGCTGATCATGGCATGAGCGATTGGGGCAGCCATGGTGACGGCCATCCAGACAACACCCGCACGCCGCTCATCGCCTGGGGCGCTGGCGTAGCGAAACCAGTCGTCTCAAATGGCGTGGCTCCAGGCCACGAGGACGGCTTCTCACATGACTGGCATCTTGACCATGTACAGCGTCACGATGTTGCACAGGCAGATGTTGCAGCATTGATGGCGTACCTTGCCGGATTGGAATTTCCTGTGAACTCAGTCGGCGAGCTGCCGCTCGAATATCTCAGCGCTGACGACAGCGAGAAGGCAAAAGCCATCCTTGTCAATGCGCGCCAGATTCTGGAAATGTATCGTGTCAAGGAGGAGCAGAAGAAGGCTATTGTCATGCAGTACAGGCCATACAGGCATTTTGCAAGCGCGGAACAGACGCCAAGCCGTCGCCTAGCATCAGTGGAAGCAGCCATCAGCAAAGGGCAGTATCAGAACGCTATTGCAGCCGCCGACGAGCTCATTCAGCAGGGACTGGAGGGTCTGCGGTACCTGCAAACATACGACTGGCTCTTCCTCCGGACTCTGGTGACTCTAGGCTATGCCGGCTGGATCGCCTTTGCCTTCACCACCGCAGTGGATGCGTACATGCTTGACGGCCAGTACGATGCCGAACGGACCGTCGCAAGCACGGCTGTCTTCACCGCCGCGTTGGTGGCCCTGTACAGCTTCCTTTTCATTCAGTCCTCTCCTTTCACGTATTACTTGTACGCTTTCTTTCCGGCGCTCTTCTGGGAAGAAGTCTTCGTACGCCGAAAGGCGCTCTCCGAGGGCAGGAAAAGGTTGTTCTCGAAGCTATCGCAGCAGGACGCTTGGAAGCTCGCATTCAACATTGCAGCTTACCTGGGCATCCTCGAAGTAATGGTGCGTCAGCAGAAGCCGCAGCCTGTAGACGGACGGTGCGCTGATGGAAAGGTAGGTGCAAAGTTACTATCATCGCGAAATCTACACAATCTGCTACTTACTTGGTGCGGCTTGGCCTGCTACTTACGGCCTAGATTTCCTTAAAGATAACGGTCTCCTTTGCATCACTTGGGCGCTTAGTTGTGTTTCCATGAGTGTCTTTACTCTGCTTCCAGCCATCAAAGTTGAGACTCCGAGTCTTATCTGGCTTGGTGGTGCATTGATACTGGTCTTGGGCGTGGTCTACATCGCGCTCGAGAAGAGTCTGCTTGTTTCGGCCGCGCCGAGCAAAGACGGCTTGAGCGCTCCAAAGGCGGATGGCTTAAGCAGGACAATCTTGGGCGTCCAAGTAAGTCTACAGTTTGCTTGTTCACGTATGCTACAATGCTGACCACGGCCTTCGCAGGTCGGCTTGGTCGCGCTCGCAATGTTCGTTACACGGTCAAGCATCGCTTCTCTGCAGGCTAAGCAAGGCCTACCTTTGGGCACGCAGATGCTAGGCTGGATCACTCTAGGTACGTTAGTCGCAAGACATAGTGCAACCCTCCACGACAGCTCTACGTATCACTGTATCGTGGCTATGTTGTATGCTTGCGCTGGGTAAGTGAGACATGCTAACAAATTGTAGTTGCTTCCTTGGTTGTCCCCTTCCTGCACGCTCTGCAACCACGCGACCACTACCTTCACCGTCTGGCTGTCATCTTCCTTGCGTTCGGGCCCATGTTCATCATCTTGACGATCTCGTACGAAGGCCTGTTCTACTTCGCCATCGCCACCACTCTCATCTCGTGGGTCCGTCTCGAGCATCGCATACATCAGCACTTCTCACCTCACGCGTCTGAACTGGACCAAGCACCGCTCGAGTTGAGCAGCCCGCTAGCACCTGCGCTTGATGTTGCTAGTGACCGCGAAGAGGCGCTCAAGAAAGGCGACTACCGATCGCTAACTCTTTCCGACGCTCGCATTTGCCTCTTCTTCATTTACCTACTGCAATCGGCATTCTTCAGCACGGGCAATATCGCTTCAATCTCGTCTTTCTCCCTTGACGCAGTATACAGGCTGCTCCCGGTCTTTGACCCCTTCAGCCAAGGCGCGCTACTTGTGCTGAAGATCCTCGCACCCTTCGCATTAGTCTCGGCGAATCTTGGGATATTGACACATCGGCTTCGGTTGCGTGGAGGAAGTCTTTTCGCTGTCGTTATGGGCATTGGAGACTACCTCACGCTACGGTTCTTCTGGGAGGTCAGGGATGAAGGGTCCTGGCTCGATATCGGCCAGAGCATCACTAATTTTGCCATTGCAAGCTTGTTGTGCGCGTTCGTGGCCGCGCTCGAGGCATTGAGTGGAGTCTTGGTGCGCGGACTAGAGTTTGCGGACGAACGGCGCTCGAAGGACGGCGTGGCGACGAACGGTTCGCTCAAAGGGAAGCCAAGAGAGACTGATGCAGCGAAAGAGGGCGGTCGTGGCATGTGAAGGGGTGCATAGACTAGACAAGATTGACTACACCTTCGAAATTTCTCTCACGTTTCATCTCCAGCCACCTCTTATTGATGCCACCACTCGCCCTCGATATTCAGCCCAAACCACGACAATTCGACAATAACCGCGCAAGCAAAATGCGACTACCGGTTCACCAGCAATACCAGTGTACGTTAACACGCCACTTGCGGTCAGTGTGGTAGCATTTGCCGTTTTCGTCCTCGTCGTGGCGATGGCTGTACTCTATGTTGAGTTGGCTAGTCAGGCCGCCCTCGTCGCTACTCAAGCATCGATCACCGACTCGCTCGGACGGTTGACACAGTTGTTGAAGACGATGTTGCAGAGATCTGGAACAGAGCATTGGTGGTGATATACTCACACCAGGCCTCCGGTAATGGCATCACTGAGCGCATATGCTTTGGGCAGTAGAAAATGGCCCCGATCTTTTGGATGCTGTTTAGCCGCAACATGCAATTTGACCCATATGTTATGGTTCGACCAAGTTTGCCTTGTTACTTAGATAGGGACCATCGCGGTCTTCTAACAAGGCGCAGAATGCTCGGTCTCTGGGCACCGCTCAGAGCCCAAGCCTCTCGATCTAAAGATCGCCAGAGACAGCGATGGTACAGATGCGCATGGTGTGGCCTACATAAAACACAGTCATTTGTTGATGCGCTCGTACGCATAATGGCGGATGGTATTTTAGTGCCAGAGCCACTTATGCACGTCAACCTGAATTGAGGTTCACGGACCTGCGCGGCATTGGACCGGGCAAGCAGTGGCTTGAACTGCAGTCCTTCCGTATCAGGTACGAGTGAATCGCAGCGCTGGAAGCCTTAGCGATCAACCATTGCACCCGACTACCCTACCATTCCGATATCGCAGGCAATTGTCACACATCGCGCCGGCCAGATCACATTATTACTGCCGAGGGTTGCACACAGCGCCATCTGCACTTTCTGTGGCCAACTGACTCGAAAAGGGAAAGGTGTATTCAACCGCCAATCCGAATCCTTGAGTCCATGACCAAGTACCCACGGGCCTATCCTACGAGGACAGAGTTCATCGGATGCTCTACTGTACCCTGACGTAGACTCTCCGGTTTTCCACAGCAGTATGGCAAGTTGAGCTGTTGTTGATGGTGGGGGCCCTTTTGGTGGGACTTCAATGCTCCCGCTAGTCAGTAGGAGCCAATATGTGCGGGACTTTGCCTTTGTGGCCGAGGGTTCGACCAAAGAGTTCTTCCTTGCTTGCCTTTCGAGTTGTAGACGTATGAGTCTTGCTGTGAAAGTGACCGTGTCCCTGGTCGTCACCGCGGCATTTCGAAGGCGCAAATGTTGATCCCAATTACCTCGATTGAAACTGCCGCAAGAAGCAAATTCGGAGGGGCTTTCAGCGAGCATAGATTGGCCGCCCATCAGGAACACGCCCAAGCGTCGCTGGCCAAGGAAGACGGTATCATCGCCATGCTCGCTCAACACCTCCATCTGCAGCCGGCGGAATGCATGGCCACCTTCGCCGTACAGCAACGGCATGTTGATGTCTAGGATACCAAGCAGGCAGTACGCCACGTCTTCCTCACGACTGGTCTCGCGGTCTGCTGCCCAACTGAATACCATGGCCGCAGATTCCGAGGACGACGGACCGAAGCGGATAATTCGCGAGTGATTAATGTAGTCCGCACTGATACCGCATCAGAGGACGAGCTGATCGTTCATATGTGGCGTGTCGGGCAGCATCCGACAGACTGCATACGGGTTCGGATGGCTTATTTTCGGCTTGTAGTGGCGGGAGGTTACATGGTAGCACTTGTGACCAATGAACTTCCAGTCTCGGTTGCAGAATATCGAACGCTTTGGTGCAAGCATCTCCTGCAAAGCTTAGCATGACACGCTGTTAGTGCTTAGCAGCAATTTGTGAGGGGGCTTTGTGAACTCACTCCAACCACGCGTGAACCAGGTGGAGGGCGTCAAGTCATTATTTAAGCCTGCTGCGATGTCGGCAAGGTAGATAAGACACAGCTCCGCACGCTTGTAGAACGTGAACATCGCATTGATTGACTCTGATAGCTCCGTACTGCTACGCTTGTCTATGCAACATGTGTCAATCCAGACATGGTCAAGCACGGTGAGCGGATTACAAGAATCTGGTGGGCGTGCGGAGATCTTCAATTTCATGGTGTTTTCCCATTGCGACCGCGCAACGCCTTCATCGTCGTTCGCTTGCTGTTTCCGCAACCATTTGTTGTAGCGTCTGGTGACCTCACAGAGCCCTAGAACCTTTTCATACCCCTTGCTATCTCTGCGTCTGCCTTTCCTATAGTCGGAGGAATTGATCTCATCGTCGCCCCAGCGATGGGACAGGATGGGCATAAGGTGGTATTTCATTGCCCAAGTGTTCCTCGAACTGGAGAAAGTTAATATTGATCAATATCATTGTGAGTGAGTTCAGCGAAGATTGGAGGTTAGGAGCTACCGTAAGGAAAGCCACATATGTACGATCGGTAGCCTGTTTCGTTATTGACATATCTTGCAAGTTGGCGCATTACACTTGGGATCATCATGCATGCATATCTGGAGCCTGATGCTGCAGCGCAAGGCTGCGGCACTGCCGCCCAACTGCCTGCGGTTGGGGCTGCGAGCACTCTTCGTCACATATACCGAACCAAGGTGGAGTGAACGTTCTTCCATCCGATCAGACGCCTCCCTCTCTCAAACCTATCATGAGGAGGGAGTTGGCAGTTCTGCAGTGTTGACCATCGCATGAGATACCTTCACGGTTTAGGGTGCATGCGGTAGGAGGCGTCTCTCGAATCATAGGAAGCTCGACTTGCCGAGCTTCACCCGAGTCTATCTCAACATACACCCAATGCCAAAAAGCAGTGTCTGCGAAACACAGACATGGCGCTCCCGCAGTCCGCATATAAGGACCGTGAGTTCCTCGCCGTGATAGGCGACGAAGTAGGCATCCCCTCCAAATTACTCCTCCGTGTAGGTTACTGAAACGAAGAGCTAGGACTCAGTGACCGGTATATTGCTGGCCGGCGTAGGTGTACGTCACTCTATGCAGCCCACACTCTCAAGTCCGGTCTTCTGACATGAGAACCAGCATGTCACCGACCCCCCCGACTCCCAAAGGAACTACCTCGTCGTGGATCAGAAGACCGAGACGTCAACCATAGAAGGCGCATTCGACTCGTTCACAAAGCAAAGGAAGGACATCGCGATTGTTCTTATCAACCAACATGTACGGCAGAGTGATTCCCAACGATATGTTATGGCACTGACTGATATGCTATTATTCTAGATCGCGGACAAGATCCGAGGACGAGTCGATGGCTACAGCGAAGCATTTCCGTCTATCCTAGAGATACCAAGCAAGGACCATCCATATGACCCGGAGAAGGACAGCGTGATGAAGCGTGTCAGGAAGCTCTTTGGCGAGTAGATTTGCGTCTTGTATGTGACTCTGGGTAGCCGCCACTAAGAGCGGTCTCGTTCTTGCCACAAACGCTACATTACTATAGACAGGATACCCAAAGGTCTCGCTATGATGCATCATCTTTTGAACATTATGTCTTCACATCTGGCTTTTGAAGCCCTGTAGCCTCTCTCCGTGGGCATGTCGACTCCCGACAACGTTGCACATAGTACCCGCGCAGAACCTTCCAACAGACCTCAATATCTAAAGGCCTTGCTTCCACTCGGACGCAACGATCGCGCCACTCCCACCGCGGTGGAACTCTACAGTCGCCATCAAACACGTGATCTTGTCCGCATCCTTCGTGTCTACGTCCGCAATGACCGTGTACTTGCCCGGCGGGATCTCTCTAGGTAGCGTGACGGTCTTGGTCAGCTCGGTCGCATTGTCCTTGTGCAGTGGGCACTCGAGGTTGACGTTCTTCACGGCGTCGCAGAGGTCGGTGGTCTGCCTGATGATTGTGATAAGGCCGAACTTGACCTGGAGATGCACCTTAGCGCCATCTTCGATGTCCGCCTTCAGGATGCCTCGGGCGGTGACGGTGAGGTTTTGGCCGCTGTGGGAGATTGTCAGTGAAGGTATTGGTGGGGCAAGTAAGTGCGACGTACGGCTTCGGTGGGTTTGGGTCGAGGTCTACTCGCTCAAGCGAGAGAACATCGTTTGCGGGGTCCTTGCAATGGTGCAGTGGGTTCTCCCCAGGTACTGATAGCGAATCGTCGACATTTGCGCTGATGTCGCTGGAGCTACCGAAGATGCTGGATTGCGCAGGGGCAGTAAGAGCGAGAAGTAGTGTAGCGGCACCAGCGAAGAGCTTCATGGTTGCTGTTACAAGTGTATAGTAGAGTGTTTTGATTGAGGATGCGATTGATATGGAGCATGAATGGCTACCTGGAGGCGAGGCGAATGGCGCTAAAGCAACGCCAGGTGACGACGTCAAGCCACACGGGCCAATTCCCTGCGCTTGACAGCTCGCTGCCTCAGGCCCTACGTTGCGGAAAGTGAGCCGCATTGGAGTTTCTGAGGAACGCCAGGTGGTGGTATGAGAGCAGCTGCCCTTAAGAACCACACCCCCTCCAACAGCGCTCGTAACACTCTCGACCACATAAGAGGACGTGCGAAGCCTGCATAGTCGAAACCACAACATCTCAATGCTCCCTTGACCGAACTCGTTAACAAGAGGGCAACACTCCGCCAGCCAGCACAAGGCCCGTTGCGGTCCCTTGTAATAAACAGCTCAGAGATCGGCCGTAAAGATGCGGCTGGACGTCAAGGTAGCTTCCTGTCCCACAATACAGTGTCATGGGCAGAATATGCTAACTCGGGAGCACAGAGACAACTCTTCGCTCGCAGTGAGCGAGTCAAAGGCATTGACTTCCACCCTACCGAGCCATGGGTATGCGTCATATCAATATAGCGAAGCTGAACGGACAAGTGTTGATTACTGTAGATCCTCACAACACTATACAGCGGCCACGTATACATATGGTCGTACGAGACGCAAGCGATTGTCAAGACCTTCGAGTTGACCGACGTGCCTGTTCGCGCTGGTCGCTTCGTGGCACGGAAGAACTGGATAGTGTGCGGCAGCGATGACTTCCAGGTACGGGTGTACAACTACAACACGTCGGAGAAGATCACATCTTTCGAAGCACATCCGGACTACATCCGAGCAATCGTCGTCCACCCCACCGAGCCGTTTGTGCTAACAGCTAGCGATGACATGACTATCAAGCTATGGGACTGGGACAAGGGGTGGAAGTGCATACGGGTGTTTGAGGGCCACAGTCATTACGTTATGGGCCTGGCGATCAACCCCAAGGACACCAACACGTTTGCGTCTGCTTGTCTTGATCGGACGGTCAAGATTTGGAGTCTCGGATCCAATACACCCAACTTCACGCTGGAAGCACACGAAGTCAAGGGTGTCAACCATGTCGATTACTACCCGCAGAGTGACAAGCCTTACCTCTTAACAACATCCGATGATCGGACGGTCAAGATCTGGGATTATACAACCAAGGCATTGATCGCCACGCTTGAAGGTCATTCGTCAAACGTATCTTTTGCTTGCTACCATCCCGAACTACCCATCATCATATCCGGATCGGAAGATGGCACGATCAAGATCTGGCATGCCAACACCTACCGTTTGGAGCAGTCTCTCTCGTATGGCTTGGAGCGCGCATGGTGTGTCTCCTATCAGCGCGGCAAGCAAGGTATTGCAATGGGTTTCGACGATGGTGCAGTCGTTGTAAAAATGGGTCGTGAGGAGCCAGCAGTATCCATGGACGGCTCCGGCAAGATCATTTGGGCTCGACACTCAGAGATCTTGACTTCCGTCATCAAGGGCGCAGACAAGAGCGTGAAGGATGGCCAGCCGATCTCGCTACCATCAAAGGATCTCGGCAGCACAGAGATTTACCCTCAGACACTACTTCACAGCCCGAACGGCAGGTTCGTTGCGGTATGCGGAGACGGCGAGTACATCGTCTATACCGCTCTCGCGCTCCGGAACCAGGCTTTCGGCTCCGCACTCGACTTCGCATGGGCCAGCAAAGAAAATGACAAGGACTGCGCCATCCGGGAGTCGCAGTACTCGGTCAAGATCTTCCGAAACTTCAAGCCGAAGTCTGGCGACGGCAGTGTCAATGTTGGCTTTGCCGCTGATGGACTGTCTGGTGGCGTGTTACTGGGTGTCAAGGGACAGGGCGGCATTGGCTTCTTCGACTGGGAATCTGGCAAGCTTGTTCGGAGAATAGAAGTCGAGCCGCGGAATGTGTATTGGTCCGAGTCGGGCGAGCTGGTTTGCCTGGCTTGCGAGGATACGTACTATGTGCTGCGGTACTCGAGAGAGCAGTACATGGCAGCTATACAAAGCGGCAACGTCGAAGATGATGGTGTGGAAGAGGCATTCGAAGTTGTGTGCGACATCAATGAGAGGTGGGTGGAGAGACGCGGAACTCTGAGAAATTATGCTAACCCTGTGCGCACAGCGTTCGCACCGGCCAATGGATTGGCGACTGCTTCGTCTACACGAACAGCACCAATCGCCTCAACTACCTCGTGGGCGACCAAACCTACACGATCTCGCACTTCGACCAACCCTATTACGTCCTCGGTTATCTGACCAGAGACGGCCGTGTTTACGTGTGCGACAAGGACGTCCAGGTGACATCCTTCGCCCTCTCAGTATCCGTGATAGAGTACCAGACCCTGGTCCTGAGAGGTGACCTGGACTCGGCGAATGACATGCTACCCGACATACCCGAAGACCAGAAGAATAAGATCGCTCGCTTCCTGGAAGGCCAAGGTTACAAGGAGCAAGCGCTTGAGGTCGCGACGGACGATGAACACAAGTTCGAACTCGCACTCGGGCTAAACCAGTTACAAATTGCGCTAGATTTAGCGCGGAAGGCGGACGTCGACCATAAATGGAAGACGGTCGGTGATGCGGCGCTCGGTGCTTGGAACGTTGCGCTCGCTGAGGAGTGCTTCAGAAACGCCAAGGACCTCGGCAGCTTACTCCTGCTCTATTCGTCAAGCGCGGACGTGGCAGGCTTGCGAAGCTTGGCCGAAAAAGCGAGGGAGGCAGGGCAGCACAATGTTGCCTTTACCTGCTTATGGCAGGTTGGTGATGTTGATGGTTGCCTCGACGTTTTGTTGGCTACTAGCCGGACAGCGGAGGCCGTGCTTTTCGCGCAGACGTACAAGCCTAGCCGGTCTAAGGGTATTGTTGGTCAATGGAAGCAAGGTCTGGAGAAGGATGGGAAGGGTAAAGTGAGCAGGATGCTAGGCGTGCCGGAAGATGATGAGGATATGTTCCCCGAGTGGGACGAGTACCTGAAGTTGGAGAAAGAGGGTGGGGCCGCAAACGATTTGGTTAACGTTGATGAATCGACTGCGACAAATGGCACGGTGAACGGCGACGCAATGGCGGATAATGTGCCCGAGACGAAATCAAAGGCTGCCCCTGTGGAGGCAGACACGGATGAACATGATGAAGCTGCTGCAGACGGACCGGAGACAGAAGCCTGATCAAGGCTTACAATTGTAGCACGGAGTTCGGCGTCTGGAGCATCACAGTCGTAGAACGCTTCTCAGCGCTCCGCGACCGCTGCGGTTCGGGAAATCCAGCCTACGATGACGCCTCGATAAGACATTGAGCGTTCCCTTCCACCTCCCACCTGCGCACAAACTTCAGACCCGCCCCTTCCAGCAGATCTCGCCATTGCCGCTCCGTCCGTTCCAGAGCACCAAATAGTAGCATCATATTGATATCCATGGCGGCTGCTCTTGGATTCGTATCTTGCACCTTCTCCGGAAGGACTGTCTCGAGAAGTAAGACCTTGCTGTACCCTGGCGTACACGCTTCTTTCACGCGCATCAGGATTTGGTGGGCCTCATAGTCCGCCCAGTCATGGCAAATGCTGTGCAGGAAATAGCAGCGAGCTCCTTTGACGGGCTGCTCGTCGAAGAAGTTGTACGGCATTAGCTCGATCTGGCTTGGGAGGTCTTTGCTCTCTCTGGCCGCGGCGATGACCTCTGGCTGGTCCTGCACTACTATACGAGCCTGTGGATGTGACGACGATACAGCGGCGGCTAGGTGCCTAGCGTCGCCGCCTTTGCCACCACCAACGTCCACAGAAAGCATTGTTGACGCGTCGAAGTCTTTGAGCAGCTTCGTGGGTGGGAACATCGAAGTCCATGGTGGCATCCCCGCTCGTAGGATGGCGAAGAAGCTGTTGAAGTGGGCGTGAGCATCTGGGTGCTCCCGAAACCATGTCCAGAGGTCTGGAGAGTCCATAAATGTCCGCCATGGAGGATGGGCGCCGTCCGATGGACTGTCGTAGTGCTTCTCTCGGAGATAGGCAGGAGCTTTGGTAATGACTGGTAGTATCAGGTCGAACGAATGATGGATGCCGTTGACCAAGCCATCCGGGTCCGCGAACGCACGCGATAGCTCGGTCTCAAAATATGCATTCTCATCTGTCGCTCCTATGATGTCGTTAACAGCCAATATGCGACAGAAGCGACCAATCAGTCTAGCGTCAGTTCCTGTAGTTTTAGCGAGTTCGTCGGGCGTCTTCGGACGGGTCTCCAGCGCTGCGAAAAGCCCCATCTCGCTGCTTGCCTTCACAGTGAATAGCAGAATTGGCTCCACCCAGGTCATCTGATACGCTTTCTCCCATGGCTTCTTCAGCCGCTGAACGAGTGCCTGAGCCTCGTTAAGGCTTTGTAAGCGTGCCGACTCATCATTGCCAAAGCTTGATCGATCGATACTCGAGAGATTTGCGATGATGGCAGAAGGGTCCATAACTGGTTATGCTACGAATGTGTAGGGTCGGTTAAAGATCACGAAGGTTCGCAAGAGAAGCAGCACACAACCGAGCGGGCATCAACAAAAGAGATCAGAGCGAGATGCTCGCCTACCTTCAGCTAAGCTGCTAATGATCCGAGGAGGATGTGACGAGTCCGGACAATGCGAATGGCTCGATGTCCCTTTCTGGTACAACGGCCAACATGTAATAGGTACCTCCCAACCAAGCCTAGCGTTTCCTGCTGCCGAGCGTGTCCCCCACAGCATACCGCCCTCTATGGTCAAAGTATCTGTGAAAGATTGATGCCTAAGGGCTACCATTAGCCCGGCAAGGTCAATAGCAGATCTTTAGGACTACTAATGGCCACAAATCTTTCGCGAAAGACTGTGGTGTGGGAGTCCTGAACACCAGTCAGGCTGACCTACTCACTACGCGCGGAATTGCAGACTTTGGACGACTTGTCGTCAATGCCCCAGGTTGCGAGTCAACGTACTAGCGCTGCTTAGTCATTCCATGCTGCGCTGCAAGCGTTTGTTACGTCGAGTGATCTCCCTGAACTTACCAGAATCTGGCGAAGTTGATGCGTAACGATCGTGAGCAGATTCCTTGGAGTGCATGACGGAAGCAACTGACCCAGGTTGCTTCTGCGGTGATCCGTGTTGATGAAGTGTCTCGTGTTGCGGTAAGCGCAACAATGAGTTGTTACTAGACGTCATACGCGCAAGCCACTTCAAGACTTGGAGCAGGCCAACAATTTTCTGCTATGCCACGCTAATTGAATGAGGTGAACGCGAATATTCGTTCCTCCTCCAGTAGCTGGCTTGTTGGGGCCGGTCTACTACTTGAAGTCAGCAAGCTTCCGTGTAGGAGCTGATGGTGCAGCTGGGTGGGAGTCCTACTTGATCACAACTACTCCGGCGGCGCTTCAAGGTAGGATCACTTTGGAAGCCAACCTGGACTGAGAGCATGCGTTCAGGCTCCCGCTTCGGTGAAAACATCAAAGAATCCTACACCGGTGGGCCTACATTCACGGCAGTCTGTTATTGCCATGGCGGCCGCAAGAGGGGGAGCGCATAGTCGGTCTCCGGGCACGCGTTCTTGACAATCAGGCTGTCGTCAATGACGTTGCGCCCAAGATCGAAGTCTACGTTGACCGGAAACCAAAGTGGGTGACACCAGTCACGGGAACCTATGAGCTTGACAGCATGGGATAACATACTCGATCAAGGACAAGATGACTTAAGAGCCAGAGCTACCTGAAAAGCGAGAGTCGCTGCTGCTCACTCCAACTTCCGCGCATGTACGTCAGACGGCCAGCCGCACTTTGAGCAGGTCTCTCTCAATGATCTCATTCTTTTTCGTCCCACTTGTCAGCTCCGGCATGTCCCAGGTGACATTGATATATCGCCCATTAAGCCAATCGCGCTTTTCTTGCGTTAGATACACTAGCGTATCGGCGCAGAGTTCTGGCTTTTCAGTGAATACCGCCTTGAACTCTTCGCTTAAGCCTTCTCCATGACCGATAATGTCTGTCAGATTGTTCCCTGGATGCACAGAGAATGCTAACAAGCCTTGGTCTTGGTGCTCAGCTGCTGCAAATTGCGTGAAGCGGGTTAGAGCGAGCTTCGAGGGCTGGTATGCCGACAGCCCGGCGCCGACAACATGTGCACCGACACTGGAGACCATAACAAGTGTCTTAAGCTCACCCTTGAGAAGCAGAGGTACGCATGACCTTGTGACAAGGTAAGGCCCCTTAACGTTGACCTCCCAGGTGCGCCACCATAAATCAGGCGTCGTTTCCACAATCGGTTTCATCTCGTCAAGGATTCCGGCATTGTTGATAACAATGTCGAGCTTCCCGAACTTCTGCGCGATTTCGGCCACTGCTATCTCGACAGACTGCTGATCGGAGACGTCAAGCTTGACGGTAAGCACGGTCGGCTCGGTGCGCCCAGCATCTTTAGCTGCCTTCTTGGCGGCATCGGCGACGCTGGAGAGGTCTGACCGTGCGCCTATGGCTATCTGACTAGCTCCAGCTAACGCAAACGCGAGGGTGATGGCCTTACCTATGCCCCGTGATGCCCCAGTGATGCAGATTGCATGTCCGGAGTGGTTGGCTTTGGAAGGATCGATAGCCGGGTAGGTGTCGCTGTGCACTGTTGAGGTAGTTGTATAGTCACCTGTTTCGGTGAGTAACTCTGCCAAACATGAGCTGCTTCTGAAGCATACCTGGTCCCTCAATGGGGTTCCTGGGAAGTGTCAGTACTCCGATTCGACCTCTGGTCCATAATGGATCCAGCAGACTCACCAAGTCCCTTGCGGAGGCGGCATTATGTCTCCCTGCGAAGGTGTGACAAGAACTTAGCAGACGGCAAGAATTCAAAGCAGATATGCGAGAGGACGGAGCTTGTTATATGCCAGGATTCGGGTTTTACGGTCATTACCTTGCTAAGCTCATGGCATTAAGGTAGCCTTTCCGGCTATCACCTTCTCAAGTGCCAAAATACATTTGCAGGCGAACGCTCGTCGCGCTGTTGGCGTCCTGCCAACACGTACGAGCGAAGAAAGGGTGTGGAACGTACGGCCGCAGCCCGCAGACTGGGACCTTCGCGGCCGCTTGAGCCGCGCCGCAGAGTGCAAAAGGTTGGTACCATCAGTAGAAGATTGCGAGCCACACAATTCCAAGTTCGCGATATGACGGACAAGGTACCTGTTGGACGCCGACTACAGTACATGGTTCCAGCAAGCGGTTCGCCATCCCGTCTTCACGCCAGTGCTAGCGTGCCTGCGGCTGTTGGAAGAAACCTTCCGCTCTGGGATGCCGCCTCTACAGCCCGTCGCAGCTACTAAGACAAAAATGAAGAGAACAGTAGAGGACATGGAACTCAGGCTACTCCTTGAGCGGTTGGCTGAACCTGATCGTTCACCTTGGTGAACGGAGCTGCGAATGCGTACCTCTTCACACCCGCGCCGTAATCCTTACCGGGCACACGCTCTGCATGAGACATTAGCGAGCCGTTGGAAGACAAATTCCACGAGTTATGCGCACCGTGGTCAGGCGGGAAATTCTCTCGCCTGTCAATATAGTACCGCTTGCGCAGATCTGTACCGTCTGATACCATATGGTAGGTGGCGTACACGCTTGCTCTCGGCTTCGCAGTGTTGTTAGGACCAGACCGGTGCGCAAGATGGCTACCAAAGATAAGGAGATCGCCAGGTTGCAGCTCGACGGGCAGCCATCGTTGCTCCTGCTCCCACCTGTCGCTGATACGGCCACCGTCGGCAAGTTCCACCTTCATCTTGTGGCTGCCGGGCACTACCTCGACACAGCCGTTGGCGAGTGTCGCAGCATCGACAGCCACATTAGCGGTGGTATGCTCTATTTGACCGATGTGATCGTAGGCAGGGGCGTCAAGGTGTGCTTGGAAGCCGTTGCCACCTGCCTGCTTATAGTTGATCTTATCCTTGAAGAGAAGCATGTCATCTCTGGTAAGCTGTTTCAAGATCTGCCTCAGGCTTTCGCCATGGAGCAGATTTGAGAAGCCGTCGTGGTAGTCGGCAAAGTTCTCGGTCCTCATAAGCTGACGCTGTCCCGATGGTGTGATCTCATCGTAGGGCATCCATTTGCCATGCTCGCGCGGCAGATTCCTTACTTCGTCGGTCCATTGTTGGAGTGACGACGGGTCGACAAGTCCATGCTCATAGGCACTCAATACAAGATAGCCTTCGCAATCGAAATGCTGGACTTGTTCTTGCGAGAGTTGAATGGCTGCCATGGTGAGGTCTTCGCTGGCCCTTGTCAGCTTCCTGGACCGCCCCCTAAGTGGCCTAGACCCAAGCCACCTTTATACCAGGCCGGAATCGTGACGTTCCAAGATCGTGTTGTCATCCCCGTGATGGCTTGTGGAAGATCGTCACTTCAATCTACGGCCCGAGTTTCGGAGAGAAGCGCGTGAGCGGTCTTCCTCCGGATCTTTATCGGTGGCCAACCCGGATCGGCATGTCATCAATGTAGCGAGGAATTGCGACCTTCGATCGGCTTAGAGTCCGCGGAGCCGTTTCATCGACGGTGTGCCGTGTCGCAAACCGCATTCCTGGACGAACACTCTACAACCAAGCCATCTTTGAAGATGGCCATTAGCAACGAGAGCGCAGTGGAAGCGAACGCCCGCAAGACCGTTGCGGATCTGTTTGCCTTCATTGAAGCACAAGGCCACAAAGACTACCTAGGAGAACGTGTGTCCCAATTACAGCATTCGTTACAAGCAGCAACGCTCGCACAGCAGGCTGGTGCCGACGACGAGACAGTTCTTGGCGCTTTGCTCCACGACGTCGGTCGGTTCATCCCAGCCGCTGAGAAGATGGAGAGCATGATAGCGCCGGACGGAACGTACGTTGGCGAAGCAAGCCACGAAGTTGTAGGTGAGCGGTACCTAAGGCAGCTGGGCTTCAGCGACAAGGTCTGTCAACTTGTTGGCGCCCATGTAATGGCAAAGCGATATCTCACCGCAGTCGACACAGCCTACTATGATGGGCTCAGCTCGAGCAGTAAAACAACACTCAAGTTTCAGGTTCGCGAGAAGTCCGCCAGTACCCTGTTCCAAGTGTTAACGCTAACTTAGGGCGGCCCATTCGACGACCAGCAAGTTGCGGCTGCGCAGCAGGATCCACTGCTTGAAGATAAGCTCGCGGTGCGGAGGTGGGATGATCTTGCTAAGGATCGAACGATGCAAACACCACCATTATCGGCATTCGAAGAGATGGCTGTCCATTCTCTTATTCGAGCTCAGTGACTGACTCTGGCGTATTCCATTGGATGGAATGTGGCTTCATATCTGAGGTCCATTGCCCGTTCATAATCCGAGGACATAGTACCTGCGGCTGCTCCGGCATCCACAATCTGATGAGGACATCGCTCAGTGCAGCCATTTTCGAACGTGTTTGCCCCATGTCGTGGCAGGAACACCCACATCTCACATTTGTGGCGGTAATTGTGGAAACTGAGGATCTTGCTGGAAATTATTCATCATGTCCTGCGTTGAGAGGAAGTCGAATTCACCCATGAAAAAGTTATCAAACATCGGTCCTTGCCCGTTGCGCGATACATCGTACAAGCTGTCATCGAAAGTCGGATGGCTTAGAGTGACGTGTGCATTAGACGGGTACGGGCCACGGTAGTCTTGCGGACGACAACGCTCCAGCAGATTGCCGGCACCCCGTGCGACACTGACCAGCAGGTGGCGAGGATGCATGGTTGATGTAACGTGCTTCAGTACACGTACCACCTCGCCAACCAAGGACCGAATCTCCGTGGTATCCACACGAACCGAGGTTGCGTATTTGGTGGACACCTTTAGGACGAACACTGTGGCGAACGCGATCATGAGGTCGAAATAAGTCGGCAGACCATTCAGATGGCCTTGTATCTCGGGATCCTGGATCACGGTTCGCAGAATGGTCGTAGCAGACAGAATGGCGTTATTTGCTAATTCATCAATGTCCAAAGCTACGTCCGGCGCTTTGAAGCCAGGCTTTCCGATGCCTCTGAACGCCATTGAGTACAAGTATAGCTTGGCGAAGTGGTAGTGGAGATGAACACCTTTCCTGGGATAGTTTCCCACGTAGTCATTGCGCGTCAGGCGCTCTGACCAGTACGCCCGGATCTCGTCCAGCTTGATACCGAATCGGCGGATAGGATCGATCATGTCGGCTGTCAACGGTCTTTCAACATCGATACCGAATGTCTCGTATACCTCCGTCCCTACAGACCAGAACTTGACCTGACTCACGAGCCGTGCATCGTCCTCTACAGCATGCTCGCTATCCAAGAATGCGGAGGACGCTCTGATTGTGTCGTCCTGTCGAGTCATTGGCGGTCTTCCGTACGCGATCGAAAAGTGGTGGTCGCAAATATACACGAGATAGTACAGCCGGGTGCGCAGGTAGTGAGACCTGTCTCCGCTCAGCGTTTTGAAGATGCTCCGCTGGAGTTGGATCTCAGTAGCCATGCGCACGGCAGCGCCAACGCATGTCCATGAGATACCGCTAAGCCAGAACGCGCCCACTAAAAGACCGCGAACGTCGTCAACGTTATTGTGGCGGGAGAAAGTCTGCGCTGCGGCAATGCTAACGAATTCCTGATACAACCTTTCGAAGTCGCGAGCGGCGAGATGAAGCGCACTGACCGTACATATTCCAGCAAGCAGAAGCGGCGATGTTTTGCGCACCTGTCCGAGACTTCTGCGGTCACCCAGGATTCGATATAGGAAGTGGTCGAGACGGTTCTGGTAGAGATCGAGGTAAGCTTGTGCCTGCTCCACGGTCAGGACACCACGCTTGATGATGTCTTGGTCTTCCCGGTTTGGCTCAACGCCAGGCACGATCACTGGCGTCATCACCGAGCCTGGAATGGCTGCTGGTCCTGCATTGTCATCCATGACAATCTCGAAGTTGTGTGGAGTGTGCTTCTCAGCAAGCGGAGAAAGGCGAGACGAAGGGTGGCTCCTCGGGGGCTTAGCATCGTCCTCCTCGTCGTCCTCCATCTCGTACTCGAGTAATTCCGGCATAGATAAACGATCAGCGACCTTGTTCAGCGCACTCTCCAGAGCTTTGACTCGACTCTCAGTTTTAGTCTTCCAGTCTGCATCCGACTCGAGAATCATCTGCAGGCTTTTGTTGACAGTGCATGATAAGCCGCGCTTCTTGCATCGCACGCAAGGCGGACCGTCACCCATATTACATTTGATCTTCTGCTTGCGGCAGGCAACGCAAGCAGTGATCTTGCGAGTGATCTCTGGCGGCTTCTCGCCATACTCACGGAAGGCTGCGCCTGGCGACGCCTGTGCGCTCGCATGGTGGTGCATACTTTCCATTCTCCAGTCCTCACACGGTGGCGTCAGAAAGTCTCCAGGGGCCATCTCGGTTTGGTTCGCGGCTGCAAGCCGCCATCGAGGATGATGCCCCGGAACGACGGGTTGCTGACATGGGTCCGGCATTGGTTCCGTGGCGTTGGGTGGTTGACTCGGATGTGGAGGCCGACTAGCCTGAGCTGTACGCACAGACGGTTGCTCTCAGAACGAGCCGGAACGTCACTCCTTGCTATCTACGAGGATGATCGCGGCCTTCTGGCCGAACAACAGAAGAAGAAACTCTTGGACATTGTGCGTCATGTTGTGGACCAAGCAGATCTACGGGAGGACTACAAACCTACCACCACATACTGTGGCCATCGTCACAGCCCAGGGTCCTGTCGCCCACGGAATGCTCACCGACAATAGATCAGCTCTATCCCGCCGTGAAGTCCGCCGAGCGTTTATCCAGCCTCCTCATACGGGCCTTGGCCATTCTCTCTAGCCCACGCTACTTCCACCTGCATGTGATGCCGTCACGCTTTGTGGGCCAGTCGCCACCGGAGCCTGTACGGGGCCCCCAACAGCGAGGCCTGGCGCAGGCCCGATACCGACTCCGTTCGTTTGTGGAGGCGCCTGCGCCCCGCCCCCACCGGCGTGCCTGTGATCCAGCTCACTGTAGTCGAGCACAAATTCTCTCCGCTCTCGTCGCCAGTTTGGCGCATCGAAGAAGACATAAACTCCTCGCTCCACCCGCTCATTGACACGGACGGGCGCCGCGCCCACCGGCTGGTTCTGAGCCAGGTCGACAAGCGGTAGTGATCCCGATGAATTTGTTTCACGCGTGTCTTTCTGCAACCACTGCCGCAGCAGTCTGTGCCATCGCCAGTCTCGTGCTGTCAGTTCGATGCTGGCGAGCTCTTGCTCAATTGAGCGCGGGTACTGGAAGAAGATGGAAAACAGTGTCTCTGCGTACGGCGTCAGTCAAGAATGCATTCGTGTAGTCCAATGTTGACGTACCGTCACTGAAAGCACCCATGCGACTCTGCAGTGGAGGCACGTTGCTCACAGTGTAAGCGCTGGGTAAAGTGAAATCGGGCACGACGTGTCTCTCATGAAAGTCGAACTGGCTCCTGCCGCTACCGCTGCCCGCAAAGACGGAGAAGGTCGGGTAGATAGGGTCTGGGTTGTCCAACTCCATTCCTAACGCGCCAAGATCCTGGCCCATGAAGACCCCATTTCGCATCGCTGGTGGTAGACTTTCGTCCACCGGCTGACCTGCTTCTAGTTGCCGCCGTGCTTCGAAGCCCGCAAGCAACCCGGTAAGGCCATACTTTTCGCTTTCGGTCATGTCAGCGTATCTCTTCGTACTATTGCCTGCAGGCTGGCCATTCGGTGCGCTTAGTTGAGGCTGTAGAGACTGCGCCGACTGTGCAGACCCCATCGGCCCCTGTTGCAGTTGCTGCTGGAAGGCGCCGATACCCTCCGCAGTTCGCATTGGCAGTTGCTGCGATTGCTGTGGATGGAGATTCCGGGCTTGTGAGCTGACATCGGGAGAAGCTATGGTACTGTTAAAGCCGACGCTTTGCCCACTACCAGTGTCACCGTTCATCTGCCCCCCTAAAGGCGGAAAGTCTTCGCCAGTGGTGGCTCGTTCTCGGTCTGATGATGGCTGCTGTGACCTGGAGCCATCGTACTGCTCTGTAGACTGCTGTGAAGGTGCCGCCGAAGGAGCTCTCTGCTGCTGTTGAGATTGCGCCTGCGGCTGCTGTTGATGTGAGGCCGGTGCTTGTGCTTGTGGTAATTGCCGTAATGGGTTATTGTTCCATCCCGAAGCGGCACTACTTGAATTGGCCCGAGGTCCTCCGGAGAGAGAAGGGAAGTCGCTAAGAGAATCAATGTTAGCTTGCATCCTTTGTATAGCATACCAAGTCCAGCTGCGGAGAGATCTGCCTTCTGCCATAGAGCATCGTTTACGTAAGCAAGCGAACAATAACAGGCACGAGCGAGGCACGCACATGCGTGACAGGCAAGCTCGTGACCGTAGCATAAGCTGCCTATTGTTGCCAGTGAAGGATGCGGACTCACCTCATATCAATAGGCCCTTGACCGCTGCCACCACCCATGACCTGTGCAAAGCCACTGAGCGCTGGAGGCCGCGCAGCACCTCCCAGTCCGCCACCGAGACCCGCACCGAGCCCAAGGCCACCACCGCCCCATCCACTGCCACCTAGACCATTGCCAAGTGAAGGCTTGCTGGTGTTCTGCAGTCTTGGTGTCTGCCGTGCCTGTTGCTGAGTTGGCGCGTAAGTATTCATTGCGCAGTGCGCTGACGGTGTAGTCTCTGCACACTTTGAATCCTTGTCAGCGACTATCCTCGTGACAGGTTGATAGAAGTGTAGCGAGCTGTGAGCGACGGATTCATGCTAGTAGTCAAGCAGTCTAACAAGCCAACGTTCTAGTCGTGAGGTGAACGAGTGTTGTGAACGGATTCTCTTCCGGACTGAACATATCGTTGTCGTTACGCAACGAGCCCGGTAGATCACAAGATCGCACTTACCGTGTTACCACATAGTGCTTCCAGTGCATGCAGATGTCCTGCGTTCTTGCCTCAGTCTCCGGCTGCAAAAGGCTTTGAAAGATCTGTCTGTAAGGTAGGCTGGTGACAAGCAAAAGTAGCGGCGTGATATCGCGTGTTAGAGTGTGCAGGCACGGGGATGTATATTGGGGCCTCGACTTAACGATCACCAGAAGTACTGGCAGGTACACATCAAGTTGCTGCAGGTGCGCGCTGGCGTAATTCGGCCGCTGCAAGCCAACCCGCCGATCCGCCTCCACGAGCCAAGTCCCCCGCCATAGGGCTGACTAGCGATGTGAAGATGGCACGTGATGATCAGAAAGACTGTCAATGGTGGTCAGGCGCGGACGGACGACTTTGCAAACGTATGTGCAAGAGTAAGAGACGCTATGGAAAGTGAATGCCGTGCGCGCGCTTGCTACAATCGCTCAAGACCCGCGGCCGGACAGTGTCATGCTCCACTCTCTTTAGCCTCCATCCGCCGTCTGGCCTGCAGAATCATCTCGTCTCGTCTTTTCTTCAGGCCTTCCGCTCTCGCAGCCTTGTCAGAGCTCCAAGCGCTGCGCTTCTGCTCTTCGCTCAGCTCCGCTTCCTTGCCTTTCCCGCCGACCCGACCCTGCAGTCCATATCGAGTAATCAGGTCTTCGTTCCTCGTGCCGTCCTTTCTGGTACCCGCACTGACCCCCACAGCCGGTGCCTGCTGATTCGGACTTGGTAAATGCGGTTGGTACGAAGGCGGCGGGTTGTCAAGCCCTTGTCCGCTCAGCACTCTCTCGGTAGTAGCGCCCACAGACTGGCCGTTTCTATGCAGGTCCCAGGCGATCGTTCTTCGGTCGAGCTGTGGGAACATTGCGGCTACTTGCTCGACTTTGGTAAGGTCAACTTGCTGTCCTCTCCGTGACGATGAGCTTGCATTGTTGCCGGGCGCGGAAGGCTTGCTCATGAACCAGCGGATGGCGAAGAACCCAACGAGAGCAACCGCGAGGATCTGAGGAATGTTTATGGACGAGAGAGAGGATTCCGCCATTGCTGAAGGCTTCGTGAGGAGTGCGCCCAGGATCACTTTCTTTATACGCTCCGATAGGTGAGTGAGACGCTGGCGCCTGTTTACGGCGTTCGAAAGACGATCCAGCTTGTGACTTAGACAGTGATGAGAGCGCACAGATGATGTTGCGCTCAATTATGCACACTGTTGTTCGGAAAGTCCTGGTTTCGCCAGCGTAGGATATACATGTATGATGCAGATGAAACTGATAATCACAGTCTCACAAACTACCTCTAAAGCCGCGGCTTGTGGCGGGAAGCTGCTTATGTAACGCATGCGTGCGCCGAAAGCATCACTTATCAAGATGCACGTGTTTGGACTTCACGACCAACGACTTTCCACCAACTAAATTCTAAAGACTGCGCAAATCTGACATCCCTGGCACAGCGACCATGGCGAACGGGTAAGATATAGCTTTTTTAGGCTCGCTTGAACATGCGCTGACTCGTCAACCACAGCTGGTCCCTCCTCATCTCGATCATCTTCATCGTTGTCTTCTCCATCGTATCCTGGTTCGCGTCGCCCAAGGGAGAAACTCAGACGGTCTGGAGAAGCACGCTCGTGCTAAGCGCTTGGGCCTGCTGGTTGATGTGGGGTGCGTATAAAGTATCTCTTCATGGCGTGGAATACGTTTGCTTATCTGTACGGCAGCAATAACCTTCCTCGCACAATGGCATCCGCTCATCACCCCTCAACGAGCGGACTTGCGGCCTGAGTATGTCAACGGACCGGTGAAGAGCAATGCTGCAATGTTGTTTTGAGCGCGTGACGATGCATGGGAGGGGCGTTTTGGTATGGGATGAGGCGTTAGAGCAGCTCTACAGGACAGCGTGGCGTGCTTCGCTTCACGATAACTCCTGTATAGCACATGATGACCAGAAAAGCATCACCGTCTACTGGTTTGCCACTCCCATTCGTGGCGACCGAGCGTTGTCAGCTACAAGCAGATACATTCCGTACCCCCATCACCCCAGCCGAGCATTCCCCATGACGCTTCTCCACAGCTCGATCAGATCGCCGGTCTCCACCACGCCTGCCGCAGCCGCACCACCATCGATGCCAACCGCCCGGAGAATAGCCCATCCAACTGCAGCTCGACAAACAGCACCAACAGCGCAGAGTAATGCCGCGGTGATGTACCCACAGCCCAGCAAAATTTCTAGCGCTGCTACATTGTTGATGATGACCGCCCAGCTTACTGCTGAGGCGCTGCTTGGTAGGTCGTACTGCCAGATGAGCAGCAGCAGAGGGAACAGTTTCGTGAACGAGCTCACCAGCAGCGCTGTGCTTATCAAGGCCGGACGAGGGTAGTACGGGATTGGTAGGAGTTTGCGCAGCGAGGACGGCAGACGTAGGGAAAGCAGGACCCGGAGAGGTAAGTGGAAGGATACCGTCTCGAGCGTGCACAGGGCGAGGAAGAAGAGGTACTGGAGCAGTATTGGCTGCGTTGTCAGCAAGCTTCCGCTCGAGCCTGCTGCACCGACTGCACTAGTACTGTTTCCGTACGAAGCTGTCTCATTTGTCCATGACGATGGAGGCAGTGGCAGTGGAGGAGGTGGCGAGAGCGGCAGGGACGGAACCGCTGAGGTTGCCTTTTCTATCCGCGCCCATGTCAGGTAGACGTCGAACAGTAAAAGGAGCACGGCGAAACGGATGATCGATGAGTCGAAGCGGTCATCTTCGCGATCCCAGTGATTGAAGAGGAGATGGCGGTAGACCTACCTTTCCCATCAGCCCAGTTGATGTAGCTGAGCTGTGTTCCCTAAGGCAGCTATGGTCACTATAGTGATAGGCATACTTGCGGTTTGATCAAGACAAGGTCAATGAAGAGGACTACAAAGTCATGCTCAACGTACTTGTCCGCGAACCGCTTGCAACGGGGACATTGCGTGAGCCGGACACCCTTGCCAAGCGCTTTATCGTCGGCTTTGCTGTAGGTTGTGTAGAGATTGGAGACGGGGTAGCGGCAGTGGATGCAGATGGGCATCTCTGTTCAGATTCTCGTGATGGTTGTGGCCTTGCGAAGCCTAGAACGAGTCCGAGCAGACAGATATACACATATCGTACCGACGCCCGCTTCAGTCGACCGTACAACGGCGGTGACGTAACACCTCGGCGCGAGTTCATGTGCTCAAGCTCGCGAGGTCAACAGTGTCGAACAAAAACGTCAGGTGATCATATCGCCGTAAGAACTTCACTTTCACATTGTTGCGATCATACAGACAGCTTCGAATCGTCAAGAACTTTTGTCTCCGGTTAAAAACCTATCGTCACCATGCCAGCCCAACAATCAGCCGAATTCAAGAAGGCTGCTGAAGACAGCCGCAAGCTTAAGGCGAAGCCTACCGACAACGAACTGCTAGAGGCATGGCGCATCAAATAATCCAATCTCAAAAATGCTGTGCTGACATGCTCATCCGACAACAAGCTCTACGGCTTGTTCAAGCAGGGTACTCAAGATCCCCCATTCGAGCAGTCAAAAGCACCCGGCATGTTTGAGTTGAAGGTGCGTCCGAAACTTGCATGGAATCGCATTGACGCTTCTCCTTCGAAACTGACTTTGCTGTAGGAGAAAGCGAAGCGTGGCGCATGGGAGAAGGTGCACAAGGAAGGAGTCACTGCCGCAAATGCTCAGAAGAAGTACGTTGCGCTCGTGGAGAGCTTGAAGAAGAAGTACGGACACAATTGATAGGCGACTGCATTATCCGCGGTGCTAGCGTTTATGGTTGGATGAACGGGAAAGATGCCAATATCAATGCGAATTTCCCCATGCAACCCTCTACGTCGCAGCGTCTGCTACTGACGGTGCGATTTAATTTGTGAAGGTTGTGCCATTCCTCCGAGCCACCGGGTAAGCTAACGGCCCCAAACCAGATATACTAGTCGGGTTGCCATGTTACTCGGCGCCCGTAAGAGACTCCACGGTCACAGAACTCCGGGAAGCTTCTTTAGAGTGGTCAGCTATCGGAGTATTTGCAGGATCGTTAAGTGAGTAATCATACTGGGATGGCCCGTCTTCTCATGGCAGCCACCAGAAACTCGCCGCCCCGGTTGCCTATAGCTCAAAACCGAGCTTGCACCGACTTACTGCATCTGCCTCTTCAGTTCTGAGCGGCTTGACAATTCCACGTACTTCAGAGGAGAGACGAGGCTATGCATAGGGATCCAGTACAGCTCATTGCCGACAAAGGCAAGTGCTCACTGGTAATGGCCCGGAAAGCCTTGTAGGCATATATATAAGCAGTGTTAGCGACGCCTATCAGCTGCTTGGCGTGCCAGTCAACATGCTGCACAACCGCGCAAGGGCTACCTATGCTTGCATGCCGGTGGCTATGACAAGCTCTGTTATGATTCGGAAAGGGAGCATAGCACACGAGCTGCGGTAACACCCGCAGGACGGCGTGAGCGCAAAGTCAGAAGCGAAAGCCGAGTGCGGTACATGCGGTTCAACCACTTCTCCACTGACGCGGAAAGTAAGTTATAAGTTGCCGCAAGAAGGCACTGAACTTGAGACGAAGCGTCCTGGAAAGAGGGCTTGACCGGTCAACAGTGAGATGCTCTTACAGGGGCAGCCGAGCGGCACAGCGCTTTGCCACACCATGGAGCATTGTCCCTAGCCATGCGGGCCAGTACGGAGATTTCACTGGACATGCAGAGGGAAAGAAATTGGCAGTCAAGCCTCGTCTTTAGCCATGACGGCACAGACTCAGCGACACCTTCTGCGGATAATGGTTTTCATTTGCGATGAGATAGCTAGTGCGCCATCACGCCGAGGGTATGCTGCGCAAATTGGTCGTCGAATGGCAGGCATGTGCCATGCGCAACGGCACCGTGGAAGGTAGGTTGATTACAAGCAGTCTAGGTGCGCGGGGGGCGGTCGTTGAAGTTGCGACGCGGGCGATCTGTGACCTGCGGTTGTTGTACCGCAACGACGTTGACAGCAATGCTGTCGAACTGTATGCCCACTATGTCAGTACCGCCCATTGCTGCCACTGGGAAGATGTGGTACTCACGCCCATAGACTTCAGCAGATCCTTGGTCTCCTGGTCGACATCCAGCATGCCGCTCTCTGAGTTCTGAGTGAAGTCAAGTGCCGAGACTTCTGGCACAAATTGATCCTTGCGTTCACGCTCCTCTTCTTGCAGCTTGAAGGAAATGCCGCGCACGGGACCTCGTTGAATACGCTTCATCAAATGTGTAGTGTAGCCGGCAATCTACAGTACCATCAGCATCAGTTATCTCAAGCTGGTGATCGGCCTTAGGATAGGCATACCTTGTTGCGTAACCGCTTGCTGGCAATCACAGCGATTTCATCGCAAATGCGCTTGTTGGTCTCGAAGTCAAGGGTGAGCCTTGGGTAATAACGCTCAATGATGACCTTGGCCGACTTCTTCACCGTCTTCGTCCTGACGCGACCCATGTTGGCGGTTGTGTACAGTGGGTTGGAAAGATGGTGTCGGCGGTGGAATGCTTAATGTCTCTCTCAGCGGGCCAACAAATTCAGAGTGGTGCATGCCAAGACAAGCAAAGGCGGAGACGGAAAAGTCCGGCTTCCAGTCGTTGATCTGTGCGCTGAAATCTGATTGAGGCTGATGAGCAGAAGCTGTACAAGAACGTCACATTGCAATGCTGGGTATCTAAGGGCACTCCATCTACCAGAATCCGAGACGCCTCGAGAGCACCGACTTCGACTATGCCACCCGGTTCCACGTGCCTCACGCTAAGCTTCACTTCAAATCCTGCGGTCCCAATACCTGAACCGTACTTGTGCCGTCCATGAACCGCGTTCTGAAGATGCGATTTGCGTTGCCAAACATGCCGTCCTTCAAGCTGACAACAATGAACTGCGAGCCCTTGAATCGTGTCCGGATCAGACGGCCAATATTCTGAGTATGCGACAAGTCAAGCGCAGCATCTACCTCATCCAAGATGTACATCGGAGCCGGCGAGTACTGCAGCAGCGAGAGGATCAAGCTCAGAGCGATGAGTGACCTGCGAACCTTATCAGTGAACTTGTACGTGCTTGGAGTATGAAGGTACGCACCTTTGCCCGCCTGAAAGCTCGGTCAGACTCTCCTTCCACACCTTGCCCAAGCACACCTTCACCTCCAAACCTTTCCCGATATTTTTCTTGCCGTCTACCTCCACGGGCTCCAACTTCGCTGTGTTGCCCGGCAGCAGATCGTTGAAGATGAGCCCAAAGTCCTCGTTCACCTTCCTCCAGGTCTTTTCCAATGCCGTCTTCTTATACTCATCAAGGCTTCCGATCGTCTCTTCAATCTTTTTCTTGTCTTTGGTTACAGTCCGCATCATCTGCTTCAGGCTCGCTTCCTTCTTCTCTACGCTGTCGATGGTGGCCATAACTGCAGGGTTGATTTTCTTCTTCATGTCGTGGAAGCGTTCAGTCACGGTCTTGAGGTTTGACTTGCTTTCGGCCATGTTGTGGGAGCCGAAGTCGTACGGCGTATTGGCCTTGCCGAAAGACAGAGCTTCCTCGTGGATCCAGTCGTGCTCCTTCTCCATCGTAGAGAGGGTTTGCTGAGCGATCTGCTGTTGCTTTGCGAAATTGTCTACGGCGTGGCCGAGCTTTTGCGCTTCAAGCTTCTCGTCCGCGATTTGTTGCGCCTTTCGCTTCGAGGCACGCTCGAGGTCCGCAATCTCCTCGTCAAACCCGGACAACTTCGCTCGCTCGTCATCCAGCGCCGCTTGAGCTTCGTCATGCGCACCTCGTGCTCGCTTCTGCTCCGCCTCAAGGCCCATTAACTCCGAGTTGTGACCCTCAAGTGTGGTCTCCGCGTCTTGCGACTCTTCCTGCGCGGCAGCAAGATCCGAGCCAGTCTGCTCCGCGTCGAGCAGAGCTTCTCGCATCTCCTGCTGCAAGGGTCTGATGGCGGCTTGGGCTTTTGACAAAGCCTTCTTTAACTTGTCGAGATCCTTCTGCAACTGGTCGAGCTTGCCGGACTTGTTCGACGAGAAGTCCTTCATGTCCTTCGCAATCCGGTTGGCTTCCGATACGGCTTCTTTCCGCCTTACTTCAGCTTCTTGGATGTTAGTCTCAAGTGCTGCCATGGTCTCCTTCATCTCCTGCACGCTTGCAATGATGCTGGACGAAGAGTTTGATGCGATCTGTAACTCCGCGAGTTGGATCTCGTGCGCCTTTAGGTCAAGTTCTTGCTTGATCTGCCGCGCCGACTTGAGCTTCTGGGCGTCTTTCGCAATGGCTCGTTCAAGCTTGGCTAGCTTCTCCTCCTCCTGACCGAGCCCCTGCGTAACGGCATTGAGCTTCTGGAGTGTTAAGAGCACGCCAGTGCCTTGTGCGGCGGATCCACCGGACAATGTGCCGGCTGGATCGTAGACATCCCCATCGAGCGTGACACTCTTGAGCCTTATGGATGGATCAAAGGTCACCTTTTTCGCCGTTGCCGCGTCGGCAGCCACCAAGGTGTTGCCGAATACGAATTCCATGGCTCTCTCGACCTCGTGGTCAAACCCAACCAGCGTGAGTGCAAGATTAACTTTGCCTGGCGCCAGTCTCTGGGCAGCAGCCACCTTGTCCGCTGGCGCTCTCGACGCGGCAATCCTATCAAGCGGGACGATTGTCACTCGTCTGCGGAGCTTGCCGTTTTGCAATAGCTGTGTGCCCGTCTCCGCAGAGTCGACCACAACATTGTACAGCCTACCACCGGCGCAGATTTCAAGCGCCGTGCCAGCCTCGGAATGCTGCTCTGGCAGGTTGAACAGCTGCGCTACAAGGCCTTTGACTCGCCGCCGATCGAAGTCCGGAGATGGGTCGGAGTACGAGAAGTCCAGCCCTGCGATTCTCCGCCTCAGCGCCTCCGCCTCGCTCTGTAACGCGCGAATGCGCTTCTCAAGCTGCGCCTTCTCCGCTTGTTGCAGCTCCTCTCGGCCAGGATCGAAGCCCAACTTCTTCAGCTCGTCTTCAAGCTTCGCTGCTTGCTTTCGAAGGAGTTGCAGGTCGCCGAGTAGCGACGCGTTCTCTTTCTCTGCCTTCTTCGCTCGAGGCTCATCTTCCTTGATGCGCGCTTCAAGATGGCTGATCTTGAGCTTAGCTTGTTCGATCTCCGTCCCAGTTTTGGTCGCCGCGTCTCGTGCTGCCGTCAGCTGTCCGGCATAGCCGCCGTCGGAGCCTGCGTTCGAGGAGATGCCGGTCTGTAGCGTGTGGAGGAGCTCTTCCTTTTTCTCAGCCTCAGCCTTTTGCTCCTCCACACCCCTATTTGATGCTTCGAAGCGCTCTTGCAGCTGCCGGTGTAACTCTGCCTTCTTCTTCAGCCGCCTCTCAAGCTCCTTCGCGCTTGACTGCGCCTTCTTCAAACGTTCTTGTTCTTCTGTCATTGCAACCTTTTTCAAGTCCAAGACTGTCGCTAGGCGCACAAGCTCATGCGAGTGCTCTTTGACGGCCTCTTCCAGCTTGCCAAACTTACCGCCTTTGCGAAGCTCCTTGTCCTTCTTTGCACGTACGTTTTGCATATCTTCTTCGAGTACGCCAATCTCACGCTCCAGCTTCTCCTTGCTCTCTTCGATCTCCGCTGCGCGCCCCCTCTTCGCTGCCAGATCTTGCACGCTCTGCTGCAGTTTCTGCTTGCTCTTCACGTAGTCGTACGCAACCACTAACCTCGTCAACCGCTCGAGATCCGACTGCGTACTCTGGAACTCCAAGAACGCTCGTTTTTCGTTTCGTAGCTTGTCCAGCTTCGGCTCGATTTCTTCCTTCAGCAGGCCCTCGAGCTCTTCCACCTTGGCCTGCTTCTTGGCCATCGTCCGCAGCGCCTTCTCCCGCCGGTCTTCGAACATACGCGTGCCTGCCGCTTCCTCGACCATGCCAAGGATCTCAGTGCTCTTCATGTTCAGCACCTTTGTAATGCGACCTTGCATGATCAAGAAGTTTGGGTTGTTGATGTTCAACTGGACGCTCTGAAAGAGATTCTGCACTGTCTGCTGTTGCGCTCGATGCCCATTGATCAGATACTTGCTCATACCGCCCAGCACGATCTGCCTTGTCACGCTGATGCTCGCGTAATCCTCGAAGCCAATTGGCGACTTGGGCTTGTCACTGTTGTCGAACACAAGAGTGACCGAGGCCTTGGTGACGCCGGCCTGGCCACGCTTGTAGATGAGGTCGCTGGCGCCGCCATTGGCACGCAAGAGCTCGAAGCGCCCGATACCAAGACAAAAGCAGATGGCGTCGAGGATGTTGGATTTGCCGGAGCCATTCAACCCGGTGATGGCGTTGAAAGTTGGATCCCAGCCCGAGATGACGGTTCGAACAGCGTAGGACTTGAAGCCGTCGATGATAAGCTCGGTAATGCGCATCTTTATTCTACTGCGCCGTTCTCAATTGTCCATAAGACGCATGCGTTGTCGTAAGCTAGAGCTTCATACAGTCTGTTTATTCGACCGTTGTTTACTTCGAAAACTAGCGCCGGGATCAGCCCGTCTCGCGCTTTCACACGATGTCACGCGATTGACCCACCAGCGACTATCTCCTCCACCACCTTTCAGTAGCGTGCGAACAACAGGCGTACAGGGTGCAAGCAATGCTCGTGTCTTGTGTATCATACGAAGGTCATTACGTGCACCGCGCAGCAACACAATCAGAGCGCTGCACACCCAGACAGTTGTCGCGGGCATTTCCGATAGCGGCTGCAGGGTGGGTCACTTTTTGCAGACTTGAACATTCACTTGTACTCTCCTGCCTATCCCGACGCATTTGTGGCTGAGCCCAATAAGGGTGAAGATGAAATGATGGTCTACTCTATTCCGCTATGAGCTTCGAAGCCTATTGCTGTTGTTGATCCTTTTTCTTACTATGGAAAATGACTACCTATATGTGGGCGTCTGGAAAGGCAAGCGTATCCGGGAGTCATAAGCGCATTGTTTCTACGTTGAAACGACAACATGCCTCGAGTACAGCAGCCGTGGTCTCACCAACGATCGGGAAACCGGTGAGGTCTCAGGATGAGCATTCCACACAGCGTGAACTGTTTATGGACGTCCTAAGCGCGAATGCAACGAAGCGTGATGCCAAGCAATATCTCTCCCGCTTTAAACGGGTCAAGACACCTCATACAGGCAAAACAGAAGGTGCGAACAGTTCGGTCGAGGAGCCATCTATCCTGCGGCGCCAGCAGGCAAGCCTTGATCGCTTAGGCGTCAACCTCGGAGGTCTTTACGCCCCAGCTCGTGCCATTGCAGAGACTCCGGTCTTTGAGCGCAGCGAAAAGCTGAGGCAGAATACTGTGCCTAATCAGCAAGCATTGCACGTTGCCATTGTCTGTTTGAGAGCACCACAGACGTTGAGTGACCCTGTTCTGGATGGGGTAGCTACTACGCTTTCGCAGCTTGTTAAGCTTGACACCAGAATTGTTCTAGTCCTTGAGCTTGGCAGCGAAGGCACATATATGGGCGCACGAGAGCAGAGAAAGACCCTTGCAGCGCAAGCCGAGCGTCTGCTGGCCGCTATCAAGAAGCACAGCCGCGAGGCTTCCCGCTTTGTGACCGGCGCGCTGGAGACGACCGAAAAAGGTTCGACAAAGCTGGTCTTACCACAATTGATCATGGAGCCTCTGAAGCGCGGTGTAATTCCAATTGTACCGGGTTTGGCTCACACTCCAAGCGGACAACTTACCAAAGTGGACGTGGCGGACGTTATGGCTGCATTGACCGAAGGTATAGCTGGTGGGAAAGGTGCTGGTCACACCGAGGGTCGCCAGGCTGACACTGAAGCCTCAATTGACCGCATCATTCTTCTCGATGCCGCAGGCGGAGTGCCGAGCAAGGTTCGTAGCGATAATGCTCATGTATTCATCAACCTCGAGCAGGAGTACAATGACATTCAGAAGGAGCTCGCGGATTACGAAACTTGGGCGGATGGCATCAGCAGTCCTAACATGTATGATCAGCACAAGGCGAACTTGCGCATGCTGAAGAGGTGCCTTGCCATGCTGCCATCTGCGTCCTCGGCGCTGATCATCTCTCCTCACGAGGCTGCCGCCTCGTCGCAGGCTACTGACGCAGCAGAAGCTGCCATTGGTGCCGGCACACGGCGCCAGAAGAATACGCTCATCCACAATTTATTGACCAACAAGCCTATGGTTTCTTCATCGCTTCCTACCGCGCGGCTCACCACAACCGCTGGAATTGCTGGTGAGGGCGCCCCAGCCGCACCTACAGCAGCAACACTCGTAAAGACTGGCATGCCAGTTGCGATCATACCAGCAGCCGATCGTGTTGATGGGTGGACAGCGCCACCTCATGGCCATTCATCCTTCGAGCTAGATCGAGACCCCAGGGTTGACTTTCCTCGTCTAGTACATCTGATAGAAGATTCTTTCCGGCGCAGACTAAATGTCAAGCACTATATTGATCGCGTTCGGCAACGCACAGCAGGCCTTATTGTAGCAGGGGAGTACGAAGGCGGCGCCATCTTCACGTGGGAACGACCACCAGCGTCCTCCACAGGGCAGCGTCTAGTGCCTTACTTGGACAAGTTTGCAGTCCTGCAAACATCGCAGGGATCATCCGGCGTTGCAGATATACTGTTCCAGTCCATGGTTCGAACTTGCTTTCCGAACGGAGTATGCTGGCGAAGTCGAGATAACAATCCCGTTAACAAATGGTACTTTGAGCGTGCAGCAGGTAGCTGGAAAATTCCAGGAAGTGGCTGGACAATGTTCTGGACAGGGGAAGGTGTCGTCGACGACAAACAGAGGTGGCAGGATTATGTAGGGGTGTGTAAAAGTGTCGTTCCGAGCTGGGCAGATGGGAAGAGGCCAGACTGATGGAATGCTGCGCCAACGCTGTGAGACACTGAGCGCTCTACGCCTTGTCAACAGTTCTTTCGATTCAACATCAAGTGCTCATGCTTGCAGCGTACGAGGCATTTCAGGTCAATTGCGGTGCCACGAGGCGGAAGAGCGTGAGCAATGGAAAGTGGACGTGATGGAGCAAACAGCCCCGTCTCGCGGTTGGTCCGGGGTTGCTCCTTCTAGATTCGCCAGTACTTCCCCATGTGGGAAAGCCGGGCTGTTGAAACGAGTTGCAAGAAAGCCCCGCCAATCGAAGCTCGACCCCTCATGCACGAGTCCACCGCTAGGAGATCAGCCGCCATCGGCTCGTTGAATAATCTGTGTGGCTTAACAGCGGACAAATTGTCGTTCGGTAGGAGAATACGATTTCCTTCTTCATTTGACGACCACGACTTGTCGCGTACGGGCAGAGATAAAGTCACCAACCGTTCAAGCTTGACGTTGAGTTCTGTGCCATACTCAGCGATAATACAACCATCAACGCAAACGGTTAACTCGGCGACAGTGGGATACAACTCTAGCCAGAACTAGTTCTCCAGTCGGAGTCAGCACAAGATGGCAACAAATGGCTCGCAAGGCGGCGGGCTTCGCATCGCTATGGGCGCCGACGATGCTGGATGCGGCTACAAGAACAAGATCAAGGCCGATCTCGAGGCCGACCCTCGAGTCGCCAAAGTCATCGATGTCGGCGTCAACGATAGCTCGGACAAGACTGCATACCCTCACCCTGCGGTAGACGCGGCCAAGCTCATAAAGAACGGTGAGGTCGACCGCGCATTGTTGATTTGCGGCACCGGACTCGGTGTTGCCATCAGCGCGAACAAGGTACCAGGTATCAGAGCTGTGACGGCTCATGACAGCTTCAGCGTTGAGCGGGCGATCTTAAGCAATGATGCGCAAGTACTTTGCATGGGCGAGCGCGTGGTTGGCATTGAGCTTGCCAGAAGGTTGGCAAAGGAGTGGGTAGGGTACAAGTTTGACCCTAATAGCGCGAGCGCGAAGAAAGTGGAGGCGATCATGGAGCACGAGAAGCAGAACTACGCATCGTAAGATCGGAAGGAAACGCTAATCGTGCTTGGCAATAAACGACTCTACACAATTCACAGCTGGCTTGGGAATATACAGCTACTATTGGTGTCTCGGCCTACAGTTGATGCCCAGTCTTCTTTTGCGCCTTCTTCCAACTCTCCGTAGCCTGGCAGTGTTTAAGGTAGGCTTCCACTTTCTTCCAATGCTTGCCCTTCGTGCCCAGTTCTCTGGCAAACATGAAGTCCACACTAAACTCCATCATGGTGTCTGCAGCCGTCACCGTGTCGCCAACTAAGAATTTGCCATTGCTCTTACCAAGCTCGGCTTCCAGATAATCCAAGTCTTTCTCTGGGTTGACGCTGATTTTCTCTTCGGACTTCGCAACGTCCCCACCCACTTGAAACCAGCGGCAGTATAGCACGGCAAGGCCATGCAGCATAAAGGTGGCCTCGGCAGCATGGACCCATTGCAGCACGGCGTATCGCTTAGAATCGCCTGCCGCAGGAAGCAGGCGATGTTGCTTGTCGTATGTATCGCAGATATATCTTTAGCGACTTAGTCGCAATGGGCAGTGCCGAATATAGTGCTCTCGCTTACTCTGTGATGTTGCCGCTCTCGTAGAGCATGACATCGCCATCCCTCATTGCCGGGAACTTGCCAAGCCCGCCGGCTTCGTCCTTGAGCCATTGCGGTGCCTTTTGGTTGTCTCTATTCGCAAATTTGACCTCGTAGTTAAGTCCAAGCTCCTCAAGCAGCCATGCAATTCGGATTGACCGTGACGCTTGCAGGAAGTAGAGAGTGATCTGAGGCATGACTAAACAGACGTACATTCACAAACAGGGAACGAAAAGCGAGGGAAGATGCAGAGACTCGGAGAGGTTTCCCGTTTTTGTCACTTACATTCATGTAGCCAGCTTATTCCCAGAGCGTCGGTCAAGGTAAGGTTTCGAACCATGAAGTCCCGGCCGCCCCGGCCATCAATGAGTGTCAGAGTTGGCGACACTCCTCCCACGCGCCTTCAATGCTCCATCGTAAGTTCGTGAATCCTCATGTCGCGCAATGCTGTCATTTCGATGGACGCAAAGAGTAGAGGGTCCTTCGCAAACAGAGGTCTGGCATGCGTAGGTCGCGAGAGCCGCTGCGCGTGCCAGTAACGGCAACCTCGTGCGTTGAAAGGAACAGTGTTTGAAGATGCCAAAAGGATGCGTGAACTGGAAGGATTGCATCTGTAGCTATACGGACGATAAGACGCCGATTACTGATCGCCTCTGACATCTTTATCGGCAGAGGCGCACGGAGCGCCCCTATGTTTTTCATGGGAACTCCATCTTGGACAGTCGAAACCACTCCCACAGACTTCCCATTACCTGCTTCGTTGGTTCATGGACGAATGTGATAACAGTCAATGGGATGAGTGTTAAACGCTAACGGCGTCAGTTTCTCATCTCAAAACCTGACAGCTGTGCCTGCAGCAACAAAACTTGCAGGTGTTGTTTGGCGTCCTACTTCGCTCTACAACTATCGAGCACTCTATCCGACTGCTAGCACTGGAAGCTTGTAGAACGATAGTCCCAACAACATCATGCATTGGTGCGGGGTTGTGACGAGCTCAGGGTGTCAAGATCAAACCACTTCCTTTAATAGGACTAAGTACAACCTTTAGGGATCCGTAACCTGATATCGCTAGCCAGAGATACGCCGTCACGAGACAGCCATGGGCATACAAGAGACGTACCGACCGGCTTTTGACACTCCACCTGGTGCGCATCTCGCAGGCATCTCCATCTCTAGCCTCAAGCTGCCAACCCCTTATGTCTCCTACGGTCTGCCCTACCAAGAGGCTGCTGCAAAACATATCAGAAGTACTCTCCATGTATTGCGAGTGTACGTTGTATCTTCGACATCCCTGGCTGTGAGCACGGATCGGCTTGATCGACTAGTTACCGCTGTCGGTGAAGACGCGATTTGTGGCATTACCAAAGGCATAACGCCGCATACGCCGTTCGCGGAGATTCTTGAGATCACGGCGAAGTGTCGGGAGAATAGCGCTGATTGCCTGTTGGCACTCGGGGCTGGATCGATCACAGATGGATGCAAGATTGTGGCACTCGTATGCGATTCGTAGGCGAGCATTCTTACTTGGACGCATAGTAATTGACGGGCTGATTAGTACCTCGCAAACGATATTGATAGCATGGAGGAGCTGGCGAAGTATGCTGTGGGGGGCGAAGACTGCCCTAAGTCCGTCAAAGAGCCATCGGTGCCGTTGATCACTATTCCGACAACTCTATCCGGCGGAGAGGTTGGTCTCGTAGTCATGGGCTGCTATGATCTTGCAGATACTGATGCTTCGGTCTGCTAGTACTTTAGTCTTGCAGGAGGCACTGATGATTCCACGCACCACAAGCATGGCTTCCTGCGCTCTGGGATGGGGGTGAAGCTCATCATACTGGATCCGGACCTTTGCACGACTACACCAGCATATCACTGGCTGAGTACTGGAGTACGTACTGTATTGATCACTGTGTGGAGGCCTTATGCTCTTTGCACAGCACACAGCAGGCTGACGCAAACGCTGAACAAGGCCTGCGGCTCCTCGTTCCAGGCCTACTGAGGACGAAAGGGCACCCGGGCGATCTTGATGCGAGGCGCAAGTGTCAACAAGGTGTTAACCTAGCTATGGGCAGTATCCGTGCTGGTGTGCCCATCGGCGGTAGTCATGCGATTGGACATCAACTCGGTAAGCTGAATCATATCCTGACTACGTAGGAGACCTGAAACCTAATTCATAAGGACCACTCGGTGTGCCGCACGGCGTTACGAGCTGTATCATGTGTCCAGCGGTTATGAAATATAACATGCAGCACGGCCGGAACAACCCTGACATTGCGCGACGGCAGGAGCATATTCGGGATGTACTGTGGGCTGAGCCCGAAGTCACCGCTGCACTGCAGGCGGCCGGTTTGAGGCAAGACTCGGCAGACCTGGGCGACGTGCTCGACGCCGTGATTCGCGCTCTTGCATTGCCACGTAGTCTGAGGGAGCTGAATGTCTCCCCTCAGATCATACCGTCGCTTTCCGAAGGGACGCTGGAAGAATATGGGCCGCAACTAATCCCATACCTCTGCTTAAGGCGGAGCAAGTGACTGCTATACTCAGAACTGTGGCCTGAAGTCGTTCTGGACCACTTTCAGCGGCCCGGCGATCAGTTAGCACAAGTGATCAAGAAGAAGCACCATCACCAAAGACATCTCGCGTACGGAGTCTTCCACCCGATCGATCAGAAGATATAGTACTAACGTACATACAATACTTGAATACGTTCGATGAATACAGCTGGTCCGCTGGCGCTACCGCGAACGCCGAATATTCACTCCCATTGCCACCTCCCAGCAACCAGTTGGTTTCGCTAAGTAGCTTTAGGCGTCGCCGGCGCCCATGCGCTCCTCCTTCATTTTCTGCCTCTCGCTTGCACCCTTGATGATGTGAGAGATGTCGAAGACTACTGTGTGTCAGCAGTAGGCAGCATTGCAAGCAGACGCAACACCTACCTGGGATTTGGAAGGGGAAGTCGAGTGCTGCCAGCATGATGGCTGCAAAAATCCACCAACCGAGCAGGTCAACGACGAACGTCAATGCGCCAGCGACAACGGTCAACTGGGCCCCAAGGGCCATGTTCCCCTTCGCAATCTGCCAGTATGCGCCAGCGAGGCAACCAAAAGCGGGCACCAAGAACGCGAAGATAAGAAGGAAGATGACGTTCGTGCGAAGGGCGCAGATCATGTAGATGAAGCAAAGGACGCCCATGAACACGTGGAAGAATGCTGTACCATGGGATTAGCATAATCCTCACATGCTTATCCCGTAGTCGTATACTGACCAAAGCTGGCGTAGAAGCCAGGCTCTTCAAGACCCTGCGCCGGGACGCCAGTTGTCGAGAAGGCACCGTACGCGTTAAACCAGGGTGTGAGGGTACCACCGAACGAGAGCCAGAACGCGCCGAACGAGCCGAAGACCACGAACGGGAAGGTGTTGCCAATGATCCACTGCGACGCGTCAGTCGAAGGAGCCATGTTACATCCCATCGATCTCAACTTACTTCGCCGATTGCTCCAAGAATCATAAGTAGGCCGCCGAAGAAGTAGTATATTGCGGTATCAGATGCACCCGACCCTCCGGCGCCTCGCCAGCCCATGAGGATGCAGGAGAGCGGTGTCAGGGAAAGCAGGAAGCCAACAAGACAGCTAAGTATCCTCTGTCAGTAGTGACTCGTTCCAACAACTTCGGACAGCTACTTACAGAGGCGTAGGGTTACCGAAGGTCTTGCGAAGCTGCAGAAAAGTAGGACGAGGTTAGCACAACACTTCGGGGCAAGTCCTTGGAACATCTTGTACCTCGCCAGCGACTCTGTTTTGGGGCGAGAGATAGATTTTCTCGAAGAGTTCGGGGGAGATTGAGAGACTGCCGGTCGTCTGGATCCTTTTCAAGGCGGTGTCGACATCCATGTTGTTGTCGAGGTGGTAGCCTGGAATACGTGTCAGCGGCAGTACAAGGGTCGCCCTACAACAACTTACCATTTGAGAAGTCTTTCTCCAACGGCCCATTGTCGGTCGGTCCAGGTGCGAAGTTCGCGTTGTTGCGGGTTGCCTGATAGGCGTCCGAGTTCGCTGCTGCCATAACTGCGCAGTTGGAGAGAAGGCTGACGTTCGTGGAATGGAAGCCGGCAGAGCAGTTCACAGCACCTCAAACTGGGCGATTGGCACTGGACGATCAGAGATGTGGAAGGAATGTTGGGAATAGCAACCTATGTATACGCCTCCTCATTTCGATCAACGGCTCCGCCAGGCGTCCGACAAACCTAGGCCAGTGTTTGACACGACTCAGACCCCTCTCCTACATGGATCAGAGGAGACGACGACACGCCGCTCATCAGCTCGGACGAGCTTTCCAAGCCCGCGTCGAGCTTGTGCTCAGGTCAAGTGCGCGGTCGTGAAGGCTGCTTGCCGAGCAAATGCGTCTGCAAGCTACCCGTAACTGGCTTGGTTCGAGATCGACAGCGCTCACGGTTGGCTGCTACTCGCCCCGTACCTTTCGAAGCACCTGCTTAGCGCGCCCTGACGCCCGGCTCTCCGGTTCCGGGTTGACGACAATTGATGTGCTTGATGTGCTCGAAGGGCAGCTTCCTCAGCAGCTCGTCCAGAATAGCAGGCTGGGCAAGTCCTTGAACTGCAGCGTGGGAAGTGAGTAACACGAGCTCTACACCTACTCAATGCAAGGCCAGCATAGGCGCGCAAACAATGCGATGCGCTGCCTGCGGACAGAAGGAAACAAGGACAATGCCGGGCCTTAGCGCTGTAGCTCCACACGGTCGATCCCCCGCTCCTGCGGAGGTGGCTTGGGCGGATGCAAGGAAAGGACACTCCGAAACCCCGTCTTCTGGAGATACACGTCTCTTCGTGTCTCATAGTTCACCGGCTTTGATTGCAGTCACGTCCGAAAAGCGCGCGATGTTTGTTATGGTTGACATGATTCGCTTTATTTGTATGAAGACACATGCTGACTGAGAAAGTTTTAACTTACAAGCACCATCTACTTTTCGTAAGGTGAAGAACCAATTTTGCAAGGTTTGCTAACGACCAAGCCACTCTCTGCCTTCCAATCTCACGACAGGTGAAAGCCGCGGTGCAGTCAAAGCACTATTCGTCAAAATTCCTACAGCAATCGTTCTCTACATAGATTATCAGTAGAGGTCACCGCCAGTCCGAAGGCTTTCCACTCTTCACGGTGCTTTCACACGTGACATGCAAGCTTTTGAAGCTGTCTAGCTCCACGTTTACGTGATGTGGACAGGCTTCATTGGTTTTGATACATGATGTTGCTGCTGTTCAGAAGCTCGATGGTTTCGCAGATAAGACATGTTTTGCTTTCAACGTTCTTCGACCAACACTCGTGTGTAGCGGCAGAGTTATGACCTACATGATCCGACGACCAACGTCTCGAGACAACCTTCGAAAAAGGCAACCTTTTCTAAAAACGAACTAAGGTACAGCCTCCCAGGAAGAAAGTTGGCTGTTGTTCCACAATTGTTGTTGATGCATAAGAGCTTTAAGTGATGATTCCGGAGTCTTCACAACATGAACGGTAGCGCGTCGCGGGCTTGACGTAGATTTTGCCGTTAAGATGGTGAAGGCACATCCACACGCTGCTCGCTTGTTCATATTTACAGCGAACATGAACTCTCACGCTTGCTCAGCGAAGGAACCAATGGGCATGCCGCACTCTCTGTGATCACTAGGTTTGTTCAAAGGCTTGTAGTTGGATCGTAATGGCCATGGACTAGACGTCGACTTGGGTACGCATATGATGGTCCAGAGTCACCCACTTGCGCCGCCACCAGACGAGACGAGATCAGCGACAAGTGAATGTGCTTATTCGAGACAGGAAGCCTGCAAGGGCACTACCACTGCAATCACCTGTTGTTGGGGGTTGAGGTCCGCCAATGCTACGGCTCACGGAATTTAATGAGACGCTAGGGTAGCTGGCTGGCAGTACCAATGTCCACACTGCTCCGAGCATCGATTCCAAAGATGGGTCCCTCCTGTTCATCACTACATAGTCAAACATGATCGGTATGCCTAGCTATGCTCTGCTCAAGTTTGTTAGTTCGGACGAGAGCGGGACGGTTCACGAGAACTGACATGTCCTGTCAGAGGTTGCGGTTTGACCGAGTCACAGTACGTACTCGCTCGGGATCGTACGGCACCATGCCCATTGTGCAACCAGCAGTGACTCACATCTGAATGAATGTACGATCCTGCCAAACACCATGTGCTCGTATTCGTGGCTGCCAAATGCACCGCGGTTTCCGGCGCAGTCAGGGTTCACTGTCGCGCTAGCTGCAACGTGGATAACAGTGCGAGACCGAGCCGCACGTGCATGAATGACAACCTGTCGTAACACTTCCTCATTGCTTCACGTATAAAAGGCGCCGCAGCACGCATAGAGCCAACAGGAACAGAAGATGACATAGTAGGTTCATCAATTTCTGTATTCCACCTCCATCAAGACTTTTCGTGGTACACGCATTCCGAGCGACGGCCACCATCATGGTGGCGATTCAACTTGCCATCCTGCTGATTGTCTGTATCGCTTACCGCTTCGTGTCTGCCCATGTTCGAGAACGCCGCTTCCGGGCCTTCGAGGCCCAGCATGGCTGCGAATCTGCTACAGATCTTACTGTTCCTTGGTATGGAAGGGTGCAACATCTTCAACGGATGATGAAGGCGGGCCAGAACAAGGAAGACCTTCTGGACGATATCATAGCAGAACGCTTCAATAGGGCGTATACTCACCAGGCTCGTGGTTTTGATGGATCACTGAACATGGGAACCATCGACCCGGCGAACATCCAGGCAATGCTGGCGACACAGTTCAAGGATTTTGAGACAGGCCAGCGACGATATCAGACACTCGCTCCTGTCATCGGCAAGAGCATCTTCTCAAGCGATGGTGCTTTCTGTATGTTACAAAGTCTGAGAATCATCCTTGCCGTTCGGTCCGCTAACCCGTCATAAAGGGGAACACTCGAGGGCGCTGTTTAGGCCTTCGTTCTCTCGGGAAAACATTAACAACCTCCAAGTCACAGACGAGGCCGCGGCGCTACTTATCGAAGCGATTGGACCCGCGAAGGCAGACGGCTGGACCGGCGCTGTCGACCTCCTCCCTCTGTTTTATAACCTCACCCTAGACACTGCGAGCGATTTTCTGTTCGGTGAATCCGTAGGCGCACAGAGGATTGCCATCTCCGCTCAGCAAAGTGCAGGATCGATGCATGATGCGGCAGCTCATGCGGTTGGCGAGCAGTTCCAGGAGGACCTGAAAACCATCGGCGAGATTTTGCTAAACCGCATACGCCTCGGCACCTTCTTCTGGGTTCCCGGAGTCGGCGAGAGCTTAGGCTTTCGAAGAGCCATAGCGCGGGTCAGAAGCTTTACGGAGTACTTCGTCCAGGCGGCGGTCAAGTCAGTTCGCTCTGGGAAGACTGAAGCCATGAAGGAGACACTACTTAATCGCCTCGCCACTCAGACTCAAGATCGCAAAGAGCTGCGCGATCAAACTTTGTCAATCCTATTCGCCGGTAGAGACACCACGGCCGCTTTACTTGGATGGTGCTTTGTGCGATTGTCACTCCATCCCGACATCTATGACAAGCTTCGCAGCATCGTGCAGAAGGAGTTCGAAGGCGACGAGGGCATCAGCTTTGCCCAGCTCAAAGGTTGCCGTTACTTACAGCACTTCCTCAATGAAGTGCTACGGTTACATGCCACGGTGCCCTTCAATAATCGCGTAGCGGTTAGAGACACTACTCTGCCTGTAGGTGGCGGACCAGACCAACTCTCACCAATTGCCATCCGCAAAGGACAGGCCGTCTTCTTCACCGTATACCTGATGCACCGACGCAAGGACCTTTGGGGAGACGATGCGCTCGAGTTCAAGCCTGAGCGATGGGAACAGAAAGTGCCTGCTTGGCAGTTCTTACCGGTAAGCAAGTGTTCCGTTGTCGTCAATGAGGTTTCATGTGCTAATCATCCGTCACAGTTCTCGGGTGGACCACGGATCTGTCTTGGTCAGCAGTTTGCCCTTGTTGAAGCACGCTATCTCCTTGTCCGGATGCTGCAGCAATTTGACGCCATTCAGCCCGTCGAGATGGCTCAGGCGCTGAGGATGCCGAAAGGCTTGGGCTTAACGATGTGGCCAGGGGAGGGAGTCAAAGTTAGGTTACACAAGGCTTCAGCGTGCTGATGCCGTGTGGCCATCGGCAATGCGACACGTCGTACTGTCGAGAACAGGGGCCCGCGGCACTACGAAGCGTAATGCGTGGGGTCGGGATGTCGTTGGGATGTGGCTGCATTATAGATGCTCTCCACTTCGCGCAGATGATGATACCCCTAGGACAAGATCATAAGCGGGTGACTTCTGTTACGGCGCGCTTTGTATTATGACGGCCGTAGAATAGACCGGCGTTCTGCTGTGAAATGTTCCTTGAGAGTTTTCCCCCGGGCAAACCCTTCGAAATGGCACTTCTAGGTCCTTATAAAAGCACAACCCAGGTCGCACTGCACCAATCCAAGTAACGGAGTAAGGGCAACACAAACGAACGATCGCCGTCAGCGGTTGGAATCGCACATGGCTCGGGAAGATGCGTTCGTCAGGAAAGCGGGAATGGCCCGGTTAGTGACTTGACGGGCTGCATCCTATGCATCCGCGCTCGCGATCCGCTGCGCTAGGTCGAAGAAAGAAGGCCGTGGCCGTAAGCGCAATGCACGCGATCGATTGCGGCGAGCGCTGCATGATTGCAGCGCTTGGAAACATTCCAATCGGCATCCCGCGCCCTGTGCGGCTTGCTATACAAGGAGCTCGTCTCCAGCGTCTTCCCTGCTCTCATCGGCGGACTGCTAGACTGCAGCAGTGACGCCCATCGTGAGACGCAGAACAAGCGAGCTCGGCACGCCACGTGTCGCGATGTCTGCGTGATGGCGCCATGCAGGAGGCCCAAGCAGGCGACAGGTTACGAATCTTGTCCAAACGAAGGCGCGCCGGTTGCGACAGTGCGTAGTCCGTCTCCACAATCCGAGTCCTGCAAAGCAAAGGGTCGCGCAGACGGTGGCCAAAGATGCAAATGTTCCTGCATCTGGAACCTGGTTCACGTTGCGTCGTCTGCGCCAAATACGCCATCCCCGCTTTCTCCTCTCAGTCTAGGGAGCCGTGTGAACTAGAAATAAGCCATGCTGCCGATGCCTTCAGTGGAATGGTGTCGCACGTCGCTGTCGTCGTTTGTTGATGTGTCTCTCTCTCTAAGTCAGTCTGTCGGTCGAAGGAACGTTCGCTGTCAAGCCTCTAACCTTTGTGTCATCTCTGCTTCCGTACTCGACCTTTCTCTCGCACGTGGCACTGACTTCGAGCGGGCCCGGTCTAGACGTATTAACCTTCAATAGCTCCAGCGGCCGCCAAAAGGAGTATTAGCAGCGGAAGCGGACGCTCGACGTCTCACGGGACACGGTCGGTGGGAACCACTGCAGATTTGCCCCATAGCACAAGACACCTCTACTAATACAGCCCAACAGTTCTCGCTTCAGGAACCAGCAAGTCGCACTGCATTGCTCGCTCCACGAGCAAGCCTTTTCAGCGCCGCCCCGCTATTCACGCAAGCCACGGCGAGTCCGGTCCGGTCTCCAGGTCGCTGTGCGCTTTAAGGCTTCAGCCGTGCGTCTAGTCTGACAAGGACGAAAGCCTATCTCTAACCCACTGTGCCCATTCGAGACAGTGCACAGAGGGCGCCGCACTAGCTTTGCGTAGTTCCAGCGTTTTGAGCAGAAAGATGCTCGCAACCATCAGACCTCAAGAGGTGCATGGATTAGGACCCCATCATCGACGACATCCGTCTTCCTACAGCGGTCATACAGTAAGTGTTCAACCTGATCAGCGTCGTGCCGATCAACGCCCCACAATCAACCAAGCTGACTCCACCATCAGCGCATCCTGATGCCTTCCGCAGACCTGGTCTCAGCTAACGTCACTTCTACACCGAAGAGAATACCCAAGCTTGCAGTACGCAGCGTGGTGTCCGAGGACGAGCATGCAGGAGATGGCAGTCCGTCTCCGAAGGGGCGTCTAAGGCGTGACGATGGCGTCAGGCCACCGCCATCGTCTTGCTCTTCCGTGTCCACAACCCTGCCAACCTTGGAGCGGACACATAGTGATCAGTCACATGACTCCCAAGACTCGCTAGATACGATCAGACAGCGCCGGAGCAGCTTCGCGCCGGCCAAGACCAAGGCAGCTGACTCGAAGCGGAAGAATAAGGCCGCGTCAGTACTGGGGTTTCTCACTCTGAAGGAGCCGTCGACTGCCGCTTGGGAAGAGTTCGCGGAAGCACAAAGAAAGGCTGCAGCGCAGAAAGGTGGCAGAGTCTCAGCGGTTAGGCCTGCTGGAGTCTCGTCTCAAAGACTGCCAGACTTCGTACCTAAAACCAATTCGAAGTGGGATGGCTTGCCTGGTAACACACAGCGCACGAGTGCGCAGAGAACAAATAGCAAACGGCTTTCTACTTTCTCCACGGGAAGCAAGCAGACTACGCGAACAACTTCCACAACACGCGCAGACTTCGGTGACGAGTTCGCCAAAAGGTTCGGTTCGCTATCGAGCAAGCCGGGGCGTAGATCGACCTCCTCCTCCGGGTCATCAATGCGAAGCTCGATGCGTGTTACGGGCTCTATGCAGTCATTGCCGGAAGATGCCGGAGAGTCATCCACTCATAGCCCCAGACGCGGCGACGAGCCCAAGCGATCCTTGCAGCAACAACAGCATCCGAACGATCGCCCAGAATCATCCTTGTCGTGCGGCAAAGAAGTCGCACGTTGGGATCAATCGCCATTGCAAGAGAGTCTGAACAGAGATGTCGAGGTGCCTCAAGAACTTGCTCGAGAGAAAGCTCTGGCCATACTGGGCGCTCAGAAACGAGTCGATACTTTTCTCCATCCGCCTTCGCCACCGTACGTTCTTCCAGATATGTCGTCGCTGATGCAGACACCGGAGCTAGAGCTTCCCGAGACTTCGTTACTCGACGTCTCTCAACCGACTCAGCATATCAGCTCGCCCGCAGAGCAATCGCCTCTTACGCCTCCAGCAGACGAGAATCTCCTATTCACGACTGTCGCCGAACATGAGCCCGCCGTTAAGTCAATCGGTGCCGTTACCCAGTCCGAGAATGTCACCTTCTGGCATAGCGATACCGACACCGATACGGAGCCCTTCAGAACTGTACGATCAGGAGGTACACATACTGTACCAAACTTCAGCCGACCCAGAGTCGCGAAATACGTCTTGGCAAATGCGCACCCCGATCTGCCGCTCGAACCTATCATTGATGAGGACATCCGGACCGAGAGCGAAGGCAGCGACTGGTTGCAGCCTACATTGCGCGATGACAAAGGCCGGACATCACCTTTCGTAAATACCCACCTGCCACTGCAAGCCCAGAACCTAGCCACGAGCACTTCATCTTCTCTACCAGCCGCGCTAGTGAGAACGCAGTCGATGTCTTCCCGGGTGACAAGCATAACTATCGGCACTGCCACTACCGTAACGCCCACTCTCGACTCGCCGACATTCTCAGAAAACACGTCAGAGTTGCCTAGCCGACCATCCACAGCTGCATCAAGCGTTTCTACCGTTACCGCTACTCCGCGGCTGTCAACGTCTCCGCCCCGATCAAACAGCGATGCTGTCTCAGTGGCACCAAGCGAAATGTCCGTGCAGTGGACAATGACGCCGAAGGAACGGCTCGGCCTCGGCGGGAAGTTGATTAGACGAGAGCAAGCGGACGTGCTCCCATGGGAGAAGGAGGGTGAAATCGTGACCAGCGTAGCCGCCAAAAGACTGTCCACAGCCTCTTCGTTGGCGCCGACGGAAGGCGGTAGGCTAAAGAGGCTGAGTATTCGACTGAGCAGAAGGTGAGCGCTATCATTAGTATCCCTCACGCGTTACGACATCGGACCTACGAGGGCAATGAAGGCGCACAATTGTTTCTGCTCAGATGTCATGACATGATTCACCAAGACATCCTCTTCGTTTCATCTCGTACTCCATGCTAAGAATACTCCAGTACGTTCGGCTAATCGCGTCTACTCGTTTCCGACCCGACATGTGACCGTATTCGTAGCGGCAGCGAACGGCTTGCGGTGACCTGTACGATCCAAACTTGTACACTGGATCATGTCCTAGCCCGCGACACGGTGTGGTTCAGAGCTTTCGTACTTTTCGTGTCACTGGAGGATCAGTCCTCGACCGACTTGGTAGCATCTTGACCTTCCTTTGCGCTCTGTTCTTGGGTTTTTACACCCTCACCTACTTGCAAGCCTTCTACGTCCTTGGCTAAGCTTTCGTGCTTTGCACTTTCCTTTGCTGACGGGAGTGCGCTGAGTTCGGAACTGTCTTCTGGCTCCTCCTTTGCCCCTGTAGCACGTTCAGGTACAGGCGTTGCAGTGCCTGAATGTATCCTAGAGGCGGGTGCAGAGAGGTGGTCGATCGCAGGATGAGCGGCCTTTGCGGCGCTTATGCTCTGCTCCTTTTCAGTTGGCGCAGAGGACATGGTCTCTACCTTGGGCGGAGCATCGATGCTTTGGACACTAGGCTCTTGCCGTGGTGCTGTTTCCGCTGCTCCAGAAAGTGGCCTTGACTTCGACTCGTCCAATATCGGATGAGGTGACTTGTTCACGCCAGAGGTCTGGCTAGGCACAATACTCCCTCCCGTAGCAGTAGGGTTGACGGGCAATTGGGGCGCAAGACTGAAACCCGTCTGACCTCCGGATGGCGCTGCGTTGTTCTGTGGCACCGAGCCAATGTTGTCTTTGAGCTCACCGAACTCGTTCCAGTCTTCGACTTCTTGCAGATCCTTCAAATCGGTCAGTTGAGAGGGAGGCAAGCAGCATCGCACAGGCAGAGCACGCACATACACCAAGGACATAACCCTCCTTCACCAGCCCAGGCAGCTTCCTCTGCCCAGCTCGACGCTGCCACAACCGTCTCGCCTTCTCATCCGTGGCGATGTCGATAGCTTGGAACGGAATTTTGTTCGCTTTCAAGATGGTCTCCAGGCGCGAGGTAGCGGTTATGATATGGGATGAGCCAGCCGTGAGGGAGGTGTACAGGAACAGTCTCGGATCATTCTCCAGAGCCGAGAGGTCCATCCCGCTCGCCATTTTTGCGTTCCACTAGAAGATTGTTTGTGACGTTTCAGAACGTGGTCTTCTGCTCCCAGAGTCTCTCCGTGGCACTGAACAATGCACTGCGATCGGGCGAACCGCAGCGCTGTGCTGTGACTGACCAATGGGAGCGACGCATGGCGCGCGGGGCAGAAGCTGCGACCCCGAGTTACGCCCATGCTTACCTTACCGTGTGATCGAACTTGACATGCATCGCAATGCGATACTGACCGGCTGAACAGAGGCTTACACAGTTGATAGCTCGAACGTGACGCTGTCCTCCAGCGTGGTTGCTCATACCTCAAAGTGGCCGCATGGCGATCTCGGTTGTAGGAGCCTGTAACCCTCGGTCTTAGGATTTATGCATTGCTAATCGTGAACCTTCATCAAACCCGCCTTCCTTCATTCGTTTAGGACTCTCCCCGCTACGTGGTCGCGTGCGGCAGTTCGAAAGTATCTTGTATATAACCGTACATACCAACCTGCAAGGTGTCAGCCGAATATTCGTACTGTCTCGTTCTGTTGATCGTGGTTTTGCTTCGTTGGACATCTCTCTACGTTCTTTCGCACACTAGCATTCCAGTTCAGTACCACCACAATGCCAGGTATCGCCAATGTCTTCGGTGGCGGTGGCATCAACCCAGGGTAAGCAGAGGACGGTCAATACCAGTCTATGAGTGCTGTGCTGATGCTGCGTAGTGAGTTCTGCCGATGTGTCTTGGTGAGATGCTTGAGAACTAGCTCAGCATGGTCTAAGGCACAAGCCTTAGTAGAATGGGACTCGTTCTAACGCATTGATGATGCAGGCAATACTTGGGGCGAGGTTGAAGCTCTGCACAAATGCTTCGACATCCTGGAGAAGGGAGATTGCAAGACCATCGACACCGCTGCCCTATATGGCATGAGCGAAGAGCTACTCGGCAAGGCTAAAGCTGGGGATCGTCTGACCATTGACACTAAACAGAAGGGCGGCTTCGATGAGATTGGTGCCACCAAAGATAACGTAGTCGCTCAGGCGAAGCACAGCAAGGAGATGCTGGGCTGCAACGTTGACATCTACTACATTCACGCACCTGATCACAAGACTCCACTTGAAGACACCTTAGCTGGTATTAACGAGGTTTATAAGTCCGGGTTCTTCAAGCGCTTCGGCCTATCCAACTACAAAGCCGAGGATGTGCAGAAAGTGTACGACATTTGCAAGGAGAAGGGGTACCCGTTGCCAAAAGTGTATCAAGGTGAGATGAGTAAACGATCCGCGTCGGTTTCTTCCTGTTTGCTGAACACATTTGTTAGGCAACTACTCAGCTGTGGCACGGAAGCAAGAAGAGCTTCTCTTCCCAACTCTACGTAAGCTCGGCATTGCATTCTACGCCTACTCGCCCATGGCGGGCGGGTTCCTGACCAAGACAAAGCAACAGATCACGGATGGGGTCAATCGCTTCTCCAATGAGGCATTGGGCGGGATGTACCGTTCGATGTATAATAAGCCAGCGTACCTTGAGGCTCTTGCTCAATGGGAGCAGATCGCCAAGGATGAAGGCTGCTCGAGGGCCGAGTTGGCGTACCGCTGGGTCAAGTACAACTCGCCATTGAAGGCAGAGCACGGCGACGCAATCATCTTCGGCGCGTCGAGCTACGAGCAGCTCGAGCAGACGCTGCAGGGACTAAACAATGGTCCACTAAGCGACAAGGCCGTCAAGGCGATTGACGGGGTGTGGGAGACTATCGCGCACGAGGCGCCCCTCGACAACTACGTGAGTCAAAGCTGCCATAGCGGGATGCATCTTGACTGACATTGAGTAGCACGACTTCGCGGCTAAGTCCAAGTAAAGTTGCAGGAGGGCAGTTTCCTGCAACAGCCATGGAATATCAAAAGCAGGCTAGGTCGAGACAGAGCGCCACAATACACACACGTGCTTAGAAAGGTAGCCTGCACGATAAGTCTGCTCTGCCCAGCTGATCAGTCCCTCCGTTGAACCACAAGACGCTCTGTTACCAGAGAACCACAGTAACATAGCGCAGACCTGGTAGGCACATCTCAAGCGTGACGTTCAAAGGCTGCGAAGCAATTGGTGCGTTCCTGATGGCCGAGATTTGCTGACCGTCTCACCCTTGTTTCGTACCCATGCAAGGCTGGTGGCTGACGTTCCTGGGACATGGATGACGGTATCAGATAATACAGCCTAAGGGACAGGTGTCGATGCCATCAGAAGCTGCGCGTGGTATCCTCGCTTCGACCTTGCAGCGATAGGTCGGTTGCCCTGTGCCACTGGGCGTCGAAGGTCGCCTCGAGGTACGTCACCATGGTCACTTTTCTGTAGCCGTTTATAGCAGCCTTGCGTAACGCTTGCTGCTCGTTGATTGAGCCGGCTTCGGCCGCTGCAGGTACGAGTCTTGTGGCTGAGCGCCCGCCCTTGAAACACATGCGCTGCGCGTCTCACTGGGCTACCATTGCATTCCTTCCGTAAATACCGTCCTAAGTGGCCTCCGTCATACAGAAGCGCTTCACTTCGTTTCCTCACAATGCTGCATTCAAATCAACATCACGGTGTTTGTTAAGCCACTCGCGCAAAGAAGCTTTCTTGACAGGCTCCGACCGTTGAAGCTTCGTTCTAGCCAACGCCTTACCCGTTTCAAGCTTAACCATGCGCCTTCTAAGGTCAACGGCTGCACTTGCGGTTGCACTGCCTTTTGCACTGGGACAAACATCTACGGACTGCAATCCTACGCAAAACTCATGTCCATCAGACAATGGACTCAACTCTGGCGCGTTTGCGTCAGATTTCACTCAAGGTAGCGGATCGAACGCCTCCTGGAGCGCGGCAAGAGGCACCACGATCACCTATGGCAGCCAAGGAGCCGAGTTCATCATCTCGCAAGCCGGTCAGGCACCCACCATCCAGACTGATTTCTACATTTTCTTCGGCCGCATTGACGTCAAGATGAAGGCGGCATCAGGTACCGGGATTGTCAGCTCAATCGTGCTCGAGTCGGACGACCTCGATGAGATCGATTGGGAGTTCCTAGGTGGCAACACCGCTCAAGTCGAGACCAATTTCTTCGGCAAGGGCAACACCACGGCGTACGATCGAGCGATCTACTACCCAGTCTCGACTCCTCAGAACGACTTCCATACATATACCGTGGACTGGACGAGCGACAGGATCGAGTTCATCGTTGACGGCACGACAGTCCGTACGCTAGCCTATACCGACCCGCTCACCGTTGGCGGTACCAACTACCCTCAAACGCCAATGCGGTTGAAGCTTGGTAGCTGGTGCGGTGGCTGCGCAGGCGTGGCCGAGGGGACTGTCGAATGGGCTGGTGGCAATACGACATTTGAAGGCGCACCTTACATCATGTACGTTGAAAGCGTCGCAATCCAGAACTACAACCCAGCGGGTTCGTATGAGTACGGCGACCTAACCGGCAGCTGGCAAAGCATCAAGATCGTCAACGGTGGTAGCACGTCAAGCCCGACCGGTTCTGGCACTTCTGTCGCCGTTACAGCTGCGGCAACAAGCTCTGCGAAGCCAAACAGCACTAGCGACTCCGCGCCGACGTCGAGTCAGAGCGTGTTTGGCGTTAGCCAGAGTGGAGCTGTCGTTGCCACTACTGTTACGGGCGCATCGTACAGTGTGAACGCGGCCTCCGCCTCGGCGCAGAATGCCAACGGTACGATGTCCACCTCCTTTGTGAGCGCTACCACTGAGGTGCCCGGCTCATCACCATCAACAGGCGCTAGCACGACAAGGGCCAGTGCTACATCGAGCAGTGGCCCGTCGTCGCAGACTGGCACGTCTGCGGCTTCGGCCAACAATGTGCTGGCTGCAGGCTCGCTGCTTAGCGTTGCTCTTGGGTTCTTTATGCTGTGAGCAATGATACGTGTTCCGTGCTCTGCGGGCGGGGCCCAGATACAACCTGGAGCATCAAAGGCGCTCGGAGTGAACGGCGAAGCGAGCGATATACCCTAGCATAGTCTATTGTCTTAGTGCGGCAGACTCAGTGAGTCTAGTGCAATTCCGCCTTACGCAGCGTGGCGTGTGCCTCCCACAGTCTATTCGTCCTGCCTCTATAACCGATGATTTGCGCTGCCGGTAGGAAAAGGCGATACGACGCGCATTCAGTCCACCTTAGCCGGCATGCCTGGCAAAGCAGGCTCTTTGAAAGTGTACACGAAGGTCCTCAAGTCGCTCCAGTGTTCGGAGTTAGCGAAGCTGGGAAAGAGTCAGCGCACGAGAACGACCATGCATTGTTTATTGCATGTATATGGCGCTCCAAATGCGGCAATATGTACACCCTCGTACGTCCAATCAAATGCTTTCTTGCTGTACAAGCGATCATTTATTATGCCACAGGAACGATCTTGCATCTTCCCATTTCTCCGCGTTATCGTATCTATCAGAGCGACCAGGCTCGTCAGCCCTCTTGCGACAAGAAAGCAGTCACGGAAAAGTACAGAAAAGGCGCCGACGTACATATAGGTCATACTGCTCCTCAGACTGGGCTGGAGCGTCTCCGGATAGTGTCGGAACAGCCACATCACGCTTGCCCAACTTACTGAGGCAAAGACGGGCCAGCTGTTCCGCCGCACGAGGTCGAGCTGCTTTTCGTTCAGCCCAAGCCAGCCCTTGCCTCCATGCCCGCCGTAGCTCCCGCCGATCAAGCTGTTGTCTCCGGGTGGCTGCACAGCTAACTTCGCCAGTGCTAACGCCACCCGTGCAAAGACATATATCACGATCTGTTGATTGACAGAACTCCTCGCCGAGCGACCGTGGCCAAAGACCCAGTAACCGCCGAATAGGCCGGCGAGGAACGTGTGCACGCTTTCCTCTTTGCCGCCGTTCAACGACTTCAGTGCCAGCATGCTGCTCTTGTACAGAAGCGCGAACTTGGCAAGATTCATGGCGTGTTGCCGCGTCGCCTTGAAAATGAGCCATAGCTTCTCTCGTAACGTCCCAGAGCGGAACAAGAAGACCATGACCAGAGCGTGGGGGAAGCGGACTTTGGTACCGTAGACGAGGCCATTGCGGATCGCTTTGACGAGCACTAAAGGGTCGTGGTAACGAGGGTCGAGGATAACCTTTTCTAATTGCTCTTGTAGGGGTTTAAGGCTGTCCATGTTGCGCAGGTCTCAGCGTACGTTTATGCGTGCAGGGGATCGTCTACGTCTTCGGATGTGATCGACAGAAGTGACTCTTAGCAGTAGACAGCGGCAAGGACACGCAAGATGAGGTAGACTGTGCAGAGACTCTGTTGCGCACTCATGCCGGGCGGGAGAAGATGCCCTCACGGCCTCTCTCTACCTAACCATTGACGCTCGTGATCTCCTCCCTACCTCGGCTGCGGCATGTGAAAGTGCGGTTGAGGCCTTAGGCATCCAGCCTTTTGCCATGGATCGATACTGGCTGAAAGATGGAAAGGAAGCGCTCTTCTCACACCACCTCCACCCGCAAGGTGCAGAAGCTGATATCGCAATGGCGCCGTCTTCTAAGTAGGGGGAGACTTGATGGGTCGAGGTTGTTACCCGGGACACCTGCCGTCCTGCAATGCAGGGTTGGTGTAAGTCCTATCGACATGCAACACGCTGATTGCTCGCAGACGGTAGGGAGCCTTATCAGACATCCCCCGAAAACCGACTACTCACCTCAAGCATCTGCTAGCCGTGGTAGTCCGCTTACCAGTTCACCGCGAGCTCTTATCTCAAAATGCACTATCCAGATGGAAGTCCTTGCCGATCATGATGCTAAAGCGATCTTGCAAGCCAGCGGGGCTTACCGCCCATGCCAGCATTCTAGTTTGGGAAGTACCTCTTGCTATGGACATCTTTTGTGTAATGGACGCCTCGGACCGCCTCATTATCACCGGCTTCCACCCTGCTCGGTCTTGCTAGATTCTTTGTTCTCCTGCCGTTCGCCCCTTGGCTTGCACTTGCGTCACGTCGTGAAAAGCAGGCCGCTGGCGATCCCCACTATCTCTCCGCCGTGTGTCCACCTTACCTGTAGCGCTAGAATCGGAAAGGAAGGACCTCACCTTATAAATGCGTGCACGCGATCAACACAATCAGCGGACTATTGATCCCGTGCATAGTGTTCGGAGTCGCTCACACCTCCCACACGGCTCCTCTGCTCGATTGGGCAGGTATGAAACCTTGACGGAAGGGACGAACCTGCTTTCTGCGTACGAGGACGCCTACCTACGCCGATGCTGGGGTGGCTGCAGGGCTTGGAGCCTGCACACTATGCCAACTGCAAGTCATGATGGTGAGTTGCAGATCACGCTGGTTCACCGTTAGCCATCGATTATTCTCACGAGCGTCACTACCATGCAAGCTAGGTCAAGCGAACAACACGCTCGCTGTGAACCAGCGCTCAAGCGGGAAGAGATCACCTTGTCGACGAATCGCAGTCTGATAAAGGAGCACACAGGTAGGTCTACATAAACGCGTTCCCTTTCCCACTTCCAATGCACGTCAGGCTCCTCAAGATCTCTCGCTTCCATCAAGATGCTTTACTCTCGCTTGCTTGCATTTGGTGCCTTTGCCGCTGCTTCTCTCGCTTCTCCCCTCACCTCCACGCATTCCATCCATGAGAGAAGGTCCGAAATTCCCGCGGGCTGGACGAGACGGGATGTGCTCGATCGTAGGGCCATTTTGCCGGTGAAAATTGGCCTAGCGCAAAGCAATCTTGACAAGGCAGCGGACTGGCTGCACGAAGTCTCCCACCCTTCCTCCGAGAAGTATGGGAAGCACTGGACAGCCAAACAGATTGCTGAGGCATTTGCACCAAGCGAAGAAAGCGTCCGTGCGGTCAAGTCTTGGCTCGTCTCAGCCGGCATTTCTGAGTCGCGCATAAAGCAATCCCAAAGTTTGAGCTGGCTGCATTTCGACGCAACGGTCGACGAGGCCGAAGACCTCTTCAAGACGAAGTACCATGTGTTCGAGCACATCTCCGGCCAGCCGCATGTCGCCTGCGATGAGTATAGCGTGCCTTCACATCTCAGACAACACATCGACATCGTCTCCCCCACTCTACACTTTGACACCAAGCTGGGTCAGCCAGACAACAAACGCAGTGTCTCCAAGCGCGACCGGCCTGGCACCGGTCGCGGCATTGGGTGGCCTGGCCATTGGAACCCGCCGAAAGGTGGCTGGCGTCTGCCGTGGCCGCACAGGCCCACCACTGACCTCTCCACTTGCGACGAGTACATTGTTCCGGACTGCTTGCGGTATCTCTACCAGTTTCCAACCAACTATGGGGCCAATCCCCAGAACAGCTACGGCATCGTCGAGTACACCCCTCAGGCCTACGTGCCTTCTGACTTGGACATGTTCTTTCGCAACTTCAGCTCCCGTTCCGTTGGCACTCGGCCTATCCTGGACAGCATTGATGGCGGTGTGGTACAACAGACTAACATGTCATTTGGCTATAACGGCGAGAGCGACTTGGATCTCGAGTACGCGATTACGCTAGTATACCCGCAGCCGGTAACTCTCTACCAAGTTGGCGATCTGGTTGAAGGTGCTTCGTTCAACAACTTCCTCGATGCCATAGATGGCTCCTACTGCACATACGAAGGTGGTGACGACCCCACACAAGACGCTATCTACCCCGATCCTTATGGTGGTTATCAAGGTCAGCTCAGCCTGAAGCTACTGTTTCAAACGCCTCCCGCTAATAGTATGTCCCAGGACCCGAGAATTGCGGTGGATATACTGCTACTAAGGTCATCTCTACGAGTTATGCCTACAATGAGCATGTAAGGCAGTCTGTTCGTCATCATGAAATGGTACAAGGCTGACGATCTTGACGCCACAGGACTTGACGCCTTTCTATGAGATGCGCCAATGCAATGAGTACATGAAGCTCGGCATGATGGGTGTCTCGGTCCTGTACTCGTCCGGAGACTACGGCGTTGCAGGCAACGGCGGACAGTGCATTAACGGCACTGGCGCTGACGCCAACTACACCGCACCCGGAGCGGCTTATGGTCGATTCAACCCTTCATTCCCCGGCACCTGCCCATACGTCACCGCGGTAGGAGCCACTCAGGTGAAGAATAACACCGATATCACAACTAGCACCCAGCCGGAGGAGGCTTGTGAGACGGTCATCTATTCCGGTGGCGGCTTCTCCAACGTCTTCCCGATACCATCCTATCAGGCTGCAGCCGTCAAGCGGTACTTGACAAACTATCCACCTCCGTACGGTGCGGACCGATACAACAACAGTGGGCAAGTGAGAGGCTTCCCAGACGTCAGCGTATGCTTTGCCCGCCTTACTCGCTATGAATTGATGTGCTAACATTTTACTATGTAGGCTAATGGTGCAAATTATGTCATCGCCATCGATGGCAACTTTTCGCTCGTCTATGGCACCTCGGCCTCTTCGCCGACCTTTGGCAGCATTCTCACACTGATTAACCAGGAGCGTCTGAATATCGGCAAAAGCAGCGTCGGCTTCATCAACCCAACGCTTTACGCTAATCCCTGGGTCATGAACGACATTACCGAAGGCGGTAATCAGGGTTGTGGGACACCAGGCTTCAGCGCTGAGCCCGGTTGGGACCCTGTGACCGGTCTCGGCACACCGAACTATCCAAAGGTGAGCCCCGTTTACGCGTCCAACGGTTTATCGTAGTTTACTGACATTTTCGAACAGATGTCGGCACTGTTCCTCGGCCTCGGGTAACGGGCCAAAGTACCTACCGGCAAAGAGCATGTGTAACGGAAGAACCAATATGTCGAAAGACGCGCTCTCATAACGATCATGTAGTTACGTACTAATACAATCAACAAGTTCCAGCCTGACCGAGCTTTCACCTCTTACATTCACTAACGTAGTCTGCTTGGCCGACTCCAGGAGGGCAAGCACGGCTCACCTGCCCCACCTCGCTCCTTCCTTCTTTGTCACTCGCATGGTGAAGCGGCTTTCTCCGAGTGCCAGTAAGCTCGGTCACGAGTAACGCTTCGTTCGCGTTTGTTCACATTCACCTCATAGGTGTTGCCGCTTGAGCGCACAATCTTCTACCGAATCGCCAACATTCTCTATACATCCGCTGACCACGACACAACAAGCCTTGCACGCCGCCAAACCAAAGCACTTACAGACGAAGTCGCGAAGCGCTCACCTCACAATGATCACGATACCTGATGGCGCGAACGGTACACGGCGCCGTGAGCAGTGGTCAAGATCAAGTGCGCAACCCGATAACGACCTGCGCAGTCATTGCAAACGACAGATATACGACAAACAGCGACGAGGCGTGAGCTCCTTGACATCTCACTGCTTCCCCTCTACAACTCATTACGACGTGCTGTACAGCTCTTTGCGAATGATTGTCTTCAGACTCGACCCAATATCTGCGACGCCAGTGTCACACTTCATCCACGAGCACGTGCGCGACAGCGAGCTGTACGATGTGATGGTTGGCGTGGAGGTAAAGGCAGGGAAGCCGCTCGTTGGCGTTGAGCGGATTCGAGAGATGATGCATGAAGCCCGCATCAAGCATGCCGAAGCTCTGCGCGACGGTGGGTTTGTCGATGTAGACATCATCTACAAATGCCCGCTGTATCAAGCGGAGCCTTTCCGAAGCGACAAAGAGCGGCTCGAGGCGATGGTAGGTCCTCCATGAGATCAACACGCGATCCATTGCTCACCGTAACTTCTAGGGAGCGAAGCCATACCATATGTACCCGTTCCGAGCGATGCAAAAGGAGATGGCACTTAGTGCTGTCGTTGAGCCTCACATTCTTGAGATTGTCTACCCGCCAGAGCGGCGCAAAGCGCTCAATATCGTCATCAACACCAACACCGCACCAGCTGAGCCAGAGGAGCCGTCAGCCGAAGAACCAGATGTCGCATCCGGAAAGCAATCGCCATCCGACGGAGAGGACACCTTGTTCCCGTACGACATGCCCGAGGCAGCAGAGAGAGCCGAGGACAAGCTGGAGCGTGTGCTGGCGTCCCTTGTAAAGCGACCACGTAGTCGCAGCGTTCTGAAAGTTCAAAGTGCGCCACGAGGAGGTTGGCACAGGTTCCATTCCGTGACCAGAGCTGAACAGCCTCAGCCAGTCTGGGCGCCAGCCACTACGGTGCTGTTCCAGAGCCACTCTGATAGTGTCCATCCTAGACGCCAGTGGTGGCAGGATGATCTGGAACAACGTCGAGCGCAGCTTGACGAGGGAGTGGATTATTGTATAACCCGCCCGACGAGTAAAGCTTTCATCTCCGATTGGGATGATATGTGGTGGAAGGAGGACGTCGGAGGTGCCTTCGAGGTAGATACACCTAAACTCATGGAACTCAAGCAAGCCAAGGAGCAATACATTGTGCAGGTAGAGGCCGCGAGGTCTTTCTACAAGCACTACGCCGGATTGCAGCTTCAATCACGACATCATCCGGGAGTGGCAGAGGTCCAGGACGAGCTGCGCGACATAGCACGCATCAAGCGGAAAGTAAAGACACGGCTGATGGCGGCTCAGCAGTGGCTGATGGACAAGGCGGAAGCTGCTGGCGAAGGCGTTCCTCCAGAGGCACTGCATGTCAGCGAGCAGCTCGAGCGCGAGCTGTTCGAGCCAGCCAATGGTCGACCACAGCAAGATGCGGGCAACTTAAAGCCTCCTGCCGCCGCACTGGTCCCGAAAACGCAGAAGCAGATGGTCGATACGCCAGTCTCTCCGCACTCGCTTGCGGGTGAAGCTTGGAGATGCACATATCCTGCGCTCTCCGACAGTCGGCCTGTTAGTGAGGCGGCGAGCAGCGAGAACACAACATCGCTCATTGACGAGAGGGAGACTACGCCGTTTCCAGTCTACGAAGATCCCATGCTTAGGCGGACGGAAGATCTTGCCGCCACTCAGCAGGACATCAGCAAGCCCTTGGAGCGACCCCGATCTCGTAGGCGGAACACGTCCAGAGATCTTGTGGCGCAGCTAGAGTATTGCAAGACTGGGCCTATCGACACCGCACTAGCTCTGCATTCTATGGGGTCTCTCCCCGCCATGTCCGGTGACACCTAAGGGCGGAAGCTGTGTCGAAGGTAACAAGACGAATCCTTTCAATCTCCCAGTCATGCTGGATGTTCCCAGTGACGATGATATGGAGTTCGCATTACCTGCAATACTGCAGGAGTAGTTGGTGGACGTCACTTGCAATGGGCTCAGTAGGTCAAGGTGAGTGACTATAGGCTATTTGCCTTAGCAAATTGGCATAGCCCAGCAGGTGCGCAGGGCTACTTCAGCGTCCCCTGCGCTAGAGGGCAGGAATTGGCGTGCGTTGGTTATTTTGTTGAGAGGCGGGAGAAGAGGTGCAGTCTGGTCCATGTTTAGTGGGATCGCCATGTGCATCGCACATGGCCGTGCTGATCATCGCGTGTTGCTCACATGGTGGCAGGCAGATCGTAAGCAGCATCGGGATGGGTGTCTTCAGCGAGGCGGAAAACATGGGATTGGAGAGCTTGCGGCCTCTGAGCGTTGGGACTGCACACCTCATCTATAGACTTTATGGAGCGCCAGTACGCTGCGTAACTGCGCAACCTAGAGGCGTTGCCGCAACTCAGGAGTGATCTGCGAAGGCACAGCCTTCATGCAGGGACGCTATTGTGTGCCACTTTGCATCCTTTGAGCGCCTTCGACCGAGCGGGTTTGGATACTTAGCTTTCGCGTATGTTGTTCCCACAGATCTCGAGGCTTCGGCGACACTATCCGTCAGGAGGCAGCCCACAGAGCGAGGAGGAGTCAGAGCCTCTGGTCATCTACCGCGTCACTACCACCACCATGTGCCATGCCGCACGTGAAACGCAGGATCGGCGGCGGTTGTGGAGGATAAGGGTCAGGGGCATCGGTGTAACATGTTGTCACGATGCGACTTCAAATTCGTCGACTCCTTCCCACGGGAAGGCCACCGTGGGACACGGAGACGCAAGCTCACTCACAGCATGGACATTACGACGATCCGTATGGCCATGGAGTCCATGACCTCGTCGAGTCTTCGCAGGACGGCGTCAGGCTGTCGAGAATATTATACCTCGGCCGATCGTAGGTAGCACTTTTCCCGTCGGACCGAGTGCATCTCGAAGCCATGCCGAGCGCACATTGTTGTTAATGTGTAGGGCGGAGATGGCATGCGACGGTGGAGGTGAGGTCAAGATCTGTAATGATTGTCCTAGCGAATGAGAGAAGGCCTGCGATCTGGCATTGCGTGCAGGCGCCGAGCAGGGGTGAAGTCACGAAGCTTTCGGCCCATGCGTTGCAGGCATGTCATGGGCTCATGGCCGCGTTGCATAGCATCCCGTCACCTCCAAAGTGAGGCTGATACGGCAGTTCGTCTGCCCTTGTAATACCACGCCTCACGCTTTTGATGATTACCTTACTTGACTTCTTCTGCCTTCGCGGGTTATGAAGCAACGTCCTGCGTAGTTTATCGTCCAACACTGACATCGACACTTCCTCACATGACGAATGCCCGTGCCCCTAGCTTCATTACCAGCAAATCTCCTTAGCGCCCGGACTCCGCCGCGCGACCGCTTCAGCCCCCCTCGCACTCAAAAAGTTAGCGAGTGAATAAGAAGCCAGCCAGCGCTTCCATCATCCGCCGCCATCTGACATCCCTCCAATCACGCCTCTGCGCCCTCTCTGGTCACCAATCACACGCAGTCGCACGTCTACTGGGTCGTGGTTCGCTGAGGATCCCGACGCGGCGTCGCGTGTCAAGCAATCTGTGTCAGGCACTCCAATCACCGCCGGCTGTGGACGAGGTAAGTGACCACCCATCCATAAAGTAACGTGATGAGGTGTTGCTGCGAAGCGCATGAGGCTGGCGCTGCGACGGGACAATGCTCGGCCTGTCGTTTGCACTTCAAGACGACTGCCGACTGCGCATTGTTCATCTCGAAGAGCATTCATGGCGTCGCCGGGCACGAAGGGCAGACCTCGGGAATGGACAGCATGCTGATGGCTTAACAGGAAGCGTTATCGCTGGCGACCAAGTTATATCCTGTACAAGGTGAGCCACGACACGTACTTGCGCATGTGTTTCGACCCAATATGCGCGCTGCGACCGCCCTCAGCACGTGGCGAAGCTTCACAAACACCAAATCAGCAGCAGTGCGAGCACCCACGGCAGACATCATGACATGTGCACGACAGCTCCTAAGCCTCATCATCGATGCCGCCCATTATTCTTCGATGTGGCGGTGCGAGAATGGAGATGGAGCTTCCGTCACACGCGCAGAGTCATGATGCGCTGGCCCGCTCTGGCACGATTGGAGGCGATGCGCTGGCACATGCACGGCACGACCAACAGCTTCCCGGACCAGCATGCTAGCCCACCTTACCGCCCAATTGTTGTCGCGCATTTGCCATGTACCCTTCGTGTATTAGAAGTGCTCGACGGTCGCTAATGTCTGACCCAGTGGAGCAAGATTCCGCCATCGCACAGCAGCCGTCGACTAAGCTTTCCGACTGGGTAAGCCTCACCTTCCCGCAATCACTCGCGCAAGACAGTTCGGCTGTTGTACTTGCCTACTATAGGCCGCATGCTCGCCGCCGCGTTCCCGCACCGCCTCACGGTGATAGCTAGCAGCGGAGGGTCATCCCTGCTGCAACAGCTGGTCGTGGCCGGAAGGCGTTGCGCCGACCGCAGAAGCGTGAAGCGGTGGCGTGCAGATGCCTCACGACCGCTATACGTGCACAACATCGCGCCTGAATTTTGGGCTGCAACCTAAGGCTGACGCATCAGTGGTCAGTATAGCTTAAGCCAATCCCCTTCGCCGCCTCGAGGCTTCCAGCATCACTACTACAGGCGCCACTCCTGACGGTCACGCGCCGCCAGCCTTGATCCACACATACATCTCTACAGCCTTTTCCTGACTCGCTCAGGATGGAGTCGTACCCGCAATACCACACCCAACCCTCCGCGTACCCACACGCCCACGCGCAACCTCAACCAAACCATGCGAGTCCGGTGATGCAGACGCAACAACAAGGATACGCACAACATCAACAACCGCAGCAGATGGCCGGTCAGCATCTGATGATGCAGCCACAGTACGCAACCCAAGCATACGGTCTGCAGCCAAACTATGGCGTCTCGCCATCGCAAGCAGCAGCAATGGCAACCGCCGCAGCGTCAGGGTACCCAACATACAGCATGCCGGATCCGTCAATGCAAGGCTCGCTACCGCAAACGTCGCCACGGATACAGCAGGTCAAGGCAGATGGATCTGGGATGCAAAGGGCGCCGCAATCGCCAAGGCAGAACCACATGAGTGTGCCAGGCACTACCATGGGAGGACCCATGACCATGCCGCCAGCTCAGCCACCGATGATGGCAAGCAACATGCCGCCGCAGATGCAGCCTCAGCATATGCAGCAGGCAAGGCGAATGTCGCACTCCGTAAATGGCTCGGGCATGGCCACTCAGCAGCAACCACCACAGCAAATGGCCGCTCCGCCACGGCCGCCTACCGCACCTCAGCAACAGCCTCCACAACAAGCCCAAGCGCATCAGTCTCCCGAGGCACCTGCTGCTGGCACAGCCGAAGAGTCACCACTTTACGTCAACGCAAAGCAGTTTCACCGCATCTTGAAGAGGCGTATGGCGCGCCAGAAGCTAGAGGAGCAGCTGAGATTGACGTCCAAAGGCCGCAAGCCTTATCTGCATGAGTCGAGACACAACCATGCCATGCGCAGGCCGAGGGGTCCTGGTGGCAGATTCCTGACTGCGGACGAAGTTGCGGCCATGGAGGCAAAGGGCCAGCTCGGCGACCTGGACAGTAATGGTGACATCAAGCCGGAGCCAATCACTAATGGTGGTATGAAGAGGAAGGCCAGGGCAGATATGTCCGGGCCGGGAAAGAAGCTGAAACCTGCAACGCACAACGATGAGGACGATGACGATGACGACGAGCAGGGTTAGCAGTCCACCCGTCGTACATCGTTGCCGAAACGTCAGCGAGTGAAGCGGGAGTTCCCACCGTTGATGAAAGCTAAGCGCGAGTCACCGGTATTACGGCAATGGAACGGCATACAATGATGTTACGCAGCGCACCAGTGATGACGAGGACCGATACAGATACTGCGCAAGCATACGGTGTATGAAGGCATCTGGCGTGTTTGGTGAAGGGTTTTGTGCTGCAGGACGCTCGCTTGATACCCCATCGGAACTGCAGCTGGGCTGGGCTGGGCGCTACTTATGCTTTGGAGGATGATAACGGCAGTGCTATGGCTGTAGAATCAGCGGCTTCTTCCTATAGTACTCTCAGAATGATCAGCAACGTATCCCGCCTTGAACAGGCGTTCCACGGTTGTAAACCTACGCGTGCACGTGACTGCTCGTTCGCCAAGCCAGACTCCCGCGGCTTCCCATCCTCAAGTGTAGCCCATGTGTTTCTGCGCCGTTAACCGTGACCTCTTACTTAGATAAACATACAACATAATGATCTGCCAACGCTGTCTCCGCCGGCTAGCGCATCAAAGTGCCCAGCATGACCGCAGTCACGCTTCCAAACGAGCCTTGTCCACGACAAAGATCATCCGCTCAACACCGGTCACGGCCGAGACAACCACAACCAATGTTCCACGACCCGACGGTCGCCCTGCCGCGACATCAAGACCGGGCGTCGCACAACCTATCAGCACACCATTGACCGCGAGTCCTGATCGACAAGAACTTCCCATAAGTCGTAAGCAGACCAAAGCACCTGCGAAGCTACCGGCGAGCAGTATGCCGGCAGGTACGGTGATGAAGGGGTTGAACTTCATGAAGAACAAGCCCGATCCGATCGCGATGGAGGATGGTGAGTATCCGCCTTGGCTGTGGACGGTGTTGGCGAAGAGTAAGGAGGATGCAGGTGCTAAGGCTGGTCGGGAGGGTGACCTTTTTGGTGCGTTATTATGTCGACGGTAAGTCGATGAGTATCGGTTCTGCTTGCTGACTCTTACGGGACAGCCAAGTCGAAGAAGCAGCGACAGAAAGCTGCAAAGGCGTTGCGGAAGCAGGCACTTCTACATCCGGAGGCTCTGGCGCCGAAAGTGCCGCTGACCGAGCAGACGGTGGACTTACCCACCGGCGATGGCACGTTAGAGGGAGCGAGAAGCGCGGAGGAGGCGCGAGGAGAACTGACGGCTGCGCTGAGGGGGAAGCGGAGAAGCAAGATCAAAGAAGACAACTATCTGAGGAGTATGCGGTAGAGCTGACTGCCGAGTTCGAAGCGGCAACACTTGGTGTCCGCGTCACTCCCTTCCTGCAATCATACAGTGTGCAGACTTGCTCTCCCGAGCGCGCCTCTTTCGGGTTTAATTCGATCGACCACATGTTATGCCGTTTGACGGTTGCCTGCGAGTATTGGATCGCTCGCCAGCAACGAAACCATCGCCACAAAAGTAAGGGGCCAGGCCTTAAATCTGTGGACCTTGATCCCCATTCATCTCTTCCGAGTACGTTCGAGCTTCGTTCTCCTCAACATGTTCTTCGCAACATCCAAGAGGTCGCCCATGGTGACTCCTTGCTCCCGCGCCATACCATGGGCTTGGAAAGACTTTGGCCATGCGTCCTACAGAGCGGACGGCGGTTGGCAAATGTACATGGCACGACGGCGCGCGCCAAGACGTGGCAACTTACTCGCGAAGTCGGCCCGGATCTGGACCCGTGTTCCCTCCCATTCACTAGCCCGTGGCGTCCTGAGTCTGAACTTCCCAGATAACCGAGGCGCGACAGCTGTGAGGCGGAAGTTCGTTCCTGGTGGCTCAGCACTTAAGCCCAGCTTGCGTGTGAAACGGACAGATTGTAGGACCGCGTCGTGGAACTGATGGTTCACCTGTGGTCGATACAGCGTCAACAAAGCTCCGAAAACAGGTTGGGGAGTAAGTGCTGCACTACCTCCATGATTAAGAGTACTTCATCGGTGGATAATTCGAGCAATATCATCTCCAGGAGCTCTGCAATGTCGAAAGCTCTCTGCGCCGCACTAGAAGAGCGCACTATGGCGCTGATGCTTGCTGCCATATCTGCTGTTGATCGTCTGGTAAACTCAATCGAAGAGAATGCGCTCAACAGCTGGTTGGCGGAAAGGCTTGGCAGGGTCATGCCCTACAGGGCAGGCACGTCTGAACGTTCGGCCTGCCACTGTACGGAAAGAACCGAAGCAAAGGCGAGAGAGGATGGATGGGAATCCCGGCTGCATATGTGGCAGAGCACAATCTGTAATTCCGCCGCAAGAAGATCATCGTCGCCCTCGCCAGCTACCGCGTTCCATATCCGTGCATTCTTGTCTCGGGCACTGGACGATCCTGTCACTGTCGTTGCACAGCCCCACCTACGCCGTTCTGCGCTTGTTTATGACTATCGGATCACTCGCCTGCAGATCTATCACCGCGTGGAAGGAGACCCATGCGTATGACTGCGTCTGATCACATTTCCTGTGCATCTCTCGTTCAGTTTTGGTAAGTTCTGTTAGATCGCCAATCGTGAAGCCGTTCACGCTTCTACCAAACGAACGCGCCGGTTTGCAGCAGCAGTGCGTCTTCGCCTCCATCTGTCTCGTCGGCGGCTGGTAAAACCGTACAGCGCTGCGTCGGGAGCCTGATCGCGGCATTTCGTCTCCAAATGTAAGCTGCACCCTCAACTGCCTTTCCTTCAGATCCACGACTGCCCATGAAGATCTCGGAAGAGTCCTGGGATTGTCGCAAGAAAGCCGTAGTGCCGTGAACATAGAGATCATGCTTTATGCTTGGGATGCCCATGTCTGTCATACTACAACGTGCCTCCGGTGGTTGAGCCAGTAGTCCGAGCTTGCGCATAAGACGGACCGATCGAAGCACAGTGTGGCGAAGATGACGAGTGACCTGATGAACATGAGCCGTGGCAAGCATGTAAACCGAGCCATCCCTCCCACTTTCCCCCTCACGACTAGCAAGTCCTTGGTCTTCAGATGTCCAAGCGCCATCTCCAGGAGCTCTGGAACGCCGAAGACAGGATGTGTCTCGCATGCAATCGGCGGCGTCATCTGTGCAGCCATGTCCATATTTGCTGTATGTTTTGCAATAACCGCGCGGTGAACGGGATATGTATGATTCACGAGAAAGCAAGCGCTGGCACGAGGGTCGGCTCCATACGGTGTAAATTATGAACGAATGAACGAATGAACGAATGAACGAATGAACGAATGAACGAATGAACGAATGAACGAATGAACGAATGAACGAATGAACGAATGAACGAATGAACGAATGAACGAATGAACGAATGAACGAATGAACGAATGAACGAATGAACGAATGAACGAATGAACGAATGAACGAATGAACGAATGAACGAATGAACGAATGAACGAATGAACGAATGAACGAATGAACG